TGCTTGGCCACGTAGAGATAGAGCTTTGGCAGCACGGGCATCGTTTCGGTTCCACGCTTGAGCGGCACTGATTGAGAAATGTGAGTCAGCTTTAGACTGGAAGAGGAAGGATAGGGTGAGGTATGGGAAACTCACCTTTGTAGAAATTTATTCCGTACGGTCCCGTGGCGAATTGCTTCTGTACGGTACTTGATATATTGCTGGTTTGCCCGCGAACCAGTCTCAAGCCAGGGAATATTCTGGGGCGCTTGGATGGATTGAGCTGCAGCACTGTTTTCGCGGCTTTTGATATCCTTGTTGTTCTTAGAAGATTTACCCTTGCCATGGACAGGGGATGGAGACATGCGCACCACGTCTGCCAATGAGGATGGGATGTTTTCTTTTCCCAAGTTTGCGTCACGGTTATGGCCGCCCCGCTTACCATGGTGCTTCTTTCCCGCGTTCTTTGCGTTGACCGCAGCAAGGGTTGGGAACGCATCTGGGTCATCTACGGACGGAGCAGTAGGGTTCAACTCGCGATTCTGGTGACGGCTGCTTGGACGGGAACTGGGCCGTCCCAAGTGTGTCATGCTTCCATTCCTTCTTCCCATGCCAGGGTGAAGACCGGGGGGTAGATGCTTGCCTCCCTGAAGACCAGAGAGATGAGCAGGATATCGACCGCCATACTGATAGGCCCATTGATCTTCCGTGCCCGACGATTGCAAGGGCGGGAACGCATCAGATCCACTGTCTACTTGGAAAGGTGATCCAGCAGGCGGCGAGGTTGGCCGACTGCTTCCTGAGACACTCAGAGTGGAAACGAGCGACGAAGGGTCATGCGAAAACGGACATCCGTCACCAGCCAGGCAGTTACCCATAACCCAGTATCTAGTATCAGGTTAGCATACTAGCGTTGGAGTGTTATTTCCCAAACATAAGACCTACTTGCATAGATGACTGGTCAAGTCATGGCTGAAACGGCAGTCGGCACGGAGACATTGCCCCGTAGATAGAAAGTACTTGCAAACTACAGGGCTTCGTTCAAACCCAGACGGGGTGATCGGACGGCTTTTCTCCATTGTCATTGACTTACCAACCAACACACGGCCATCATCATGTTGCTTTGCAAATACATCCGCCTCTGTATCTTGCGAAAGTGCCGCGATGGTCGCGCCGAGGTCATAACTATTTGCTTCTAGCGCAGCCTCGATTTCGTCGTTTGACCGCTTATCGCCCAGGACGGTGCGCAGGATGTCATGCGGACTCATATCCGGTACGAACTCCGCCGCAGTTGCGCTCAGCGCTCCCTGAATACTATAACCACCCGTCGAAGAGGTGACGCTATTTGCATCATCTCCCACCAGCCAGTCGACATTGCTATCGCTGCCAAAATCGCCATAGAAGTCAGATAATTGACTTTGGTCTGAGAACTCATACGCATTTAGGTTCGGGGAATGTGGGATCGGCTGTGCTAGGGCCAGTCGGGGAGATGGCCGCGGGGAGGTAAAGGGAGACACGGTTGACGAGAGTGGAGGGCGGGCGAATGCCCCGCGTGAGCTCTGCACCCACGAGGTACTCCCGGGACTGGTTCCCAGGTTCGAGGGCGACAGAGGGGTCGAAGAGCGCATCTGCCATGGTGCCGGTGATGATCGGCGAATTATCGTATGACGAGGAGGGGGAGGTGACGAGTCTGGGAGGGTGCGATTGCGATGCCGCCATAGAATGTCCAGCACCGCATTCTCTAGCGATGATCCGGAAAGCGCAGTGTTCGCGCGCAAGTAATCCTCTATTTTTTCCACTTGTTCTTCTTCATCTAGTGCTTGATCCTGCAGGATTTCTAGACATTTCTCCAGCAAGTCCTCCGAAACCATGGTGCTTGGCTGTACTCGCGATGAAAGGGGGGGAAGGAGTAAGCTTGAAGATGAAGGTGGGGGAAGGATAATAAAGGGAGGGACCAAGCCCCGGATGTCGACGTATTGAAATGTGATATAGTAAAGTTCTCCGATGGGTGTTTCGTATTCAGATTAGATATAGAATTCGTCAAAGAGAGCAATCCATTTGGATTCGGGTGATTTGGTGGGTGAACGACAAAGGAGGTCGGGGACAAATAAACCGGGAAGGACAAGTGGTAAGATGTGAATTACATCGCATCGGCCCTGATGCCGTAGAACGAGAGAGATTCCGAGTATCAACGAACAAAAAAAACCCAAAGAGGGGGAAAGGGGATCAACAGTTCGGGATGTAGATTTGGTTAGATTTGGGGGTTTCAGCTGTCCGAACTCCACACCGACCAGGACCGTGAGCCCGCATCGGATGTACTGTGGTTTGCACATCAGACGGTTGTTTCTATCGTGTATCGTTCGTTCACATTTCTCAAGCCACCGCCCAGTGTATATAGATTTTCTAATCTAATTCAATTTTGATGATCCCCTTGACGTGTATAATGTCTCAATCCTATTGTATTCATATGATACCTGAATTAACTATGCAGTGCCTGCGTTGGACAATAAAAACCGACAGGAAATGTGATCGCAAAGTCTGGGCCCTAACTCCAACTATACGAGTTGTGTGACGATGGTTTGGGTCGCGGAAACAATGCGATCGAACGATGCGATCAACGTAAACGCAGCCACATAGAATTGCACTTGCCGCCCACTATTGAGCTATGTAAGCCAAACACAGCCGGTTGATCCGCCACAATGTGAGACATACTTTCCCCCAATTCCCTCTCTGTGGCTCATGTTCGGCCCCCGATACTTTCAGGGCCTTGGAATGCCCATCTACTCCTGAATTTTTTCATGTTTTTCCTTTAAACTCGCCAAAATTCGTCCGAACCCTTTTCCGTCTCCGCAAAACGCCGATCGCTATAGCTGCCTTGCCCCAGATCGGATCCCGGCAAATCTACAATCCTTCTAGCACTATGCCCGCGGACTATGAGTCCACAGCACGGGCATTAGCTGTTTCTCCATCGTCAGAGATACATTCTGCCTCCGCTAGCGACGATGAACAACCGCTCTGGAGCCGGGCGGGCAGGCGGAACTCGACGCGGCCCGATTCAGGCACCTTCCGCGACAGAATGATGGACAAAGGCAAGAAGATATATCGCCAGGCAGAAGAACGATGGAATCGCATGACATTCTGGCAAAAGGTCGGCTTCTATGTCGCGTCTTTATTAGTTGGGGCATCCGGCATCGGATTCCTGATCTTAACGGGCAAGGTGTTCATCTGGCTAGGCCCGGTCGCGGAAAGATGGGAGAAGTCTTTCCTCGTCGCTTTTGTGCTCTGGCTATGCGTCTTTTTCGTCTCATTCCCGCCATTATTGGGCTGGTCAACGTTCGGGACGGTGGCGGGATTCATCTTTGGCGTGTGGAAAGGGTAAGTTGTGGAACCTATCGCCCTGTAATGTATAGCACATGGTTATACAGTTATACTACTGAAAATACTAACTGGGGATGATACTAGATGGTTGATATATGCCACGGCCACCATTCTTGGCTCTACTGCATCATTCTATGTATCCCGCACGGTACTATCGAGATTCGTGACTCGCCTGATGGAACATGACAAGCGATTTGCAGCACTGGCGTTGACTCTGAAGTATGATGGACTGAAATTGCTCTGCATGATTCGTCTATGTCCCCTGCCCTACTCTATTTGCAATGGTGCCATCTCAACCTTCCCGACTGTCCAACCTTTGATGTATGGACTGGCAACAGCCATAATCTCGCCCAAACTGTTGGTCCCGGCCTTTGTTGGCAGTCGGCTGCGCCTTCTGACCGAGAAGGGTGGAGAGATGAGCGCCGGAGCCAAGGCAGTCAATATCATCAGCATTATCGCTACCGTATCCATCGGAGGTGGTACTGCGTATTATATCTATCAGAGGTTGGTCGTGGAGATCGTGCATTGCTCCCATCTTTGACTAACCGATTGCTTAATGCATAGAACCCTTGCCCGTGCGAAAGAACTCGAAGCAAAAGAACGTGACGACATCCGGCAATCCTTGCAAGCTGATCATGCTGCCCATCGCCCTCATGGCCGGTTTGCCGACGACGATGCTGCTAATGCTGCAGCGACTGAACTCGCTCGAGATGAGGAAGAACGGATTGGTTTCAACGATTTCGACGATGATAACGTCGACCTTGACCTTGCTCTAGATGATGATAGTGGCAGCGATGGAGACAACCGCCGCTGGAAGAAATCGAATCGGAGATCATACCATGATGAGTTCACGGACAATGATTCTGATGATTACGCCGGCGAAGGAGACGAGGCTTTCGGCCTGCATTCCCATGTCCAAAGGGATACCTAGCATATCGGTTGAATCCATAACAACCCAATGTAAATGATGCTGCGCTTATGATCATGAGCCTACCGACCCACTCCCTACCCATGCGTAGATCGTGCTATAAGGAATAAGCTATATGCACTATACCCGTTTCAGCCCTGAATATTCAGCCAGATGTAGATCGAAAGAGCCCACGTCCTTTAGTCCAATCTGCATGCGCATGTAAGCGTAAGTAGGAAAAATATTCGAGTAGATGGAATCTAAGCTATTGCCGGAAGCGGACTGAGAAATACGCGCTGTTCCGAGGGATCAACCTCCTCGGGCGGCTTCCCTTCTCCCCTCTCGTGCCATGTATAGACCTTCCTGACAATTGAATGCCTTTATGCTGGCCCGGATTTCAATCAGCCAGGTTCTTACTTTGCAGGAGATCCGGGCTTCTCAATGTATGTGTTCCTTCTGGTGTTCCCGCCACTAGTCCCTTGAGTCCCATCCACTTTTATCTACATGCAAAGTTTTTATTGGAACGCCACTATTCGTCCAACCGTAACCCATCAACTCCAAGTCTAACTGATCATTTCTCAGCTTACATCTGTGGTTGCAACTCAAGTCAGCATGATTGAACATGGGGGGTCTTGACGTTTGAGATATTCCCCCTCGTTCCACCTGATACCCCACTACCTCGTTCATACAAGGAACCCATATCGGACCGAGTCTTCTTGCTTTTCAGAGAGCCGAGATGGACTTCGATTCAATTAACCCCTTGGTTCCGATCCCTGGCCTCGGCGAATCTCAGACAAGCTACAGCTACGAGTCATTGAACATGGAAATACCCATAATAGGGCCGACAGGCCAAACCGTCGCTATTAACCAGCTTGTTACAAATGAACATTCCACTGAGTCAGAGCAGCTATTAACGTCTGATATGGAAGAAAACGAACGGCCCAAGAAGCGCTTGCGCAGTTCAGGAAACCCTACTTCCCGAAACCCACACATCCCCGCCCTCAAGAGCTCAGATCAGCCTGTGACGTCTTATACCAATCAAAACCCCACTTCGAATGGCCTTAATGGCAATGAAATACCTATGGGATATCCATATATCAGTGGGAGCAGCAATACACCCGTTGACACGACCTCAACTCTTTCATCCTCATTCGACCCTAGAAAATCCACCACTCCTCTCACCACCCCAGAGCAAAATGCATCTACCCCACCTTGCGTTGCCGGAGCGAGTGTGCTGGATAGTGGAAAGGTAGATTTAGCCAAGTGCCGGCCGCGGTCGTCAATTCCTGTTCATTTGACACCGGAAGTCTATGGCCAGCAGTGCGTAGCATCTGCCTATGCCTGTCGACTGGATCCATACTCTCTTCACCCAAAAGAACAAGAAGCGCTTCAGGATCATCTTTGCCACATGCATGTTACTCTGTATCTCAATATTCGAAATGGTATTCTGCGGCTCTGGACCCGGAACGCCATGGTCAGTGTAACCAGAGAAGAAGCCCTGGGTGTTGCGAAAGACTATCGCTGGATGAATCTTGCTTCCTTCGCACATGATTGGCTGGCACGGAATGGCTACATTAACTTCGGCTGCGTCGAGGTACCCTTGCCCATTGTGCCTCCAAGAAGGGGAAGACGGAAGGACGGCCCAGTCATTGTCATTGTGGGAGCCGGTGTTGGCGGGTTAGGCTGTGCACGTCAGCTGGAAGGACTGTTTCGCCATTATCGGGATGCAGAAACAGCCCCTCGTGTAATAGTTTTGGAAGGACGTCGCAGAATTGGTGGAAGAATCTATTCGCACCCCCTTCGCAGTATGGAGTCAGAATCGTTACCTCCGGGGCTCGTTCCCAAGGCAGAGATGGGAGCCCAGATCATCGTGGGCTTTGAAAATGGCAATCCTCTCGATCAGATCGTTCGAAGTCAATTAGCGCTGCATTACCATCTCTTGCACGACTCCTCTACTATCTACGATACCGATGGCTTTCCTGTAAATTTTGTGCAGGATTCAATGAATGATCAGCTTCACGTTAATTTGCTGGAGCGAACTGGGAAGTATCGTCACGAAGTGCTCATCCCTACTACAGCTCAAGGTGATGCCGACATGATTGACGCTGGTCGTGAATCTACCAGTGATGACGGCCTTACTGTTCGAGAGTATGAAGACGCTCGTCGTGCCGGGACTACTCATCTTCTCCTTCCCACCAAGCGAACTCGACGTCATAGAGGTGCAGGGCACAGAACTGTAGAGATCGAACCCATTGATAACGTGGTAGCAGACTCTATGGGAACAGAAGACCCTGCGGCTTCATTCTGCCTGGCTATAGGGTGGAAATTAAACCCTGGATATTCTGCACATGATACAATTGAGCTGGATGAGGTTGCGCGCGCAACTCCTACACAAACTCTAGGTGCCGTGATGGACGAAGGTGTCAAGCAATACCAGGACATGCTTCCTATGACGCCCAAAGATATGCGACTTCAGAATTGGCATATTGCCAACATGGAATATTCCAATGCCACAAATTTTAAAAATCTCAGTCTCTCCTCGTGGGATCAAGATACAGGCAATGAATTTGAAGGAGAGCACTCGCAGGTGATAGGCGGTTATCAACAATTGCCATTCGGCCTGTACTCTTTACCTACAAAGCTTGACGTTCGCACCAAAAAAATCGTCCAGAGTATCTCCTACGACTCAACTGGCTCCGGCAGCCATAAATCGGTCATCAAATGCGAAGACGGCGAGAAATTTATTGCTGATCATGTTGTTTTTACGGGCTCTTTGGGTGTTCTCAAACATAACACAATTCAGTTCAATCCTCCTCTGCCCGACTGGAAGTTGGGTGCTATCGAGAGATTAGGGTTTGGACTTATGAATAAGGTGATCCTCGTATTCCCTGAACCGTTCTGGGACGAGACCCGAGATATGTTTGGTCTCCTGCGCGAGCCAACTGTCTACAACAGTATGGATCCTGATGACTATGTTAAGAATCGCGGGCGATGCTACATCTTCTGGAACTGCATGCAAACCGCCGGGCTGCCCGTCATCACTGGTATCATGGCCGGAGATGCCGCTTATGAAACTGAGATCACATCAGACGCCGATATCATCTCAGAAGTCATTTCTCAGCTGCGAAATGTGTTCAAGCACACCAGAATACCGGATCCAGTCGAGACCATCATAACACGCTGGGCTTCTGACAAATTCACCCGGGGCAGCTACTCCTACGTGGCAACCGAGGCTCATGCCGAGGACTACGATCTGATGGCACGACCCGTCGGTTCACTCCACTTTGCTGGTGAGGCCACTTCCCGCAATCACCCAGCAACCGTCCATGGCGCATACCTTTCCGGTATTCGAGCCGCCGCGGAAGTGATCGAGTCCGTTGTGGGACCGATCGAGATACCCACTCCTCTGGTGCCTGACAAGCCAGTCAACAGCACTGTGCCGACAGCCACACCCAATGGCGCCCAGCACTCTGAGCCTGCCCCAGCTCAGCAGCAATTTCCCACTCCTTCTAATCACGTAGCCAACGAAAAACAACGTCGCGAGACCTACGAACAAGCCATGTGGACTGCCATCTATGCCAAAATCGGGTCGGCTCCCGTGCGCCCACCAAAGGTGGCGTTGAACCCTTTCCTCCTGTACCAGAAGGACTTCTGGTACAAATGCCGCGACCAGTGCGTCGAGGCTCGGCGTGCTGGCTCTACTAAGCCAAATGCTAAGGCCGGTCGCGACGAGATTCGCCACGCACTGGGTCAAATGTGGCGTAATGCCTCGGCGGAGGAAAAGGCGCCGTACCTCGACCAGGTCGAGACGAGCCGTGCTCTGAAAGAAAGCGCTTGGAGTGAGTGGAAGGTTGCTGCAGAGGAGTGGGATCGACGGTCTCTGCAGGTGAAAGCCGAGTGGTGTACCCAGTATCCGTACGAGGAGTGGGTGACGCCGGGATCGGCAGAGTAGGGGGTTCGTTTGTTCCTTTCTCTGCCGAGCTCTACTCCTGGAAGATTTCTCCTCATGTTTTATATATTAAAATCCCGAGGGAGAAGAGCCCATGTATTATTAATCGCGATTTCTGAGACACAACCAAAAGATATCCAAGAAATTTTTCCTCTTTTTTCCTGGTTCTCAAGTCCCTGCAAATTGTACCAGTCATCAGCTTTGTTGCCGTGCTGGATGTTGTGCTTGCTTGATCCCTGTCCTTTCTCTTTGAGATGTCGATGGCAGCAGTGGGAATAAATGGAAGACGGTGAGGAAAATGGGTGAGTACCGATGTCTGGCATCTAACGTACTTCTTAAGCAACCCATACGCATCCCACCGCTTCTTCACTATAAATCCTCGCTAACGTTCTGCTCTTAGGGCTTTATCCTCTGTCGAAACATCTTTGCTTTTAACTCTTCCTGACACCCGATTGGCTATTCAGTCGACAATCATTTAGGTCCTTGCTCTCTGGCATTTTTTGATCAATGATTATGCCTTCTTGCCATACTCGTATACCCGGTCATCTTTCTCATATCTCTCACTCATGCTTTCGCTCACTTTCAGAACTACACGAAAAGAGACATGGAGACTGCGAAGTATGACCCTGATTCATTCTTTTCATTACATACATCTCGACTCCCTTAATATTGATCTTGTCCCCCGTTCGTTTAAGCATTGCTTTCAGTCTTCAATATGACTTAACAAAAGCCGCGATCATTTCCTTCAGTCCTCTGGAGAATGTTAGCCGTCTATCTCCTCAAAATGTAGGTTATGTTGGCTGCAGACTCAGTCTACGGAGCCAGATACTCTGCAAGAACTATAATTTCTCGAGGAGCCGAAGAAGCAGGTTGATGTCTTACCGATATTGCAAAAAAAAACCCCCTGGACTGTAAATCAACAGGTCCACGAATACCCCCAATCCAGGTTTTATCTCAACGGAGACATACTGTGACCATTTCCGGCCTCTGTATCTTTTTGAATGATTTGATGTCTACTTTTCGTTCATTTCGACTTTTTAGGGGATGCCATGAAGAGTGCGAAGACCTGCTCCACATATCCTGCAAATCTTTGAGACAACCCTTATGGGGGAGAATATCGAGTTCGAGGTACATGTTGACGGTGTTACCAGTCGATCCCAACGACGTTGAACCCCAGGCTCCTCGTGAACCATAGACTACATTAAAGGCAGATCATACCAGAAACAAGTGTACTTTGAAGAAAATTGTCTATTCTATTCTATCGGCCACCGATCACGCCAAGTAAGAGCTAAATCAACCGATATACGGGTTGTATTTAGACATGCAGACCAGCAATCAAACCAAAGCAACAGACATAAAAAAAAGGAAATCCGTGAACCATGAGACAAAGAAATATGCACGGGGAATTCGAGAAAATTCAAATCACAAAACAGACACAGACAAAGAGGCTTGGTCTAGTCTAGATGTGCACAAGCGGTCTAAACAATATGCTCCAAAGGAGTCGGGATCATGAGGTATTTGGGAGTAAGGATGTTAAAAAGGAAGTTGGAGAATTTAGATCTTCTCCTTGGGCTGGGGAACATCGCCGAGTTCGGAGAGGTACTTCTCGGTATCGAGAGCGGCAACACAGCCAGAGCCGGCACTGGTAATGGCCTGGCGGTAGCGCTTGTCCTGAACATCACCACAGGCGAAGACACCCTCGAGGCTGGTGTAGCTGGTACCGGGCTTGGTGATAATGTACTGTTCCTCATCCAAGTCGATCTGGCCCTTGACGAGGCCGCTGGCGGGGTCGTGACCAACAGCATAGAACAGACCGTTGGCGTCAACGATCTCCTCGGCGCCGGTAACAGTGTCCTTGACACGGAGGTGGGACATCAGGCCGTTAGGCTTAGACTCACCAATGACCTCAGTGGCAACGGTGTTGAAGCGAACGGTACACTTGGGGTGAGCCAGCAGACGCTCAGCCATGATGTTACTGGCACGCAGTTTGTCACGACGGACAAGGACGGTAACGTGAGAACCGTACTTGGCCAAGAACATAGCCTCCTCGGCGGCGGAGTCACCACCACCGATAACGTAGAGGGGCTTGTTACGGAAGATAGGAACAGCACCATCGCACACAGCGCAGGCACTGATACCGTTCTGCCAGTACTTCTCCTCACCGGGCAGGTTCAGACGACGGGCGTTAGCACCAGTGGCAATGATAACGGCGTCGGCAGTACGGGCAGGGGCGTCGTTGGGGCCATCAGACCACTCGGTCCACATCTTAAAGGGCTTCTCGGAGAGATCCAGACGAGAGATAGTCTCAGTGATGATCTCAGTGCCGAAGCGCGCAGACTGGGCGCGCATCTTGTCCATCAGCTCGGCACCACCCACACCATCGGGGAAACCGGGGAAGTTCTCGACATCAGTGGTGGTGGTCAATTGGCCACCGGCGGCGGTACCGTTGGCGAGCATACCCTCGTACAAGACGGGCTTGAGCTCAGCACGGGAAAGGTAGACGGCGGCAGTGTGTGCGCCAGGGCCGGAGCCGATGACTGTTAGAAAAGGGTGGTTAGTTGACTGTGCGGTGAAAGAATCTTGTGGAGGGCCAATCGTGCTGGGCCACACTTACTAACGACTTTAGAGTGCACCATTCTGGCGGTAGTTGTGGAATTGACGCGCGCGGGCGTCGAGAAAGACTGGGAGAGGGCCGACGGAGGGGGAGGGGACTGGTTGTGGAGCGTTGTAGCGGCGGCGGCCGTGAATCCGAAGGATCGGAGAGCGGAAGGAAAACGACGGAGTGTGGAGGAAAACAGCTTGAAGGTGTTTGTCGGGAAGAGGAAGAGATTATATTTTCGGGTAGAAAAAGGGAGTGGGCCGATGATGAGATCAGAGAGCGTTTCTGTGTCTTTCCGCCGATACAAATTAATCATTTGCCCGCATCGAGGCCCCTCGCTTTCTAAGCATGCGCACGTGAGCCGGTCGAGACCCGCTTACGTATTCCTCCAGAGCACGAAGTCTGCGTAATGAGTGCAGCAATTATTGATCGATAAGGGCCGAAATGACTAAATCTGCTTTATTGTATACTACACTTCATATGAACGCCTTCGTATATGAACTGCTTCATGAATACGGAATCTACGTAAGTACAGCATGCCTGGGCTCTTGCGGATATTTCGGGAGGGAATCTATAGATACGCCACTACGGCTATAGATTCGAATCTCCACACTCGAAGGAGTACCAAGGTTAGTTCAACATGATTTGCGTATTCTGATTACCGATACTACTACATGCAGGCGAAAGTCGATTGTCCCAGGCCTATAAGCGATATCAATCTTATCAAGCGGCGATCCAGCCCTAGACCGCCCGGAATGGCGTGATAATGGATCTGCCGAGCCCGAGACCATATGCATAGGTAAGCCGGTGCACACTTCAAAATCATAACTTAACGTCAATTCTTCGACCTTGTGGAAATATCTTCGAAATTCTCAAATGCTTCGTATTGGTAGATTAGATTATCAGCGAAAGGATATAATTGAGGTCAAAATCAAAAAATCATCGCGAATCATTCACATCATGAGGGAGAAAGAGAAATATCCTCCGAAGACGCCAACGTAAATCATCATAATGTACATCTCAATCAAATTATTTCATTCCGAACCACTTCTTCCTCCTCGGTGCAGGTTCATCGTCATATTCTTCTTCTGGTGATGAATCTGCGAGAGCCTCTGCCGGCAATCGCTGAGGCACTTCACTCTCGGAGTCATCGCTGCCAGGGTACCCCTCGTAGTAATGCTGCTGCGTGGTTGCTGCATTCGCACGAGTGTTGTTCATAGTATCATCATCCTCGTAGTCATCGGGATCTTCTTCGTCGTCGTTGTCCTCCTCCTCCTCTTCCTCGTCATCATCGGCTGCAGCCGTGTTCTTCTTGCGACGCGGCATGTTCAGCCATTTTCGCCAGCCCTTGGTGATTGGTTTGGGCAATGGCTCATTTCCATCACCATCGTAACGTAAGGCCGGCACGAGAAGTTTGTATGGCACCGTGATGCCTGCTGGATCATGCGGGCTGACCTCCATATTCAAGGTGATTGCTAGACCTCCCTCAAGGTCTACATAGGCACCCACACCGTCATCGCCTTGCTTGGATTTTTTGGCGCTCTTTTCGCTCAGATTGGTTGGTCGTCTGTGGAAGCGACCAGGCTGGAGCTCTTGCGTTGCCCCTGGGAAGTAACTGTCCCCGCTTTCTGTAGGGCGAGAGATGGCAGTGGAATCGATACTAGCTCGTCGAGCAGGCATGCCAGCTTCGCGACCAAAGCTCATTGCTCTCGTGGGGGGTGGTCCGCGTCCAGATAGTCGCCTGAACAGACCACCAGCTTTACCAGACCCGCTTTCGGTGGCCCTGTCACCGCGTCCTAAGGACAGGGTTCTTTGAAGTTTATTGGGGCGGGGCTCTGGGGTAGGCGTCATGGAGCCGGAGTCAGGCGTTCCAAGTGGTGTTGAACCGGGATTATATTCCCTAATAGAACACCAGTTTCGTCGGGGTAGCATCCGCTTGTTGTTTCGAGACTTGCCATCGACATCCTGTGTGAAGATGGGGATGATATCTTCGTCTGTATTTGAGTCGATGTGGTGCACGGTATTGCGCTTGTTGAGCATATCTGAGATTAACTCTGTCTCCGGGATGTCGGCAATGGCGGACGAGATGACATTGGGCATGTATCGATAGTCCTTGTCCTTCGCAATGTTCAATTTGGGATTCGAATAGAATTGCCCAATGGCAGCTAGGTGAACATCACCACTGTAACCCCAGGGTTAGTACAATGCAAACAATTTTAAATAGAGGTAGGGCAAGGAAAGTTTACCTCAGGATTGTAACCCGGATGGACTTCTCGGCGGCAAAATCTTGCAGATCTTCCACCAACCATGTTCGCTCAGACTTCAATTGCTTGCCAGCCCAGTGGTCATCAAACACCTCCACATTGCCACCTGAACGGCTGACAATTCCCCCAAGCTTGCCGGACTTCCCTAGTGACTTTCGACTATTCATAAAGTTCTTGAGCATGGCCTAGCGATTTGTTAGTGAAAGGACATCCATGACAAAGACAGGGTACATACCACGCGGGGATAGGCGACAGGTACACTGCAGAGCACAATCATATGTTTAGTTTCTCCTCGAGCTATTTCTTGGTGGCATCGATCCCAAATCAGTTCATTGGTTTCTTCACTGAGGACCCCGGTGCTTGTTCTTTCAGTTCGGCAATCCAGGCCCAAGAGAACCACATCACCACCTAGAGACATGAAAAGACTTCGACTTTTTTGCTCAATATAGGGACCGGGGTGAGCACCGAGAATCCAACTAGGCTCTTCTTCCTCTGTCTCATCTGGAACACTGTGATGCTGGAATAACAAGTAGTACTTAAAAGCAATTCTTCCCAGGCCTGAGACCACCATACTCTGCATAAATTCCTGATTATAAGAGCCGTAGCCTTCAAAAATCTCATGATCATTCCATATATTGACCATGGGGATTTGCGAGTTGGCAAGGGAGAAAAGACCCTGCGAGAACCATGAAGCATAGCGATGCAAGTAAAACTGCTCTACCTCAGCACGGAATTCTGGGGTGAAAGGCATGCCATATCTCTCGGCAGGGCTCTTGATCTTGGTCCATTCTTGGAAAAAATGAGAATCCGTGATGACAGAGTCATTGAAGATTTGGTCACCACCACCGATCATCACATGGAATGGCTGGGTCTGGTGCTCGTTCAGAATATCGCGCCACAGAGGATCGGGCCCACAGAAGGGGTTGGAGTCAACAGATGGACTAAATCCATTCCCGCTGTGGTACATGATGTTCATAGGCTGCCCAGCGGCTGGCACCCAGAAACCTAGGGCAGGGCCCTGGTTTATGCGATAAGCAATTCGCTGTTGTGTTGTACCGAGCTCGACCTCAAGACTGAATCGCCAGAATGTCACGTCTCTGGCAGCATCGGCGTAAAGGCGAACACCAGCAATTTCTCGGTATAGGTTAGCAGTTTCACCGTCTTTGGGATGAATACGATTGGCGGGGATTGGTTGACCAGATCCCTCGGACTGGTAATCAACGTTACTCGGACTCATTTCATACATGCCATCGTCATTCTCCACTGCAGACAGATCAACTTCTTCCTCAAGATGATCAACTGGCTTAACGTAAAGGGGCCGACCATCTCGGCCAACTTTCATAAGTCCAGCAGTAGGATCGATATATTCAGGCGCGAGCTGTACACCATCCTCGCGGCTGATCTCTGCTGGTGGAGGAGGCAGGAGATTCATTGGTTGAGAAAACAAGCGCACTGTAGGCGGATTCGCATAGGAAGAGCGAGAGTCTCTTGTCACAATCAAAATAGAGCCTCGCCAGATGTCCTTGCCAATGGTACCTTGGGGTCCGGTAACGGTGACTTTCTTTATTCCCGTATACCGCAACAATGGACCACATTGAAGGAAAAGTTTTGGTTCAAAGCTCTTGTGCTGAGTAACTCCTGTTTTGGGTTAGCTAACTTATGTGATTGTCTCAATGATATCTTGTCTCACCTGTGAGCTTCTGAGCTGGTGTCTGGTAATCCTTAGGAAGAGCTCTGCTCTTTCTGCGATCTTTGGTGCCGCCACCTTCCCACCATGCCTTACTTCGATCCATGTCGAGGTTCTGGAAGTCAAAGTCTGTCGCTCCCAGACGTGCAACAGGCGCATTCTTCCATTCATAGACTGGGGGAGGAGTGGGTGGTGGCACATTAAATGATACTGTTTGCTTTTTTGGCTTGGGCAGCGACTGGACACTTCCCTGAACTGTTCGTGCAGCTGGAGGGGTCTCCACGGTATCTTCGCTCAAGATAATAGGAGCAGTATCAACGGCGGCTGGGGCAACGAAATTCCGCTGTTTGACCGTTCCTTGCGTAGAGACTGAACGTGTATGCCTCATGTTCTCACCAGATGGCCCAGGTTTTGCGGCTGGGCCACTCACTGTTACAGATCTTCGGGGAACTTGACCCATTCTTGCGGTTTGCGGAATGGCGACTTCTGCGCGCGCATACTGGACTTCTTCGGGTCTATTCATCATGGGGTATTGAGGATTTGTCGAAGCGTTCCTGTTGTGACGCACTGGGGCTCCTCTCGGCTGCCGTTGATTCGGCGGTAGGTCTCGTGTGGTATCTTCAAGGATAACACCCTTGCGCTCGCGGTCTCGGGCTGCACTAGAGGATGGCCTGTTTTCTGAATGTGAACTCTGCTTTGAGGTAGGTCTCGGAGCGGCCGCGGCAGCAGCTGCTGCAGTCGCCAACATCTTTGATGCTGCCTCAGCTTGTTCTCGCTCCACCTTTTGACGGGCCAGACGCTCTCGAAGTCGTGCTTCCGCTTCCTGAACCCGTGCGCGTTTCTCTTCTTTACTGATTCCATTCAGAGTCACTTCGAGCTTTTGGAGAGGCGAACGATCCGGAGCCCAGTCTCGGCGTTGAGAAGATGATGTTGAGCGCACAGTATTTGAGCGACTCGGAAGCGATTGCATACTCGGATCGGTGGAAGCTTCCGGTTGTGTCGATTCTTCGATTCCTTGGACGGTCATCTCAGCTTCTGGGGGGTTGGAAGTGGATGGAACGCCTCGAGGCGTAATTGATTCGTCCGATAATCCGAGTGAGTCAGGTGCGTACTTCCGAGTAGTATAGTTCAAATTGGTATCACGAGCTCTGGCTGAAAAAGATTCTTCCCGTGGGCCTTGCTTTGAACTTGCTTTTGATTTGGACCTTGAGGGCTTGGACGGGCCTGACTCCGCAACAGGCTCATAATTCTTATCTTCAGCGTAGCTCCCAGTGTCCGGGCCTCTTGCGCTGTATGTATGGCTATCTGGGGCATTCATTGCGCCATTGGCCTTGCGTGGATGGGAGCCACCGTTGGCCAACTCGGGCGAATTGCGCATTACCGCTGCCTCCATCTTATGTTGTTGAAAACACCTGGGTCGAGCAGAGGCTCTAATAAACTGGTAGGAACGAAGCGAATTCTCTGATGCGCGAATAGTCCCAACTAAAACAGCTTTCGTCAATCCTGATCACACAACGGCATTGTTCGAGACTCCGTTGGAGCGTTGGAAACGAGGTGGAAAAACAGAATGAGCTCAACGTACGTATGGTTTGTTGTTATCTCAGCGAAAATGTGGTTCCAATCCAGCTGTGCCCAATGTCTGACGCAAGCTCACCGCATCCTTGCCCGAAGATAAATTCAGGTTGCGCTAGGCTGGGTTGCGCAGGTGCTTGGGCGGGGAATTTGACTACGACCAATATGTCGCACGGAAATCTCCCGATAAGAGGCAATGTTTTAAAGTCGAAGAATGGGGGGAAAGATCAGATTTTTGAAGAAGGAATGGAAAGGGAAGGGAAAAAAGGTTGAAATACCGGCGAAGGGGAATATTCAAGGAGTTGCGCAGCTCTATACATTTGCATTATCCTGGTGGCTGGCAAACCCAGCCTTCGCGCGGGGCCCAAAGGCACCACTGGTCGCGATTGGCTCTCGTGGATCGCGAGAGGAATACGCGGCCCCGAGGTTTTCTGATGGTGATCAATTATTCAATTAAAAATATCTCCACCTGTTTTTGATGTGGTTTTTATACATTTCGCTGGTATATTCATACTTCAAGCGCCGACTATGTACCAAGCGTGCTGGAGCCATGGTCAAACCATTGCCTACCACAGTGGGTAACATCGGAAACCTTGGAACAGTGAATATTGCCCGGGCGGCATTCTGATACCAGAGTCTTAAATTGGGTATAAAATAAGCCAAGGTTAGGGACTGAATTAATTTTTCGTAAATTAAATCGCCTTCTGGCTACTGCGAGCCGTTGGTGCCTGAGGCCCAGTACTGGATATACATTCACTCTGGATCAAACCTTGTACTAGACCCCCTTCCACCAATCCAGTTGATATGTATTCCTGTGTTGAAGGAAATGTTTCAATGGGGCTTAATGTACGTTTGGCTGACTGGAGGTTTCCAGACTTCTAAGCACTTGATTAAGCGTGATGTGAGCACGATCTACATAGCCATAAATATATTTTCATGGAAGCACAACGGCTTCGGGATTTCATTAATCAAGGCTTGCAACTTCGGCTGAGTCACGACGCTCAGTCTTCCGTGTCTATTGGGTACTTTTGCGAGCATAATCTATCCTTACTTCCAAAATCACTGCGGTTACCCTTATGGATAAAACATGATATCCAATGATGGCGCATCGAGTCGTTTGAGATACTCTCGGGATCCATAATACCAAAAAAAGTGGATACAAAAAGAGATTGCTCACGTCCAGATTTGAACTGAAGACCTCGGCATTACTAGTGCCGCGCTCTACCAACTGAGCTACGCGAGCAGCTGTTGTTTAAGAATCCAAACTTGTCGTCTAGAACGCTTCACTTTGTCGTCAGATCAATCTAACCGCAAGGTTAACGTAGAGACTCCAAACATGACTGACTTTTCCTAAATCAAGGCGACTCCTGTGTCATATTTATTTGATTCTCCCTTCGGCAGTGTGTGTCAATAGCTACCCATACTATGCTCGTCATGCCTTGGAACAATTCGAGGTTCCCTTGAAGTTTAATTCCTTACATTGTTATCCTTTTTGAAGTCTCGAAAACCCCTAGAAAATGAGCTCTATTTAGATTTTGGATCATGTAAACAGAATGGCAACCTACCACACGACCACCGCTCGCGTAGCTCAGTTGGTAGAGCGCGGCACTAGTAATGCCGAGGTCTTCAGTTCAAATCTGGACGTGAGCAGTTCCTTTTTACTTTTTGTTCAATTTCGGTAGCGTTGATTGATACTTGTAACTTTTTGCAGCAAGATAAAAACAATCAAACAATCAGATATTATCGAAAGGGTATCCGAAAATTCCAAGCGATGGGCTGTCGTCTCATGGCGATTGATTTGATACGAGGTAGACAAAATCCGACATGATTTACATAGATAAAGAATGACCAATCAATCGTATTTGGATTGCAGTTGTCGTTTTCAAAACGTACTTCACAGAATCAATTTATGTTTATTCACCATAGGTTAAGAATAACTTGTAAAGTATTCGAGCCTATTATGTGATCTATATCGATACTCAAAAGTCTGTTCTTACTGAGGTGAGCAGAAAGAGTGGAGTGGGACCAGACTTATGAACCGCGGTTTAGCTAGGTCTCTGAACTCCTAAAAATGCATCAAAGCAGAAATCTCGAGACAAGGCAGTGACTGACTTTCGAGATTAAAGACTAATTCAAAGAAACCCCAACAGGGGGTGATGATATTGCGGGTATGAAATCGCAGTAAGAATAAACTAGCTAAAGAGATTGTAGTCATGAACAGCTATGTCAAACCCATGGCTGGGCTTCATAAACAAAATGGTAAGAGTATATCTGCGCAAAAATTACCGTGCTTCCGGAGCCGTATCAGATTCAAGTCCCAGTTCAGAATCCCCTTCCATCTCTGCAATAAAGCGCTCCCAAGTTGAGAGAACGCCCTGGTAGAAGTCGATATGAGACTCTGCGAAGGCGCCAAGGGAATCCCGAAACTCAACAGCCTTGATGCGCTCGAAATCTGCCACTTCGCGAACTACCTCCTCGTCAAACATTTCGGACGTTGTCTTCGCGGATTCGACTTCCCGCGTCAGCTCGTCGATGCGAAGCTCGAGCTTGCGGACACGTTCGCGGCGAGATTGTTCGTGATCAACACCACGCATATCCTCCATTTTAGAGCGAATAAAGGAGGCAGGAGAAGAGGTGAGCGGATTGGATGCGTAGTAAGCAGCCGGGTTAGCAGCTAAAGAGTCTCGCTCAGCCACGGCCTTGTTGCGGTAATCAACCAAGGCCTCGAAGTCGAGCTGCTTTTGTTCACGGGTCTTCAAGAGGGACTTGACCGACAGAATGTATGCTTCCATGTCCCGCAGGGAACCCAAGTAGTTCTGGTCAGTATGATCCTTCAACCCCCGTACCCCACGCGCAGTTTCCTCTACCGATGCGGCGAACACCTGTAATGGCATCTCAACGGCTGGCTCCAATGGAACTAATTTACGGAACTGGGATGCAAGTTCGGTATAATCCGTCTCGAGATCGGATTCACGCCGTGCGACCCGCGCCACGGTCTTCTCTACATGCGACAGATCCTCGTCGAGCTTATCAGCCTTCTCTTTGACCTCGATAAACCGGCGATCAGGCTTATGAACCTTAGTGAAGGCGTTGACGAATGTATCGGTGAAGTTATCAAAAATCTTGGTCGGGGCGTTCTCTGATGAGGCAGTTGTAGACCCGCGGTTTGAGTGAAGTCGCATATGTGCATTCCAGTCGGCAGATTCCAGGAAAATGGCAAGCAATGGTGCACGGCGGAGTACAGGGTGCAGTGTCAGCCGCTTCAAAAACCGATGCAAGGACCATGCTCGCCGCGTTGTAAACTCCGAGCCGAACCGGTCGCCTCGCACATACTCCATCTTATGCTTGTCCGGCAACGGCGGGACCGCGCATGCTGGGTATTCACGGTAGAGGGTTTTGTACAGGAAATAGAAATCGGTAAATCGCCTACGGACATAGAATTCGGGCTTTTGAAACGCTTTGAAGTCGGTCTAGAGGATCATAGTGTCAGTGAGAATTCCTGGGTAGTCAACAAGACAAAATGCGAAGGATGCGGAGACTGCGTAGGCGGCAACAGAATCTCCCCCCTCTCGTACAGATCAAAAAACCGAGAACTTACATGTGTTGTGACCAGGTACGAGATGTACGCATCTTTTGTGCCATCGTTCTCTTTCAAGGGCGTGTCAACCCGACACTCGAGTACACCATCACCGATACCTGCCAAGTCCACGGCGTCGGCTAGTGGACCAGCCTGCGGTTCCTCGTGAGCTGAGCTCATCCTCCGCTTGCCATTGGCATCATGATCATATTTATGCGACTCCTCAACATCTGTGCCTGAAGTTGTCGGTCGGGACACATCACTGTCGGCATCATGCTTCCAGGAAACATTGTCGAAGTCGTCGTGTTGGTCCATCGCGGGGAAGGTGTGACCGAGGTGATCACCCGGCAAGTAGAGATATTGCGTTGACCTCGATTATGAAATCAGGAATGCTTGGTCCAGATTCTGGAATATGCGAAATAGTGAAATAGTGGGGGCAGAAGCGGGAGAAGCTGAGAGAGCTGGGACTTGGATGATCGGCGATTGCCCCAAGGCGGAGAGGCCCCAAAACGGGGAACGTCGTCATCGCTCTTTTATAAGGAACCTTACACATGGACGGTATTCAACTGCATTAATTCGATGATATTTCACACATTTCATTTGATATCTATGAGATTTATTCTGTAGGTAAAGAATATTTGAACATTCCTCATCGTAAGGTAGTAAAGAGCTTTACAGAACTCCTAGGCAGCCGGTTTCCTTCGGGACGCTCAACGCTGCCTCTATAAATCCATATAGCCCAAATGTAAAAATGTAAATTTGACAAAAAAAAGCCCCGACCCAATGCAAAGGCAAGTGAAAAAGGGAAATTAAAGGAGTCAGATGATGGAACATCACAAGATGTCATCTACTGTTTTTCAGACAGAAGGTGGCTGCCTGGAGATGATTCTTCGTCATCCCTCTCTGGGATGTTGGCCAGCCGATCCCGATATGGCTTTTCCTCCTCGTCCTCACTGAAGATTTCCTCATCGCTTTCTCCAGCGAAAGCATTGTAGAGTTCACCACCACGGCGCTGGGTACGCCCACCTGGCCCAGTCATAGGGTGCATCTCATCCTCGTCTTCAATCATCTCGAATTCGTAATCATCCTGAGGGTTGGTGCGGCGGCGCTTCAGGCGCTGGAGTTGGAAGAATACCCCAAGACCGATAAAGAATACAATGATCATGCCCAATGATGCGTAGATCCAGACCTGGGTACGCTTTGAAGCACCAAACGTTGGGAGGTAGGACGAAAGGTAGTTATCTGACACAGAAGTGCTGGTTGAAGAGGCAGCACTGCCGGCAGTGGTACCGTTGTTTACTACCTCAAGCTCCTCGTCGGCAGGCTGTGTCACTGTAGGAGCCGATGGCTGGTCTGTGGGCTTCTGGTTCACCGGTCGGTCGTGATGTTCATCCGGATTGGCGACAGCAGGGTTGGTCTTAGATGGACCAGGTTCCAAGGTTGTCGTAGCCACATGAGCCTCCTCATACGGATGGTCGTCATCATGCTCGTCCGGCAATGGGTGGAGACCCTGCGTAGTTCCATCAACAGCTTCACCCCACAGGTTGAATCTCCAGTCAATAAACTGCCCAGAGTAATCGTTGACCTCAGAATCTTTGACAATCACAGTCCATTCACCAACAGCGGGTTCGCCCCTATGATGTAATTAGTCAGCCATTTAAACAAAACCTTCAGATTGTAAAGATACATACCAGTGAGCAACGGACATGAAGGTCCAGTCTAAATAACCAACGGGCTCCTTATCACGCGGGCGGGCAACGCTCAGGTGGCTAACAATTCCAGCCGGGCTGCGCAACTCCACGCTGAGATCACCACGGCGAGAGTGGTTGATATTCATGGTGACCGTAACATGCTCCAGTCGACCAAAGTTAGCGCCCTTAAGCTGGTCGGCGGTCACCGTGAATTTGCTAAGCAAGCCTTGTGACCCTTGAGGAATATCGTGATGCACTCGCAACCATGGTGAGGTATACCAAGCCTGTGGCTTCACCAGTTCCCATGTTTGAGCCTTGTGGACCAACGAGTATGTGTCCACCTTACCAAATCCCCAGTCATGGCTGAACTTCCGGCCAGATGGAAGAGTTTGCCAGCTCCCATCTGTCTCGCTCACCGGAACTGCAGTCTCCACCATCAAATACTGGATATCGCGCCATGTCAGCTCAGGCCGAGCACTCAGTGCGAGTGCCACGGTACCTGCGGCGAGAGGACCAGCCGCAGATGTACCACCGTGGTTTGAGTAGCAAGAATTAGCGCCCACATCAGTGGTGTGGATCGCATCGCCAGATCCACTGCTGTATGCAACCACCAGCTGGGCAGAACATGACTCCGAGTAAGATGGATGGCTTCCTTGCCGATCAATGGCACCAACTGTTATACTGTAAATACTGTTGGTGTACCCATCAAAGTTGCAGTTGTCACCGTACTGCGCACCGTTACCGGCGGCAAATACAAAGATGGATCCCTTTCCATCGCGTCCTTTCTGCACACCATTGACCATAGCTCGCTTGATCAAAACACCAGGCGCATCCATGGTAGCACCATCATCGATGGGTCCCCATGAACAAGAGTAGATATCATTCTTCTGAAACTCATAGTTGATGGCCGCGGCTTCGTCCACGTCGTCAATGGGTGCGGAGAGAATTCGAATACCCGCCACTTTGCTGTCGTATGCAACACCCACACCACAATAATCGTTCTTTGCAGCACCGATTTCTCCCGAGCAACGAGTACCATGTTTATCGTCTATAAGTAGAGGACGAGGTTCTGGACCACCTTCATTGAAGTCGTAGGAACCCTCGGCGAAGTAGTTAGGCTTTAGGTCATTGCTATCGAAGTCAAGGCCGTCATCCACGATTGCTGTAACGATGCCGTGGCCTGTCACACCTTCCAGCCAAATTCCCGTTACGTTAAGATCATGACCGGGTTGTAACGGGTTGAACAAATGCCACTGTTCTTTGAAAATGGGATCGCTAATTCCCAAGGTCGAGGCAATATCGCTCTGTATATCAATCGCACTTTTTTCAGGAACGTCATTGAGTCGAGGAGCGATGGCTTCAAAGGGAGGTGGTGCGCGTTTCTGCAGTCGTTGCTTAGGTGCCGCAATCTTCTCTGACCATAAGATGGAATCCAGTGGATCTGCACTTCGAGCTACATTTTCACCCGACCGCCGGCGAATTGTCCTCTTTGTCTTTATGTCGTCCAACCTTGCAGCAAACCCCGAACTTTGGTCGCGCGGTAAAGAGAAGGTATGGTGATTCGTCAGCTGTCCGATTTGGCCCTCATGTCGGGCACCCAGCATGCGGGCGACATGATCGGGTGAGGTGGTGGTATCAAGATGGAGGGCAAAAAATTCGCGAGAGTCCTGGGAGCGAGGGTGAATGGTAGCAGATGCCGCGCCTGCGAGGCCGACGGCCAAGGCGATACCGCTGACGAAACGCATATTAAATGCGGATTAGGTAGATGCTCGATCTTACGATCAAGCTGAGGTAGGATAGGAGGCAGCTGCCATGAACGGGGGTACCAGACCCTTCGTCAGAAAAAAAATAAAATAAAAGGAGAGGGCTGAATGTCTCTCTCGCGTAAGTAGGAGGAAGATGAAGGTGGCAAGTCGCGGCGTCGAATAGGAGGATCGTCAGGGAACCAAGAACAACACGGGACCCGAAGTCCACTTTGGCCTCCTGGGGGCCTTTTGAGCTAATTGTGGAACTATAGATTTATTCTTCAGTTTCTTTTATTTTTTTTTATCTCTTGATTATTCAATTCTGACGAGGACAGCGGATACTAATAATACTTGCAAGAGGTTACAATCAAAGACCACGGTTGCGATTTGCGGAGGCTTTGACCTTAAAGCTGCTTACGTAGTGGTTCTTCATCCATTATGGAGTGAACGCCCCACGGATACTGCCTGGACAGGTCGAGTAAATTCGATGTCGGACTGTGCTTGTGACTAGAATTTTAGAGGGTAACAGCTCCCAAAGTAAATCGAGTAGATCCAAGATAGGTAAATATCTGTGCAGCCCGGGACATGCAAGGTGTTGCTAGATCATGGATTCCTTACATGAAACAAATTACAGTGGTCAAAGACAACATACATTTCTATCCAGGATTTAAATTTCAAATTTCAAATTTGAATGGTTAATTAGATATCAAAGTATAGTTTGATAACAGGGGGAAAGGATGATGGTACAAATGACTCAAATCCACGTATAGTGAGGAACAATGGTAGGTTGAAATGTCGATGATTCCATCTACTATGCAGAGTTCGAGGCAACAGATCTTACACAAAGTTCTGTAGGGTTATATATTAAAATAACTGAGCCTCAAAATATGAGCCGCTCGCGTAGCTCAGTTGGTAGAGCGCGGCACTAGTAATGCCGAGGTCTTCAGTTCAAATCTGGACGTGAGCAGTTTCTTTTTGTCGTTTTGTTGCTATTGCAATGGATCGATCCACCTTCGCATTTGTTATCCATACCACTTGATATGTAGTCTCTCTTTTTTTCAAATCCTCCATGCATTACTAATGACTGGATTCAAAAGCATTTCAAGCCTGGGTGGCAAATGGCTTGGCAACAAGGCTCACCGTTTGTATAGTCATTTATCCCTGAGCATCAAGTGCCCACATTTGTATTGGACAATGCATGGTAGACATCTCGCACCGCTGTCACTTATGCAGCCAGACTCCAGTGTTTCGCCCAGGCGCTAGGTATTAAGCAATCGCATTCAAGGCCGAGGCACTGAAATCATCGCATAGTATACAGTGGTCTTCTGGTTCAACCCGGAGTCATCTGTTCCCCCTCAGTCAATTGACCCAGCAGCGTCCTTGAAGTCACTAACGTGGAATGTCCGTATACAAGTGCAGACCATAGCGGCCTCTTCCCCAGTTGGATTCGAAAATGTATGAGGACTGTTTGTTGGACAACAACATAATGCCCGGGTTTAGCATCAATCTCTGGCTTCTCGGGAATGTGGAATCAAATTAAAGCCCTGGGTGGTGAAGATGTTTCATCGTACGTCTCATGCTAACGTGGCGTGGTTCCCTGTATTTGGAGCAAGAGTTTGGAAGTCTCATATAGCCGAGACACTTGTCTGCTCGATGATGAGAAGAGGTGCTTTTCTTTCAATGTAGAAGCCTAGGATCATACCTGTGTTTGTATGGGAGCTTCATAGATCCAATAGCAATTCTACCGCCTGTCTCAGTTATTGGTTTATCGAGAGAGCTACTCCGTAGTGGCTTCCCGGAGGCCGAACTCGTCAGTCTTTGCTAAGATATCAACGATTAGATGAAAATTTGGTTTACTAGATATTTAGGGTAATTGTATTGATTAGAAAAGGGCTTGGATTGTACCGATTCATAAATCACAATTGCCCCTGCTCTGCGATAAAATATTGGAACTGTGCGCCCATAGGTAAGCCAAATCGACGGACCGTCAGATCAACCGGCCGGAAGTCCGTTGAGTGAGATGCGCAATCGATCTGATTCTAACACGTAATATAGAAAGAGATTAAACGAATTTATTTGTAGGGCCCGCTGTATACCGGAACCATCCTCTGGAATTACTCCATCCTGCATAGTATCACAGTCATTTTACTTCACTCTCAAAATGGTTATAAGCTCCTATGTTTCTTAAACCAATGATCGGAGAACAGAAAGGCGCCTAAGCAGAACAAATATCAACTCTTAGTAGGTACCTATTCAGTACAGAGTACAGATGCGTCTATTTCTGACATTAAGCCACCATGTGCGCTATACTATATCCGGAGACGGGGACACAAAAAAACGCCACGTGGAACGCCGTGGTGCTAACTATAGAACCTGTCTCCAACATTTAACACGCGATACTCAGGATTATCATCCTCAAGTCATGGCCCGCGCGATTCACGCCGATCGTTGGAATAAAGTAAATCGAAACCTCCGAACCAAAGTCATTAACCATCAAAAATTGACTTAATCTTGAGGGGCTTTCTTCTCGAACTTAACCAAAGCCCGCATGATTAAACATCTGTACCCCGCTAAAACCTCTCTCTCCACCCGCCCGTGATATGGCCCAAGTCTTCCATCTGGAATGATATTCCTCTCTTTGTCCATAATTTTGCACGACCGCCCTTCAAATCCCATAATCATGTCTTCTTCGATCTCGAAGCAATTAACCACGATTTTTTCCCATTCTCCTCTCAAAGCTTTTAATCCGACTACATTTGACATGGCTCGTTCGATGGTGGAGACTTTGATCCTCGTGTGGAGTATGAAGAGGAAGATGGCCGGTGTTGTGTGTCACGGAAGAATCTTTGAACTCTATAGGCATAAGCTAGGAAATAGCCATATGGAACGAAATGACGAACTTTTTGGTGGTCGAGTCCCCACCAAATTTGCCTTTGTGCTGTTTCCACGCCCTCTGCTTGTAGGCTGCGGGATTTGTTCGTGTCCGCAAATGTTGATGTCCGAGCGAAGCTTTCGTATATCGGTGCCAGGGGACAGACAGTCGGAGATTATCAACGACTGCTCCAGATGTTCGCTTGTTGGAATCGTTGCAAAATCTGTTCCTAGATGGGATCAGTAGGCGAGGGAGACGTTTGCTAATCAATGGTCGCTACTCGCTGCATTGGCACTGTCACCCTGTCATGCATGCGACCCCGCTCCCCCACCCACCGAGGTATGTAGTTCAAATAGATTGTATATTCTGTCAAGTGATTCGGCATGATCCATACCTTGTTAAACATGATTGGAAGGCAAACAGAACGATTTGTTTGATTTAGTACAATAAAGAAACTTGATATAGTACATTGTATGCATACAAATTCAAACCCACCAAGCCACTGGCCAATAGCCAACTTAATAGCCCTCAGCATTCTTCATCAAAAAGGACTTTACGAATGGCAATCGGTCAATAACCTCTAGTCCTAGACTACGGGCCCAGGTAATAGGACCTTGTCCAGAAACGGAGTACATCTTGTGCAACAAATCACAGGCACCACCAATCTTGGCATTGGATAGATAACGTTCGGAGGAGTATCGCTCCAGCGTCAAAAGATCACCAATGTCCATGCCATGACTCACAGCATACTCGATGGTCCGCGACAAAGCGGCAACGTCTGCCAACCCGAGGTTCAGACCTTGGCCAGCAAGCGGGTGAATGACGTGAGCTGCGTCGCCGACAAGGGCGACACGGGGAGAGATGTACTGAGCCGCGTGACGGAAGCGGAGTGGGAATGAAGCAACAGTTCCTTCTTGCACTCCAATGGCTTTGGGTGGGATGTGAGATGGTTGCGGGGTATGCTGGAGCCGCCAGTTGAGCTCGTCTTCGTGTGATGCCTGTTCAGATGATGATTGGGAAATACCCATCATATATGAGAGATCTGTCATAGACAGACTGAACGCCGCGTTGACCATGGCGAGAAAAGCCGGGGCGGAGAGAGATTTAAGGTATGCGGCGTGCTCAGGTCTTGTAGACCAGACCAGCGTTGCATGGTTATTAGGAAGCGGGAGTAAGGCGATGGGTCCGCCAAGTGAGGGCAGAAAGCGCTGGTAAGCTGTCCGTGTGTTGCTGAATGTGGATGGGTCAAGGTCTGCGAGTGCGAGTGTGGCCACGATACCGTGACGGTTGTAATCCCAGCCCTGCGTCGAGATATCGGCGAACGAGCGCACGGGACTGTTGATACCATCTGCGCCGACGAGAAGTCGAGCCGCAATCCGCGTCGGTGCGACTGTCTCGGCGCCAGGCCCTGTCGGTTTCACAGAAAGGATGGGCCAAGCTGACAGGTCAGGCCCTTCAGCCTGAAGATCCGATCCATTCTCAATGGATGCAACCGTATGATTGGAAAACAGCGTCAAGTTCTCCTCTCCTGAAGCCTCAATGCGGCCTAGCAGTCCGCGCACAAGATTGGCGTTCTCGGTCATGGTAGCGACGGTCTGTAAATCCTCAAACGCGGGTGTCTCCGAAGACCGATCAAAGGATATTCGCGACCCCGTCTCACCGTCCCACACCTGCATTTTCTGATAGTTCTGTACTCTAGTGGTATCCAGGTGCTCCCAGGCACCAATCTTCTGCAAAAAATCAACCGATGATGGGGTCAGGCTGCTGACTCGGTTGGAGAATTGACTGGAATCGAGGTTCCATCCACGAGCCTTGCCGAGGTCCTGGCTTTCGACGAGGGCGATCCTAAGCTTTGACGTGACTGGTGAAGCTCCTGCTTAATGTCAATAAAAGATTCTTCTCCAAATCACACAGGTTGTATTGTTATATGTGACGTACGGAGTGCAGCCAGTAACCCCAAACCGGCCGGTCCACCTCCAACGCAGACTACGTCGTAGATGTCGGCGGATTGGGCGGATTGTGTGCGGAAAAGCCGTCGACCAGCACCAATGCCATGCTGGCAGGATGTGCAAATGTATGGGCGCAAGGCCGCCCTTGAGATCGAGCGCATTGTGTGAGATCGACACTGACGGAGATTCAACACCATAAAGGCGCTGGTGGACTGATGGTTGATCTATTTTCACCGCCCTGCTACCCAATTTAGGATTATGGAGTCACACTACAAATATTACATCATAAATCGCTCGCGTAGCTCAGTTGGTAGAGCGCGGCACTAGTAATGCCGAGGTCTTCAGTTCAAATCTGGACGTGAGCAATTTCTTTTTGGCGTTTCTTTTTGTTTTTGCATCTCGATCCTTTGATCACTGTTTCCTTCAGGACTACTTGTAGCAACTTCAAAAGTCGCAATCATGGCTTGCATGCTTATAAATGTCCACCTGGCATTTAGGAAGACGGGGTTCGTGTAAAGGTTTGTTTGTATCTAGTCTGTTGCCGTCCGTTGAGGTACCCTTTTTCATGTGGCATTTACTGTTGACACCGCCATTTCCAGGAGACTAACTAATACCTAACTTTCTTTTTTTTCGATGAAAGTAGAATTTTACAAATAAATATATCAGAGTTTGGAATGCCAAGCAAAAAGTAGCAAAAAGAAACTGCTCACGTCCAGATTTGAACTGAAGACCTCGGCATTACTAGTGCCGCGCTCTACCAACTGAGCTACGCGAGCGGCTATTGATATGAGGCTGTGATCTTTAGCAATATAATCCCAGGACACATAATATGACGGATACCTTGCACGATGGGACCTGACCCACGATCGGGGCTAAAAGTTGGGGTCATAGCGGCGAGAACCATGACACTCTAGTACTCCTTCTAATTCCTTCTCTCGGACTTCGATTCACAGTGCTTTTTTCTTTTTTTTTTTTCTTCAGTTCCTGAGGTGATAATTACTCTGTGCGCTTGAAGTCTCCAGGAACCCTACAATACAGAAACATCACGTCTCAGGCGTGGTAGCCTGGCTTAGTACCTAAAATGATTTCGATCTGTGCACTGGACTTGGAGGTCTACATTCAACTCTTGCCAACTTTGAACACAAACGGACTATTCGTCAATCTACATTCCATGCCCAGGGAGTAACTCGCCCATTTTAGTGAAACCCAATTCCGTGGTAGAGCCTCGAGCTAATGCAGTCTGACGGATCACGGGAGTCATATCCGGCAGATCGCGACGTGTCAGAAAGATCATCAACAATAAATGCCATGACAACGCATTCTTTCAATGAGATGTACGGAGCAGGACCCTGTGGTAAATGTCGATCTCAGAGCACTCGAGCCATCAGTAAAGTTTGTAATTGACAAAAGTTCCTCAAGTGTTGCAAATTGTTTTTTTGCACCATATTTGGCATGGCCCCGATTCTACGCAGCACAGTATGCCCGTGTAGGCGAATGAGCATGGGCGTTGATATGTGACCCCAATCAAGCTCATATGCGAATTGACAGGTTAAAATGTATACTTTGAGCCTCTTACTAACTTTCTTGAGGTCTATGCGTTTGCTGTGCCGCAGACTCAGGGCTCCAGTGACTTGGGATTGCAGACACCAGCACTTTTTCGGCTAAGCCTGAGCTCCAATTCCCAGAAGTATCCCGGAGTTTTTAATGATCAATTTGACCTGAATAAGACTCGAGCTATACTAGTGAGCTTGTATATCCCCTGAAGGTCTTCACATGTATCTCGCTTTCCATGAGACTGGAGAGAAGCTTCGATGGAAGGTCAGCGCTGAAAGTTGGGACATTTTGGGACATTTCAAAAGACCCTAGTCGGTGCAGTACGCTAAAGTCGCTTTGCCCAAGCCACCAGACTATGCAATAAAGTATTGGTCCGTCATATTATCCAAGAAAAAGCATTTATCGGCTAAGTGGCCCATGTCTCTGTTACTCGTATTTCTTCAAACTCCCCGAGTCCTATTGCTGCCGCAATTGTTGACCTAGCTACGGTTCTACCAAAGTTCCCCCCCATCTTGGTCTTATATAGCCCCCCGGTACTTTTGATTCCACAGTCCATCGAATCGATAACATACTTGCTTATTCAAGAGGAGACTTATTTGTCTAGACCACGCGTGTTTCCCCGCAGATCACAATTGGTGGCTTGCATCCAAAGCTAAGCGGATTGCCTCACACACTTGACGCTCTTGTCGGACGGAATCAAGGCTATGTCTAATGCTTTAGCGCGCATCACGGTCATAGAGTTGGCGAGATTGAGCACGGTAACACCTAGTAACACTACCGACAGGGATCTTCACGGACACGTGGGCTTCGCGGCATTGTGATGGATAAGCAACGGATTTGTGTATAGGTCAATTTTCCCCTCCTTCCCCCCACGCGATCGCACCTGAGACATAAAATGCTCAACGGGCCCAGGCCGAGACCAGCATCTCCACCATTCCAAATATCTCCATCGCCGGAGCATAAGCGAATAATGAGTTCTTTCTTCTTGCAGCACAGAGCCGGACTTCGCCAAGCATGCATCAAGCTTCATGATTATACATTGACCACTACCGACCCCAGAATCTACCTAATTTTCGTAGAATCCGGCAAACCGTGAGCATAGTATTATACTGTTAGTATGCTTCGTAACTAACTTGCTTAGCACCATCGAACGATGTCTAACAATTTCTGATGCGACTATATTGCTCTCCCTTCAAGGTCTAGCCAGCCTCAGTACCGGCTCTATTTTGATTCTCTCTAGCACAACTGAGTATAGTGATTCCTCCTAAAGCGACAATTCCCTTTACTAATTTAGCTAATAGTAACGAACCCACAAAAATGTAAGACGCGCAGCAGCTTGACTTGTATCCTTTCTCACGCGTACAGAATTGTTGTAAAAGGTCCCACCCCGAGACCAGGGGAGCGTCTTTCGGAATCTTGGACCTCGGTCCTTACTTTTGCTCGAGGGCCGCTCACAAGGATGCTTGCGCATAGCTTGGGAAATATGGTTTTCTCTTCGGATCCTTCTGCACGAATGCAATTTTGGAATTTGATCCGAGGTCGCATTGCAGGCGATAGGAGGAATCTGGAATGGCTAAGTTTTTATTGTCGGAGAAGGTTTTTTGGTGGTGGCGTCCAGCCCAGTTCGTTGGTCACAGATGAGGACTTGATTGAGCATCTCTTAACGGATACGGTGTTTTGTCCGTAAGGAGAATGATGAACATGAATTGAAGCACTCCCACGACATGCACGAAGGTGAAAAGGTTCGGGCGGACGAGTGAAACTAAGTATGATGAGTCGAAGCATCTCTCAGTACGACCAGGTATACTCGGGAGATGAAACAGTTATAATGACCTCGGAATGCAATTGGGTATTGGTGGGCTGTTTTCCAATTGGTATCACTGACACAAAACATGGTTCTTCAACTGTCCAAATATTAATCCAGAAATATGCAAAGGGAAGAGGAAGATGTAGTCTCTAATTTTTTTGGAGAAGAAAGGACAATGCTAGCCGTGACCAGGAAAGAAGGGGAAATCAAACGCCTATATTTTCATCTTTTGGGTTCTTAAACCTGCGCAGACTGCAGTTGCTGAGCCAGACTGTCAACAGCGCCAGCTTGCTTTTTAGCCAGGCGCGATTTCAGTTCAGCCACCAACGAGGCCAGCTCGACTTCAACACCCTCCTTCTCGGGGTGGTCGGCAGGGAGACCCATCTCCTTGATGCGAACCTTACCAGCAGCCAGCTCCTCCTCACCGAGAATGACGGCGAAAGGAACGGATCCCTGCTCTGCAGCCTTGAATTGCTGAGGAAGCTTGGGCTTCAGCTTGTAGGAGAACTCAGCCTAGGGCAAATATTAGCATATTCTTTTAGATATAAAAAAGCCACAAGTTGCATACCTTGACGTTAGCGTTCCACAGTGTCTGGCAGACCTCCATACGCTCCTTGAGCATACCAGTGAAACCCTTACCACCGAAGGCCATGACGTAGGCATCGACCTCGCTGCTACGAAGACCCTCGGTACTTTGCTCACGCTCAAGGCGAGCTTTGGTAATGGAGAAGATACGGTCCACTCCGAAGGAGACACCCACACACGGAATCTGAGCCTTGGGCTGGAACATACCCACCAGATTGTCGTAGCGACCACCGGCAGCAACACTGCCCACACCAAGAGTGGGATCGTTGGATCGGTCATCATCATCTGAGTTCTTTGACTTCTTGCTAGCCTTCTTCGCCTTTTCTGCCTCCGGGGCGTCGGACTGGATAGCGGGGGCAGAGCCCTCGGTGACAACCTCGTAAATGACACCGGTGTAGTAATCCAATCCACGAGCCAGAGACATATCGAAGGAGATCTTGTCCAATGATCCAAATGCCTCCAGGTAGTCCATCATCAAGCTCATATCCTCAAGACCAGCCTTGGCGGAAGCGTTGGCTGTAAGAGTCTCATCCTGCAGCAGCTTGTTCAGCAGCTCGCGTCCACCCTTGTGCATGACATAGGTCTCAATGCGGTCCGCAATGGCACCATCCAGACCCTTGTCATTGACCATCTCCTTGCGCACATCTGCCCAAGGCATCTTATCCAGCTTATCAACCGCACTCGAGATCGGCCGGATCTTGTCCTCTGGCACACCACACACGGCAAAGACACCATCCAGAATCTTGCGGTGGTTGATCTTGATAGTGTATCGGCCAGTCCAGCCAAGCTCCTCAAACACCTCGCTGACAATGCGCAACACCTCGGCATCGGGCACCATGGGGTCGAACGCACCAGCGATATCAAAGTCGCACTGGTAGAACTCACGCATACGGCCCTTGCTGACAGCAGGCTGATCCCGGCGGTACACCTTGGCAATGTGGTAGCGCTTGATATTGCGCACGTCCGGGTTCATCGCGAGCCAGCGCGCGAAGGGGACTGTCAAGTCGTAACGTAGGGAGCAAATCTCGCCACCTTGATCCTGCAGATCGTAGATGAGCTTGGAGTCCTCGCCATACTTTCCAGCCAGGATCTCACGCAGCTCAAAAACCGGGGTATCGAGGGCGGTTCCGCCGTGGCGCTTGAAGACGTCGGCGATGGTGGTGAAGATGCGGTCTCGGAGGAGGGCGTCTGAACCGGACCAGTCCTTAGTTCCCTTGGGGGTTTTGAGGGTAAATGAGACCTTGTCTTTAGGCATTTTGTCGATCGGATCGGAGCGAGTGATTGAGGAAAGGAAACGAGTGCGGCGGGGGAAGTTTCGATGGTGGGGGGTGGTGGGGGCACGGAGACAAATTTGATTCGAGACTAAACGCCGGCCTTGGGTAGGCAAATGAGTCAGACAACAGAGATATCCTGCGCCAATGGTGTTTGCAAATGATTGTCGTGCGGGACGCAGACGCAAAGAACTCGAGAGGGACGTCATAAAAGCGACGCTCACATTTGGCGAAAACTGCCCGTGGCTCAAATTGGTTCGACCGGGCCATCTTGCTACTTCGGGGGATTTTTCCGGGGTTAATCCGAGCCCACTTTATCAAGTATGAACGAGATGAGGATTAATTGAGTTGAAGTCATAAGGTTAGAGATCAGTGACTGAGAGGAATTAAGATCAGTTGTAATACTCGATATCTATAGTGTGACTGGGACTGAGCTGGTGACAACCCGATTTCTTACATTCTCCTAGGTCGTGCCACCAAGGAGGTATTGGTGAACTATATGTACAATATGTACACACCAGCATTAACCACGAACGTCTCCCATTTCAGCCAAAACGGCACCCTTAAAACCAACCAACTTTTACCCGACTGCATGAGCTGGCCTCGCTGGGAATACAAGGGTTCACAAGAGAACCTCCCATAAGGAGAACGCCCTATGGAGATAAGAAATTATCAATATGGGTCCAATTTTCAATGAGATAGTATTGTGACTTACCTTCAATGCCTTCTTTTGTAATCAAATAGCGAAAATTTACTTCTCAATTATTGCCAGGGTCCGATTCACCGAGAGATCAAACCAGGAAAGGATTTCTTCCTTGCTGAACCATATATACCTCTCCTACATATATGCGTCGAGAAAGTTCGACTTTAAGACCTCGGGACCACACCACCAGACATCCTCAGCTCTGTAAAGGTCCAACGAAGCTGGAGGCGGGTAACTGGGGTTTCCAAACCAGGGAACGACCTCATCTCTTGAGAAATTGCCGCCTTTTATATAAAGCCGACGAAGGTGATTTTTAACCCAATATCATGTTCTTGATTTTTTTCACAGAGAATATCATTGAAGCGGCCGCTAATTGAAGTAGCTCCACAGGCCCTCACAGAGACATGGTATATCTGGCCAGTCTCAAAGGATTCTTCGATAGGACTACACAAGTAACCATTTCCCTAAGACGACCGCCGTAATCTGCAACAAGTAAATTGTCGCCGACTTGACGAATGAATAATTATTAAAGGCAGCTTGGTGAAGGACTGCTCCTGCCGTGGTAACAAAAGCAAAATCGTTCTCGGACTTCATGCTAAATCCAGCTTCTTTAGCCACTGTGCACAGCTTTGATTGAGCCTCCTCATCCCAGAAGGCAGGTATGGTCATCAAATACTTTTGGGCCACTGGTCCAGGGTCTTAGCCCACAGCTTGTCATTGCTTGTAACGGAGCAAGCAGTTGAAGTGAATATTGCACCGATATCATCTCCGACGATAATTTGCCTTATATCTTATTCCGCAATCGGGGACTGATCATCATCTTTTTGGCTGAACATATTGTTGTAATAATGATGCAAAGAAGATCTTGAAACGATATTGCAATTGTTGGGCTCAGAAGTATTTCTTAAATTTAGTGAATATTGGAAGCAGAAACAGGCCTGAGAAATAAAAAGACCTATGAGTCAGTAGGCGTTGGTATGCTTTCCTAGTTGGTACTGTGATACGACATTACAATTCGATAGGAGATGGGAGTGGAGCTACATGACAGTAAAAGCCGTTAGAATTGAGGCTCTCCGGGAAGGACAGAGCGAAAGAGATGCCCCCTTGTCTCCATGTTGCGTTAAGATGTCCTTTATCGCGTGATCAGATATTGTACTAGATCAACTCCTCGTTACTTTGACGAAAAATACCGTGAAACCAAGTGGGCGAGCTAAGTTGGCTCTGAGAGAAAAAAGAGCCTCATTCAGACGTGTAGGTCTCCATGTTTGACGTGCTTAGCAACCACGCAAGATGAAATATGCAGTTATTTGTGTGTTTGGGGCTTGGCGAAATTATGATCCAGACAGCCAAGAACTGAAATAGACTGAGGAGGCGGTGCCTCAAGGAATTAAATTTGCCATAATAAATTCCTTCACGACTTCTTAGAAAAGCGAAGCACATGCTCAGCTACGTCGGCGTTGACATGGGTGATATCATAGCGTCGGCCACCTGATTGGCTAAGCGGCACATGTCGCCCAATACGGTTAGACCAACTCCGGATGAACCTTGGGGGCTTTGGGGGCTGCATAATCTTGGATCTCTCGATGCGTTTGATTGGGACGTCGATCTTGCCCACAGTCAATAGAATCAATTTCCACATTTGCGACAAGGCTGAATCGTTGGGCACTTGGACAGCCAAGAGTTGTCAGCCTCCGTAAGCGTGCTCTTGGCAGATGAGACGGCACCATGATTCTGCAGATTTTGAAGCGCTCTGTGAGACCATTTTCAGTTAGAGTCTTGGCTCAAGGGTAAAGTTAAATCTTGTGGCAATGACGATAACAATGAATCCTCAGCTATATAATCTCACCCAACCCTCGACTTTAGCTTCCTTGATCCACAACAACTTGTCAATAAATTGAGAGCTTCATACTTCGCTGGCTCATTTTAAGCAACCCTCTATTTACGATGAATACATCATCCGAAAGCGTTCCTACTCATATGACTTTTGGCCAGTCTCGCGCATTAGCGCTTGATTTCCAATGGAGCAAATTCCACACCCTCGTCACTGAGTTTGACACAACAAACCCCAACCCAAAGCCACTCTACGATGTGTCATGCGGGATGCTAGCGCCCCATCTGAAGATCAAATCGATACAAGAGAATCGGCAGATTGGAACTGGCACTGTCCATGCTATCAGCATCAGCCCCGATTATTCACTCCACGGATCCAAGGGCACCCTTCGAGCTAAGAGTCGCCTGCGGACAATCTACACCCACATGTCCCACACCTTTTCAGACACAGACAAGCCGGCTAAGATGATATGGACAAGCAAAAGTGGGTTCACAAAGTGGGACTTTATTTGCTGCGACGAGAACCAGATACCCGTGGCGAAATTCACTGCCAATGTGTGGGCGCTCAAGAAAGTTGCCAAGATCGAGCTCATGGGGCCGAAGGCATTTGATACGGCGGCTATGGATGAGATAGTGACCGTTGGAATGACCTTATATTACTGCATGTACCTTCGTATCAACAATCCCTTGAACCTTGTTGGCTCTGCTTTTATGCGAACAGGAAAGGAGGCGCAAATTGAGGCACCACGGCTGCAACCCGTAGAAGGGGCAGCTCCTTGATTGAGGATACCAATCATCTCACTTTTGCGCAGATAATAAGTGGATTTTTGCTTTTTATTTTCTATTCTTTTTTTTTGGCGCGCAGGTCTGCATGAGTACGCCGTCGAGGCTTTTGTTGATTTTACTTCTTCCTCAAGATACCATATGATATTTTCTATAGACATAAATTGCATTGACTGGAATTCTCAGGACAACTCGTTATTTATTACCACGAAGACTACGAAGGACGGATACTGGGCAAAGCGCTCCAAATCGTCTGACCTGAACCCGTGACACACAAGTAGACGCTCATAATCGACAACTATAGCCTTTCTATCCTTTAATTATCTGGAGAGTTCGAAGTTAATAACAGAGATAGCTTGTAGATGGAGAGAACTAGTAAGCCTAAACAAGGTTAATTTAAATGTTGTTTTAGTGGCCAGTGGGCTGGTCCACGGGGAAAGCTTACCTGCGTACTAGTACAAGCCTTGAAAAACCCATGGGCCCGCTCAATTCCTAAATATCACTGATGGCGAGATTAAACCCTACACATGTACTAAATAAAGCTATCATTTTCATGTCAATCCATCAAGATAATGAAGAAAAAATATTTGGAAATGACCGTACCACGAGCTGTACTCTTTCATATAGTGTTAATACATTCTTGGCCTGAACGCTAATATGCTATTCAAGTGTGACAACTTGACCTGTTATTCCACGGGCGACATGTCTATTATGTCAAATAGAAATACCATGGCCACTTTAGGCTGTGATTGCCGACCACTTAAACCCTAGATTAATTCGCTTCAATCCATATTGAAACTTGTCTTGTATATAGATTAGAATCACCTAGACAATAATTACAACGATAGATCCACATTCACTCATTAAATTAATCAAAGGCTAGAAGCTCAATGATTGTCCTTGCCTCTTTCACAGGTAATAAGCAGATTGATTTTCTATCCGCATAATAACCTACACAAAAGGTGGGTGGGAAGTCGGATCCAGGAGCGACAGTATGCCAAGCGGTTTGTCGCTGTTCTAGATTCTCGATTAAGACCAGAAAACATGGTATTGAACCCTTGGAAGGCCCGAATAGGTCGACTTTCAGGATCTTATATGATAAGGTCTTCCACTCAGATGGACTCAATTCGACTGTGAAATCCCCATTCTCTCCTACTTGAAAAGGCGTATTCTGATCCATATGGCTCAAGCGTTGCGCTTCACATTTGACGACCTCTAGCACCCTCCGATAGCAGTCAGCTATAGAGAGAACAAGAGCGCCTAGTAATAACGAGTTTTGCGTGGCAGAAAGGTAGCGGCGAGGGCAGTTCTGGCATATTAAAACGCCTGCAGCCATCTTTACCGCCTCCTGAAGCACTCGAATAGTTAGAGGATATTGGACTTCTATCGCTCGGAGTTTCTCTAGCGTTAAATAAAGACCTGATAGACATGCACATTGGTGGGCACAGAATATCAGGTCTTGAGCTAGTGCTTCTGAAGCGCTAGTTTGAATGCTGACATGGCCCGTTAGTATTAGTAAGGTAAGTTTATATCATGGTGTCAAAATCTTACTCCTCATGGCTTTCTCCAGTGGGGAAATCATGCGGTGAAGGAGGATGGCGGTCGCCAGCAGTGGTCAGCCAATTCTCCGTGCCTTGCTGTTCGTCATGGTAGATTTCGGATGGAAAATTGGAAGTTGGAGAGTCTGATACAAGACTAGGCCGGGTTATAGCCAAGTGAGAGCGTTGAGGCATGGTTGGGGTGATAACATCAGGGCTACTGTTATCCGCATCTGATGGCCTCGAATTCCGCGCCTTTGGCCTTCCAGTGGGTATCCGCAAAGAATAGTTACATTCCAGTCTTAACTGTGTGCATTTCTGGCAAAATGGAAGCTCACCGCTGCATTTTACCTTACTTCTCCCTATCTGGTCAATATAAGCCTCCCCAGCGGGTATTTGGGCACTTACTACAGCGGTCGCACGCAGAACGTCTGAGCTTTGACTGACGGGCTACTCCTGGCTTGGAACCACTGACTAGGGCTTTATCAGATAGCCTTAAGTTAGACATAGTAACGCAGGAAGTCGTTGTTGAGGAGAGTGGGAACGGAAGCTGTTTCGCGGCGATAAGTTGGAAGTTTCAAGGCTCGCCTCCGGCTCAAACCCTGGGCGCCCTACGGAATATGTATTTGGCGATAGATGTTTCTTCTCAGTATCCTACTTTCAGGCTGGTAGATGGTGGTGCACATATGAAAATGGTTGATATTGAGCCTATTCGCAAACTTATTTATTATAGCTTGTGGGGTCGAAGGATATTTTGTTGCGTCATACACGCGACTAGATTACCATTCTGATCCCATAATCGCGCCTCGCTATAGGTCCTTCCCTCTCCCCCACTGATCGTCTTCATTTCCTTTAACAGCCATTCGTTTAGATCAATTTTATTTGAGAACAAGCGCAGAGCGATATCCAGGCTAGCGCAAGCTGAAGCATCCTCAAAAAATAGATGACTATGGGTAAGAGGTAAAAATGCAAGCGCTTCATCCATGTAGAAGGCAAGGGCACTGAGCTGCTGCGATTCGGTTTCAATGTGGGATTTGCTCCGCATCCATTCCGCAGATGTCTTGGACGTGAGACTCAGGTGGTCTTGAGTTGTTCTCAGATGTTTTCCAATTCCGTGGAGTGTCTGGTTCGTCACACCGTCAGGTATCGGCTTTTGTTCAAAGAAGCGTGACATGAGGCCAAAGAGGGTGTCATGCCTCTGAAGCATCTCTGACGATACATCTCCGGTCCGCAGAAATGCTTCGCAATTGTTCTGTCTTGTAGGGCTTGAATCGATATCCGAGTATTTCGCTACCGGGGGCGAAGAGTAGGTCAGCATGGACCCTCGCTCTTGCACTTGGAAGTCTGCAATTATGGTAAGGCATGGCCGTTGGGTATTATTCTCGTATTCTTGAGTGATGTCCACCTGTCGAGTTGCAAATGTCCTCGTGTCTCGAACACGTCGAACCGTGCAGTGCAATTTTCGATTGGTCAATGCGGGACCAAGATAATTGCCTAGGACTGAGTATAGATGATAGCCGGAGGAAACGGTTTGAAATGCTGCGTTGACTGCGATAGACAGGGTGCAGCCACCGTAGGCAATATCGCGATCATTTCCCATTCTACCTGGGTTGAAGACCGAAACGAATCCGGTATCAGAGACCTTTTCGAGCGCGATTTGCTCAACAATGGTTGATGCTGACGATATGACTTGAGAAAGCGGGAAAGCGACTAGAGGACTTCGAAAGGTTGTGGGAGCTGATGGGGAGTAATTTCAAAGGGGAGGCAAACGGTACATGTGGCAATGGTTAAGGAGAAACGGATCGGCCAGTTCGACTATTCGGATAATAGCCTTCACGCATAAGCGAGTCCAACACCAGATTTGCTCTTATAGATTCATGAATGTTTTTATTTTCTTTTTTTCTTTTTTTTAATTTCCCCCTCCTAAATACTCGTGGCTCTTTATTGGAGAAACTACTAACCAAATAAAACCATCCGATCGGATGCTTTGCCTCGGAGAGTTCCAGTATGCCTTATGCCGAAGCTGAAGTGGGCCCCGGAGAGTTCAATCATAAATCCATAATACGTACCCCCAATACTGGACTGAGTTTGAAGACCACAATAGTTGACGAGAAAAAGGTATAGAAGAAAAAATGTGGATATTGGAAAGGATATTGAATCATGTTGACCCTAGGAGGTTTGCAAAAAGTCGAATTGGTGAAGGTTCGATGTGTCGGCGCGTTTTGACAATCCTGCTCCAGCTAACACTCGAGTTGCATTGATTCGATGTATCCATAACGTATTTGAAGGTCTCCCAGTGGAAATTCTGCTGGAAAAATGTGATTGCCCCTCTATGTGCTCAGCCTTATTCGTCCAGCTGGGGCCTTCGATATGCGTACATGTAGGCCCACAAATTCTGGGAAACCATGTTTCATGCGCCCCACTCCCCGTTTCTTCGCCATGGCCCGAATCTTTGGTTTGAAAATTATGCACTATCTTGGCTGATAGCGACTCTCGGTCGGCCAACCAACCCTCCGGTGTCGGCTAGTTATTATAGAAGGGTACTCTCAAACCCGTTTTTACTCCAGGCAATCGCATCAATCACCGAACTTTTCCAATCGAAACAGCCTTTGAAATACCCACCCCGACCTATTTAAAGCTCTATGCGTGCTTGGCATATCAAGAGAGATGGATGGCCATGTGGCATCTAATATCCCGTTCTGGCGGATGGTCTTTGACCAAGGAGCTGTGACAAAAGGAATCGCCAATGCCTCATACAAGGGCAACGGCACCGAAGAGGACCCTTTCATTGTTATTTGGCTTCCGGATGACCCTCGTGATCCTGTAAAGTTCAAGGACACCCTGAAGTTCAGCGTCGTCTTTCTCGCTTCAATGGGAAGCCTGGCTATCGCAATGGGGTCCTCCACTTATTCGGGGGGACTTGAAAGTATTATTAGCGATTTTCAATGTAGTCGCGAGGTGGCTATCCTGGGAATTTCACTCTTTGTGTTAGGTTTTGCTATTGGCCCCCTACTGTGGGCCCCATTGAGTGAGGCTTATGGGCGTCGCAAGGTGCTCAGCCTCAGCCTGATATCCTTCACGGTGTTTACAGCTGGTACCGCTGGAGCTCAGAATATTTGGACATTGATCATTCTGCGTTTCTTTGCAGGTAGCCTCGGGTCCGCCCCTATGGCTGTCTCCGGTGGACTGATATCCGATACATTCTCCGCTATTGATCGAGGGCTTTACAGTAGCTTGTATGCAGCAACAGCATTCATGGGACCGGCCCTCGGTCCTATAGTGGGTGGCTTCATTGCTGAGGCAGGAGGCTGGCGATGGTGTCAAGGCTTCCAGGCGATCTTCTGTGCTGCTTTGTGGCTGCTTCAGACCTTATTTCTACCTGAGACGTATGGCCCAGTGCTGTTGCGAGAACGAGCCAAAACTTTGTCAAAACTGACAGGCAAAGTGTATCGCACTCAACGTGACGTTGAGCAACATGCTGTTCCGACCGCTACCAGAATTAAGACCACGCTATTTCGTCCTTTCATTCTATTGTTTGGGGAACCGATTGTTCTTTTGTTGAGTGTCTATATTGCTATTATATACGGAACACTCTATCTCCTCTTTGATGCATACCCCATTGTGTTTCAAGACGTGCGCGGCTGGAGCCCCGGGATTGGTGGCTTAGCTTTTCTGGGGGTACTTGTCGGTATCCTAGGCTCTATTTTCTACAGTGTCTCTGTGTTTTTCAGCTATAAGAGGAAGACCCTGGTGTCGTCAGGTCCACTGCCTCCAGAAGCGCGTCTCCCTTCCACGTTTATTGGGAGCGTACTCCTGCCGGTTGGCCTTTTCTGGTTTGCGTGGACAAATGGCCCTTCAATTCATTGGATGGCATCAATCGCTGCGGGTGTGCCGTTTGGATTCGGTATGGTTACAGTGTACATGCCGGTTCTAAATTACCTGATGGACACCTACACCATATATGCTGCCTCTGTCCTTGCCGGAAATTGTCTCCTTCGGTCCTTATTTGGATGTATTTTCCCTCTGTTTACAACATACATGTACCGGAATCTTGGTATCCACTGGGCATCATGTATCCCAGCTTTTCTTTCACTTTTGTGTATGCCTATGCCTTTCCTTTTCTACAAATACGGGGCGCAAATTCGAAAAGGTTCCCAGTATGCTGCAGAGGCTGAGGCATACAGGCTTAGCCTTTTAGCCCCTAAATTCGAAGAGAGACAGCTGAAGTTTCGAGAAGAAGAAAAGATCAATAAGCTGTGAAGGCTCTATGACAGTCTAAGATGCAGCGGGATCGAGGATCGTGTGGTTCAGATAGGATACCTGACAATAGAAGGTCCTGGACACTACAGTATTTTCAACTCAATTTTTAGAAAGCTTCACTCGAGACTGAATCATAAAAGCGACAGTTGTATCGAAAATTCAAATTCAAGGTCCAGGCCAGTCTTCCTATCCCCAACAAGACTGTGAATGATGCGTCGGAATACCCCCACGAATTTAAGCGCCCACCAAGAATTCGAAGAATTTTGATTCCGAGTCCTTTACATGCAAATGTTTCTAGTGGTAGAAGAATGCCAAATAAAATACCCACATATGGAAGAATCTTAGCGTAAGGCATACAAACACAGGCGAGTGATTACTGGTCCTGTTGCTCTTTCCGGGAAACAGGGTCGAAGCAAAAACAAAACTAATAAAAGAACAGGGACGGAATGTGGATGATGAGCATTGTCAGTCCATTACTCCAAGAGTCAGGCCCCGGTATATCATGCTGTACAACAGCTCCGGCTTTGAGACATCTCTGACTGCTGGTGCTCTCAATCACCAGATCCTTCAACCTTTGGTCGAATCCGAATTTGAGCTCCGTAGCGCTAAAAAATGACTTGAACGGGACTCATAGCGAGACAAATGATACCCAATAGAGTACTGACCCAGTTCACGCCAAGATTCTCAAACATGTACCTGGCAAAAAGTGGAAAGGATGCCCCAAATATGCTTCTTACAGCACCGTTCGCAGCCATTGCGCTATTGGCTCTGTCTGGGTAACAGTCCACAATATACGCAAATGACTGAATGAAAATAATGTACATGCCACAGCCAATTAAGACCCCTGAACAAACCTCGCTGGGCCACGGAATCGTGGACCTTGATGTCCACCCGTACCAGAGCAGTCCGACAGGAACAAGGCAGCCTCCAAATATCATTACTGGAAGGCGAAGCTCCGGCTCAAACTTACCATACTTGGCAACATGGCGCTTAACATGGGGCTCAGTGTAGAGAACAACCACACCGGTACCAAAAAAAATCCCAACAAGGATGGCAAGAAAGGATAAGCTTGAAATGCCCATTTTCCAACCACGTACCTCACCGAATGCAATCGGGAAGGACTGGTAGAAGAGGAACATGAGTCCGTAGATAAAAGCTTGGTATAAAGTAATCAGGACAAGAATGAGCTCCGAGAAGAAAAGTGCTGCGTCTCAGTCAGATTGGAATAACTTTAGAGGGGTAGGTATACCTACCCCATGGGCGAATTAGATAGATTCGTGCGAGGTAGCGGAAGCTTGTCTCTTCAATATCAAGCGCGCATGATAAGGTCTCATTTCCAGACTCCTTGCGAAGTCGTTGTGTTTTCTTCTGCAAAATATTGGGTGGGTATGTTTCAGGGTACGTGAAAACGGCCAGGAATGATATCGAGAGAGTTGCAATGACACAAACCCACATAGCCCACCGCCATCCACTCAAACCTGCAACGATAAAGCCTCCAAAAAGAGGACCGAAAGTTGGACCTGAGAAGACAAGGCAGATACAGCAAGCTGTTGCGACACCACGATAAACCGTATCCCAGCAGTCCGTAATGACTCCCCCGAGGACCGCTTTTGGAGCCACACCGAAAAGCGCGGCCAAGAACCGGCCAAGGAAAATGGTCGTAAGGTTTCTCCCAAGTGCAGGCATGAGTGTGAAAAGGCCGGAGACAGTAACGCCGACTATCATAGGATACTTTCGTCCGAATTTCTCGGAAACCGGACCAAAGATCAGTGGACCAAGGATGTATCCCTGGGTAAGTCAGCGACACATGCACTTAATCCTGACAAACGATCAATTGACTGCTTTACACATACCACTAGGTACAGAGAGGTCCCAAGGACTGTCACCTCTTCACTGACATGAAACTCCTTAGCTACTTCTGCCTGAGCGGACCCAAAAATGCTGCTTGCGATCGCAACGACTAGATTAAACAAGGCCAACATAAACGTTGCCCAAACTCGAGCAAGTAAGCTCAAGTTCTGGGGATGTTCTGGATCGTTTGGTCCATCGAAATCAATCAGTTCCTCAGGCTTCTTGAATAGCTCTCTGTCATTGGGTTTATTTTCAACGTCGATTGTCCGCGAAACTGCGAGGCTGGGAAGTGATTTGTCCATATTTCGTCCCAATCTTTGTGATGATAAAAGAAAGCTCGAAACCCAAATGATTTGGATAGCATACAACACTTAAAGTAGGCCTATTTGAATATTATCCTCTAGAGCAAGCCAAGAATATCCTCGGACTGATACCCGAATCCGATTCCCGCGTCGGCCACTTTCGGTGCAAAGTGTTCGAGGATCAGCCGGAGGGCCCTTTCCTAACCCAGAGATGCCCTGAGAAAAGCTGTGAGCCAATCCGAAGGAATGAAGGGAATTCATAGCCTCTTCTTTACATGTAGCACAATTAGAATGTCTGGAATAGTGGCTTCTGATGGAGATCAGTGTAAAGACCACTGTTCTCTCTCATTCCATTCTCAACAAACCGACCGATGAGGTCCCTTGAGTCCTCGTTGAAGTAATGCGAAGTACATTCAAAATATAAGTTGCCCCAGCCTGTAGTAAATCTCAATTGGCCGAATAGTGAACTGAAATGAAAGGTGTATATACCTAAGGGCACAACCCCCGAATTGCTGTTTGACAGGGATATCTTTGCGCTTAGTTTCTGCGTGGAAGCATTCGAATTCTGTGCACCGAGGTGTGAGAATGAAGACCACAATCTAAATAATCGCTAGTAGCCTCGTGGATATCTCTCTTTCAGAACTTCTGCTATTTATACTGGCAAGCAAGGCAACTGAAGTTCTCAAGGTTTCTGGCAACTTGACCCAGTAGATATTAGAGGTGAAAGAGCTGGTCATGGTTGACCGAATCGATATTCTTTGGGAAGTTCAAGACGTTAAAATTAACAGGAGACGTCTTTCACTTTCTGCTGTTGAGTTTGTCCCACGCCCCCACCGGCATTTACGGGCTGTCCAAAGACGCATATGGGAAAGTGACAAGGAAACGAAAAGGCCGAGCATCGACGCGTTGAGGTTCTTGTCTGCTTGCATGTGAATGGTTCATTTTTCAAATGCGGGGGATTTAGAAAATCGCGGAGTTTGGAAAATTGAAATTTCGGGATGAACAATGTCTCCTGCAGCATAGGATAGACCCGAACAAGCTCGACCGCAGCGGCCAAGCCGCTCTGCACAAAGCTATCATCCATGGCCACGGCAAGGCTGTTCGTTTACTCGTCGAGAACGGTGCTGAACCGTTCATAGGCACTGCGCCAAGTCTGTGGCTTGCAGAACTATATTGGAATAAGAGGCCGTTGGAGTTATTGCGAGAATTGCTCCGCAAACATTACCCGGAAAGATTTGAGGAGGAACACCCGACACTGGTGAAGCCAGCAGTGAAGCCCGTAGTGGAGCCAGCAGTGAAGCCAGAAGTAAAAAGGCATCGGGAAAAGCATTCAACAATTTTACCAGAGTCTCTACCGCATCTCCAAGCGAAGATCTCTGGCCAGATCGGGTTCTTATCTCCAGAGGAGAAAAGATAAGCGTGGCGCCTTCTGATCCAGCTTACTGGAATTGACTATCTATAGCGAATACCATCTAGTGGTGAGTTAAGGCTAGCATGATAGTAAGGTAGCCTAGTGATTTTGCTGATTTGTGTGATTCTTGAATCAGAAGAGAGCAGGATAAACGGCTAGGGAGGATCTGTTTTCGAGTGGTCCAGTATGGGGCGAGGGCTTTAAATGGAGTGGAATACTCACACCGTTGTCTTGGAGGCAGGCTGAAACCTTTCCTGCCAGAGACCTAGGTGCGAGCCTGGGCTTTACTGAGGGCCTAGCGTTGGGTCCAGGTTGGGCTTTGGGTCGAGTTCTTAAGCCCAAGTTGGGCCTTGCGGAAGTCTAGTCTTTAGGAGCTTCTTGTCTTTGTTTTGGATTCTGTCTTCCTCCCTATAAAGCCTGGGGATGTAGCCATTCTTTTGCCTTTGGAGACGGCGCCTTTCCCTGGCTTTCTCGTCGCGTCTGGCGAAAAAAGCTATTCGCTCCATAACTAGGGACGTTGCTTAACTGCTAGTCGTAGAAGTAATTGGATGGAAGGAAGGAAGACTGGATGGGATAATAAGGTAAATAGTTCATGGAGACGTGGTGCCCTTATATAGCTGAGAGTTTGAGCTTGAGACGCCCCCTGTATATGAGGAGATAAAGACCTTTAACCTGTCTATATAGGTGCTTACACACACATACATAATGTACATCAACTTTACCCCGAGGGCGGCACATATCTATTCAATCTAGTCAACATGGTTGAATGACGCACTGTCTATGACAATGATGAGTTCAAGTCGCTTTCTACAATGTTTGAGGAGCTGCTCGATGAAAATGTCGAAGACAGCTATATCAATGGAGCCTTGGAAAACATGAGACAAGACAACGCCGGCTTGTGCATATGCAAGTTGAACCAGATATTGCTAGTCATAATGGAAATAAGATATACATCGCTTCTGCAGCGGGGTATAGAGACCACGCTAGTGGCTGCTGTCCAGAAGCGTTTTGCTTTGCACCGAGGCTGTGGATCTCGTTCAAGTATCCTTCTCAAGCTATAGCCTATTCCCCATGCTGTCCGACTGGCACCAAGAGGAAAACTATGCGCACCTGAGTAGATGAATCAGATTCTCAAAACGCAGTCTTTTGCCTGGAGGTCGGTTGTAAAAGCCTGACCACATTAGAAGTTGATTTTCGACAGTAGTCCAAATGGTGTCGGCATAATAATATTGTTTCAATAAGATTGCAATTATTGCGATCAATAGATCGAAACAATAAATATAACAAAAATTATAAAAAAAAGTCGGAAAATTCTTCGGCATAGAAGGATTGCTAGCCTTTCCGATTCCAAGGACAGTCGCCAGAAGGCAATCGCCAAAGATCTTCCTCTGTACCTGTCGCCACTTGCTACCCTACACGATAGTGGAAAAGATCGGCGGATCTTGCCTGTATAATATTCTGCATATGAATAATGATCGGATTGACCCGTTTAAAATTTGAAATTAGTATGAGAGTTTTACATTAACTTAGTGGACGTGGGCTTAAAAGCGGGGCTAGCGTCTTGGCCCCAAGGGTTCGTCACGAATACGCTCAAATTCCCTATTGTAGTTTAGTCCCCAACAGGGCGCTCTTCTTAGTTATTCATGACCTTGGATGCAAAACATAAGCCACGTCATGCAGCCTAGTAGAGCAATAAACGGTGCAAATCTAGTCGAAATTGCGTGCCCACTTAGTCGGACCAGCTTTTTGAGAGTGCAAGTAGACCGAAGATTTGCCATGCTGTGGTCCACACTACCTCCAATGAAATCATGGTTTTCCGCGTAAACCAAGGAAGCATTTCATGAACAAAGCTATAAAGCCGCAGAATCCGTAGGCTCAATTTGAATTCAAATCATTTGGCCTCTCTTAGCCCCATTCCTGCTATCACAGAAGCCGCATTATGGTGCTCCTTCTACCAATTTTACTATGCTCCACTTTGCTTTCGACCACGGCCTTTGCTAACTCAAAATGCAAAGCCACACCCAACGATTCGACATGGCCATCTATCCAGGATTGGGAAACTTTGAACCAAACTATTCGAGGTGCCTTGATCAAAACTGCCCCGGCTCCCTCATCCTGCTATGAAGGCAATCCATTTAATTCTTCCACGAATTGTTCCGATGTGACCAAATATTGGCCATATGCCACCTACCATTCAGCTTGGCCGGAAAGTGTGGACTACTCCATTTTCACAAACAACTCTTGTTTGCCCCCTGGCGCCGAGGGATACACGAAAGACCGGGGATGTAGCATTGGAGCTTTACCGCAATACATTGTGAACGCCACAACTGATCAACAAGTTGCTACCGCCCTGCGATGGGCAACGGAGAGAAACATCAGAATTGTTGTTAAAGGAACCGGACATGATCTGAGTGGCAGGTACTACACCCCATATAATTTTACACTAGCTTTGGTTTTTACTAATTCTGGAACAAGATCTACTGGCGCATATTCACTTTCGATCTGGACTCACAACTTCAAGCACGTCGAGCATCAACCCAAATGGCTACTGCCCGACGGAAGTGGAACTGCCGACGTAGTAATTTGCGGGAGCGGCAACACATGGGGATCTGTTTACAACGCCGTTCATGCCATGAATCGGTCTGTTGTGGGCGGCGAAGACGCAACCGTTGGTCTCGGAGGACTTATTCAAAACGGAGGTCACGGTCTTCTATCTAGTCACTATGGACTTGCATCAGACCAGGTATACCAAGTCACCGTCATCACAGCAGACGGCCGACGACTTGTGGCCAATCATAAACACAATGTGGATATTTTCTGGGCTGTTCGTGGTGCTGGTGGTGGCCAATTCGGTGTCATCACTGAATTTGTTCTGAAGACTCACCCCGTGCCCACAAATGTGATTACTGGTGGATTTTATTTCTATCAGGAGTCTTCATCGAAGAGCGAAAATATTTCCTGGGGGGCACTTGCTAAAATCGCAAGTTTGATCCCTGACCTCATGGATGATGGCATGACGGGGACGGTGATTGCTATGAGCGGAAGCTCAATGACAACGCTGACGGGACTGAATCACAGTTCACCAGGAGTCGCCGCTTCAGTTGGCTTGGTAGGATTTAATACAACGACCGAGGCGATGGATCGAAAAGTCCAGAAGATGATATCCAGTTTCGCAAATGTCAGCTCTGAAAATGTGCTGAAAGTTGTCAATCAGACATCTGAAGCATACGGCTATTGGGCATACACTAAGCCAAACTTCCTTTCCAGTGCTTCCTGTGGTTCCTCAAGTCTAATGAGCAGCCGTCTGCTAGGACGTCGCGAGCTTTCAGACATTTCGATGACAGATCTGGCTATCTATCTCCGACAAGCCTCGACTTCGCAGTCTGGAACAGGATCTATGCTTCTCTTCGGCTTGCAGGGTGGTCATGGGCCAGCAAATACACCCCAGAAGATGCGTGGAAGCGTTCTACCCGCATGGCGCAGTGCGTACTTACATGCCATGTCTTACGGGGCATCATTGAATGCAACTGCCGACTCACGGGAGCAGCTAGCATCTGGAGCTCGCTGGTACGAGGCGAATTTGGAACCCGTTTGGAGGAATTGGGCACCAAGAACAGGCTCTTACATGAATGAGGGTAATGCATTCAGCAGTACGTGGAAACAGGACTTTTATGGAGAGAACTATGACCAGCTTTTGAAACTCAAAAGAAAGTACGATCCTTCTGGGAGTTTCTTTGTTTGGAGTGGCGTTGGAAGTGATATGTGGGAGTACGACATTCATAGTGGTCTGCTTTGCCAGGTTGGTGGAGATTAGAACTTCTATTAGATGAAGAGTGTTCCTGCCTGGTGTAGCTGCACCACAATTCATTGTATGTAACTTTTGCTGTAAGTATAGTACTTCGATAATCTACTCAACATTCCATATATCAGTGAAACAAGCAAAAAACATACAGTATGTATGAGCATTCCGTCCACCACTGAAGCCTTCAATGTGACCCCACTTGGACTCCACTCATATTCAGCGCCTAGAATAACCTCAATCCACTTCCTTGCTCATTAGTCATTCCCCTTTTACCCCTGAAACTCACCTCATGGCCTGTATCTACCTTACCCGATCGATAAGTACAAATAGTCAAGTGGTTAATAACGCGAGAGTGACTATTGTTTTCACCAGAACAGGCGTCAATTGAGGAAATTGAGGAGCAGAGTTTATATGATAGACAGAGATAGGCTAAGTCATGCCATATCAGGCAGAACAATGCATGTCCATGATCATACCCGACTTGTGGTATCATAACTAGATAATCATGTCACCGGTTGTATACCGTGATTTCATTTTCTCTCCTTGACGATTACCTACCAACAAAACTCCAGTGTGAGATTAATTTGATGAGTGGGAATCGAGCTGGTATGATATACGCTGCTCGTGCGTGCGATAATAAGCTAAAAATGGGCACCTACCTATTATTAACGTACCCAAAATTATAACCATACGTTACCAAGCGCCAATAAAAAAGCGGCCCTTACAACAGGCTTTAATAAGCCCAGGGGCAGTGCATCGATCAACCTTGGAATTAATCCCACCGTTTTTTTACCCTAGGCAGCTCTATATTAAGGCTGATTTTGCTTATCGGCTCACCCCGAAAAGGAAATAGCTTTTACGAGTACGATGATGCGCTCTACAGTCCACCTTTGAAAGGAAAAAAGTCTATACAAGTACGGCCACCGAGTCCCACATATGCTCCACAGTCTGTCCCTAAAACAAACCTAAAAGCGAATTATCTTCACAAGCATAACGATCGAACCACAAGTGGTTCCACCAGCTTCGTTAAATTTGCGCCCCGTTTCCTAAATCTATAATTTTTTATTCACTGAACATCACAAAAGCTATCAGTATACTGATTTCTCGAAATGGTGAAAAATTCGCACGACGAAGAAACCCCTATGCCACCCCAATACGAGCCCCCAGTGGCACAGTCTGTGCCTGCAGACAGGCCCTCTGGAGACAAGCCCCGCGATCGAGTGTAAGCACATAACACAAATTTGAAGACTCAATCAAAATGGCATGCCACAATATTCGTTACTAACAGGTTGATGCTAGGAATTGCTGCACCATCCTTCTTGCGTTCTTTCTTCCTCCCCTTGCGATCTTGCTCAACAATGGCTGTGGTGCAAGCGTCTTAATCAACATATGCCTGCTTTCTCTAGGCTGGTTTCCTGGCGTGATACATGCATAGTGAGTGGAGGTTTGTCTTATGAATTTCCGTAATAATGGTGAACTGATAACTCTCAGTTACGTTCTACTCCGCGAGTGAAGACAGCAGCCTGCATCTTACACGAGAGCCGCGAAATTCTTTGCAGAATATCTCTAGGGGTGATCCCCCTATTAGATAGATCGGCGCTTCTCCCTTTCGTCTTCCCTTTTTCCCTTCTTCTTTACCCTGACATTACTACTCACTATACACCGTCTTGATTCGTCTATTGTATGCTACTCATTCATTGTACCAGAAAGCTCCTTTGTTCCCTTGTTCCTGTCTCCTATAAACGCTCGACAAGCACATTACGTGCTGATATATACACATTTCTTTACCTTTTTGTTATCTATTTTTGTTTTACTTTCTGAATTCAATACCGATTCTTTATTAATATATTTATTCAAATTATAGTCAATATGCTCTCAATGGCCTTTTCCCAGGCCAAGAGACCTTACTTAGTCGGTAAGCAAGCGGCGCACCTAGCCACCTTTCGCCTATTCGCTGCTTCGTCTAGTATAATCCCAGTCTTGAATATTGACGGTAAGATTAAACACTGCCGTAGCCATGATTTTATGTCGGTCAGGTCTCTCACTGTTTTGGTAAAGGGAGCTATGTGAGTTAGCAGAAAGATGAGAGTTATATAGAGCTGAAGTTACGGCATGTTCCTAGGAAACACAACTTATTAGAAGGCTGCACGCAGAACGCAGAGAAATAGTGATCAATATAGCATAATACCTTGCATATTACAGGTCTAAAGATATAAGCCCCTGGAAGATCATTCAATAGGATAGTGCAGCAGCTAGTCAATTCCTGGCGGCGAAGAGAATAGTAATTAGCTAATTTTATTCAGAACGTAAGAAAGACTTCCATTCACGGCCTGATTGACAATTGCTTTCAGAATTTCATGGCAGAGGGCAATTTGCCCAAGTCGCAATTACCACGGGTGCCTGTAAAATAGCCCTAAGTATATGATCAACTCAAATATGACCTAATTAGAATAAATCAAAGAGACAATAGTTTTGTGATGTTAGTTCTACTTATAGCCTTTTCAGATCCATTCATTTCGCTTTTCACTTATAGGGCTTCCTGAGGCTAACTCCTCTCACTGGATGAAGAAACGGCATCCAGATTTTAATATCTATCTATCATATTTAATAGTTGAAGATAAAAGATTGACATACTCCGATTTCACTGTTTCATGGCACATACTACCTCATACAGCTTCCGTGGGAATCCCTTCATCTCTTCCACGGTATTGCAATGAAATAAGCCTGTTCTAATCATGCCATACTCTGGCACTCCGAGAACATCATATCATGCACGGTACGAAGAGACCAAAAATCACCGGTGATAAGCTGAAAGCTTGAGATTTCATGTATCACTTCCGCAATCTTTCCAGGTGCGATTCCATTGACGTAAAGCTAATCGTAGAGACCATCTCTCCAGGGTTTGCTGCCTGCGATCCAGAGACTATGTAAGAATCTCAATATGGCTGTTTCAGAGGCCTAATCTCACATTTAAAGCGCTGGGATCAAAGAGATAGTGTTTTAGGCTGGTTAGGTATTGCTTCTGGACACTGCGCAAAGCATATATCTGTGCGATATGAGGGCCGAACACCTTATTCTTACCCAATAGGAGTACCAATTTTTTCACATCGATGGGATAATGAGGAGCCCAAGTGACTTCGCCTACGGACATCATAGCCTTAATATCATGATGGACTAGTCCCGCGAGTTGAGATTTTGGACGAAAATGATTCGTCAAAGTTTGTAAAAGTCCTGTCGTAGAAGACCCAAAGGCTTCATTTGAAGTAGCCATTAACACAGACACAAAAAGACCTGTGCCGAGGAACTCTGACCAATTTTATCAGGATCTGAATTTATGAAAGAAGCAAGGTTTGCGTAGTTTGCGTACTGGACAGTGCACTCCTGTACGTCAACAATGCTTTTCGAATCCAGACCACGTAGGCTCACATAAGGAGCGGACATTGTGAGAGTAATGCAGTTTTTTTCTCTCATTATTAATTCAAGTATCTCTACTGCATTACGAGTGGAGGCCATAAGAAAAATTCACATCTCAATGAGCCCTTTGCAAAGGGATCATTGTTCAGACAGATAGAGCTTTTGTCAATACCTGGAAATATTTCCCAACTTCATCGACCACAAAATTGGTAGCATGTGTGTTGATGGCCATGGTTCTATGTGAACCTTCAGAAGCCAATTTATGTGAGAAGATATCAGAGAAGAAAAAGTGTGTCTCGCAGCTGGCCAGGGTTGGGAAGCCGCAATTGCCACAAAGAAAGAAAATGTTGACATTCGCGATCTCCGGAAGATCTACCACAGACTTGAATATCACATTATTTGTAGACCTGTCGTCGAGGCATTATTTCACGCAGGCACAAATTGTTCTGACATGCGTGCCGAATTGTCGGACAAACTTTGCCAGGATTTCCCCGAGCGTTTTCAGGACCAGAAGGTGGAATTGATGATTTAGCTGCGTTTGCCAAGGCTGCCGGTATCAAGAGTGGGCTGAAAAGCTTGGTGGAAAAAAGGGACCTCGGGGACCTCATTGCATTGCCTCCCGATGTGTTTCATTCAGCGTTTGTTCCTCTCTTTCTCCTCCCCTGAAAACTCGGTCTCACTTAGGCCTCATAGATATCAGCGAGAAGCGCTGCAGAAGCTCAGAGGAGAATCGACTGAAGTGAGGGAAAGAGAAGATGCACAGCAGTAATGGTGGGCAGAAAGAACGGAGCGAACAGAAAGCAGTTGTATTGCGATATGAAGAGAAGATAAGAAAGAAAACAAGAAGAAACAAGTGACAAGCACTGATCTAGGCAACCAGAGAGCATCACCTGACCTTTCAACAATAGATACACATCAAGATGCACAAAATAATAAGTGAATGCCACTATCGTCAACCATCAATGTTCTATACTACTCCTTTTCCTCTAGTGATAATTTAAACACCGGCTTTCTAACGATGGTGAGAGATCATCGACCACTTTTAGATCATTGCTTATAGAGGGAGACAGGATCCAGGCAGAGAGCCCCATTGTCTTTACAGGATGACACAAGGTCTTTCACAGTATCGATGTTGCCCTGGAGTTGCCCTGCCAGCGATATCAACTTGAGATCTGCCTGTTTGGTGATTTTTGAAGAGGACATTCCAAGTGTTTGGTGAATGTATATATAAATGTTTGAACTGAAATGTTCCTAACAAGAGATACATGAGAGAACATACACGGAGTTCGACCATTTGACAGGAAGTTCACTCGACTCTGATACACCGTCACATTCTTCTTCGAGCACGATGCGCGTAGTGACCAAAATGCTCAATACAAAGGACTACAATGCCTTGAGCTTGGCCCAACCTACAAATTTCAAGGCCATGTTGAAATTGACTATAATATCTGAGTAATTGATAGCTTATCTTGAAGAAATTTCCATAGTAGAGCTCAAAGAAGTAGCCTAACGTGAAAATGTCAAGTACAACCTCAGGTTGACCAGCTTACCGGTCAAAATCAAGGACAAGAACCACGTTCTCGGGCTACATCAAAATGCTCAGAAATATGGAGTTTGAGAGCGTAAGAGAACGCATAGTCCAAATTTGATTAAATACCTTATGTACGATATACTACGTTGTCTTGGTTGAATTATACTGGTTTTCATTGACGCGTTTGGCTAGGGTGTTCCGGCCGACTGGGTGTGCCGCTCGCTTGGGAATTACGTTGTGGGAGTAGATTATGGTTACCCTATCAGTTGTATCTAGGTTTACTTATCGAAATAATCCCGCTGCGTATGGCAAGGTCGTATCCAGGCATATTAAATTGGGATGCTTATAGGTTGTGGGGTGGTGTGGGGTGATGTAGAGTGGTGTGGTGTGGTATGGCGTGGTGTGGCGTGGTGGTGAGGGGCAAAAGGGGTTGTATACGTGTATGACGCTATACAACGCTAGTATAATACGGAAAAAAGCAAATACGGTACCTGAAATGAACCCCCGTACAGTTTGCTGGTTACTAACCTGCATGCATGGAATCCCTGTTCTTTTGTTTCTTCAAGGCTGCACATGGCGTCAGGTAGTGGCCACATGTTCGGATGCATAATTTGGCATAATATCTTTATATGAGGGAGAAGAAAGTACATAATTACTGAATATACCCACACGGCGATGCATATGGAGAAAACTGTGACATGATCACCAAATCCAACGCTTATATAAGCAAGAAAGCCCATTTTGATTACCATGGTAGAACTGCAGCTTTGTATTGACGGAGTTTGAAGTTTAATTATGCAAAATAGAGGCAGGTTAGTATTGGTTTACTACATAATTCACCATACATTTCAAATTACGATTCAAGACGTACAATACACGGAAATGAAGTTATTCCCACCATACAAAACGTAGTATTTTATCAAAGCAGGAGGTTTGAAGGTTTTTCATAATCCACCTACGCCCACTGCAGCGAGCTAGTGCTGGTGCTGGTGCAGGTGCTCGCTTTGACACCCGAGATGTCGCTGCTGTACCTCTGATACGGACGGAGACTTGAATGACCGACGACTCTCTAAAGCCGATCTTGATTATTCCCTATCTAGTATCCATTCTTCAAGATTTCCAATCTCGCTAACTACTTCCTCACGCTAAAGTCGTTTGAGGTTTGCCTCTGATCGCCGAATCATAGCGTGTTCTGATCCTGCTCCCATTTTGTAAAATTACAATACAAGCGGTGAGAAATAAAGAGGAAAAGTGGAGCAAATTGAGTAAAATGACCTGAAATATGCATCCAGAACGTGTGGCCATCCTCGGATACGGTACTAGCAGCCTGGGAGAAACGCCTCACATGGAAAGCGATGTCTTAAATCAGTTGTAAATAGCCCCCAATCTCACTCTTACTTCGTTCTTCGTCTGCCGAGCAATCGTGGATTACGTGGCGTAAGTTGTGAAGATTTAGCTATAAATACTGAACTTTCAATTGTTATGTACAAAGTCAACCTTCTGTGTGCGAAGGCAATATTCGCAAGAACCAAAGAAAACCACCAAAAAAAGCAATCAAGAAAGCATGGCGTCGCCAGTCTCCCGCGGTGTCTACTTCACACTGCAGCATACAGGGACAATCTTGTCAGCCACGTTCGAAGACGGAAAGATAGTCAGTCAGAATACTTTTTCTGTTGGTGTTTATCCTCAACAATGGGCCGATACCCTATTAGCGATGGAAGCAACTCTGGACTGTTCGAAAGATGTCGACTTTGAATTTGATATGTTCAGCAACCAATCACCCGACCTTACAACTGCGAGCACCACGCCTTGTTTCGTGACCCCGGACCCAGTAGCTACCCCTGTCGATGACTATTTCAGCGCCCTCGAAGAGCCACTACATTCAAAATTACCCCATCCTAGTATGCATATGCACCAAGGGAACGCCCAATGGCTATCCACAATGAAATCGTCTCCAATGACTATGCGAACACCAAGCTTGGCCATGTACCCCTCCGGAACCATCAATATACACCGAGTTCATGGGGGAAAAGAGCACTGTTGTTCTCATGCCCCAATAGCACAGCAAACTCCCGACTGGAGCTCCAAGCGAATGACAAAACTACAAAGTCTATTGACTGCTATTTGCAATCACCCTGTCCCAACAATGTTGGAGCACAATGATCAAGTCGAAGGGCTATACAATGGCTCCTACCTTCCTTCAAATTTACATGGAATGTCCAGCGTGCAATTTGCAGGAGCTCTCAGCCGCCTTGGCAATGTCTCGAACACGTTGGGCTTTATATACGGCATGCTTAGCTGGGAGATTTTCAAGCGAGAAGAGGAAAGAGTGATCCGAGAAGAGTCTCTTTCTTCTGTCCTTGCTGCGAAGAAGGTATGAGCATCTCTTTTCCGCTGGTCTTGTTTGTGTATTTCAATACCTAATATTTGGTCTCAGGTAAACCGACAGATGTCAGAGCTTCTCAAGCACTCGGGCAAAGCAAAGGATTGGGCTAGCGATGGCCGAAAAGCCGCTAAAATAGTCTTTGGGACTTTGGAGGGATGCAGCAAAATAGTCAGGTCATTCGCCCTTTTCCTGCTCGGCAATGTATGCAGCCTTGACAACATGCTCAAGATTGCCCACTTCCCGATCATCCGGGAAAACTTTCAAAAGAGCTTTGCACAAATTGTTGCTGAAAGAACACCGCAATGGGAGGCCCTGGGGGCTAAAAATTACAAGGTCTTTGACTATGCTGAATTTCTCAGACTTCGCGGCCCCCCCGCTGGATCGTGAGTTTCTTCCTTCATATTTTCTTGGCACCGTAAAAGTGGGACTGAGGCTGATGTTTGCAAATAGGATGCATCAATTTAATAATCTACTGAACCTGGGCCCTGAAAGCATGACACCCATCTCTGCATCTCGAGATGGCTCGGTGTGTGTGGGGTCAGACATCGATCCATCATTTTTTGAAGCTGATCTACATGGGTCCGTACCAACAATTCACAACGCGGAGTGGCAGTATATGTGACCACTCACGCATGAAATTCTACGACTTTCCTTTTCTCCCTATTTAGCAGGATGGTATTTAATTATGGAGCGTGTTTGCACATCGTTTTGCATTGACTGGCAGTTAATTCCATAGATGAAAAAAGCAATTTCACTTTCTCCACCTTCTTTGTCTTCACCTTTTTCTATTTCCAGGTTAGATCGAATTCTCGGGCATACACTCAATCTTCGGGGACCAGCCCACTCGAGGTCGTGATTCGATTGCTCACATCGGATTTAACATAGTCTAGCCCCTGCCGGCGAAGGTCCGAGGTGCCATGTTTTCTTGACCATTTCGATTAACTTGATTGGTTGCTTGCCGTTCCGTAAGACGTGCCGTGAGCCTCAAAGATCGGGCGGGATCGGAAAGTGGAGACCGCCAATGTTTGAAGCTTTCTGGAGCTTCTCTCGTATGAATTTTATTTTTATGAAAAAAAAAAAAAAAAAAAAAAAAAAAAAAAAAAAAAAAAAAAAAAAAAGAATCTAAAACTCCCGTACGGAGTCCTGCCTGTGTGGATCAGACCATGCCCCATCCTAATTTTTCTCAGAAAAGAGGCCATTTTGAGTCTATCCAATCAGGCTAGGCATTTATTTAGGTGGCTGTATTAAAATAAAAATTGAAAAGTGTATTTATGACGCTATTGAAGCTCAATATACTGCGAGATCAGATCGTTGATCATTTGTTCGAGGGTTCTGAATTTCCACCCGAAAGTGATCTCGGTAGAGGATGAATCAATAGGAAGCGGGAATGACGCCTGCTCCCCCAAGACAGTAACGCGGCCGTCTTGACATTGCTCAGCGAAGTTTTTCCGGATAATCCCCGGAATATCCTCGTAAATACCGGGTGTACTGGCAATGAAACTCTGACAATTGCCGGGCTGTACAATGTCTGCCTTCTGCAATGACTGGATCTGCATACGAGCAACATCATGAACATCAACAACAGCACCCATCATAACGGGATACTGTGACTTTTCGCCCTTGACAATCGCATTGAGGACCAGTCGGTTGGTGGTGTTAAACAAGCTCCCCACATCATCGGCACACTCGGCCCGACCCATAACCCAAGACGGGTGGATGTTGATCACACTGAACCTGGGCTTTGTTTCCTTCACCCAAGTCTCGGTCGCCTCGAGGGATGCCACTTTGGAGGCAACGTAGGCCACACCCGCGTGCGGGAAAGGCGGTGTCATCAATGGCGCCCGGCTAGTGGGAGTGAAAGGATGCTGTGGATCCTGGCGTACCAGTCCCATGAAGATTTTCGGCGACACAAATGCCGCAACCGAACTGGTGATGACGATGCGCTCGACAGAGTTGGTTGTGGCAGCGGCTTCAAGCATTTCGAGAGTCGCCCGTCTGGCGGGGGCTAGGAAGTTGGCCTCCGCATCGAGGTGGCCGTTGGGTTGAGTCGATGGGAGAGGAGATGCGATGTGGATCACATAGCTGACTCCCACTATGGCTTCACGAAAGGCCCCCGGAGCAGCCTGGTCTGGCACGACGACAACTTCCACGGGACGTGCTTGGTTGTCGGCTTGCAATAGTGGTTGTAATGCTGGCTTTGATAGGAGAGCCTCCCCTTTCGCTTCACTGCGGACTGCGCATCGCACTCGGAATCCAGCTTTGAGGGCATCCAGGAGCGTTTGGAAGCCGATGAATCCTGTTGCACCTGTCAAAAGGACAAGCTTTTTATTGGATGTAGACATGTTACTTTTTTCTTTGTGAATTATGTAGCTCTTCCCACGCGATTATTCTATTCTAACAGTTATGTAAATTTTGTCTGCCAAACTACCTGTAAATATGCCAATGATGCTGTCGCGAGTCGGGCACCATTAACTCCGTGTTCAGCACGGAGCCTTAACCTGTGGGGCCCTCTGATTTGGGGGCCGGTCAATTAAAGGCAATAACCACAGTGTCTTACTCCAAATTCAATACAGGTTTCACGCTAGTGTACGAGTAGCGCAGGAAGCCTTCCGAGCATGTCGTGAAAAGCCAACAATAGGCCGGCCACCATCGGCATAAGGGCCCAAAATCAGATGACCCAACCCCTAAATGAGCACACCCTTCCCAACTTCCTCTCTTTTACTCTACTTTCACAAAAATGTCTGGAACACGCCCATTCCCTCGAAAGACTGCCGCCGCCATTGCTGTGGTCGGTGTAATTGGTATTATTTCCGCCCGAAATGCCTCGCTCCGCAATGAAGCCTTTGCGGAGCATCCAAAGCCATGTGGGGGACCGGGGGGCCCAGGTCGCGGCCCCGGTGGTGGTGTCGGTGGAAGAATGGGATTTTCGACCCTGCGCCTCGAAAGCTCCCAGCAAGTGAACCACAACACTAAACGCCTCCGCTTCCAACTGCCAGACCCAAACTCTAACGCAGGCCTAGGCTTGACCTGTAAGATGAAACCTTTGCTTTCCAAGCACCCTTGTATTTCGTTCTATTTTTGCAAAAGTGACCTCTAGCTCACACTTCTTTAGCATTCATTTTGACATTCCATAAACCAAAGGACGCTTGGTTGCCGGTAATTAGGCCTTACACGCCAATCAACAACTTTGGTCAGTTCTCCGGCGCAAAATTTAGATAAATTTAGTGCTGACACTTCCTCAACAGATGAACCTGGCTACATTGAACTCCTGGTCAAAAAATACCCCAATGGCAGGGCAAGCTCATACCTGCACTCTCTCAAGCCTGGCGATGAGCTGAAAGTCCGCACGCCCATGAGTAGCTTCAAATGGAAACCCAATGAGTTTGAAAATATCAATCTCATCGCTGGCGGTGCTGGCATCACACCGATGTTCCAGCTTATGCAAGGCATACTGAACAACCCCGAAGATCGAAGCAAAATCAAGCTGATCTTCGGTGTCCAAACGGAGAAAGATCTTGTGTTGAAACAAGAACTTGATGCCTTTGAACAAAAATTCCCTGATCGTGTCAAGGTTGTCTATACAGTCTCGGATCCTGATGAGGGATCGCCCTTCACCAAGGGCAGGGTCACGAAGGAATTGTTGGAGAGGGAGTTGGTGGGCGCCAAAGATAGCAAGGCAACCAAGGTCTTCCTTTGTGGACCTCCCGCTATGGAAGCGTCAGTTTTCGGCAGCAAGGGGTGGATCTCGAACCAGAAGGGTTTCCTGGAGGATCTTGGTTACACATCAGACCAGGTCCACAAGTTCTAGTGTGCTTTAGGTTGTTTACTTTATCTCCATTCCTTTCTTTATTTTTGGGACTACAAGCATTTCCAATACAATTTCTTTTGTCAACAACTTTGGAAGAAAGTAGCCAAGGTTATATATATTTTGGCCAGTAACATTAGACGCTACGAAACTCATGCCCCCGTGCATAATTCATCAAGACAAAGAGCTATAATTTCCAACAAATGGTTTGCTTCTAGGTATTCTTCTGTTTTCATCTAAAATCCTGAAAGCCAAAATAGGCTCTGTGTAGCCAATCAATCGGTCGATTTTGCCACATGTGCAGTAGAAATCTGCAAAGAGCGTTCTTATACCCACGTACACTATGATTGGTTACGTAATTTATTTAATTCGGGAAAGAAACCAAAGCCTGGCCACCTGGGCATGCGCACTTGGGATATGTATTTGTCAAAGATGAGGTAACCTTTACTCAGGTGATAGTTTTCAAGGTCGTAGTTTACCTAGTAAAGATATGCCGGTTGGAGCCTTGTCTTTATATATTTATATTATGACTCATTTCTTCTATGATTTGTTAAAAAATATCCTAGACCCGAGGTACTTATATATAAATGATTACAATCAAAGCATTGGGTATAAGATAGTAAATATTTAGGGTTTTGCAAAATATTCCAATCGCTTTTTTGGTAAATTTTAAGGTTTCAATACGACAATCAATACGCCGTGTGATCTCATAACAAAGAAATTTTGTAAAGAATTCATTTTTCGTCGGGATTGTCTGATTACAGACACTTTGTCTTTTTTGTGAAAACTTGGAAGAGATTTTGCTAGTACATAATTGCAAGGAAACTCGGAGAGACGTTGCAAAAACATAAGATAGTACGTAAATAGAAGATAGTATTTCGCTGAGCCTAGAAGTAACACATTGAGTAATTATCCATTCTTCTAGTACGAGAAGATGGAGACCGATTGCTTAGTATCAGCACTGGGAGCCTTGACCTGAGCCTTTGCAGCATCAATAAGACCCAACTCTCCACGCTTCAAGTGAGGGACCATTCCATCAACAATATCGACACTGAAGTTATCAATGTGAATCAAGTCCTCCGTTCGGATAGCGTTTCTGGCTCTCATGGTTGTCAAGATCCGCTCCTCATCGGCGGAAAGTGTCTGTTCAGAAAGAGTGGGGTTTGCGGAACCACTAGAAGCGCCACTGCCAGTGGCCAGCTTATCGAAAATAGCTTCACGCTGCTCCTTGGGCGCTGGGTGGAATGCCTTCATGCAGAAGTCGATTGTTTGGGAGATCTCTTCTGCGGTGAGGTTGTTCTTCACATCCGCACTACCTTGGATGACTGAAAGAGAAACGATTAGACTCGTTTGTAGAGAAATAGTGAAGGGGAAAAACTTACTAGGCTTGAACATAGAGAAGGCTCGGTCAAAGCTCTTCTCATCCCAGTCACCGATAACAGGTTCCTCTGGCTTTGTGATCTGCTTCAGAGCACTCATAACGACGACCAGGAAACGAGTGTATCCAGTTCCGACCTTGCTGGAGTGCCACTTGGCAGCGGCAGACTCCGTGAGTTGACCCTTCTTGGCAGCACAGATGGTGGTGGCAGCCGAAAGACCGGAGGCCAGCGCCAAGTGAACTCCAGAGGAGAAGTAGGGGTCAATAAAGCATCCTGCATCACCCGCAATGCGAATGTACGGGGTAGCATAGGTTGAGGCGCTGTAAGACCAATCGGAGGCGGACTTAATATCAGACACAAGCTCAGCATCGGCAATGAGGTCGTATGTCTCGGGAGTGGATTTCAGGGTATCGATATAGAAACCCTTTGTAGATGAATCCTCCATGGCCTTCTTCTTGGTAGTGGCAGTAGCCTGGTTCATAACAACTCCCACGGAAGTTTTGTTGTTGTGCAAAGGAATGGTCCAGACCCAGCCGCTGGCGTCTGCAAATCCAAAAGAAAATCATGTTAGCAAATTTGAAAGACAACAGCCGACAGGCTGGATAGAAGAAAGATAATTCGTACCTTGCAAGGCCTCAAAAAAAGGCTGGCCCTCTCTCTGGGTACCAGGAGCATGAACCTTGGCGTTTTCCCAGTAGCCCCAGCTTGCAATATTCTTCAATCCCTGATTGTACTTGCGGTTCTTGTAGTATTTAGTGCTCACCAAGCCAGCACGACCACTGGCATCAATAATGTATTCAAACTTGATAGTACCGGAGGTACCATCCTTACGGGACCAGTCAGCAGAAACAGGACGTCCGGGATTGGGGAGCTCAGGGTCAATTTGGCCGTTTTGCTCATCCAAAGATGTGAATTCAATCGAGTTGACCTTGACGCCGTCGAAAACCTTGGCGCCACTCTTGCCAGCGTGCTGGAACATCAGGTTGTCGGCTTCGGCACGATCAACATTCCAGGCATAGGCATCAGGACCACCGGCAGCCACGAAATCAGTATCTAGATCAAACTGTTAGTATTATCCGTAGGAATGAAGAGCGAAGTACATACAAGCCTCAGGGAAGGCGTTCAGTTTAAACGCAGCGCCTTTCTTTATTCGCGTTACGCGCAGGTGTTAGCCGTCAAACGTTTCTACACACATGGTTTCATCAAGGGAAGACCCTACCTTTTGCACAAATCCATATTTATCAAAGGTCTCGTCCAGGTCGATGAAGCGGAGGAAATGACGCATTGACGGAAGCATACTCTCGCCGATGTGGTATCTACTTACTGTCAGTTCGACTACAATAGCGCTTGCTTACACAGACACACCTAGGGAAGAGATCGGCCTCCAACAGCACAGTGTTGATGCCTTCACGCGCCAGAACGGCGGCGGCGTAAGAACCCGCAGGGCCACCGCCTACCACCAGAACGCTTGTTTGTTCAGGAATTGACATTTTGATGCAATGGAAAGAGGTATGTGTAGAAGATGTCTGGAAAGTGTTTCTGAGGACTACGGAAGTCGAAGTGCTTCATTATTCAATCTTTTCTATTCGATCTGCCCGAGGAATTTCAAAAGCATCATCCGATCTAGAAGTCGTTAACCTTGAACGTCGTGCGAGGACGGCGTTCTCAGAACGAAGCACTGAAAATGATTTATCGTCAGCACTAGTTCGCAAATTGTTAGAGCCCTGGTTTCCGCCCCCACGTTGCAAGCTGCTAGCGTGTTTTCTTTTTTTTCACCTTGCGGTGGATTAATTGGCTCCACCTTAATTCCACAACACTGCATATGCGCCTAGCTGCCTAGTGGATACGCTTATTTCGTAATTACAGAATGTGTTCAATAACCCTGTATTTCCGATGTCAGCCACGGATTCTCCAAAAGCCGAGATGCCACTCTTGAAAGAACTCGGATTTTGAAGGGCTTAGCAGTCGGAAACCTTCCGGTTTGCCCTGAAACAACTTTCCAGGCGAAGAACAATTTTGTTTCGGGCACAGCAGCCTCCCCTCCCGCTTCTCTAGTTGTGCCAAACAAGAAATTAATCAATTATTCTGCTCGAGCAATAGTCTCAGAACATCTACCATATCCAACTCCCGGGTTTCACTGTTCGATAACGTGAGAGAAAGAAAAGTAATATAGAACTTCCGCAGTTGACAGCTCTGCGAGTCAACGCCATGGCCGACGAAGCCTCCAAAAACACTGGGTTGGTTGTCCCCGAGAATGCAATCGATGCGTCAAATCAAATGTCCAGCACATCTTCATCGACCATATCCGCCCAGGATCCCGATGAGAACTTCACTTTGGGCATGCGGGGTACTTTGATCTTCGTCATTTTGGCTGTCTTGACCTTGATGGCGGCTCTTGATGGTACATCTATCTCCGTTGCTTTGCCGGTATGTGCAAAATGCTATTCAATATAGTGAACCTGCGGGACTGGGTTTCTAAGGCAATACAGATTATATCCAAGCAACTCAATGGAACTGCGATCGAAGCATTTTGGAGTGGAACTTCATTCCTCCTATCGTCAACAGGTGAGTAGATTCGCCTTTTTTTCTGGTTGCTCACAAATTGACTTCAAACCTAGTCTTTCAACCAAGCTTTGCATCATTCTCCAATATCTTTGGGCGTCGCCCGGTAATTCTGGTTGCAATCGCCCTCTTCCTGGCAGGAGCTATCATTTCAGGCGTGTCCAATGACTTCACACACCTTCTTGTGGGGCGTTCTATCCAAGGTGTCGGTGGTGGAGGCATTATTGCACTGACAGAAGTGGTTGTCACTGATATCGTTCCTCTGAGGCATCGCGGCCAGTACTTTGGTGTTTTCAGCGGTATGTGGGCTATCGGCTCAGTTTCTGGCCCGATTTTGGGCGGCGCATTCTCTCAGAATGTCACTTGGGTTGGTGAAGCTTACTCCTGAAGGCCTGAAATTTACTGACCGATTGATTTTAGCGATGGATTTTCTATATCAACTTTCCCTTTATTGGCGTCGGAGTTGTCTTGGTATTGGTCTTCATGAGGCTGAATATGATCCCTTCTTCACTAAAGGAAAAGCTTCGCCAGGTCGATTATATCGGCACTATCATTTTCGTTGCTAGTATGACCTCGTTCTTAATTCCGCTTACATGGGGCGGTGTATCCTATCCGTGGAGCTCGTGGCATACCCTTGTCCCCCTAATCATTGGTTTTGTCGGACTTTGCTTCTTTGGTTACTATGAGCATCGCTTCGCTGTTGATCCTGTCATTCCTCCCTCTATCTTCATGAACAGAACTGCTACAGTGTCCTTTATTGGAAGCACTCTGCAGGGTCTAGTTCTCTGGTGTACCTTGTACTACCTACCTCTTTACTACGAGGCTGTCAAGGGTTACAGTCCAATCCTATCCGGAGTTGCTCTTTTCACTGAGACATTTACTGTCGCGCCTAGTGCTATGGCGGTCGGAATCATATCTTCAAAAACCGGAAGTTACCGATGGGCCATCTGGCTAGGCTGGGCCTTCGCAACGATTGGTTGTGGAATAATGTGCTTGATCAAGGTAGATACAAGCGTGCCTGGATGGATTTTTCTCAACCTAGTGGCAGGCCTTGGGTTAGGATTCTTGTTCCCATCCCTGGGCTTTGCAATCCAGGCATCTTCTACAAACGAAAACTTGGCCACTGCAGTGGCAATGTTCAGCTTCTTCCGCGCTCTTGGCCAGGCCCTCGGCGTTGCCGTCGGTGGTGCAATCTTCCAAAACCGCATGTACCAGAACCTGTTGAAGTACCCAGAGTTCACTGCCGTCGCTAGTGAATACAGCTCTGACTCGGCGGGACTTGTTCAAATCATCAAAGCAATGCCTGATAACATCCACAAGTTGCACCTGCGAGAGGCATATACCGATAGTTTGACAATTGTCTGGGCAGTTTGCTGTGGCGTTTCCGCTGTTGGACTCCTGCTCAGCTTCTTCACTGAAGCCTATGACTTGAATCAAGCTTTGGTTGCCACTCAAGGCCTGCAAATGGAGAAAGATGCTCCAACGGAAGAAGAGCTCAGTCAGTGAAAAAGAGCCTTTTGATGTGTGATCCGCAGATGTTGAACTCACTGCTAACACATATAATTCAAACATGCTTCCGAGGCCCCGGAGGCCGAAGTAAGAGAAAATTGAATTCCTTCAAAATCTTTGGTACAGCCTCTGGCGGCAACTTTTTAACTTTCCATCATTTACAATAATTTTCAACAGTTTTTTTGGCCTTTCAACCAACCAATATTTGATTTCTATGACTATTCACTTCTTTACCAATCTAAAACACTTCAAAGATAGAATACACCATCGGAATCAGAATTTAGGACCAATAGCTTTGAAGACAAGAGAAACTCCGATGACCTCCACCTCGACATGGTTGAAATTCTCGCGCAGGGCGTCGATAAAGGTCTCCGCATCATCATCGACATTGTCGAATACTCCATCCGCCACACAATGAGCCCGGACACGTTTCCCGATGAAATTGTCCTTGATTCCCTTTCCTAAGACAGTGGCTCCCGTCAAAACACCGTCCGCGGTCATACAGTTCTTGATATTTTCGAAAACAACGGTCTTGTTCTTCACAGGTCCAGGAACGCAATGAAGAACATAGAACATTGAGACAGATTCGAACTTGTCGTATTTCCCCTCTGCTACGGGAAAAGGCTGGGTCACATCCCAAAGTACCTCTCCGGCGTCAGGACGCCCGGACCGAAGTTTGGCGACACGGATAGCGTTTGGACTCAGGTCACAAAGAGTGAGTTTCACCGATGGGGCAACCTTGGATTTCTTCAGATAGTAACCAGTGCCGACGCCGATATCGAGGTGAGTGGAGCGGATGTTGTTTTTGAACAGCGGTAAAAGGTGTTTATCGGTTGGGCAACGCCAAGCAAACCTGTTGAGGAAGCCCAGAACAAAGAAGTCGTAGATATACATGATCCAGGACTCGTAGCAGGCGGCACCGCGTTGGGCTGCGGCAGAGGTCTGTACCTCTCCTCCATTCTTTTGGTCCATGATTGTGGCAGTCATGGTTCTCTCCTCGAAAAAGAGCGAGGATTTTTGAAATAGGGGAACGCTGTAATTCAAGCAGTCTCAGGAGCTGAAAATGGAGAAGTAATGATTTGAGATTCAACAACTAGGATTGAGAATGATTTGGTCAGTTTTCAGGGCGAACCTGCGCTGACTTTATCTAAAACATAAAAAACTCGTCTCCTGCCTCTTTGACTTGAGGCTAATCGTATAAAGCCCGCCGATTGCCGTGCTCACTCATAATTTCATGGCGCGTATCTTCAGCGAGTCGAGGCAAGTCCACTCCAACACCTTCTGGCTCTTTAGCCATATGAGGAATGGTCAATATTGCTGAATTGCTCGAAAAATTAAATTCGTGTATTTTAATTACTAGTACCGCCCCCAGTAAGCAGTAGGAATAAACACTCCGTGCTGAACACGAAGCAGGGCTAAGCTAAAATCAGAGCAGATCATTTAACTAAGCAGTCTTCTTCCGGTCTCTTCAACTCGAGTTCCAGGAACCCCAACCCATTTGACCACCATGTCATTGGCCAGTTTCAACGAAAGCATCTTTCGTGACTATCTTGCAAGCCAGGAAGCGCATTTACCCACATTACCAGATGTTGAGGAAATAACGCCATTAGTCACTCGAGTCCTAGGGGCCAACCCTGGAAAGGTGAGAGAACTATCTCTTTGATTTGCAGCCCAGGCAATCCAGCCATTAGAGCATGCTGACATGTATGGATCTGATTAAGTTCCAATTGCAAGGAACGAACACATATCTCATCGGGAGTGGAAAGGAAAAAATCCTGATCGACACCGCTCAAGGCGAAGCAGAATGGATTGACTTCATCTCCTCGGTGCTAAACACAGGCGGCTTCAAAATCTCACATGTGCTTCTTACACATTGGCACTGGGACCACACCGGTGGTGTACCTGACCTTATCAAGCAGTATCCAGAACTCTCATCTGCGATCTACAAAAATAGCCCGGACGTTGGTCAATTGCCGATTGAGGATGGGCAAGTTTTCAGAGTAGAGGGGGCCACAGTGAGGTCGGTATTCACGCCTGGGCATGCCAATGATCACATGTGCTTTGTGCTCGAAGAAGAAAGTGCTCTTTTCACGGGCGACAATGTCCTGGGGCATGGCTATACTGTTGTTGAGGACTTGGCACAATATACAACTTCTCTTGATACCATGGCGTATCAACAGTGTCAAATTGGATATCCTGCCCATGGGGATGTTATCAAAGCTCTTCCGACAAAAATTTCGCAATACAAAGCACAACAAGTCCGAAGGGAGAGACAAATAATTCTGGCGTTGAAAAAAAGCAGAGAAAGCCAGGAGCGAGAGGGGAAGGGGGGTAAAGGCAGTGTTACTATCAGAGAAATTGTCACTGCTGTGTATGGTAGTGTGACAGAAGATGTGAGCAAGCTAGCTCTGGAGCCGTATATGAACGAGGTGTTGCTGAAGTTGGCCCAGGATCGGAAGGTCGGGTTCCTCTTCCAACGAGGCTGCAAGAGGTGGTTTATCAATCCATTAGCTTGAGTAATATTAGGGCCTGGGAATACCATTTGTTTTCTTTTCATTGGATCACCCTAGAACAGAAATTCAACGAATTATAATCCCTACTTCGTGTCATAACAACGTGCATTCAACCGATGTGATCATGAGCCACCAAGGAAATCACGACCATCTGCAGATTTACGTATAAAGGGACGGTCCCCGTCCAGTTATCCCCTCTCGTATGTCCCTTGAATAAATTTCCTCTTTACCTTTGATCAGATCCATGTTATCGGTTGCCTTCTAGATTCCTACATCCCCAATGTCTCGCAAAATCATATTGATCACTGGAATCAACGGATACTTGGCCTCAAATACTGGCACGGCTGTGTTACAAGCAGGCCATATTCTACGTGGCACATGTCGTTCCCGTGAGAGGGTAACAGCTTTGCTGGAAGGGCCATGGAAGGAATATGAATCCCAAATCGAAATCGCTGTTGTGCCAGACATAAGTGACGTGGATGCGTTCGACGAAGCTGTCAAAGGTAAGAAAACGGATGAATTACTTCATCTTGACAGGCAATGGAGACTGACCAAGTCCAGGGGTATCTGCCATCATTCATATGGCCGCGCCAGTCATCAGTCCCGCAATCACCAAGGCTTCGACTCAGTTGATCGAACCTACAATTGCCGGAACACGAAACTTGCTCAATTCGGCTATCAAGTATGCTGGCAACCAACTGGAGATATTTGTCTTCACTTCATCCGCAGCAGCTTGCATTAAGCCCGGCGCTCAACCCCCGCACGTCTATAATGACGATAGCTGGAATATCATCCACCCGGCAATCGTGGAGAAGGAGGGCGACAACGTGTCTATCTTCACTTCCTACCCGGTCGCGAAGATCAAGGCAGAGAAGTATGTTTGGTCTCTTTACGAAAGCAAGGTACTTCAAATCCAATACCTCACGTCTTTCTTTCTCTAAAACCAGCTTTCTTTAGGTACAATTTGCCATTGCTTCTATTTGTGGATCTATCGCGACCGGTCCGCCAATTGTTCTCCCAGAATCTGAAAATGAGATTCCATCGACCTGCAAGTCCATCCTGAATGCTCTCCGAGGGCTGGAATTGCCTGGGCCTCAGGACCACATTGCCAAAATTGCCGGAGCCGCCCCATACTCGGATATCCGCGATATCGCCAAAATCTACCTATGGTGCACCGAGAACCCTAAACTGGCAGACGGGCAGCGATATTTGGTTGTCGCGGGGCATGGGCCCCAGAAGGCAATCTATGATATTCTCAAAGAAGCCTATCCAGACCGCGCGCATATCATCCCCGATGGGGACACAGCTTTCCGCTATAACAAGGACTGGACCTTTGATGAGAATGGGGTCCGATTTGACTCTAGCAAGGTACAGAAGCATGTCGGATTGACTTTCAAGACGTACAAAGAGACGATTCTGGATACTGCGGAGGCTTTGGCCCCATATTGGAAGTAACTATTGGTGACTTGGACCAAGACAACCGTGCCTCGTTATTGAGGCCTAGAGGCTTTAGCATGGAGTTTTATCTTATACTACCCTATCAGAACATCAAATAGGAGGCGAGACCGAGTGCTGGGTTTATTTGGCTAGTATCTTTGAGTAAGATTCTCGACGGAATTCAAAGTCCTATTGCTCTTGAGGTCGCCTTCCAATTTTATCTGTAGAATTTATTACTACTCAAATTGACCACAATTCATCTGCGCATAATTGCTTGCTACATTCTATGTCGGCGATGAAATGAGAAGGCTTAGTCTCCACCGTGCACTGGGTGATTCATGCCTAGCGTCGTGGACAAAGAGGATGATCGAATAATATGAACTAAAATAGATTATGTACAGCCAGCATAATTAGGGGAAATTTCCCAGACAACTAGATATCCGCCTGTGGGGGCTAAATTCAATGCCAATAATAAATATTTCAGTAAGTAAATAGCTTTTCTTGGCATTTGAGATAGGGTAAGGGAGCATCAGTTTGATGCTCTGTAGATCACTCTAATACGCCATGTTTCTGATTACCTTCAAAAGCCAGATTCATTAAAGCCACGTGGATCTAGAATACGAGAAGCGGCAGAAGCCGAATGGCGAGTCTAATTTAAAGGGTACTTTGTCTGTTCGTGCGAAGCACGACGTGCTTGATCTAGCGCCCATCGCACGCTGTAAGCAATTTACCATTTCACCCTATCATTCCTGATCCACTGAGTGCATCAGCATCGGGCTTCGCCACGGGATCAATATCCAAGAAGCTTACATGGGCCAGTGTGTTCGCAACCAGATGCAATCCTTTCAGGGTATAAAACAGCATCAGGGCCCTGTATCCGACATTTCTTCCGTTCATTCTTGGTCAACGCGATTATCATTTTCCCTTGCTTTGTTTTTGGCGAATGAAAGTCGTTCCAACCAGTATTCCTTCAACATGAATACTCCCTCAACAGCTTCGGACTCATCGAGTGACTTTATCAACGATTTCAGTACCAATGGCCTCACAACGAACTTGATTTTTTTCAGCAATGAATTTCCCAATGATGACCTTAAAGATTTATTTCGTCGTCTCCACAGGCATAGTAAGGACAAGCGGTTCACGTTGCTGGCCACGTTCCTGGAAAACTGCGCCCGGGTCCTAAGAGAAGAGACCAGCCGCTTACCGCAGCACCTGAGAGAACTCATTCCTCCGTTCGAGGACTTATTCACATTGGTAGATGGTGGGCAATTTCACCTCGGTCCATTAGGAGCGTCAATGGAAAGCGCCTTTCTTTGTGCCCTTCAAGTTGCGATGATCATTGGGTAAGTTCTGAAGCCAATCAAACGCAAAAGGCAGAAACTAAATATTATCTCTCAGTCACTATGAAGGCCAAAACATTGAGTATGATCTCACCGCCGAGAATACTGTCTTGGCTGGTTTGAGTATAGGACTTCTTGCTGGTGCTGCTGTTTCGCTCTCGAGGACTCTCTGTGACCTCACAAGCACAGGTGCGGAGAGTGTTCGAGTTGCTTTCCGTCTTGGAGTCTATATCGATGACATCTCCCGGAAGATTGAAGCTCGGGATCCTGCTGCGCCTCCGCAGAGCTGGGCCTATGTTGTAACTGGGCTGTCTGAAAAGGATGTTCAACAAGAGATTGACAAGTACAACGCCGACACTGTACGTATTTTGGATGGTATCAGACCGACACGTGAATCAAGCTGATCAAAATATCCAGTGCAACACCGAACTTACAAAGATCTTCATTAGCGCTGCGGATAAGATCTCCATCAGTGTCAGTGGACCACCTTCTCGCATGAAGGATATTTTCTTGCGTTCGCAGAAGCTTCGGCATTCCAAGTATCTACCTCTTCCAGTGTACGAAGGCTTGTGCCATGCTCCTCATTTGTACAATAAGGAGACCATCTGTGATGTTATCAGCAAGCCCGATCCACAGATCCTCCGCAACAAGCGGGTTCAGATTCCGCTGATCTCCTCGGAAACAGGCAAGCCTTACAATTCACTGCTATCCGGCTTCCTTTATGAAGAAATCTGCACAGAGCTTCTCACCGGTTCTATATACGTGGACAAAGTTACTGCTGGTATCGTTGATGGCATCTCCAAGTTTCATTCACCCAGCTGCCAGGTGAACTTTTTTCGCACGACCCTTGTCTTCAAGGGAATCATCTCCGCCATCGAAACAGAACTCCCCCAGGTCAGCATCAAGCGCCAGGATTTGTTGGACTGGGTTCCTCTGTCCTTCGGGCCTCGTCAGCCACGTCATTTCAAAGATTCCAAAGTGGCAATTGTTGGAATGGCTTGTCGGATGCCTGGAGGCGCAGATGACAACGAATTGTTCTGGAAGATAATGGAGGACAGACGGGACACACACACGCGTGTGCCTGCTGATCGATTTGATCTCGACACTCATTATGACCCCAGTGGAAAGACCGAGAACGCAACACAAACGCCATTTGGTAGTTTTATTGATCGCCCTGGTCTATTTGACGCTGGATTTTTCAACATGTCTCCCAAAGAGGCTGAGCAGACCTGTCCGATGCAGCGCCTTGCATTGGTCACTGCCTACGAGGCTTTGGAAATGGCTGGACATGTGCCGAACCGTACCTCCTCCTCAAATAGCAAACGGGTTGGGGCATTCTACGGACAGGCAAGTGACGATTGGCGTGAACTCAATGCCAGTCAGAACCTTGGAACCTATGCCGTTCCAGGTGGTGTACGTGCTTTTGCCAACGGTCGCATCAACTACTTCTTCGGGTTCTCCGGTCCAAGCATCAATCTCGACACTGCCTGCTCAAGCGGCTTGGCTGCTGTTCAAGCTGGTTGCTCGGCACTTTGGGCTGGTGAAGCTGACACCATCGTTGCTGGTGGTCTGAACGTGATCACAGATCCTGACAACTATGCCGGGCTCTGCAACGCTCATTTCTTATCCAAGACCGGCCAGTGCAAGGTTTGGGATGAGAACGCCGATGGCTACTGTCGCGCTGATGGCGTTGGCTCTGTCGTTCTCAAGCGACTTGAAGACGCCGAGGCCGATAATGACAACATTCTGGGTGTTATTCTCGCTGCAGCCACCAATCATTCAGCTGAAGCGATCTCAATCACCCACCCACATGCCGGTGCCCAGAAGGACAACTATAATCAAGTCATGCGAGCTGCCGCCGTCAATCCTCTTGATGTGAGTTTTATTGAGTTGCATGGAACTGGTACTCAAGCTGGCGACTCGGTTGAGTGCGAGTCGGTTTGCGAGGTATTTGCCCCTGTATCATCGCGCCGTCGTAATGATCAAGCTCTTCTTCTTGGTGCTATCAAATCGAACATTGGCCATGGCGAAGCTGCTGCAGGTATTGCATCTTTGATCAAGATGCTCCTTGTTTACCAGAAGAACATGATTCCTCCTCACATTGGCATCAAGACCGAAATGAATCCCGTCCTTCGCAAGATTCTGGAAAAGCGCAATGTCGGGCTTGCCATGGAAATGACTCCATATCCAAGACGCAAAGGAAACAGCCGCTACGCTGTCGTCAACAGCTTTGGAGCCCACGGAGGCAACACCACTGTCCTTCTTGAGGATTCGCCTGAACGCCAGGTTGTTGGCGTAGACCCTCGGTCTACTCATGTCGTTGCAGTCTCTGCAAAGAGTAAGGGATCTCTCAAAGGTAACATCGAAGACCTATTGTCGTATATTGAGAAGAATCCGTCCACCAGCCTTGGTGATCTCGCTTACACAACCTGTGCTCGACGCATTCAGCATAACTTCCGAGTTGCCACTGCTGTATCTAGCCTTGACCAGCTTCGCCAGTCCCTCGAAAAGCAGGTGGACACCGTGTCTACGCTACGTCCGATTCCACTTGATGCTCCTTCGGTCGCATTCACCTTTACTGGACAGGGGGCTTTCTATGAAGGAATCAGTGCTCAATTATTTGAGCACTTCCCTTACTACCGCAATCAGGTCATTCAGTTGGATGACCTAGTGCAACGTTTTGGATATCCATCCATAGTTCCTGTAATCATGAACAGTATTGAAAAGTCTGATGTCTCTCCTCTTGTTACTCAGCTCAGTATTCTCGTGGTCGAAATTGCTTTGGCGAAGTTCTGGGCCTTTTTTGGGTATTCACCCTACTGCTGTGATTGGACACAGTCTGGGTGAATACAGCGCTTTAGTTGTCGCCGAAGTTATCTCCGCAGCAGACGCGATTCTGCTTGTTGGCCAGCGCGCTACCTATACGATGAGCAAGTGCGAGGCTGGAACACACCTCATGCTCTCTGTCATGGCTAGCTTAGAGGAAATCCAGCAGGCTATCGGGGAAGATGGCAATTACGAAGTCTCGTGTCAAAACGGTCGTTCTGACACAGTCATCAGTGGTACTCGCGATGACATCGAAGAAATTCGCCATGATCTAGATGCCCGCGGTTTGAAGTGCACTCCACTTGACCTACCCTTTGCATTCCACACCAAGCAGATGGATCCAATGTTGGACCTCTTCGAGCAGACTGCCAAGAACATCTCATTCAAGGCTCCCAATCTTCCTGTTATCTCTCCTGCCTTGGGCGCATGTGTGTTTGACGGGAAGACGATCAATGGAAACTACCTGCGTCGTACCACACGCGAGCCTGTGAACTTTATCGGGGCTCTCGATGCAGCTGAAGCAATGGGCATCATTGATCCTCAGACCATCTGGATTGATATTGGACCGCATCCCATCTGTGCCTCGTTTATTGCCAAGCATATTTCTGGCGCAACGGCTTTGCCGACGCTGAAGAAGAACGAGGACAACTTCGCGACTATTACCAAGACTCTTGCATCCTTGCACACTCTTGGTGTGGAAGTTTGCTGGAATGAGTACTACCGGCCTTATGAGCATGCGCATACTTTACTCAATCTCCCTCACTACCACTGGAATGCGAAGGACTATTGGATTCAGTACATCGGAACCTGGACACTTGACAAGGCCTTGTTGAAGTACGGTGAGACAAAATCTAAAGACTTATTCAACATGCGCGGCAGCTCGGCACTCCAAACTTCCGCTGTGCATCAGATTACCCTGGAGGAGATTGGGGAAACTGCCGGTCAGCTGAAGACTTTATCCGATGTGATGCATCCTGATTTCCTCTCTTCGGTGAAAGGACACACAATGAACAAGTGTGGCGTGGCCACTTCGGTACGTAACCTTCCTTCCATTGTTCGCTTTTGATCATAGCTGACTTATCTGATTCGCAGTCTATCTGGTGTGATATGGCATATACCGCTGGAGAATATCTCTTCAAGCGTATGAATCCTACTTGCAGGAAGGTGGACATGAACCTGGCAAACATGGATGTTCTCCATGCCACCATTGCCAAGAAAGGCTCCAGTGGCTCTCAACTGATCGCTCTCGAGTGCAATCTGGAAATGCCTTCCCGCACAATGACTCTTGCATGGTATCACGTCCATGAAAATGGTACTCGTGACGAGGCTTCTTTCGCAACCGCCAATATCTTCTTCGAGGAGGCCGCAGACTGGCGCACTGAATGGGACCGCATCGCCCACCTCGTCAGCGGACGTATCGAGGCTCTCGGTCAAATGGCAATCGCAGGAGAGTGTAACAGAATCTCCAAGAACATGGCCTACACTCTGTTCAAAAATGTGGTTGATTATGCTGACAAGTATCGCGGCATGGACTCGGTCGTTTTGCACGAATATGAAGCCTATGCTGATATTACCCTTGTTCCCGAGACACACGGCAACTGGCACATTCCTCCTCATTGGATTGATTCTGTCTCTCACTTGGCCGGTCTCATTATGAATGCCAGTGATGTCTCCAACACCAAGGACTTCTTCTACCTCACTCCTGGATTTGGCAGTCTCCGCTTCATTGAGCCCCTTTCACCCGATGCAAAGTATCGTAGTTACGTTCGCATGTTTCCCACGAGTGATGTCAACGTTCGTGCAGGAGATCTTTACATCTTCCGCGATGACATTATTGTGGGCATGCTGGGCCAGATCAAGTTCAAGCGAGTCCCCCGTTTCCTGATGGAACAGCTTTTCACTACCGGTGAAAAGGGTGCCTCTGTTCATGCCCCCTCGATGCCTCCTCAGCCAACACGCATTACTCCTCCCGCTCCAGCTGCGCCTATCAAGACGGATGTTATAGTACCGGCCCCGGCACAGGTAGTTGAGGTCAAGATTACCGAGCCAGTGCAACAGGTAGTTGTCAAAGTAGAGGCCGAAACCGGTGTCATTGGCGACGTTGTTAGCCTCATTGCACGTGAGACAGGTCTCGATGTCTCTGAGATTACGGATGAGACTACCTTTACGCAGATTGGCGTTGACTCTTTGATGTCGCTTGTTCTTGCTGAGAAGTTCAGAACCGAACTACAGCTCGATGTTAGGAGCTCTTTGTTCCTCGACTGTCCTACAATTGGTGATTTGAAAGGATTTATGGAGCAATACTGCTAAGTGAGCTTTTGAATTTGTCAATATAGAATGAAACTGTACGGATAACACAATGGAACTTGTTTTGTATTATTTTCTTCTCGTATTCCAGGGCTCATCTTAGGGCAGCTTCGGTGGTGGTAGCGCGATTGGTACTCGAGAGGTTACCATTGGCTTGCTGACTGTTGGAACCGTTCGAGCCCATCATGAGTTGTGGCCAAATATGACCTGAGGTGAGCGAGTTTTGAGGCGGCCATAAGCTCTAGTCAGCCTCACTGTGAAGGGCTGTTGCAGAATTGATTCACTTGTGTTAGGCCAACATGCAGTTTACAACAATCATTACAAGCCGTACTCTTAATAACTACCTATGATGTTATATGAGGAGGAACAGAGTCAGTGCATTTCCCTGGCTTGAGGTATCAGCAGCCTTCGATGCCGCTGAGGCCTTTCTGGATAGTAGATCATGTCGATTCCGGAGGATACAGTACGTTGATTACGGGCAGCAACCAAGGAGATCAGATCAAAGATGTGTATTCAAATGACTATAGATTTGGCTTTTATCTGGCAATTTCTTTGTGTTGAATAAGATGATCCAACCCGTTTTAAACGCTCAACTGGAGGTCGAATAAACCTCATGGGCGCTAGTAATCCTCCACTCGACAGATCATCCTCCCTGAGGCACACAAGCCTCATACGTTATCTTGGATGTTCGGAAGTGTGAACAGCACATCCCCGCTCAGGGGGTATCTTAGTTTTAAGACATGTTCAAGAATACAGAATCTGCGGTTTGAGCTGCCATCCCTCCAGTATATCCTATCTCATCTTTCATCTCGGCCCCGGTTTGTGCTGGCAGAAAATCATTAAAATTTGAGGATTTTTTAGTATAGCGGATGCCACATCAGCCTTTTTCGACTTCCTTCCTAGTTAAATTTCCAGAATCAGGTCTCGACGGATATCGCTAGGGACATCATCATAACAATCAAGGCTCTAACCTTCATTAATATTGAGGCGGCCCGCTCACCGTGTCAATCTGTACTTATTGTAATAAGTATAGCACCTTAGAACTTGATTTTAAGGCTTTCTTTAGTATCCATTTACTAAAGTAAGATTTAGGTCTAGCATTTATATTGTATATAGAAAATCCGTCAGTGCAGTATAGATAGGCCCTCATTATGCCTTCAGGAACTTTATTAAAAATTGAGAGCCTGAGCTACGGTGGAGGTGGTCTCGTAGGCATCTAAGGTAGTATTACTAGGCAGCACTGCGGGGCCCGAACCATTTAAGCGAGGTCGCGCCTATATAACTGGAATCTGTTCCCATTGAATATTGCGATAACGCCACGTGAGAGTACTGAAGTATTGAACATAATTTGCTCCGATTTATGCCCCGTTTAGAAAATTTACCCACCGAGATCCTCCAACAAATAGTTGGCTACCTTCTAGAAGATGTCTGGTCTTGGGACTTGAGGTATCTGAGGCTGTTCATTGCCTCTAGGAGCATCTTTCGTATGTCCTTTAAGCCCATTAGCATCGTCAGGCCCATCGCTCACAAATGGTAACAGGCAAATGGAAGGCCAGCCTCGAGCACGAAATGTTCAGCCTTCCGATTGATTGCTGGGGCTGGTTAGCCCAAAAGCGAGCTACAAGGCTGCACGTTCTTCATCTAGTCATTAACAAGGACACAACGGATGGCAAAGTTCTGATGGCCGCCATCAATAATGGCGTCGAATATGCTATTATGGCCAAAGGTGAAGGCGCCGCCGAGGACGTACTCGCCTCGACCCGTGCGCAGTACAGCCGCGCCATTATCGCAATTGTCTTCCCCGGCTTGCACGTTTCCTACCCAGACTTTCTAGCCGATTCGTTCAGAGACTTCTGGGGTCGGAAATCCCGACTCTCGTTCTCAGACGATGAGTCCCACGCCCTGGCTGTGCTGGCTGCCGCGCACGAGGGCGATGTCCCTACTCTCGACGCGCTTCTTTCGCAGCGCCGCCTAAACCCATATCCGGTCATTGCCTACGCCGTTTTAGGGCCGCTCGCTCTAGCGATACGCAGTGGGAACATCAACGCCGTCAAGTTCCTCCTCGCCAGATTGGATTCCCACGGCGACGTCGACCGCCCGGACGTACCGAACTTTGAAGGCGACTTTGCAATCCACCGAGCGGTGCGGGTTGGGAGTATACCCCTGCTTCAGCTCCTTCTACCGCGGTCGAGCAGCGCAGACATAAATATCCCCACTTGGCGGCCTATGTCACGGTAATCTATAGATTCAGAAGGCCCGCCTGAGTACATGGGTATGACACCGCTCGACGTCGCGGCGTCGGCGGGTCAGCTTGCCGTTGTGAAATACCTCCTATCGCGGCCAGATACTCACAGAACGGGCGGTGAGATACGCACAGGCTACAGCACGATGTACTACGCAGTGGAAAGCCAAGAACTGGAGGTGATCGAATTTATTTTGGCACAGCCGGAGACTGTAATAACAGCAGCCAAACCAATGAAAAGCCCGCTCTATCAAGCGACACGCCTCGACAGGCTGGACATTGTTAAGCTTCTCGACGAGAAAGGCAAAGCGACGAGTGAGGCGGATCTCACATATACATACTACTACTGCCTGTTCTCGAGCATTACATTAGGCTGTATGGCGCTTTTAGAATACTTTCTTTCATAAGAAGGCATCTTGCTCGCAAAGCCCCAGGGTGTTGATAGAGAGCTTCCCTCTGTTCTCATAACGGCCCTTATGGACGGGCAAGACGAGATGTTCATGCGGCTGGTTGGCAGGGATGAGTTTAGTCCGGCCGATCGAAGAAAAGCAGCAATCAGTGCTGTGGGAATGAGAAAGCTTGATAAGCTGCAGGTATTGCTTGATGTGGGTAATCTGGATCTGGGGTCGGCGCCTGGGTTTAGGCGCGATGTGGTGAATGCTACCAGGGGCCGTCTTAATATGATTGAGGTTTTAAAGAGGAAGGGGGTTGTTGATGACAATGATGAATTGTCAGAATGATTGTGAAGTGATGCTGTAGTATATATCTAGGTTGGATTCGTCGCTCTGAAGCAGCTGAGGGACGGAGGAGAGAGTTGACTGATTAGGTCGATCTACACTGCCGTCATTCGAATCGCAGTTTTCGCGTCGTGTCCTTTCCCGATCCGCAAATTCCAACCTTTCGGTCAACGTAGAGGTTATAGCAACACTATCAGGCGTGGGCGTGAGCTGTGCAGAACATAAAGGGAATACTCTCTCCTTTCCGGCCTATATTTCAGGCATGCCTGTGGTGGACTTCGAGATCGTACTCATCGCTTTAGAGAGTTGTGCAAGATCGGTCGATTTTGAAGAAGGAACATGGATAGAGGTATGTACCGCAATTGTCGAGGTTTCTCTCGGCGCTTTGCGTTTCATTGAAGCACCCTCTTTTTTGTTGGTTAAAGACCCGTGCTCACGTTTACTCAGTGAGCCTGAGCCTGAGCGCCCTCATAAAAGCGGCGGCAACCCAATTAGGAAAGCCCCACCCGGCAGACATTATCCTGTCTATATAGGTGCATACTGCACGATTCTGATTTTTAGCATCTAGACACAATGTGGAGCATCCTCCTATGAGATCTACGACAAATCTCCCGAGACTAACGCATTTTCCTTGAAGGCCTGACTGCCACTTTCGCCCAGATCAGATCGCCAATTTCAGCTGCTGAGAAGGGATACCCGCTCTACTCAAACCCTTGCGGGTCTCCAAACAATGTTGGAACCCCCTCAGCGCCGTCCACCCATTTGTTCGCACCGAAGCAAGCAACAACACGATTCGTTCCTGCAGATGATCGTCGAGGAACATGACCCTTAACTGAGACATCAATAGGAGAATCCTCACGATCTCGGTCATGTGGTGTTTTGCCCCACAGACTGTGTTTTGCTTTTTAAGATCAAGGTATCTGATTAGTGCAGCTATCCTGGATATCTATAAGATGTATCACACTGCCATATCCGATTTCGCTGGCTTGAGCGGTCGTACGAGCCACCGTGCAGTTGGACTTGGCGAGACACCCTACTTCGACCCCAACAGCAAGACCCATAGTGCGGCACTCGCCGAGGAATGACCTCGACTTGGCGGGGTTTCTCATTTGTCAAGCACGCTATCATATAGGTATCATCTCGAATCCGAGTATATCGAACAGAAAGCTTACTCAGATCATATGGGCCCCCTAGTAACTGGCCATGCTATTGTGGCGGTGCTGTTGTAACGTGTAGACTTAAAAGCTGAATTTCGGGTACGTAATTGGCAAACTAGGTCGGTCGAATATTTCCTTGTGGCTGAAAAAAAGAAAAGAAAACCATGGAAATTGGGGAAATAGAGAATCCGAAAGCAACCAAGAAAACCCACTTGCCACTTGTGCCCTTTTTTGTGCTTATCTTAGGGCTTCTGCACGCTGCCTGACATGCTGCAATGGCTGAAATGTGGCTAAGACTCTGACAGGTCAGCGATCAGCGACTTATCAAGATGAACCCATTCGTACATCGGTTAATCGGCCCGTGGTTTGTTTGCGTTTCAACCCCAATCAACTTGTCAATTTCTTCTTTATCGACATGGAGAGCTGAAGGTTGTGGCACAGCTGATACTTTACTGCATCGGATAATGCACTATTTGATTTGGCGACGTTAATGTGCATTAGACTCCGTTAGTTCATCCTACCAGACTGGCTATGTAAATGATTCAGGTCTCTTGTCAACCTCGTTGGCTAGACTCGGGTAAGACAGAATAAGCAACGTGAACACACGGATAGATAGGCTATCGAATGGAAATCACATGTGACAGCTCCATCAGCCACTCAGATTTATTCCCAACAATTATAAAGGCTTTTGCCCACAGTGTCTTGCTCTCTGATTACTTCAGAACAACAGATTACTATAATGGGCGAAGCATCTTTATCTCCTGTGTACACAGAGGACTCCGTCCTCAGTCGGAAACAAAGCTTCAAGCCGTCCTTTACCGATATTACACTTCAAACATGTCGCAGAACTAAGAGCCTCCTCGACGAAGACCAACAGATTTTTTTGGACGGTCAATCTTTAGACTTGGGTGCTGTTGTAGCCGTTGCTCGGTCTGATAGCCCTCCCCCATTTTCGTGGTCCCAACCTGCCACCTGCAGTTTCATGCTAACATTTGGACCGTGACTGTAGGCATGGCTGCAAAGTGGCTATCACTACAAATCCGGAGGTACTACGCTCCCTGGAAGAAAGCGTGAATCTTCTGAATCAAAAGCTCACCCGGGGTGAAATTGTTTATGGTGTCAATACCGGCTTCGGGGGTAGTGCTGATAGCCGAACGAACAACTATACTGCCCTTCAAAAGGCGCTAATCCAACACCAGAGCTCAGCAGTACTACTCCCCACTGACAGAGGACGAGACAGCTCTCACCTCGTGAGCCTTCACACTCTGAAAAGCCATAGCATCCCTATACCCGTGGTCAGAGCTGCGATGCTTGTCAGATGCAATTCCTTGCTACGCGGTCACTCGGCTGTTCGGCCACAGGTAATCGAGTATATACTTGCTTTCCTGTGCAAATTCATGACCCCAGTGGTTCCCCTCAGAGGGACTATCTCAGCTTCCGGAGATCTCATGCCGCTTTCATACATTGCTGGAGCACTGGAAGGCAACCCGGATATCTCGATCCACAAGGAAAATGGAGAAATAATAGGGGCTGATCAAGCTCTTAGTGAGCTGGGACTGGAGCCCCTCGAGTTTGGTCCTAAAGAAGGGCTAGGACTATTAAACGGCACAGCATTCAGCTGTGGCGCAGCAAGCTTGGTCATGTTTGAAGCCAAACAGCTAGTCCTTCTGTCCCAGCTTTTAACAGCCATGGGAACCGAAGCAATGAAAGGCATGATTTGCAACTACCATCCGTTCATTGCAGCGGTTCGCCCCCACGATGGTCAGATTGAGGCAGCAGACAATATATTTAATTTCCTTTACGACTCAAAACTGGCCACCCCCGAGGGGCCCGCACACGATGGGTTGGCTCAGGATCGTTACGCTCTACGAACAGCTACGCAGTGGGTTGGCCCAAATATTGAAAATATGGCTTTGGCCTTCGATCAGATCCGGGCTGAACTAAATTCGACAACGGATAATCCACTCATTAACCCGGCCGACGGCAACATACACCACGGTGGTAATTTCCAGGCTACGGCGATCACCTCATCCATGGAAAAAACATTGAGTGCGATGCAAATGATAGGGAGAATGATCTTTTCTCAGTGCTCGGAGCTGATAAATCCAGCCTTGAGTAATGGATTGCCTCCGAATTTGAGCATGGACGACCCGAGTCTTTCATTCGCGTTCAAGGGCATAGATATCAACATGGCTTCTTATACATCGGAGCTGGGATATCTGAACCACCCTATCAGCAATCACGTCCAGTCAGCTGAGATGCATAACCAAGGGATCAATTCCCTGGCATTCATCAGCTGTCGTTATGCTGGTGATGCTGTCGAAGTGCTATCGCTCATGCTGGCAAATTATCTATACGTCCTGTGCCAAGCTGTGGACCAACGTGTGCTCCAAGCAGAATTTATTAAAGATGTGCGCCCCAGAATCGAAAACATAACGAGCAGTCTTTTCCCATTGGTCGCTCCTGCGCACCTCGAAAAAATCCAAACAACCGTTTGGGGGGAGCTCATGCATCACTGGGACCGGAGCAGCACGAAAGATCTGCGCGACCGCTCTCTGACGGCAGCAAATTGCTCAGTTGGTATCCTTCTTGATCAATTCTCAGATACTGGCATATCGCAAGACACGGCCGTTTCGCAGTGGAAGAGTAGTGTGGCCAATACCTTGCAGCAGAGCTACGAAGCCGCGCGGACCACATTCCTAGCTAACCCCCCAACAAAAGAATACCTCTGCAGTACCTCTCAGAAACTGTACACTTTTGTCCGCGATGAGCTGAAGGTGCCAACACACAGAGGCATCGAGGCCCACCCAACATATAACAGGGAAAAGTCTCATGGAAAAGAGTGTATCGGCTCCCAAGTGAGCAAGGTTTACATAGCGCTGCGCGAAGGGAAATTTGGGGAAATTTTGACAAGCTGCTGGTAGTAGTCTGTATGACTGCACTTTAATAGTTTCATCGCATCCAACCTTCTCAGACAACCACCTCAGCTTTTGGCCCCCGTCGGTAGCAGCAAGTATCTCTAACAAGTTTAATCCGCTCTTCATGTGTGCAGGATGTTTCAGTTATTTCTTACGTCGCTGTTTGCAATCCTTGTCGCACGTTTCAGATTAAAAAGATCTCCACGGTCTATATTAGACTTTGTGGGTCCTGTCTGTTCAAAGAGGCTCCATACATGATTCATGCCTTAGAGGGGTTTCATTCACCACTATACGATACATCGCGCAATTTATCTGTACATTGATATTATATCGAGAACATGAAGAATATATTTCCCTCATAGTAGTCCTAGATATAAGCGCGTTATTGATAACGCTAATAGGTCATTGAATCTCTTGACTAGTGCAGTCAAGCATTGTCTCTCCTTGGAGGCTTCGCCGTGTCGTTGAAGTGCAGTGTACGACGGTTCGGTATGGCTATTTTGAGGACCAACTCAGTCAAAATCTCGCGGCAAATTTTGTAACCAGCCATAAAGCCTGTTGTGTATCCTTTGACTCCGTAAAGAAGCAGCTCAAACTTGCAGCAAATGCGATCAACTGCACCAACCTTGGAAGGGCAATCATTGGCCCAGGTTCTAGCCCGGAAGCAAGATGGCGTCCAACGCACCGTGGATTGTATTTGTATATTAAGCAAAGCAAGATGGATCGTCATCTCCGAAGAGAACGCATGTTGCGGTGATGGTATTGGACTTGCCCATATGGACGGGCCGCATTGGGCTCGTTCCGCCCGTGAGCGGAGCGGCCCGTTAGAGGCTCACGTATTGGCGATCACCAGTTTAAATATTTAGATGACGACTACTTAAAAATTAATTGAATCTGTCTTTCTCAAGGATGAAGCCATCAAACGATAACGCACAGTACATCTTCTCAACCTTTCGAACATTATATTACATGATTCCAGCAGATGGGCAGCCGAGTCACCCCTTTTGCAAACCCGAGGCTTGCTATGATGAACACGGCTTCCAGGGTCGTATTTGAATGAACCTGATTGTACATTGTGACGTTCAAGACGAAATCAATCCAATTTGATCTCAGGTTTGTCCCACTGGAGTAAGAGTTTTCCACTTGGTAACATCAATTGCCTATAAACATGGAAAAGAAACATATATTTGTAATCATTTAGGTAATTCCCAACTCTTCCGCTGGAGACTTTTCATCCGCGCGTTCATTTTCTGTCTTAACACTATTCGCGCATCTGCAGTCATGGCCGCCGAAGAAACGCCCCTGATCTCTCCTCCCACGCAGGAATGCGCTTTGACGTGGACAGTCATCGCGGCCATTCTGTCGGATACAATTGCCTCCTTTGTTGTTGCTGTTGGTAAGTACTATCTCAAGGGCTTCGTAGCTCCTCATTAACGGGATCAGATGGCACCATAACCTCCACTTTATCCTCAACGATCGCAAGCGAGTTCCAGTCCCTCGCTATTATCTCATGGCTTGGTGCCGGGCACCTTATAGGCCTGGCCGCGACACAGCTATTGACCGGGAAGTTCAGTGACATCTTTGGCCGGAAACCCAGCTTTATCTTCGCGACGCTGGTGTTCACTCTTGGGAATTTGACTTGCGGATTTGCTGGCTCACGTACCATGCTCATTCTTGGACGGGTCATTGCGGGTATCGGTGGAGGTGGCTGCAGCTCAATTGCTACCTATATCTCATCAGATCGCATTCCACCGCGATACCGTGGCATTTGGCATAGTGTGTCCGTAATGGCATTTACTGCGGGTATGGGCTGTGGGGCGGTTGTCGGCGGTGCGGTCAATGATGCTGTAGGCTGGCGAGGGGCGTTTATCATGCTTGCGCCAATGTCCGTCTCTGCTGGAATTTGCATGGCTATTTTTCTCGGTTTCGGCTTTAGGCTACGGCGAATCGACTATGGTGGTTCTATCGCCTTGGTGTCGTCTCTGGCGTTGTTTCTTACCTACGTGAATAATGAAGAGCATCAGTCGGTTGCTTTTCTTCTGGCGGCGCTATGTTTTGCCATTTTCCTCACGATTGAGCTCTGCTTTGCGAAGGAACCGATTATTCCACTGAGTGTCTTGGGTGAGCGGACGGTCTTAGCAGCATGTCTGTGCACCGCATTCACGTCAATGACAATGTACACTTTTATGTATTATATCCCCCTGTATCTGCAGCTGCAAGGACACTCTACCAGCCAGACGGGAGTCCTGCTTCTCCCTGAGCCTATCGGAGCTGGGCTGGGGTCTGTCGCAGTTGGGCTTACCACCAGTCTCTCGGGAAAGTACGGACCGTGGAAGATCAACCAGCCAATGTTCATCTTTTTTGGCTCTGTGGGGATTGCGACACTCTCCCTACACTCACCACCTGTCTTGGCTCTGATATACCAGTTTGTTTACGGATTCGGATATGGTGGACCTCTAACTGTACTGCTACTTGCTTTGATCAGTGCAGTTCCGCATGAACTACAGGCCACATCAACATCTATACTACTTACGTTTCGATCTATTGGACCGACCATCGGCCTGTCCGTTGCTGGCATCTTGTTTCGCAGTCGTTTCAATCAACCAGCCACGGACCCTAATGAACAAAATCAAGTTGCTTCAACGGATTCGGCAGCTAGCTACCTACAGTTGCATCAGTTTCATACCGAAGATAGTAGTGACAGATCCCATGCTCGTCATATGTGTGCACTGCATGGCACTTTTCAGCTTGCTGCAGCTTTCGCGACTGCGGGTTTTATTTGCGCCATGTTTATAGAGAATCACGAGATGAGATCGACTTTGCAGAAGGGCAAGAGCGCTGTACCAGGTGAAAACAATGCAGATGAAGAATCCGAGCGTGTATAGTATGTACGATTCGAATTGTGTCTGTGATTTGTATTGCAATGTGCTCCGGATGGTATGACCGTCATATGCGCGCCTCCGTAAAATTTCTATGACACCCTGACCAAACCCATCAAGGACACCCAGTCGTATCTTGGTTGCCGAAAACTTCATTCATTCGATTACTCTATTTCCAATCCTTGTTAATGGCTCTCGTCCCAATTATCACTTTCCTCGCCATCTGATACCAGTTGACTCAACCAAGGAGATCTGAATTCTCGCCAATCCTTAACGAAGCGTGCTTCGTCCAAGATGATACAATTTGGTGGGATCTCACATGGTCTGCAATGGCGCGAAGAGCTCATATTCTACCGTGGGAACCAGTCTTATAAGACTAGAAAGATCCGCCCTATCTAGTGTATGATTGAGTCCCTCTTGAAGCCACACTAGAGTCCCAATATTAGGCTCGTCGGATCTAATGAAGACGAGTTATCCTTGAAACAAAAGTTATCTAGGCTCCTTGGAACACCATTCAAGTCCCGAGTTCCACTACCAAATTTGCCTTTCACTACAGCTAGCCATTCGGATAAAGGATACCCAACCATTCCCATCCAGTGGGGCGCTATGGTTTAGAATGCGGCCATTGCATATAGCGGTGCACAAAAGTCACTAATACGTACAATTAGATTTGTTGAGACCTGGTGGTTAGACCTTTTCGCTCTTTGAATGGTTACCATGCATATTCTTTTCTCGTTATAGATCTGCCGAATTGGAGACCGCCTGGCTATGATTATAGGTAAGCCGCCAGGGATGAGGGTATGTAAATGTCCAGAGTTCTGATATTGCTTCAGGTTGCAGTACTATAATCGTGGAGATAGACAATTCCAGATAAATCTGCATGGAACCTCCTTCCTTTTCAGGCTGAGGTTAAATGCAAAGACGTCATATTAACGGAGTCTCGAGCTCCGAGACCCACAGAAGAAGCGGAAGGGGGGGATGTCACCGTGAAAAGGGCAATGATTCACGTTGATCTGATGAAAGCCATCTACCGGCGATCTACTTTGTACGACGTAAGCTATGGTGCCCAGGTGTTCGCCCCCCATCTCCAGGGGCCAAAAGGTACATGGAGTACATGTCGATCCATGATTTATTCGGCCTTAATTTGTCCCGTGCAGTTACCAAGCTATCAATGTGGCTTGACCCAATAAAACCACACAAGCGAAATAAAGTTTTTATAAATTAACCAACTCTGGGCCTGTCGAGCCTGAGCTTCAGCCATCATTCTGCGCCCGCCAAGCACCAAGCACGAAGGCAAGCCCTTTCATGGTCGCCGAATCAAGCTGCCTGGGTGTCAACTCCACCATGATGTACCGTACATAACGGTTGCACGGATCGATGCAATTTCTGTAGCCCGCTCTCCTGGGCGCAATCTTGATCCTTGTTCTGCATTACGCCGGCCAATGAACACGAAAAAAGAAAAAAAACCTTTCTCGGTACAAAGGGGTGGTGGTTCAGACCCCGACCTGGATCGTATCGAGGGGGTTGATCGAGGGGCTTCTGCGGTGAGCGCATACCCGAGCTCTACTTAGCGCGCAAGCCCCCGCAAGGAGCCTATGTTATACTGACATCGACCGCCGGTGGGTGCGCTACTGCACGCTACAGATGTAACGAGCCGGGGCAGGCACGTCGGTAAGTCGCCGCAGGCCGTTTCTGTTCTAGGCGACCATGAGGGCCGCGCGGCCAATAAGCAATGTCCTAGGGTCACGACAGGCCACACCAGCCTTGATGCTGGGGGGTGATCTGTGTGATCAGACGCCTGATCTGCTTTTTGTATTTTACCCCCCGCATGATGCTCGGCGCGGATGGCCCAGGCAAGGACGCAAGTCGGAAAGGGCATTGACTCCACCGCCACCAAATGTCCGGCTCTAAGACCCCACGCTCGGAACTTTCATTGGTGGAAGAGCCACGCCATGCGAGGGGCGGACACATGGCCCGTTCAGTATGCAGCCAATGGATGGACAGCGGCTAATGGGGCAAGACTCGATGAACTCCAGGCCCCCATCCTTCGTAACAGAAATGAGGATCCAGGTTCCATGGGATACCGTGGGGGCTTCCGGGGTGAGGAGGAGGTTGAACCAATGGCCCATGACATAATGGGTCTTCTCCCCTCTTCTTGGATTTTCTTTGTCTCTCCTTTCTCCGATATACCCGGTCCGCACATTGAGATTCACTTCCGTACTGCAGTCTTGGGAAATCGGCGATTGGATAAGTACCTGCCTTGAATCCACGTGGCATTGGGATGGATTTCGTGGACAATCAGATTATCACTGTTCTGGATGTTTCTGCTGCATGCGCGAATTAATTATCAAACTATAATCAAAACTGGGGCATTACCAGTACCGTAAAAGATATACATAGAATACATCGAATTGAATACATCGAAAATAAATTGAATAGATGATTACTGTACAGTCAGATAAAGAGTGAACTCGAACGCCACATTGTCCTCCTCTTTTCTCTCCCTTAGCAATAGCATTTCTTATCCCTTTCTCCTCTCTGTGGATTCCCGCTCTTATCTTGTCGGTAACGGAGGCCCCGTATGCGGTCCCTGCGTTTTAGGCCTGCTTTGGTGGCTTCCCCGGACACTCTCCGCGACTCAACGTGCTCGGCCTAAACTCTTTCCCCGACTTACCCCAACCACACATCCTCTCTCTCTCTCTGCGAAGCCCTCCACGCCATCGGGACTCTTCGTGATCCCTATGCCGCCTGCGATCGGCCAGACGACAAAGCCATCATGATGGGGATCTTCAATAGAGGCAACCGCAACAATGGGGTGAGGCTTGAAACCACCTCCGGGCATCATCCCTTCCTGCTGGTGTCACAGCATCCACCCGTGTGCTCGTGGGACGATTCCGATTGAGTCGGTACACTGACATTCGACTCTCGCACAGGCTCCGAATACCCCTTCGCCCGCCCCGCCAAATCCCAAGAAGGACCCTCAAACGCCGCAGATCAGCCCACTGGAGAAAAGATTACAGGACATGGGCTCCATTCGGGTAGATGGAAGCGATAAGTTCTTTGGTATGGAAAATGTGAGTACTGCAGTGGTTGGGTCCATCCCACTTCTCCGCCCGTCGCCCTACTAACAGGACGAGACTCAGTATGGAAACACCTGCTACTGCAATTCGATCCTCCAATGTCTCTACTACTCCGTTCCTTTCCGCGAAGCCGTGATCAACTATCCCCAACGAACCCCAGTCGAGAGCATCGAAGCCGCGCTCGCTCAAAACTTGCGATACCAAAATCCGAATGCGCACCTGGAGGCTGAAGCGCAAGCCGCTAAGCAGAAGGCCGCTGCGCCTTCAGCGCGCCAGGCGGGCGTGCCACCCAACCAACCCCAGAAACCCGAAGATAAGGATTCGCCGGAATACAAGAAGAAAGTCGCCCTGCAAACCCTCCCGATCCTTGAGACGAAGAACAATGCCGCCAGCTACGGCATGTCGGAATCTCTCTTTACTTCACTAAAGGACATATTTGAGTCGCTGGTGGGTAGTCAATCACGCATTGGGATCATCCGACCGCAGCAGTTTCTGGATGTGCTTCGCCGCGAGCACGAGATGTTCCGGACGGCCATGCACCAGGATGCGCATGAGTTCTTAAATCTGCTATTAAACGAGGTTGTGTCGAATGTGGAAGCGGAGGCGACGAAGCAGAGTTTTGCAGAGAAGGCGCTGCCCAGCGCCAGCGCAGATTCGTTGGGTATGACAGGAAGCGCTGGTTCAAAATCACCGAACACGACCAGATGGGTCCACGAATTGTTCGAGGGTACTTTGACGTCGGAAACAAAATGTCTGACATGTGAGAAGGTTTCTCAGCGAGATGAGGTCTTTTTGGACCTTTCGGTGGATCTTGAGCAGCATTCGTCCGTGACATCTTGCCTGCGGAAGTTCTCAGCCGAGGAAATGCTTTGCGAAAGAAACAAATTCCATTGCGATAACTGCGGTGGCCTTCAGGAAGCAGAGAAACGCATGAAGATTAAGCGGCTGCCCCGCGTGTTGGCCTTGCACCTGAAGCGTTTCAAATATACCGAGGACTTGCAGCGACTGCAAAAGCTTTTCCATCGAGTTGTCTATCCCTATCATTTACGCCTGTTCAACACGACTGATGATGCCGAAGACCCGGATCGACTTTACGAATTGTACGCCGTTGTGGTTCATATCGGCGGGGGGCCATATCACGGTCACTACGTTGCAATCATCAAGACAGAAGACCGTGGTTGGTTGTTGTTCGACGATGAGTTGGTTGAACCCGTGGACAAAAACTACGTGCGCAACTTTTTCGGCGACCGCCCAGGTCTAGCCTGTGCATATGTCCTCTTCTACCAAGAGACGACATTGGAGGCTGTTCTTCGAGAACAGGCCAAGGAGGATCAGGCATCCTCTGCAGCAGCATCTGAGGCAGGTGCACAAGCGAATGGGTCTCTGACGCATGTACACAGCGTGCCTGTGGATGATTCACATCGACCGATCCCGCTTAGCAAGGTAACAACAGCGCCTGGTCAAATGCCTGTGCATCTTGAAGTTCCGGAGGCTGATCCAGTACCTCCGTTACAACCCGTTCAACCACCCGAGATTCCAGCTCCACCGCCGATCCCTAATGAACAACCTCCTTCTCTGAGTCCAAAGAAGAGCGATGCCCAAATCCGGAAGGAAAAGGTTCGAGAGGAAAAGGAACAGCGCGCAGCACAAAAGGCAGCAGAGAAAGCGGCCGAGAAAGCAGCCAAAGATGAACGGGAAAACAGAGAGAAGATGGAGAGAATTCAACGCAAGGAACTTGACCAGCAGCGGCAAGCCCAGATGAAACAGGAGGCGGCGGATCTCGAAAGGGCTCTCAAAGCGAGCAAAGAATCGAACAAGGCTGAAGCGGCTGACATTGGGCCTGAGAATGGATCACCTCGGGATTCTTCCAGGTTTAGCATCTTCAGACGTAGCAGTCGCAGTTTGAGCAGCAGTCTGAGCAATCGTCTCAGCAAGGACAAAGAGCCACGTGTGTCGACCTCAACTGCAGAGACTACCCCAGCTCCTGTCCTTGAAGTACCGGCCCAAGAAGAAGAGCGGATTCGACCACCGGTTCCTGCAAAGAATACTGCAGATCTCTCCAGTTCCTACACGTCAACGCAACCATTTCCACCTACGGTCCCAGAAAAACATGATCCTTATTACAATCACAGCAATACCCACCTTCCCCCTCTTTCTACATCCCCCACAGCCAAGCACATCAATCATATCAACCACATCAACAGCCCCAACGGTAATGGAAATGGTAATAGCAATGGCGGCAGCACCGACAAGACTGGCGTTGGCCACACGCATCGATGGAGATCGTTCAGCTTCAAAAAATCAGCCGCGTCATGAACAATGACTGTATTTCGACGAGTGTTTTAATTTTTTGCATCTGCCTGTTTTCGGTCGAGTTAACACCGATATACCCCCCATCATTCTGCACATACAAGCTATCTTTTTGCTTTTGCACATACATTTCGTGAATGTATCAACATTTTGATCTCATGACACGCGATACGCAGCATCGTTTCCCTTCCATTCTCCTATGGATAGCCCCAGCCTGGGATTGCTTCCACAGACATGTCTTTCTAGGCCCTTTGGATTCTGATCATGGCTTTTATTATTTTCTTTTTTTAAGTTTTCTGCGATTGCTTCTTTTCATTGCTGCTGGTTTATGTACGATGTACGGCGGCATGACACTGACGCTGGTGGGGGTGTATCCCGTCTGGCGCAAAAAGAGGCGTTTGGTTTTTGCAATGCTGGCGAGCATTGAAAGTGGGATCCATCAGGAGTTATTGATTTTCCAATCCAGCAAGTTGTCTTTTTTCTATCCATATCTTGCTTGAGCTTTAGTTTTTCATCCACCACGTTGACTATGCAATCACGTTAACTATGGACAAGTTCCCATGATTTTTCAGAATCTGTTGTCCAGTAATATGTTGTATAGCTTTTTTACGTTAGCCATGCCTCTGTGCTAGTCAATGAGTAATAACAGAGAACGCATTGCCTTTTCGCGATTCAATTGATATGATGCCTTTTCACTCGTTCTGGGTATATGGGTATATACATCGGTAATGAGACATCTAGAGCTCAAAGACAAAACCTAATCTGACCACACCGCAATAATCTTCGTCTGAACCTCGATAAGGCCTCCAGCCAAAGGATCATCCACCAAGTCTTTGTGTGGATACTACCATCCACCCCGCGCTGGTACTAGTAGCTCGTGTGTATCGTGCCGCGTGTCTTTGTAGTGATTGTTTGTAGAAACTCAAGGCCAAGAAGCCTCGATTCGCTCAAATACGTTGGAAATAATGAAGTTGGCTCAAAAGACGAGGGAGCAAGCCAGCAAGGACCGGGACCGATCCCTTGGCGCAGCCGCTTTGGTTTGTATGAAATGGGATTCGTTCAAATCAGCCGAGGATAAGCTCGTAGACGATTATAACAGTGTTTATCACGATGAGTGGTACTATTGGAATTAAATGTTAGCTTTGTTCGTTGAGCTGCTGCACCTGCTGCCTATCCAGCCCCGTCCGCGCATGCCTAGCATATAGCTACAAGCTCAGGCCGAAGCTTGCACAGGAACAAGAAACACCACAAGATGGGAGTTGTTCGTCTTAGATGCACGTACTCCGCATTACTGTTCTCACAGAAGCAATCAAGTTGATCGACTTCGCCTTTACGCTGGTGCTGTCGGCGGTCGCGCCGAAGCCCGGCTCAGCTTGTGTTCGGCCCCATCCAACTAGATATCCCCGTAAAGTTAGCCATGATTGTCGATTAGAGATTCCAGTGGGAGGAGATCTGCGATCTGTTCGGATAGGAAAGGGATGCGTACTGCGAGCGAGGAAGCGGTCCTCGGATAGGACGGCGATGGCGTTGATGAGGAGAACGATGGCTAAGATTTGAGATGTCAGCGATAACAATAGAGATCCTTTGAACATATACACACCGTAAACAAGATTCCCAAGACCGAAGAGCAACATTGTGGCGGGGAGGGGTTTAGGAACAGGGTTGCGGAGGGAAGGCGTAAGGTGAGGTTCGGGAAGCGCCAGATCTCCGGATCAACAACTGTTCGCCGCAATCATGAGAAATGGTAAAGTTGCGCCGCACAAACCACAAGATGATTGCAGCTAATATTCTACATAGGATTCGCATTTATTGGGCTTCTAGTTTTGCTCACATCATTGATTATCCTTCATATCCTCATTGCGCCTTATACTAAAGTCGAGGAGTCTTTCCATATCCAAGCTGTTCATGACATCTTGACCCATGGCTTTCCCGTTACTGAACTTGGCACTGAACGCGCCAATTATGACCACTTTGCCTTTCCTGGCGCAGTACCCAGGACGGCTGTTGGCGCAGCGGTACTCGCTAAGGCGTCGCAGCTGGTAATTGCGGTGGACGGGCGAATCGACCGCCAATTCCTAGGTAGGGCGTCGATATATCGGCAACATGGTGTTTCCATCAAACTGACAACTTGATAGCTCGAGCGATTCTGGGCTTATACAATGCCATTGCATTATCTACATTTGCATATGGTCTCCGCCGCAGCTTCGGCCAGACCGTAGCTATATGGTACTTGCTCTTCCAGAGCAGCCAGTTCCATCTGATCTATTATGCTTCACGGCCGCTATCAAACATGTTCGCATTTGGTCTGACGACTCTATCTATGCGCTATTTGCTTCCGGATAAAGTGGGCAGCTCTAGTTCCCAAGCGCAAGGTGCATACCGTCTATCACTATGCCTCCTCACTATCGCGGGCGTCATCTTCCGCTCCGAGCTGGCAGTCCTAGTCGCAACGCAGACACTGTTCCTACTACTCTCTGGCCGTATCAATCTGTTCAAAACTGCCATTCCTGCAGGCCTTCTCGGCCTTATCATCGGCCTTCTCACTACAGTATCAGTCGACTCGCTTTTCTGGCAACGCACCCCGCTCTGGCCTGAGCTTGAGGCATTCATCTTCAATGTTGTTCACGGCCAGTCCTCGGCCTGGGGCACAGAGCCATGGTTTTTCTATTTCCTTAACGCCCTGCCCCGTCTTCTACTCAACCCCCTAACCTATCTCCTCGCTATTCCTGTTGCGCTTCGCCAACCAGCAACACGCAACTCGGCGCTCTCACTACTTTTACCGTCCTTATCTTTTACAGCGCTGTATAGTTTCCAACCGCACAAAGAATGGCGCTTTATCCTCTACATCATTCCATCTTTGACAGCTGCTGCTGCTCTTGGCGCCGGATACCTCTGGACACACCGATCGCGCTCGTTTATCGCTCGCAATGCCTCCCGTCTTCTGATTCTGTCTACAATCGCATCTTTCCTGCTTTCTAATCTTGTTCTTCTTCCCGCATCCGCGGCGAATTATCCTGGTGCGATGGCGTTGAATGCTTTACATAGCTACCAAGACGGGGAGACGAGTTCTGTCAAGGATATCCATGTTTACCTTGGTAATCTTGTTTGTCAAACGGGTGTTACACGTTTCTTGCAACGACCGAGCACTGCTGATGAACGTTGGACATACGATAAGACTGAAGACGAGGTGATTAAGTCGACGGCTTCTTTCTGGGAGAAATTCGAGTATGCTCTTCTTGAGGCTTCGGCGGAGCCTGCATACCTGGATATGGATGAGACGCGTCTTCGTGACGCACTGCCTGCTTCGCAGTGGGAGACTGTTGAAGTCATTGAGGGCTTTTCGGGGGTTTCCATTCTTAGACGTGGGGAACCGGCCGTGGGAAGCGCCGAGCGGTGGGTTTTGTCTTTGGTTGGTGGAGATCATGCTATCGAGTTATTTGAACATGTGCGTGAGATGGCAAGGAAGCTTGTGCTTAAGGGTTGGTGGGTTGAGTTGAAGATGAGGCCGAGGGTGAAGATTTTGAGGCGGTTGAAAGATGCTACAGACATTTGATAAGAGTGGCCTCATAAAGAGTAGATTCCCAGGAATTGATACATAATTCGAACGCGTTTCTTTCAAGCCTTTAATGTGCAGGTAAAAGGTTCTTGGCTGAAGACCAAAGATTGAATGCAGGCAACAGAAAACACAGATACTAGGTCATCACCCGCCTAGATATGCATTTCAAATATTCTACGATATGAGTATATATAATCCGGTCATGGCTGTAGCCATGTATCAAAGGAGGTACACGCGAAACAGGGTATTATGTATCATGATAGATCTCCGCTGGGCTACTCAAAGCCCAGACTTAATAAACATAGCGATTGAGAATCACTTACAAACCACCAGGTGGACCCTCCAACCTCGCCATACGAGATTCCAGCTCGCGCACCCAAGGTTCAACTGTCTCGACGTTCGAGCGTAGCACCGACTCGCCTTGGCTCATCTTCTCTTCGACAGCCGCAAGACCCTCGCGCCACTGCTCAATTTCCGAGGACATTTCTGCGTGTCTCTTTTCCAGGTCATTCAGTGAGTCTGCCGCTTGCGCGGCACCGGAATGACAGGCGCGCAGAGAGCGCAGACGCTCTAGGACACTGGGAAGGAGAGGGTGCAAGGACTGGATGGTCGGGAGAGTAGCGTACAGAGCGTGGATCTTGGCGGTATGTTGATCATCAGCAGAAGGACCGTCAGAGCCTGGCGCAACAGCATCTTCTGTAGAGGTGATGCGAGCTGTTTGCGAAGTTTTGGAGGCATCCGCGGCGCGCTTGCGTGCTGATGCCAGTGCCTCAGCGTCTGTCGTCAACTTGCGGACGCGGGACGAGAGTGCTTCGAGATGTGGGGTCGTCATTCCGGGCACAGTAGCTGGTGTTCCAGATGTTGGGTTAGTTCCCACAAGAAGACCAGTAAGAGCGCCGAGGTGTGAGGTCAGCTGGTCAAGAGCGGGAAGAACAGGTTGCAGGGCAGGCTCGCTGAGTCCATCTCCGACGAACGGGTTGGAAGCACTTGAGATTCCCATTGATGCTTCGAGGAGTGCCAACCGGCTCTCGAATGCCGCCGCATGAGAAAGAATCCCGGTAGTGGGCAGGCCTGCTTGTGCCTGTGGAACAGTAACAGCCGCCGTCCGTCCATCGGGCTGAGATTTCGATTGATTTTGACCATCCACTTTGTTGAGCGCCGATGACTCTGATCCGAGTTTTTGGGTGAGCAAAGCAGCCGCCGAGTAAGAGGCATTGGGAACACCTCGTGACGAAGCGTGCAGGTTGTCCAATGCCCGACTCAGCTCCGCTACTCCGTCGCCCAAGTCTCCTCCCTCTTGAGATGTCACCGCAGGTTTACTCTCCACGACCGTTTTCTCCAAAGCCGACTTATTTGCCATTTCCATCTTCAAGTCCTCCACCTCTCGTCGCAGACGAGTCAATCGCCGCTCAATCGACTCGTCCTCGCTGTCGCTCAAATCTCCGACCTCTTCGGTGCCGTCTTCACGTCTCCGCCGTCGGCGCTGGCTTTTATCTTTGCTGCGATACGCTTGCCGTTTCATTGCGATATTGTCCGAGAAATTGGTATCGCGAGCGTCGACTGTGGCTCCCATGAAATGTGCGCGCGCCTGGTCGGCGTTGACTGCTTCCCGGTCGATGTCGGAGCTGGAACCGGCGTCATCGTGGTCTGAGTCTGTGCGAATGGTGCCAGTCTGATCTCGCAATATTTTGAATTAGCTTGGGTATATGTTGTCATCTTGCTTCATATCAAACTCACGGGAACGGTGGACGCTTCGTCGGTAAGGTCAGGGGTCTCGTAGATATCTGGAGCGGGGTCCTATAAGCAGTTAGTATTTTGTAATAATATTATTGAATAATTATGACTTACCAGATCTGGAAGACCAGCATATTTCTTGTTGAAAGCCATAATTGTGAAATTGGGGTGGAGGTCAACAACGCGATCAACTATAGCTGCCCGCGATCGATAGTAAGTCCGCCTTTATGCCTTACAGCCTTACGCTATTTACACCCTGCAATTCGAGGCATCAATTCCATGGCCTTACTCAGCATGCACGTGTCAGCCTCGGGAAAAACACATGCTTAAGGAAAGTGAACAGTATAGAGGAAAGGATCGACCTAAGATTGTTCCTGCAGCTCTTATAACATCTCCGAAGTACCCTCTACCTTCTTCCTAATCTCCCTCAATTCGTTGTCTTGGTACCTCGCTGCAATATCTCCAACTCACCCTACAAGATTATCCCCCACCACCCCGCATTCTAGCTCTACTACAACACAATGGCTGCTCCCGCCAATGTCACGATCAAGAACCTCAATGGGCAGTGGGTGATGGTAAGTCAAAGCCACTGAATAGTCCCATAACCCCCGAACCCTGAAATGAAGAAATATTCTAAATGACTAACGAAATTCCCATGTGTAACAGGACGCAAACCTGTCCGACCCCACTGATCCCATCCTAAATCTAGTACGTGCCATCTACCTTTGTACCATGCAAGGATTCCTAGAAAATCTGTACATGTTACAAAGATGGAAGACACGCAGAAATCACTGTGTGTTTTAAATATAGATATGAGCATTTGAGCTAACAATCTCATAGCAAGGCGTGAGCTGGTTCCTCCGCAAGGCCCTCCCTTATGCTACCGTCACATTGCACGTGAAAGAGTACGCTGACTCTGAGAACCCATTGGTGTACCACATCGATATCGATCAGATAATCACCGGTGGCATCACGGGTACTAAGGAGTCGCGTACGCTGGACTGGGAGGAGCGTAGCCACGTGGATACCATCTTTGGTACCGTTCACGGCCGTTCGCGCATGTTCCGCGGTGCTAAGGGTGATGATGGAAAGACTCGCCCGGCCCTTGACGTGCAGAGCAAGGTCGGAGAGCCAGAGGCCGACGCTAAGGTGCAGAAGTTCCTGCGTGGTGAGATCCAGCTTGATGGGTCACTTAGCGAGGGTTTCGTCGTCGATGACGAGGGCACAGAGTTCGGAGAGGGTGAGGGACTTTGGGTGCAGAGCTATGTTGTGAATCAGAAGGTTGGATGGACTGCTGAGCAGGTATGCAGCTCTTAATCTTTTCTTTGGTGAGTGGTGCTGACTTATTAGGTCTGGGGATTCGAGCTTGTTGAGGGCGAGCGCCGCTACACTCGCCGTGTTGCTGTTATCAAGGATGGCAAATTTGAATTGGGACGCCTGGTTTACACTTTCCAGAAGCCACAGGCTGAGTAGAGGAAAGTTCTAAAGTTGAGGAATTTACCTTGATGCAAAAGATTCCCGCAATATATCCTCCTTTTCGGTCGTCAGCAAGTAAAAGTAGTCCAAGTATCGTGTTCGTTAACCTGCTACATATAAGAACTCATTTCTAAAATTACTTGGTTTTGAGTCTTTTACAGAGGAACAATAACAGAGGAACTATAATAAATGAGACCGATCTTGTTCGGACATAAGTACATTTTGAGCATGAAACGGCAAAGGGCATGGTCATGAGAACGATGATGAAGCATCGACACAATTTATAAACAAACATCAGGATAATTAAGAGTGGGTGGGCATGACAACAGAAGCCTTAGTGCTAATGGCATCCTCACTCTTCCACAAGCTGGTAACGGTCTTCTGCTGGGTGTAGAAGTGCAATCCCGGCTTGCCGTAGAAGGTGTTAGCACCGCCACCAGCAATACTCTTCTTGTTACCGGTGAAAGAGAACATCGGCAGTGGGACGGGGATGGGGACGTTGATACCCAGCTGGCCAGCTTCGATGTCCTTTTGGAAACGAGAGGCGGTAGAACCAGACTTGGTGAAGATGGCGGCACCGTTACCGTACTCATTGGCGTTGATGGTGTTGATAGCGTCATCAAGGGTGTCGACGTTTACGCAGACAAGGACAGGGCCGAAGATCTCCTCCTTGTAACACTTCATGTCGGTAGTGACGTTGGTGATGATAGTGGGGCCAATGAAGTTACCGTTGGGGTACTTCTCAGGTTTGTAGCCTCGGCCGTCCAATAGAATGGTGGCACCCTCTGCCTCAGCGCTGGCAATGAGATCCTCGATGCGCTTCTTGCTCTCGGGGCTGATAACAGGACCAAGATCGGCACCCTCCTCGAAGCCACCGTTCACGTTAAGAGACTTAGCGCGTTCGGCAATCTCGGGCAACCACTCCTTAGTCTCGCCAACCATGACGACGGTGCTCAGAGCCATGCAGCGCTGACCAGCAGCACCGAAGGCAGCACCGGTGATAGCATTTAGAGCCTGGTTCTTGTTGCAGTCGGGAAGGACGGCAGCGTGGTTCTTCGCGCCAAGGTTGGCTTGGACACGCTTGCCATTGGCAGAGCCACGAGTGTAGATGTACTCGCCAGCACGGTTGCTACCGACAAAGCTGATAGCCTTGATAGCAGGCTCATCAAGGATGAAGTCCACAGTGGGAGCGGTTCCGTGCACAATGTTGATAACACCGGGAGGGAAGCCAGCCTCCTTAGCCAGCTCAGCAAGGATCATCGCAGCACCAGGGTCACGCTCCGAGGGCTTCATAACCAAGCAGTTACCAGTAACGGTGGCGACGGGAATACACCACAAGGGAATCATAGCAGGGAAGTCTTATCGAAGTATCAGCATACGAATCCAGTTTATACATACGATTTCCAAGCTTACTGAAAGGGCAGATAGCAGCGACAACACCCAGAGGCTCACGGTAGCTGCGGGTCTCCATATCCTTCGCGACCTCCAGCACCTCACCGGTCATCTGGGTAGTGATACCGCAGGCAGTCTCGGCAACCTGCAAACCTCGAAGAACATCACCCTTGGCATCAGCGAACGTCTTACCCTGCTCAAGGGTGATCGAAGCGGCCAAGCGGTCCCAGTGCTCACGGATCAAACTAGTGAACTTGAACATAATTTGCTGTCTTGCCATGATGCTGGTCGCCCGCCAAGCGGGGAAGGCCTTCTCGGCCGACGCGACAGCAGCCTTCAGCTCCTCATTGGTGCTCTGCGGTACACGCGTGATGAGGTTGTTGGTGGCAGGATCATGGAGATCAATCCATGTGGTAGCCTTGGAAGTGGTGAACTCGTTATCGAGGAAGTTCGTGGTATCAATGGGGGTGGCAATGGGGTTGTGGTCGGTCGGGTACGAAGTAGCGGTTGAAGCAGCCGAGCTAGTGGAAGGGGCGAGCTGCTGGGCAGTAACGTGCAGCCTGCGCACGGTAGAAATGCTTGAAGGGTATGAAGCACCCCGAGAGGCAAGTCTGGCGGCGGGTGTAGCAGTGGCCAGAGCCCGGGTGCTGGAAGCAGCGCGGGCAACCGCGGGCGTGCGGGGAACTGACCGAAGGGCGGGGATGGAGCGAGCCAGAGACCGGCGGGCGGCCATGGTGAATTGAAGAGATGAAAGAGTATAGAAAGATTGGTATGTTCAACGCAAAAAATAAAAGAAGAAGGCTGCGTTTGTGGCAAGGGAGCGAAGTATATAAAAGGTTGTGGTATGTAATTCTCCAAACCCGAGGTCCATCCCCCGAGGTCAACCGCTTAACTATCCGACCGCCTGGCATCGGATTTCCCCACACAATCATGGAGTGCCTTAGTCAACTTCACGATAAGCTCCATTCTCGGCGATGTGCACCAATCATAGTTGGCCTATCCGTTTACATGAATCGCCGAATTCGATGCGACAATCAGAATCCCCCAAATTGGAGCTTGCTTTCATTGTATTTTAGGCAGGCAGTTCCGATTTTCGTCAATATAAGCCCCACAGGGCTGTTCATTCCGAATGTGGTTACTATTGTAGCGGCTTGCCATTAACTGGTTTAGAATACACTTAAACTAGAGGTATTGGACACTTGTTCGATGTGAAAAATAAATTGGAACTTTGGCATTTAAACGGCGAAATTGGGGAATCTGTGACTATAATAGTCAAACCAGGGATAAGAGATGGAAACTTTGGGAAAGTATACCGGTCTGGGAATCTCCAACTGGTTAAGGTACACTGCTACACATGTCACAAGAATAAAAAAAACAAGAAAATAGGGAATCAAACTTGAAAGTGGATTCGATTTGGATTCGCGGATTTGCTTTTTCCTCCTCTTAACCACTTTACTCGGCGGAAGAGCGAGTGGTACGCTTGGTGGCACCGGTCTTGCCGGTGTCGGCAGAGGAGCTGGTGGCCTCGCTGGTCTTCTCCTTACCGGCGTTGACAGCCTGCTTACCCTTCTTCTCGGAGGGAGCGGGGCTGCTGGAGCCGATGGCACCCACAATGATGAGAATAGAAGTCAAGAGAAGAGCGATCAGGCCACCGGCAACCTCAGGAGCGGTCTTGACGGCGTGGATGGGATCCTCCTTGGCCATGTGAACGAATTGGTTGACCTTCTGGCGGACAAAAGTGACAGGGTCATCCTGGAAAGAAGTGGTAACACCGGGGGCAGGGGCCTCAGGCTCGGGCTGGGAAGCCTTCTCCTCAGCCTCCTCAATGGCGACCTTGATATCAAATGTCTCCTGGCGGAGCTTCTCAGCGTCCTCGACGGAGTGACCAATGTAGACGTTGTCGAACAAGATGTCGTTTTGCATGGTCCAAATCTCGAAACCAATGGCGCCCATGGGCTCCAGGTTGGAGGGGGTCTTGTCCTCGAAGTAGGCGGGGTTGGCAATCTTGCGGGGGGCCCAGACGCCCTTGTAGGCAGGGTTGTCAATCAGAGGAGCGGACCACGGGCCCTTGTACTCAGGGTTCTTCTTCATAGGGCGGGTCCACTCGCCGCAGCCAGAGACGTCGGCACACTTGGGGTTGGGGACAGTAGGAGGGACCCAGTCACCATCCTCCTCGTCATCCCAGTCCTCGGGCTTCTCAGCCTCGGGGTCGCCAATGCTGGTGGGCTCATCCTCGAGCCAGTCCTCAGGCTTCTCAGCCTCTTCATCCACAATCTCGAAGGGGGCCTCCTCATCCCAGTCAGCAGGCTTGGTAGCCTCGGGATCAGCGATCTTGATCTCGTCGACCCAGTCGGCGGGCTTCTTGTCCTTGGGGTCATCAATCTCCTTCTCGGGGTTGACGGCAGGAGCGAAGTCCTCCAGAAGGCTGCCCTCCTTGACAGACTCGCCATTGACGAGGATCTCAAAGGTCTGATCGGGCTTGACAATCAAGGTGTAGAGGGAGGTGACCTTGGAGGTACGGGCGACGGGGGAGTCTTCAGGTGCTTCTCCTCGTACTCGCCAGTCTTGGGGTTCTTGTGGCGGAAAATGAAGTGAACCTATCAAGATGACACAATTAGTGGGCGCTCAAAGTACAGAGCTTCCTTCCTTTCAAGCATACCTTGTTGGTAGCACCGCACTTGTCGGGACCAAACATGATCACGTAGGGAGTTCCGTTGGAGAACTCCTCCTGGTGGAGCTTCTTGTTCTCCTGGAGGAGCTTCAGGTAGGCACCACCACAGACCAGAGAGTTCTGAGGCTTGACCTCATATTGGACCACCAGGGTCTTACCCTTGTTGTCAATCTTCTTCGGGAACTTGGCGGAGATGGCGTGGTGAGCCGCCGCGTTCTTCACGACCAGACCCTTGTCGCCTTCAATACCCTTGAAGACGGTAGGCTCCTCGACAGCCCACTCGCCGACGTAGGCCCAATCCTCCTCGGACTTGGGGTCGTCCTTCTTGGCGCTGGAACGCTTCCACCGGGTCTCCCAGTCATCAGTGAACTGCTCCAAGAAAGGAGCCTTGAGGTTGGTGGGCTAGAACAAAATTAGGTGAGTCTGAAAGTCAATTGAGTGGGGGTAATGTGAGGTGGACATACAGTGAAAGTGGGCTTCTCAATGTTAGCGGCAGCGTTGGGGACAGCTTCGGCCTCCTCAGCATGGGCCACGCCCATGAGGGTGGCCGAAGAGACCAGAGCCGTGAATGCAGTGTCGAAACGCATGTTGAAGAAACAACACGGGGACAAAGAAACAAGGGGAAAGTGGTGAAAGTAAAAGACACCTGAAAAGAGGAGAAGAAAAAGCGGAGGTTATATAGAAGAATGGAGAAGGGTCGAAGGTCCAGGTGGCCTCTTCCATGCTCCCCGATCGGGACTAGCCACGGCTAATCCCAGGAACAATACATGATACTTCTTGGGGAATACTTTAGATCGGACCATCACGTAGCTTAATTAAGTCAATTAGTACTGTATCTGCTAATTAATATAGGGAATTGAGCCTCAAATTCCACACTATGCCATTCCGCCTATTCACAGGCTTTGGGTTCTCATCCGGTCGCGAACCAGAAATGATGTGCTTGTGCTAAGACCCGCGGAGCTGCAGATTTCACCCCGCCTTATTGGATGTGTCCGTTACACCTTCTTCAACCATTCGGTTGACCACGTCTCACTTTTGATCCTAAGTAAGTTGCTTACTGAAACTTGAGTGTCGACCCTGGCCCAAGTCTGATTTGCCCTTATCCCTTCCGCAGCCTCCCTGCCCCAAGCCCTTACTCGTGCTGACTGCGCAGCCCACCATGTGCGCCGATGACCATAAGGCCGTTGAGGCCGTCAACAACGACTACCTGGTGCAGTCAGATGATCCTGAGCACCCGGCGAATCTCATTCCAGAGCTTTGCCGCCGTTTCTACAATTGGGGTTGGGTTACTGGCACTGGCGGTGGCGTAGGTTTTTTTTTTTTTTTTTCTCTTTCAGCGCGTCCATTGCGCCAACGACCCCACTGAATGCTGAACAACAAATAGACGTCCATCCGTCATGGCGACCACATCTTCATAGCTCCCTCGGGTGTTCAGAAGGAGCTGATGAAGTCTGAGAACATTTTCGTGGTTCAATGGCCTACCAAAAAGTACCCCGCTGAAGAACGCAACTATATCCGCAAGCCCCTCAACCTGAACCCCTCTGCCTGCACTCCGCTGTTCTTGACAGCCTTTGAGCACGGCGCAGGGTGCTGCATCCACACTCACTCGCAATGGGCCGTCCTTGTGACCCTGTTGGTGGAGCGCGAGAAGGGTCCCGATGCGTGTTTCGAGATTAACAACATTGAGCAAATCAAGGGTATTCCCCGTGGCAAGGGCAAGGGCATGCTTGGATTCTTTGATACTCTGAGTATCCCCATCATAGAGAACACCGCTTTTGAGGAGGACCTGACCAGCGGCCTGGAAGCTGCGATGAACAAGTACCCCGACACCTACGCCGTGCTCGTGCGCAGACATGGAATGTAAGCATTCCATCCTTCAGATTTTGTGACTTGTGTCAACAGTTGAATTTGATCACTAATACCGCCATAGCTATGTCTGGGGTGACAATGTCGCCAAAGCAAAGACCCAGTGCGAGTCTCTTGACTACCTGTTCCAACTGGCTGTCGAGATGCACAAGTTGGGCCTGCCCTGGATCAAATAGACACTCAGATACCCGAGCACACACAGTATACCGGTGCAGGACAGAAAACGCGGGTAGTACATAGATTGGCCAGTCCTGGGAGTCCCAATCGAGATGATGAGACGTATTCACGGAAACCCTGTCGCAAAGTGTGCGTAGCAGATTGCACCGAGGCCACCGTATCTCAGATTCACAAAATACATCGTAGAAGGCAGTCTGTAGCTTAGGAAAGATGAAGACTAAAAAGATAGGCAAATGTAAGGAAGTTGTTGGAAACTGCGTGGGACAACAACACCTTGTGGGCTGAAGCGGGATCCCGTGAGTGACTAAGGACCGCGGATCACCTCCACTCTCCAACTGCCAGCTTCCCACTTACCAGTACATCCAAATCCTCTGAGCTTTGGAAAGCCCCTTGAACCAACATTGATGCAGAATTCTTGAATCGCTTCCCTGATATCCTTCTTTTCCTACCTCTCTACAATATCGTTGCCAAACAATGGACCTCGATAATGGCGACTCCCCGTGGGGCGGTAGGCAGTCATGATCCCACTGTTTGGATTGCGATCTAATCTAGATGCTAGATGAGCCCTCATCGTTCAAGGCCAGCAATGCCCCTTCGAAGCCGGATACCCAGGAGGATAGTACGTCTAGCTCTCCAATTTCTCTATTCGCCCCTCACTAATGGGTCGACTCCTTGCAGCTTCAGCTCCCGCTCCCGCTCAACCCGCACTGTCCGAGAGCAGGGCCGAGGTTCGCACACCTGGAAGACGAGGCCCACGGGGCACTCGCAAGATAAGCGCACAAGCGACACGATTGGAAGCGGTTGATGATACTTTCGACCCACTTGGTCCTCTGGGAGAAGCACCGACGGAGACCAGTGCAACACCCACCGACGAAGCTCCGGCGCCGCCCCAGAAAGAATCGCTTGCTGCACGCGGCCCTCAACCACCTTCAACCTTTTCGCAAATCTCAGTTGCAGGAAATCTGGCCGATCCGATTAACTTGGAAGAGGATGGCACTGGATTCCGAGGACCTCCGCCCGTACAGCCTGCAGCCGACGCAATGGGACCAAAGCGACAGACACAGCCCAGCATGAGCGTGGAACAGGCCGCAAAGCCCACATTCGACATTTCCGTCGGCGATCCTCACAAAGTGGGAGATCTGACTAGCAGTCATATTGTTTACCAGATTCGGACAAAGGTAGGAGCTTCCTTTACGCATGATCATAGATGGAGAAACTGATTATTCTACTTGATCTAGACATCGTCTAAAGCATACCGTCAGCCAGAATTTGCCGTCAGCCGTCGGTACCGCGATTTCCTTTGGCTGTACAACTCCATGCACAATAACAACCCAGGAGTGGTTGTTGCTCCTCCACCGGAGAAGCAGGCTGTTGGTCGGTTTGATACCAATTTTGTCGAGTCCCGCAGGGCTGCTCTGGAACGCATGTTGAATAAGATTGCTTCGCACCCAATTCTCCAGCACGATGGTGATTTGAAGATATTCCTCGAAAGTGAGGCTTTCAATGTCGATGTCAAGAATAAGGAGAACCGGGAGCCCGATCTCGGCCAAAGTAAGGGCATGTTTGGCTCATTCGGCCTCTCTGTGGGCGGAGGAAGTAAGTTTGTGGAACATGACGATGTAAGTTGACCCATTAGGCACTCATGATCAGTTTACTAACTTCCCAAAAAGTGGTTCCACGACCGTAAGGTTTATTTGGATGCGTTGGAGAATCAACTGAAGGCACTCATGAAATCCATGGACACCGTTGTTGCGCAACGAAAGGGCCTTGCCGAAGCCGCAGGCGATTTTTCGACCTCACTCCATGCCCTCTCTGCGGTTGAACTCTCACCAGCACTGTCCTCGCCCTTGGACGGCCTGTCAGAGCTTCAATACCGAATCCGAGAACTTTATGAACGCCAGGCCCAACAAGATGTTTTGACATTAGGAATCACTATTGACGAGTACATTCGCTTGATTGGCAGTGTCAAGACAGCCTTTGGACAGCGACAAAAAGCTTTCCACAGCTGGCATTCTGCCGAGTCTGACCTTCAAAAACGCAAGAACACTCAGGAGAAGATCCTTCGCCAGGGAAAAACACAGCAAGATCGTTTGAACCAAGTCAATGCCGACGTTGCCGATGCTGAGCGCAAGGTACACCAGACTCGATTGCTATTCGAAGACATGGGTCGTTTGATGCGGAATGAGCTGCAAAGGTTCGAGAAGGAGAAGGTAGAAGATTTCAAATCTGGCGTGGAGACATTCCTGGAAAGCGCCGTAGAAGCTCAGAAGGAGGTAGGTTCCACTTGGCATCCTTCAAAATCTCCCTTACTAACCTTTTTCCAAATAGTTGATCGAGCTGTGGGAGACATTCCTCTTGCGTCTCGATGCTGGAGAAGATGGTCTTCCGTACTATGTTCCCCCTTCGTCTGGCAATGCCGGTGAAGAAGTGACCCCTGGGTCATCGCACGTTGACTCAGGACCAGTGGCCAATGATGAAGAGTGATGCGATCCATCTGTATAACTTCAGGGCTTGAATGCTCCAACCAAAGCTGGCCCACGCATATCCCAGCTCCACCTTATACTCCCAATGACATTCCCGTTCAGCCCTTTTCTTTTCCTCACGCGGCCCCCTCGATGACTTACTTCGCACGAGTTTTTTTTTCTTTTTCTCTCCACATTTCGTACTTACTTTCACATCCAATACCACTAGTCATATTCTCCAAGTAGTCGATATCAAATCAAAAGGATTCATTGATAGCTTCGCGGAACTGTATCCCGTTTTATCTTACTCGGTTACAACAACCGGTTGAACAACAAAGCCAGCTCGAGATAGAGATATTGACTGACCGACCACCTACATAACTAGGATCCTAATGGATAGACCGATAGTGCTGGTACATCAAGTGAGCAGACCAGGGTTTCCAAAGCTCTTCTAGAACATGACCTTGGGAGCAAAGCGCCAGGTCTTAATTGACAAGTCCGTATTTGGTAAATAGTCGAGTGTTGGCAAAAAGGTTAAGGGCTGATACACACAAGTAAAGTCTACTGCTAATATCAATATCTCACTACTCCGAATATGAGAATCATGGATCATCGCCTCTGTTCACGAAAACCGTTAGTGCTGACGCTTCGGGCTCGGCCGCATTGAATACCCAGTTTAAGACAGTTCATGGTCGATCAGAAATGAGGAACATATCGCTAGTACCTACATAGTTACAAGCTCAATGCCTGTAAACTGGAAGATCTTTCATTGCAGAGTTGAGCTCCCTCAATACGTAGAATTAATCTGAGAAATATCGGGAATACCGCCATGAAACCCGACACCCAGGGCTCGGAAACCAGCCGCGCGAACGTGCAGGACTCCACTTTGTAAAGCATGATGAGACGCTAAACTATCCCGGGACTGGATCCTCCCGGATTTCTTGACACTTCCATCTCTAGCTGGGATTATCCAGGTGACAAATGTCCCTTGATTGGACCCTCAAACTATCATATGCCGGTCAAACAAGACAGCCAGAAAATTAGCTGAAAAGCGAAACTATCAGTGATTCTGATCCGCCATTACCGGGCTAAGATCGGTATGGACATCTTGAGTTGTTTTTGATGGATGGTTTTCAGCCCCCAACAGACGGTATGAAACCATAGCTTTATCGCATCCTTCGTAGTGTGGGTATCAAGCCTGGAAATTTCTCCATGGTTAGACCCTGAGCTCTGTTTAGTCTATTTATATAATGTCAGCCTTCTGATTGTCTGACCAAGCATATTTTCTCTCCTTCTCTTTTGCATCTTGCGTCGCTTGGAGCAGTGTACTTTTATTTCATACATTCATTATGACCACTACCGGCCCGACGTCTACATTTATAGCTGCGGACTACACTACCAGCCCTGATTTTCAGGGTTGGTATCTGCAAACAACTCGTGCGTGACGCCCCACCCTGTCAGATAGGGTTATTGGCAACGGTACTGACTCGTGGTAGCGCAATCCATCATCTGTGGCACAACTGAGACCTACTATACGAGCGACTACTACGCAGGATGTTCCAATCCAGCAACCTCTTTGCCCATGGCCACGGGATGTGACAGTGAAACATTACTATACAATGATGATTCCTACGGCGTGTGGTATGTAAATCCTTGCACAATGCACCCCTACTCCCTGCCCATCTTTACATATGTTGACAGACATGACACAGCCCCACATCCTACTCATGCGGCTCTTATACCATCTTCCCAACAGAAGGAGCACCAGTATCTGACGCTGTATACTTTTACGAATGTTTGATGAACTGGGCTGCCAACAGCATCTACCGAACCCTACCAGCACGTTACGAATCATCAACCATTGCCTCGGCAGTCAGCGAGACCGCGACAACTGCCGCACCCAGTACGAGCTCCAAACAACACGGCCTCTTATTTCATGTCATTGATGCTAACATAGCAAACCCTTTCTTTCAGCCTCAACAAAAAATCAACACACCGCAACAAGTACCTCCACCCCAACATCCACCAGCACTTCGACCAACAATTCCAATTCTACCGGCCTATCAGGTGGTGCAATCGGTGGCATAGTAGTCGGCTGCGTCGCCGGTGTTACTATCGTGCTTCTACTCCTCTTCCGCAGAAGAATCATGACCTGCTTCGGTCGTAGCAAGCCGCCTACTAATGACGGTCCCACCTGGTCGCCGGTCTACATGCCGCCGCAGACCCAGTCGATGGCGCAAACAGAGGACTCTGGGTGGCAACGGCCATCGGAGATGTCTTCGGAGCAGAATGCCATCCATGAGATTGGTTCATCGCGAGCGGAGCAACGGGTGATTCATGAGCTGAGCTAGTGGGCCTTCATATTGATGAAGATGCTTTAGTTTTTATTTCCATACCCGGAATCTTGGGTTCCAAATTTAATTTAGATTTATTTACCGGTCTATGGCCATATATATACTAATTCACGAGAGATATGGTTTATTTTTAAAAGGACAAAAGACATAACAAGTGGCTAGCGTTGGCAATGGCAGCTCTCGCGGCCATAGAGAGGGAAATTCTTAAGGCAGGTCGAGCTTGCCGATGTTGGAGCAAGAGCCAACCTGTGATTCGGGTTTGTAGGCTGTCTTGAAAAAGGCAGTCGAGCCCAGGTTCCGCCTTGCAATTCATGCACCACCAGGAGTCGTATATCTTCCAAGGTTGAATATAACTTGAAGTGCTGCTCCATTTGTAGACTTATGAGTTACAACCTGAATAGTACATAGGTTCTGAAGCTTTTGTATGTTAAATGACATACCAACTTTGACAGACTTTTCAAGATAAAATCCCCCAACTGAAGGGGGTGGAAGAAAAGTATGTTGTAAACGTAAGAAGTAGTATATAGGCAAGATTCCGCAGGGAAGAAAGAAAATACAACTTGAGTATTCATGCTACCCATGTACTCAAAACCAAACTACCAGGCGCTTGGTAACTTCAAATCTCATCCTTGCCGGGCCATTCAAAAATTAGTCTAGTAGACCGGGACCTTGAAAGCGGGGAACTCATAAGTCCAGCTCTCATAAGACTTGCGGTCAGTCACACAGTCAAAGGTGGTGTTGCTGCGCCACATAGGACGAGAAGGCCACTGGCACAAACGCTGAGTCTCGCCAGAGTATTCGCCAGAGGAAACGGTAGCGTTCAAGCGAGCGGGCCTGATGCCGTTCTCAACCCAGTCGATCATTGTCTCCATGTTGTCCTCGGGGTAGGGACCAGGCTGGAGAGAGTTGGTTGCGCAGTGGGCAGCGCCGGGAACGAGGTAGAGCTGATACCACTCCCGGAGCTTGGCGAGGCTCTCCTTCTCGGACAGACCGGGGTACATGATCGAGCGAACGGATTGCCAGTAGTGAATTGATGAAGCGGTGGGAACACTCGGGTCAGATTCACCGTGGTAGTGCAGGAGCTTACCTCCGTTGGACTGGAAGGTTGTGAGGTCGGGAACGGTGGTCTGTAGGGAGTCCATGTAGCGGACCATTGCCTCGTTCATCCAGTCGACGAGGGTGTCGTAGGTCACACCATCGAGGTTGGAGAGGTTGGAGAGGTCTTGAAGTTCGATGAACATAGCGACGAACTCGCCACCGGTGGAGGGAATATCAAGACCCCACTCCTTGGTGTTGTTGTTCCATTCAGTCTCTGCATCAGTGAAGGATGCACCAACCTGGTAGGAGAGGTAGGCACGATCACCGTTAGAATCGAAGAGACCATCGTAAATAGCCTGGGCAACTGCGACACCTTCGGCAGACACAGATCCACTCTGAGCTGGTTGGTAGCTGGTGCTAGTGCCATCAGAGCGCTTGACGATGGATCGCTTGCCAAAGTTGAAACCGAGAGAAGTGCTGGTCTCAGCAGCACAGTAGTACTTCTCTCCAATGATAGAGGTCAAGTTGAAGTTGAGCTTGCACAAATCGATCGAGAAATAACGCCGTCAGTGCGGCCATCAAGGGGATCGCAAGCCTTGATAGTGGCATTCACAATCTTCTCCATCTCACAGGGCGGGGGGTAGTAGCCCTTTGTCTGTTCCACAACGGCAGAGAAAAGGTGGTTAACCTGCTGCTGGCCATAACGGAATGCCGGAGCTCCAGTGATAACACCATCGTACTCGTCACCCCAGCGCTGGATCTGGCTCATACCCTGGCGACCTCCGTCGGAGCAACCCTCGTAGTACGTGTAGATCTTCGAGTCGGTTCCATAGAAGTTGCTAGTGATATGTTTGCCGAGCTGGGTCATTTCACCAAGAGCCTGGTAAGCAAACATGTAGGTCGCATCCCAGTTGATCGAGCCATTGCCATAAAGGAAGACCTCATCAACAGTGACACCGTCCAGAGCCCCATATCCCGCGGAGGTAGCACCACCAGCGGCACCGTAGATGATTCCACCAGTCGAGCTAGTGGACAGGGAGTAACCGAATCCGCCTGCAACGTAGAAACGGTTCTTGAAGTCGGAAGGTTCAGGGAATGCATATTCAACGACGACTGAGTCACCTTTGCCGGGGTGAGTATACGTAACGGTCACGTTGCAGTAGCTGTAAGTATCGCTGCTGCCCATGGAGGAGACATTGTAGAGTGCACCAGCAGTTGCAGAAGAGGGAATCACGTTGATACCAAGCAAAGTGCCATTCGAAGGCAGGGCGCTCTTCACGTTGGACACAGTGCAGACATCAGCAAGGCTTTTGGCACTGGCAAGCGTGGAGCTAGCCAAAAGGGCGGCCACCGAGGGACGCATGGTAGGAGAATCGAAAGGGGTACCAAAAACGAATGTGTTGATAAAGTGGAAATAGATGAAGGAACGAAGGCTGTGAATCAGAACAATTTTGTTATCTTTCGAGGATTGCCTCCATACTTATATGATCAGGATGATATTTGAGCACGGCCATGTTTCCTAAGATGGTGATTTCCCAAGATGATGAAACCACTGATCTTGGTTTGTTTCTAGTTGAGATATATGGGTGTGGGGCCTGTGGATGTGACGAAGCCTCTCCATGTCTACCTTATTTTCACATCCGTAGCGTGGAACTGTATGAAAAAAGCTCTTCCCGACATGAGGCCAATCGTCCACGTCATGCAAGGCAAGGCTCCAGCATTTACTCCGTGTACCTCACGTTAATTAGCCTTGCTCTCGCGATTGTGGATGCAGGTACCTGCATTGCCCTGATACCCGGAGTATGATTCTGCCGACTTCTCCACTAGACTCCACTATATAGAGACTAAAATATTTGATGGTGTTTCTTTCCATGGTTAGCTGAAAGCTATTCACTGAACTAATTCAACATTAAAATACAAGGGACAATGGGTTTGTTCTGATTGTTGTCATCTAGCTTTCTGTTGCCCAATGTTTGATCACATTTGCCACTGGTCGATTGGCGGGTGCTCTTACTGCCAGTCCATCTGTGAGTTCTACTTGATATACGGTTGGCCGCGGAGGCTTCTATGAACCTTCCGACAATTCCCCGAGGCAGATCAAAACACTGGATTCCCACACCCTTACAATATGTTCTTGACGCGTAAGCACATCGCTATCTTCGACCAAGAGTTCTAGACACGGCAAGCCGAAACGGCCACTGCAGGAGCCTGGCAGAAGATGTCCCGAAGCTTCTAGACCCGCTGTAGATGATATTATGTGTCTGGAATAGGTTAATACTGAAATAAGCCTCAGATTCCACCCTGAATACTACCTAAGTGGGTCGTGCAAATATCTCTCAAACCGTATTGGGTAACGGCTTTCTGCGAATATACGTAACTGTTCGTGTGGAATGTCCTTTTGCTCTGTATATGAAACATGAAGTTGTTCTAGTGCGAGCCTGGAAAAGCTTCTATTCTTTGAAATCGTTAAGATGATAGCCTGGAAGAAAAACGCCATGGACATAGAGACAGGTTTTTATTACGGGATATTCAAGGCATATCGAGACAACTTGCGTAATAAAAACTCGTCAGCTAAGCAGGCTGATCGAAACCCTGAATTAAAGCGAATGAAAGTTATCAATCAGGATCAAAAACGTTGTGGCGTTGGTTCTACCGAAACCGTCGGGGGAATTCTCGAGTGCTTTGGCGATATTAGTGGGGCAAATGGCCAGCGAACCATTCTTGGTACATGGACGGTGTTTCCGGATCGGCTTGATTCCTGAAGAACCAGACTCTTGTATCCCTGAAGATCCATCCTTGGTGTCACATGTCACATACTCTGATTTTCCCTGAATCATCTTTACAACTATTGTCATTTACCTGTACTGTCGTGTAGATCAAAATGATGTCTAGACAAAGACCTGTTCTTTTTGAAGAAACCGGAACACTTTGTAGGCTTTTCTCTGCCACCACGGCCGTTCTGGTAGCATCGGTACACCTCGGGCCTCTATCCTTTCCGGGAGAGGGCCGGTGACGAAAGGTTTCGGCCCGGTGAAAATCACATCGCAACCGAGATTAACGAAAGTGAATTCGGCTTAATAGATACGTTCGGCTTAATAGACATATTTCGGTTCGGCTCAAAAAAGCTCGTATGACGGAGATGGTCGAAACAAGAAACAATGGAATGGTTTCAAAATTCTTTCCGAATCTGTGACAACAGGAGCTTTGCAAATGTTAGTTTCCTTTGCCAACAATTTGATCGACTCCTATCTTCAGGATCGTCATGACTGATTGCCTTTGTCCGCCCTCATGGAGTTAACAGCTCTTGCTGGAGGAAGAGACTAGAGTTCTGGCCTTCTTGGAATCGTCGCATCTTCACACGGTCAAAGCCAGCAGAATAGGGAGATAGGAAACAAGGTAGGTGGTCCACCTTTTACGATCAAAAGCCAAAGCAGGGGAAGATATGTTCTTTGGCTGACGTCTTCAACGCATCGAACAGAATCGTAATATCTCTCCGGGCACAGTGCAGATCATTGTGGAAGCAATTGTTTTTGTGACGATAATCAAGATGCAACTCTCAAAACGAAGCAGCGGCCCACTTATCAGCTTGAGCTACCCTTTTGTATGCATAGGACAGGACCACAGTGCCTCTCGGTACATGCAGGTGATTATCGAGGTCATTCACTTCTGGATCAAGGAACACCGTTCCATATCCCAGCTATACACTCATGGTCATATTATTGGCACAAGGGTACATGGATTACAATGTCGGAATAGGGTATCCAAGCTTGAAGAAGTCATGCGACCAAGAGACCCGGATGTTTCTGTCTCCGGTGGTGTATGACGCACTGTCAAAATATTGGGGCAAATCTAACAACGAAATGATGGCTGGCCGTTCTTTGCTTATGATGTTTCAAACAGTCTCTGGTGTTGCAGGACTGACCAATCGTCTCATCAGATCAACACTTTAGTCTCGTACTTCAAAGATGGCTCATGATACTCTGCAATAGCATCAGGAGACCAGAGAAGACGGGGGTTTGGAGAAAACCGGAAAAGATTTCTCTTCAAGGCGGGTGCCGATTTGAATTGGGCTTTTGGTCTGGAGACCGATCACAAAAGTGAGAACACAAATGCCTTCATTAATGCTAGTGAGTCACGCATATGTAGGCTAGATTACCTTTAGAGGCTCTTGTCTAGACGAAGAAGACATTGTGATAAAAAGGAAGGACAAGATGCTGAGTCACCCTCGTCCAGTGCATCAGCTAGGTTTGATTGACTTGTCTTAAAGGCTTCCACATAGATTACAAACCCCCTTTTAGATACCAATTCGCGCTACAGACTAGACTTATGAGCCGTACTGGAAATGACGCACAGTTGAGAATACCTTGTCTATAGAGGTGCCACTGGGACCTTACCCAAGCACCCCTCATTTAAGAGGGTTTGATATCCAATGGTTTATGGAAGTGGACATCCATCCTGAGTTTCCGATTATAACCCGAGATTCCGAGCATAACAGGTCATCTTTCAGGTCTTTCAGGCTAAATAGAAGTCTTGAATCTTTACCCCGCATACTTGAGATCCGGGGACGTGGGGAAGCGGGCTGTATAGTTCCACCAGTCATGTTTAGTTCAGAGCACATTGAATACCGCTTGATAATGGATTCCCTTGTGAAATAATTTACAGGAAATTCATTCGCATGCAGTCATCACTATGCGCCGCTTTACGTCTCAGGTCGCTATTTTTCTGTTGCTCGTTGTTGGAGCCGCAGCGAGGATTTCTCCCGCTCAGAGACGGAATGTAGTCCGCTCGTTCAACCCGCACCGTAACGTCAGCTCTTCAACAACGCCCCTGCAGGTTGGCAATGGCAATTTTGCGTTTGGGGCAGATATTACCGGTCTACAGACATTCTCGCCTTTCGCCATCGAGAGCTCTTGGGCTTGGCATAATTTCAGTTTACCTATTACTTCTAATCAACCCTCTCCTTCTGGTAGGTACTCCGTTGTTGAGAGGCGATATGGTACTGATAGGCTATGTGGATCAGATTTCACAGGGTTAGACTGGTGGACGCATGATCGATTTGTCAATTATGATATGCCCAACCCAGCCGAAGAAGATATTTCCAATTGGCTCATTCAAAATCCTCAAAGACTGAGCATAGCCAATATCGGCCTTTATTTCCCGGGACAGAATATCACCGAGGAAGATTTGCTCTACAAGTCCCAGGATTTAGATATCTGGGAAGGAACTATCCAGTCCTCGTTTCGCCATAATGGATCCAAGGTCTCTGTCCAGGTTTGGTGTCACCCAGCCGACCCTACTGTAGGAATACAGATCAAGTCGGATCTGCTAGTTTCTGGAGGCTTGGGCGTTTTCTTTGATTTTCCCAGCTCCGACACTAATAAATTTGACGCACCTTTCGTTGGCGTGTGGAATGATAACACCAATAGCACAGTGCACATGAAATCGACACCTGGCATGGCCTCGTTTGAGCACGTCCTTGACAATAATATCAACCGACTGGGAGTTAAGTGGAATGCCAAGGGCACTGTCTCTGGACCCTTGGCTGGGACAAATCGATTTATCCTCACTCCTTCAGGGTCGAATACTCTGCAGCTTGTGGCGGACTTCCAGTCGGCTAGCAACACTCGCTATGACCTCCCATCATTTGAGAGCATTGCGGCTGCGTCCAAAGAGTGGTGGGAGGATTACTGGACCTTAGGTGGTTTTATAGACTTGTCAGCCACTGATAATGTCAATGCCACTGAGCTCCAACGCCGCATCATCCTCTCACAGTACCTTGTTGCAGTGAATGAGGCGTCAAATAACCCTCCTCAAGGTGAGCCATTGAAATATCATTCCCTTGAAAGCCACATTGAACTAATGTTTTCTTCCAGAATCTGGTATGTGATACCTCGGTATATTTTACTCCATCCGGCTACTGATAACTCCTAGGACTCGTGAATAATGGGTGGTACGGAAAGTTTCATGTGAGTTGCGTCTTGGAATCTTTGCTTCGACTACCGAGAGCTTATAGGATACTAATTGTGGTATAGCTTGAAATGTTCCTATGGCACAGTTTACAGTTTGCCCGGTGGGGACACTATGACCTTCTTGCCCGTAGTGCCCCGGGCACATATAAAAGATTTCTCCAGTCCAGCATCGACAGAGCCAAAGCACAAGGATATGAGGGAGCCCGCTGGGGAAAGATGACCGACCCGACAGGCCGAAGTGCCCCAGGTGAGATAAACGCGTTACTGATCTGGCAACAGCCTCACGTCATGCATTTCGCCGAATACGCCTACCGCGCCGTTCCCAACCAAGACACACTACAAGAATGGGATGATGTAATAACAGCCACTGCCGACTTCATGGCCTCATATGCGTGGTGGAATGAGACAACCAAATTATACGATCTGGGTCCTCCAATGTACCCGGTCAGCGAGAATACCAGCCCTAACAGTACTATCAACCCGACCTTCGAGCTTGCATACTGGCGCTTTGGTCTGGAAATTGCTATTCAGTGGAAAGAACGTCAGCAAGTCTCTGTACCGGAGAAATGGGTGACCGTGAGAGATAATCTCGCTCCGCTTCCTGTTATAGATGGTGCCTATGCTGTTTACGAAGGTATCCCTGATATGTGGAAGGTGAATAGTACCACCGTACAGGATCATCCGGCCATGATTGGCATTTATGGCTTGCTTCCACCTCCGTTGACTGGTACACCACTCAACCTGACTACTATGCGGCATACTGCTAAGCTTATCAAGGAGCTTTGGGACTTAGGGGATTCTTATGGGTGGGACTTTAGTATGTTAGCTATGAACAGTCTGCGTCTTGGAGACATGGATCAGGCCATCGCGTATCTTCTTGACCCTTACTATGTTTTTGACGATGCTGGATATGCTGAAGGGGGAGTTCGGGTCCCCACTCCGTACATGCCTGATGCTGGCGGTTTGTTGTTGGCCGCTGCTATGATGGCTGGAGGCTGGGATGGAAACGAAGGCCCTCATTTCCCTGCAGATTGGGACGTCACTGTGGAAGGCTTCAGTCCCAGCCTCTGAGGCTAGACCACTGTTTTACGAAGCGGTGGTCCATTTCCAAAAAGAAAGGCAGGTCGGGATATCAGTATAATGAAGCAAATGGGTTTGATGCACAAAAAATAAGACATATGTATAATGTACAAGATAGATGACACAAAATAAGAAGCCCAACTCCCGACCAATGGTCTTACACTCTTTCTTCTCTTGCAAATATCTCAAGGGTGATATTCCCCTCACCACTTCTTCTTCTTCTCTGGAGGCGGCGCCTCACTCTGTCCAAACGAACTGATCAAGTCCAAAAGGTTATCCTCTTCCTCCTGATCGGCCTTCTCCTGGGCCTTCGCAGCCTCCTCTTGGGCCTTAGCAGCAGCAGGATCCACCTCAGCAGCAGGGGCATTGGCATCGAAGCTCCGACCGAAACGCGATCGGAAAGCAGCGAGTCGACCAGCTTCGTCGTCCTCCACATTCATCAGCTTGCTGCTGGAAGGGTTCCACAAAAGCGAGTTGCGGGTATCACGCGCCGAGCGGTACACGGGCACGGGAGAGGTCGTGCGGTGGGTGAAGGCGCTGCCGTCGGAGAGCGTGATGAGTTGGGTGAAGGTATAGGGACGCTTGGGGCGGCGGAGAAGAGTAGCGTGTCGGCATTGCGAGCAGACAAAGGTTGTGGACTTGGATTGAGTGGAGGTAATTTGGCTTGAGGGGAGGATGGTGCTTGTTGAGCTGGATATTGTGGCCGCGGTGCGGCGGAGGGTGGTGTGCATCGACATTGGGTTGGAGGTGCTGCGCTGCAGCTGATGGCCTAGGTCGGTCTGGTATCAAAGGATCAAGTTGGCCCCCTGGGTGATGTGTGCGGTGGGCTGGAATGCAATTGGGAGAGGAGAGGGTGAAGTTGATGCTATACAACTTGCGTTGCGGAAGAGAAATTATCGCGGGTTATGTAAGCAGCCCGGGATTTTTGCGGACTTCCAGCTTGGGAGGAACTTGCTCGTTTTGAGACTCGCAACGGAGTCTTTGGCATGAAGCGACGAGAATTATAGACCTGCCCTTGTCTTCTATCTTTTTGTGCAGTCGTTCTGTGTGCCGAGCGACAAAACCACTCGGTTTAATCGGCGACATGAACTTGTCGGTCCCGCGACTTGCGGCCCGCCGCGGAGGTAAGTTTCGCTATTTGTTTATCAACCCTTTCTCCGATGACTTATTTCTAAATTTATTCAGGGGACTTAAATTCCGGAATCTCATACATATCTTCGCGCAATCTCTCGTCTCTTCAAACTCTATCAGCGCGGCTATCCCACCAGCGCAATCTACCATGCTCGCGACGAAATATCACCAGTGCTTCGGCTCTCAACGCCCAAGAAGCCCAACCAACGCCTACAAATGAACAAGCACAATCATCAAAAACCAATACACCACCTAAGAACTCCTCCGCATCCTCTATATCCGAACATGTTCGCCTTCTCATGCGCCAAGTCCCCTACCCCGTCGCCATAATCACAGCAACAGATCCCAGCGGCGCATCAGATACATCCTCATTCCGTGGTATGACAGTATCCTCTTTCAATACCGTTACCCTTACACCAAACCCGGTCATCTCGTTCAATGTGCGCAGGCCATCTGAGACATTAAACGCTCTTCTCACCTCGCAACGATTCCTGGTTCATTTACTTGCTCCGGGGCCCGCAACTGCTACACTCGCGCGGGATTTCTCGAAGGGCAACACCACACTTGCCAGTATACTGAATGGGCATGGGGACTTTGAATTCAGCGCTTTGCCAGCTTGTCCAGGAGGCCAGAACTCTGGATCTGTGAGACCTCTTCCTATTTTGAGGAGGAGGGATGGCCCGAATGAATTAACGAAAGATGGAGGAAATGCTGATTTTCCATTCGTACTTGAGTGTACACTACATCCGCAGAAAATTGATGTGCAGGATCACTCGATTGTGCTGGGGACTGTTGTTCGTGCAATCGAGGGCGAGGATCTCGCGCTTTCAGAGCGACATTGCGCGCAAAAGAGTGGGAATGAGCATTCGGCAGAACAATTATGTTTGTCGTACGCTAATACTAAATTTTGGAAGATGGGAACTGAGATTTGAGCTGGAATACAGTTGATTATACCATATCAGGCCGGGTTCCAAGGTTGTTGGACAGTGGCATTGTACATTATTAGATGCTCAGGCGAAAAAGCGCTGCTACCGACCCTGGAGCTTCGCTGTTATCGCAATTCCAAGTTGTTAATATAGAATTTCAGTCAATCTAGACAGCAATCTTCATTAAGTACGAGACAGGTGTTTCCAAATAGCAGCAGATAGCTTTGGATAAATGTGCCTATGATTACAGCTTAACAAATGGAAAGAAAGTTGATTTAAGGTTATTGGGTATTTATACCTATGAGGGGAGTCAGATCCACTTCCAGAAGATTGTTGGAAGCGATTCCTGCAGGCTAGCTGGCGTGCCCAGGTGAATTCATCGGGGAACATCTATGGCATTGAGGGTCCATTTTTCGTGTACTTCGTTGATGTGGCTTTAAATGTATGTAAAACATCCCTTGCGTGGGCATGAAGACCAATAAAGTACGCAAAACCCGATTTAGGACTCCTTAAATGCCCTATATACTATCTCGAAGGGGAGTGAAAACTAGTGCTCTATCACACTAACGTTGCAAACGTTGGAGCCCAAATTGCTTTCACAGCGGACTGGAACAAAACAAGCAGCCCTAGAAGGCTACAGCTCCACTTGAGGACGAATCCCAAGCGTCGGACCTGTTTGCTAGGAAGGACTCGTTAACAAGGCCCTTGCAAACAAGATACCTTCCTTACCTGACCAAATCTCCACCCTCGTTCGCAATGTATTTATTCAAGTCGATGCTCTGTCTATCTCCCATTCTTCCGTCTTTGTTCGCCAATACAGCCGTCAAGTTGCTTCCTTCGAGGCGGATGTCCTTGGCAGATTGGCTGAAATTGACGCCGTCCCAGATGAAATGCCCTAAAGTTAGGTATTAGTGATTACAAGTTACTTAACAAATAAAAATGGACAGCGGAGACAGAAATCATACCATCATCATTACCAATAAATTCATCCAGTCTCATTATAGCCTGAGGATAGCTACCATATTGATCTCGTGCATAGCAGACTAGGAAGGGACCATCTTCTTTAATCTCAATGTGGACGTCCTTGCAGCTTTCGAAGAAAGACATCTTGTATGATTATAAGAGACCTCGAGAGAAAGATAGTGTAGAAAAAGAGTATGGAAAAGGACACGGACTTATTATTTATACCCATTAGGGGAGTTCAAGAAGCGGATGGCTGTGCATATGATAGATCGGGTAAGAGGATTGGAGCTGAAGGTACGGTGTGTTGGCTTGCATCGATAAATCTGCATCCTGCATGTCTTCAGGAATGGTACCTGGTACTAGCTGATTTTTACATCGCAGAAAACCAATCAAATGCTATGGTGCCGCTCTCATCTTACATGGTCGTTTGGGGGCTGGCTGATCTTATGCACCTGGATCACAATATGTATCACAATAGGCTACCTATCTTCCATTGACATCACGGACTTGGAGTTACATCATATAATGTTGATCTATGCAGGGGTAAACTGGTGCTCGGAATAAATCGACAGGGCTTCCTCCGGCCAAGTCCTGATCTACATCTACATATCGAGGCACTTGGTTAACTTGCGGAGTCTTTCGATCAGGTTCCGTATGCTTAAGTTTGGAAAAATACTTTTTGGCTCAATAAGCGAATGATCAGAGTGCTGAGATCGTGGTAAGCCCTGGAGTGAGTGGGTCTGCTCGAGTGGGGCTTTGTGAGCAACCCTGGTGATCAGGTATGCGTGTTCATTCTATGCATCGAGTGCGGGGAAAGGAGAGTGACCTTGGGAGCCACTAAACCTGCAATCCGGGAAATGTCAAGGAGTGATTGATAAAAGTGCAACTTAACTCGCTCAGCTTGACTCGAACTACAGGAACTTTTACAAGGCTACACGGTGGCATGGACTGGTGGTAATATATGTAGAACAAGCTTTTGGTCTTAAGGAACACAACTGCGATTCATCTCACTTCAACTGAGCCTATCCAACCTGTTTTATCTCACCGCGAGATAGATGTCCGGTAATAACCAAAGAACCCAATATTATCGAGAGGCTCATGGATCAGGAGATAAGTAGAAGCTGCAAGACAATGAACACACCAGATGTTACAAAGGCACAAGAAGAAACATGTCAGACGAGACATTCGAAAGGCAGGCGAGATAGAAGGCACAATAAGATCGCCGCGTATGAGGCTTGAAACCAGTCATCACATGGTCTATATGTAAAGGGTGAGACCTTCACGAAACCTTCTTAATCGCGTGCAGACTTGGGACTGCCACTTCCACTGCCGCTCCCACTGCCACCGCTGCCACTACCACTACCGGCTCCGCTACCGCGACTTGTAGCTCGTTGAAATGGGCTCAACGAAGGACGGCCAGGCTGGTACAGAAAACTGTTGTTCTCTGAGCCAGAATGCTGCTTTTCAGACATTAATTCGGCCAGGTCGAACTGAAGAGACGGGAAGCGATTAGGTTCAAAGAATTCTGAACCATACAAGCTGCTGCGGGTGGAGCGGTTGGAGAACGAGCGGTCCCGGTGATTGATTTCAGATCCGAAATACGAATTTCCATTGCCGAATGGAGAAGTCGGGAACTGGGACATGAATGCGTCTTGTACAGGGCTAGTCGGGTGCGAAGATGTAGCATGAACCGGAGAAGAGGTCTGCAGAGGACTAGACCTGGCAGGAGGAAAGCTGAGTGCCAACAGCGAGCGGCCGTTCGGACCATTGGCAGCAGACGTATTGACCTCAGCCAATGGATTTGTTCCTGGTAGATTGCCCTCGGGGGTAAGGGGTCCAGAGTCCATAAGCATCTGCTGCTGTTGCTGTTGGATAGCCTGCTCAATTGCAGATGCCTGCTGCCAAAGCTGACCAGTACGCAGTTGGAAATCCTGCACGGACTGACTGATGCTCGCGAATTGCTCATGGAAGTTGAACTCCATCTTGGCTTGATCTTGTTCCCGGGCAAACTGCTCGGCCGCACGACGTTCTCGCTCATTCAATCCTTGAGCATTGGCAGAGATTATGCGCTCATACTGCTCATTGACGCGAGTCCGGCGGCCCTGGAGTCGCTCCCGCTTCTGAATACTCAGATTCAGTTCTTGCTCCAGCGACGAAACCTGCTGGGCTGCAACAAGGCGGGCCTCTTGTAGCTCCTCCTTTGCCAAATTATATCGCTCCAGTTCCCGGTCGAAATCGGCCTTTTGCGCATTCCACTGCTCTACCTCCTCCTCTGGAATGTTCTCCATGCTGTCTAATTGTACTTCGAGCGCCGTGGTGGCTTCCTCTGTTTGTCGAATGTTTCGCTCCAATTGAAGTGAGCGCTGCTTTTGTTTGTTCTCGTCGGTACCGCTTTGCAAGCGATGATTGTAGTTGTCTAGCTCCTTCCGGATTCTTGAGATGAGAAGTTTGTGATCGTTCTTTGTCTTCTTCAATCGAGAGCGCTTCTCGTTCAGTTTGGCTTCGGCGTTGTTGATGGAATTCTTCAGCGTCGTCGAAGGGGAGGAAGGTCTATAGAGTGGCTGTGGGGGTGTCGGTACTGCTGAAACGGCTGGTCCAATGGTAAGATTCCTGTATGACTCCAAGTATTCTACTGCTTTCTGGGGAGACTTACTTTGCTCTGCGTCAGCAGTCGCAGGTGTCTTGACGCTCATGACGCATATTTCCTCGTCAGTATCGCTCCGCACAAAGGAGCAAGTATAAGCACAATTGGGAGCAAGACCAGAGACCTCGCCCCGCCATTGTACCACGCTTGGCCCCTTTGAGGAGTCCGACACTCGAACAATGGTCGCAGTAGCCCAAAGAGCCCCGTTCACGCAAACGTAGAACGGTTCCACATCACCTTCTAAGCGACCGACGTCACTAGAGCCCATAGAATCATCGCTGAAATCGCCCGCGGCAAACTTGATCGAAGAACTATCCACATCTGTAATCCATACCAATCCATCGTCCAGGGAAACACCTTGCAGATCTTCTTCAGTCATTGCAATACCACACGTTGTTTTTGAAGATGCTCGTGAATGTTCGTATTCTCGCATGATGGTGACCTTTGTACTAGCGAGAGCGGCCCAAAACGGTTGGCGACTTCGAACTTGATTGGCTTGCCTCCTGCGTTTCTTGGCTGAAGTTAAACGATCCTTGCCATCCTTGACGAATTGACCATCCGGTCCCACGAGAGAAGAAGAAAGACTAGCAGCCGACTCGAGTGCAGAATCGGGTTGACCCTGCGAGCCCGCAGAAGCCTCCGTATCCCCGCGTTTCCCGCTCCGCGAAGGTGCAGGAGCCCGATTTTTCGCCATCGAACGTCGTGCCATGGCTGTCCCCGCTTGTGCTAGTATATGTACGGCGAGAAGACTTCTTAGCCAACTCGGAGATGTAGATGCTTCGGTACGTCGGAATTCGGCGGGAAGGAGACTCGAATACTGAGAAAGCAGATCCGGGCTGATGAATTTGGCGGAAACGAGATGGCCCACCACAAAGTCTTGAATGCCCTTGCTGCGAACGATGTGAAGAAGCAGAACAATTCCAACACAGAGACCGTTGACCCCGCCGTTCTTTCCGGATCCTCCGCCGCCTAGCGTGATGGCGACCTGGACATGAGCGAGATCGATTGCGAAATTCTGAGCCCAAGTCCACATAAAGAGGCCCCAGAAGAGAAGACAGAACGTATCCATGGCCATCATTGTCCCTAGAGATGGTGTACCAGCGGGACCCTGAAAAATGTCGAAATTGGCAGACAGAGATCCGGCGGCAGCACCACTGGGAGGCATGAAAGTCAAGGATGCGAACAAGAATTGAACGAGCGTAAGGACCATCGGCGGGAGTTGTAGCAGAAAAATCAAAATGGCGATAGTGTCGTACATAGGGCAGGACTTGAGGATAGTGGACGCGAGTTGAAGCGGGTTGATTGAAGCGTTTGACCCAGATCGTTTTCCGGGGCCATTGCGAGAAGCCGTACCTGTCATGCCACCGTTCTGCGACACAACGCCGTTAGCCTGACCCGAAGCCATATCCACGCCCTTGCTATGTCCATTCGCCATCACACGACCATTGCCATCCGTCTTCGACCCATCCGCACCCTTGACGCCGGCTATTGGAGAGGTTACCGCGGTATCGCTTGTGGAACGATTGGCGGACAGGTCGAGAGGCGCGGAGGCAGCCGCGGAAGCGGCGCCGTTGGCAGGCGAGCCGTTGAGGTGGCTACTGGATTTCTGCTTGGTTATTTTCTTGCCGGGGCCGACGAGGCCATTCTCGTGTCGATTGCTCTGGTTCTTCCTACCCGCAGTAGATGAGCGTGGCATGGGCGAGCGGGCCCGAAACCCAGGTCCGAGTCAGCTTGGCGGGACAAGGCCAAGGACTGGGACCAGGCTGGAAGAGAAGGGATGGGCGAAATAAAAGAAAAGGACACTTCTCCCAAGGTGTCCGGAATAGAATCGAAGAAAGTGAGAATGTGGGGGAAGAGGAAAAACGAAGGAAAGTCGTACGGAGAAGAGAAAGGAAAAGTGTATGAGGTTTGAAGAGAAAGAAACCGGTAACGTATGGTAAGGAAAAAAGGGTGTCGATCATGGAGTATCGGGAAGGCGGTGCCTGCCGCTTTTACCTCGAATTTGTGCTTGCTCTTAGTCAATTGGGTCCTTGACGTTGTTCTCGAATAATTATCTCCAGGGATCTAAGGTTCCTTTCCTTTCTTCACGGCTATCTTGTTTTGACCCTAAAAGCTATTTTTGGTGGCGTTCCATTCGACCGACTTTGTTTCTTCAATGTATAAATACACCCCTTTTTCCGTGGGTGCAGCTTCAAGTCGCACTCCGGATAGCTACGCATCAGCTGATTCTGGGTAAAAAGCGTTTTTGCTTATCGCTACTGCTTATATCATGGCACTTATGACGGTCTCGATCTGACCTAGTAACATTTGGGGTTGTTTCAGTTTCTGCCAGGTATTCGTTTAGGCCAGTACAAAGTTGATCTGGCCCCGTATAATATCTGCAGCGTTGATAGGACAATATGCACGGGCAGACTCAAAAAGCGGTCCCAGGTGTTGAACCCTATCCCACATTCAGGATCGCCATTTCCTATCAGACTGCCGACCAACCGTTCTCTCGGCCTTGTGTGCTGCGGGGTCATCCTTGCGGTAAACCTGGGGACATGCATGGCGACACGAGTCCTCTGGGCCAACGGATGATCATTGGGGGGTTAGTCTCTCAGATGAGCACACCTGCAGATAAGTACAGCAAACAAAGCTAGACCGACGGGTGGCCTCATATTCTGTGTTTACAGAAAAATTTCCCAGGGTCTTCACATGCTCGGCTCTGTGTTTTGGAGGCTCCGCTCCCACGCAATGACCACTATGTGATCCATGATGTGCAAGAAATTGGAGGGTGGAGTAGAGACTGCGTGGTAGACACCGATCGGACATCTGATTTTCCGAAGCAGATCTTTTGTGGCACGAGGTCGGTCCTGACAAGTATGTTCAAAAGCCAATACCTCTCCAGATCAACTTCAACCCCTCCCAAGGATGGATTTGCGTCTTGGCATCAAGGTTTCGCTGGTAGATCAGCCACCGATGCGGTATGGATCGGCGTTTCAGCCGGTCTTGGACAGGCTTGTCTGTCCGCCTCTGCTATTTGCATGCGGTGATATTTTCAGACCCTGCCCGCTTGGGAGGTCGATCACCCCAACGGTATTATTCGTGATCAGTTTCTTCATGTAGATAGGCACAAGATACATAGACCGGCTCGAGCGGGATCCATCGCGCCACTTACCCGATTTGACTTTTCGTTCCCCTTGGACCCGATAAGTTAAAAACGGTTCGACACAGTTGTGCCGATCTTCTAATTTCACTGGACGTTCCGGTCCCTCTCCACCCGACTTGGTATCATCTCCGACTGCCGAGTTTTTTTTTTAGTTGTGTACATTAGTACATTCTCCGCATGCTTAGTACTATTATTATTATTATAATTATTATTATAATTATGATTATTTTGTTCACAAAAGAACTAGCAAACAAGACATTTCTTAATAGTCTTTCAGCCACATTCCATGCACGGACACTATCGAATTATTCACACTAATGGCGACGTGTCCGAGCATGATTGAGATCTCTCCTCGCGTCCCGCGATCTCTACCAAGCAATCTTTTTTGACCTTTTTAAAGCATAGTATTGACATCAATATCCATATCGGATTTCAAGCAATTTCAATTGATTTACATGCACAATATATAACCCCTAGGTCGCTAACCTATATTACACACAGGGCGAGCCTAGGAGGCCTTGAGACAGATTTCCAGCTTAAACCGGGTCCTATCCTATGCATTATGATTAATCGCGTTAGTATCAATAGTCGCTGCCTCAAATTCGTAGATCATTCTAAGAGACTTGGCAACATGACCAAACTTTGAAGCTTCAATATCCTGCAAGGAATTCTATTGAATAAAGTGACAGATACTTAACGGTGCCAAGCGAAGTACGTCTGGGAGCCGAGCTTTGTTGGGCTCATCGCTCATCCCAACGGCATAAATAGTTGGCCTTCGAATGATTTATAGAAGCACACTAAAGCCCCTTCCTATGAAGTACATGATTATTTACCTTCGGACTTGATTATACAAAAGAATCTATCCTAATGATAGGGCATGAAGAGTTCATCCATCTAGCTACCTAGTCATCATCGCCGTTAACTTCGTCTTCGTCGGTGTCATTGTCCTCATATTCTAAAACTTCCTTAAAATCCCCTTCATCGTCATCGTCACCAATGTCATTATCTTCTCGCTAGTCCTCTTCCTTGTCCGGGGCCCATCCTTGCCATCATTTTCATGACCTCCAGGGCTATCTTCCTCTGTCGCATCTTCCTATATGATCATATCGGACCCAGCATTTCCGAATCGGGTATCTGCATTTACCAGTGCATATCCATATATCGCCAGCCGGGTATGAAGTATTGGTGACTTACGTCGAAGAGGAGTCAGCTATAGGAAAAATGATTTCATGACCCAATAGAATAAATTTGTATGTACTGCATTTTAGATAGTTATCTCTCCGGATGCCGGTGTTCTATCATAAAATTGACCCTCTAACAAGTACTTGAAACTACAGTCGATCTTTAGTGAATGGTATTCTATCAAAGGGATCATGATAGAATGTATAATGATGGAATGTACCTATGAGGTGCTTTCTTTCTCCCGAAGGATAGGTACTCAACTTAAGGAATTGAAACCCATATTACAAGGTTATATATATTCCTGAGAACTCCAGTCTATCCGTATCAGGTGTTAAAATGTTTCACACGCATCATGACATATTAGTAGAACTGTAACCACGGCCGCCAAAATCCTTACTCATGCCCCACAGGACATGAATAAATCTTGAATCAACAATACCTTCCAAGTTGATAGACAAAGCCGACACGAATGGGGTCGACTCTGGGTCATCTTGTGTGATATTCCAAAAAGACAAAGCTAAATTTATCACCATTAGAGTGTATTTAGTGTTTCTGACATAGTTGCATAAGCGCGATGATGGTCTCCTTGGAATAAAACTAACCCAGAGAATTGTGGGGGAGAGCTGATCACGGGGGCACGGATTCTCACATCACTGGCATTTGAAGCAATAAGAGCATCCTCGTAGGGCTTGAAGCAATTCAGTCCACATGGGTCGGTGTCTCCGAAAGCGACTTTGAAAACTTTCACACCAGCTCGCGAACCAATATCAGAGACGTAAGATCCATAGTAAGGCTAACACAGCAGAACAGCATCACCGAGACTGGCCGGAATCTAGACAATCTGCTCAGCGGCAGCAGTGGTGCCATTGATCACCATGGGCTGATCTGGGGTAAGCTGGAGCCCAGGGTGCAAGTGCCGATTCAGGAATTTGCTCATCGCTGCGCGAGGTCGGCGACTTTTAATCGCCTTGAAATTGAGGATTTCAGGTCTGAACTCAAGGCTCTTGCTAGTATAATCCACGAAATCGTGTTCCATCATAGTAATTTTAGCTAGCCCCAAACTGAAATAGCTAGAAGTGTTGGTCTGGCATGCCAAAGACCGTGGAGAACCGCCCCTGCTGGTCTTCACCTCGCACAATTAGTAAGAAACAAGATCTTTTTTAATTCCTATTACCTACTCTAAAAGATAGAGTATTAAAATAATCTATCCCATGTCTGTCTTTCTGCAAATCCGCCAATTCTGCACGTAATCGCTGCACTGCGCCATTATAGTAAGTCCATGTCGAGCCTTGAACTTCATGACTTGGTATTGGTGACCGTTGCATATGATGGAAGCCAGATCACGCCAAGATTGAATTCATGAAAAGCCGGTCGGAGGGTAATACTATCGACAGTATTGGGTTTTGGCTATCCTGTTGCCAGACAAGGCAGTTGGCCTTATCTTGAAGAAAGTGTGAGAGGAGCCGCCATGACTCTGATCGGAGAGCCAATGAGTCGGATCGAGGGACTCCTTGAAGCAGGTACTGCACTCGGCGACGCTGGACTAATTTCGGGCCAGATGTAATCATGTCCATTGTGCCTGCACCCTGCGCACAGGGGCGAACACTCATCGCACTTCTTTTTCCGCTTACGACACGTCGAGCAGCCATTTCGGGATCGTGAGCCCATCAAAATGTTTCGAGAAGAAAGAGCTGCCCCTCCAATCAGTGAGCGGAAGGCGGAAAGGCACTATAGAAGCCCGAAGAATGTCCAAAAGATATACTTGTACCCAAAGACCTTTTATAGCTACGCGAAGGCATCTAGATGATATGTACAGCGGTTTCAAAGATTTCAACTTTCAGGTCTGTGTAGAGCTCTAAAAGACAAACCCATTGAGACTCGTCTCCCGCTCCAAGTTCCACGCTCTTTCAATCAGTCGATTCACGCGTGAGACATCCGTGATTCCACCATAAGTAGCAAGGGCCCTCGTCTTCCTCTCGATTTCCTCCCTAGAATAGATGTTAGCCTCAGTGGCAAGCCAAAATAGCATCAGATACCATACTTTGTTAGAGGAAGCTCAGGATCTCCCTTCGCAAAATCAGCCGACTCCGTAAACTTCTCCCCGGATTTGCACGTAACAATAACAATCCCCTGCCACTGTTTAGGAAACCTGCTCTCAATCTCCTCATCCAGCTCCATAGTAACCCGCTTCTGAAATTCCCGCAAAGAAGCATCCACCAAATCCTCCTCCGTAAAATCGGTAATCATAGCCTGTCCCTTCTTAGCTGCAACAGCCAGAACAAATCCCATCGAGAATTTGCTCTGATGGACTGTCTCACCGGCTCCACTAAGACCGAGCACATTAAGCGCAGCCTGATAAGTGCGCGCAACCACCGACTCAATATCGTCAAAGGCAACATTATTCTTCTCCATTAGACTCAGCAGTGCGTCGACACTGGGATGCGTATGTCTGCACGAGGCATGCCATTTGAAACTGGAGCTGAGGATAGCCCAGTCGGAGCCTAGATCTTGATTGATTGCCTCCGGGTATGTCTCGCCTGGAACTAAGGCTATGCCCATTGCCCGTGGTCCTTCGAGAATATCTCGAGGTCCGAGAAGGCCATCGCGAGCAGAGTATGCTGCAAATATCCCGTCGAAGCAGGCCTTACCTGTGTGTACTTGCTTTGAGTGCGTTGCATCGAGGAGGAACTGCCAGAGACCTGCTGCTTGTGTACCGGCTGTTCCAATTGCTGACAGGGTTGTTGCTGCGTCGAGGTTTAACAGGTGTGCGGCTGCGGCTGCGACGCCTATGACGCCACCCGTAGCAGTGCTGTGGAAGCGCTGATTTAAATGAGCTCATACTCTCCCAAAGAACAGAACGCTTGTCATGTTGGTAAGTTACCTCGTAGTGACTTTTGCCTAAGTATTCTCCAACCCGGCACCCAACTTCGTAACCGACGACACATGCTGTGAGAAATTCTTCGCCTGTAGCCTCAACTTCTTGTGCTACAGCTAGAGCGGCCGGATATATAACAGTAGCCTTGTTCCAAGTTAATTAGATCTTTCCAGCTAATCCATGTCAAGAGGCCAGAAACTTACAGGGTGCATGATACTTCGGTTATGAAGGTCATCCTGCTCAACTACATGAGACGAAGCACCATTAACCAGACTAGCAAATGCCGGACTGGTTGTGAAGCCCAATGACCCATCAACAAGTTCACTTTTGCCATTCGAGGGACCCATCTGGCGAGCGAATTGAGCTATGGCGGAAACGGCGGGATGATGACGGCCGGCAATCGTACAGCCTAGCCAATCTAAAAAGAAATCTTTGGTTTTCTGTACCACATTTTCGGGAATATCCTTGTACTGTAGATTAGCTGCCCACTTTGCTAGGTGCTCGGTACGTGTTTCGCCCGACGATGTTGACTTAATGGGTTGGGACATGATGAAGCAGCTCGAATCCGAACGTGAAATTGCAATGAGAATCCTCGTTTCCAATATCGAGGTTGGCTACGTGAAAGAGGAGCAGCGCAACGGTGATTAGTCTGTACCCTATCAGACCTTCCGAGGTAAAAGCCGGTCCAAGTAGGCGACTTGGGCTGGTGGGGCAGTGGATCTGTAGAGCCGATTGGATTAGCTTTGACGGGAGTCATCGCGGGGTGCAGCGATAAATGAGTTTTCTTTACTCCGTACAGGAGCGATTTTACTAATGTGGCTTTATTTAGAATGAGAATGGAACCAAGTCCCTCCTTCTGAGGGAGCTTATCTTGTCATCTCCAATACAGTCTAATCTGATTAAATTCTTAAAATTTCAATCGAGACCCCTCACGGGTGGCCGGACTCTATTGTTTTGCAGAACCGGTGTCCTCTACTGCATCAGCTCGGTCCCAGCTCTCAACTTCAAGAGTCCGGACTCGACTTTCAATATCCAAAATCCGCTGCTGCCATTCCAATTTTGATTTCTCTTGCAGCTCCCAGATCGTTTTGAATTGTTTGAAAATAAATGGCGGAAGTTGAGGAGTCTTCCGGTTCTTTTGATAGTCATATATGACGCTTTCCTCATGGCAACGAGCTGCGGGCCGTTGGCGTGCTTCAGATAAGATCATAACATGCAGCTCAAATCCAGATTGCGGCGAAAGCGGCGAAGCAGGGTCATGTACAAGCTTTTGGTAAACCGTGATCTTATCAGGAGACTTCATGGGCTGCAATATTTTGAACGCATTAGTCAAATGGCTTAGCAAGGCATGTTGGCGCAGACTCAACATACAAACTTATAGTCAATCTTGATACTTCGCAGTATTAGCCCAATCCCTGTGGAGTTGACCATGTTTAGCCATTCCTTCCTGTGCTCAGGATCGATGTGAATGCCGATGTTGCGTGTCCAATTTACTCGAGCGGTCTCGGCGTATCTGACATATGTGACGTTGTTGACATGTCCTGCCAGAGTCCTATTAGTTCCATTTGATTGAAAAGCAATCGTAAGCCTCAGGTCAAAATTTCAAGTTCGTACCCTAGGAATATGTTAGTATGATTCAAAGCCGACGCCAACCGAGGCGCATAGAATGCGATGGGCAAAGAGCATAAGCTTACCATGACATCCTATCCATCCAGAAATACCAAACAGGTCAGCCCAAAAAGCCTATTTCTTAGTATAGAGCATAGTAATGCTCAGACCATACCTGTTCACCCCACACAACATTATGCCGAAACAGGCTTCGACGCTTCTCATCGGTCAAGAACCCCTCGCTCCCTGCGAGCAATTCACGCCAGTCTCTCGCCAATTGCTGAAGAATCTGGCCACCTTCATTAATCTGGACTGGCTTTAGGCCGAACATCATGCATCTGCCGATTCGCCTTTTCATCATTGTGAGCCATCGGGGGTCGATTGCGTGCGGACGAGCGGATGGGTTCTCGGGAGTCGGGGCTTGGGCATTGTGCACCGTGCTCGCTGAGAGAAAACGACGTTTGGAAGTAAAATTAACTGGTCGAGGCAGCTGCCTCGAGAGGGTCGATCGGGGTATCATTGCTGTGAGCTGGTGCGGAGGTAGAGAATCAATCGGAGGGATCGATGATCGCATAACCGCGGCCAAGTCGCATGCCGGAGCTTGGGCCATGGCTCGGCTAGAACCCCGCCCCCAAAACAATAGAGATAGCGCCCGGGTATACCAATAGGTCATGCATGAAGAGATTGTATAGGAATCTTGTCGCGATTTTGATAATAGTTCATGGTTTTCAATGGATTTCTCAGCATGTCATTCCCCCGTATCTGTCGGTAGGCATCGATGCCACCAGTTGTACTAGTTATACCACGTAGCTGAAGCAGCTGTACCAGGATCATGAAAGCATAGAACGGTTTTATTCCCTGACTCAATTGTTTATTAAAATCGAACCAATTCGTAATTTGTAAACCAGATTCAATGTTAGTGTTTACTGACTAAAACCATGCAATTCCACCATTTGTCCCTGAACTGTGTTCTGGATCCCGTGCCGCAATCTTACCGATAAACCGATCTCCGCATTCCGACGTCACCGATAACCGTCGAACCGTTCTCCCATCTCCTTTCAAACCACCAACCCAAGCCACCTGAGCCATAGTCCGACTTTCCTGTCAATCGACAAGGCGGGATATCGTCGAAAAGGGTGACTATGGTTGCCCCGGAATTGCGCCAGCAGGTCATCAACGTGTACAAAGGTATGTTCGCGTGCATTACCCAGGCATGTCGCAGAAGCTCACTGAAAATGGTGAAGAGCTTCTATGGCTAGGACGCGAATATCCGCTGGGCTACAAATATTTTCGAGATCGGCTCCATCGTGCCTTTGCGGGCCAAGCTCATCTTCAGGACGAAGAGCAGATCCGCAAGGGGATTGCTAGGGCGGAATTTGTGAAGAAAGGTTCGTACTGGTCTGCTGTATCGGAGTCTAGCCCAATCATCGTGCAGTGGCTGATCTATGTTATTCTACAGAAGTCGAAGCATTGTAAGATTAACCCTTCCCCCGCTTACCAGCAATGAGTCCCACTGTACACTTTCTATCTTGATCGGCGATGATTTGTCGATGTCATTTGTCATTTTCATTTTATGCATGCTATAGACAGTGGCTGCACTGGCTAGACATGATGGTCTTGATTCGCACTTTTTTTGTCATACATCATATCATAATGCGAGCACAGCTTGCTCTCCCTCGACACGAATCTCATCAACAAATGCTGACATGAACAATCCCCAGGTACTATTTGAAGCGGTACCGAACACTGAAACAGCGGTATGAGGCCGCTTGATCCCTATAGGCCAAGGGCGTCATAATCTCCAATGGCCATATAGCATGCATAGGAAGTGGAAGGACCAAAAAAAAAAAAAAAAAAAAAAAAAAAGCATTTTGAAGACAAGAAAAGAAAAGAAAAAACAAAATTCACAAATTGAGGGGTATCACCAATACGAAGCGCACTCAATGATTTACTTGTGCGCCCACCGAAACACCGGAATTTCACTCGTGGCTTGAGACGGGGTTCATTTCTTTCGACCCCACCATGCACTCACTTCGAGACACTCGCCACTTGCGAGGCCGCCCTTCTGAAGGAGGTCTGCGGTCATTGCGGCCCACCACCGGTCCCACTCGTCGCGACCTTTCCCGCTGGCCTCGATGAGCATGGGCTCCAGTCCTTCGATCATTTGAACCACCGTGAGAAGGGCGGTCCGACGGATGGAGATCTGATCCGGAGTCAATGCCTTGCGTGGGCGGCCCTTTGAATCCTTCCCTTGGCCCTCCCGCTCCCATCGGATATCTCCAAGTGGGATTGCAATGCGGCGACTGTCCACATTCTCTAACAGGTCGACCTCGGAATTGAAAGACAGGCCGATGGTGGCGCAAGGCAGGGCTGTGAGTTTGCGCCGGTCGAAGGATTTCTCGACCCAAGAATTGTAGTCCACAAGATATTTGTTCTGGGCCCTTGTAAAAGGCGTGGCAGATGAAAATGTATAGGTAGCAGTCGAATCAGCAATTTCCTGGTCTTTCGACGAGGTTTTCCGAGCTGGTGCCGGGTTGGGCAGCAGCGAGCGAAACACCGAATCCGAATCCCACACTTCCAAAATCCCTCCCGACTTCAAAACCCGCAGTGGTTCACTTAGACCCGAGGCTTGTTGCGCCGGACTAGACGGGCACATGCCGGCATCCTTAATAAAGACAAAATCGAAGTAGTCGTCCGGAAAAGGGAGGCGGGGCTTGCGGAGGTCATGTCGTTTGAACTGCCAATTCATTCCCTGCTTGCGCAGATCCGGGGCCAAGGAGACAGAGTCGATTCCGACGAAGGTTACGATCGGCTGGTTGTGACGAAGAAAATACTCATGGCATAGACCAGACCATAGACCCGACCCGCAGGCGATCTCCAGGATGCGCTTCGGCGGGCGATTGGCCAGGTAAGGATTGCAAAACGGGCCGCCAAAGACGCGCAGCAGCATCATCGTGCGCAGGGATTGACGGTGGATCTCAGGCTGATCGCATGGCAGAGGATAGATATTTTCCGGATCGCGGAGGTAGGTGCGGTCGCCCTGTCGTGCCAGAGGGTAGTTGGAGTAGTCTGTTAAAGAGCTCAATGATGAGTTCGAGGTCGCAGCAAAGGTCGAGCTCAGGTTCGAGTGAACATCTGAGCCTGATGGCGTGGCCGCCGTAAATGAGGCTGTTCCTGCTGTCATAATGTCCATATCCAATTCACACTTCTCATCGATTATCCCCAGTGACTCTTAATGTGGATCGGCAGTCGGTCGCATTCTCGGCGTGCAATTGGAGGTTCATGAGCAGTGAGACATGCTTGTCTTTGGGTTTCGTGACGGACAGTAGATATGATATACAAAGCGGACAGAAGACAAAGAAGAAGGTGGTAAGATTCCAAGCTCCTCGGTAGTAAATAGGGCAAGGATGATGTAGCAATTTCGGAGGGATCCAAGTCCGTTCGGAAAATATTTTTAGTGTAATGGTGAGAAGAAAAAGAATCCACAACCCGGACGTGATAACCAATTTTCGAAGGAACTTTTTCCAAGATTTGCAGTAATTTCGAACTCTCTATAGAGACTCCCCAAGAAAGAAAAATCAAGAACGAAGGAGGGGGAAGGAAATGAACAAAGGAACAAGACCACGGCCTGGTCCCGACCCCTGGATCGAAAGTGGCATTGAACAGTATCCACTCGATTCCAGAAGAGGAGCTAGTCTGTCTTTTCACGTAATGGTGAATAACTGTAGTATTAAAATATAAAATAGTGTGTAGTGCAGACTCTAGAGTTGTAAAAAAAAAAAAAGGAGAGTATTTCCCCCGCCAATGACATGCATTGCTGATGTTTCGGCTAACCTCGAAAGAGCAAGGAAGGGTATGAAAATTTTTCTTGTCAAGTTTAGGCACGCGAGGGCTTTGAAATCCTGCAAGCTAAGGGTCAAATCGAGGTTTGTCTAACCCGCAGCGGCAGGTGTATTGAGAGGGTCGTTGACATCATGACTGGCGTATCTACTGGTGTCCACTGTAGCCAAACTTTGGGCTCTTGTGCCGAAAATGGTAAAAGCTTTGGGCTATACTTTTACACGGTAGACCCATTAGCCGAGCCATCCATGGTAAGGGAAAAAGCTATAATTTCTGTACTAACTCCCGTAGCCTCCGTAACAGGCTATAAGGATTCCGGCTTGTCCGTACAGGAAATTCGATAACCGATCTTTGCCCCTCTTGGAGGGGCATAACAGAATTCTTTCGCAAGGATCCTGGGTCGGTGCGTGCGTTGACACGTGCAGGGGCAACTTTGTTCATAGTTCGTCTCGACGTGGCGTATTGTTTCAATATTGTCAATATTTGCCCCATGCATTCTTGCCACTATGCCCTACAAAACAAGTTTAGGCGAGATAATATATCCACTAGGTCTGTCCGGAAGTGCGCCGGAATTGCGACACATCAGTCAAAAGTACATGTCTTTTTTTTTAATCAACATTACATGTACCGTTTCCAACGGGATACGTGAATACCGGAGATCCCTGCCATGTCCACCGCCCGTGCCCTTATTAAGTTGTAGCCTAGTGCTTCCCAACTCCATGGCTTCTTTCCCGACTAACATCCTTGCATCCGTCATGACCCGGATATGGGTGTTGTTTAGATCCGAACCATCTAAACTTTATATCTACCTTTGGGGATCCCCGTGATCCCCATCCTGTACGTACCTGCAGACTGTCATTCTGTCGATCCACTAGGTAGGAGGCTTGTAACTTCGTACTTTGTTAATCCGACGCAATGCCATGCTGGACTGATCAGATTTTTGTATCTGTCTCTTTACTCCCCCCTGAACCCTCAGACCCTTGATGTATACGAGGCATTCCAGTAGACCTGTAAATATCGATGCAGATGACCAATGCCTACATAGGCATCGGTCGCAACGCCCTTCGAGGTAACCATGTTGGTGTTACAGGGGTTGGGTTGTCGAGGTGGGGCTTTGGGTCACGCATGACCCCGGCCATGTTCACGCGCACATCCCCAATCCTAATTTTGGGTTGGAATTGGGGTCAGCAATAGTGCAAACGATTAACCTTTTTTTTGTCGGGCTTATGTTGCATAATCTACAATTGGGCTAGTACGATTACCGACGATCCACTCTAAGTGCTGATGGCCTTACGATTGATTATGCTTAGAACCGTTGATTTGAAAATAAGCCAAGGCTGCTTATGCTTAGATCTCCTTAAATTGAGAGGAGCTTCTAAACAATTGACAGGACATAGGATACCACCAATATCGAAAGACCCATTGAGACCAGAATATATCAATTGCGAAGTTAATTGTTTGGTATAATAAATAACTAACTGTAGGCTGTGAATGCTGTGTCACAGCACTCAGCTGTTAGGACAGAAAATATGCAGAGACACTCCGTAGTTTCAAGGCCATTCGTCAAGTTGAAAACCTTTTCGCATTTTGCGATGGTTTCAATGTTGCAATCACGGTTTTCTGGACAGTCGCTCCATGTTACGTGCAGGAGAACATGGCCCTGTTCGGATTGCGATGGTCTGTATGCTCGATGACTTCCATGCTTTGCGTTGGTCTCCACTATCCATATCTCTATTTATTCCAACGTTTGCGATGATCCCCAAACCTCAGCATTTTATCTAGGTATGTCTCTCGCCATGAACCCATTTGGTTTCATTACTTTAGCATGGCCATTCCCAATTGCGAGTTGCGATGAACATCTTAATTGCCAGATTGGCCCGCTAAAGGCTAAAGCGCCTGATACGCAAGGCAATATCGCCATCTCTAGATTCAGCGCAATGGATCTTTGCCCTGAAGCAAATAGAGGTCTGGTCGATGATATCACTCATTTATCGGCTCGCAACATTCATGATTCTAATTTGAATCGTGGACAATTGGGCTGAGCGGAGCCAAGATGGGAAGGCGGTCTTGGCAATGGATCCGGGCAGGTGATATCACGTGAGGCAACTCCCGCCTTCGATGCAAACCACCCAAGACTGTCATCTCGACCCAAGACCGCTCAGCCTACAACCCCGCGAACTGAGAGAAAATTGTATGAATGGCCCGAATATTTAGCCCCTGAATATGTTGAGCTTCCCACTGACTTCTTACCTCCCCTCGACCTCTCCAGATTGCGATCTTAAGTGACCTGTGACTCCGCCCGCCCTCCGCCCTTTAGGTATCCCAACCTCAACTCGGACCACAAATCTGCGATCCATCTCGTTGTGCCAGGTCTGTGGCTACTGGCCCTCGTTTTTTTCTTCCAAACAGGGTCACTTCACTGCGGGACTCTATGTGGAAGAAGAGAAGAGACCGTGCTCGATTCTTTACTCCTCTCATCACCTCCTCCAACCCGACTTTCGCGCTCCCCACCCACCCCCCGGTCATTCACCAGGGAAATCAGCCACGGTTTCGTCTGCCACGTTAAATGGCAGATGGTACCTACAGGTTCCAGCAGCCTGGGGCCGGGCCGTTTTCCTTCCAAACTCAACCACAGCATCACTCTCACCAACGACACACCATTCCAAACGGAACCAATTCTCCGGTTCGACTAAAGCTCAATCACGATACTCCTTCCCCTTCTCGATCACCCCCCGTTAACCAATCAGCCACAATCTCCTTCAACATGTACCAAGGGCAACACATGGTGATGAATGGTGCCCAGGCCCACCATCAGCACCAGCACCAACAGCAGCGCTATGGTGGTGGAATTGGCATGCCAATCTCTAAATTCCAATCGCACCATACTCAACAACAAATTCACGCCTCCCACTCCCAAGCCACACACACATTTACTCAACAGAACTACTCCGCCGGGGTTTTGCCGACATCGAACGCTCAATTCAATCAGAGTCACCTCCAGAATGGTGGCCCAACTATTGGCGACGACGACTTGGAAGGATCTATGAGTGAGCATTGGCAGCAACAGCTCCAGCTTTATGCTGAGTCGCGAAACTCCTCTTCTCCTCATTACTTCGCTAGAATCATGGCACAACAATCCAAGGGCGTGCAGCTCCTGGCTAGTCAAACTGATGGGAATGAAAATACGGTTGATTCACGAACTGGAGCTCCAATCACAAAACCCTCTTCACGGCAAGGATGGAATTCGATCGACTTTGGCGGGCAGGGCTTACGTGCCATTTCCACCTCATTGTTTGGGTATGAGTTTCTTGAGAAGATCTACCTCAACCACAACAAGCTGAAGGCCCTTCCTTCTGCAATCGGCCAACTGCGAAAGCTAACCCATCTCGATCTTTCTGGGAATGAGTTAACGGAGCTTCCCGAAGAGATTGGCATGTTGACCAATCTCAAGAAGCTTTATCTCTTTGATAACAACATTCGCACCCTTCCTTATGAGATGGGGTACCTATACCGCCTGGAGACGTTAGGCATTGAAGGCAATCCTCTGAATGAGGTTCTCAAGTCTCAGATTATGAAAGATGGGACAAAAGCTCTAATCAAATACCTAAGGGAAGAGATGCCTGGTATGTTGTCATGGTTTTCTTTGCCTCTCAATTGCACTTTACTAAACCTATTATCTCCGCTCTAGTACACTTGCCGCCCCCAGATCGTGACTGGGTCATCCTTGACGAGACTGCAAGCTCGAACAACCCCCCCGCCGAGAAAATCACCGTTTTATCCTACAACACCCTGTGTGACTCCTCCGCCACCGCCTCCCACTATGGCTACGTCCCTTCACGCATTCTCTCTTGGGAGTTCCGTCGTGAACTCATCCTTAACGAATTACGATCTCACAGCTCGGACATTGTCTGTCTCCAAGAGGTGGACCAAGGAAGCTACAACAACTTCTACCGAGAACAGCTTGCCTACAGTGATTACAAGGGTGTCTTCTGGCCTCGAGGGCGTGCCATGGGTATGCAGGAGGAAGATGCGAAGGCCATTGATGGTTGCGCAACTTTCTTCAAGGGAAGCAAGTACATTCTTTTGGATAAACAACTCATCAATTTCGGCCAAACTGCTGTGCGTCGCCCCGATGCTAAGGGCCAGGATGATATCTACAATCGACTTTGGCAGAAGGACCACATTGCAGTGGTCGTTTTCCTTGAGAACCGACAGACCGGAGCCCGCTTCATGGTTGTGAACTCTCATCTCTACTGGGACCCGGCATTCAAGGACGTGAAGCTCATCCAGACTGCCATCCTGATGGAGGAAATCACTAAGCTTTCTGACAAGTATGCCAAATGGCCGGCTTGCACAGATAAGACCGCATTCCGCTTCTCCGAGGCAGAAAGTGGATCTGAGAACGCCCCAATCGTGGAGCCTGCGCCGTCCAAGGAGTACTCCAGTGGTGATCAGATCCCGCTCTTGATGTGTGGTGATTTCAACTCATCGCCAGGGTCTGCGGCATACACTGTGATTGCGACCGGACGGCTTGATGAAGACCACCCGGAGCTCAAAAACCGCCTTTACGGCAACTTGAGCACGGTCGGTATGACACATCCATTCCAACTTAAGTCTGCTTACGACTCTATTGGGGAATTGAGCTTCACAAACTACACACCGGACTTCAAGGATATCCTTGACTATGTGTGGTTCTCATCCAACACACTTCACGTGTCCGCCTTGCTTGGCGAGGTCGACAAGGAATACCTACGCCGGGTACCAGGTTTCCCTAATTTCCATTTCCCTAGTGATCACGTTGCATTGTTTGCGGAGTTTACTCTTAAAGGAAAGAAGGGCAAGGTTGTGGAGGCGGATTTTGGGCCGCAACGACACTGATGGGACCGGAGCATATGAATCTTTGGAGACGGGTGTTTGTGTAGTCGGGTTTTCTCTGCTTTTTCCTCTTTTTCTTTTCTTTCTGTTTATCTCGGATCTTTGCGGCAGTGGGGGAGACTTTATCCCTCTGTCTTGTTTGTTACATCGTGTTTTATCCTTCTATCTTCCTTCAGTGTGTGTGTTTTTTTTTTTTCACCGTGATTATGAATGTCCTCTCTATTTTCTTTTCTATGTCTTGCTCTCTTGCTTTACTTCTCCTCCATCCTCCTCGACTCGCTGCCGAAACCTGTCCAGTCCCAAGTAGTCTACGGCACCAGTCTCGCTTTTCCGCATCCGTTTTTCTCCCTCTGCTCTTCTCGTTAGGTTTTCCTGATATCTCTCGGTTTCACATCTCACCTAATCTGTAACGTCATATGACGGCTTCACGGCCTAGGTGTGGGGGGGTTGGTGTTCAGGTGGAACAGGTGGCCGAAGGGCTTGAGGTTGCTCTTTGATTTTGCCTGGCGATGGGCGTTCTTGATCATGTACTTTTTGTTCTGCCGTGTCTTTGATCAATCGTGAATAGAGCGTGACTATTTTAATTTCTCCATTGTAACAGTAGTCCTTGATTCTTATGATGATACTGTGTAAACCAAGCTACAAACGGTGCTGAGCACAAAGTATTCGCGGCGCCACGGTTTTAGGCCGTGGGTTTCCTGACCAAAACAACCGGGCTCCCACTCTCTATAGTATCTCCAGGCTTAACCAAAACCTTGATGACAGTCACCCCCGCAAAATGAGGCTCAGTGTGCACATTAATTTCCATCTTCATCGCCTCAAGGATGCATGTGACCTTGTCTGCCTTCAACACATCACCCTCCTGCACCAATACCTTCCACACATTAGCATTAACCGGAGCTTCAATAGCTTCGACCGTAGGATCTGTGGCATCATTAGTCCCAAGAAAAACAAACCGGAGAATCGGAATTATACCTTCAAGCAAAGATCTTATCTCATCCAAACTAGTCCCACCCGCCAGCTTCTCCGCCAACCACTCTTCAACCAACCGATCTTCCAACTCTGCCATCTTCTTCTGCGATACAGCTCGGTCTTGGTGGATAGCCTCAGCCTCGTTCATAGTTTTCTTCAGAAGCTCATTGTGCACAGCCATATCAAAGACTCCCTCCTCCATCTCAAAATGGTAATTCCCAGCCCTGAATTGAGCAAGTTTGCGATCGAACTCTACTTCATTGACTTCATAGAAACTAATCGTATCCATATCCTCCAGTATCCATGGCTTCTCCGCACTAAACCCAGGCTTTGAGCCAGAAATATCAAGTGTAGGAATAGTCATTCCTAGAGGCATGTATCCTCCAGGACAATCGACAGGATAGATGGCAATAGAAGTTCCACCCCACGAGACCGTTCCCGCAGGGGTGTGCGTGCGACTTGGGTTCATCTTCGGAGTCCGAATACGGTATCGTGGGTCGGTGGGTAGACTCAGTGGGAGAGCCATGAAGAAGCCGACTCCTATGATGACGGATTCCATTGTCAGGAACATGGATTTTAATTGCGAGACTGTCATGCCGTTGTTTTCCGCTGTGAAATTTAGGGGATCGGGGAGGTAGCTTGCGATTGATCGTTGATTTGCCATGTACCGCTCAATGGCTTCGTCTAGTCTCTTGTTCTTGAATGTGAGGGGGAGCTTGAAGTGGCGGTTGGGGATTTTGACGGATCGCATATCTCCGAGGGTTTGTTCTAGAGCGACCAACTTGCTGATGAGTTCTGATCTTGGTAGACGGAGGCCGTCATAGAAGATTGCTAGGGAACTGCCGTGGCACATCATGTTGAGGATCGCTCCTCCGCTGGGCAAATTCGCAGATATGGAACCGGTGTCTGACTTGAGGGCCCTGGCAAGTGCTGTTGATCGACATTTATAGTTGAGGTCGGCGTGCCTGTCTCCGTATTCGACTAAAAGATAGTCGTCTGCTCCACCTCGGTATGATACTTGGGGTCGCGTTTCGCTTTCTTCGAGGACCTGAAGTAAATCTTGACCAGGTGCTGTGATCTCAGGTCCGACGACGCTGTCAAATTTCAAAGCTTTCTCCCAGAGTCCGGTCTTGATGGCTACCTCCACGCTGTCGATGAAGGTAGCATTTCTTCGGCGAGATTGCAAGGCTGTTTCCAGAGACACACGATGGAACTTAACGTAGTCCCCGGACCGAAGCTGTCCAACTTTCCACATATCTGCTTTCACAACAGTCAGGCTGCATATGAACCCGCCGAAATCAGGACAGTCAACGGGGAAGATGACGGGTTCGTCCCCAGTCCAGTTCAGCCCACCTAGTGGATAGCCGTATTCGAGAATATTGCTCGGATGAGCACCTCCCTCCCCTCCATCCGTGCGGCCGAAGCTTGGCCGAGGACCCATCAGTCGTATACCTCCTCTTGCGGCATTGTGGCTGATTTTCCATTCTGTTGAAAAAAGCGTTTCGATGCCTTCGGGAGATAAGAATCCTGTCTCGTAAGGCCCAGACATGACTTGGATAGTCCAATGACCGGTTCCATATTGAGGACGCAGATTTTGTGGCACACTAGTAACAGAAGCGCTTGGAATCTTGGTCGTTTCTACGATCTCCAATAAATCACCTGCACGTAGTGGCCTCCCCTGGTACCCTCCGACGGTTACCATGGGATTCGTAGACTTGCTTCCAAACCACTCAGCGATATTGAGTAGTCCCCCAAAGATAGCGAGATAGACACGGCAATGGGCTGCCATCTTTCCTATCTTGAGTCGCTGGCCCGCTTTGATACGAATGCGTGTCCATAGCGGCATCTCTGTCCCATCAAGATCTGCCGGAATAGACGGGCCGCATAGCGAGATAACCGCATCGCTGAGAAACAGAAGCTCGGGTCCAGTAAGAGTAATCTCAAGACCCTCAGTACCAACCGTGTTCCCAACAAGAAGGTTCGCAGTCTGAAAAGCTATAGGATCCATCGGCCCTGCGTGGCCAAATCCATGCCCAACGGTTGGCCGCCCTGGGAAGTCCTGAACCAGGGTATAAGAGCCACCGGAGATGACATCGATGGCGTTGGGGGTATACCTAAAATTTTCCAAGAACTTCGTGATAGTGTTGCCTTCTTTGAACTTTTGATTGTTGATAATGGCTAAGAGGAAACCAAGATTGATAGGAGGGCCACAAACGGAGCTCTTGCGTAGAACCTCGTTCATTCCTGTGATTGCGTCTGCTCGTGTCTGGCCATGATACATAACCTTTGCGAGCAAAGGATCATATGATGCGCTGATCACTGTTCCAGCTCTCACCCAGGTGTCTATCCGTGTTCCAGCGGGAGTATGCCACGACACTTCTTGGAGAAGTCCGGGACTCGGGGCGTAGTTTCTCACTGGATTCTCTGCATACACACGTGCTTCAATTGTATGCCCTTCAGGATCATTGAATTTAGACTGCAGAGTCCTAAGCTCTTCAGTCGTGAGCCCACCCTTTCCAGAGAGCTCCTGGTCCGCTTGGCGCAACATGAGTTCCACCAGGTCCACATTGTAACACATCTCCGTGATACCATGCTCGACTTGAAGACGTGTGTTCATTTCAAGGAAAAAGAAATCACCAGTGTGATCATCAACAAGGTATTCCACCGTTCCCGCCGATCCATATTTGATACTCTCAGCAAGACGTACAGCACATTCTGTGAGTTTCTTCCGAAGCTCTGGATATCTTTGCTCCACAAATGGACTCGGACACTCCTCGATGATCTTCTGGTGTCGTCGCTGGATGGAGCATTCTCTTTCACCTATGCTGATTGCTTTTCCTTGGCTATTTCCAAAGATCTGCACTTCGATATGATGACTGTCGGGGTAGTACTTCTCCAGAAATACGCCTGCATTCTTGAACAAAGATGAAGCCCGTGACCGCACAGCTCGAAAATTATCCTTAAGCTCCGGCTCATTGTGGCATGTCAACAGCCCCATGCCTCCTCCACCAGCTGTCGCTTTCAACATGACCGGGTAGGTGAGGTCTGCAGCTGCAGCTGTGGCTGCTTCCTCGGTATCAACAAGACCCTTTGTGCCCGGAACCACTGGAACACCGGCAGCGAGAGCCAGTTCGCGAGCAGTATGCTTCAGGCCGAAAGAATCGATAGCTTCCGGAGAAGGGCCAACAAAGACTAACTCGGCTAGAGCTACCGATCGAGCAAAGGCCGTGTTCTCTGACAGAAATCCATACCCAGGGATAATCGCCTGAGCATCATGTTTCTTGGCTATTTGAATGATTTGGTCACTGCAGAGAAAAAGTGTCAGTAACGAGTATGAAATCTTCGTTGGAAAAGAATTACCCGTCTAAATAGGCTGCCCTTGCTTCGCCATCTAGCAGGACCGCATGATCGGCCGCCCTCACATGTTCAGACTCCGAGTCCGGCTCCGTATATATAGATATGGCTCGAATACCCAGTTTCTGCGCAGCTTTAATAAGTCGACAGGCGATTTCGCCTCTGTTGGCTACAAGGACGGTCTTTAAGCATTCCATGGTGCATAAGAAGAATGAAAATGGAGTTTATCATAAATCAAACATTGCCAGGGAATAGCTACTTACTCCTAAATAAACTCAAGTTTGGAGTCACCCCACTCTTGTACCAACTTTGTTCCCCCGGGGTTTGGAGATGGGAGAGCGGGGTTTGTAGATAATTGGAGTCGCCATGATCATCCCTTGGGTAGTTCTCCTGTAGAACCTCCAATTTGTATTTTCCTGTTGTCTCCATCGGTACGACACAGAAGAGATTCATCGCGCTGCTCAAATTGCTTGTTTTATTAGTCCACAATAAACACTCAACAGTCAGTGCCACAGGCCCAGTGAAAAGCCAAAATGCATTGACAAATTAAGCAGGTCAAATTATCCAACATGGCTCCAACGCAGAGGAAAGCGCTTATCAACGTTGATATGGGCGAGGGGTATGGCAATTATGTCTGCGGTCCAGACAAAGAACTTCTACCCATGATCGACCAAGCGAACGTCGCCTGCGGTTTTCAGTAAGAAAAGCTCGAGTGAGAATGCAGGTATTTGCTAATTTGTATTACCAGCGCTGGTGACCCCTTGATAATGGCAGAGACGGTCGCTCTCTGTAAATCCCATGGGGTCGAAATCGGTGCCCACCCTGGGCTTCCTGATGTCCAAGGCTTCGGCCGTCGAGAAATCAAGATGACTTCAGAAGAGCACACCGCCAATGTAGTTTACCAGATCGGAGCTTTACAAGCATTTCTCGATCGCGAAGGAGTCGAGATGCACCATGTCAAGCCACACGGAATCTTATACGGCATGATGATCCGCGATATCGAGGTTGCCAGAGCTGTGTGGGCGGCCGTGCCGAAGGGGATGCGCGTCTTCGGTCTTCCGGGGACCAACATGGAGAAGGCTGCAAAAGAGGCGGGTCTGGAGTTTTGGGCTGAGTACTTCGGAGACGTCAAGTATCATGCTGATGGAACTTTGAAGATTGATCGGAAGAAGCAGCCGTGGAAGATTGAAGATGTAAAGGCGCATGTCGATGGGCAACTACGTCATAGTCAGGTTGTGGCCGTTACTGGCGAGACAGTGACTCTTGAAGTGGGAGACAGTCCTATAACCATTTGTTGTCATTCGGACTCGCCTGGTTGTGTTGAGATTGTGAAGGCTGCAAGGGAAGTGGCGAACCAATATAACAGGGAGCGAGGGCTATAAGACGGCCGGTACGGTGGGGTTGTGTCTCAGTATCTATGAAATGAAATGCTCTTTGTGGAGGAGAGGGCATTGAAGTTATTAGTGGGGCTCAGGAAAAGGACATGAATAGGTAGTAGATCGAGGCTCGGGTGTGTTACAAACTTGACACGAGGATTATTTAGACGTCTACCTGAATAATCAGATTACAACATGTCTGACAAACCCCATCAAAACCGTCGCAACTTGCACAATATTGAAACAGGATTTAGAGTCTACTACTCCTTATACCGCGCGAAAAATTCCTTTGCCTTTTTCAAATCGGCTTGAAGGATATTGACCCGTTGTTCAGAACGAGGCACAAATCGCACGGGAAATTTATGGGGCGCAATAAGGACTCCGTCCGTAAACGCTGAGCGAATACTCATGTCGACCGGCTCAGAAGTAACGGGCAAGATATCGAAAAGCCAAGCCATTTTAGCCATATTGAGAAGCTGAGAAAATATTAGCACATCTGGAAGTTTATGTGCCTTCTTGGCAAGGGTTCTCACCACTGAATTTTCAGCTAGACGTTGGCCAGGACAGACACGGCGACCTGCTCCAAAATTGTATGTTATTCTGCGATGGTCATCCGAATCATCCTGGTCCTTGCAGCCAAATTTGTTGCCCATGAAGCGCTCCGGCATGAATTTTTGGGGTTCGTCATATTCGCTTTCGTCCATGTGGATGGCCCATGTGTTTAGGAAGACTATGGTTCCTTTGGGCAGTACGTAGCCTTCGTAAGTGTCGTCCTGGGTTAACATATGAGGAACTCCAGCAGGTGCAACTGGACGCCATCGTAGAACCTGGTCAGTGACAAGTTAGTTCAGCTAGTTTGATCACACATCAATGGCCCAAAGTGGTGAATACTTGCCTCGTTCATGCATGCCCGTGTGTATGGCAACTGGCTCAAGTCATCGAAGTTTGGCGATCTTTCAGTTCCACACACACCATCTAATTCTGCTTGCAGGGTCTTCAAGGATTCCGGGTGTTGTGTCATGGCAAGAACGAAAGTGAGCAATGCTGCTGAAGTAGTGTCCGATCCAGCTTCCATCTATTTGAGCTGTCAGCAAGATAGGCACCAGAATTCCAGCAAGAATGGGATGCTTTACCGAAGTGCCTCCCAAATAAGCAATCTGCGCATCGTTGAGACCATTCTTCTCTTGATCGTCGAGAAGCTTCTCAATAAAGCAAGGCTCTAAGTCATGTTTGCTGCGTCGTTCCTTCGTCTCCTTAACGAGGTTGAAGTAGAGAGAGCTCTGTTCCTGTCGAATCTCCTTCGCTTCTGTTTTCCAAGGACTGAGAAATTCAGGCAATGCCCTCAAGAACGGGAAGGCGTCGATGGGAGGCGTGGCACCAGGTTCCAAAATTCGACTGAAGCGATACTGCGAGTTATATAGACTCTGCACTTTGTGCGATTGGAAGCTCTCGCCTCTCTGACTATAGACTGATGCTAGAATCACAGAGGTAGAATAACGCCGAATGTGATCGTAGTAGCCCTCGGGATCATCGAGCAGGTGGGACATTGTTTGTGTAGCCTCAGCTAGCTGGATCGGATGCAATGCGTCGATAGCATTCACATTCAGTAAGCCTTGCATGGCCTTCCTCATTGATCTCCATGTGGGTCCGTATTGGGCCAGTAACATATGGATATTATCGGGACAGATGATTTGTTGGCCAGCGTATTGTTCTGGGCGACCGGAGTATATACCTCCTCGCTTGTCGAAGAGTCTGCCGTCCATGAACATGAGAACTTGCGCAAACCTTAAGAGTATTAAAACTTACTCTTTAACATGACGATAGCTACTCAGAACCACAGCATTTTGAGGGCCTATTTTGAAGCCGACGATGCTGCCATATTTCTTAGACCATTCTGTTTGTCTACACTGTATTAGTAAGGGTATCAGCAATGTGACAATTGATGGAAGCACACCGTAGATAAAATTTCTTCAGTGGCAGCTGGTGAAGATTGCCAATAATAGGAAGCCCTTTGGGACCAGGGGGGAAATTCTTTGGTCGGCGACTTTGAATCGCATACTGTAATAGAAAGATTGAAAACGACAGCGCAATGACCCCAAGCATAGAGCCACTATGGCCAATTATGAAGAGTGGGATATCTACCAGAGCCATGGCTGGTGCCGCAACTCGCAAAAAAATATTATGCAATGAAGTTGATGGTGGCAACGGACCTCCTTTTTAAAGCCTTGATGAGCAAGGCTTTAGCGTGAGTGCTTCGTGTCCTCGTAACGATGTCGTTCTCCTCCCTTCTCCGTATATAATTTGCGCTAATACGTATCTTACTGCAAGACCCACTGTTATCGTCGAATCATGATATTCATGGCTTCAAATATCCTCAACGGCTATGCGACTAAGAGGTGGATAAACATTTTCAACCTATCTCCGCTCTTTGAATGGGGTCAGGAATGCATCCACTAACTTCTAAGCGGCAACGGAGGAGCAGTTTTAGCCCGTCCTGGCTAGAACATAATTTGCAATTGGTCTAGATTGACGTACGAGTCGTAGTATGTACTTAGCGTCCTGGGATCGACCAATTAGAGCAAGGATTAGAAGGTGCGTGAAACGAGAGAGACGATTGGAGGAGTTTTACTTGGTCCACAACAAAAGTCCGTAAGAGTTCAATGTTATCACCTGTCTAGGTCCCCACATTAAGCCATTATCCAGGATCGGTGATAGGTGCCCATAATCCGAAGTCTCAATGATTAGCTGGACAGTCCACTAATTGCGCTTTGCTAAGCACTGTGGCTTCAAATCAGAGCAAATGTTGCCTAGTTTCTCTGGTATGATATCACATGCACCTTCCTTCAAAATTCAAAAAGATGCTTCACTTTAGCCAGGGTGTACAACATTCTAGGCTTCGGCAACAATAGACGCCGACTCAATGTCAATTTTTAATCACATTTAAATTCTAGAGTAGCCTGTTATGAGAAAGTAGGTGTTTGGGTATATTCTCCATAATCTTGCCACTCCGAATGCCGAGTACTGCACCTTGCCTAATCATCACTGCGAGATGTCCAATTTACAATTCCCCGGTGATTTAGGTGTGAATTAGCGCTCTTCAGATTTCTATAGAGCCCCGGTGAACACGTATCCCCGTCAGCTGTGTCCTAGAATCCTTGCTCAACGCGGTTATCGCCTCCGGCGGTGCCATGTTCCGATCAAAAATGGAAGTCGTATTAGCGACAGCGTCTTCCGAAACCACATCAAGTACTCGCATACGTGATCTTCCGGCGAAGGAGCGCTATAATGCTGTGTTTTCCAGTTGGGATACAACACAACAGCAGATTACCACTCACATGAACAGAACTTAAAATGCCTACTTCTCGTCTTCTATTGCCAGCGCTGGACCTATCTATATCGCACATCAGGGCTTACTATAATGACGTATAACAATGATATTTTAGAGTTTTGCTGGTTAGTGAATTTGCTTGAATTCCGGGATCCGAATCATAGATCTTGACATTGTTCAATTTGTATGAGGAATATCCGATAGGCTGATGGATAAGTAATCACAGGTCAACGCTACCTTAACAGTAGACTTTGGCCGTTCTTGGAGCTCTTGCTCTGCCTTTTCTCAAATCCAAGCCATGCCGCACCAAGGTAACTAATCTAAGCTGTACGGCCCGAGGCCGAAGACCTACCGGGTGGGGAAAATCACATTTTGGATTGTGGAGCTTAAACCTTAAATCTAAACATTTGATAGAGGTACATTGGTGCACCACTCTACTTCCACTGTTCCCTATTTTGACTAGCAGTAATTTATGCTCGCTTTCCAAGAAGATATTTCTGTCAAAATAAGAATAGGCAACGGAACTGCCTCCCTGTATTGAGATTATCATCCACTTTCATCATTTTCGCTCAAGTGCTCCAGGACTCACCCGTGTAGCTCAGGATGCCAGTATAATTGTTTTAATTGATCATTGTTTAGGTACCTTGAACTATAAATTTTATAAGGTTCACTGTTAGAACAAGTCGAGAGATTACAAGGCAAAGTAACAGTATTGGAATTCAAATACCTAGCTATTTTGATACATGTATACATGCACATTGAATATTTCGAAGCCCTATCAGGTGGAGTTTCTCTGGAAGATGGAAACTTTAGAGATATATGTGATACCAAAGGATGCATTGATATACAATGCCCTCCGGATTTTGAAATGTGGGGGCGAAGTCGTCCTTATTTAGTGCTGGCTTAGCACAAACATGCATCTAGCAATTCAATTACAAGTCAGCTACATACCTACGGTGTAGGTACATATTCCATTATGTACGGCCACATGTTAAGATAGTCCCCCAGTTAAATATAGAAATAAAACTGACTGCTCATTTTCATGTTCAAAAAGCCAAATAAGGGTGATAGCCATCCATCTCCCATTGGTATACTCCGACCTGCTTGTCACGTACCTTGGAAAAGGAGAAAGGAAACAACTGCTGTGTAGAGCATATGGAGTTATCACAATGTCCCAGTATTTACTGATGAAGTATATGCACAAGTAATACAACCTTGGAGTGTGTGCGTGTAACTCTGAGAGGCGGTACATGATACATTACAACCTTGCGATAGGTCCATAGGCCCCCCTCCCCCCCCAACCAAAATTTTACGGCGCGAATCGCGTCAACTTTAGTAAACGTTGAGGACACGTTTGATTTGCTTTGTTTATAGTACAGTTATCTTGTGGCTGTATATTGTACAGATGAGATGCATATAGTTACATGATGGGAATATCGGGATACCTCAAGGGTGATCTTCGATGCGACGCCAGACTCCCACAAACCCGCCACCCATGGTGCGCAGTCCAACCTTTGGCCGGCATACCATCACGGCGTTCGACTCATCAACTGCAGGACCCGGGGCTAAAGGCTCCACATTGGCGATAGGCTCGGAATCCGGTGCATCCTCCGCAGGAGCGGCTTCTTCACCTTCAGAAGCTGCTTCCCATGTTGAGGGATCAGATCCAGACTTCTTGACAGCGAGACGAACATCCCAGTTCCGGCCACTGGTTAGTCCAGACCCAAGCTCAACAACTCGGTCCAAAACAAACGGCCGGTTCATCTTCTGGATCATCCGCACGCAATCGCCAATCTGCGTGATGCTAGGCGCAAAGACAATCAGCTTGCCGTCCCGGTGGATAATGTCCTTAACCAATGGGATGCGTTCATGCGCAGATGGCATGTCCAAAATGGCATATGTCAAGAAGGGCTTGACCGGCTCGGCTGCCTTGGTGCGTTGCGCGACTTGTGAATTGATCCATTCCTCCACTGCGCCGACGTAGAAATCGACGGTGCCGGAGTAGATTCCACGACGGAAACCTAAAACATTCTTTTCTGCAAGCTTGGCGAATTTCGAAGACACATCCACCGTGTGAATGATGGCGCCTCGCTCTGTCCGCCACGCATCCCATTCCTGTTGTAGTGGATCGGTCTCTGTCGAGGTTTGCGATTCAGTTCCTGATGAAGCTTTCTCCGTTGGGCTTCGATTCCGACCCGCTACATATTGTATTTGAGAACCGACTGGCCGAGGCGGCGGAGTCGTGTTGGCAGCGTGGAGAGCACGCGCTAGGTGCAATGTTAAGGATCCATGGCCGGTGCCAGATTCGAGGATTTCAATTGGGGGTTGGTTATCATTCGCGGTGGTTGGGTTTGTATGGATATCGAGGAGGGAGACGATCAGGTTGGCATCATGAGCATAGATCTGCGACTATTAGTTACTGCGTCTTTCAATGGATTTGAATTCCCCTGGGCATGTTCATACCGGCGTCACCAAGCGAGGAGTCAGAGTGACATATTCCTCCAAGGTTGGAAGGCTCAGTCGAATGTCTGGACCTGCTGGGCGTTAATCGCATTGCTTGAAATATTTGCGAAGATGCCTCTTACCCTTGTGTGCCTGGACTGCATCCCATACCCGACTCCCAATAGCACGATCATGTTCCAGATGTCCCCGTCGAAGACTGGTCTTCCCTCCTTTCTTCAATGGCTTTGTTAATGTGGGCTGTTTGGTGTGTAATAAGACCTGGTCACCCTCTGCGCGATGTTAGCGGAGATCCAGTTCTCGAAAGGGGAAATCTCGTACCTTTGATAATCGAAAAGTCGGTATCAATGGATCTAACTCGAGTCGTACTAGGACTCGGCGGAGGTATAGAAACTGCCGGGCTGGGGTTTCCCAGCAATCGCTGCAACGACCGCAGTAGACGAGCCATGTTGGAGCTAAAAATGCCTTGAATCTCCAAATCCACTTTTCTTTGGCCCTTGGTGCCCCACTTGTCCCCGGGTTGGTTCACCCCTCGTTCACCGGGGAACTTTTGGTCTTTTTTCTTCGACTACCCAATTGCTCTACCTGTCCGTTCACGATAGAAAAGACCGAAGATTATAGCGATCTCCTATAATTTTACGATTTTCAATTTTTCATTCTACCACAATGGGCTCCATCGCGCTTCCTTACATGGAGACCAAGCCTAAGGTCATCTTCTTCACCGATTTTGATGGCACAATCACCGTCGATGACAGTGAGTTACTGGGGGTACCCCATGTTTGAAGGCTTTTACTAATGGATCAACAGGCAATGATTTTATGGTTTGTCGAGCGCACCCCTCTTTTATTCTCCAAGACTGAATATGGTAGATCGACAATTTGGGCTTTGGCGCCGACCGCCGACGTGTCTTGAACAAGCAGGTTCTTGAGGAGACTTTGAGCTTCCGGTGAGACCTATTGGCATCGACTGAGCGAATATATTCTGACTGGACTGGTTCAGTGACGCCTTCCGTGAGATGCTCGCGAGCATCAAGACCCCCTACGACGAGTGCATCGATATTCTGCTGAAGAACATGAAGCTGGACCCATACTTCGAGGAGTTCTACTACTGGGCCCAAGAGAACAATGTCCCCATTGTCATTCTGTCTTCTGGTATGCGCCCGATCATTGCCGCTCTGCTCGAGAAGTTCCTGGGCCACAAGCCCCGCAACCATCTTACCATCATCTCCAACGAGGTGACTGGCCGTGATGGCAAGGATATCAACAGTGAGGGTGGCTGGGAGATCGTTTACCACGATGAGAGGTAGGGCCTGTTCCCCGTGATTCATGAATATATCAGTATACTTATATTTGCGCTCGTATAGTCACTTTGGCCACGACAAGTCTCTTGAGATCAAGCCTTACGCCGCCTTGCCTGATGAAGAGCGCCCGGTCCTTTTATATGCTGGCGATGGTGTGTCCGATCTGTCGGCTGCTGCAGAGACTAACCTGTTGTTTGCGAAGGAGGGTAAAGGTAACCCAGCCCCTCTCCCTTTTCCTTGAGCATGATTTGAACGAATCACTAAAATGAACCAAGATCTGGTCACTTTCTGTCAGCGCCGGGGAATGCCATACACCACCTTCCAGAATTGGTCCACGATCTTAGCGACCACGAAAGATATCCTCGCTGGCAAGGTGTCGCCCAGCGACGTGGCCAAGCAGAGCACTGCGTAAGGATTGAATATAGAATGACCTAGATGTTATTTTAAGGCAGGTTACGACCACCGAATTGTTATTTAGAACCCAGAGACAACGATAGAAATGAAAGAACATGATCCAAGCGGAGCATAGACTAGTGGAATCGTCAGGAGTAAGTGACCGCCTTGCGGGTCCAAGCGTCGAGTCGGTTTCCCCCCAAAAACAATCAGAAACTCACTTTATTTCCTCCCATCTTTTAGCTTTTATGTTCTGGCTTGAATGAGTTGACCTAACATTGTCGGTCTCCTCTTGGCCTTGTTCACATCTTTTCTGAGCATTCGGAGGGGCATCATGCGACACTGCGCATCCCGGCTCTTTTCCAAGTCCTTGCCAGGGTGATATCAGCATCATGGCTCGCCGGATCGTACGAACATCTGTCTGAACCCCCCTGAGATCCATAAACGCTGACTTGATTCTTATGCAGGTGCGGGCTGGCTTACAGCTCGGTGTGCTCACTGCATTCATTCTTCTCGTGGTTCTGTTTCTCGACAACCAATTTAGCGTCCTTCCTACCTCCATCCATGGCCACCTTCCGATGCACTACTCCGGCTTCGTGATCACCGATGTGACTGTCACCACGTGCTCCGCGCTCAATCCCTTCTCGAGTTGCAATCTTGATCCGGATGCCTGGCACCGTATCGACAAAGACCTGTACTTGCGCTCGGGCTGGACCTCGACGGCCTATATCCAATTCCAACGAAAGAAGGAGGAAGATCTGGGTCCAGATGACAAGGTCGTCATCGATTTGAAAATTGGTCGCGTGACGCCTCCGGCTGAAGACACGGGCAAAGGCGATGCAGAAGTTTGGGAATCCCGCCCTGGCGGTATCTGGCTGAAGCGAACGGCCTCCCGTCATGCCAGTGACTCAGGTCAGGCCGTGACATATGTCGACGTCCTCTTTGGTGCAGACGCCGTAGATCCCCGTCCTAATTGGGAGATCAAGGACATGCCGTTGTTGTTGGATGGTTGGACTGAGAAGCTGGAGACTCGGCTAAGCATTCGACGTGGCAACCCGACCAAGAAGTCAAAGCCTGTTCCCAGAATCAATGAGAATGGAAAATTCAAGGTCATGCAGCTGGCGGATATCCACTTAAGTACAGGAACGGGCCACTGTCGAGACCCTATCCCGGCCGAATCTGTGCCTGGACAAAAGTGCGAGGCCGACCCACGAACCTTGGAGTTCATTGAGCGACTTCTCGACGAGGAAAAGCCGGACATGGTAATCCTCTCGGGTGATCAGGTCAATGGCGAGACTGCTCCTGATGCCCAAAGTGCTGTCTTCAAGTCTGTGAAACTTCTTGTCGACCGCAAAATTCCCTACGCAGCCATTTTTGGCAACCATGACGACGAAGGCGACCTCAATCGCGAACAGCTCATGGCTCTCTACGAAAATCTCCCCTACTCTCTTTCAACCGCTGGCCCCGAAGACATTGATGGGGTCGGCAACTATATTGTCGAAGTTCTCGACCGCGGCACCGGCACCCACTCCGCCCTTACTTTCTATCTCCTCGACACTCATTCCTACTCTCCCGATGAACGCCAGTTCCGGGGCTACGACTGGATCAAGCCTAGTCAAATTCGCTGGTTCAAAAACACCGCTCAAAGCCTGAGAAGAAAACATCAGGAGTATACCCATATACACATGAACATGGCATTCGTTCACATCCCATTGCCCGAGTACCGGAGCTCCGGCAAGTACTTCCATGGCGCATGGGATGAAGCTCCAACAGCGCCAGGATTTAACTCCGGATTCAAGTCTGCTCTCGAAGAAGAGGGCATTCTGTTCGTCAGCTGTGGACAGTGAGTTTTCCGAAAACATTCCTTTGGGCAGTAACTGATGTATATTTAGCGACCATGTCAACGACTACTGTATGCTCGAGCAAGACGAAAGCGAGCAGCCGTCTCTCTGGATGTGCTATGGTGGTGGTGCCGGTTTGGGAGGTTACGGTGGCTACAACGACTACGTCCGCCGTGTGCGCTTCTTCGAATTCGATATGGGTCCCGGTCGTGTAACGACCTACAAACGCCTCGAATGGGGCCAAACTGAAGCCAAGATCGATGAAATGATGATTGTCGACGGTGGTGCTGTCAAAGGCCCGAACGAAGCATCTTAACGAGGCTCTGCTCTTCTGCTTACGCATTACACTTTTTTATCTGCTCTTTCTTGGATGTAAGAGCGAAAGCTCTCTGCCCTTGTCACCTATTTGGGTCGTCCTTCTTTTTCTTCTACCATTGTACATATAAGTTTCTCCTTGCCTGCGAAAGGTTGGCGTCCATAGGGTGCTTATCTCTTATTGAATATCCCATCATTTCAATTCTTATTAATGGTGACTTTATATGGATTTGCATATGCAAGACACATCCTACCCTATCCCCAAGTTCTAGTGCCTATGTAGTTTGTGCGATGTCAAGAATATCATAGACTTAATCTTCTTCAGTCAGGACGTTACGCAGATTATATATACGGATACAGAGACAAAGAAAGTTGAGGTCAAAGGAAGAATCCGCTGTGAACTAGCTCCGAGAGAGAATGTATATCCATATTTGGTGTTCGTCGGACCAGAATTACTTCCATAAAATGCTGTATGGGCTTTCACTATCTTTCTTCCTGGGTTTCATAATTCATCTCATCACCACCATTTCTCAAAAAACACTCTTTGGGTTCCATCCTCCTCTAGGAACCCTTGGAGCTTCTCTACCAGTTCATCAGTCATAACTGGGGGTCCACAAACATAAGCCACAGTTTCTTTTTGAATCACTTTGTCACTCCCGCTCACAAGCGCGGAATATAAATCGTGATCGCTTATCCGTCTCGAGTGGATGTTCAGATCTGCAGGAGATTTCAATGAAAGTTGGGTCGCTGATGCCGAAGTAAGAAACAGGTCCAGGCTAATATTAAGTTGACATGATGGGCCATGAGAAGAAATGATGTGTCGCACTCGCGGAAGAAACAGAATCTGCTCAAAGACAGACTCGGGTTTCTCTGTTTCTTGTCCTTGAGGCAGTCGGCTCGAGTACAATATATGAACGTCGAGTTTGCTTCTCGGCTTGGTTTGGTTCATATGAGATAATATTGAGATCAAGGGGCTGTATGGCCGTCAGTTTCATTTTCCAGCATCATCCAGACAAATCTTACTTGATCCCCACGCCACCAGCAATTAAAACCACATTTTTGACCGCATGGACATCTATTCCAGTCGGTGGCCAGACAAAGCTCCCCCCTACCCGGATATTTACTTCCTTGCCAATGATCTCATTTTTGGGCTTCCATAGCCACGCAGCCGCTGGGTTGGATGGTGAGTCTTGGACCGCTAGCTCCACATATGGGGCTCGGCCCTGCGAGGTTAGTGATGCAGCTACGTTTTCTCTGGCAACTGAAGCGTCTGGATCATCTAGTGATGGTAGCGCCTGGGCATCTGCCGGTGTAGAAGTGATAGTGAACCCGCCAGCGTTGGATATAGATGGGATATGCACATCTAGCCACTGACCCGGCATGAAAGAGAATGGTTGTCGTTGATCGCCCTATATAGTAATGTGAGTTACACAAATGATATTTCGAATGCGGTTGGTGTTTGGACTGTGTTAGAGATAATAATAGGGTCGGGGAATATATCATATCAGTCGATCCGATATTTTAGGTTCGGGCAGTACAATATCAAATTGGTGCTTACATTCTCGGGGCTCGGAATGGTGAATTGCAGGAGCCGAATTGATCGGTTCACCTGCTCCACATGGGCGAGATGTACTGGGTACAATCTGTTTTGCCGGGGTTCGGCTGCTGTCCGCAGCTCATGGGGGATGGAGTCTTCTCGCTGGGAGCTCATCGGGCGGGTTCTCGGGAATAGTGGCGGCTGGGGCCGGAGGTGAAGCGCGGGGAGGTGGATTGGTTGGCGCGGTCGGATACCCCTCATTAGATTGTGATTAGATGCACGATGTGTGATTGATTTTGGGCACCTTGGTTCCTGTGCGGTATCGTGCGAGTGCGAGTCTAGCGACAAGGACCAGTCATCCAAGGTTGGTGCTCCAAGGTTGTCTTGTAAGTGGGAGGCCACGGTGTCTTAGATAATGATGATTCGGCCTCTACATGTAAATAATTATTACGAATATATTCCACTTTAATTCCACTTCAACTTCATTAATAACCTCATCTTCCTGTAAATCATCTTTAATGATTGCATATGGAAAGGGATTATGAAATTGCTTATGGTATGACATTGCTTATGCTCTGGAATATATTTTGCCGGGAGCGTTTCAGATGAATCCTCCAGCGGCTACAATCCCGAGTCTGACCCTCTCCGCATGTACATGCTCTGTGTACAGAGTACATCTTCTCCAATAAGATCAATCTGCGGATCAACTCATAGGAACAAGAGCCAGACTAGTTATCACAGAAAAAAAAACAGGATGCTTACACAGTGAAATCGCCTAACTGAGCTGATCTTCGGGACCAGACTCGTGGGCCGTGGATCACAGTAGTTGCGGCATGCATGGACCATCACAGCGAGAAGCAAACTGATTTAACGACAGCAACCAGCCCCACCGCAGCGTTTCGCTGTTCCACCAGCACCAAATGACTGTGTGCTGTGATGCGGAGGTACTCGTGCAGATCCACTAACCCATCACACCGACTAGTGTGTGACGACCGGCAGCCTATCCCCGGTCTGTGGCATCTCATTGGTGCGACAGTCCTCACGACCTGCTTCTGCTGGCGCTTTGCCGCCGTCAAGCATTGGCCAGATGCAAGTCCTGGAAACACTCCCAGGATGCTCTGCACCCAGCCCCGGCGCTGATTCGCCCCCCTCTCTGCATGGGAGAGATGGGCGACTCAAAGCGTCCGCCAGCCGGAGGGTCTCCAGCTCATATCTAACGCCCATCATCCGGATCGCCCAGAGTTTTGTGTGTTTCTGATTTTCTGATTTCCTGTGAAGCACTGTCTTTTTAACCTTTGGCCTTGGCCTTTTCCGTGCGAAAGACTGGATCTCACTTGCCAGCCGGTCTGGCCGAGTCGCATTGTCTTCCCATTAATCTTCCTGTCCCGCTCTCACTGAACTGTTTCGCCTTTCTACTAAGGCGCTTAACACTTTCTGGTCGGTTTTCGAGTGATTCACCTCCAAGTCGTCGCTATGCACAAGCAACAGTTCCAGTTCAAGCTCGAGGCGATTAAGGACTTCGAGTTCTTTCGAGGATGGTACTTTCCCAAGCAATGGCGGGACCGCAAGCTTCTTTTCTGGCTCATGGGAGCTGAGATTCCCTTCACCATCACTATCTTAACCCTAACCGGTATTGCTTCGCACAACACATACCGCACGTTGTTATGGGAGGATGGTTACAAGAATGGCTTCAACAGTTCGCCTGATCAGAACCTCTACTCCGCTGCCAACTATGAGCCCTATACGCCTCCTCTCGTGTGGTCAAATTTGTATGTTTTCTTCCCAGCATTTCATCGAATCCTAACTGACTGAATATCAGCTTGACCAACTTCAACTTGGTCATCGGCGTCCTGAGTGTCTTCCTTTTGATCGTGAAAATACCCGTCCACTTCATGCACTTGTTTTTCCCTCCTCTCGCCGCATTCGTTCACGGAGGTGGTCTCGTTGTGTATGCCTTTGCAGTTCGGTACCAGGCTGGTCCTGATATGTCAGACCCCAATCAGCCTCAGCCCGGCGCACCTTGGTACATCACCAAAAGCTGTAGCGTCGCCTACTCGAAACCGGACATCGCATTCTGCAACCAGGCCAAGGCTCTTTTCGCTCTGTGTATCATCATCATGTAAGAACAATCTCCCCACTGACCGCACCAGAAATGAAAACTCATCCAACCCTCCAGCCTGATCTACTTCGTCGAATTCTGCTTCTCCGTCCGCTCCTGCTTCATCACCCAAGCCGAGCGCGACCAGATTCTCGAGAATCGTGAGGACAAGCGCGTCGAGAAGGAGTTTGAGGAGGAGATCATGAAGTCTCCCTATTACCCAACCACCCCCGGCTTGGTCCCCCGTACCCCCGGCTTCCCACCCATGGTCGCGCAGCCAGCCGGCTTTGGTGGTCAGGGAGGCGTGTACCCCTTCACACCGCGGCACTTGGCTTTCAACCGATTGGGGAGTGAGGCTTCTGACCTACCGCTGCGTGAAAATGGCTCTTCTAGCGCTCCTTCTCCGCAGACATTGCACCAGCCCTCTCCGGATGGGTCGCAATCGCAGATGTACTTCCCGCCTCCACCGAAGAAGGCTTCGAAGTAAAGCGTGAAATGTGGTGAATTGAATTGTTTTTTTGCTTTTGAGATCATTAAGATACCAGATACCATCCTTTTTAGCTTTTGCTTGTCTATACACCTCACCCTCCTTTATCTACTCGGTTCCTTGTGAACTTGGGAGAAGCATCAAAATACGCCCAAGTACATGTCATATATGGCGTTTTGGATATGGTTTCATTCCAGCACTTATGCCTGGGAAATGTTACATAATTTTTCATGAATTAAGGTGATCGACTTATATGAAAGGGTAAACAGTAAATTCAAACATTCAATCCAGTATGTCAGTGTGCAGTAAAGCCAAGAACCAGAGAAATAATCCAATATATACACGTTGAGGCCAGAAAAATCTGGAAAATTTTGATCATTACTTCGTCAATCATTTTGCGCAGACCATGGGAGGCAAAGAAAAAATATAAGTCCCAAATCCAAGTGACCACCACACTCGGACCTCGCATAGCACAGGATATCGTAACCGTAAGCGAAGCCAATTAGAAAAACGGAAAGCAATAAGTTAAGTAAAGGCCAACTCGTGATGTGATGTGATGGAGTGGATCAATTGTACTCCTGACGCTTTTTCTCTTTCTTGGACCAGCGCACTAAAGAGGGGACGTTAGTTTCAGCAACAAAAAGCCAATACGGGAAACTTACAGCCACAGGCATTGCATAAGGTCTTGGGCCCAGTGGGCCCTTTTCGCCATTCAGGAGAGTCGGCGGTTCCACAATCGGTACAAACGTGCTGGCCCTTAAGCCGCTTGCGTCTGTCACCCTCTTGCACATTTCGTGCTTGATCTGCAGCCGTAGTGATATCGATGTCACAGTGGACTAGTCGACCCCGTCGCATACCTGTACTAAGACCCTGTGACCGCTCGCCGTCACCATAGAAGAGACCTGTCATCACTTCAATGCCATCAATATGCGACATGCCCTCTGGGCGAGGTGCCTGCTCGAAGAGATCTGCCCCTTCGCTGGTACCAGAATCATCCGACTGTGCGGCAGCGGTCTCGCTCGACTCCTGGTCGCTCAAGATGACCTGTCCGGTGGCGTTATCTATTATTGTCTGCTCGCCATCCGTCTTGCCGTATTGAACGCGGGCTATGCCTGCTTCTTCCTCTTCTTCTTGGTTAAGCTTGGCAATCTGTTGTACTAGTCGCGCATTTTCAATCTTATGTTCGAGGAAAGAATCAAGAAGCTGAGATATCTTCGAGGGGTAAGGTCGACACATGAGGAAGAACCCTGTGCATAGGTCCTGTGGAGTGGTGTTCCGTTCCTGTGACGCATTCGAATTCGCAATATGCGGGTGCCCGTAGATCTCGATGAGACAGAAGGCGTTGTTGGTTTTCTGGAATCGCACATGGGTGCGAAACGCACGGTTCTCAGCGACTGCGTCGTCCATGTCACGGTTGAAGACAGGTTGGTCCTCATTGTGGATATATTGCGTGATTGGACTCCCTTCGAATTGTTTGGGGGATCGGCCTGTGATCTGCTTTGCCGACGGCGATGCATAGGTGATGCGACCCTGGGCGTTGAGAAGCAGAAGCATGTCTTTCATTTCCTCAAGCACCCGCTGGATCCAACCTGGGTCCTGTTGCGCTTGCGGCGGTTGTATCCCATAGCTTCCAAAGGGTCCATCGCCTGGATATCCTTGACTCGCTTCGTTAGAAATGGACTGCCGCTGCGATGCGGGTGGCTGCAGGCTGTCGAGCTGGTGTTGCTGGCTTAAGGCCATATCGAGGAGACCGAGGACTGAATCGAGGAGACCAAGGACTGAATCGAGGAGACCAAAGACTGAATCGAGGAAGAAAGTGGGGATGAATTCGGGCGGGTGAAAGGAAATCGTAGGAAGAAGATTGGCAAGGGTAATAGGTATCCGAGCTCAGCGGTCCAGACGGTCGATTCCCCGCAAAGTAAGTTTCCAGTAAACCCAAATAATGTATAGTTCCAAGAGGGGTGATATTATAATCAAAGCGAAGCCACGACAACGATCAGAGCCATTCGCTAGGGGTAATTCAACCTCCTGCTTATCACACAGAATGGCTTGACCCCAGGAAGAAAGGGAAATGAAACCCGGCCGCTCAGAGTGATAAATACTCGCTGATCCCTGTGGGGCGTCGGATTATCTAACGCTCTATTCCCTGTCAGGTGACTTCGTGTCGCTCGGCGCGAGCAACAAGTGGAGAAAGTTGATGCATCACAAAGGCCCGTTGTGATCTGCACCCTCCCAAATTCTGCAAACTTTAGGCTCTGGATGACATTGACAGTCATTCTGCGCCATTAAGGGAGCCTGCTGAAGCCTCTCCACTCGCGCTGGCGCTTTCAAAATGTGAGCTAACCCGTTCCCCGCTTTTCCATAACTATGCTAACGGTCCGAATAGGTGTAAGTGAAATGCATCAAGGGCTGCAGCAACTTATGCACAAGTATCTGACAATTTACTTTCCTCCGGACAGCGAAAATTGACAAACTCTCCATTCTGGGGTATGTTCTTATTCGAATTCTAGATCCTGTGTCCACACATTGATGCTCACTATTTCTCATAATTCCAGAGTTCGTTCCTTCGACAACACGCGCAGCGAGACCATCCAGTTTCACACTCCTCTTACATTGATTGTCGGATATAATGGATCGGGCAAAACGGTACGCTCATCGGTAGCTAGGTATCGTTAGTCGGCGGGCGCAGACTGACAGCCTTAGACTATCATCGAGTGTCTGAAATATGCCACCACCGGCGATCTCCCTCCGAACAGCAAAGGCGGTGCTTTCATCCACGATCCGAAATTATGTGGCGAGAAGGAGGTGCTTGCACAGGTGAAGCTTTCCTTCAAGGGAACATCTGGTGCGAAGATGGTGGCTACCCGCAGTCTACAACTTACGGTCAAGAAGACGACAAGGCAGCAGAAGACGCTGGAAGGGCATCTTATGATGATGAAAAATGGCGAGCGAACGGCGATTTCCTCACGAGTCGCCGAGCTAGATCAGATCATGCCTCAATATCTGGGCGTTTCCAAGGCTATCTTGGACTCTGTCATATTTTGCCACCAGGATGAGAGTCTTTGGCCAATGAGCGAACCATCCGTCCTCAAAAAGCGATTCGACGAGATTTTTGAAGCCATGAAGTACACCAAGGCGATTGATAACATTAAGGCTCTTCGCAAAAAGCAGAATGAAGAGTTGGCGAAATACAAGATCATGGAGCAACATTCAAAAGAAGACAAGGATAAAGCAGATCGTGCAGAAAAGCGCTCAGTGAAGCTTCAAGATGAGATTGAAGAGCTGCGCGACGAGACTCAAAAGATGTCGAAGGAGATGCGCCGTGTCGCCGAGCTTGCTGACAAGGCATGGAAAGAATCCGAAGGATACGCGCAGGTGCTCGGTGCACTAGAAGGCAAAAGAATCGAAGCGAAAAGTATCCAGACCACTATTGACAATCTTAAACGGCACCTGGTCGAGCTTGAGGACTCGGATGAATGGCTCGAATCAAATCTCGAACAATTTGAGACCAAGCAAATCGAATACCAGCAGCAGGAAGAAGCGCAGAAGGAGAACTACATGGTACTTAAGGCGCGTATTGAGAAGACCCGGCAGCAGCTGGGCTTGAAACAAGCTGAAAATGGAAAACACGAGAACGACAAGGCCAACTTCGAGCGACAGGTCCAAAGACGTCAGAATATGATCACCGAAGTTGCTCGTGGGAACAACATTTATAGCGTTGATGAGAATATGGACCAGGAAAGCATCGACGCTTTCATGCAAAAGGTCAGGGGCTTCCTGCGAGAACGAAACCAGGCCCTCGATCGGGTGAAACGCGAAGCCCAGAAAGAGCTCCGCGAGGTTCAGGACACTCTAAATGAAATCGGACAGCGCAAATCCGCTTTACAAGAAACCAAGAACTCCTCCAAAAAGCAGATTTCGAACAATGACAGAGAATCGGCGAGCTACCAAGGAAAGCTTAATGGAATCGACGTTGACGAGGGCGTTCAAGCAGCCCTGGAGGCTAAGATCGAAGATATCACCTCGAGCCTCGAACGCGCCAAAGAGCGTACGATTGTTGCTTCATGGGACCAAGAGATTCAGGATGTCAACGCGCAGATCCAACACCTTGAGGACGAAAACTCGAACCTCAATGATGAGTTAATTGAGTCCACAAAGAAGGCTGGCGATTTAGCTCGATTGGATCATCTCAAGAAGGAAGAGAAGGAAAAAAAGCGGAGTCTTCAGACTATGAAAGGAGCTCATGGAGAACGACTTGTGAAGGTTGTCGGTGCGGATTGGCAGCCCCATTCTTTGGAACGGGAGTTCCAGTCCGCGGTAGATAACGAATCCAAGCAGGTATCTGATGCAGAGCGCGATCGCGATGGTGTCAGCCGAGAATTGGAGCAGGTCGAGTTTAGGTTGAAAAATGCAACTAAAGCCTTGAAACAGCGTCGAAAGGAGCTGGACGAGTGTGTGAAGGAGATTCATGAGGCGGTTGACGCAGATCCTTCCGAGTACCCTACGATAGTCAAAGAACGGCAGGAACAGTACGACCTTGCTCGCAAGGACGCTGATCAATACGCTGGTTTGGGTGAGTACCTCAACCTGTGTGTTGACGCAGCAAAGAAAGCCAAAAGCTGTCGCACATGCCAGAGACCTTTCAAAAATGAGACCGAGGTCCAAGGATTCATTAAAAAGCTTCAGGGATTGGTGGAAAATGCCGCTAAGGAAGGCGAAGATGGACAATTGCAGGAGATGGAGCAGGATCTTGAGACTGCCCGCGAAGCCAGTGCAGCGTACGATACATGGGTCCGTCTCTCAGAAACCGACATCCCAGAACTGGAGAAAGAAGAAGAGGAATGCGAATCTCAACGCTATCAGCTTCTGGACAAGCTTGAGGTCCATGACCGAACTGTGAGCGACAGGCAGGAAAGCAAGAGAGATGTAGAGTCTCTTATCAAAACGGTCAACACCATTACAAGATACGATGCTGATATTAAGACTATCGCCTCGCAAATCCAAGAACTCTCTGCGAATCAAGGAAATATGTCCGCAAGCCGTACCCTGCAAGATATCCAAGATGAAATCTCGGCGAATAATGAAAAGGCACGCGAGCTGAAAAAGACTCTCGCTAAGCTGTCGAGTGAAAGGGATCAGACTCGGAGCGAGATCAACAAGCTCGAGTTACAGCTGAGAGATGTCCAAAGTAACCTTGAAAGCGCCAAATTCCAGCTGGAGAAGAAGGCCGACTTGCTTGCCCGCCTGGAAGAGTACAAGAACCTCAATTTTCAACAGCGGGAGGCAATTGAGAAAGCGGACCAAGACATCGAAAGCTTGACACCCGAATTACTTCAGGCTCAAGCTCGCTACGACGACATCAGTCAACGAGCCGAAGGGCGAGAACGAGACCTACAGCATGACATCACCCGTCTTTCGGAGAGTATCAACCAGCTTGCTTTAGCGAACGAGGAGATCAACTCATATAATAACCGTGGAGGCCCTGGCCAACTTGAAAAAAGTAAGCGAGAGCTCTCCGAAATTGAGGCTGAGATCAGCAAACTCGAGTCTGAGCAAGGTGAAATCACTCGAGAAATCAACAAGATCTCGGCACAGCTCAAAGACAGTGAGAACACCAAGCGGCAGTACTCAGACAATTTGACATATCGCCAAGCTACACGATCTCTAGATAACGTTCTGGAAGAGGTCGAGCAACTGGAATCTCAAAATGCCGACGTTGATCGCAGCCGCTTCAAGCAGGAGTCGGAACGCTGGACGCGGGAACACAATGCTTTGGCCGCCAAACAAGCTAGCAAGATGGGAGAAATGAAATCCAAAGACGATCAGTTGATGCAACTTCTCAAAGACTGGGATACGGACTACAAAGATGCCGCATCCAAGTACAAGGAATCCCACATCAAGGTGGAGACTACCAAAGCTGCTGTTGAAGATCTTGCCCGCTATGGTGGAGCCCTCGATAAAGCCATCATGCGATATCACGGTCTGAAGATGGAAGAGATCAATGCCATCGTGGGGGAGCTTTGGCAAAAGACCTACCGCGGAACGGATGTCGACACAATCCTTATCAGATCCGACAATGAAAATGCCAAGGGCAACCGATCATACAACTACCGTGTCTGCATGGTCAAATCAGGCGCAGAGATGGATATGCGAGGCCGCTGCAGTGCAGGACAAAAGGTATTAGCTAGTATCATCATCCGACTTGCACTGGCAGAGTGCTTCGGCGTCAATTGTGGATTGATCGCTCTCGATGAGCCAACCACCAATTTGGATCGTGATAATATTCGTTCCTTGGCTGAATCGCTACACGATATTATCAAGGCTCGACAGCAGCAAGCCAACTTTCAGCTCATTGTCATTACCCATGACGAGGAGTTCCTGCGGCACATGCAGTGCGGAGATTTCAGCGATTATTACTATCGTGTCTCGCGTAATGAGCGACAGAAGTCGATTATAGAAAGGCAATCTATTGCTGAGGTCTGTTCACCATGAAAATACATGAATGTCAAGGTTATATGCTAAATTAATCCAGGTCCTATAATCCCATCTCCGTTACGTACCACAATTTTCTTTTCCAGTGCATTGCATATTGATTGCTTCTTATGTCCAGGTCGCTCTTCCTTGCTAGGCGCATCATGACCAATCTCAAGTTTCGCAGCATTTACATTAGAGCATACCCAATTAGGCGTCTGGGGATCATGATTTAAATATCATTCATTTGTACTTCTATGTGTGTATGAGAGCAAGCAACGTAGATCCTCCACTATTCACCCCCCTCAAACATCCATCTCAGCGTCTTCCTCATCCAACAAGGGCACGAACCGAAAGTCGACAAAGCAAACTTGTCCAACACCCTTGACTCCAGCTCCGATAGAGCGTCCAGCAGGAGTTTGACCGTCATCCAGCTCAATCATGAACTGCAGACTCAATACGCCCTGCTGGTCCCCCCTGATACTAACTTTGTTGGCAACAGACATGGCTCTTGCCGCCTTCCGAACCAGCGCAAACCGGTAACTCTGCTTGATACGCTCACTAATAGTCGAGGGAGGTGAAACCATGAATGTCTCTGTGGCAGTCGGGCCGAGCTTTGACTTCGTTGCGCGTGCTCGGGAGTTTCCATCATCTGTTAGCACTTTGTGTACTCCCTGTGATGCCTGCGTTGTCTGTCCCGGGGCCGTTCCGAGCATCTCATTGTGTTGGTCCATTGAGAACTCGACCGTGGACTCACTAAATGGCCCGCCGGCTCCCGAGAGGGCGAAATATGGTTCCTGCTTGGAGGACGCAGATATTTTGAGGATAGTGGGGGCCGAAGAGTCAAGTTCTGCAATAGAATTGTACAGCCAGGCGGAGCGCATGATAATTTTCATGATTATCGCATCGCGTTGGAGGGGGATGTCAGATTCATTGGGTTCTGGTTCGTATGTTACCAGTTCGCATGTTGTTTGGACACCTGCCTCGGCGAGAGCGATGCTGAATGGTGCACCGTGGGATGCATATTGGAGGGTACAGGAGCGGTCCATCAACAGCGCTGGCGCGGTGAATGCACTTGAAGCTGAATTGGTGTGCGGAAGACTGGTGTCACGGGCATTTGAATGTTGAGCTTCGTTTATACCAAAGATTTTGAGTGTTTCGAGGAGCGCGGAGAGAGAGACGATGAAGTGTGGGTATGTCACCTCGTCGGAATCTTGAGTGTCGGATATTTCTGCTTGGCTGGCATCTTGTGGGGTCGCATTGAATGTGTAGCTGGTGAAGAGGGACTTGTCGAGGAAAGCAAGGCCTTGTATGACACGGCCTTCTTCAACGGAGAAACGGAGGCCTTCGGGTGTGATCTGGACAGTAGCTCTTGAGGCAAAGCCGATGCAGGAGAGGAGAGTGTAGAGGTGATTGGCGTTGTTGGAAACGCCGGTGAATAGAGGCTCCATTTTGAGGTGTTGCTAGTCCAGGTGGTGTTTTTGGGAGATAGGAGCAGGGACTAATGGTTTCGCAAATGTGTGATAGTTTGGGAGCTTCTAGCAGTACAGGTCCCGAGCAATAATTCCCCGCTTAGTGTACATGGAGGAGATAATGGGTATCGCGTTAAACATAAACTCCGACGGCGCAGATCATCAGCACAGCTCCGAATCTACCCATAAGCGTATGATCAGTATGTATAACAAAAATTCTTAATATGACAAGTAGGTACTCACCCGGTTGCTAGAGCGGCTGGAACGCCCAGGGTGAAGAGACTCAGGAACGAACGGTCTGTAGAGGTTGTGAGCACAATTGATAGTACAACTTTCTTGCACAGACTTACTTAGCCCAAAAAGACCACTAGCAATCACAGCTAGAGTTAACAAGGTTAGTTGGACATATGGACGTTATTGCCGGAGCTATGCATACCAACGAGGAGCAAGTTGAAGCCAATCGCGAACTGGCTATCCTTGGAGACAATGGGGTGGAAAGGGGTTGCAGAGGCTGCCTCCCAGACTTCGTTCAGCGACATGAGTGTGGTGGAATCGGTGTGAAAAGGTACGAGGTTTATGTCAAGCACAGTTGAAGATCGATAACGCGTGGAGGTATAGATGTGATCTGGCCGATCCGGAGAAATGGTTATTCCTGAACCGACCCCAGTCACATCCAGCTGCTTAATCACCGAACACGCGCACGCATAATTGAATCACAGCTTTTCTCACCTTTCGTCATGACTGCTGTGTCGCCCAAGAGTGAGTTCCTCATTGATCTATGATTCCTACTCTAGTTGTATTTCACAGCAGATAATAACCGGAAGCAGGTTCAAAGAGGAAGGCCTCGGAGGAGGTCGCTTCCCCGGACTCTCAGCAGCAGGCAAGCAAGAAAGCGCGCACTGATTCCCCAGAAAAAGAAGAGGTTCGTTGGTTACCTCTGCCAATTTTCCTTGAACGCTAGTTAATAAGATGTCATAGGAAGATGGCCCCGCGCTGAAGCCTCCCCTGCGCATTGTGCCCTTCCCCGAGAAGGTGAGCTCCATCCCGCCGTCTCCGCACTTACAGCCCCATCAGTCACTAAATTTTCCATCCAGCCCGCGGTACTGGAAGAGCGCCGAGGTGATATCGAGTTCCGGGTCGTCAATAATGATGGATCACATGATAGCTTTATCGTCCTCACTGGGCTGAAGTGTATTTTCCAGAAGCAACTCCCCAAGATGCCTAAGGACTATATTGCTCGACTGGTGTATGATCGATCACATTTGTCAATTGCGATTGTAAAGCATCCGTTAGAAGTTGTTGGGTATGGCAACAATCACGGATCACGGATTAGAGAAGATGCTAATCATCCCACAGAGGAATCACATATCGGCCATTCAACAGTCGAAAGTTCGCAGAAATTGTCTTCTGTGCTATCTCCTCCGACCAGCAAGTCAAGGGTTACGGTGCGCATCTGATGTCTCACCTGAAGGTATAATTGCGACCCGCCAACCTCTAGGCCTGTTTTGCACACTAACCCAATATTCAATAGGATTATGTCAAGGCTACCTCTCCCATTATGCACTTCCTCACCTATGCGGATAATTACGCCATCGGCTACTTCAAAAAACAAGGATTCACCAAGGAAATCACACTCGATCGATCGATATGGATGGGATACATTAAGGATTACGAGGGCGGTACCATCATGCAGTGTACTATGCTCCCCAAGATTCGATACCTCGAGATGGGACGAATGCTATTAAAACAGAAAGAAGCTGTGCAGGCAAAGATTCGGGCCTTTAGCCGGTCACATATCATCCATCCCCCACCCAAAGAGTGGAAGAATGGGGTGAATAAAATCGACCCTCTGAGTATCCCGGCTATCAAAGACTCCGGATGGTCGCCCGACATGGATGAGATGGCCCGCCAGCCGCGTCATGGACCAAATCACAACCAGTTGCTGCACTTGTTGAACGACATGCAGAATCACAGCGCTGCCTGGCCATTCACACAACCGGTGAACCGAGATGAGGTACCTGACTATTACGAGGTTATTCTCGAGCCCATGGATCTTTCTACCATGGAGGAGAAGCATGAAAAAGACATGTACCCGACTCCACAAGACTTTATCAAGGATGCAACATTGATCTTTACGAACTGTCGCCGGTACAACAACGAGACTACACCATATGCTAAGAGTGCGACTAAACTTGAGCGATTCATGTACCAGCAGATCCGGGCTATTCCGGAATGGTCGGTAAGTATATGAGATCACACTCCACCACGCCTGACGAATATAGCTAACCAAATCTTAGCATCTGGCTGATAATAACTGAGCTTCTGTTTCTTGCTGGGGTGTTTATGATGAACTGGCGTTTGGGGGTGCAATCGAATTAAAAAATACCCTGAGGATAATCTCTATGAAGAATATGAATAAACATGAGAAAGTACTTTCCACTAGACTTAAAATTAAGATCGTAGATATGATGCAATAAGATTAGTGGGTGACAGGTGGGTCCGGGTAAACCTTTCATCCGATGTTGTTTCAGGCACGAAAGATTGCAGAACAGAGATGGCTGGAGCACATCCTATTGTCAACCCTTGCCTGGAGAGCCTAGTCTCGTTCGTTTCAATCCCATTTCATGGGCTCGTATTTTGATTTCTCCTGAACTTTAGGCTTGCCATTCAGCTTGCAATTCCCCTTTCATTTTTCTATTTTTGACCAGGGGTCCGTAATACCCGGGTGACATTGCGTGTCCTACCACGACACACGCCATTGTCTACATCACGTCCCTCTTTTACACGCTACACGGTGTTTTTCGTTCTCTACAAGTTCTAATTGGATCGCGTTCTGTCTTTCATTTTCGCCAAGTTCTTCCTGAAGCAACATTGCTCGGGACCCGCGCGACCTGACACGCTCCTTACCCCTTTCGGGTCAACCTTCAACCCCTCGGTGCTGGAATTTTCACCGTCCAATCTCCCCCTCAACAACACAAGATGACTTCATCATGGGATATTCACTCCGATTCGGAGTCGCGCAATCGTCTGCCGACTCTCTTTGAAGTGCTCAGCCGCCGCACTCTGGCCCCTGTCGATCTCTTTTCCTTCTACATTTACATGCGCGACCAGCAACGCTCAGTGGACTACCTTGATTTCTGGTAGGTGAAAAGCTTGAGAATCAAGTCATGAAATGCTCCGTGTTAACAAGTTTCTCCCCAGGCTCGATGTCTCTCAACACATGTCCCTATGCCGCCATTATGTCCGTGAACTTCGCCGCTCCGTGCTCGTCGCAACTCCCGACATGGAGAGAGCCGACAGCAAACGATCCTCTGCGATGCTCGAAAATTTGGAGAACCTAGGCGATATTCCACTGGTGGAGGCTGGGCCTTCACGTCTGGCCGGCAACGAAAAAGAACGGGATGCCGATCATCGCCTCTCTGCTTTCTTGCGGTCTGAAGGCCACACCTCGTCTCACTCGCCTCAAAACAGTATCGGATCCGAGTCTGTGTACCAGACGCGCACCGAATCACCCGATCAACAACCACGTCCCAGCTCCGGCACTCACAATGGCGGCGACTCCAACTCCCCCGGTCACACTGTTGCCCGTAATGATATTCGTGCCAGTGCTGAAAAGATTCTTTACACCTACTTACTCCCTGGTTCCGAACGTGAAATTGTCTTGCCTGAAACTATGGTTTCGACAATTATCAATTTGATCGAGGATGACGGCCGTGACGACCCGCAGGTGTTCGACCCCGCAAAGGACTACGTCTTTCAAGCTATGGAGCGCGATGCTTTCCCGGGATTCTTGCAGGCCAAGGCCCTAGGCAACCTTGTGCCTTTGAGCATCATCTTGCGCTTGGCCTTTGCTCTGATCAGCTTCGGTGGTGGATTCTGGGGAGCGTTCTACGTTGTTCTGCGCAACAAGCCTCGGCACATTCGTTGCTGGGTATGTCAATTTCACCTTATGAAATGTGAAATCAGCGCTAACTTTGATATAGGTCATTCTTCCCTTTGCTGTTGCGGCTTACTTCATTGTCTCCTACCAGTACAAGATTGATCCCGTCATGGCATTCATCGGTTACAGCGAATACACATTCATGAACTGGGCGCCGATTCGTGAGCCCTATGTTCGCCAACTGTTGAACAAGCGCGCTATAGTCACCGCGGCTGTAGCCTTCCTCACCGCTGCTGCCTTGAGTATCTTGTTCATCTTCGTGCCCGGCACTATGATGTGAACCAGTCGATCTCTCTATGCAATTCGCGCAATTGCATCCACCCTTCGTCTTGTACAGCTTGGTACTTTTTCTTGTGCCTCCACGTCACCGTCGCTCGCAATGTTATGACCTGTCGGGGGCTTTCCTAGCCTGGCGTCTGGATTATGTTGTTCCGGTCTGCTTCTGCGAAGCATCCTTTGAAAATCTCTTGAAAATATCTTGCTATCATTCTTCCAGCCTCTAATTTCCCAGGTTGCTGCTCTGATCGTTTGTTCCTCTACCATCCGCCTTTCCAGCGGTCATCCTACTTCTCCTTGTCCTGTCCATATTTGCTACTACTTTCATCTCGCTGTCCTCTTTCTTCTTCTACCAATACCCCTTCTGACCTCAGACATTTGTATTTATGTTTTCAATGAGTCGTTGCCCTTGGGGCTTTACGAATGCAATCAATATACTTCGGTAATATCAACCTGAATTCGCAATCAATTCGCATGCGTTTCATTTGTAGAATCTATGTAGTAAAGTTCAGCTATCGCCGTAATAAATCGTCATGAGCGACCATGATACCAGCTAGATGCAGGAACCATAGAAACCGTATTTAACCCTGTCGGCCGCCCGCAAGTATCCTTTTCGTCCGACTCCCAATTCCCCGCCCAGACGCTGTTCCAGTTGCCCCAGCGCCCTCGTCAATATCCATTCCCTCCCCCGCATCAAAAAACCCATCATCGTGATCAATATCATCTGCCTCCCGCTTATTTCCCATTCCCCAAAACCCCCTCCGCCCACGCCGTCTGCCCTCTCCCTTGCCACTTCCCCCCGCATTCCCTACCCCAGCTACTCCACCTCCAGGTGCAGCCGCCTTGCGCTTCTCCAGCGCCTCATCGAACGATCGCTGATATGCCGCCTCCCTCACAGCCCGCTTAGCCGCATTTAACTTAACATTTTGGATCTCCGTTTCCAGATGACTGACTACATTCCCGCACCGCGTCTGCCACTCTTCAAGAACACTGATCATAGCCGGAAGGGACTGTGGCTGGACATCCCGCAACGGCGCAACCGCTGTCACATTAATAGTGGGTGGCGTAGCGGCTGGCGATAAGCGCGCTGTAAGCAGGGAGCTGTAGATAGCGGTTGTGACGAGGGATTCGAGTTCACCGGGTGTTTTGAGGGAGAGATGGGTCATGAGAGCTGAGTAGGTGAGAGGTTTGATTGTCTTTGCGAGGGAAAGAAGTGAGAGGAGACGGAGTTTTTGGGCTTGCTCGAAGCTAAGTTCTGGGAGGCGGGGAGTTCCTGTTAACGGTTTGGATTAGCTTAGTACACTAGATGCGGAGGGAGGGTTGCTTCGTACCTTGGTAATTTTCGTACTCCTCCCATGTGCCCCAAGCGAAAATCTCTAGGAGTTTTAGGTAGATCTTGTATTCTGGTGGTGTGTCGAGGGAGCTTAGGGATTGGATGGTTGACGTCTCTAGTAGCTCGCCGAAGACGTAGGTGTGTGGGTTGGAGGTGGCATTTGTGATTAGGTTCGCAACGAAGCGTGGGGATGTGGCGCTGTTGGCGTTGGCGAGGTGAATAAATGGTTGTAGAGCCTCAACGGCTCGAGCGTGTGCTTTATCCATGATGGTGGGGTGAATGAACGGTGATGGGAGGTATGTTTGGGGTTGGAGAGGGGAGCTTGGATAGATCCACTACTCCGGAGGCCTGGGCGGTGATAGGGCCCGCGCATCACATTAGATATCAGTGCCCACCCTGTTCTCTTCCCAATGTTTAATGTTTCAGGCTTCCTCTTAATGGTGTGGTTTCTACCTGGGTAATGCCAGGTGGTCATAGGATATTTGATTCTAAAAATTTGAATTGTTTGCTACCTTGGAAGCTACAGCCCACCTAGTCTGTCTACTGGTCTGGGGGTTATATATACAGTCGTTAGCAATTTAACTCCCTCTATCTGCATATCAAAAGATTATTGACTCGGTCAACAGAGACTAACCAGCATGTGTGAAGCTTTCATTAAGCCTCGATGGTGTCTAGCAAGCAAAATCTTTTCTGTGTATGCGGATATTGGAGCCTTTTACCCTTGGCCTTCCAAATGGCCCTATGCTCTCCCATATAATGTAGATACACACCTTACTTCCTTAACGAGAAGTCAATATCTATCAAATGTACTTCTAGCGCATGAATAAAGACCGAACAGGGAGCTCAGGACCTATTGAATCCCAATATTGACTCCAATCTTTGATGTGCTTTTTTCTACAATAATTCCTCACTCTTAAAGAGAACATATATACTCTTCACCAAAGAACCATGAAGCTTATATTTTACTCATTTAGTCACACTCCTAAAATCCGTGCATGTCTACATTCAAAGGTGAAAAAGGTCGTTCTTATTTAGGCGCCCTTGCACGAAAATTGGGCCACCATTGCAAAAGGAATAGGCATCCTCTTTACCAAGAGGCTCCCAAAATATCTAAATGTATGACAAGGATCATGTTATAAAACAGTCTTGCTGTTGTTCAGCTTGCCATGGCCAAGAAACGTGGCTATAGGAATGGCAAGTTGGATTCAAATAGCTAACTGGCTACGACTGCAAGGGCCGGGGGAATGACAGCAACTCGCTTTTTTACATGAGAAGAATAAGCACTAATAAGCCCAAGCAATTTCAACCGATAAATCTGGAATGCAACGTGATCCATGCATGATCCTGGGCAAATACTCGTATCTAGATATCATCCACATATGCATCACTTATCAAGATGTGGTCGCACATGATCGCTTACTCAATCTCCATTCACCTGAAACACCCTCAGTCCTGACTTGTTTCACCATTCCCTTTGATGGGTTTTGGAGTGGAATCATAGGTGAATCTATTGGTAAAGGAAATCAGGCCCGTCCTCCTGCGGTGGCCTAAGGATGCATTCCCAGGTGGACCCAATCCCCCCTCTCTCATGCGTAATCACTTCCGCTTTTCCCGATTTAAATGCCTAGCCCGCGCCCTTGATTCCCATGCATCTACCAAGCCGACGTGGCCTTTACATAATTGGACTGTTGACAGTTCTGTCTTTATGTGGGAATGATCTGATCTGATCAATCCACTGTCGATCCGAAAGCTTCCGGGTTGTTGAAATATCACGTTATCCCCCCATCGCAAAGCGCATTTCCCTACCAAAAGAATCTCGAACGTCCTCATGCGATAAACGGCCGTCCTTTTCGAGTTCCTGTACGATATTCCGCTTATCGCCATGCCTGCCGATCTCGCTGGCGCGGAAGATGCAGACTCCGCCAGTCGACCACCCGTCATGGCAACCACAACCGTCAAAGTGGATGGCATGACCTGCGGAGCCTGCACCTCCGCCGTCGAGGGCGCTTTCACGGACGTTGAAGGGGCTGGCGAGGTCTCTGTAAGCTTAATTATGGGTCGCGCTGCGATACAACATGATCCGTCAATACTGTCGCCGTCAAAAATTGCGGAGATGATCGAAGACCGCGGGTTCGATGCGGCCGTATTATCGACCGAAGAGCACGTGAAGAGCGTTGTGACCGATGCGCAGGAAACACCCCGAACATATTCATCGATGACGACACTCGCGATCGAAGGCATGACCTGCGGCGCTTGCACTTCTGCAGTTGAAAGTGGACTGACCAACGTTGCTGGTATCGACTCGGTCAATGTGTCGCTGCTCTCGGAGCGAGCGGTGGTGGAACACAATGTGGACATAATTAGCCCAGAACAAGTTGCGGAGATCATCGAGGATCGAGGATTCGGAGCGCGGGTGTTGGAAACCAAGGCGTCTGCGGGCCCGGACGATGGATCTACACTCGCCGACATGATAGAAGACCAGAGAGGACATATGGTTACAACGGTTGCGATTGGAGGAATGACTTGTGGCGCTTGCACCTCCAGTGTGCAGAATGCCTTTGCCGATGTTGACGGCGTGGTCTCGTTCAATATCAGTCTTCTAGCTGAGCGCGCTGTGATCGTACATGATCGGTCAATACTCACTGCCAAGGCTATCTTGGCGATCGTGGATGATGCTGGATTTGATGCGTCGATCGTATCATCCGAGGCGCAGGAACCACTTTCGAGGAAAACCCAGCAGCTCAACCTCAGTCTCCATGGCCTACGAGACGCGTCATCCGCCTCTGCGCTAGAAAGAGATCTCTCTGCCCGACCCGGAATCAAATTCGCTTCCATCACCTTATCAAACGCACAACTTAGTATAGCCTTTGATGCATCTGTGATTGGTATTCGATCCGTGTTCGATGTGATTGAGGCTGCTGGGTATAACGCGCTGATTACAGATGTGGACGACACCAATGCACAGTTGGAATCGCTGTCTAAAACCAAGGAAATCCAGGAGTGGCGACGGGCTTTCATTGTCTCCGTCTCTTTTGCGGTTCCTGTATTCTTTATCAACATGCTGATTCCCATGTATATGCGCTCAATCGATTTCGGTCGGTTCCAGCTCTTCTCGGGTCTTTATCTGGGAGACCTGGTATGTCTCGCTCTCACCATCCCAGTGCAATTCGGCATCGGCCGCCGGTTTTATATCACTAGCTTCAAATCTCTAAAGCACCGATCTCCAACGATGGATGTCCTTGTCATGCTAGGCACATCGGCTGCCTTCTTTTACAGCTGTTTCACTATGGCGATGGCTATTCTCAGCGAAGACCACAAGCGTCCGAGCACCGTTTTCGATACCAGCACTATGCTCATCACGTTTATCACCCTGGGAAGATGGCTGGAGAATCGCGCCAAAGGACAGACCTCTGCAGCACTCTCCCGCCTTATGTCATTGGCCCCATCTATGACTACTATTTATGAAGATCCCATCGCTGCAGAAAAGGTGGCTGATGCTTGGGCCTCTCAGAACGCTCAGCCCGCATTGGCCGAAGATTCAACGGTGAACCAGAAACTCATCCCTACGGAACTGATTCAAGTCGGCGACATCGTCATTCTTCACCCAGGTGACAAGGTGTCTGCTGATGGTATCGTGATCCGAGGCGAGAGTTATGTCGATGAGAGTATGATCACCGGTGAGGCTTTGCCAATCCACAAAAGGAAAGGCAGCCATGTCATCGCAGGTACCGTCAACGGCACAAGCGCGGTCGATTTTAAAGTCACCCGGACTGGCAAGGATACCCAACTGAGCCAGATTGTTAAATTGGTCCAGGATGCACAGACAAGTCGGGCCCCTATTCAACGCATGGCGGATATCGTGGCCGGCTACTTCGTTCCAACCATTATCTGCCTTGGTCTAATTACATTTTTCGGTTGGATGTTCCTTAGCCACATCCTGCCCAATCCACCCAATATCTTCAAGTCTGAGGATGCAGGTGGTAAGGTTATGGTATGTTTGAAGCTTTGTATATCAGTGATTGTGTTCGCATGTCCCTGCGCTTTGGGTCTTAGCACACCTACCGCTGTGATGGTTGGGACTGGTGTTGGTGCCGAAAATGGAATTCTGGTCAAGGGTGGCGCTGTCCTCGAGGCTGCCACTAAGATCAATCATGTTGTTTTCGACAAAACAGGTACATTGACTACAGGCCGCATGAGTGTCGCTCATGCCCGGATTGAACCCCAGTGGACGGTTAATGAATGGCGGCGTCAATTATGGTGGCTTCTCGTTGGTCTTTCCGAGATGGGCAGTGAGCACCCAATTGGACGAGCCATTATGTCTGAAGCCAAGACAGAATCCGGTCATCCTGGGGGAGACGGCCTTCCAGGAAGCATCGGAGACTTTGATGCATGTGTAGGCCAGGGAATCTCGGCAACTGTTGAACCATCAACCTCCATCGAGCGTACCCGCTACCAGGTCTTTTTGGGCAATGCTGAGTTCCTACGCTCAAAAGGCATCTCCGTGCCCGCATCGGCAGACACTGAGTCATCAGAGGTTGAAGACGATTCGGAGACCCTGGGACCCAAGCCAACTGGCGCTGCATCTGGCATGACCCGGATTCATGTCGCAATCGACAAGCAATACGCAGGAACAATTTCCCTTCGGGACAGTGTCAAGGATAGCGCCGTCGCCGCGGTGGCTGCCTTGCACCGCATGGGTATTGCCACCTCGATGGTTACGGGCGACACACTGTCAACAGCGATCTCGATCGCAACAGCCGTTGGAATTCCGACATCCGCGGTGCACGCCTCTGCCTCTCCATCTGACAAACGCACCATCATCAACCGCCTCCAAATGAGCGGAGAGCGAGTAGCGATGGTCGGCGATGGTATCAATGACTCTCCCGCCCTGGCCACGGCCTCTGTTGGTATTGCCTTGGCCTCTGGCACCGACGTCGCGATGGAAGCCGCCGACATCGTTCTGATGCGCCCAGATGACCTCCTCACCGTACCAGCCAGTCTCTCCCTGTCACGCACGGTCTTCAATCGTATCAAGATGAACCTTGTATGGGCCTGTCTTTACAACGTCATCGGACTCCCCTTCGCTATGGGCATCTTCCTACCATTTACAGGGTTTATGCTTCCGCCCATGGCTGCTGGTGCCGCAATGGCTATGTCCAGCGTCTCAGTTGTTGTTAGCAGTCTCCTCCTGAAGCTCTGGCGTCGCCCGTCCTGGATGGACATTGACCGTCTTGAAAAGGAAGCTGGCCTCGCCTCTATCTCCGCACCCCGTCGAAACCATGCACGCAAAGCTAGCTGGTGGTCACCTGCTACGATTTTATCCCCTAGCGATCCACGGTCAGTCCGTCGCTACGTCGGGCATATCATTGCTGCACTATGGTCTATGATGACCGGCAAGCATACCGCTCGAGATGATGAAGGTTATGTTCCACTACAAACCGTTGAACCTGTATGAGCGGGCTCTACTATGATTTTTATATTATCTCAATCATTTATGGCTTGGGGGGGGTGCTTTTGTTGATACATCAGTGGCGCATTTAGCAATGTTTTTTATGTTTTTGATACCTCTCATGTACTGCATCTGGATAAGATCTCTATAAAGAATTTATTATCCACTTAACCCCGCGCAGTCCCTTCATCAGTTGTATATTGCCAGCTAATCTCCTAGGTAAATTGAAAATATATTCCGGCTCTGGTAGTCAGCACAAGCCTGCGTTGATCGGCAAGCCAAGTTTGGTGAGATATCTTAATCGGTGCCACCACTTCTGTGGCGTGGCTGGCTGCGAATATCCAGCCCGATTGCTTTGACCCACCTATTGGGCAGTGCTCGATCGTTTTTGACTTCCCAGCTCCCAAAGTCCGTAGACATCCGCCCATTTTCAGCTCATGGTCTATTCACCAAAAGTTGTTTCTACATTTATTTAGACTTGGCTTGTCGTGAGGAGCCGCAAATGTAAGTTAGGTCAGTCCATCAAGAACCAGAAATATGTACCTTTTGTAGAGGAGAATAGGAAATCTATTCCATGAAGTTCAAGCCTTTACTGTGCTACAAACCAGCCGAGTAGTTGGAATCTGGCTAACAGAGTTCACGTCACAAAATCTACGATCTCACCCGTCAAGTTTTTACAGTTGAGCCTCATATGTAGTATTTGAACCCCCTCATTGTTCTTACCGGACATGTTCTTATGTGCCCAACTCTCAATTACTACTCTCATTACCAAGTCACTTTAGCGTAGTCTCCAAGGTGTCAGCCATTATTTTTAGGTTTGTGACCGTACCATGGGGACATTCCACTCTACCAGAATAAGATTTTATTGGTAGTTATTCGCCGGAGGAATTGAGTGGATAAGCTAAGACGTAAGCTGGAAGAGGTCAGGAAATTGGTAAGATAAGAGATACCTAGACCCTTTTGGTCGTCATTTACATCATCAATACAAAATTGACCTTCGAAAACCACCTTAGGAGGCTCAGGGCCCAATTTATAACGGCTTGGTTAAGTGACTTCGATGCTGCACTGAAAGTCATTGAAGGTACTAGAAATGGCCGTATGCCAAGTTAGTCTGAACGGTAAAGTAGACCTTTTGCATAATATGCCGAAACGCATTTGAGAGGAAGAATGGGGATTCAGCTAGCCTGCCCCCACGCCTGGCCCAGAAACCTGTTTCCATTACACTTGCCTCACATCTGGTATGGAGTTGGGGGGCAGTTATGGTAATAGTCGCGCAGCGAAGCTCAAGAACAACAATGTAGATTACAATTGGGTGGGGATCAATCTGGACAAAATTCTGGGAAACAAGCATGACTAGCATCAATTCTTTCCATCTGATAGGTGCTAGTCAAGCAGGTCAGTTTGAATGGGGCGGTCATTGCTTCACTTTCTCCGCGGGTGGGATAAATGTGCTCAGCGCTAATACTCGCAAAGTGGAGATTCAATTACAAATCTTGTCTCACCCGAGGAAACTAAAGAAGTTGAGCAAGAGAAGCTTTGGACAATGCATAGGGCGATTATTCTTACAGAAAGCACGATGCCGAGCGGAAACAACACCATGCTCAGTTCGAGGCTCGACGGAATGTACGCCGGGCTGAGGCAAATGCGGAAATAGAACATTTCAAGTAAAAGACAGAGATAACAGCTATAACTCTGGTGCACTTTGGAATATGTCAGCTGAAGACCAAGCTTGTGTGTCGGGTAAAATTGCTCTAGGCTTGATGTTGTGAGACGGGTGGCTCATGTCAGACAACCCACATTTAGGGCTGAGGTGCCCATACCAGATGCCCTAAGTCATCATGTGTATACTCACATGATGTTCCAGGACAGTTCGAGTGGGATTCGATCCACCTATAGACGTAGTATGCACCAGGCGGATAATCTTAGGCAGCAGTTCGGCTGAGCAAAGATCATGTTCACAGACATCATTGGTGTTTCTTTCGTTACTGACACCGCACTGGCAATCAGAATGATGAAGAACGTTAGAGAAATGTCGAAGCCATCGGTGTTGGGGCTGGTTTTGCGGCTATACCTGAGCACACTCCTTGTGAACAAGCTTGATAAATACCACGGACTGTCCCTTTCACAACGTGTTCCACCAAGCTTGGGAAAAAGAAATTCTCATATCCCTCTAAACCCATCATAATGAATTCGTCTACCCTGCCATCCCCACCGACCAAGGTCTTAATGCTCCATGGTCAGCACACCAAGTTCAACATAAGAATTAACCTAACCGTACTCAGGCCACGGACAATCAGGACAATTCTTCGAAAGCAAAACACGCTTCTTGCAACCGTATTTGAAAGACGCAATTCTAAAAGCCTCACAATCTGACAATACGTGTACCTCGGACTCGGTTGAGCTATACTATGCCTCAGGAGTCCTACCCGGAAACCCGGATCAATGGGAAAGCGATGATACACGAGTCTGGGGATATGGAGATCCCAAGAAAGGTCGTATCCAATGTTTGGAACAGTCTATAAGCTACTTGTTGGACATTCTCGAGAAGCACGGGCCGTTTATGGGGGTGGTTGGATTTTCATCTGGGGCGTCTTTGGCAGCGGTCGTCACGTCTATTCTTGAAAAGCGGAAGTCGGTTGGTGGGTTCAATTTTGATGTGAGTGGATGATTTCGCCTTCGGGTACTCGTCATTATGGATCTGGCTTGGTTTTGTACTAAAGAATTATTTATTGATGGATGTTTTAGATTACACATCCGCCGTTCAAGTTTGCTGTATGTTGCAGCGGATTCAAACTCGGCGATTCTTCGTATAAGGACTTATATAGTCCTAGGATTGAAACCCCAATCCTTCATGTCATTGCGCTTATGGATAATGTTGTAGAACCCAAGGAGTCTAGGCAATTGGCGAGGTTCTGCAGTAATGCTACATTATATTCATTTTTTGGAACGCATTATGTTCCGCGGTCACCTCAGTTTGTCGGCAGATTAGCGGATTTTATCAGAGGTGCCTTGGTTCTGAGAGATAGCGATGGAGAATGGGAGGACTGTTAAGTGGATGTATTTTCCGAATTAATTGATTTATAATAACAACCATGTTTTTTAAATTATGTTCAATTGGTGAGTGCAAAAAGGAAAAGGTAAAAAAGAGGATGTGATGGGGCGAGCCGGGATTGAACCGGCGACCTCACGATGACAATGTCAGACTGTAGTGAACTTCAGTCGTGCGCTCTCCCAACTGAGCTATCACCCCAATTTATGAAAAGGACTCCTCAAAGTGCTAAATCAAAGGAAAAAATAACCGTTGTAGTTGAAATAATGATATACCTAGTAGCTACACTATATGCGTTTTATCTAAGTATTGTATTGTACTCTATACAACCTTGGTACAGTATCAAGTTAATTCAATTAGTATTTCATAGGCCGAATTCACGATACTGCGCACCAGGGCTGAATCTAATTTATAAATTTGTAATATATATATACAACACCAGAACCTGTTGAATGCGGACCTGCTTCCTCAATCTTATATTGCTACTTCATCAAATCTTCAGGTGGAGACCTTCCTCTTGCTTGACGTTCGATCTTTTTTTTTTTTTTTCAATTTTTAAAATTTTATTTTTTATTTTGTCAAATCAATCCAGAGACTATCATTGGAAGAAAGTGGAATGTTGATTACGCAGATATGCCAGATAATACGAATAGACGCAAAGGATAATTAACAAGGCTCATCGCCAGTCTTTCCTGTTTCGTCTCTGATCAAGTCGGTAATTATCGCCTCGAGGTGATGGCCCGTCGTGTAGTGGTCCTCTTCAAGCTCGTGAAAGACAGGCCGTGGAAGTCGTTTGACCATATAGCGCACCATATCAATCGGTGCATTGACATCTTTCGTGCCATGCCAGATTCGAATTCCGTCATAAGGTACATCCTGAAACCGGAAGCCCCAGTCCTGAGACAGTAAACGTGCCTCCTGTATCGCACCGCCAGACCCTTGCACGAAAGCCTCGAAAGACGCACTTAGCATTCTTTTTCTAGCCTCTTCGGTCGACAAATCCTCCTCTTTTGCGTTGGGCCGTTCATTGGCCTTTCCCTCACGCTTCATGCCATCGATCCAATTATCCAGCCACCTTGTCATTAGGCCTGACTCCATAATCCACCGAAGCACGATAGAAAATGGATTGAATACCATTTCTAGCGTCCCTGGGCAGTAGATGGCTGCGCGAGATAGAAGTTTCCTGCTCAAAGTCACATCTTTTGTCCCCGCTACCCATGGAGGCGCTCCCGCCACGACTGCCACCGCCGATAGCATATGTGCAGGTAGCAAGTGAGCGCATGCGATTGCATATGGACCACCTCCCGAGCAGCCTAAGATCGCGAATCGCGACAGACCTAAATGTGATATGAGAGCTTCCACGTCAGCTGGCCAATCTAGGATCCGACGGTTGGGCTGATAGCTGGAAAGTCCGAAACCCGGTCGATCTGGGACAATGAGGCGGAAACCCAGCCTTTCGGGCCATTGACCAAACCCCCAGCCCTCTAGGCGTGAAGATGGATAGCCGTGAAAGTAGAGGAGAGGGTAGTCGGTGGGGTTGCCGTATTCTGCGTACCCAAGGGTGCGACCATTTTTTAGAATCAACTTTTGGTGGAATCGAGCTGTCTCTAAAGAAGCTGGAGACGAAACATTCCTTGTGTTATATGACAATGGGCGAAAGGGTAGCGTGGCGGGATTTCTCATTGTGTATGTTGTAAAGAATGTGTTGTAAAGAGATAAAATACAGGGTTGGAATATGTGAAGATGCTGAGTTTCCTGGCCTCTGTCCAAAAATCGTCGGATATTTATATTGTTTCCCTCGTGGTAGTATGTCAGAAGTACCCTTGTAGGCTCAGCTGGGGTTCGTAAAATACGATCACGATCACGATCACGAGCCCAGCCAATGGCGATCAAGTTCTCTTTTGAAAGGATTGCCCCATGACAATATGAATATGGTGCAGAAAAGTAACTTACCTTGTTATATTGAATTCCATAATACTTCCTTTTCTATTTTTTCTCACGACCATGGACTATTGGCGAAATCAATTCCTGGATCCGTAGGATTGTATTCCGTGTTAATGGATCTGTGGCAGTAGAGAGATCTTCATTTGAGAGCTCGTCCACCAACGAGACGCCGAATTCTTGGGCCCACCATACATCTTGCCCAAGTCTCTCAACAAGAATACCCCAAGCCATTAAGATGAGCAACGAAATATGATCTTTCATTTTCAAAGCTTGAATGTATCCTTCACCAGCCATGTTCAGCCACCCAAGCGCATAACCACGATACACAGGGCCGACACATTTCTGAAAGCACTCTTGCAGTAAATGTAAAGCCTTCTTGCAAGCCTCCCAGAAAGCGATCTGCTGAGCTTGCCGCTCTTGTATCTCCCGGACAGCCTCCACGATCCTTCTATCATTCAGTTCCATAAGCTTGGCCATGATCTCCGCGGTCGATGGATCAAGAGCTGCGAAAGGAAGGGCTTCAAATGGCGTCAGCTTTTGCACGTATTCATTCTGGCTTATCTGTTTCCCATCACTCCCTGCAACCTGAACAGCGCCGCGAACGAGCTCAAAGTGAGCGATCGCCGTGTTCACTATGCTTTCCTCTCTAGCACATGAATTTTGTCCAAATCGTACCGCTGCAAACGTAAGAACCATCAGCATCAGCGAAAAAAACGTTGCAGCTCTCTGGTCCTCGCAAGGAGAATCGAGTTGGGCTCGGAAATTCGCTAACGCGAGAACTTGGTATTCAATTGCTGAATTTATATACTTGTCGTAGTTGGAATTTTGCTGACCATCGTTCTTGAGTATACTGGCACTATCAAATGCCGACAGGGCCAGCAATCCATTCAAAAGAAAGTCATATTGGAATGCTAGAGCAGGCACTGTGAGCTGCCAGAGTGTCTCGTCACCAGTGCCGGGGGTACAGCAGCTTTTATAGGTACTAGTAGTCCACCGATGCATGAGCTGAAGATCTAGGTGGCGATTATTGGTAGGGAATGATAGGCAGGTTGTGTGGCCATCAGGTATTGCTTCTGTTATTCGACCTTCAGGCGTCTCATGGACTGGCCTTTGTAAACGAGCGGGGACACCTGCATAATCGCAGGCTTCACCTCGGGTCTCACAGCGCTTACAAGGGGGGGCCCGCTTCATCACATTTGACATGACGACGCTTGCAAGTAATGCAGCCGGTGTGGGACTTTTGATGAGAACGACGAGGAGGCATGGTGTGTCCAGGCATCTGATCAGTCTGACATGTCCAACACTAATCACGATACAAGAGCCTACGGAAAATCAATCATCCGTTGATCCCAAACAGATGCCTGGCATAAGCAATTGCGAAACAATCGACACCGATGTTGACCCCTCCTGTTCAAAGCAGCTAGTAGTGGTTTCTCGTACAGTCAATGCCAGTGCTCTTCAACGTTCAGTAAGATCTAGATGAGGCCGGTCCTTGACGGATGCGACAGTCGTATGCCCGTTCATCTTCCTGTTCACCTGCTCGAAAACCCAGTCGGTTGATAGATTGCGTACGGAAGTTGATCAATTCTATCCAGGTGAAGGTGTGAGTCATTGATTGTATACGGAGTAGTGTTAAACAAGCGGATCGCAGTCACTTCTTCCGTCCAAGCTTAGAAACCCTTATCGCGGTATCGGTATGACTCAATGGGGCCAACCCAGTCCTTGTGCACCGTGTCCATAAACAACCCGTTTTCAAGGAAGCACAGATTGAAAGATCGATTCATAATGAGCGGATATACTCATTCTGACCCATTTGACACGGGCACTCTCGCTGTTGGAACCATCCACCACCTCCACTACGAACAGTATGGCAATCCAGATGGCAAACCCGGTAGCAACCCCAGTGACTATGTGCATTTGTATGATATTTTTCTTACATGTCATCCCAGTATTATTTCTCCACGGGGGACCAGGAGGCCAGACCTCCAAAGCAAACACAGCCTACTTCAACCCCTCAATTTACCGAGTCGTTCTCCTCGATCAACGCGGTACAGGCCAATCAACCCCGCTAACAGAACTCCGTGAAAACACAACACCAGACTTGGTGACTGACATTGAATCCATACGGACTCATCTCAATATCCCAAAATGGCACCTCCTCTTCGGAGGGTCCTGGGGCTCAACTCTTGCCCTTCTTTACTCTGAAGCCTATCCACATAGAGTCGGCTCGCTCCTCCTGCGCGGGGTCTTCACAGCCCGTGATGCGGAGGTGAGCTGGAGTCGTGGGGTCTTGGGTGCTGCGAATATCTACCCTGAAGCTTGGGAGGCCTTTGTAGGCTTTCTTCCCCCTGAGGAGCGAGGGGATCCAGTTGCGGCTTATTATAAGCGGCTTACTGGGCCTGATGAGCGTGCAAAGGCTGCTGCGGCAAGGGAATGGAATCGGTGGGACTTGAGTATTGGGACCTTGAGGGTTGATGAGGATGCGTTTTTGGGATTGGAGAATGAAGTGTGGAGTTTGAAGCATGCGCTTTTGGAGGCCCATTATGCTGTGCACCATTTCTGGTTGGAGGATGGGCAGATTTTGAGGAAGGACAATTTGGAGAAAATTGCTCATATTCCTGGTCCGTAATGTTTTCGTGTTTTGGATCTGCAGTTCGGAACTGACTTGGCTCTCAGCGACGATTATCCAGGGCCGTTATGACATGGTTTGTCCACCACAGACGGCTTGGGAGTTGCATCGGGCTTTACCCAATTCAAAATTGATTTGGGTTGCAGATGCCGGACATAGTCCAAAGGTATGGGATCTGACATAATGTGATATACTGGTTTGCTGATTTGATATAGGAACCCGGAACGAGGGCAGAGTTACTGAAAGCCTGTGACGAATATTCGTTGGATCCGAAATAGACATGCATATGCATCGACGATGTCCGTGGATATAAAGGAGACCTGGTTCTTACTTTCACATATCAATATCCTAGAACAGCAATGAGGACTAAATATCAGAACCAACCCCAACCCCACTTGGCCCCTTCATAAACCCCAGACTTCCCCGCATCTACACCTGCTCTTCAACTCATCCCAGTACCAACACTAGAAGTTTCCAAGCCTCCTTCAACTCACCATGGACGCCCTCGACCGTTCTTATACCTACGGAACATCCCCACTACTTCAAGATGCCCTCTCGACTCCCTTGAAAACCTACCTATTCGGCAAACCAATATCTCATTCCCTCTCTCCACTCGTCCAAAATACAATGTACCAACAACTCCCTTCCAATTGGACCTTCCATCTCGCCGAGACAACCGATCCAAAAGTCTTCAAGGAAACAATATGTGACAAATTCTGCATCGGCACCTCGATCACAATGCCAAATAAACTATCTTTTCAACCTCTCCTAGACGACATAACCGAAGAAGCCTGCATAATGGGCTCTGTCAATACCACCTTTGTTCGCATAGATCATTCCGGACAACGCAAAATCATTGGCACAAACACCGACTGTATCGGGGTTCGAGACGCAATTCTAGAGAAATACCCCGAAGCCAGGGAGAAAGCTAAAAACAAAGTCGCGTTAGTTACTGGAGCCGGGGGCGCAGCTAGAAGTGCTATATACGCATTATGGAAATGGTTCACCCCGTCAAAGATATACGTGGTTAATAGATTAGAATCCGAGGCGCAAGAAATGATCGACTGGTTTCGACGTTCAATCCCGGATATAGTGATTGAGAACGTGATGCCCGGAGCTGCGGTAACGATTGAGCCATTCTTTGTTCTTGGGACGATTCCCGATTTCGAGCCGCACAGTCAGGAGGAGAAGTTTGTTCGGTCTACCATTGATCGGGCGATTAAGCAGTCTCAAAAAGGGGTTGTGCTGGATATGTGTTATTCACCGTCCGTCAGGACATATCTTTATGCGTTGGCGGAGCGTCAAGGGTGGACGTCTGTTTCGGGGGTGGATGTTGTGGTTCGAGTCTGTCTTGCACAACAGACACTGTGGCTGGAAAGGCCTCCGAATCAGCATGGGATTGATGAGGTACTAGCTGCTGTTGGGAAGATTCATTGATGATGGTTCTCCTGAAATTTGAAGCTGGCATATATAGTACTATGACAAAGACTTAGACTGGGCCTACTAGAATGCGGACATGTCTATGCCATTCATGACTTGATATATGATACCTTGAGATAGTATCTACTCTATCTGGATTCATGTGTAGAGAAGGTTGACGTGGTTTAGTTAGATAATCCATTTCTAATCAATATAGTATCAAATGGTTTGGGTCATTACTCATAAGGCCAAATGGGAGATAAGAAACTGAACAATTGTGCACAAGGGTTTACTCCTTAGATTCAGCAGACTGCACGGCATTGCTAGCTGTTTCGGACTTCTCTGTCTGCGGGGAGTCTTCTGTCTTGGATGCCTCTTTGAGGCTGGTATCGTCAAGAACAATATCACCGTCCTTGTCCGCCCGGGCAGATTCACCATCCGCTTGGGCTTGCGGGGTACCACTGCCTTCAGCGACGTCATCAGCAGCTGCCGCCTGTTGGGCTTCCAGGTTCATTTCGACGCCCTTTCCATCCTGCAAGCCCATATCCTCCACGCCAAGAAGCGATGGACCGCGAGCATGAGGAACTTCATCTGACTCCGCAGGTGGGGACCCAGATGTAGCTGCCTCTTCACCCTCAACTGTGGGTGCCGGGACAGTAGCTGTCGCAATATCGGCCTCTTGGGGCTGGAGGTGTCCATCCTCCGCTGCATCAAGGTATCAGTAAGACGTCTACAAGAGCGTTGAATGGAAAGAACATAATAACTCTGAACATACCCGCTTCCAAGGCGCTAGAATCTCCACCATCAAATGACGCGGTATTTAACCAAGGGATTGGGGTCAAGAGGGCTCCACCCAGTGACTCGTCACTGCCCAAGCCATGGGCATAGTCGGGAGTGAGATATGTCCCGGCGCTGTTTGTGGGATGCAGTAGTCCGTTTGACTGGTCGCTATTGGCAGGGGTGTTGAATGGGAAAATATCAGCACCGCTAGTCACAGAAACGACTCGGTCAACGGCGCGAAGATAAGCCGGCAATGTCTTGTAGTGAGCGGTCGGCCGTAGGATGAGCTCCGCGAGTCTCTGGATCGTATGCGGGGGTTTTTCCACGAAGAAAAGCTGGATCGCAGAGCGGATGGAGCTCAGGAGGAGTGCAAGGGGAGGCGGTAACGAGTCGTTTCCCTGCTGCGCAGAGGACTGGGGCTGTGAGTTCGGCACGCGCTCAGTCGATGGGGAGGAGCTAGCCAGTCCCTCGGTGCGGGGCGGGCTCTGAGGAGCTCCCGGAGCTGCGTTTTCCTTATTACTGCTCTCTGGTGGAGTAGAATTGACATCGTTAGGTGGGATCGGTGGTCGAGAGAAGGCCTGTGAGTTAAGGGCGCCCGGCAGCTTGGGCATTGGGAATACATTATAGACGATCTAAGGCACATGTTAGAGCTATCGCCATGATCAAGCACATCGCGCGGTGAAGACACACGTATTCTAGCCGCTCCAGTAGCGGCGCCACTATGCCAGCCCATTTCTGTCTAGATCAGAGCATCAGTATCGCGTGCTCCTGCGCAATCTCGCGTCTCAGCCTGAAACATACAAGTCAATCGAGCCACCATTGGCGACTGCTTCGAGGGCTTCTTCGTCTGTGAAATATATATTAGCCTGATATGCGCGGCGCAGAGCTTCATAGTGGGGACTAACCTAGAGACATGGTCGACATGTGCAAGTAACGAAGACAGCGTCGATCAAGTTGCAGGCTAGGGGCGGTGATGGCTGGGTGCTTCTGATTGGCGATCATCCGATCTTATCGATAGGGTCAGGTGACCCCTCCGCGAATTTTCGGTGGAGGGGCAATTTACTCATCTACTTACTCATAGTTGAGATATAATACCTCAGTTCATATTCTCTCACCACAACACGATGTGGAACTCTCCCAAGGTCGGAATTCTCGGCGGTGGCCAGCTCGGCCGCATGCTCGTCGAGGCCGCTAACCGATTGAACATCCAAGCCAATGTCCTGGACGCCGACAATTCCCCGGCCAAGCAGATTAGCTTCCACGACGGCCACGTTACCGGATCGTTCAAGGAGCGCGAGGCTGTCCGTCAATTGGCCAAGTCCTGCGATGTCATCACCGCCGAGATCGAGCACGTCGACACATACGCCCTCGAGGAGGTCGCCTCAGACGTCCGCGTGGAGCCCAGCTGGCAGGCTATTCGGACTATCCAAAACAAATTCAACCAGAAGGAACACCTGCGCAAATATGGAATTCCCATGGCCGATCACCGCGAGTTGGTCGAGAATACGCCTGAGGCATTGGCGAAGATTGGAGAAGAGCTTGGCTACCCGTTGATGTTGAAGTCGAAGACGATGGCATATGACGGACGGGGTAAGAACTGGTCTGTGATTGGCAATTGGAGCAGGAAGTTAATATCTTACTAGGCAACTTCCGTGTGAACTCCAAGGCTGATATCCCTGAGGCTCTCGAAGCCCTTAAGGACCGACCGTTGTATGCGGAGAAGTGGGCGTACTTCAAGATGGTTAGTCATACCCTACGGCCGTAATCAAAACCTCGAAAATGATATCTAACCTTCCTTTTTCTTTAGGAATTGGCTGTCATGGTTATCAAGACCAAGGACGAAGTTTTGTCATACCCCACTGTCGAGACCTTGCAGGAGGACTCAATATGCAAGCTGGTCTACGCACCAGCCCGGAACGTATCCGACAAGATCAACGAGGAAGCACAGGCCATGGCTAGGAAGGCCGTCGCCGCATTCGAAGGCAAGGGAGCCTTTGGTGTGGAGATGTTCCTCCTGGAGGACAACAGCCTGATGCTGTGCGAGATTGCTAGCCGTATCCACAACTCCGGCCACTACACCATTGAAGGCTGTGGCATGTCACAATTCGAAGCCCACATCCGCGCCATCATGGATCTCCCGATTCCTCCCAAGAGCCTCGAGATCCGCCAGCCCTCTATCATGCTCAACATCATCGGTGGTGCTGCACCTGACACCCACCTCAAGGCCGCCGAAGCCGCTCTCTCCATCCCCAACGCCAGCATCCACCTTTACAGCAAGGGTGCTGCTAAGCCCGGCCGCAAGATGGGTCACGTCACCGTCACCGCTGCATCGATGCACGAGGCCGAGACTATCATTCAGCCCCTCGTCAACGTCGTCGACGACATCCGCGCTCAACGCACTGATATCAAGACCAAGGCTGTGGCTTCCGGCCCCGGCAAGCCTGCTGCCCAGATTGCGGTTGTCATGGGCTCTGACAGTGATCTCAAGACTCTAGTCCCAGGACTGAAGCTACTTGAAAGCTATTTTGGCCTCGTGCCCGATGTCGAGATTACCTCTGCTCACCGTACCCCTAACTACATGGCCGAGTACTCTGCCGAGGCTGCCGCTCGCGGTATCAAGGTTATCATCGCCGCCGCTGGTGGTGCTGCTCATCTCCCCGGTATGGCGGCTGCTCACACTGCTCTCCCTGTCATCGGTGTGCCCGTTAAGGGCAGCGTCCTGGATGGTGTCGACAGCTTGTACAGCATTGTGCAAATGCCTCGTGGTATGTTTCCGTTCCATCTTTCTGATTATCTGAACTTTGCTAACTAATCTTAGGTGTTCCCGTCGCAACCGTCGGCATCAACAACAGCATCAACGCCGCTCTTCTCGCTGCCCGTATCATCGGTGCCTTCGACCCCGCCATCCAGCGCAAGGTTGAGGCTTACGCTGAGGAGGCTCGGGCCGAGAACATGGAGAAGAAGGGTACTAAGCTGCAGGAGCTGGGCTGGGAGAAATACTTTGCGCAGATGTAAATCCGGGTTGCGTGAATATAGATCTGGTCTTGTACAGGCGGCCCCGGGGGTGGATAGAATATGACACCAAAAGGTAATGGAAAAGAAAAGAAAGGATTTTGATTTGGCTTGGTTTCGCGGAAGATATACGCTGTCTTCTGCTTGTACAGCGGAAGGCGTTTTTATATCAGATTAGACGACAATGAATGACCATTAACACTTAAGCATAAGAGATTATACTGGGGTAGTGTGGATATCTGCATAGCCAGTATTGACGCGCCACTTTTTCTTAAACGCGCATTTGCCGGAGTGAATGCAATGTCGTAGCGTCAAAGCTATAACATTGCAACACTGCAAATCATCATCGCTAGGGTGAGCGCGATGCGTTCAATTAAACAAAAACCCTCTATAAAGACAAAGCTGTCTTCATAAATGTGACATTGTCCAATAGATGTAGATGTCTTTTGCCAACCCGTTATTTTGCATTCAGTCATCAGTCCCATCCCCCGAATAGAATATAGCCCTAATAATGGATCACTGTGGCTTAGAGCGAGTGGAGCGAACCCGCCGGCCCACAAGCTACCATGCCGTCGGGTCTAACATCGTATAAGGTTGAAATCTGGTATGACTAAAAAGGCTACTGAAACTACAATTTAGATGATCAAAAATTGGGAGTACAAAACCAAGGTAAATATTGATTGCAAACAGCGGCGCGTTATAGGTATGTATTAAGCAACCACCAGACAAAATCCGTACTCATACAAAAAGCAGAACGATAATGCACAAGGGGGAAATCATAACAAAGCACGGAAATCAAAAAGACACAAAAGGGAGGTAAACGACACAATGGGCACGGTATTCATCGATCCGATGGGAATATTATGGAACGGAACAAAGATGGACGCCATTGCTCTTCGTGGCAAGTTTAGTAGCTGACAGCCGAGCCGTTGGTCACCTGGGTGGGGACGTTGGTAGACTTCATATCACTAACGCCCTTTCCATTGACGAAGGCCTGGTCGACTTCATCGGAGAAGCCACGAGAAGGGTAACCATCGACCTTAGTACCGCTGGCAGCATTAGCAGCAGAGCTTGAGGCACCTGCTGCGGCGGCGTTACCGGCAGCACCACCGGCGACGGCACCAGCAACACCACCAGCAACACCACCACCGGCGACGTCATCGGCGGTGGTGTGGGGCTTGCGGGTGACTTGACCGGCGGAGGGAACGTTGGAGGACTCGGAGGCACTGCCAATGCTGAAGATGGGGGACTCCCAGCGCTCGCCCTTCGCGGCCAGGTCGGCGTACTCGGTGGCCTTGGTGGAGACGCCACCAGGAAGCTGGATCTCGGGGAAGATAGAGTCGTGCAGGGTCATGACGGTCTGGACCTTGGTGTCGCGCTTGGCGACAGCTTCGGCTTCCTTAGCCTTGGCCTGGCCACGGGCGCGGATGGCGTCGGCGTAGCGCGACAACATGCTGGGAGCATTCTCGGGGTCCTCGCGAGCGGCATCAGCGGCCTTTCTGGCTTCGATGGAGATCTCGTTGGCCCATGCATCGCCCTTGTTGAAAGCTTCGCGGATCTGGGCCTCGACGACCTTCTCCAGAGCGGGGCGGACGACACGGAAGAGCATAGGCTTGAAGGTGGAGAAGAGAACCTTGTGCTTGGACTTCTTGAGCTTGATGTCGAGGTTCTTAATGTTGACGGAGACCTTATCAAGCTTGACGATGTGCTGCTTGTCACCCTTGTTGACGGTGGAGGCGGCAATCTTGAAGCCAAAGCCTTCACCGCTGAGCAGAAGATCCATGATACCGGTGTCGGTAATGGAAGGGAAGCCCTGCTTCTTCTTAATGTGGTAGCTGACATCACGCAGGTCGGCCTGGATACCAGAGGCGGCGATCATGATCTTGTTGTCGCGCTTGTTGGAGATCTTCTTACGACCCCAGCGGAAGTAGTTGTCGCTGCCAAACTCAACCACATTAGGCATGAGGTTGTCGCTCTCGATGACAAGATTCTCGATCACAACGTCGACCATAGGGTCAGACACCTCGATACGAGGAATGGGAACGTAGCGGACGTTCTCGAAGATGCCGGGCAGGATGATGTCACGAAGATCGGTGAGCAGGTGCTTCTTGAAGACAACCTTGCCACCTGAATCGCGACCCAGGTCCTTGAAGAGAGTCTGAACAGACTCAGCCAGAGCCTTGTTGCGGGGGTCCTTATCGAACTGCTCGGCGAGGAACTTAATCTCGTCGATGATGCGGTCACTGTGGGTGCGGTAGCGCTCACGGATCAAGTAGCGACCCTTCTCGTACAGCTCGTTCCACTGCTTGGTAGCCTCATCCTCCAGAATGAAGCCCTGCTCGCGCAGGCACTTGCGGATATAGGTGTCAACGTTCTTGAACCAACCACGCAGCTCGGGGTCCTTGTCAGCATCACGGTAGATGTTGTCCAGAGACTCGAAGAAGTCAGACAGGGAGGTGTTGTTGGCAAAGCGCTCGATGAGAGTCTACTAGAGTCAGCAATGCACTTGTTTCTTCATTGCATCAATACTCACACGCAAGTTTTGCTCAACAGTCTGCACGCTGTCAGTGGAGCGGATGTCCTTAACGGCACCGCTACTGTGAGTACCGGCCTGCTTGGTGTGACCAGCGTACTTCTCAGCCATGTCAAGCAGGGTTTCAATAGCTTGCTGGTCTGAAATTTGTTAGCGTTGCGTTCCATAGGAGCAATACGAGTACGTACAATCGGCATGGCCTTGAACCTCAATGACCATCTTCTTCAAGCGCCAGATGGTCTGCTCCCGACGCTCCTTGGGGATTTTCTCCGCGAGGTATTCCTTGGTCTTGTTGGCATACTTCTTGGTACGATTCATCTCCGAGGGGGTCTCAGATGCGGCATCGCCGCCTTCGTACTGAGCATTGGAAGCAGAGGCAAGACTTGCCTTGTCCTAGTATAATGTTAGTATCATTTCGACAAAAATTAAGTGGTATATAATAACTCACATCCTTGTTTTTCTTGAAGCGGTTCTTCAGGTCATCCTTGGAGACGTTGGGCTTCTCGTGCCATACGTTCTCCTCAGCCGGGGTATCGATCTGGGCAAGCTGGTCCTCAGATGGGCGCACTTGGTTGGCAGCTTTCTGGGAAGCATCGGCGGCGATATCGCGCAGCAAAACAGTTGCGTCACTCACTAAGCAACGTTAGCGCAGCACCCTGACATCCCCGTGGTAATACTCACGAATCTTTCGGAACTCTCCGTTTGTGATCAAGAGCGTTCCCAGAGTCTTGAGACCCTGCAGGGTCTTCTCGCCATCTTGCTTGCCAGCCTCCTTGGAGACAGGCATATTGGGGGCCTTGGCATCGCCAGCGGTGATCTGCTGAGCCTGCCAGATAAAATCCTGTAGAAGCTCGCCCTCGTTCTTAGTGAGCAGCATCAGCTTGGCCTGCTCAATGACATTGCGCAAGTCCTGGATGAGGACTTTGCCATCGTCAGAAAGGTCCGCCGGTGGTGATGAGAGGGCCTTGGAGGCAAGGGCACTGTTCAAGGCGACATCGCACTGCTTGTTCTGTGGGAGAGAGTAGAGTTTAGTATGCGCGTCCAGTTTTCAGTTCGCCGGATGCGGTTATCACTAACAGAGGGCAGCTTGCTGTTCTTGAAGGCTGTGGAAGCTTAGGTTAGTGACTTGTTGAATTTCACCAAGAGTGAATGACTCACCATGGTAGATTCCAAACAGTTGGAGCTTGGAGTTGATGTCCTAAAGGAATATCATCAGTAGGGTTCTCTGATCACCTTGTGATGCCTCTTCTTACCTGCTCCTTCTGCTTGGTATCGGTGGGACGGTTCACGGCAGGAGTCATGATGAAAATCCCGTAATATTTAATGGACTCGGGGATTTGAAAGAGGATAAATTCTAACGCTCATTAGTGGGCGCTTGCAATGGGAACAAACAAGACATACAAGGGAGATTAGCAATTATACTAAAACAAGGGGGTATCACTGGAATGTTGAGGGTATTGTTATGGGGGAAAAGGAAAAAAAATCAGTTTTAAGGGATGGACTATATTTAATAAAATTTCAAGTCCTAGAAAAGAAAAAAAGAGGGAAAAGGAGATCGTCTGCTACGTAGGAACCGATTGTCAACTTCAATACGCAACCAAATTGTGACGTCATGGTTGTGTTGTGCCACAACGGGCTCACATTCCCTCCAATGGCTTTTTCTGCCAATTGCCCAGGGAGAGTGTCTGTTTTGGGCTTTGCATATCAATTAATATAATGTATAGCTATAGCTTGTGTGATAGAAGCTCCAAGCTTGATTAAGGTAGTCAAGAAGAGCGAAACCCGACATGCCGGAAAGCAAAGCTCCCAGTTTACAGAGTTGGGCCCCAGGCTGCTAGATTCCGTCGGTTTTGCCCCTCAGAGTGGGCAAAAACGGCACTAGTGCGCCCTTAGCGCTCCATGTTGAACCTCATCGAGCGTACCGATCTGCACTGTTTTCAAGGCTCGATCGCCCTTACTCAGTCCTTCTCCAGGGCTTTTTGTCCTTGGCACGGGCTTTCGCTCAGGTTTTGCAGGGTGGGGTCATCATCCAGGCCTTGATACCAACCTGCCCATATGTCTACGTACTTTGTTTCCCTCCCACATCAGCTTGACGTCAACCCGACGAGATCTGCTTTTGACTGATCGGAAACGGGCGACGTGTACTGCATCATGCAGTTACTATTACAAAGTAAATGGTACCGATCAATCCCCACCCGCTTTTCTTTCCAAATTGCATGACACTATTGATTCTCATGTCTGGATCAGCACGCGATCATACAGCGGTGTTGAAGCTTGCGTAACAGCCTAGCTCGAAGGGCTTGGGTGGAGACGGAAGGATCGACCTGCTCTCGTGGCTGCAAGTGGCTCAGAGTGGCTCAAAGTGGCGGTGCCGTCTTTCAGAGCTCAGATTGACAAATTTTCCACACGGAAATGAAAAAGAAAGCCTGTGCTCCACTGTGGACTGAATCACGATCCTTGTGGGAAATCAGAGTTTTTGACCTTCAAGTGTGATGTAACCTGGCGTTCGCCCATCGATTTTCCCTTGATTCACCCCTTTCCAACTTAACGTCCATGGGAACTTATTATCGATGACATACGTGGCCCACAGTAATAGTGTTGATGGATACCTCATGTGGAGAATTGTAGTCGCTTATTGTTTCAGAGGCTCCGCTCTATAAGTCTTCGCAGCACTTGATTCGATATGAGGTCCATAACTGTAGTCATCCATCCGCCGTCGTGGATACTGTACAATTTCTTAATCCCCAGAACATGTGAAACCCAAACCCAAATCAACTCAATCTGAGCCTGAACTCCTACCGAGGGGTTCAAGGTGCTATGTACGATCCCAATACCGCCTACTATCCTCCACAACCCTTTCCTCCCATCCCCCTTCAGCAACAGGTCCAATGACCTCCACACCAAATTGCCCCTTCTCGAACACCTCCCGACAAGGTAAATCCATCGTAAGATTTTGCTCGTTCCCAACGCCGATAACACTCCGCAACGCCTTCTCCGACGCAAGGTAGATCAGCCGCCCGATATGCGCCCAGTAGATTGTTCCACTACACATTGCGCATGGTTCCCAGGTCGAGACCAGTGTACAGCGGGACAGGTAGTCCCAGTCATAGTTATCGGCTGCGTTGCGCGCGAGTTCGCTTTCTGCGTGTCGCACATGGGAGAGGGAGTTGGAGGTCATAAGGATTGTTGAGTTATCTGGGCTGAGGAGGAGAGCTGCGAAGGGGCGTTTGGAGTGGAGATCTTGGGCTTCACTTTGGAGGGATAGGCATTTTGATGCGCATGCTTGGAGTTGGGATGGCGTTAAGGGGGTCATTGCTGGGTTGTCCATGTTTGCCTGGTCACCGTAAGACAATCTCCCCCAGGATAGATGGCTGCTATTCATGGGTCGGTATATGTATGTTACCGGTCTCGATAGGCTCGGCGGCCTCCGACGGTGAGGGGAACGTGCAGGGCTATTTCCCCTCAATTGTTTGCGGCAGTGTTATGAGTGACTCAACGGGAGCAATTGAATGTGTAAGCCTGTGCAGGTATAGATTGGGAATAGATATATACAAGATATTCCCGACAATTATTCTATATTATATACAATTTCGTTTATTCATCAAGCCAAGCATTCGTCCCTTTCAATCCTAGCTCTGGATATTGTTGAGTTAAATGTCCCTGTAGAGCTGGGCGGATCATGCGAAGATTGTTTCGACGGCGCACGAATGCCCTGGATCGCGGCGTTCTGATCCAGGTCTTTGATGATACGCGCCTGGCTGTCGCTATCCGCGGGCGGCTGATTCGGGCGGAAAGAAAGATCCACGAAATCCGATAGGTCGGTAGGATTTGAGTTGCTGCTCATTTTTTCTGCAAAGACGACCAGTTTATTCAGGATGGCGTATTCCAGCTTGAGCTTGACGCTGTAAACCATTGCTTTCAGGGTGAACTGGATATCTGACATGCCGGTATATTGGACGGCGATAACAGATGCATCCATGAGGACCATGGCGAGATTGACGACGAGGAGTTGGACAAGGATGCCACGATAGTGGCCGCGGGGACGGAGTTTGAGGAGTCGGACGGCTTCAAGTGAGTAGATAGCCGAGAGGATGACTTCTTGGACGGAGAAGCCTATGAGCTGGATGCGCTCAAAAATATCGAAGCCATGGATGAAGAGGGCGGCTTTGCTGGTATGGCTACCGAGTTCGAGGACAGAGCCGGGGACGTGGAAGATGATCGCGTCGACGATGATCATGACCAGAGTTGCGCGCAGGATCTTGGGGTTTTGGACGACAAGGTGTAATCGCGACCAGAGGACCAGCGACTGGCCGGTCACCATGCCAACCCAAGCGATGAGTTCCATGGCTACAGGGAAACAATTGTCGTAAATATCATAGATGATGAGAAGGTATCCGAGACCGAAAGGAATGATGCTGAACGATGCGATGAGCAGACACCAAAAGTAGAGGCCTCCATATCGCTTGAAGGTTGTGAAGCAGAGGACGATGAGTTCTAAAGCGTTGTACCAGGCGATGCCGATCAAGACGGCTACGGCGATATGCTCAGCAGAACCATCCGTAGCCGATCGACCGGCGAGGGCAGAGTTGCTACCAGGAATGATACTCGACATGAGGGCATATTCGAATTGGTGTGGTCGTGTGCGGGGGGTTCGGAGTGCTCAGGAGAGCAGATTTACAAAAGAAACATGACTGGAGCCTGAATGGCACCAAAGGAAGAAAGGTTGAGATATTATGAAAGATTAGAGGGCAATCACCTGGACATATACATATGTATATGAGGGGATTGATGTGCCCCAGGGTAGTAGAGATCGAGGGAAAGGAATTCAAAAATTGGAAGAGAGATAAGAGGCGAAAGAAAAGGTACGAGGTGGAGAAAGTCAGCCCCATGGTAGATTTAACTCAAGCGTTATTGGTCCCTGAACTTGATATTGTGGGGGCTTGAGATGGCGGCAACTTGTGAACCACGCGCTGATAGGCGAGTTGTGGTTCGGTTGAACGCTAATCAAAGTCCCCCGATAACGGCCCATTCAACGAGATAGGCGCTTGAAGAATCTTGAATTCTAGTATTTTTAACTTGATTGTTTAAATATGGCCTGCGTCGGCCTCAAATTTCTTGCAATTGATTTCCAGGTTACTCCTTTTTTCGGCGTGGCAATTTTGGCGTTCATGGGCCGATTCACATGAAGATTCAATGTTCACGGGCGGAGATAAGAGAATCCTTTTACGAGTGGCTAATTGTGCTCCTTAGTCAACTTGGAACTTGGCACACTCTGGGGTAAAATTGCCTAGTCCGGCATTGAAACCTAGTTCTAGGCCCGGGTGATTTTGAATATAACGATATGAAACCTTGGAATGTCTCGGATCCAAACAAAGTAGAAACTTCGACCCTGTCAGTGCGCAATGTATTTCGTGCGCTGGTGAATCTGGCCTCGACAAAAGTATTCGACAAACTTCAATTAAAACCGATGATCCTACACCGTTTGAGTATGATCGACGTGGAGAGACAGCATACGTTCGTATTCGCGAACCTTAGAACCGTATCGGCTGCGAATTCCATTCATAGGCATCGGCTATTTTGACACGCGGACATAGGCCAGAGCCGCGCGTCTTTTTACCTTATTGCAACAACTCACCCCAGACCTCTGAGACAGCGTTCCAAGCTTTTCAGGGTCCCCGAGGTCACCGGTTCTTATCTCGATTGACGTGGTCACATGTACAATCTTGGATGCTGAACATGTTCTCAGGCCCAACGGCCCGGTAGCCTTGAAACGGCTGACTGTTTCAAATATACTTCGAACCCTAAATGGACATATTTGACTTCTGCGGCCTCTTTAAGTTACCTTCACATCAAATTGCCCGTGCAAGGTTACATACATATATATCCTCCATTCTGTCAACCAAACTCAATTCGGGGTTTCACTCTTCACCTACACGCATTAAGAAACTCGATTGCGAAATTTTAAATGGCTGACACAGCTGCGCACGCACACCTAGTAATCCTTTATCACCCTTAATTATCTATAGCAGTTTGGTAAGTCTCTGATGATACCTGCCTGGGCATTGTGTTTTCTATACATAATGACTCCATACTATGCGGATTACTCAAAAGCCACTGGCTACCCATGACCCTTGAAACAAATGGTATATATTCAAAACTTTTCAATGGTTGATATGGTTTCTTATTTCTATTTTTTTTTTTATTCATAGTATATATACATAATGGGATATGTACCGCCATCACTGTGGCTCATACACCTTCAGGCTCAGGGTTTCGGCGCTTAGCACCAGAAAATCCCTCAAATCCCTCAAGATTATACGGACGTATGAGCTATGAAGTCTTTATGTGCATAAGTGTGAATACAAGAGTACAGGATGTTGAAGAAAGTTCAATTAGGACAGGCCCGCATGCCCTGGTGCTCCACTTTCTCCCCACTATCCGCTTGAAAGGAAAGGCACAGCAGAAAAATCGAGCCCCCCGGCCCCGAAAAAAAAACAAGGCAAAAAATGTAACAGGCCCGAGCCGTGGATCGAACACGGGACCTCGCGCAGGAGTGCTTAGAGTTGCTGCCCTAAGCGCGAATCATACCACTAGACCACCCGGGCTGTTCATGGAGAAAAGTTACAGCGAGAATGACCCAAGATTCAGAGGCGTTGTCAATTTGAGTAGAGCACGGGAAGCCCACAAATCTTGCAAGATCGCACCACTCATCAGTTTTAGAGTGACTATCGGATCAGCTAATTGTCTTCTAATGAGAAGTGTGCCGGAGCTGATTTCCAAATAGTAGATAGAGTTAAGGGGACGGGACATAGGTCGGGGTAAAATGAGGGGCCTGCAGATCAGAAGTGTGAGATGAGTTGGCGGCATCAAATCTCAGCATCGCGTCGAGAGTTGTGTTAAGAGAAATAGAGCAACAAGCCCCGGGAATGTAAGTGGGTAACATGGGTTTTGTAGATCTGACAATGAAGCTGTTCGGGCCCTGAAAAACGACAACAATGCTGGCGAGGTAATGAAATTTACTGCCAACAGGAAGGCTAGTCCTGCTGTACATATATACTTTGTGATTCTATGAGCTGGAAAACATGGAAATCGCAGAAGTGATTTCCCCAATACCATGAGAAAAATATTGCTAGGTGGTGCAAGAGAGTGGCAGAGAAGAGACCTCAAGTCTACACCAGCAGGGAAAGAGCAGTAAGTAAAGGTTGAATGCCCAGTCAGCAAAGTATATGTCCCGAAAGCCAACCCACAGTAAGCTAGGAGTAAAGTTCCCCAACAAACTTGGAATCAGGGCCACCTATCACAGGTTTGAATGAAGTGGCTTCCAAGGCTTTCGCCAAATTTGAATGACAATGAACAGGCTTCACGAAGCCATGTCTTGTGAAGTCAACCAATGGACTCAATGGAAACACAACATAATATAACGCGGTAGACAGCCCTGGAGAAAATGACATAATTTTGGATTATCAGCCTAGGATGAATGGGTATCGCGCAAAATTGCTCCCGAAGTTGCACAGTGCCTCTGATATCCCGGGATCCAATTCCTGCAACTCATTGTCAAGACCTTTCGAGTATAGGGGTTTGGGATTATCAAGATCTTTGTATATAATCTTAGTATGGTAATGCGGCATCACTGTCGAGGCTTCTAAGAGTTAGCTTTCTTCTAAGGCTGCAAATGAAAAAGCAGTTGAAGGGAATATGCGTACCTTCTTGGTAAATGGTATAAATCGAGCGTTTCATCTCCTAAGACACATGTCTGCCAATAATCTAAAGGCCTGGGATATCCTTACCGTGCAACCAAAGGTATTAAGTCTCGCTGCTTAGTTGTAAGTATGTTCTCTGGCATATCCGAAAGAGAGGCTCTGAGTAAAATCTCCTAATTTCCCAGACTTCCACAATCTCACACTGCCTTACACAATATTTCCAAGAAAGGAACCGGCAAATATCGGCCCAACCCTCAGACCTCGTGCTCCTTAGACCCACAAGATAGGAATGATTTGAGAGAGTTTATTCCAATCAGGGTTATCGCAGACGGGACGTGATAGATAGAACCGTCCCGCCCTGCTCAATAACCCAAGAGACAAGGGGCCATACCAATTCTCTCATGGGAAACCGCATCCAAACCCCAAAGACCGGGGTATAATCCGTTTAGGGTCGGCAATTCCGAGATCATTTCCTGGAGAAAAGAGATTGAACTTGGCTTAGACTCGCCTTGTGCAAGCCTTCGGGGGCAGTAGCTTTTGGGGGCTGACTTGACGGAAAGCCACCATTGGAAACACGGCTTTGAGCTGAGGACTAGCGGTAAGCCTCAGTCGCCACCATGTCAATTATAATCTCAAGATCCCGTCCGACCCGCATTTGTTACGGGCGGATTCCCGAATTTGAAATCGGCGTGCCGTCATGCCATGGGCGCATCCCATGTGAAAGAGATAGGTGATATTGTTATCAATCCAGTAGTGCATCGAGCACACAATTTTTCATGTGAAATTTGATAGCAACGGCAGATCTGATCTGCAGATGGTAAGGCAATCAAGCCGGATGAGTCGGAAGGTGGCGGCGCATTTGGGGCCATTGGGGCTCAGACCCCCGTCCAGAAGGTTCTGGGATTCTTTGGGCCAGATGGGGGTTATATTTCCAATTATTGTTCGCCTCTCCAGCTAAAATTTCCTTTCCTCCACAGTGGAGCTTTGGCATTCGTATCTCAGTACAGCTTTATCCTTTTAGTAACTTTCTCATCATTCTAGTGAATACGAAAATGAGCGTTGAAATATAGGAAATTGAAGTATCATTCGTACTACTTACAATCTGGGATTCGTGTATTGAATTCTACTCATTGTTGACAATATTCAATCCTACGGGTACTTCATACCAAGCATCATATACGATGGCGTGAGCCAAGGTCCCCCTCCAATCCATGGAACAGCTACAAGTCCCTCGAGCTAGGATCGCTCACGGAAGGATGGGTTCGTACCTGACCCAAACATCAGCCATAGAACCTCTGGGCCGTGGAAATGAGCGGATATGTGGGCCGATGGCGATCAGATCAGGCATCGTGAGCCTTTTCGACGCTCTTGTTGGGAGAGAACCAAGGTGAGCGCGGCAACTAGCCAAACTCAATCGTCATCGCGATCCAGATTTTGGTTCTGGCTCGCGGTAAGCTAAATTACCTGATTAGTATTATAAGTAAACATTGGCTCATGTATGGATCTCAGGGTTCAAGGAAATTAGGATTGTCGCTTTAGATCAGGGTGCTGCAATAGCGCTAGCGGGGAATCTCCGGAGTTGTGGCGAAGACGTGGAGAAGATTTTGCAGCTAGTTTAGGGTGAATGGAAAATTCGATTGCTTCCAGGTGCCGTTGTGACAGGATTAACTATTGAAACGGCTGTGCGTGGAATTGTTGGACGTTTGAACTGCGAGCACAACGTCCACGCTATTGAGGGGCTATGTCTGAAAGTAGGTGGATCAAAACAAAAATCTGGGATTGTATGTACCCTTGGCCCGATGATGCAGGTGGCACACTCCATCGATCGTCAAAGTCATCTGCCGACGGTGGCTTGTTTAGACTGCCAAGATGGGAATAATAAGGCGAAAAAAAAACTCCATTCTCTGTGTTCCCTGCCAAAGCCGCCCTGATCTGCCAATAAGAACGTGTTCCAGAAGCCCACGTTAGGGGTCGCCCCCATTGAGGGAAGGCAGAATGCGATCCGGGAAGTCATGATTAGGGTTTCCGGAGTTTTCTGAACTCTAACCAAGATCTAGCTAGCCAAAATGGGTTAATGGGTCCTCTGGCAGGCCCACTAAGGGGCTCTATTGGTGAGATTAGGAGCTTTCTATTGGTTCAAGCTTCTCTCTACGCTTATTTGTCTTTATTGAAAAACCTTAGCCAAAGGAGTCCGGCAGTTTGTTTTGGAGGGCGCAGGGACCTTTTTTTTTTTTCTTATCTGTATATCCTGTATCTATATCATATAGGAGAGTATAAAAACCACTCTTTGGTTGGTATGCATTGGCAGATTTCCCTGTCTTGCATGACGTTCTCCACTTTTACCCTGACTCAAATTTGCGAAGTTTAACAGTCAGATTTCCGGGTGAACGGCTCAGGGAAATGCGTTCTACTGGAAGCTGAAGATCTGCAGCATTATTGAATGTAGCGCGGAGGTATTCGGCCACATGGCCCATATAAGCTCAGACTAGCCAGCCACAGTGCATAATGGCGGAATAGGCTTTAGACCCCTATCCACCTGAAAGGGTACCTGCAGATCTTAATTTGGGGAAATGCTCTTCCTGCACTGCGGATTTCCGGTGTTCTCCGGTCAGTACTATTGTTCTACACATCAATTTCCTAGTTTGGAGCAATAGATTAGGGTTCAATCGTCCTTTTGGTGATCCGATGTGGTGTTTGGTTGTTGTTGATAGGGCTGCTAGGTCAAATTCGGCCTCTAGACTATGATGCACTGAATCCATCACCATCGGTCGCCGACGGACAAAACTTGGAAATAAACCTGATGTCAGCTGCTCTTTCATTGTTGATCCAGGGAAATTACTGTGAATCCACTATTAGATCCTGTTCTGGATTATGTTGGAGCCATGCTCATGTATTAAGTTTGACACAATGGAGATACGTATCTATCTAGGTCCACACGGGCAATCATACTTGTATTTCAAAATTTGAGGCGCTGACCCTAGTGCAAGATACTGACCCGCCTGGATAAAAGGGACATGATAATTTTTCATCTGGATCCCATAGATCCCTGATCGAATCTGTATAAATACAGCGATCTGCTCTTTAACTTTTCCTTCTTTCTTCACACTCCTACAGCAGTCATTCCTTAGTCAAACCGACTTCAGTCATTCTTTTAAATTATACCCTAATTCTCACCATGAAGACCTCATTTGTTGCTATCCTCGCCGCTCTGGCCTCCAGCGCTCTCGCTGCTCCTACTCCCGCCTCTGGTCTGGGTTCCCTTGCCGGTCTCACTAGCATCGTTGGTGACCTGACCAAGCTCCAGGGTCTCGACGGCCTTGCCGATGTCCTCAAGCTCGGTGATGTCACCAAGGAGCTCAACCTGGACAACCTCCCCGTCGTCTCCAGCCTGGGTGACCTGACCAAGCTGCTCAACCTTCCCTCCTCCTCCGCCGCCACCTCCAACACCCCCGCTGTCCAGGATGGTCACATTGTCCAGAACCTCGGCCCCCAGCTGAACAACGTTCTGACCATCACCGGCACTGACCTCCAGCCTCTGCTCATTGAGCTGAGCCCCGAGGTCACCGCTCTGGTCTCCTCCCTCGGCCTCGGTGCCCTTGGTGTCCCTCTCGGCTCCATCGTCGCCTCCGCCAGCTCCCTCGGTGATCTTGTCACCGGTCTTGGCCCCCACGTTGACGGCCTCGTCACCGTTGTCGGTGCTGACGGTGGTGCTCTCCTCATCTCCCTCTCCCCCGAGGTCGCTGGCCTCGTCACCGGTCTTGGCCTCCCCACCGTCGGTGTCCCCGTCGGCTCCGTCCTCGCTACCGTCGGTACCTCCCTCAAGAAGCGCAACCAGATCGTCGGTGACCTCGCCCCCGAGGTTAAGGAGATCCTGACTGTCACTGGCCCCAACGCTAAGCAGCTGCTCATCAAGCTCTCCCCCGAGGTTGCTGCTCTCGTTTCTGGTCTTGGTCTCCCCGGCGTCGGTGTCCCCGTTGGCAAGGTTGTCAAGACCGCTGGTAACGTTGGTGACCTCCTTGTTGACATCTCCACCCCCGTTGAGAACCTCCTGAAGGTCGTCAACAAGGACGGCAGCGCTCTCCTCATCGAGCTCTCCCCCGAGGTTGCCTCCCTGGTTGCTGGCCTCGGTCTCTCTGCCACCGGTGTCTCTGTCGGCTCCGTCATTGCCACCGTTGGTGAGAACCTGTAAACTAGATAAGTCGCTACTTGTCTTGTTGTGGTTTTTGTTTTGACGCAGCAATGGATAGCGTTTTGGGAGCTTTCTGAATACCCTACACCATTTTCTTGTGCATATATTGCATCTATTGTGACACACCTGGAACGGTGTTTTCTTTTATGAGTTTTGGAAGATCTGTGTTTACTTTCCAGTCTTCACTATATTTTTTTTATTCTTAATGTTACTAGACAAACATTGCTCTAGAGCAGATCTTAGATCGAAATATTATCCTGAGCTGCTAGAAAAAGTAATCCAAACAATTCATTTTCCACTGTAACACTTCCTTAAAGCCAACAATCTGTGACTGAGCTATCAAAAGTGAGTTTGTCTAGTGTAGAAGACGGACCTGTGAATTGCTTGCTCGACCATTATTCTTACCTTAGGCCAAACGGCATAATCTATAGGAGACGGGAAAGGAGGCGTGCCTTCCAAAGATGTTTGGGTCAATCTGAACCTTCCCACGTCTAGCCCATTCCTATGGATCTCCGTTGTGTTTTCCCAACGTTAAGTCTCTAGGTCCCTTCTTGTGTGTATGTCTGTAGGTATATTTTCCCGGTTGAGTCTTCTGTAGATCATGAATGAACGTTTCGTTGATGTCAAAAACTTTAGGTCGGATGAAAATCATGGGCCTCTTCGATGCTTGCTCTGATTTTAAGTAAACATTATGCCAACCTTATAACGCGATCAGAGACTCTATGAAGAATCTGAAAATTCAATAGTCTCCGGCATACGACACCCTAAAGAGGTATCATTGGCTTCGACTTCGACCTATTTATAGCCTTCAAACTGATGGCTGCAAAGACTTGGGCAAAGTCTGAACATGATGGCGGGATAAAGCGAGGATAGCGTTTCAGCACCTTGAGATTGAAACGTGTCGACGAACTTCTTCTTTAAGGTGGCTTTGTATAATTCCGGAGAGCCTCTTTGAAAGTCTTGTCTGGTAGTGGCGAAGTTTGGCGTAGACTCACACGCCTCTGCAAGATCAAAAAAAGCATCCAGTCGCTGTGTTTTGGATACATCGACAATCTGAATAGGTGCATCACCAAGCAGTCCAAACAGTCCTGCCTTTGCGCCATTCTCTATTGTAGTATGTACCACAATAATACGCATAATCACGGCTCCATGCCGAAGATTCTGAAGGGCTCCAATCCTCTCCTCTATATGAACGTCTCCATCGAAGTTACTCTCAAGATAGTTGAACATGAAAGAGCCGCCCTGGGCCTGGGAAGCATTCCATGCGAGATAATCGAGCGCACTTCCTCGAAGGCCGCAGTATGAGAATTGAGGCTCCAGGAAAGGTATCCAATTTAAGTGGATTGTATCTCGAGAGGGGTCGGTCCATGAACGGTCGAGTCTCAGCGCGGACTTCCATTCTGCGTCTGCAGGAGCCTTTAAATCTCGATATTGACCAGCTTGAATAGCGACCAAACGAGATTCATAACATACCCTACTAATCACTGGCGGGTGACAGTTAAGCATGGTTGTATGTTCCCAAATACATGGCGGTGGCACATCGTCATCCTCGTCAAAGTGATAATCTATTTCCACTACACGACGTGGAAGACATTCACGCCAAATGGCTAATCTCAACTCAAGAGGAAGTTGAGAGAAGAAATGAAACACTCGGCCATTGTTGTCGACTATATGATGAAAGTGGGCGATTTGAAATACGGAGCCGAAAGTCATCACGTTAGCTGCAATAGAGACTGCCTTCGCATCGTCAGTGAAAGGAAGAGGGTAAAGAGGAGTGCGAGTATTGGTCTGACACCACAACAAATACACTTTTGGGAGCGCTAAATCACTGGAAGAACTTGCAAGGGCTAAATGAGTTTATAACTCAGCTCAGGAAGATGACTAAGGGTTCTTGGCGGGTTTAGAAAAGTGCGACTTGGCGCTGGAATCCCGGCGGAAATGCGGCCGTCTCTGGCGGAGGCTGTCATGTTCGGCCTCATCTTCTATACGTAAAATTAGAGTTTAGTGGAGATTATCAAAATCTTGACCGTTATTTAGAATTATAAAGGCAGGTCTGGCGCTATGTTAGACAAACAAAACGTGGTTTACACAAATAACTATGTTAACATATCCGTGGCCTTACCCATGCGTGGGACATATTCTTCCGAAGTCTTTGTTCCGCGATGTCGTGGATTATAGATGATTTAGAGTGCGGAAAGGGTAGTTAGATCCCATGAGTCCGATGCCTGGAATTGTCCGAAGGCCATAAATCAAGGTAGCCATTCGGTATAAAACGCGGGAGTCCTTTTGTTGTTTCGTCTCTTCGATCTGCCAAAAGAAAAATGCAAACATGGATCTCCAGATGCTCCACCATTGATGGGTCATGAATTTTCTGACTGAACCCCTTAAAATAAAAGACCATCACAGATTGATACTAACACTCCTTCACTGTCACTAGAATACCTGGCGAATCACGCGCCTGTGCTCCGAGAATAAAATCCCGACTCACATCAATATCGCGATCACGTCGCACCGCAGATATATCAAAATCGAACTGCCGGAATACAGCTGCTAGGATGAGAAACAGCTCGGCACGAGCCAGGTTCATGCCCAGACAAGAGCGTGTTCCTCGATTGAAAGGAACCAAGTATCGATCAAGTCGCTTGCTTTCGGGAGCTAGCCACCGCTCAGGCTTGAAGGCACGAGGCTCCGGGTAAATTGATTCGTTGAGATGTGTTAGCATGGCCGTCATGCCAATAGTAGTATTTGCGGGAATGAAGATCCCTCGGCATTCGAGGGCATGATCGGGGAATTGGCGGCTTATTCGATGAGTGACAGGGTCAGATAGACGCAAGCCTTCTTGGACTACAGCTGTCAGGTAGGGAAGTTGTTCGAGGATAGTTAAAGAGGGGAATTTTTGTACGTCTGGAATCGCAGCTACGAGCTCTTCGTGCAGCTTTTGTCGCACGGCTGGGTTAGCGGCAATGTGATAAGCAGTTCCACGTAGAACATATGCTCTGCGATCGGTTAGTTTCCTGGAGATGTAGTCACGGTGGGAAGAATTACGTTGTCCCGGAGCCTGCTGTCACTAAGCTGAAGGCTTCATCTCGCAACCTATCTCTTTCTCGTTCCTCGGGGGAAGCTTGCTTTCTAGCAATTCGTGAAAAACAGTGCGATGTGAGGCTTTTTCGTAAGATTTATCCTCGCCACGCCGAATAGCCTCTACCTGTTGGGATAGGTCCTGAGTGGAATGTATATTGGTCTTCCGTCTTCCTTTTTCAATTCAAATGTGACGGACTTACTCGGCGAAAATCTAGAATATCCGCCAATGCGGGGGCTAGTACTTTATTGGCGCTGTCCTATTAGTAAAGAATTAGTTATATGTCTCCATCGTTCTCGATTAGAATAGCCCTACCGGAAGCGAATATGTGAGCCGCATCACCCACGGAATATGGATATTCAACAGGCTGACCTCAAGGAAGCTATCTACATCGTCAAATCCTTTGCGGCCAAAGTCTGGCTGGTGCACATTGGAGGGTTCATGTGCGAAGCAATAGGCGTTGATGATATCCAGTGTCACTGCGGCGTAGATATACTTCATATTGACCATCTCGCCCGTCTGAGCAGCGCGGTGCAAACGCTCTCGTAGGATCTCGATGGGGTGCCACATGACTGGAACGAGGTCGGTAACAGATTTCTTGGAAAAGAAGGGGCTCAACACGCTACGCCGCAGACGGTGTAGGTCATGTGATTGAGTGCCAATAGTCTGAGTCTATTAGTGATCTTGGCCGTCCAGACTTTATATGCGCTGTTTCCAAAGGAAATTCGTACAGCAGGATAGGGGCCAAATGCTTCCGCGACGCGCAGAGGCTTTTCTGCGCGGCCGTTGGTCTGATTAAAGACCTGGTCGAAGAAATCCGGGTCGTCGATATGTATTTCATCGGGGTTAATGCGAATGACGGGCCCTATAGAAAGAACAGGACATGAGCATGGCCTACAGGACAAGATTGGGAAGTCTTATACCATATTTGTCATGTAGGGCACGAAGCTGGAAGGTGAACTGGCCACTTCGATACAGGTCGTAGTACCACTCATACAAATAAGTGACCTTGGCTAATGGGGGCCCGGGAATATGAGCGAGAGGGTGAAAGCAAATTCGATAGACCAGGAAAGAAAACAGTGCCACAAGGCCTAGCAAAAACAGCAGCAGAATTCCCATTTTGGTGTACTCAAGATCAATATTGCAGGGGCGAATGAAAAAGAGGGTTACACCATATGGATCTCCTCAGTGCTTTAGAGACCAAGGCGTTGCACGTTGACACAACAAGAGCAATGCCCGCTTTCATATATCAAGCGAGTCGAAGTGGATGTACGTAGATGGCGATACAAACGAGAGGGCAAGGTGTAGCCCGTTCAGTTTAGGGGATGATGATAGGCGCCCGCCATTTCCGTGCTTATGGGGACTGGGGGCGGGGGTTGTCCTTTGACAGGGGTAAGTAGCCTATGACCTCGATGCTTAGGCTCATAGGGCGTAACGTTAGTGGAACTGATGCCTAAAGCTGAAGGTGTCTGGACACCAGGCGAATAAGGTGTCTACCCGTCAACTCGTCTTCGTTTGCATGTTTCGCAGGTATCAGATTGATTAATTAATTGAGGGGGTGTGAGCGAAGATCAAGACCCTAATTCAACCTCTTGGTGGTTTTTCTTGCTATGCTATGTACTGATAATTGACGAAATGCCTCGAAGATAGTATGATTACGCTGACTTATGTCTGTAAAGCTTAAACAAGGGTCGGGTGATCCCCGGAGGAGGATATTTGGTAAAATTTAACATTGGGTTCAGGATTGAACAGGCCATCTCAATTAAGCTAGACACAGGTCGTTACAACGGTTGGAAAGAAAAGAAAAGATGAAATCATAGGGCCAAGAAAATACCCTAAAAATGATCGCCGGACCACGGTCCTCTAGCTCCGTCGTGGAGTCGACCGGGTTTGGGCTCACGAAGCCCAACTCTACCCAGGTCATACTAGGTGCTACACACCGATACTTAGCACATGCAGCTTATGACCCAGTATTATGCAGTGTTAATTTACTAATGGAGAATATCGTCAGTTTGTGGATAGTATGTGGGCGAAAATGTGGACGATTGTGGAACACTTGACCTAAACTAAACGGCCTTGCAGTTGGACCCAGCGATTTTTTAGTAACGTTCAGCTGAGCCTCGTTTTTAAGTGGATATACTGCTGTTTGGTTGTTTCATCGCTCCGCGGTTTCCACAATGGGAGAATTTGAAATTGGTTAGACGACATAATCATTCCATAATCATAGCTACTAATCTCCCCCCACTTTATCGTGATATACACGGTTCTCTCCCGTCGCTTCCAAACTCCTCTTCTCTTCCCCTCCGTCGATCCAGATCTGGACCGAGGCCCCATTTCGACCCCCTTTGGTACCCAGTTTTACCCATTTTTCCCGTTAAACCCGATTTTCTTGTCCATGTCGGCGTTTTGAATGGGGCCCGCCCCCCCTTGCTAGACCCGGATCCGAACCCTCTGACCGGACCATGTCGACCTCGTCACGGGTATCTGCATTGGTGGAACTGCTTTGAATCACTGTCTCAATTCATTTGATTCATCTCAACCTTCGCGCATGTGACCTTCCCTCTCTCTTTCGATCCTCGCTGTCCCGGGTCGTGGAGGTCAACCCACTCCCAAGCCATGACCCAGACCTCCCAGCTGTCCCCCGGCCAGCTTTCGCCGGAATCGCCCTTTGATCCACCAGACGGTCGCATCGCTCACACACTCACCGCGTGCACTAGGTGTCGCCAGGTATGATGCAATGCTACCCCTCATCCCGAACTCAATCTTCCCCGCGATGAAACGAATATGAGAACATGGAGATATGGAGACCGAAAAGCATCTGAAACAGATTATCCCCGGTGCTGACACACTACCCGTAGCGGAAATCTAGATGTGACCCTGGCATCCCCCGATGCGCGCCCTGCGAACGGAGCAATGCCAAGTGCGTGTATTACGACTCCACCCGAGACACCACCATCCCGCGGACCTACATCGTTTCCCTTCGCGAAAAAGCCCGCGCACTCGAGAAAGAGCTCGCCGCCGCCGAGAAAGATATCCAGCATGCAGCTGATGCCGAGCTGATGGTACGGGGCGCAGGTCGCATCCGCTTTCAGGAGAATGACGAACCTCGGTACCTGGGGCCCTCCAGTGGCATTGCCATGACCCGACTGGTCATGGAGATGGCGAAACAGAATACCGACTCGAAAAGCATCAAAGATGTCGTTCCCGAGTTCACCGCCCAAGAAATTAAGGCCGCTTTTGCGCAGGAAGACTCGAAGCCGACTTCGAAAGTGTATCCCATGATTAGCTCGATTCCGGCACCCGATTTGCCATTGCAGGGCCTTGCGTACAAATTGATTGATCTTTTCGTGGCTAAAGGTACATGGGTGTCATTGCATGAAAACAAAGGCCTCCGTGGTAATTCGGATCACTAACTTTTATTTGGTTCTTTCCAGCACAAGCACTACTCCCTACTCTACATGAACCAAGTTTTAGACGAGAAGCGGACGAGGTCTTAAATGGCTCTACCGACCCGTGCCACAACTTCCAATTACGCATGGTCTTTGCAATCAGCTTGCAAAAATTGAGCATCGAGTATGCTGGTTTGGCAGATAGCTATTATTTAGCCGCATTGCCGTTTCTAGAACCAACACTCAAGGAAATGGATTTGAGGGCCTTGCAATGCTTGGTCTTGATTGCTCAGTACTCTATGCTGACACCGACACGAACGGCGGCATATTGGGTAGTAGGGACGGCCGTGAAGCTATGCCAAGACCTTGGATTGACCGAAGAAGCCACCATCACAACCTCCCCCGATGGCCGAGCTCTGAACTCGCTAGAGATTGATATGCGCCGAAGGCTTTTTTGGATCGTCACATCAATGGAATTTGGCCTTTCCCATTCTTTAGGACGCCCCAACTGCTACAGCATCACTCATGACAATATTGAAATTAACTTCTTCGAATTAGTGGACGATCGGTACATCACGGCCGACGGCATTACCCCGGGGGCAAGGCCGGTGCTTGGAAAATGCCTTGCCATCCATTTCTTCAAGATGCGACTGCTTCAGTTAGAAGTCCGACGAGCTCTCTACCTAACCCGAAGGGAGACTCCGGTTGATGATCAGGATCCTTGGTTCTCTTATATGTCAAATAAAATCGATCAGTGGATGGCATCTTGCCCGAGAAATGACGATGGCAGCGGTTTGAATGTTAAATGGTACGTATTCCGGTTTTTGGTCTTCAGGCCATGGCTAATACTTGTTTTTGCAGGTTTCAAGGGAGGAGAAACACCATTGTCATTCTCATGTATCGGCCGTCACCTCAGGTCCCGGAACCATCAATTAATGCGGCAAAAATATGCTACGAGTCATCAACCTTCAATATTGCTATGCATAAAGAGCAGATGGTTACAGGCTCAGTAGACTTGACATGGATCTTCACTCAATCCCTCTTCATGGCTTTCAACACTGTCCTCTGGACCCTTTCGTACCCTGAAATTCGGAAAGATCACCCGATTGAAGAGGTCCAAAGCTATTTAGACATGGCTCTGGAAGTTGTGGTCTACTCGGCAGAACGGTGGCCTGGCGTTCAATCTGCACTGCTGCTCTACAAGCGCCTTGTCGCAGCTTGCCTAAAGGCATACACCACGGAGGAATCATTCGTCGTGCACTCGCCTTCCAATCATCCCACACCAACCTCTTCGCAGGGGCTTACGACCCCTCCGGCCATGTCCAGTCCTTCCAGCAGTACAGCTGCTTCCTATTATTCTCACGGTTACCGGTCAAGCAATCATATGTTAAGCGATGATGCCTCAACTGGTACCTTGTCCAGAGGCCATTCAGCCGACCCTTCTTTACCTTTCTCCGAAGAGTCTACACCTCCGGCCTATGGGGATCCGCAGAAATTGATTGGAGTGCCCTCAATGCCAGCATTTGCTATGCCCTCATCGTCTACAGTCACCAATCCCCCGCCCCAATATTCATCAGAAAGCTTTTGTGCACCCAACGCGCTCTATCCCGACGTTTCCATCGACCCCAACACCCCCTACAACTCGATACCGTCGGTTGTTCCCGGCCTTCAGGGCTGGGATCCCAATTTCTCCCTTGCCTCTACCACCGCCAGTCATCTTACTTATATCGATGCCACTGTAGATCCCATGCAATGGACATCCTCCATTGGGGATCAATATTCTCAGTACTTTAACGAGCCATTCCCGATACCCAATTGGCGTGAGCGCACCCTCAGCCAGCAGGAGCAGATCGAACTGATGGCATCGCTGGAACAAAATATTCCCGATGTCTCGGCACAGTTGGTCCATGAATCCCATGCGTTTTACCAATCATAAGGGAATCGACTATCCGGCTGGTATATTCATTTAGTTTGACTGTCAGCCATCAGAGTATTCGGTGAGAGCTAAATGAGAATGGGGATTGGGGGGTATTCAGTTTGCTTACGTTCAAATCCTCTTACTCCCCTTCTGGGAATTGAAAGGTCTCTTTGATATATACCATAAATGCTTAAATACTCGTGTCACACTAGATCAACCTGGTCCTTATATTTCAATTTAATCTTAGAAAATCCCGTGGAATTTGGTTTCCGACATGTATTTAGCCCACCTGGGCACCAAAGTGGATCTAGATCAGACGACAGGAAACCCGACAGGTTCGAATCCATGGTTCTTGACGTCTTACCTACAGAAGCAGCGTAGAAACCTTGAAAGCCAGGTTTCTACGACTATATCCGAACGGATGAATTTCAACGGAAGGGAATCAGTTAAGGAGCTTTGTTATATAATGTTAACGTTTTGACCTCTCATCCACCATGCATGGAAAAGTCCGGAACTATGGAATACGTCCCGATCGGTTTTGGACCCGAGTCCCGCGTCACGTGACAGGCCCGTTTTGCCTCCATTCTCAGCGCCGTCTTCGAGAGCATCTGGAACCCATCCGCCCTCCTCTCCATCCCCATCAAACCCAACACCGGATCACCTGTGAGGTTTTGAGGTCTCTGTTCAGTCTGGAATGCATATGATCTAGGCTGTGGAACGACCTGTCCGCCCGCCTTGAGCGACCGTCGATCGACCCCCTCTCTTAACGGCTCAGCGCTCCTGTCGAACGCGATTCGGACTCCCGCCCGTGGAATTCTGAGTCCTCGACCCTCTACGACAGCGTCAGGCATTCATTTGCCAGTAGGACTCCCATGTCGGATCGCACCCATTTGTCTTTCCCAACCGGTCCTCCTTCGCCCTCTTCACCCGCCGCTGGGTCTCTGAAAGAGAGTCACCAGCTTCCCATCCCCTCGGAACATATCCCCCAGACTCCGATATCCCCTCCGTTGATGTCGGTCAGCGATCAAAGCCATGTCTCCAACTTTGTATCCACCCAGGCATCACCCAACCAGGCGATTACCCACCCAAACACCTCATCCCCTCCCTCATCTACCCCGATGTCTACACAGGTTTCTCAGCAGCCAACAATGAGCACGACAAACTCTTTTCCTACCCCGGCAAGCAGCGTCAGTGGTCATCTCGCGAATGCGGGCTCAGCGGAAGACGCCGATCACAAATCTTTCAGCCCAGAAATGCAGGACTCAAAAAACGTGGAGGGACAGCAGGACACAAAACACACACGAACCGATCACGACCGACAATCACCTAAAACTAGCCCTGAAGCTGGTGTACGCGATTTCGCCGTCGGTCCCGTTCAGCAACCGTTAGATACAGATGCCATGGATGTGGATAAAGAAATCGCGCCCCGGTTTGATGCCCGTAACCTCGGACTTGACTCACTTCAGAATGAATTCACTTCGGCTTTCCATCTCTGCAAAAGCTGTAAGAATCCCCTGAGTTTGATCACGGTTGCCGCCGTGGCAGTCGTGTGATTTCACTGTCTTTTAGCGCACTCTTGAACCAAACTTGTTAACACAGTATTTCTTCGTGGCTTGACAGCTCCCATTGTGACTGGACCAGATCCTTCGTTGGATCTCATTTCCCTCTATGGGCTCGGCTCGGTTGCGCATTCAGTCGCCAGAATGGACCACGTGACAGGAGAGAAGATCAATCGGCTGAGAAAGTCCTACGAAGGCAAATTGAAGGGATTAGGGTTGGCAGGTCGCAACAAGCCCGTAAAACAAGAGCCCGGAGCACCCGGCAGTTTACGGCATCTCACGATGTGGCCCGAGGAAGAATGGCAGAACCAGAAAGTGTTTGGCAAGCAGATCAAGGTGGCTGACCTTGACTCGGCGCTTCACAGTCTTCAGACCAAGGCTATGCATATGGAACCCGGTGCGGTACCCAACAATGACTTCTGGGAGGATGTGTTAGGCCATGAAAAACCCGTCAAGAACCAGGGTTCCGGTGATACGGGCAAAAAGGCTGCACCCACTCCGGGAGGACGTCACACTGCTTACGGGACCGCATCAGCTACGATGCCGCACGAAAATGAACGAGCCCGGCCCAGCCGTGGCCGTAAGAGACACTACGATGACAATAGCTTTGTTGGTTATGGCGAAGGCTTTGCAGATGACGATGATGACCCCGGATTCTACTCCAACGGCGAGGGAACCGGGAAAAAGAAACGGAAGAAGGTACGACGCGGAGGAACAATCATTCATAACCAAGGTTTAGAACTAATATCAGCCATAGGATCATGTTTCCAAGGTTTCCACCCCCATGTCCGAACGCGGCGGGAGTTATGGGGTTGGCATGTTTGGAATCGGCGCCAGATAAGATTTCGATGTCGCATTTCCTCAAAAGCATGTTCTCCGTGTGTTCTCCCCCATATTTCTTTCAAAAAAGCTTCGAGGCGATGGCGACTCTAGTGCCATGACAACCGCGATGCCCTGTCTTGTTCTTCGATTTCTTTTATTCCTTCTCAGTACATGTTGCATCACGGTGCTGGATATACCCGGCTTCATCTAACGGATGGCGTTCTGGCGGGGCGGGATACAAGGTATTCCAACGCGAATATGACTTGAATTATGCTTGCCCAGGTCTGTTTTATCTGCTTTTTGTGCTTTTTGCAATCATGCGTGCGTCTGATTTCCATTTCCCACTGCTGTAATGGCCGGCTTAACTTCTTGTTCTTTTTTTCTGCCCTGCAAATGGTCAGCTGCTGGACCATGTCAACTTTTCTCGTTCCAGATGCTTTGCGATGACCCCATCCGCGTTATGGAGGGTAGGTTTTCGTGCCCTTTTTTTTTTTTTTTTTTTTTTCTTTGAGGGGACCTGATCATGGTTCCTCTTAATGTGTTTGATATTTGATATTCCTTGATCACGACAGTGTCAGATAGTGAGCTGATGCAAGGAACCAGTGAATTGATTGAATAGATGAAATAATGTTAACTTGTAGCGGGATAACCTGATCAACAAGCTACGTAGAAAACCGTTCTTCTCCCAGGTAATTGTACCCTATTCCGTACGTTGTACCTCTTTGCTTGCGTAGATCGATCTACGACCCTCAAACAAGAGGCGCATCAGTGCGGACCTGAACTCGGTCAATCCGTGTCAGCTCTCCACTGGCACCATCAGTATCCAGCCTCAATGCTCAAATGACGAACACGTAGGCCAACTTCGACTCCCTGGCAAAGGTGGATGGATTTCGATATCATTGTCGTGCGGGGATCTAGTATAGATACCGAAGCTAAACAGTAAAAAGTGGCTCATGGGCCTTTCACGCAGCTCACAAAAGACCACGCTACTACCCACACATGATCTCACAGACTTCGGTTATTGGTATTCAATTTAACGCCAATGACGAAGTCGACGTTTGTTGTTCACTTCAGCCTTTGCTCTATTGGTCTGTTCACCGTTTCCTTTAGGAGAACTGCAGGTTCAAATAGCTCCTGGTTGCTAGTTGGATTTTCAAATGAAGGAAGCAGGAATCCGGGGGGTTTCTACAATAATCGACTGTTCAGTGTATACTCGAGGCCCGTATCGCTTTGCATGAGTGTCGAGATCGTCACTCTGCATATGTACCATGTATAACCACGTCAGAAGAGCCGCAGAGTCCCACGATTACATCAGGCACGCGCACACCTCCATCCTAGGTCAGCACAGGTTTACTCAGATAAGCCTTCCAAACCCTAGAGCACATAGCCACGCGATAGTGGATCTCTTCACTGGATAGGATACCGCAAGCACAGATGAAACAATGAGCTTCGGGCTATATCGTGGGAAGCGCTACGTGGTCGTGCATGTAGCCCAGCCCGGGATTACCGATATTTGCTTGTTCAAGCGACCGGGGTGCGCGAGGGCGTTTAAGAGGCGCTTTTAGTGGATTTGTTGTCCAGAGGGGTGGACTCAGGCTGAGTCTACGCATGTCGGCAAGAGAGACCAAGTAAGTCGCTAGTTGGTGGCTGTACCTGTTCCACTCCAACATTGTCCAAATGAAGCGAGCGGATCTTTTCTTTCACTTCGGCTATTTGTTTCCTCTTTGTTTTCTTTTTCTTTTTTTGCTCTTTTAACGGTGAAACCTGCTCTGATTCGCTCGCTCTTGAGCGCCTGTTTTGGCCCATCGCTGTCGTCATTCTCAGTCTTCTATGCCTTTGCGGTATAGGGGAAGTGCTGCAACTCAGTTAAATCTACGTATTGAGTCGTTACGTTGAAGTAGCCAAACATTTATTCTTATTCCCGCGCCGATCAACGTACTCGGATCGATACATCGAATGGAATATCCAGCCAGGGTTGTGCCTTTTCCCGGATAAGTTCTATCCCGGCAAATTCGCAATGGGGCTCGTTCTTGCTATACATGAACCTGCTTGATATGTTGTGCTGATTTCACCAATGGCGCTACTGCATGGCGCTCATGATTTCCGTGGGCAAAGAACCGATCGGCATCTATCTGTGGATATATCCACGTTTCCTAGGGCCGGACCCACCAAGTCCTTGAACGCCAGTTGTTTCAGGACGTAAGACGTGGAACAGTCCAGCTGGGCTTGTCTTTTGTGTCGTGTTGATTCCACTGTTTGTTGTCTCTTGCTTTTTTTCTTTGGCAAAGGTGGACCAACCGTTCAGCCCAAAGATCCATCTGCCGAAATGGGAAGTGATTGGCGATGGCATTTAGCAGATGCACCTATTTTCACACCATGTTCGAGAGGCTTGAGACTCTGAATAAATACTTGGGCAGTATTCCCTTCACCTTGAGGGAGTGGAGTGCGGTTGTCTTTCGTTTTTGTTCACACAGGCTAGTAGGAGCGTCAAGCACCAGCCAATATGTTATCGCCAACATCCTCTCAAGTCACGTTAAGGGAGCACGAGAGGAACTCAAAAAAAGAAGAGATAAAATGGAGACCTGATTGGCGATTGAAGTGCATCTTTGGCATCATTGGCTTATTGAACTTTGTGACTGCCGTCGATGCTACATCTATATCCGTTTCGTTGCCAGTATGTCATCGTCTCCCTATCACTCACCTGTGTATGCATTGTACTAATATCTTAGACCATCCCCCATGACCTTGGTGGAACAGCAACGGAAGCTTTCTGGGCAGGAACTTCATTCCTTCTCGCATCCTGTGTATTCTAGCCTATTTTCTCTCTGGCATCCGACATCTTCGGCCGGAAACTTATTCTCCTCCTCGCCGTATCGACCTTCAGCATTGGATCGATCCTCGCCGCAATCTCCCACGGGTTCAATCTACTCATCGCAGCCAGATGCATCCAAGGTATCGGAGGCGGAGGCATCCTAGCTCTCACAGAGATCCTCATCGCAGACCTAGTCCCCCTCCGTCAGCGCGGGAAATGGTTCAGCATCAAGTTCGAAGCATCAGCAGTCGGCACCGTATTTGGTCCCCTGATCGGTGGAGTATTCACTCAATCCTCCGCATCATGGCGCTGGATACTCTGGTTCAACCTTCCCTTCTGCGGCCTGGGTCTTATCCTCATCCCGATCCTACTGAAACTCGAAAGAAACCCCGTCTCTATCCGCCAATCACTAGCTAAAGTCGACTACTCCGGCTCTTTCCTTTTCGTTGCGTCTCTCACCTCATTCCTTATCCCAATCACTTGGGGCGGCATAATGTTCTCCTGGTCCTCATGGCACACCCTCGTTCCGCTTATCCTAGGCCTAGCTGGCCTCCTCGGATTCTGTGTTTACGAAGCATACGTTGCAGCCCAGCCCCTCATTCCATCAGGTGTCTTCAGCAACGCCACAATGTGTCTATGCTACTTCGGGATCTTCCTCCACGGCCTCATTCTCTGGGCCATCGTCTACTATCTACCCCTATACTATGAAGGTTCACTGGGCTATAGCCCTATCATTGCCGGTGTGGCCGTCTTTCCCGAATGTCTCACCGTCGCGCCCATCTCCATCGTGACTAGTCTCATGGTCTCAAAGACGGGCGATTATGGCTGGGCTCTATGGGCCGGATGACCCATCACAGCACTGGGTCTAGGTATTCTCTGCCTCCTCGATGCATCGAGTAGTATTCCGCAATGGGTCTTCCTCAACCTCGCGGCGGGTATTGGTTGTGGCATGCTCTTCCCATCTGTCCAACTCGCCGTCCAAGCAGCCGCGAATAAGGAGTTCCTTTCCATCGCCGTGACGATGACGGCCTTTTTCCGGGTGCTTGGTCAATCTGTTGGCGTTGCAGTTGGGGGCGTTGTTTTCCAGAATAGGATCCTGGAAAAGTTTGGAAATCATCCAGAACTTGGGGCTGAGGTGCTCAAATATGCGCAGGATGCGTCGAGCCTTGTGGAGTATATTAAGGCCCTGCCCGTTGGTAGTGCTGCACGGGTTCTTATTCAGTCGTTATATGCGCAGTCATTGACTACTGTTTGGGCTGTTATGTGTGGAGTTGCTGGAGTGGGACTTTTCTCCAGCTTGTTTGTGAAAAAGTATACCCTTAATCAATCCTTTAGTTCAAAGCAGGGGGTTCGGAAGGATGGGGCTCGGGAATACGTGGGTATTGGTGGAGCTGAGAATAAGGTCAATGTGTGAGTGAGAACGACTCGTTATATGATTAATGTTAGAATGGTGTTGTTTTGAGAGGTGTATGAGGGCTTCTTGAAACGGATTTTGTATATCTGGATAGGAGTAACTAATTTGGCAACCAATCATTATGGATTCAACCTTGGGAGTCCAAATCTCTCCTTACTTTGTTGGAACATTCGATACATCTTTACGTCATGCGAAAAACCTTATCTCCTGTAGAGCCGTACTGTCCTGCCGACATTGCATCCGATAGCCGCCACTGCATTGCATGCTTAGTCAGAAGGGACTGATTTTGCGTCTAAAATTGCCCATCTCAGTTCCCTAGTGTAGAAGTACAGGTCACATTGCTGTTGTTTGCATGGCTTCAACGTTCGGAAATGCCAATTAACTGTCCTTTTACCATTACAGTGAAATTGGGGGCGGCTCTTCAGTATAGAGGGTTGACTTGGCTAATTATTTGTCTTGGTGATTCTAGTGTTCAACCACTCTGCCAGGTCAAAAATAAGGTCAAAAATCAGGTCCAAATCCTAGAAGCAAGGCAGTGGCGGCCATCGGATGCAGCATCACCGTCCCCACTCTAGCCACTAGTGATCCGTCTAGCCGGTATGTCTGTATAGTAGCTCGAACCCAAATTAAATACTTGGGTGTCACGTTTTTCATAGGTCCGTGCCGAATTATCCATACGGGTTATGTACGTCAATACAATAGTTCTAGAGTTGGTACCTCAGTTCAAGCCTAGACGTTGACATTCGTTAATTGTGATTCTCTTATGATAGATGATTGAGATTGTCAGAAGACTTATATAGTGCTCACGATTCTTATTCACTTTAATAATAAAGACAGTGAATGCGGCGAGTCCAGCGCCCGTGAACACTTGGGACATCTCGCAGCAGAGTTTCAGGTTCAGGAACCTAAGACCGAGGTGCCAGCCTCGGTTCCCACATCAGTAAAATGTTACAGTAATTTATAGATTCCGTACATATTAGTTCTGACCTTTACTATCGGCATCATGAATGATAATCGCGGGCCGAGTGCTCGGTTCGGCGACTCATTCTCTTCAAATCGTTCGGCGAGATAGTATCGTGATCCCGCAAGTGCCGATCATATTGCCATATGGTCTTTCCCAGGCCACGAAACGATGGTGCACCCAGAGCATATAAATATGGCCGTGTCCCAGAAGTAAAGTGCCAGAGTCCAATCTCCTCTTCACTCAACCTCTTCTCAACCTCTTCATACATTCAAGTACATTCAAGCCAACTAAAATCAAACATCATGCCTGTCCTCCCTTCTCTCGAGGGCTCGACCTTCAATGAAGATATTCGAGACCGCCACATGACTTACGACTACGCTGCCCAGGATGCACAGGGCAACCCCGAAAAGTGGCGATACGAGATGTGGTTCTACAACGAAGATCGCATTGTCTACGCTATCCACGACGGTCCTATGGCAGGCCGGAAGAACTTCCAAGCGGCGACCTACCAATGCATTCGCCCAGGAGAGTTATGGCAAGTCAACTGGCTTGAGGAGACCGGCACCATCGTTTCTCTGGTCTACGACATTCCCCAAAAACGCATAACCACCCTTCTCGCATTTTCAAAGGGACACTGGGACCAGAACGAAGCAGCACATGGCGATAAGCGCAACCCTGAAGATCTCGCCAGATGGAGAAAGTTAGCCAAGATTGGCGAGTCTCAGACGGATCGGGTGCTCTTGAGCGAGCAAGCCGATATTTTAGAAGATTTCAGAGGGGCTGGAGATCTGCAACCCATTGAAATGCACTGGCCTTGTCTGTGAGACTAGTGGAACTTGTATGCCACGTGCAGTATGCCAATAAAGATCAATAATTCCCTGTTTCAACTGTACGCTGTCTTTTGTCTTCAACTATCCTGAGACCCTCCTCAAAAGGCTGCAACCTAAGGGGACGGATTGACTTCATCGCATTCGATTCATGTACATTGCTTTCGATCTTTCTTGATCAGTGAAATTGTAGTATTATATATCCATCATACCAGAATTGCAATCTCTTCCCTCCAGATCAGGGAAATGTAACCTCTTCTATAGCTTAGATCCCACCGAAAGGTCCCTTTTGAGGATTCCCTTAACCCCATATGGTCCATCCCATGTACTGCTCAAAACCCCGTCGCTCTCCTTGGTAGTAGAATCTATGGGTATTTGCCTTGTCCAGCTCATCAATCGCTCATAGACATTCCCATCTTTGCAACCCAAGGCACTACAAAGGTTTACATAGTCAAAACCATATCACATCGACTATTGGTCCTATTTTACCATTTCCTATGAGGAACATTACGGAGACTTTGATTGTGGAACTTCAATAGATTTCAATATTGATTAGATATGCCCTCACCTCATTCCTAAGACGTGAGTATCAAAATAGAACACTCTTCATCGCATCCTGATCAATATTTGCACCGCATAGCACAATAACACTACTTTCATGGCTCATGTGGCAGCGGAAAGCATCGCTTGCGAAATTAAGCAAGGGCATAACAATGCCTTCTCCTCGAAAGTTCTTTGCTAGCCGAGTTTGGCCAGCTACGACGGGGGACGAATGATTAATACCGGCCAGAAAGGCCAACTTTCGAATGTTACCAGCGCTTTGCTTGATGAAATCTAGTGATCCTACGACAGCGGCCTCATCAGTAAGAACGGAATCGCAGTAGCTTGATTTGAGACTAATAAAAAGCTGCGGCTATGAGTTATGCTTAAGTGTCAATTCAGGCCTTCGAGTCACAAGGCGGTTAGATACTTTACTCTTTTTTTATTTTCCGAGATTTGATAACAGAGAGTATGTCATCTGCTACCGGCGCTGGTGATGCAGCCACATGCAGAAATTCAGGAAGCCCACCGACGCACAGCATCGTGATGATAATCTCGTATTCGGGGATTTCGAAAGCAGAGCGTAGGGCCTTATCTTGCTCTTTCTCTGTAGACCAGTTCAGCATGCATGTGCCCAAGCCGCTGGCGTGTAGTGCAAAATTCAATGACATGGCGGATAGTCCACCATCGACCCAAGCCTGGTTGCGTTCCCCGATGATATCGAACTCACGAAGGTCGGAAGTTACGACCAATACTGCGCCAAGTTTGGGTCCAAAACCAATGTTCCCGCGCTGGTAGCTTAGCAATTCCTCTCGCAGCTCAGGATCATATGCAGCGTAGACACGCCGAGTCTTGCGATTGACCGTTTGGGGGGTGTGAATAGCTCGGGCAACAGCCAGCTTTATTTGATCAGGAGAGATGCTTTCACCATTGTAGTGGCGCACACTGTGACGCGCTTGGACGAAACGAGTGTAGTCGAAGGCGGTCGCTTCTTGAACCTCTTTCTTGGTCAATGGTATCGCCCCACCGGGGTAAACTTCATTTCGCCAACGATTTTCCGCAACTCGTCGTCAAAGTCTGCAGACAAGACCATGCCATGCTCGTCGTGAAATCTGATATAGTCTTGAATTGTGCCGCGTCCTCCACTAATCGCAATTCCGGTGTAACCTTACTTTTCGAGAGACTTGATTGCGTGGATGATGAAATTAACCTTCGCCCGTCCGAACTCCGCGCGAGGTTGTTCGATCGTCAGCCCCTTTTCGAGGCTATGATAAGCGGCGGTCAATTTTGCAGCCAGTGTCACCTGGTCAGAGCTGTGGCTTATCACGCTGGACCATGTTCTGTACTTATCAAAGTCATAATCGAAATTATCACGCAGGAGCAATTCTCTGTTGGTGTCCATGTTTATCGAGAACAACCTCAAGGTACCGGATAATAATGCTCTGAAAGCAGGAACAGTGGAAGATTTCGGCCAGTACGACTGCTTACGTGGTGATTATCAAGACTCCTCTCTTTCGGAAAGGATGCAGCCCGCATGGATGCCGCAAAGGCCGGGTCTTTCCCAGATACCAAACTTAGCGTAGTAAGGATCAAAATTCGCAAAGCCCTGGGTTTCGGTCATCAAGATAGCCTGAACAGGCTCAAGGCCTTGAAGATATTATGCGGGCAAGGATATCAACATGTGGTAAGACATACACTGTGACAGACACCGCAAGCTAGCGATTTGATCAAAATTTCGCCTTCTTTGAGCTCTACCGGAACTTCCCGCAATGCCCATGGTGCTTTGGGACCGTCAAGGACAATTGCTTTGCAAGTCTTAGGAATGGCTGGGAACATATTTGTAATTGAAGAAAAGAAAAGAAGAATGAAATGGTGTAAAGAACTTCTTGGACTTCTGGAAATATCGCATGCTTCCCTGCGGCTTTATAGAGGATGCATCCTATCTGTTTGGTTCGTCAGTCGTCATCATTGACTCTGGCGATTAACCCCATTGCCAATTGCGTATTGCCTCATCCATACAAGAACCAAGTTTCTCGTAGCATCCACATGAGGACAAGCTTCATTGGCTTAGTTCAATGTGGCATGCGGACAGCGTGCGGAGAGCGTGCGGAGAGGATGCGGACAGTGTGCGGCCCGCATTCTCCAATGTAAAATTTTCGCCATCTATGTCGTTCACTTGAAAGATTGTTCTATTCAATGGGATGTCACTGTCAAATTACAGTCTTTAGGAGATGAGAAAAAACATCCTTGGTAAATAAAAACTCAGCAGAAAATGGGAGGTGTTAGGCTGTAAGGTTTAGAAGGTGCTACTTAATATCATGATTTTCTTCTTTAAACATCGATCGTCGTTGTATACTTTCGGTTGCCTGGTACACTAGTTTCTATGGCACGTACCTCTATGCGCTTCATATTCACCTGGGAGAGTCCACCTGAACAAGGGGCGAACTCCGCTTATTTCTCTGTATTGATCCAAGGCTTCCAAAAACGGTCATACAGTAGTGGACATGTTGACGTACGATCTCAAATCTTGTTTTATGTCAATCGTGCTCACACTGAACGAACCGGCTCTAGGGTTTGCGCACTTGCCTATATAAACACCTACTCCTACAACTTCTCCCTCCAACCACGAACACAATTAAACGAAATTTTGCAAAGTTTCTCCATACAATTGGACTTCAATAAAGACAATGCCTCTCGTTTCAATTCACATCGTCAAAGGAGCTCGTACTCCGTCTGAAGTACAAGACCTGTCTAATGTGATACATCGATCGCTCCAGGCGGCGTTCAAGACACCTGCGAAGGATAGACTACAGGTATGTGAGGCTTGAATCCATACAACTTTTTTGAAAGCTTCAGACTCTCATCTAAAGATAAGATTATTACCCAACATGAAGATTACGAACTCATCTTGGATGACAACGGATTGGGCTTCCAAAGGACCAAGAACAGGGTGCTGATCCTCATCACTCAACAAGGTCGCACATCAATCGATAAGCAAGAACTTTTTGCGACTCTGGCAGAAGACTTGAGCAAATCATGTGGCTTGAACAATACCGATCTCATGGTATCTATTACGACCAATTCAAAGGAAGACTGGAGCTTCGGTCAAGGAAAAGCACAGTTCCTCACAGGAGACCTCTGATGCCTTCCAAGGTTTCAACCCATTCATGAAGTCTCGTTGGATGATCGTCTCGACAATTAAAGATAAATACTACTCATTTCTTGATGACCATGATACCTCCGAACCTAAGCATGTCGTTACTTGTGCAAGACCCATGAATTCATACATAGAGGCCGAAAGTGTATCTGAATGATCAACAGTTTCGAGGGTATCTTTTATCAACTCAGGATTTGTAGTGCTACGTGAGAAAATACAAAGAAGAATTTTCCCCTGCCTTCAGATATATCCCTTCTGCGCCGCTAGCTGCAATATAGAACCTAAGCCCTCCATTTCCGTGTCTTCTTTATTTTATGCGTGATTGGTCGGAAGAGGAACGGAAGTGGAAGAGGGGAACCTCAACACACGGGAGGCCATTAGGATATGGTGGTATCAAAGAGACCGCTAGGGTAAGTTTCTATAGTAGTAAATTTCTTCTCTTAACTAATATATTTTGATCTATTATAAAATGACTAGTTAACCAATAGTAATATGTACTATGCTAATTACGTCCATGCAGCGGAGCCAACTAGATTGCGGAGATATGTAATCTCCGCTAAAGTAATCTTCATTGGCCGCATTACCCTCGAGATTCCTACAGAAGATCCCCATTGCACTCCAACGTATTAAACCCTCTCTCAGCGGCGAATTGGTTGCACAACCTTCCAAGGTTGAACATCACCTTGCATCCAGCCACACCACAATGTCCAAGTACGACCGCGCCCTCGAGCGCATCGACCTAGCCCACAAAGACGACCCCAACACCATAAAAGTCAACAACGAAACCCTCCCCTACGAACTCCACTATGCCCAAAAAATGACCAAATATCTTGAGCGCCTGAATCCTACCGCCTCCGATCTCCTGCGCCTCGCAATCCGCGCCCAACACCTCCGCCGCTGGGAAACCCCGCGCGCATCCTACCCCGCTACCAAAATCGGCTACCACTCCTGGCGCGGCGCGCTACAGCGTACACAAGCCGCATTGGCCGAGAAGATCTGTCTGGAAAGCGGATACGAGGCCGAGGATGCGGCACGGGTGGGCGCCATGGTGCGCAAGGCGGATTTGAAGAAGGGAGATCCGGATACGCAGACCTTGGAGGATGTAGCCTGCCTTGTGTTCTTAGATGATCAATTTGATAAGTTCGAGCAGGATATGGGTGATGAGGAGAAGATTGTGGATATTTTGAGGAAGACTTGGGGGAAGATGTCTGAAGCTGGGCGGGCTGAGGCTTTGAAGCTTGATTTGTCGGAAAGGGGGAGTGCTTTGGTGTCGAAGGCTTTGGCGGGGTGATATTATCTATTAATATGAATGCTACGGTACATCCATGGATTCTATGTGCTATAGATTCACAGGTTTATAGGTACGAGATAAATTCTTCTATGATTTTTTCATGATTGAGTCTTGTTTATTGATAATTATGATATGTATCCAGAACGCCCGCTGACGAGATCCAGAATGAGAGGGTCATAAGGCCATTAAGAGATGAGAGCGCTCCAATGCTTTTGTGCTTCCAGCAATGCAAATAAATATTTTACGGTGTCTATTGAGAGCCGCCGGTGTCGATCAACCGCACGAGTCCAATAGCAGCACCAGCAGCCACACCTCCGACGAAGATCATTTGGATTCCGCCCCAAATCGCGGCACTGATGTTATCACGACCAGACCAGCCACGTACAACGCAGGTCTTGATGTATCCAAATGCCGCAAGTGTCACCGCCATCACGGCGATACTCCAGTACAAAGCATCACTGACCTGTGCCGCAATGAAGTAGGGAATGAGAGGAATGAATCCACCGACAAAGTAGCCAAGAGCCAAGGTAATGGCCGAAATCCAAGCTTGGTTGCAATCAGGAGCAGATTCGCGGTGGTGGAACGCGAGCAGGAATTCCAGTAGTCGGTCTTGTGAGGCGTGGAGGTCGCGTGTGATATCTTCGATGACGGCGTTGGAGAGGGCGTATGGAGCGAAGCACTCGCGGACCATAGCATGTGTTTCTTCGGGTTCACTCTCGATCAAATTTTGTGTTTCGCGGACGGTGGCTTGGTAGGATTCACTATGAGGGTCTATTAGCTTTTTATCCTTGAATAGATGTGATGGTGGTACTCACGCTTCGCTCTTTGCGCCAACATATCCGCCCAGTCCCATGGAGATAGCACCGGCTGCCAACTCAGCCAATCCTCCAAGAACGACGACTTTGGTGTTTCCCAGTGCAGACAGACCTGCACTCAAGGCGAATGGAACGGTCAATCCATCTGAAAGACCCAGGATGGCATCTGACACGATACGAGGGTTGATACGGGCCCGTTGGCTACCGCTGCTGGTTGTTGAGTCGTCATAGCTGACAGTGCGGCCGAAGGTGGCATAAGATCGGCCACTTTGGGATTCGATGTCACGGTCTGAATCGCCGCGGATTGTATCTTCGTCATCGCTGCGAGCTAAAAGAGGTTTGTCTGGAGGAAGTTGATATTAGCTTGTGTACGCGTGGATGAAGCCTGCTATGGTACTAACTCGGAAGCTGAGATTCCTTGGTAGGAAAAAGCTTCTGCTTGATGAAAAGCAAAGCCATGTTTGTATTGGCAACGGTGTCTCAATGTTTTCAAGGGATGGAGGACGATGTTTTTGGTCCAATTCGCAGCAAAGTATTCAAACTTCTTGTACCGTGATAAAACAGTGGCAATGAGACTGACGTCAGCGTAGATGAAGAATGAACAGGTAGGTCCAAATTCTTTCAAATTAAAAAAGGCGGACCGTCTGGAAGATAGGAAATAAAGAGAAGGGGAGTGTTGAGTTGGATTATTGGAATATCGAATGCCAATGTTAGTGAAACAATTGGTATGAAAGGGAATGGATTTGAGAAAAGTAAAGTAAAAATGCCCTGATCCAAGCTAGGTCCTTTCGATCCTTTTAATTCTCCTGTAGCCCAAAACTTTTCACCGTCTCAGCAACCTCCACAGCCAACAAGCTCCATCAGCACAACACCTAGCCCATCGAAAAGTCCGAAACAGCCTAAAAAAACGGAGATGCATTGGGTAAAGAGGGGCGATTCACCAATCAGCAGCCTGACAAAGGTCAGCGACAACGACTTCCACCTGGATCGCAAAGTCAAGAGGTCCGCCTATTCCATCCTTTCGTCTGCAGGAGAAAGAGCCGTTGCATCAAATCCGCACCTTGCGATTGGTGGTGGTGGTTGTGATTACTATTGTCTCGGTTGTGATTGGTCGAGGGGGGTCGATCACGGATTTCGCGGCTCCACTGTGGTACATCTCATTGTGTCATTATTGGCCACCGCTCGGCCTTAGGGCTTCACGGAGGTCGGACTTTCTGGATTCAGTTCGGTTTTTTTCTCTGTAATCCCGAGCTTGGCATATCCAATGTGGCTATGCGGAGTGGGCTGCATTGAAATAGTTTCAACTCGTTTGTTTCTACCTGCAGGGAATACAAGATTACCTAAGAGAGATCTACTAACTTAGGTAACTATGAGTACCTTGGAAGTATACCAGATCATGTTCTACAGGTACAACCCGTAAGGAAACAATGCTCTGTGAAACTTTTTCCTTTCAAATGCTTACCCCTATGAAGGTTATTGACCAAACTTTTATACTCTTCCGGTCAGATGGAATTTTCTAGGCCAACGTTAGCTTGATAGAAGTGGGGACAAAGGTAAGGCTGCCGCCCTTGGCGTGAGATTTGATATCCACTTCTCTCCACATTTTCCAAGATTTCCAAGGTTTAGAGATTGAGAAAGAGAGCTAGTTTTTGTGAACCGCCAAACCTCCTTTCGTAGTGGGGGATATTGTCTAGCTCAACAAATCAGCTATATGTGCCAGCCGTCGTGGATAGCGGGAAGGCTACCTTGGAATACACTTGGCAACATCCCGTGGCGCGTATGTTATATGTCAAGGATTGTAATTCCCTACATTGAGCTCTGTTCGGGTAAGCTACCTAGCTGGTACTGTTAATCACCAATTGCAATTAGAAGACAATGTTCAAAGACTGAAACAGACAAGAATCCCAATGGCTACTTAACCTATTCATTGAGTCTATAAGTACTTGTACTCAATCCCCAAATGGAAATCACTTCTGGATAGTGGATACTTTGATAGGCTTGGGTATCCTGGTAATTTCTCTTCTTATCTATGGAACTATAGCCTCTGGTTCCTGGAACAAGAATGGCACTTACAAAGGTTGGCAAAAGTGCCATGGTCGACATACCTTGTAGGTATATAAGAGCCCGGAAATTCTACCTTCAATCACGGGCAAACAGGAAATGACCTCAAAAGTTTGAAAAAAGGGTGATACAGACGCGTCTTCTTCGAAAGTACAATGGGGATATCATTTGTAGTGCCTGAATTAAGGCAGTGAATAAAAACATTTTGAGTACATTAAGTCCGATTCAGGGTTATCGTCCCTCAGCAAGCTCGACCAGTCGATCCTCCAACAACATGGGCTCCCAAAGCTCCTTAGATTTTTTATTCTGCACCCGGAGAACATCGCCTTGCATATATGCCACAATGCCACCTTTGCCAGTCGCACTAGCTGTAATGCGAAACAACGGCAATCCGTTTTGGGGGTTTGCTTCTCGAAGTGGTAAGAGGATGAGGCCTTGCTCCACACACCAGTTCTCCACGATCTCCTTGAAAGATGGCTCCTCCAAAGCCTGGTGCTTGGGCCGGGATGCAGTGGATGCTGCGGCTGCAGCTGCTGCCCTGGCGTCGGCTTCTTCTTGTGAGGGAAGTTTCGGTTGAGCATCAGTTGTTGGACGTGAAAGCTCAGCAGCTGCACGATCGCCAAGTTCCAGGGCCTGGTGCATGGTCTGCAGGCCTCTGTTCCACTCCTCTTCCACAATGGTGAGTTCGTTGACTTCAGGTGGAATCTGTTCACGCCACCAAGAAAACCAGGTACCGACTTCCTCGTAATTCGGATCGTTGGTAAGCCAAATGTAAAGAATTTCGTGCCACTTGGGGAAAAAGTCGGAGACCAGAAGTAGACCCATGACGTTAGGTTTGAAGTAGTCCTTCCATCGAAAAACATCCTCGAGCGCAGTCAAATCTTGGTCTTGAGGGTTCACTGTGAAATCCTCACGTAGGTGACGCGCAAGACGTGGGAGCAAGTGATTGCGTAGGCATATGTCAAACTCGGAGCGCAGGGCGTCTCGCCAGAGGTCGAGTCCATTGATGAGGCCTCGGCGTAGGCTCCATGAATCCAACACCACTCTGAATTTCCTCTTGGTGTCGGACATGAGACCTGTTGGTTGTTTGGGGTTTGTGTGCCGTTCATCGAGATACTGTAGCCACTGGAAAAGCCACCAGGGAAACTGGCCATCCTGTTGACTGGAGGGGTTTCTTCGGTTGCTCCTTGGTTTCCATGCCTTTAAAGCTCCACTGAGTTTCGGTACGACTAGTTGGTCGAGGATATTTGAATGTACAAATGCCGGGATAATCTTTTTCCATGTCACAACCAATGCTGTCGCAGCTGATGGATCATAAACATCCCAATCGTTCATGAGAGCCGAGCGCACTCGAGGAAGCCAAATAGTGTAGATCATTGTCTCATAAGGCGAAGTAGATGACCGCGGGCGAAATTCTTCACTCTCGTTCCGGCGCGAAAGAAGAGGCTGAAGGCGAGTGAGGTGAGACACAAGGAAGGTAGGATCTTGAAGGGGCTCCCACTCCTCCATGGCCTGGCGGAAGAGCGGGTGTATTGCAGCAACAGCGGTCTCGGCTAGTTTGTATTCGTCCGCAATATCTCGATACTTGGATTCCATTTCTTCAAGTTTGTCAGTCATCTCATCGAACTTGGAGATGATGCTTTCGTCGTGTTCGAAGATATCCAGCTCTTCCACAGCGGCGATCAGTCCGGTAAGATGGTTCACTTTTCCTTGGTATGCGTCTAGTTCCTCCACAACCTGAGCCTCTTCGATTTCGATGAATTTCTTCCGTTCAGTCAAGCCCTTCCATTCGTCTGCAAATGCTTCTAAGTCGTTCCGAGCCCGTTGAGCGATCTTGTAGGCCTCGCCTTCTTCTTGGGTGACAAACTGCTGTGATGTCATCAATCCAGCTGTCGACGTCAAGACACGCTGTTCCTTGCCCGTAGCATCGACCAGAGATTTGAGGACATTTGGCACCTCAAGCCCTTCCATGTCGGCCTCGATCTCTCGCGCAGTTCGGAACTTGGGCTTGGCTCGTGGAACTGGGGTACCCGTGCCACTGCGACTCCCTCCCTTGCGCTCATCCTTCCTCTTCCGTCGCCTTTGTCTCTCTTCGTCGGAACTGTCTTCGATGCTTTCGCCTCGGCGCGCAGCGGCTCGTTTTTCTTCGTCGCGTGCCTGTTTGGTCTTTTCCTGGACCGCACCCAAACCTGCACCCTGTGGTCGAGCCTGCGCTTCAATTGGATTCACAATACCCTGGCCAGTAGATCCAAGACCTTGGCCTTCCTTGTAGCCCATCTTTGCCATCATGCGCGCAGCGAAAGTGTTGCCTGCGGGGCCTTTTCCTCCTCCTCCTCCTCCTCCTCTGGCAGCACCGCCTCCCCCTCTAGCTGCTGTAGTCGTGTTGGCCATATTGTTCCAAGGGTTGCGGGCTCCGCTACCTAAACCACCCATCTTAGGAGGCGACTCGGATCGAGAGGCGGCTCTTTTGAAGCCACGAAAGCCGCCAGTCGGGCGCTCGTCTTCGTCGGAACTCATGTCGTTGACCTTGCGCTTCTGGCCAGCGTAGGACGAAGGCGACTCCATAACTTCACGTTGATACCGTAAAGCAGGATCAAGTGACAGGCACCTGCAAATAAAAGAAAGATGGCTGCGAACCCGTCAAAGCTTAAGCTTGAAATTCACGTGGAGATTGGGAGATTGTCCGGGGCGGAAGAACTCACATCCGACGGACGAAAACAAGATGACGTTAAGCTCGGTTACTTCATAGCTCTAAGGTGTGATCCCTCTCTCTCTTCTTTTTTTCCCTCCTTCTTTACTTACAGTAATACCCCCCTTCCATCCAATTTCTTTTATAAAATTCACACATTCACAATGGCTGCTATTCTCGCCAACTCCGCCCGCGTTGCCCTCCGCTCGGGAGCTTCGGCCTCCTCCAAGGCCGGTGCTGCGGGCTTGACCTTTGTCCGCGGCAAGGCTACTTTGCCCGATCTGACCTGTAAGCCGAGCTTCTCAGCGCATTTGCGCTAGTATATAGTACATCACGTCCCGGATTAGCCGAGCTGACAAGAAATTTAGACGACTATGGCGCCCTGGAGCCCTCCATCAACGGCAAGATTATGGAGCTGCACCACAAGAATCACCACAACACCTATGTCACCAGCTACAACACCGCTATTGAGCAGCTCCAGGAGGCTCAGCACAAGGGTGACATCGCCGCCCAGATTGCCCTGAAGCCCGCAATCAACTTCCACGGCGGTGGCCACCTGAACCACACCCTCTTCTGGGAGAACTTGGCTCCCAAGAGCGCTGGTGGTGGTGAGCCCCCATCCGGTGCTCTGTCCCAGGCTATCAACTCCACCTACGGTAGCTTGGAGGAGTTCCAGAAGAAGATGAACACTGCTCTGGCTGGCATCCAGGGTAGCGGCTGGGCTTGGCTTGTCAAGGACAAGCAGACCGGTCAGATCGGTATCCGCACCTACGCTGTAAGTAGAATAGTGACAACTGAGCTTGAAAGTGGATTATTATGGCTGACTCCTCTGTAGAACCAGGATCCCGTTGTCGGCCAGTTCGAGCCTCTCCTTGGTATTGACGCCTGGGAGCACGCCTACTAGTAAGTCTACTCATCACACCTCAGCAAACGTCAACAGCCACTAATACCCGAATAGCTTGCAATACCAGAACCGCAAGGCCGAGTACTTCAGCGCCATCTGGGACGTGATCAACTGGAAGACCGTTGAGAAGCGCTTCTCGTAAATCATGTGCAGTGATTTAGCGAAGTAATTCTCAATATCCCTGTACTGTAGCATGTGTTTGCCAATTTAATCAGACCTATATGAAGTCTTAAACAGAACTTTCCGTAAAGTATTTCAATTATACTGCGTCCTATGTCCGTATGGTTTTAGGTACTAGGTGAATTACTAGGTAGAATATGTGCCTGACTGTGAGTAGCGAAAATCTGAACATATAATGAACATGAGCAACAAAAGTCGAAATTTCATTCCGATACTCCTAAAGTATCTACATAGACTTGATTTTGAAATCAGTGTGACATTTCCCTGCATGCGCTAAAAACCCATCCGGTCTGGGCTCAGCGGACCGCCTCGGCCCGTATGTAGTCCGCGCGCGTCATCCAGGGTCTCGACTCTTGAGCCTTCTAACCTCAACATACGACATCAGACCTCAATGAAATTTTCCGACAAACACCAAGATCCCTCCATCCCACTAACACACAAAATGTCCGCTGAAAGCCCCGGCCCGAAGCAATCCGCCTTCAAGTCATTCTTCACGAATGCCCTCCGTCCCAAAAAATCCCGCCAAACCCTTCGCAAAGGCAGCTCTCGCTCAATGACAGATCTACGCCTATCAACGTCCTCACGACCCAGCACCGCGGATGCGCCTCCAATGCCAGACCTCGCACCACTGCAGGCCCACCGCGAAAAATACAGACAAGCCCACGCGAACCTAGATACGCAACTAGGCGAGCGCAGCGATTACACCACCATCATCCACTCCATAGGCGTGCTGGACGCAGACGATAAATTCGTAGCCGCCGGGCTGGACAGCGAATACCGTGAACCAGGAGAGGGCGACATCGCAAAACTAACGCCGAATCTCTGGGCGCGGATTGCAGGGTTTCTAGATCCGGCTGATGCAGCCTCGTTGGCTATCTCTACAATCACGTTGTACCGCCGACTAGGGAAAAAGTATTTCGCCCCACTGGATGCGCCGGAAAACTTCGAATATCGGATGCGGTTCCTTGTTGGGATTGATCAGTCACTTCCGCATCATCTACTCTGTTTCCCATGTGGGAGGTACCACCGACGTACCGCGGAGGGCACGGAACGTCTCCGACCAGCTCACGTCGTTAATCCGCTCTTCAATTGTCCCGAAGCTACCAACTCGTTGAACCCACCGCCTCGACACAGAATCACACACGGCCGTATGCTCCCCTTCGCATTCGTACAGCTTATCATGCGCGCGCACCGCTTCGGCCCCCAATACGGCATCACGGCCGACACGATGAGTCGACGCTGGACACGAGATGGATGGACACATGCCTCGCGATTCGTCATTCACGAAGGCAGATTGCTTATGCGCGTTAAAAGCCAAGCATGCGCGGACCCAGACATGCCCCCATCCCTCGTCCGAATCCTACTGCATTCCCGTGAAGATTACTGGCCATATTTCAGTGCTTGCGCGCATTGGCGTGACGGCGAATTAATGCCTGCTTGTCGATGTGCGCTTGAACACATACCCAAACCCAGGAGTACGGGCGGGTTACAAGGAATGGAACATAAAGTGCGAGATAAGTGGACAGGGTATAAATTTGATCCGAATGCTTTGACGACGCTTTGTGGATTTTGTAGACCTATGCGGAGGTGTCCGGAGTGTCCGACGGAGTATTTGATCGAGGTCAAACTTACGGAGGATAAGAGTGATCCGAGGGCAATGGTGTTCCGGCAGGCTATTGTTGTTACGAGGTGGACGGACCTTGGGGACGGGACTATGCCTGGTGGGCCTCAGTGGGGGTCTATCAATGGGGTTAGGGAGGATTATGATGCGTTTCAACATCCGCATTATGCGAAGAGAGGTCTTGCTAGCATATTTGAGGCGGCGATTACAGCTGATACGTTACCGGGTCAGAGGGTTATATCGTTGAATCCGAAGAAAAAGAAGTTGGGGGAGAAGGGGCATGATTGGTATTAGGTGGACTTTGTCTTGGTATTTTACTTTCTTTGTACTTGTGATTGCGATTGGGTTTATGGGTTTGAGGTTTGGCGTTTGGTTCCAAAAATGGTTGGAGTTTGGGATATAATGAGATGGGCCTCGAATAGGTTGAAAGGATATAGGTGTAATATGAATCACTTTATCAGAGATTGACAGGGAGGCCATGAAGAATTGCAAATGATTTTATTGCATCGGATTTAGAAGCTAAATGACGATATCAAATATCTAAACGGCTTCTCAAAATTGAAGAGAAAAAAATCACCGGCATGTCTCATTGACATATAACGAAGATTGACTTCCTGGCCAGCAGGGGTGAGATTTGAGACAGCAGATACGTATCAAAGCGCTTTTCGCATAAGGCATCAGAAGAAAGCAGATGCGTCATATATCATCTTGGAGAGAAGAAGACGCTGGAACACACTGAGCCCGTAGGTCTAGAAGTGGTATACAGGGTAGGTTGGGTATCATATAAGTACATGTAAAAACAGAGCGAATTAGATCATGAGACGATACTAATACACCCTGCGAGAATGACGGCTCACATATCTTGGGCGTCGAGTAGTATCATCAGAGCGCATCGTCATCTCAGAGCGTGGACGCACGACGGGAGCATCCATTGAGTCGGGGGTATCTGGCCGCTCAGGGACGAGCCCATTATCTTGGGCAAGGCGCGAAGAGGCACGAGTGGGTTGTTCTCTGGCTTCAGATTCGGAGAAATTTTCGGCGACAACGGGGGTTGACGGCTCAGACCGTTTTCCACCTACACCCTTCATCCAGCCAAAGATTCCGAGTGAGCTGCGACGCTTGTGCTCCACGCTATGCGATGTCGTTGGCCGCGCGGAAATGGTGGCAGAGCCTGAGGAGGCATTGGTGGTTTCTTTGGCCTCCGCGAAAGATTGGTGTAGAGCTCGACGGCCACCGAAGCTGGCACCGAAGGCTTCGTTGGTAACGGGAACACTATATGAGTATACGTCGTTGGAGTTTGTGATTATTTGGGACATGGGGCGGCGGTTTGTGCCTCCCATGTTCCTTGTTTTGGGAATGATTGGGGACGGAGCACCATCATCTTCCTCATCCATGACATCAGGGGCGATCGGAGAGGATTGGAGGCGACGGGCCGCATTGGCAGATCGGCTGAAGAAAGGGGGCCGGAAGCTGAGGCGGCGTCGTTGCTCAGGTTCGGGTGATTCAATCCTTGGGGCAGGTGTCTCGGCGACTGGTTGTTCCAATACGTCCAAGGTATCCAAGTCAAGGGTTGGTACGTCGGCAACTTCGGGTTCAATTACATAGGAATCAACGCTGGCGTCATCGTGGAAAGCGGCTTGGCTGATCACCAAGTGATTGGGCTCCGCAGGTTTGGGCTCGATACGAAGGCCACGTTCTCTCTCTTTCCGAGATCGAGGGCCTTGTTTTGCGGCCGCAATCCAGTCCTGAGGTGTCAGCGGCGGTGAGTCGCTGAGTGAATCGACGGTCTGTGTATCCGACATGATGGTCTTTGACGGGCTTTGGCCCGGAGTGACCGTTGGCACCGCTGCTGCCTTGCTGTTTTGATAAAAAGGATCGTTGAAAGCGTCAACGACAAGGTGGTCAGGGCTACCCGGGCCAAGAAGCGCACTAGCTTTGGAAGCGACAGTGTTGAAAGGGAAGAAAACTGGCGAGTCCATATCCGCCGTTGAAATACGAGGGGTATCGTTGCAGTTTGGCTGCATGCTGTCTGTGATATCACTGCCGTTGAAGCTGCGTCGAGTGGTGAGTTCATCAGCTGAGCGACGACGGGTGAGTGGCCGACCAGCGAACCACGTATCACCCTTAGGCTTAGGACTCTTTCGGGCTGCAATACTCCCTTCCGAACCGTTGTTGGCCGTGACATAAGCCGTGCTCATCGTATCAGGAGTTGGGGGAAGATGAGCACCACCAAAGAGCGATGCATCAAGCCGCCCACGTCCACGGGGCTTGGTCGAGTACAAATCGCCTGTAAATGTCAATTCGCTCACTTTCGAAGCATCGGAAGCCGCCCGAGTTTGGCGTCTTCTGATGATGGTCTGGGAGTCCGTTCGTGTTTGCATCCATCGGTCGATCCGGTCCTCTTTGCTCTCCTCTCGCTCGGTTGCGGCAGCGTAGCTTTCCACGCTCTCCCTCGAAGCCTTCCGGACTGGGATATCGAGCTTATCAAAGTCATTCCATTTTGTCGGGGTATCAAAGGGGTGCAGCTCGCTGCACTCGCTGAGGACACTGAGTCGTGGGGATCCGGGTTCCAAGGTATCGGTCATTGTATGCATGCTTTCGGATTTGGTGAGTTGACTCAAGGCGGAGCGTGACTTGTTATTCTCCGGTACATAGAGGCTGCGAAGGGTGGCAGTACTTTTATTGTCATCTCGCAAAAATGAGGGAGCTTTGCTAAGCTGTCGCAATTCGGGCGACATGACAACAGAACGCGCTCTTTTGGATGACGTTCTTTCCGGAATGTCTATCACAATTTGGTTTCGTGGCGAAGCATGCGGCCCGTCGAGCACCAGTCTGTTCATAGACAGGGAGGATGATCGTCCGTTGTTCTTGAGTTGCTCGTTTTCAGCTTCCAGTTTGCAGATCCATTGGACGGCTTCTTCCACGGCTTTATCTTTCGTGTCAAGGTCCTGACGCAGCTGGCTGTTGGCTTCTCGTAGGCCTTGGTTGCATTTGTTAATCTCACGCAGCTCCATCACTTCCTCTTCCAAGCTCTGCAATCGGCTCAGCTCCGCCTCCATCGCCTGCATTCGCTCCAGCTTCTTTTCCATGGCGCCCATTTGCTGCGTGCGGTGAAAGATCTCCAGCTTCAAGTCGAAATTTAGTTTGGTCATTTTCGAAACGTACTATTGGCGTCAGCTTGGTACATGTCATTGCTCAGGGTCCAATACCTACCTGATCCATTTCCCGCACCCCCATTTCCTTCGAGTGAGGCGCATTCGGAGCGAGGAACTGACTGACTTTGCGTGCCTTCTCTGATGCGGTGTCTTCTTGTACTCGCGGCCTATCTGGGGTTCTCGGGCTTTCTGCTCCGTCTTCTGGGATGCCTCGTGAGCCACGATGCGCTCGTTCTTCCTTCAACAAGCCTTGTAGCAAGCTTGAAGTTGGATTGATTAATGTTGGAGTACCACACTCTGGCGTTCCTAGATCAACGTTAGATGCCTTCCATATTCCCAAAATAGCCAGAAATCATACTACTGTACTGTTGGGGTGGTGTCTGGACACCACCTCGCACAGGCGATTGATCGTTGAGCCAAGATCGCTCAGCGCCGTTCAGAGGCGGAGTATACATGTTGCTTCGGCCCTTGACACGAGAAAGCGACGGATGCTGAAGTCGATCGGACTGGCCTGAAGAAGTGGCCGTATTAGTTCTAACTGAGGGGGGATTTGAAATCGGACTGAGCTCGGACCAATCCACGTAGAGGACAAGGATAGACGTACTACTTCTCGAGAGAGATCTAGAGGACTCACCACGGACAGTGGGAACGTTCTCAGTATGATATACCGGACCTTTTGAGTGCGAAGGGGCCTTCTGCACGGAAGCGCTCCGCTTTTGAACTTTCTTTCCCTTCTCCATGGCTGGATTCATTATTTTTTATTTTACTTTTTCAAGTTCATGCGCATACTTGACGCACAGCGGATGCACCGTTTGGGAGGGACGCCTAGGCCCTGATCAATCAGCGTGGAGAATATCTGCTCAATGCAGGTCGAGGCGCCACTTGCATCCGTTTTTTTTCCAAATATTGGTGGAGTCGCGGGTGCAATTGGGTGGAATTTAGACAATGTATCGGATGATCCGTAATAGACGGGGGAAAAGTGCAGGAAGCGAGGGGTGGAGGAGACAGGGACGCAAATCGCGACAGATCTTGGATGAACGGGTGGAGACTGAACCAGAATCCGTGTTCCACTGGATCTGGCGATTGGAAATGGATCGCAACTGGATCCAAGGGCCGACTCCGAAGTGAGGTATCGTGAAGTGAGGGGATAAATAGAATTGTGATGAGACACCTCACATGGAGCTAAAAAGGACGAATGAGACGACGGAAACGAGAGACAATTAAAGGATCGAACTGATCGAGATTAACTTCGATCGCAAAACATCGATGTTTATTGTTGGCCCCGGGCCAAGAGACTGGAATGAAGGGAAAAGAATGGAAGAATGATAGAAGCATAATTTTTTTTTCGCGATTAGCACAGTCCAGCCCAGCCTGTACAAGTCGATCAGTGTTCCTGACATCAGACCCAATCGGGTGGTGCGCGTGGGGCGCGTCTCAGCTTCCCTTACTGTCGGGTTTTAAGGGGCACTGGTCTCATTTGGAGGAAACAAATTGAACTCTATCACTTCATCACATATGATCGCTTAGCACAGACTCTAGTTCAGTCCCCGTTTTATGTCGAAATACCTCCATGACGGTTCGGACTTTTGGTTGATATGGATCCACTCTCGTGTTCCCTCCTTATGCCGCTTTCCGCGAAACCAACCGGTAGTTTGTCGCGTGGCTGAACTAGCCCCTTTTCACTCTAAACCCGTTCGTCGTCATACCTGGACTGATCGCCTCCAGACCTGTCCACTTGCCCCGCGCTCCACGTCACATTAGAACCCACCCCTGAGACCTGTACGCTTCTCTTTTTATCGCTCCTTCCCGTGTAACTATATGGATTGAATAGCACCCAGCTTGATGGCCGAAAGACATGTGAACAAAAAGGAAAAGAAGAAAAATAAAATCGAAAACTAGTATTGTCGAAGTTAAGGCATGATAGATTTCATAACGGGCAGTCGATGACTCCAAGGACGAGCACAGCTCAGCCCAAGTCACCCCGCCACCTTCGCACGGTCTCACTTCCGCTTTGCCTCTCCAGCCCAAATCCGCATCGCTTTTGCTCGGTCGTGTGCAGCCCGGAACACTTCCATGGGTTAGTACAATCCATCCAATCATCTGGCATTCCAGAGTAAAACATACATTGTCGCTCCGTCTCGTCCAATCCACGCAAGAATTCAACACCATCCCCTACCGCTCCCCGCGGATTGTGAGCCTGGTCGGCAATTTCTGCTGCTCGGCGCTTGAAAGTCTAGTGAGGTGATGGTCAGCTGGAGTTGCACATATGGCCGGGGCAGACGAACATTGATCAGCACATCGACCAATTCTTCCTCTTCGAAGAGCTCGAGAATCCGCTCGCTGAGATTGTAGAAATGGGGTGCTAGCGCGCGCAAATCCACGGTGCGGGGATCGGCTTTCAATGCGTTTGTCACTCGCTCAGAGAGTGCCTCGGGCATATCAAGTGTGACGAGACGTGATGTGCCGATTCGGGCTCTAGAAACCACCCAAAGATGTATCAGAAGCAATGTTTCTGGCAGGTGTAGTTTCGGGGAAGTTCATCTCACGCGATAGAAAGCATTTCACCAAGCCATAGTGGAAGATCGATACGGGTCCCGGCTTTTATCTGGGCATCATTAATGAGCATTTTGATGCATTAGTATCAAAGAAACATACATCTTCACCGGGATTGCCCTCCAGGACGCCTAGTCCAGGCACCTCGAGCTCAAAGGTACATGGCAGTTTCTGGAAGCAGAAGCGTTAGCTGTAGTGCGGGGCTTTGGGCCATTCGCTGAGAGCTTTCATCTCGGGGTCTAATTTCACCTGAGCATCTGTTAATATTGAGTCAATGTCATAGTACGACATCGTGACCCATTAGAGAAATTTTTCCCTGGACCTCGAGTGCTTTGCTGTTATCAAGGCGCGTCCGCGTTCCGATTTAGATAACGCGCGTGGTCACGTGTAGTGCTATGTGGTTTTTTAGGTTTTCCACATTAGGACTTAATGGTCTTGGCAGTATCACGGATGTATCAGACAACCGTTGTCAACTTGCAATCCATGAGCGCCCTTCAAATTTTTACCTAGTCTGACTTGTTACGATTGAATGCATTATGTCTTGCAACCCCTTTTTCATCATGGCTCATTGCTTGATATGGCCAAATATGCCCGGGTGATTTAATAATCCGGACATGGTGTAGTTGGCTATCGCATCTGACTGTAATATAATTTCAGTTCATCAGAAAGTCCGCGGTTCGATTCCGCGTGTCCGGATAGACACTTTTTTTGCCTGTTCTTCTAGATTTGATTCTGTTTGGTGGCTCGATAGTGGGGTGGAAGCCGAAATTCACGAATGTCAAAGCTGGCTAGCCTAATAAGGCTAATTGGTATATCTAATTCCAGACTTTTTGGTGGTTGTGGCTTCCTGAATTCTTATTGAAAAATGTACAAGTTGATTATTGGGTTAAGAGATTCTCTTCATAAAAGACACTCTTAACAGGATAAGTGATGTGGATGAAGTGCAAGAAGAAAGGACAAAAAAAGCTATCCGGACACGCGGAATCGAACCGCGGACTTTCTGATGAACTGAAATTCTATTACAGTCAGATGCGATAGCCAACTACACCATGTCCGGATTTAATGATATCCACGTCAGTCTTTAGCATTATCAATGCCAACCAAGACATTAGAAAAAATCTAGATTGTCCCTACGTGCTCCTTACTCCCGTACACAATCCACCTATGATGCAGGTCAAAGAGCCCAACAAAGAACACAGATAACATAAATCTTTGCATTATTATATCATATCCATTATCGAATCACAATTTAAGCCATCGAAATCTTCTAGCTCAGCGAATAATTTGTATCTCCGGGCTGGTATGACAAGCTTCCAAGCTTCCAAGCTTTTCAGGCGTCATGTAACATAGTCGGCAAGCGGGCTACATAGTCCAGAACCTTCACAACACCAAACTAAATATGGAAGTCTGGTAATAAATTTTTGTGACAGCTCACTGTGGGTCTTCTAAAATCTTCCTTAAAAGGACTGGGATTTCTTCCAGACTTGCTTGAAGTGATGAAATATAATTGCGTGGAAGGATTCCCCTTCGTCAGAATTTCTTCAAATACATGCGTCAACACTAAGTAATTGTCTTGCAACACATTCCAAGTAGTCTCTCAGTTTTTAACGTCAATTGACTAGTTGATGGCATTTTTATCAAGGAGAAAATCTCTTGATTGCTTGCTCTATTCGCCTTTGGATCTATAGTAAGTTTCTCTGTTATTGGTCTTTGAAGGTATTTTGTCGAGTTGTCGCCGGAAGCGCGACGCCAGCTAGCGTCTCTGGCTGCTGAGGTAGGCAGTGGATCTCGGTGGTTCGTGGTTCGCTGTTCTAGAGCACCGAGGCCAGAATTATGCTCAAGGGAGTGTACTAAGCTCAGTAGCACCATCTTCGTCCATGAAGAGATATTCGATTCCCCATTATCAATCACATGTGGTCATCAAGTCATGGTAAAAACGAGCTTACTTATAATAAGGACAGTAATAAGAAACGATCTTTACAACACAAACTGCCAAATCCGCCTTCTGTAGCAAGCGTATCATCTGGGGGATTCACGATACTTGATCAAGTAATATCAAAGCATTTCTATACTCGTGCAATGAAAACTAGTACGCGAAGGAATTTCAGTATTCCAGTTGCTACATATAGAAGCTCCCTACATTTGCCAAAATAGCTTACTAACTTTACTGGATGCAACCGGGACTGGAATCGGATTTTCAAGGCGTTGATATCAAGTGGGTTCCATAACTCAGTTGGTTAGAGTGTGGTGCTAATAACGCCAAAGTCGAGGGTTCGACCCCCTCTGGAACCATCATAACTGGATTCATATTTGGATTTCGGTTTCTTATTATTTTTTGAATCCTTAGGATTTTATGGCTGGACAACTCCTGAATGTCGAAACATCAGCGACCGTTTACTTTGAATCAATCGCTTTCATTATCGAAAACAGCTATTGTAACACTGGAGAAAGTTAGGCAGTGCAGAAAGTATGACATTTATTAAATGACCTCTAGTTAGCCAATACAGTTCTATAGGCATCAAAAGAAAATACCAAGCGGAAGACCTGATACAGCTAAATCGCCACTTGATTTAGTGGGATCGCTTCGCATTTCTGTATCAGGTGGAATCTTGGTCTAGAATCTCTCGCTGCATGATTCTGACTAAATGACCGGGAAGGTAAAAAGACAAAAAAAAGTTATCCGGACACGCGGAATCGAACCGCGGACTTTCTGATGAACTGAAATTCTATTACAGTCAGATGCGATAGCCAACTACACCATGTCCGGATTTAATAATTAACATCTTTATTTTTAAAATTATAAACCCTAACTTTTGTAGTTCATGAAAACGATCGCTGATAGCACTCGTTAGTGGAAATGTGCCTAACAATTCTCAACAAATTGGGCCATTTGATTTGTAGAAAGAAAGGCTCCCGCTGGGTAGATGATTCAACAAAAAAAAACACCCTATTCAGATAGATTTCCACTTTTCTTTCACAGTAACTTTTAAGGTGGAAATCTCCGACGCAACTACTTTCTACGCTCACCACCACGTACTTTAACCTTTTTATCTCCTCCTCCCTCTGCCTATTGTGAATAATGTATTAATTCTTTACTCATGCGGTTAGTGCACATATGATCTTTCTTCTTATAATAAAGCTAAAATGTTTCTATGTAGTTCCTTGATGCCCTGGTGGGGTTACCATACTAACCAGTTATAGCGAAAGGGTAGCTAGACAATGAGAACCTTGGAAGAAAAGTCTAATTCAACATCATCATTTAATTATTGTAATAGCAGTGTAATCGTAAATGGCTTTCCAACCCTTAGCTCGGGCAGATGCTTGTAAACTTCTCCCGAGCTCATGACTCCGATCTATATGAACGCCTCTGAAAGATTCTTCATGGTGGGCCTAGGAATCTGAAATCCTTAACGACCTGTCGGTAGATTCATTTGGAATGCGCCTTCCAGGTGGATGTCCACAGGTTGAGTGCTCAAATATTTCCAGATGGGCAACACTCAAGTGTGTTAGGGCCGAGATATATTTTTCGTTGCCGCGGGCCAATCGAGGGCTACAACCTCAGGTGAAACAGCCCTGGAAGGCTTCAAAAGTTGAGACTTTGAAGGAAACCCGAGACACGACACACCTGGGCACCTGGGCAGCTCACCAGGATGAAAACTGATAGCATTCAAACTCGTCAAAAATAAAACAGAGGTATGTGAATGCCTGTGATCTTTTTTAACGAAAAGAGCAAAAAGTTATCCGGACACGCGGAATCGAACCGCGGACTTTCTGATAAACTATAACTCAATTACAGTCAGATGCGATAGCCAACTACACCATGTCCGGATTTGGATATAATCTGCATCGCTATTGGGCTACATATATGGACAATGTAGTCGTACAGCGAGCTGTTCCCTGTCATCTATCTGACAGGCCGGTCGAAATGATACCAATTTCAACAACTCCATGTGACAGGCCCATATCCCAGAAAAAGATCATTGTCTAGGTCGCAGAGCTGCAAGTTTCGCACGGGCGGCCTTGGAGAAGTGCTAAGCCTTGGTGATTACACACCAATCGCAGCTACAAAAAAACCCCTATGCTCTGCCTAAGTGCCGATCCTATCGGACATGCAATTGACAAAACTGAGAATCCAAACGGCCGCATCTAAAGCCCGAAAGGCTGCCTTAGCGGATTGCTTGATTTGAACCCCTGAGCGTCCCAGGACCGGGACCAAAGTACAGAGTACCGCCTTGGAATACCTTGAAACTGCCAAACAAGAAAATGATCAGCATAGTTCCACCACTTCGAGGAGATGAAAGCCTTGCAAGGATGAGACAGCTGATCTAAAAGGGTTATTCCCCCGTGGGCACTTGGCACGTTCCCAGTTCAAATGTTCTTCAGGAAATAGATTGTCCTTTAGCGCCATGCTAATGCAGTGACCAGTGGGATGACCTGCGCCCCCGGAGAATCTATATGAAGCTAAGCATCGGCTAGATATTCGCCAACCAATCGGCTTCGAACTCAACCTGCGCAGTGACGTGATGCGTCGCGACGGAGTTCGCTTCGCTTATAGTCAGTCAATCACTGCCTCAATGAGAAAAACGTGCCTGGCGCCAAAAAATGATTTCCTTCGGAATCCGAGCCTAGTCCAAGGCTACGATATGATCGATTTTCACCTCTGCACGGTGAGAAATCAATTGTTGAAACTTTCCTGAAGTGGACATCACCGAAGTATACAGCCAAATACATATAAAAAGGGGCTTGGGCCGATCTATGCAGGTAACAGCCGATCATTCTCCCTGACTTGAGCATTGATCTTCACAATGATTCTTTCTCGGTGGCTTACCTTTGCAAACCTCGTCGGTGCTGCATTTGCTGTACCAGGCAAATCGCTTGCTAAGAGAACTACTGTCGCCGAAATCTTTACTGATATTGAGGATGCCGTTACCTGTGCCGGGTGTGAGGTAAGTGCTTCTCGTGAATTGATTTCCGAATATTGCATACTAACCATATATACGTGATATAGGCCTTGCTGGTGATTCTGCAGGCTCTCGCGCATCTCGGTAACGATGACTTCGTGGATGTCATCACAGATGTCTGCATTCTGGCCGGTGTAAGTTGTCCCCACTGATGAGTAAATGTCCGCTAACATCCAATATAGATCGACGATGACGATGTATGCGAGGGCGCGATTGCTCGCGAGGGACCCATCTTGGCCCATGACCTTCGAAACATGGATGTTCCGTCTCACACCGCAACCCTCTTCTGCACCACGATCTTTGGTCTTTGTGATTACCCCGCGATTACTGATTATACGGTCGACTTCCCCTCTTCTAAGCCCGCCAATGCTTCTCGACCGACATCCAGTGGCGAGACTCCTATCCAAGTTGTTCACATCAGTGATATTCATGTGGATCTCTCCTACGAGGAGGGCGCGAAGTTTGTGCTTACCTCCCTGAATATCCTCCCCGGGGATACTGATAAGAGATGATAGTTACAACTGCACCAAAAACATTTGCTGCCGTCCGTATACCGCAGCCGATGCCCCTGGAAACACAAGTTACCCAGCTGGTGAATATGGAAACCACAATTGCGATGCTCCTCTGGACCTGGAAGAGAGCATGTATGAAGCTATCCAAACTCTTATTCCGGATGCGGCATTCACCATTTTCACTGGCGATGTCGTTGAGGGAGCAGTTTGGCTCGTTAATGAGACTGAGGTGACCAATGACCTGAATGATGCCTATAACACGCGCATGGCCAGCTACTTCAACCAAATCTACGGTGTCATTGGAAACCACGACGTTGCTCCAGTCAATTCTTTCCCCCCGTCCGACATCGATACTACCATCTCCAGCCAGTGGGCATACGATACTCTGTCATCCGACTGGAAGCAGTGGATTGGTTCCACAGCTGCAACTACCGCAGATGACTATGGTTCCTACTCTGTGAAGTACTCCGGTGGCAATCTTCGGATTATCTCCTTCAACACCAACTTTTACTACAAGGAGAATTTCTGGCTGTACGAGAAGACCATGCAGACCGACCCCAATAGTCAGCTGGCCTGGATTGTGGATGAACTCGATGCTGCTGAAACCGCAGGCGAGCGAGTCTGGCTCATGGGCCACATGCCAATGGGCTCCGGCGATACTTTCCACGACGGGTCGAACTACTTCAACCAGATCATTCAGCGATATGACGCCACAATCGCAGCTGTATTCTACGGCCACACCCACAAGGACGAGTTCGAAATCGCCTACTCGGACTACTCCAATCCCACCGCCGACACGGCCACCATGATGTCCTACATTGCTCCTGCTCTGACTCCGACATCTGGAAATCCCACTTTTAGAGTCTACTCGGTTGACCCGGTCACGTTCGGTATCCTGGATTTCCAAGTTTACTTCGCCAACATGTCGAGCTCCACATATCAGACCAAGCCCACTTGGGAGAAGTACTACTCGGCTAAAGAGGCATACGGCTCCCTCCTCAGCCCCCCTGTCACCGATAGCGCCGCCGAGCTGACTCCGGCGTTCTGGCACAACGTCACTGCCCTGTTTGAGAGCGACGATTCCGTCTTCCAGGACTACATTGCTCGCAAGTCTCGCGGATGGGATGTTTCATCCTGCACAGGTACCTGCAAGACCGAGGAGGTTTGCCAGCTCCGCGCCGCTGAAGCGCAGTACAACTGTGTTGAGATCACTCCTGGGATCAGCTTCAAGAAGGCGAAGCGTTCCACCTCGAGCAGCTCACACGAGGAAAGCGCGTGTGGAGAATCAGTCATTGGAAAGATGTTCTCGAACTTCGAGAGCACTGTGTCATCCCTAAAAACCGCCGCCGACGCTAAGTTGGGAACCAGCTTCTTGGCTACCACCGTGAACTCCACTGTGGTGTAGAGTAAGAACCTATAGTTTGATAGATGGTAGATTGAGAATCCGTCGGCATACCGTCGGCAATTTTAAGGCTGCATTTCCGCCCGAATGCTTCCATACACGTTCCATAGTAAAATCAGTCATTGGTTTGCGATCCCTGCCTGATCAGATTAAAGTCGGACTTGGTTCCTGGAGAAGAAAATTGAATATGCAATAGAAATACCAAGAGAGTAATTTAATCAAATTCATCTCGGTTAATTACTCGGCTTGACACGTGGGTCGGCAATAGGCTTGCATGACCTGACTGGTCCGTTGACGCTAATACCGACTTAGCCGGCGACTAAAGCAGGTCCTAGGCGGCCTCGGCGTCTTGAGTTACATATAAGGCTTGCATCGCGTTCAGATGAAATGGTCATTTCACTAAGAGGCGAATCGGATCCTACGAAATGGCATATTCCGTTAAGAGTGTGGTTTCTTCGTTGCTGTTGGCGGCTACCAGCCACGCTGCGGTGCTGGCCCCGACCAATGACATTGTGTTCCCCAAGGGTGATAATGTTCAGAACCCATTGATTTACTCTGGAGGAAATACTCCGTATTATGCTGGTTAGTTTTTATTGGATCGTGATTCGACACTTTGCTGATTTGGCAGGTCCCAATGTCAATGGTGTTGATAACAGTGTGCCTGACAAGTGCACCGTTCAACAGGCTGCCTATATTGTGAGACATGGAAGCCGGTGAGCTATACTCTTTTTGTTGGATGAAAGGCGTTTTGACTGATGTGGTTCTGTAGATTCCCTGATACTGGTTCTTACAACTCCTGGGTTGGTATTCAGGAGAAGGTCAGTGATTGCTGTTGCGTTTTTATACCTCGTATTAATTTTTTTGCAAGATTCAAACTGCCGTCAAGGGTGAAGGCTTTAAAGCTCGCGGAGAACTCTCTTTCATTTCAGAATGGAGTCCAGTGTTGACCAACCCGACCCTGCAAATTGCCCAGGAGTCTATGACGGGTTGGAAAGAGGTATGTTTCTATGTTTCCTCGGGTTTGAAGACAATATTCTCACGAATGATAGGCCACCGATCTCGGATACCAGCTCAGAGCTCGCTGTAAGTCATTCAGCCCTTATTTTGTTTTTCGACGCTGACCATGTAAACCAGATCCCGATTTCTACGAGGATGGTAACCCATTCTACGTGTGGGCTAACCAGTACAAGAATCCAATCAACGAGTCTCGAGTTGTTCAGACTGCTCGTGCCTTCGTCAATGGCTACCTGTACGAGTATGCCGATACCTACGGCTCGGTGGTCAGCGTGAACTCCACTGGCTCTGTCAGCGCCATTGGTAACTCCCTGGGCCCATCTGACTCTTGCCCACTTTTTGCATCCACTTCCAGCGGAGGCAACAATGTTACCGACTGTAAGTTCAGAAGATACGACCATACTCCCCGCCAGCTAAACATTTATCAGTTGATGCCACCTGGGCACCCAAGGCCCTCAAGCGCCTCAACTCACTGGTCAGCGGCAATCTGACTTTCGACGAGACCGACATCCTCTTCTTCCCCTACCTGTGTGGATATGAGAGTCAGATCACCGGTAATCTTAGCCCCTGGTGCAATGTGTTCACCGCCGACGAGCTGCGCAACTACGCCTACTCGCAGGATCTGAGCTACTACTACAGCGTGGGCCCTGGTGCTGATGGGCCCGCCCCCATTCTTTTCTTGCCTTTCCTCAACAGCCTGGTGACTCTGCTCGGTAAGGGTCCCGGCCAGACTGGTACCGGTGCGGATGGCGAGAGCTTCACGGTCCCTAACCTGATCATGGCTTTCCTGAACGATAACCAGATTGCCGAGATGACTGCTGCTATGGGCATCTTCGATAACGAGGCCCCTCTTTCCGATACCCACATCCCTGCTAATCACCTGTACAATGTGGGCCACTTTATCACCATGCGCGGTACCGTTGCCTTTGAGGCCCTGAATTGTGAAGTCCAATCGGGACACAAGACTTCCAACGAGACCTATCTTCGGGTGTTGTTCAACGATGCTGTCTACCCGATTTCCAGCTGCAAGAATGGTCCCGGTAAGAGCTGTCTCTTATCCGAGTACGCCACTCTTATCGAGAAGAAGAACAAGGCCGCTGGAAACTTCATTGATTTCTGCAATGTAACCGAAACTGGCCACCCTGAGACTGTTGCTGGAGCCAGTTTCTTCACTGATCTCTCCTTGGACTTCTTGACTTTTGTCAACCCTTGAGTAACGTGAATTCCCGTTCCTAAGTCCCATGGACGTTCCGTTTTCCTTTGTATCAGTCTGCATCCTGCATCTCCTTGCTTTGTCCTCTTCCTATCTCATTTTAATTTAGGCTTTCTCTTCCCCGTTGTACTATGTACTAGATAGCCCCGAAATCAAATTGCCTTTTTGCCAAGTAATCCTTATCTCCGCCGCGCCATTGGATATCAAATATGTTCTACGAAGTATTAATTGCACATGATCACATCATGACCGCAGCAACGCGTAATCCTCCACAGATTTCCTGGTCTAATATAGCGTCTTTGATATCGTTGAAGCGCAACTGCCGAATCACATTCACAGCAACTCCATCATCCCCAGTTCCAATGTTTGTCCGTAGATGAAAATTCCAGAAAAAAGTGGGCATTCGGGCCAGACCGTGCGCTTTTCCCCACTTCGTCGGGGCTGCAGATGTCTCGAACCAAGTCTTTTTTACGTGGAGAAGGTCCGAGACATGATGTGATGCTACTGGTTCTTGGCTGAGTTGCCTTTTTGTTGGTTCCTTGATTTCGATTTTGTCTCAGGGTGTATATAGAAAGGCCCATGGAAAGGGGGGGCCCGCCCATGGGGCTTTGTGTGACACATTTCCAAAATTAGCCCAAGCTTCAAATCCAACCTCCAAAACTGTTCCCAGCTTCTCGCTTGGAAGTGCTGAAGTACTTTCAGTGGTGAAGAGAGATAGAGGATCAGAGAGGTGACACAGATGAAACCCGCATTCGGTCCCTGTCCGGATCTGTTTCTTAGATTGTGACCCTTTCACCTAATGGTCCACTCCTTTTGATCTCTTCTGAATCGGACCGGACCTGAATGTGCGACGTGATCATGGCCTATAATGCTGTCGCCCAGGTCGAGGTGGCCTCTGAATCCGAGTCGGATCTCTCACGCAATCCGTCACCTTCCGGCTTCCAACGGGTGGTCGACCGAACAACTCGCCTAGAACCCGCTAAAACTGCCGGCCCCGAGTCCCAGTTAGGCGCTATTTACCGCTCCATGACTTCCTCCAACTACGATGTAGTCGAGGCCGATGACTACGACGCCGATCCTTCCCCCAAACATCCCCCCATTCCTCCACTTAACACGGCGGTCGCGCGACATTCCTCCCCCGATCCTCCCTTACGAAGTGCCTCCAGCGACATCCCCATTCCTCTCAGTCACCCGACCCCGGATCTGCAATCGCTACAAGGTGCCTATGCGGGCAATGTAGAGCGACTGGAACAAAGTGCAGAACGTCTGAGTTCCAGTACCGCCGATATAGCTAGTGAGATCCGCAAACTCGACCAGGAGCAAAAGCGTCGATCCTACAGCTCGGCTTCCAATTCCGTAATCATGCGGAATGGTGCATTCTCCCCGGGCGCAAGCCTTACCAGATCCCCTCATGGCTCAACCCGATCTCGATCCACACGCCAACGCTCCCTCTCCAGTGGATCCTGCCTGGCTCAGGTTGCGGAACCCGCCCATGACGACGAAGGTCACTTTCTAGATCAATTCCCCACGACCCTTCCGATCGCCCCACAATTCCCCCTTCATACCAAGAGCACCGGGCGCTTCTACGGTCAGTATGATGGTCCAGCGACTCCCGTGGCCGCAGAGGAGATCGAGCGACCCGACACGGCTGCATCGGGAGATACTTTCCAGCAAGCGCGGACACTGTTTACCGACTTCGATGGCGTCCATTTTGCCCCCTGGATCCCGCCGATCCCGGACGTCAGATGTCAATAAGTCAGCCGCCTCTGGCCAGCAAGCCGGAATTGTACAAGGAGGCCCAGGCTGACCAGAACATGGTTTACTATCCTGCGCCGGTCCCGCGCATGTTGAACCTTCCACCAAAACTGTCTCGTAGGCCACCAATTGCCGAGCGTGAGAAACGCCGTACGCAGATATTGACTGCCATCGCGGCCGAGGATAGGAAAGCGAAGTTTGGCGAGGAAGGAGCGACCGACGGTCAGAAAGACAAAAGGCAATCACAACTGCCTCAGCAACTTCGGGCAAGCGTCTTCTTTGATCCACCTAGTACTACGCTCGAGCTGGAAGTTAAGCAGGAGTCGGCGGTTGCAACGCTTGATAGCATCCTCGACGCTTCGGCACATGCGCCTGTCTCGGCTTTCACAGATCATCCTTACGCGGGTCACGTTGGATCATACGTTTATGGGCAGGAGCGGAAGACCCTTCGAAAACAAAAGTCAGATCGAAACTCTCAGTTCCCAATGGGGCAGCAGCAGAGCACCAATACAGAGATTGCGTCAGATGGCTCAGCCCATTCTGACAGCGGATTGCAACAGGAAGCACCGGAGAGCGGTCATCCTCAGAATGACTCCGAGGGCTCAGATGTGTCAGAGAATGAAGGTGATGAGCACTCGACAGAGAGTGAGGATGATGACGAGGAGTCGGACTACGTGGGACCGCCCAACACCTTACTAGCGGAATTGGAGCTGCGGAAGCACGAGCTTGCGCAGCGAAGACGTACAGTAGTCCCTCAATATACGCCTGGTATGCAGAACACGCTGTTGGAGTTAGATGCGATGGCTCAGAAACAGAGCGAGAAGAGACGACGCCGGCCAGTAACATTAGCCTGGGGTAATCGCCATGCTGCTGACGATGATGACGTTCCTCTTGCAATGTTATATCCCGAACAGGTAAATGGGGATGATCCGAATCAACCACGCGGTCTGATGGAGAAACACCATGTTGAGGAACATGAGCCCTTAAGTACACGTCGTGCTCGGCTGAGGGGGGAACCAATTCCTGAAAAACGACCTGTCACAGTTTATGCCGTTGAGAAGCCGCAACCTGCACGGGAGCCCGCCACAGAGGACGATGCGGCAGAGGACGGTGAGACTCTAGCCGAGCGCCTGAGACGATTGAAAGGACAAAATCCAGCGGAATCCGAGTTCTCTAATAATCTTCTCGCTGAATTTGACAATCGCCTCGGTTCAAACCATGCCACAGAAACTGCATCAGCCCCTCAACAGCCACCGGAGGAGGAGACTCTCGCACAGCGGCGTATCCGTCTACAGAAGCAAAGCGGTGCTCAGCCTGGCCTCGCAAAGAATCCACGGGAGCGAAGAAGCATGGCTGCCCTGCCTCAAGTCCGGCCGTCACATGTAGTCCGCAAGTCCTCTCACGACGTATTCCAGCAACCCAAACCGATGCAGCAATACGGAAGCCGCATGTCCCTGCAGCAGTTCCCGACCAGCATGGGGTACCCAACACATGCAAACCCAGCGAGTCAGCCACCCCCACCACCGTACAGCTATGGACCGGGCTACCCACCTCCCTATGGCTATAATAACACCATGATCGCCATGCATAACATGGGTTACCCAATGCCTAATGCGTGCGGGCCGACCATGACCCGCCAGCCTGTTGATCCCAATCAGCGGGATGTCATTGACCGATGGCGGCAAAGCATTCGCTAAGCCTTTTCCTTTCCTTCTCACTTGATTCCTATTTTTAATTGCATCATCATAGCGTCGTCGTTCTGGGTGTACTCTTGAGCTTTTTCTATCCTCTTTTCGTTCTTTTTTTCTTGCTTTGGAGGAAAATCCATGTAAAGTAGCGCATTTTGTATGATCTATCGAGGCGATTTGGTCTCACCCGCATTCTTATCGGGCAGCATTTTAGAACTTGTTTTTGCATATTCATGTAGCTATTGAATCCAGTCATTTATCAGGATTTTCAAATACCGGGTACCCATTTTGTATGGTTTAGTTTTAAGGTTGGAAACACCATCTCAGACCGCATGGAATGGGTAGTCCACTGACTTACGAGTCTAATGACCCCACGCTCGATTGTAATCAGCTAGCATCGAAGATACCGTACATTGGAGGGTTACATCTGCTGGCTAGCGTAGCTCACTGCCATGATTTTGACCAAATTGTGCCCAATGAAAAAGTACGTCCTTTGCCCGACTAAGCCGTTGTTCTCAGAGCCTCATAGGGCTAACTTTCCTCCTTTGGGCCACGTCACTTCAACCTTTTATCTCGAGGCCTAAGCACCCTGTCAATATATCTTTCGCTAGTCTTTACCGGTTTGTATGTCTAGGTCACTATTGAACACGTCTGGCGTGTGAAGTCTCAATAAAGGGTAGGAGTCAAGTTGTTGATGAAACTTACCACTATTGAACGCCCGTTCAGTCAGAATATATTCCACCACCCCACCTGGGCACGACCTATCATCATGCCTATGAGGCATTTAACACTCATATGTCCATATATAGTAAGGGATGGAGACAAGAAGTGAGATGACGCGGCTATGCTCCACATGTTTTTGAAAGCTTGGCCCCCAATGGGTTGGACTAGTCTAAGTAACGCTAACAATCACGAGCTGTGTTATCTTGTTCAAAAACCGACTATTTATTAAGTACGTTGTCGTTTGGCCAAAAAATCATAAGATTTTCAGGACTCTGCCAGGGCTATACATCCTTTTACGCCAATTGAACATCTCGAGAATACTCAAACGCTGATCTGACCCATCTGGTCGCTACCGATGTCTTCAGAAATATCACTAGATGTTCTGGATGATGCTATTCCAATTGGGAGTGAGCGGCCACCCCAGGATATGCCACTAGTCTTGATTCTATCGGCCATGGGTGTTGCTGGTGCTTTCGTGAGTTCAAGCCGGAATTTCGACTCCCTTTTCTGGCGATACTGATTAATGTAAGTTCTTGACGGATGGCACCATCACTGCAACCCTTACAGCTCTGCCAAGAGAAGAAAAAGGCACTCCTCGACTTAGCTTCCGGCAATCATTTCTCGGTCTTCCAATTTTCATCTTTCATCGCTTAGCAAAGATTGCTATCCTTTCCCAGTTCTCGGTGAAGGGCTCAAGTCTGCTAAACTGCTTCCTTTTGAGCATCATGGCAGAGCTACCCCTTTCGACACTTAAAGTAGCCAATGTGCATATTATCTTGTCTAAACTTTCGAGAACCCAGACGTTATCGCCTTTCCGGTGCATCTTCAGTGCATCAATATGGTTTAGGATCTTTCCAGCCGCACTGCTTCATAGCATCTGCTCAGGCACTTGCTTTTACTTTTCCCTTTACGTTAGCCGTTTATTGTTCATCGAAATTGGCCAAGTCGGGTACGATCATGGCTGGAAATTCGGAATGATTGCTGCATTGATTGCGGCTCTCTATTTTGGGGCTGTGGTACCCTCGTATGCTGTTTTCGTTCGAGTGGCTGGCTCTACGATACCGGTACAGAGGGATTCGGGATACTTAGTGGATAAAGATATTAGTATCTACGGAGCATGGCAGAGCTTCTCGTGGTCAGGTCGAATTGGGTTTTTTAAATTGCTTGCTGATGTCCTGATGATGGAAATATGTCTGGGGTTCGCGATGTGTGTATTTGTACTTATGCTTTTTCACCCCGCGATACATAGCGATGTTGCGCGGTTCTTTGCGAAGTATGCTGGTTAGCTTGAACTAGCCTTGGAAGTCAAGAATAGTGCTTTGGCGGTAGTATGGATTTCATCGGTCTACTTGAGACGACTGCTTGAAATCTCTAACGCATAATGAGCAAGGGGGGAACTCAGGCAAAAGAATGTTCTTTGCCTGAATAGTTCGAAATGTGATATCGCATGATGGGATTGAGGTCGAGATCGTCGCGTGAAATGTAAATACCAGCTCGACAGAAATTCGGCTTCTTTTGGCCAAATAGTCCGATGGGGGACATGATAAAATCCTTCTCGTGGTTGCAGCATGGTTGTAGAGGTAATTGATGAAGATCTGAAGTCCACGTTCTATGACCAGATGGATGCAAGGGCGAATGCGAAAGTAAATATCGACCCGAGCTGAAAGCTTTCGATTGGTGTAACCCTACTTGACTAACCTTGGAACCGAGCTTACGTCTTGATCTTTCATTTACTCCTCACCTTCACTTCAATTTATAATTTATGATTCTGTTGCTTTGGAATGACCATTAGGGAGTTGTCTCGATTTACTTTCACTCTACTACTTAGCCGCTGTGAAGCTCAACGCCGAGTGGGCCGTTGCAAGCCCCACTAGCGCCTGGTATGTGAGACTGGAAGTCCAGCCCTCCTTTCCACTAACACCAGCCCTCCACAGGTACATTTGACCGCGATGGAGTCCAGAGTCCCCCTAAAACATACCACGGCTTATAAGAACGCCGCCACAGGCTCTGGTCCCACGACCAGAATGCCCTCATCCACAGTTTTCTCATACTGGCGGCGCGACCATCGCCGCTCAACGCCGCCAGCTTCTTTCCCAGCTCTGTCACCAGCCTCTCCCAGCGCAGGAGAAAACCCACTCAGCCCCCCACGGCTCCCCGAGATCCCCGATACTCCGACCTTCACGAGCGCATTCGACAGCAACCCTTCATACGATGCCCCGCCCTGGAGTGATTCGCCGTTGGAGAACGATGCCGCAAAGCTAAACTTTACCTCCTCCACCGCGCCGCTGTCCTCCTCCGTTAGTCTCGCTGTTACGTCCTCCTCGGTCGAGAGAGACAATCGCCCTCACTCGAGTCCGGAAGAGCTCGTCCCCGAATCAACTTTTACGTCGCAAGCAAACAATTCACAAATTGAGGTGACAGGATTGCGGCCGGACCAGGGCGATGCAGAGGCGAATTTCAAGCCTACCTCGCCATTCCGCCTTTCTCTCGGGAAACAGCTGAGGAATTTTCAGGCGCCGGCCGTTGAGAACCAGAAGCGGTCGTCCACGGCGGGATTGGGGGCCAGTCAATTCCGATTGAAAACCTCACCCGAGGAAGTGCTGGTGGACAAGCCACATACATTTCAGAGGGAAGTCAGGCAAGATGGTGCTTTATCAAGAAGAACTGCGGACCGCGAAGTCTCGGTTGAGCACGCGCACCACAAATCCGGCAAGGCAATGCTTCATCTTTTGAACCCAATGTCGCTTCTTGCGCGTCGTCGGTCTTCGCAAATTGGTAGCTCTCGCGTCGAGGATGCTAAGCTGAACGCGCCCAACTTGATACCTGCTATCCCGGATGATTATGACCCCCGAATTCGTGGAAAGATTGTCCATGATTTTTCTGCTCCTCGGGCTCGACGAAATGTGTCAGGCAATTCAACTACGGCCGATGGGAAAAACCCCAATCCACAGGATCCATCACTGCAAAACCATACAAGTCCTTGGAATGATAAGTCCAAACGACACAGCGACCACTCTCCTGTATTCAGAGAGCATTTTGAGGAAGATCAGAATGTGCTCCATGTCGAAAACAAGGGCTATCTCCAGTCATCACTGCTGACGAACCCAGCTCAACCGGGATACGAGAGGTCAATCCCGGTTTTTGCGCGAAAGTTCCCCTCTACGGCACCGGAACAAAACCCAAGAACTGGCGACAATTATGAGAATCTCCCAGTAGAACTTCCTGGGGATGATGGCCTAGTCGAGCTTCCTGCAGAGGTCCCGCCAGAATATAAAACTCACCCACCAAAGGGAAGCCCGCTCACAAGTCAAAAAGATCAAGATATCATCCCTAAGGTGCATCCTGCAGGTTTGCCTAAGCACCTCAAAAGCAATGCTTCTTCAAGGTTCAGCTTTGATATGGGGGGTGTTGAATCTTCCGTACAGGAGAAGCTCCTCGAAGAAAAGCACAAAGCGAAAGAAGCTGCCCGAAAGCTGGATGATGGATACTTTGACGACTTTGATGATGAATACGACCATGACATGATGGATGACATGGATGACCTCGAAGAAGAGATCCCCGAAATCAGCGCTGACTACGACGAAGACTACGCGCCTCCTGTTCCTCAGAATATAAATGGTGACCTGAAGTCTTGGGCCGCGCCTGGGCTTTCACCTGTCGTTGCGAGCCCTATTACACCTGCGCCGCCTTCTGAGATCCCCACCAACCAGTATTTTAGTGAAGATAAAGTGATGCATGAAGAGAATCAAGTATCTCAAGGCCAACCTATCATGGAGAATTCTCAGCAACTCCAAGATGACGACATGCAGACAATCGTTGATGATGACGACTTGTATTTCGACGATGGTGAATTTGGGGATCTTGACGCTGACGACCAAGATGGCGGTTTTGACGAGTCCATCTTCGATGACGAAACTAGTCATTTATACGAACGAAAAACGGTCAATAAGGAGACCACCCAGGAATCTGAAAGTGTTATCCCTGAAGAAGATAAGCGCTTGGAGAAAGACATGCTGTTGGATGAAGATGCCATCCAGGGCCTTAAGCACATGCCTAGCGTGGCAAGTGAATACCAGATGGGTCCCATTAAGCGTGGGCCCCTTGGTGAACCAATACCTAACATGGGGCCTGCTCGAGCTCATGGTGGTGTTCTCACGGAGCAAAACCTGGAGGTATTACACAATGCCCTGGAATTCGCAGCCAACGAAGCAGTGGCCCAAGTTCAATTCGGGCGCACATTGAGCACAGGTGAGAGATCTACGGGTCAAGATAGTATACCGCAGACATCGCATACTGGCGATTCACAACCGGGGCTGGTTTCGGACGACAGCCGCCTCAGCCAAGCAGCGGATACGATGGGCTTTGATGATGTCTTCGATGACGATATCTATAATGACGATGCATACTACGATGATCCAATCGTGGCTGCAGCCAATGCCGAAGCGCTAGAAAACGACGATGAGGGCTTCTACGGCCAAGAATTTGGCTTCTATGCCCAGGCGCATGGCACTTCGGAACTTACGAACGGGGGTTATTTTGGCCCTCGAGGAGTTGAAGGCATCAGCCGCAGCTTTAGCAGCCGTGGGAAATTCCAGGAACCCAGCTTGACTCCGATCACCGAACGCAGTGAATGGAGCACCCGCAACTCCCTCATTTCGTTGAAGGCACATGGTGCCGCCCATTCGAATCCATCGCTTGCTAGCCCGGGCTTGGCCCAGCTGGTCGACATGGGTAACTTGGACGACGAGATGACACTGAGCGCTCTCCTAAAGCTGCGGCGTGGTGCTTGGGGTGGAAGCAATGGTAGTCTTCGCAGTAGCGCTGGAAGTCCGCCGCCTCATACCCTCACCTCTTCAAACCGCGGTAGCTTTACTGGACCCTCGGAAGCTGCTAGTCCTTCTGAGGCTAGGCCTTCTACCGAGGAGGGTTTAGCGGGCATGATCGATCACCATGACGACCATCTTTCATATATGGCTTCACCGCTCAAAGTCACTGGACGGCAAGATGCCGATCTCCCGCATAGCGGAATTGACGGCCCGATCTACGCTGATATCGAGGAGGAATTGCCGAATTCCGGCACTCAGCGCCTCAACGTCTTGTAAACTTGCTCTTCCTGTCTTTCCCATTCCCATTGAACATAAACGCCAGTCATTTGGCTCGCTCGTTGCATATGGATTGGCTATTTTTCGCTCTCTTATGATGTAATGACTTACCCGAGTATGTTTCTGGTTGGCGTTATTCTTTGATACACCTTCCAGGTGGCCTACTCATGTTAATATATGAAATTTGGATGCTTTCAGCATGACTATAAACTGCCGAGGCTCCTATTTGTATCACCATTGACTGCCGTCATCGTAAACCACCAGCCTACGATTGGGCCGAAATCACCCGCAAAACACCGAAATGCTTAGCCGGGCAGTGGATCGCTGTGGCTCACAAACCGGACTCGCCGCGTCTCAGTAACGTAAACCGGCAATGAGCCGGGCTGACTCAGCGCACCAGCCTCATTCCAAGCAGGTTCCTCCGAGTTTAGCTGGCTCCCCTTCTTCTCCAATCTAAACCCTCTTACCCCAGTTCTTCTATTCAGCAGAGTTTCTGCTATCTAATGAGTTCAGACTCTATATAGGTGCTACGGCAATAATAGTCGACACCTAATTTGCGCAAATTAATCCTACCTGTACGTGTTTCCGTCGCTTCCTTTGCTCCGTCGGTACTCTCGGCAGAGAACAACAGCCTGTCAACTTCGGTGGCTAACATGCGCGTGACTAGTAGATCGGTCTGAGATTGCCCCTACTCCAGCTCAGTCTGAGACTTAAGCTGTTTCGCTTTCCTCCTTTCCCCCTTTTTCTCTGAACAGTCCCGGCTTCGTCGGAATCAAATCCCGCAATGTTCAGGAATACCGCCTTGAAGGCCTCTCGGAGGTCCTTCAACCTCACCTCGAGCGCTCGCTACGCCTCTAAAAACCCTGGCTTCAGCCTTGCTGCTCGTCGTCCTCTTGCCGTTGTTAACGGTGCCCGCCAATATGCTTCTGAGGCGACAAAACCTGGTGTGGTAAGCTTGAATCGGCCCTTGAAAAAAAAAATTCCAAAGCGAAACGAAGATTTCAAGAATGCGCGATTGAAGCGCAACCGAGTTTTTTGACTAACGCGACAGCGCGACTTTCTAATTAGGACTCCAACGATTCTTTCCTCTCGGGTAGCACTGCCAACTACATTGATGAGATGTACCTGGCATGGAAGCGTGACCCGTCCAGCGTCCACATCTCATGGCAGACCTACTTCAAGAACATGGAGGAGGGCTCCATGCCTATGTCCCAGGCCTTCACTCCTCCCCCTACTCTCGTTCCCACCCCCACCGGCGGTGTACCTCAGGATATGCCCGCCGCTGGCCTCGCCGGTGGCACCGATGTCACCAACCACTTGAAGGTTCAGCTTCTTGTGCGCGCCTACCAGGCCCGTGGTCACCACAAGGCCAAGATCGACCCTCTCGGTATTCGCGGAGAGGCCGAGGCCTTCGGTTATGACAAGCCCAAGGAACTTGAGCTCGACCACTACGGTTTCACCGAGCGCGACTTGGACCAGGAGTTCGCTCTTGGACCCGGTATCTTGCCCCGTTTCGTCACTGAAGACCGCAAGAAGATGACTCTCCGCGAGATCATCGACTCTTGCGAGAAGATCTACTGCGGCTCCTACGGTGTCGAGTACATTCACATCCCCGACCGTAAGCCCTGCGAGTGGATTCGTGACCGTTTCGAGATCCCCGAGCCCTTCCGCTACTCGGTTGACGACAAGCGCCGCATCCTGGACCGTCTCATCTGGAGTTCCAGCTTCGAGTCTTTCCTGGCCACTAAGTTCCCCAACGACAAGCGTTTCGGTCTGGAGGGTTGTGAGACCCTTGTGCCTGGTATGAAGGCTCTGATCGACCGCAGTGTTGACTACGGCATTAAGGACATTGTCATTGGTATGCCTCACCGTGGTCGCCTGAACGTTCTGTCCAACGTCGTTCGCAAGCCCAACGAGTCCATCTTCAGTGAGTTCGCTGGTTCTGCCGAGCCTTCCGATGAGGGTTCCGGTGATGTCAAGTACCACTTGGGCATGAACTTCGAGCGCCCTACTCCCTCCGGAAAGCGCGTGCAGCTGTCTCTGGTTGCCAACCCTTCTCACTTGGAGGCCGAGGACCCCGTTGTCCTGGGTAAGGCTCGCGCCATCCAGCACTACAACAATGACGAGACCGAGTTCAACACCGCTATGGGTGTTCTGCTCCACGGTGATGCTGCCTTCGCCGCCCAGGGTGTCGTCTACGAGACCATGGGATTCCAGTCTCTGCCGGCCTATTCCACTGGTGGTACCATCCACATCGTCGTGAATAACCAGATTGGTTTCACCACCGACCCCCGCTTTGCCCGTTCCACCCCTTACTGCTCGGACATTGCTAAGGCCATCGATGCCCCCGTCTTCCACGTGAACGCCGACGACGTCGAGGCCGTCAACTACGTTTGCCAGGTCGCTGCTGACTGGCGTGCCGAGTTCAAGCGTGACGTTGTCATTGACATTGTTTGCTACCGTAAGCAGGGTCACAACGAGACTGATCAGCCCTCATTCACCCAGCCTCGCATGTACAAGCGCATTGCTGAGCAGCAGGCTCAGCTCGACAAGTACGTCGACAAGCTGATTGCTGAGGGTACCTTTACCAAGGAGGACATTGATGAGCACAAGAAGTGGGTTTGGGGCATGTTGAACGACAGCTTCGACCGCTCTAAGGACTACCAGCCCACCGGCAAGGAGTGGCTCACCTCCGCCTGGAACAACTTCAAGACCCCCAAGGAGTTGGCCACTGAGGTCCTTCCCCACCTCCCTACCGCAGTTGGCGCCAACACTTTGTCCGCCATTGCCGACAAGGTCAGCGGTAGCGGTGCTCCCGATGGCTTCACTCTCCACAAGAACCTGAAGCGTATCTTGGCCAACCGCAAGAAGGCTGTTGACGAGGGTAAGGGTATTGACTGGGCTACTGCCGAGGCTCTTGCCTTCGGTTCCCTTGTGAACGAGGGTTACCACGTCCGTGTCTCCGGACAGGATGTTGAGCGTGGTACCTTCTCTCAGCGTCACGCCGTCCTGCACGATCAGGAGAACGAGGCCGTCTACACTCCCCTGCAGCACATCAGCGACAAGCAGGGTAGCTTCGTTATTTCCAACTCCTCTCTGAGCGAGTTCGGCTGTCTCGGTTTCGAGTACGGTTACTCCCTGACCTCCCCTGAGGCTCTCGTCATGTGGGAGGCCCAGTTCGGTGACTTCGCCAACAACGCTCAGTGCATCATTGATCAGTTCATCGCCTCCGGTGAATCCAAGTGGTTGCAGCGTTCCGGCCTGGTTGTCTCTCTACCCCACGGTTACGACGGCCAGGGTCCTGAGCACTCTTCCGGTCGTATGGAGCGTTGGTTGCAGCTTTGTAATGAGGAGCCTCGCGTGTTCCCCTCTGCTAATAAGCTCGACCGCCAGCACCAGGACTGCAACATGCAGATTGTTTACATGACCGAGCCCTCCAACTTGTTCCACGTCCTCCGTCGCCAGATGCAGCGCCAGTTCCGCAAGCCTTTGGTCATCTTCTTCTCCAAGGCTCTCCTGCGTCACCCCATTGCTCGCTCTGACATCGAGGCCTTCACCGGTGACTCCCACTTCCAGTGGATCATCCGTGACCCCGCTCACGAGACCGACGCCATCGAGGCCCCCGAGAAGATCGAGCGTGTCATCATGTGCTCTGGACAGGTCTATGCCGCCCTGGTCAAGCACCGTGAGGCCAACGGTCTCCGCAACACTGCCATCACCCGTGTTGAGCAGCTGCACCCCTTCCCCTGGGCTCAGCTCAAGGAGAACCTTGACAGCTACCCCAACGCCAAGGACATCGTCTGGTGTCAGGAGGAGCCCCTCAACGCCGGTCCCTGGTCTTACGCCCAGCCCCGTCTTGAGACCATGCTCAACTCCACTGAGCACCACAACCGCCGTCACGTCCTGTACGCTGGTCGTGCCCCTAGCGCCTCCGTCGCCTCCGGTCTCAAGGCCGTCCACTTGAAGGAGGAGCAGGACTTCCTCGAGGATGCTTTCTCCGTCCACCAGGAGCGCCTTAAGGGCGAGTAAATGCCTTTCATGACTTGATGACTTCGGTTACACCCGGGGCATACTGGTGTTGAACGGCATGCTTTTCCTATGTTCATTGGTTCGCCGAAGCTAGCGTCCGATTTCCTTTGTACCACCTTTTTTCTTATTTGCATGAGTATTCTTTGTTCTCGACCATGGTTTATACGACCTGTCTTGCTATTGCTCGACTCTTGGCCCGTCTATACCTAGAATCATGTCTGTAAAATACAAATTTCATTCAGTTGTTGCATTTGAAATCTTTTCATCCTTATAAACAGTATTCTTTGGTACAGACGCGCTCAAAATCCGTTTCACCTCTACTTTTTTCAATTCTCTCTCGAACTCTGTTAATGGATAGTCTACCCCTGACCCACACTCTTGGCAGTATCTCAGTACGGTGACAAATATCACGGTTGTATTGGCTATGCCCTATCTAGAACTACTATATTGAATTCATCTTGACAATACACTTACCCTCGACCCCGCGATTACAAATAGATAGCAATGATCCCAGAAATAATCGGGTGATCACCCATCCATGGTCATCTGGCTTGCATACTGGTTCATTGTACCGTCTATCATGTATTCTCACAACAATTGCGTTTTCGCGAAGCCCAACCACTCTCACACCTATTTGTGCCCTCTCACACTATGCCCAGAGTGGAAAAGACCTCTGCAAGCGCCCGCAATGGGCCTAACGCCGAAGCTGACGTGATCTCAATTCGAACCTTAAAAAGCTTTAGGCTGCCATCTTGCATAGGAATTACCTTGACACCCTCTGAACTTCGTGATGGAGAAAGAAAAGCCCACCTCTACATATCAGCCTCGAACATGGCCCCGGAGGACTGTCGTATGGATGGCAGCAGCTGTGGGGATAGTGGGTCTGATAAGGTTCGGTACATTCCCTACTCCAGCGCTACGCTGGGCGTTCCGGGACGATCTTCAAGTCCATGACTCGCCTTACGGATCATTCCCACAAGAAAACGACCCGTTCCAGTTCCTCCCCTGCACCAATGCCAGTCGTCCGCCGCCACCGGAAGACCCTTCTCCGCAGCAATCATGGGCTGCTCTCTTTGATCCAAATCCCAACCATTGGAGCTGGGGTAGCGCGGGCCAGGGCATCTACCTTTGTGGATACCTAGATCTCCCACTCGATTATCATAACTCTTCAGATCCTCGTATTGTCCGCATTGCAGTCACCAAATTCCAGGTCGCGGGTCTGGCTCATAGGAATGATCCCAGGATTTCACCCAAGAGCTATAGGAGTGAGCGCACTATCATTGTCAACCCAGGGGGCCCGGGAGGAAGCGGAACATCTTTCGTTTGGAGGGCTGCGGAGGAAGTAACAAACCGCTTTAGTGACGGTCAATTCGATGTGCTAGGCTGGGACCCCCGCGGTGTTAATTTTTCCCTCCCCGCCGCGGCATGTTTCCCTCAAGACAATTTCCGGGACCGATGGTCACTCCTGGCACTTCGATATCGCGAGGAGGCACCAAAGGCCCAATTGGAAGCTGCAGATGCCATGAACAACGCCACGTTCTTTGCCTGCCAGCAGCGGCTGGGGGATCTTGGCCGCTTCGTCAGCACGGCATCGGTAGCACGCGACCTAGACGAGATCCGAAAAGCCCTTCATGAAGAAGAAGTCACTGGATACTTAGTTAGCTATGGAACGGGTATTGGCCAGACATATGTCAATATGTTTCCTAACCGAGCGGGCCGAATAATTCTCGATGGTACGGAATATGTCAGGGATCATCGCCTCTTGGGTGGCTTTGGCTGGACGGCTCTCGATAATGCGACAGACGCTTGGCGAGACGGGTTTTTAGGCGAGTGTCTCAATGCCGGCCCAGAGCATTGCGCATTGGCCAAACCTGTTTCTAACCAGGACGGCCCTGTCACCCTCGCACAACTGGAAGCGCGCATGACCCAACTACTTGAGTCGCTCAAAGTTCGCCCACAATCCGCGTATACGGAATCAGGCGGCCCATCTCTAGTCACTTACTCGGCACTCGTGGATAGGGTTCTCTATCCGATCATGTATAAGCCGATGGACTGGCCGGATACTGCACAAATGCTCTATGAGCTCGAAGCAGGGAATGCGACTCTGGCAGCCAAATCCATAGACCTCTCGTGGAGCGATCATTCTGAGAAGCCATCATGGCCTCACACTCCAGATTCTAGTGAGCTCGAGAACCTCGTGATCTGCTCCGATTCCTACGATGCGCCTCTTCCAGACGGACTCGACTGGTGGGATCAGTTATGGAAAAACATGTCTACCCAGAGCTGGATAGCTGGCAACTCTCGTTTCTTTGCAGTTCTGCCTTGTCGATATTTCAATACCTATTGGGCCCCTCCTTCGGAGGTGTATCGAGGCGATCTGAACCACACTCTCAAGACCCCTACCCTGCTTATCGCTTCCACGTATGACCCTGCAACCCCATTGCGTAATGGAAGAAGACTCAGAGCCGAGATGGGCCAAAATGCCCGGTTGATTGTTCATCATGCTTACGGACATAGCTCTGGACGTGATATATCGAATTGCACGGATGGAGTTGCTAAAGCTTACATTCTCCATGGCACTATTCCGAAAGAACAGGAAACAAATTGCTATGCCAATGAAAGGCCTTATATTCATGGTGATGTCGGCGAAGAATAGGTCTGGCTTACTTGAAGCCCTGCTGATATCTCTGCATATGTTTGCATTCGGCTCATAGATAATGAGCGTTCTTAACATGGTTAACGACGTCATTTTATTAAGATTAAATAAAGCATTTCAAAAGCCTTGATTAAGTATACTCTGCTAGGTATCATCAGTCTTATATTCCCCCATGTTTCACTCATCTATTCAGTATGTTTGATACTTGTGCTGTATGGGACAGGGCCAATGTCCACCTCCTTCCAAGTCAACAAAATCGGCAGACTACGCTTCCGTAGTTAAGGTCACAATGACCTTGGAACTAATCACTTTCGTCCCGAAATCGGCTTAGCTAATACACATTTACCAATCATTTTCTGAGCCGCCATAAGGCTTTAGCACAGGTGGATCAATTAATGAGGGGGTCGTATCAAGTTGGACAAAATATCACTCTACTTAGTACTGGATTTTGTTTCGTAAAATTCCATGACCTCAAAAGTCAAAAAGTGAAGCTGATCTTAACGGACCCTGTAGTAGACAGCGTGGATGTGTAATGGCCAGTTGGCAGCTGAGACAAAGTCACCTTCTAAAGTTGATTAAGGTCTTTCTCCCTCCAGGGCTAGACAGACACCTGCCCAGGTGTATACAATGTATAGTCCCTGGACAGGTACCTCGTGTATAGTATGACATCATTAAAAAAGTTCCCAATATTGTGACTAAGCCATGTTGATGCCTGACTCCGCTGGCGAAAACTCACCTGATCTAATGCGCTCTTCTCCGCACGCAAACTTCCGACTGCTGACCCTCCCTCGTCGTGTCTACTCGTGCTGTGCGAGGTATCGCAGGCCTTCATGGTGATAGAGCTTTTACCCCAACAATTGATCTTTCACAACCTACTCTGATTTCTTCGGATTGGACCAGGAGCACTAAAAAAGCTCCTGCAACGGTGCAAACCCCAGCTCAACCACAGCCTTTCCACCATGTCCACCGTCTCGTCATCAGCTATGAATCCCCAGGGCCAGGGGATTCGCCAATCTGCCCGCCAAACCCGTACAAATCCATCCCGCACCTCCAAGACTGTCGGTCGTTCCTCCTTTGGCTATGGCCGTGGCTCGACTGCTGAGATCCCCTCCACTCCCCCTGTGCCTCATGGCTTTTATCCTGCCCTCACGCACTTTACCGACGCGATAACCGCACTCCCACGCGAATTTCGTCGACACAATTCGTTATTGAAAGAAGTGGACGCTAAAGCGTGGGCACTGGAGGAAAATTTGTTGCAGCTGCTTGAGCTTTCATCAGTGTCGCAACCCATACCTCATCCCCCCCACCCAGCTCCTATTGTTGCTGGCGTGGTGCGTGAGGATGTAATACCACATGTGAGTTGATATCACTGGCTTTATGAAGTTTTGATTGCGAGATGTATACTAATGTCACTTCCCCTCTGTAGGAGCTTTCTCAGTCCGAATCGCTCGACAGTAAAAACCGTCGCCTCCTCTTCGATCGCGTGCGCCAGAGCCTTTCCGATCTCATGATGACTGCCGATGAAAAGAACCATGTCATTTCCAATGCGAACGAGGAATTGGACCGCCAGGTCATACGCCTGGATACCGTGTTTCCGTACATTGCTGGTGAGATTAGCGAGGAGGCTCGCCTGGGTAGCTTGACGCACTGGGCATACTCAAATAAGAATGCCGTCAAGACGGCGGCCAACGAGCGTCCACGCCGTGAAGCAGTATCGCATAGGCAGGACCTGTCGCATGCGCTCCACGAGGCTGAACCGGCTAGCCGCAGCGAAGTACGGCGCGAGGCTCTTGCACGGAAACCACGCCGGGTGAATCCTGATGCGGACTATGAAGATTCTCGTGGGGCTCGAAAGACAGCCACTACGAAGTCTCGTGGGGATAACGCGGGGACCGAGCAAAATGCTACTGCTAAGCGCCGGAGAGTGGACAAAGAACGACCTCCCGCTATCGATATGGGTACACCAATGGAGCGTACTGCCAGTGGCGCGACCAGCCAGAGAGCCTCGGCCAAAGATGGAGTGGAGAAAAAGCGGTCTCGCGCTCCCAATGCTGGTACCACTGCAGCTCGCAAGAAGTATGCTTTCACTCTTAATGCGTCTGTTTTGTTTGTACCATTTCTAATTATTTCATCTCAGGACCAATGCCGCTTCAAATGCTGGATCCCCTGTCATTCCTCCCTCACCTCTTATCGGGACCTTCACTGCCCCACGTGGAGGAGCTGGCAGCCCCGGACCAAACCCAGCACGCCCGCAATCCTCTCGAACCCAGCAGACTGCGGGACAAACCAGCAATTCCAGACAAAGGCCATTATCATCTGCGTCCAATCGCATTGGTCAGCCAACCGGTATGTCAATTAACCTGATCTCTACGTGTATCATGTCTAATCGTATTTTCCTTATCTAGCCAAATCCGCCGACCCCAGATCCACACCCCGCGATGGCCCCCTCAAGATTGAAGCAATCAACAACGACACAAGCCGCAACTACGAAGGCGAAGCCGGTATGCGAACGTCTGCACCAACAGGGAAACAGGACGACCTGGATGGACGACCCGCCGATGCTCTCGAGACCGAACCCAAAGGCCGAAACTCTAAGACCTCCACACCATTACTACCAGCCTTGGGAGAGCCTGCGCAGTCTCGCTCCAGACCAACGCGGAGTACAGACCCTGCGCCCAACAAGCGCAATGCCAAAAAGCCGGTCGTGCCGGTACCGGCGATACCATCTGACGAGGAATCCATCCACGAGGGCGACGACGAAGATGAAGATGGCGAGCCCCGATACTGCTATTGTAATGAGATCAGTTTCGGCGAGATGGTCGCCTGTGACAATGATGCCTGTCCACGCGAATGGTTCCATTTGTCTTGTGTGGGGTTGACGAAACCCCCAGGGAAGAATGGTGAGTTATTTACCTGCAATATTTTTTGTGGAGTATGCTAATATCTATATAGTCAAATGGTATTGCAACGAGTGCAAGGAGAATATGCGAAGAGGTCGCAATGGGCGGTAGAAAATGAGAATGATATGACCCTCGATCTGATGATCATTTCTGTTGGTGCATCTTCATAGCTTGAAGCCAGACATGACTAAGGATTACAATGATCTCCTCCAAATAATGAAGAACTCCGTTTTGCTATTCCCAAATCTGTCTGTAGTGTTCCCATTATAGTCTTTACCATCCGAAAAGACGCGATCTCTTTGAGTAGGCAAAGATGAGAGAAGAGAAAACCAAAAATAAATAGAAGAGAACGATTGAAATTGGACAAAGAGGGGGGAGGGTGGGGGTAAATACTCCAAACTCGCGCCTTCCTTATTAGGAAATATCGTGCTGTAGACAAACGGAACATCCTATGCAAACAAGACAAAGAATCGTTTAGCCCATAGAGCGGCTCTTCAAGTGCCCGTACTCTCTTCCATTTCGCTACCCTAGATAAGGTCATGTACCTGTCATGTAGCAAACAGCGGGTTTACTCTTTGCCACCTATGTGCCTCTGGACCGTGTGACTGTGTGGATTGTAGCGGTGTAGACATGTCAAGGTGGAATACACCGAGGTCGCGTTCTAGGTATGGATCTGTGAGTCATAGATCTCCAGTGCCTAATCGTACACGTGTGGATATCTAGCGGGGCCATGGAGTTTAGCGTCATCGGGCTTGAATGGATATGCGAAGATTCCACAATCCTACCCATCCAGAAATATCATTAGTCAATTTACCTGTAATTTTCGACACTCGACTGAGCAGGTGCCCCATATCATATAGATGGGTCATGAACTAAAGATTACAAGGGACTGAGAGGGATTAATATCGAGATTAGTTTGAGCAGAACGCAACAACTTCTGGCATAGCTTGCAAATAATTCATGAAAAACATCGATCTATATAAAAATCACAAAGGAGAATTAAAACACATCTACCCTAAAGTTCCCAAGGCGCCGACATCTGCCTTCTCTTCCCACTAGACTGATTTTCATCAGACTCATCATCCCGAGGACGTTTCTCAGCAGTGGTCCTCTCACTAGAACTAATCAGCTTCGCAAGATCCGAATAATCCTCTTCACTCGCAAGCTTCCGGCCCGAACGAGCTTTAATATGATTAGCACCCTCATCTACATCATCACCAAACGACAACCCCTCAAGCTCAGGGACATCTCCCAACGGAACTCCAAAATCTAAACGCCATCAGTATAACTTTGCAAAGAACAAGAAAGAACGAGGCACGTACCGGGAGCGTTTTCGCGGATAACCAGCGTAAAAGAAGGAAGATCATGCTCCCGAGGAAGCTCATCAACTGAATCATCAGGTCTAGGACCCCTAAAATCCTCAAAATGCCCTTCAAAACTTCTCCAAATAGCCCTAGCCAAATCCCAACCATTACTGATCCGAATCTGTCCCTTTGTTGAACCCAGATCTATTTCTTCTGGCTCATGCCAGCTCCACCAGAGACTGCTACCGGGTGCATCGAGCAGGTTCATTTGATGAAGCGCTTTTTCAATGTAAGGAAATCGGACGAATTGGACATTGATCCATTTTTGGTTCGGGCTTTGTTGGCGCGCGAGATCGGGGCGCTCAAGGAATGTTGATAGATTCACTTTCCAGCTTGTGCCGGAGGGTCCGTTGGCTGCTTTGATGATGTTTACTGGGGCGTTGTATAGGACGAGTTCGGATTGGTAGTCGAAGTTCGAGTCCGAGTCTGAGCTTTCTACAGACGAGGCTGAAGAGGAAACTTCTTCTCCCTCCTCCTCGTCCTCGGAAGTCTCATCCTCGCCGTCCAGGAGCAACTGTGCCCGCTCAGCCACCGGCCATGTTGTATGCTGATCCCTGAAGATCTCATACAAGTTCTTCAAAGCAGTACGCCGATTGAGGTCCGGAATACCATGTGGCATTCTCTCTATCTCCTCGTTGATAGCATTGTTGACATCCTCACGACCCTCTCTCGATTCAAGGTCCAGACCGTCGACACTTAGATCGTCGTTTATACCCATCAGTATGTTTGTCACGGCAGCTCGGTAAAGTTGGTTTTCATGACCTCCGATTTTGAGGCGACGCCACTGGGCATTGTTCCTTTTGTCCGCAGCTTCAGATTTCTCTTCATCATGCCGACTCTGTTTAACCACTGGCCATGTAGCACGCTGATCTTTGAAAATCTCATATAAATTTTTAACAGCAGTAGGCCGATGTAGACGCGTAATATCATGTGGCATTTTGTCAATCTGCTCATGAATGGCATTGGTGACTTCTTCACGAGCTTCTCTCAGTCGAAGATTGAGACCATCGACGCTGAGGTTGTCGTTTATCCCCATCAGAACTTGGGTCACGGCATCTCGGTAAGATTGATCCTCGTCATTTCCGATTTTGAGACGGTGCCACTGGGCATCGTTCTTTCTTTTGGTCACTTGGGCTTTGGGCATGGTGGCGGTTTACTTGTGAGAATGGATGAGGTTTGAAGTTGAAACTTTGAGACTGTTGTGATTCGAAGATGAAACTTGAAGACTGTTATGGTTCGGTGTTTAGAGAGGTCATTAGATGCTTTTGAATCTTTCAAGGTGTCGGACTCTTTGTGGAAGTCTGCGATGGATGGAAGGGGTTTTCTTTGAGCTATTATTGTAAGGCTTGGCTATTTTACGTATTTCTTTCAAATGAGTCTATACATAGTGTCATTAAAGTGCTTTAATGTGTTTTTTATAGTTTCTTTCATGGCTAATCTCTGAAGAGTCTACAGTGAGCATTCAAACCTTTCAAGATGAAATAGTATTCTTGGCTTCTTTCAAGTTTCATGTCGTTGCATTTCGCTACTACTGAGGTATAACGACAAAGCGGCCGAAACTTCGGTTCGAATGATAAAAATAAGTCGTGGATCATAATAACCCCCAGGAGAACAGTCCATGTAGGACGTAGCCCTAAGTGTAGGTAGTTGGTAAACACGGGATGTTCGGCAGGTCGATCAGCCCCCGAGTCAAGCACCTTACATAAGCCAGTGATCTCCCGAGCCAAGCATCGCTGATCGGGCATCCATGGGTCACTTTCAAGCTTGAAGTGTGTGATCCTTGGGTCTGTGTGGCCATGTGGCAGAGAATGTAAAATGTCAAAGCCCACAATGAAGGCTGAACCCATCTAGGAAGGTCCTGACCTCGGGACCGGAGAAGTCGGAATACCCCTGACGCCGCAACGGCGTCTCGCGGGCGACATCTGCCGATAATCAGGTACGATCAGAAAAAAGTTTAACTTGCCAAGATGTAGAACGGTGAAGAACATACGTCTCTATGTACTCCGTACATTCATGTCGTAAGTGGATTCGAATACGTCCCTCGTATTAGGCACCCATAAGGGAACTCCATTCGATTCGATTTAATTCAATTTGACCTTATCTTTGTTTTCTTCTTTTTCTATTTCTTTTTCTGTGTAATACTCGAAGTCCGGCTTTGTAATTATGAATGATCTTCCTTGCTTCCTTTGTTCTGGGACTACTACTGAAAATATCATATGACAACTCTATTATCCTAAATTATATTAAACGAACTATTTACGAACGACAAAGCCGATCGCGCCATTGTGGAAGTCATTTCAGCAGAGGTCCCACAAACCGGTGGATCTCCGTCCTAGGCTTGTATCGACGGCGCCAATTGTTGCAGATGATTTACTCCAGAAGGACCCACTGGCCCCAGGACACACGTCAACTCCGGCACTTGGAAGCACTTTGGGCCCTCTGAACCTGGCTAGATCCTAGTCCTCTATACTCTCGCCCCCCCCGGGCGACCCATTCCAAGCCCTAGGCGTACGTGTTAGCGTGTTAGCCCCGGGGCAAAAAATCTAGATGCAGCCCATATAATAATATTGACGCCCCCCCTCAACTTTCTGGATATCACCACACTCTCTGTCTCTTCCAATTCCGGGGAAGTTCTCATACTTCCGTCCTTCCTTTTTGTAGATAACACTATTCATTCATTCATAGTGTTATTGACAATTCTTTTTGGACCAGAATCGCCTTCCTTTTGAATCTGGGTATATCTTTCATCTTGAAAAATGCTCTTTTCCAAGTCTTTGCTGCTGGCAGCTCTTTCCAGCAGCGCTTTCGCTGCTCGCCTGCAAGGCCATGCTCGTCGCCAGGCCGTGCCCACGACGACCGTGACTGAGCTCATCACTATCACTGCCTGTCCTTTTTCGACTTCCACCCCGGCGTGGACTACTTCTGCTGTGGTGACTCCCACCCCAACTCCCGAGTACACTCCTACTCCTACTCCTACTCCCTCGCCTGAGTCTTCTTCTACTCCCACCCCGACTCCCGAGCAGACCTCCACTCCTGAGCCGACGACTTCGGCTGTGCCGACTACGTCCGCCGTGGAGACTACTTCTTCCGCCGTGGTTTCTACCTCCGTTGAGGCTTCTTCCACCTCTGCCGCCGCCACTACCACCTCCTCCGGCTCCAGCTCCGCTTGGACCGAGGTTCCCTCGGACGGCGTCTACTCCACCTCTGGATTTGGTGCCTCTACTAACTCTTCTGGCTCGGGCGACACCTACTCGGGCAACGTCGGCAGCCCTTACGGTAGCAACATCATCACCGTCTCCGAGTCCGAGGCCAGCTCGTACAAGTACGTCGTCCAGTTCAAGGGTTCCAACAGCGAGGACTGGAAGGTTGTTATCTGGAATAAGTACAGTTCCGACGGTACCATGGACGGTTGGTACGGAAACGCCTGCCACTCTTTCACCCTCGCCGCCGGTGAGACCAAGTACTATGCCTTCGACACCGATTCCCAGGGTGGTTGGGCCGCCGCCAAGGGCTCTTCAATCCCTACTGACAGCTACGGTGGCTACGCCTCCACCTGGGGAGAGTTCGACTTCGGTTCCTCCACCAACTCCGGCTGGTCTGGATTCGACGTTTCGGCCATCATGGCCCAGGACGCCGATCTCTCTGTCCAGGGTATGAAGATCTGTGATGCCTACAACTCCGACGGTACTTGCTCGTCCATCACTACTGGTGCTGGTACCGTCTCCAACGCCTACACCAGCGCTGAGACTGATATCGGTGGTATCGGCGGTAACCTTTCCGCTGGACCTGTCCGTCTTGCCGTTACCATTGATTACGATGGTTAAGCGCTGAATCGTGTACGCGCCGTGTGGAGTTTTCGTGGTTTATTTTTATTTTTACCTTGTTTCAGTTTCCAACTTCTTTAACTTAACGCCTGCAACTACGACTTTGTTTTTTGCATATGTGGGGTCGGTTTGGTGTATACCTATCCACTGGTTCGGTATAAATATTCGATTCTTTATCTCCTTTGAGGATTTTTTTTATTTCCAATACCACACAGCCTTTTCAAAAGTTACTCCCCCTTACTGTAATGGCCCCTTAAAAATCCAATTTTGGTGCTTCGGGCGAGGCGCCGTTAGTGTGATGGGGCGCCGCCGGCCGCATCAGCGCATACGTACGCCGTCATTCGGGGCTCGTTCTCGATTCTCATTTGACGTAAATCGCCCCCACTTTCACTCTTGGTCTGGATTTGACTGCCGGACATGACAAAATTAAAATGTACCAATTGATGGGGCTTTTTGATGTTTATTTGGTTCTTCACGCGAATGTAGAGTGGGATCCGCGGTACAGTTTATGAAATGATCCACTCGGGTTTATTCATTGCGCTTGTTATCTCCACTATTGTATATGGATTTCATGGTTGGAGTGGGTTTGGTTGGTTCGGTTGGTCACCTTTGATAGATCTCTCAATTGTATAGCCCTTTGGGTTGGTGGAGATTTACCTTACAGGCTTAGTTGCGAGGAGTGTATAATTACTATGCGGTCAGTGTAAGGGCACGATCGAGTGAGGGGCCATCCTAGATAGGCCAGCGCTCAGCGTCATGATTTGGAACCTTGACCTATCCAATATTACTTCAGCAACCTTGATGATATATTGCTAGACAGAAACTGAAAGTGTACCGAGTTCCGAAACCTTGCCGACCTAACCCCGCCACAATCAGCAACCGGCCGAAAGTGCATATGTAAACCAGAATGCAGATCATTAACAAATGTACTCAATCCACATGTCCCGGCAATATGAGCTTGGCCAAATCTTGGAAGCAACGTACTCTGCTCTTTCGACATCGCAACGCGCGTTGCCAGCCCCTTTCCAGCATCTTCTCCGGATCTGTTCTGTACAGACACAACGTAAGTCTTGGTTTACGATGATACGCTAAGACGCTAGATAGTAGAAGGGTCTATATCCCACTGCGCTTCTAGGGATAGGAGATAGAACCTCCTATTCTTGGATCTTGGAGAGATGCCAAGGAGTCGAGATTAGTTTGCGTCGTCAGACTTCGGAGATACCTAGGTGTGGGGATGGTGGTCCAAGGCACTAGGGAGTACTCTGGCAGATGGGAATTTGGATGCTGTGCTAATTGACTAGGAAGGAGATTAGTCATGTTGATCAAGCCATGTGAGGACGTTTGGCTGGGCTGGATCTACGGTGAGGTGAAAGTAAGTTCTATATGGGCTTGGCGCAATGGTTGACAACTCAAATGCTCTTATGGATTAGATTCTTTACACCTTTTTTGGTTTTGAGTCAGCTTTAGGTGATTCATGTAACTTGACCTCAGGATCCAGTCTAGAAGAATAGAAGCATAGGCTACAGCTTTCAACCTTGACTATATAGTTTGCTATATATTCTTATACCTTCTACCATCTTTCACCACCTTCTATCACCTTTACCACCCTTTATCACTTGCAGTACTTCATCTAGTACTTTTATCCTGCCCGTCTACCCCACCTGTCTATTTACCTTTCCTTCTATAAGACTGGCCTTTCTTCAAACCTTTTCTCCTATTAGGCTTTCCTTTCTAGAGAGTTTTCATTTCTATCCATCTGCCTCTCCGGTACTTGAAAGGTAGACTGACACCCATCCTACCCATCTTCTTTCCACACTTCTTCAATCTGACTTCGATTTCAGATTACCTTCAATCATCACTCAAGAGGATGGAACTGGAATCGAATTGACTGACGGATTCTCTCTAAGTTTCTTCCATTGATCACCGGATGAGTCGACTCAGGCCTGCCGCGACAAATGCCTACGGACTCGGCTTATCTCAGAATACATCTCGCTTTCATGCGCTCTGCTTCTGCTTCGCCTACCGAGAGAGTGAGACGACCCGAGGCTCGGATTCAACAATAGGGGGTTTGTCCTGAGTTCAATTCACTGCCAAATTAGGAAGTGCAGGGCTTTCTTGATACCTCCCTTTCAGCATCATGGCGCCACTAAACAATCGATCTCTCACGAAATTTGCCACTGGGATGAATATCGGGCGCTCCCAAACTATAAGCTCGGTCTTACACTCTATTCGCTACATCGGAAAGCTTCAAATTTGGGCAACATCTAAATAGGACGTCCTAAAGTCTTTTCAAACGAGTTTGGGTGCGGATTCGTGTTCCTTCACCACAATCACCATAGGAGAATGCAATCAGCTCATTGTGTGTTTTTTGTGGTGTCCGAAAGTACCAACAAGCTCCATTGATGTGGTCGCGGGGTTTGGATCGGCGAGAAGAGACTGTTCCAAACTTAAGCGAAAAAGCACACTACTTACGCTTTAATGTGATGCGACTACAGTCTCTGGTACGAAGAAGACCGAGAAAGAAAGCAAACCTCGTTACGTGGGAAGACTAGCAAAAAAACTCAAATAAGCTCTGACAGCTTATTGAAGACGTGCATAGGCAAGTCTCTCCAGATGTCTTCATGCTGAGGATGTGACGTGAAGCTAACGATAAATTTTCCAGGACGTGGTTTGTCTCTTGCCATGGGAAATTAGAAGAAGGACTGTCACGGGAACACGAACTGTCTCTGGAAGTTGTTCGACGTTGACCATCTCTGGACAAGAGAGTGCTGCTTTCGCCCCAGATATATCATCCTGAAGCAACAACCGAGTCCCTATCATGGAGCGGTTCAAGCACCGGTTATCAAATGGGCAACTGATATTCTAGCTTGGCATGCTCGGCATATGACAACGGAGAAGAGACCTTTTCATGAATGAGGTCCTGACTAGCTGATATGAGCACCACCACCATTACATCAATGCTGGAATCGAGTTCCTAAAGTACCTGGCTGTGCCCAACTCTATTGGCTGCATGACTTACAATGATTGCCTGACCCAAAGGGATGGTAACGTTCTTAGGCTATGCGCCCCAGCCATTGGGTACATCAACATGGTCCTGAAACAGAAAGCTCAGATTTCAGGTCACTAGTGTGACTGGATGGCTATCTATTGCTCATGCGGTCACAGCGCTCAAGGACATATCCCAAATTTCAATCTTATGATAAAATATGCTCTCACGAAGTTTGATGATGACCGTTGGTCATCAGGCATGGTCGAGAGCGCCACACGAAAGCAATTCGATGCAAATGGCCTATGCAGGGGTCCACAAAAGCAACGCATATGACTGACAGGTGCGAGATCGATTTTGCTACCTGGAAGATTAGGTGTCGGTCCTGCGGTGTGGAAAGGAAACCTCTCACCCTGTGGGACTAGGACTGTGGGCATAGTCTATTGTGATGGGTGTCAATACAGACTGGATCGATTCTCAATCGATTGTAAGTCAATTGAAGAGTACATGAGACGACATTCAGCTTAGAGTGTCTGAATTGCCAATTGTGACAAGTTAGATGATGTGTTTCAAGAGCCGAGTTGCAAGTGTCAAGAGCGAGGCAGAAGATAGGGTTGCCACACCATACCGAGGATACAGAAATATATCGAAATTTTAGAGCAAATCAATCGTTGTGTCAGTAGGTCAAAGTTCAACCTGATAACTTAATGATCTGACGGTCTACAAGCTCAAACACCTGCTGTTATACCCGCAGCCGATAATGCTGTCTTTGTCTACACACTGAAATCACCCTTAGCCTTAAGGGTTTGATCCTGTATGTGGATGGTTGCTAGACAGCTTGATATTTCCTGACTTGCGTTTAGGCGTGGCATTGGGTTTCAGATTCCACTGGAGGGTGTATATTAGCAAAATATGCTCGTCACTTGAGTAGTCTCATGGGTTACATGTGTTAACTCCAAAAGCTGATCTCTTCTATTGAGTGGATTTTTTATGAATGCATCGACTCGCATCCAGGTCATTGATATGATGGATTCCCGATAGAGTAGATAGGTCGACCTTATCACTGGTGTGTCTAATACCTATACCTATCCCTACCTAATGCCGAATAGATGAGAGATTCTAAACAACATTTTGGGTATGTCTGCTCATACTTTTCAATGAATAGATCAACCGGAGTACCGTTGCATATAGCCCCGCAGACATATACAAAAAATTGTAGATATGGGTTTCCAATATCCAATTCTAGTGGGACATAAACTCAATATCATACGACTTCAACCAAAGATATCCATATCATTTGAACCTAATGTACCCTATACCAGAGCAAGAAAGAAAGGGGCTATCACCAAGCCCCTCTCAACCTCTCCATAAGACCTCCATTCCCCTGCCGACTCCCACCTTCCTCCCCATCTCCAACATTCCTCCTCCGCCCAGAACCACCGTCCAGTCCCGAACTCGAAGCAGCCGCTTCCCCTTCCAACCTTCTTCTCAAATCCTCATACCGTTCTCGCTCCGCAGCACTACCATTCGCAGCCCCGCTCCTTCGCTCCCGTTCCCCGACAATCCACGCCGGAACACGGAAACCCGTTGCGGATGGGGATAGACCTGGGAGTAGCTCTGCGCGCCAGGCCATTCCGACGATCCAACCAACAGCGGACGGGAGAAGCATAGCCGGGAACTGGGAGAGTGCGAGCTGTGCGGCCACGAGGTATGTGGTTGATTTGTCGGAGAAAAGGAGAGTCAGTCCTTTTGGTGTTGGTTTGGGTGTTGGGGCTGTGTCGTTTGGACCGGGATTGGTGGTAGTACTAGACGCAGCTGTTGTACCGATTCGGTAGCGGTATACATATGGGATTGTCGCATGGTACTGCGCTAGCATAGCGAAGATGGTCGCGGTTGGTCCGGAGGGGAGATAATTGAGATTGTTAAGGGAGAGTGGGCGGGCGACCAGTGTTAGCAGGAGGGGTGGGAGGAGAGTGGTGTAAGGAAGTGTTGTGATGAGGAATGTCTGGATATTCATTAGAACCAGGATTCAGAATATTCGAGTCTTGATGTGTATTTGTGTAGTTGGACACTCACGGCCATCTTTCGTTTCCCCCATGCCCGCTCTACGACGCGTAGATGGTATACCAGCATTGCAGCGAATAAGGCTTCGGTGGAGTTTGTGAATCCAGCTATTTGCCAGAAGAGCGCGCGCCAGAATTGCGCATATGGCCAGAAGTGTGGTGAGACATGGATCGAGGCGAGATGTTTGATGTCGAAGATTGAGAGGGCGATTGAGGAGGCGATGGTGTAGATTAGGAGGGACTTGGTGAGCGGGGTGTTGGTGAAACCGGAGGTGAGCATGTTGAATGAGGGGTGCTGGTGCCGGTCTTCGTTATAGGAGGAGAATCATTCGGGGCGATTATTGTACAGTTTACTGGCGTCTTGTCAGGATGACGGAAGTTTGAAGGAAGGGAAGTGGGAGCGGAGAAGACCAACCAGAGGCCACATCACTCTGAGTCTGGGGAAGCTCGGCATGCCGATCTACATATTGTTCGCCGACAATACAAGTATTTGGCAAAACGACTTCCGTAAAAGATATGATTTGATATGATATTATTTATTGTACAGTCCTTTTGTGCCCTTAAAACGCCGTCTTTTGAACTTCATCTACACGGCCAGAGCCGCCGCTTCTTTCATTTCCTCTGCTAAAGCCGTTTCGTACCGATTCGATGCCAACTCTAAGGCATGCAATGTGGGACCAAGCAGCTGATTGACTGCTTTTGCGCCGCCCTCAATGCTGTCTAGGTTCGGTCGCAGCTTACGTCCAGTACGCTCAAACATATCGCGAGCATGCTGTTTCACCCGGTCAACTTCAACCTGACGTTCTGCCTCCGCAGAATCTGAGACGGCTTTGATTCGTCCTTTCGCACGGATGAGTGATTCCGATAATGACTTCACCTCACCTGCACGATCGGAGTCGCCGGAAAGAAAGGCCTGCCAGAACTGATGAAGGAATTCAGTAGAAGTCGCGTGCGTTAATGTGAGTCGGTCATAAAGCGCAGGAGAGAGTCCGTAGGTTTCGGATACTGATGTCTCGACCATCTGGGCACGTTGATCACGTACCGCGTCGAGAATCTGGGCAAATGCGGCGTGCAAGGCTGCGGAAGAGCCAACGGGGCGTCGGCTAGCAGGGGCATCTTCCATCTCCTCGTCTTCGTCATCGCCAGGATCGACTAACTTTTGGAGAGGTGCAGCTCCGCCAGGTGGAAGATTGCGCTCGACTTCGGTGCGAAGGAGCTGCAAGACTTGATCAGGGTCCTGTTTCGCGAGGGCCCGAGTTTGGTCGCCATCCTTTGCCGCCGAGAAGAAACGGTTCTGGTCACGGATGTTCAGAGTAATACGAGCTTGTTCCTCATCTCCACGGAGATCCTGTAGCTGCAATTTCGCCCAGGCTTCCTCATTCATCCCGATGGGAGCACTTAGATCGCCATCTGCGGGTGCCACGTTGGCCATGATTTTCTCACTGAGGCTGTTCAAAGTTCGAATGATAGGCACCTTGTCCACGGCAGAGGGGCGCATGTCCAGATCCGGCCGGTTTCCACGGCGTTGACTGTTATGCCCTTCATTACCCGCAAGATCCAGGAAGTGTGGCATATTGGTATCACGTTCTTTGGCAGTGGATTCTTCACGAAGATATTTGTCCAGCACGGCATCTGTTGCGTCTGCTTCTCCAATTCGCTCTCCACGCAACTTCTTGAATAATCGACTCTGGAAGAATCGCGACCAGAACTGTTGTTCGCTCAGCTTGGGAACATTCTCATCGTAGACCTGTTTGACAAGTGGGTGTTGCGTAAAAATAAGCTGGATTTGCTCCTTGCTGATATTTAATCGAGTCACATTTTCCTCGACACGCGGCTTCAATGACGAGAGCACGTTATAAGATCCGCGAGTCTGGGCGCGTTCGATCGCATGAGCTCGTAAAAGGTGTAGCCGGGTAGACCAGAATTGTGACATGAACTGGCCAGATGATAGAGTTTCCGGTTTCGTATGTAAAGATTCCATAAACATTCGTTGCAACATGGAATCGGCCTTCAATAAAGACTGCTGCAGCTCCACGTCACCCTTTAGGCGGTTATCATCGTCCCACGGGTTGGGAGCTGACCCAGCTGACGAAACCGCATTTGCTATCGCCATAGCTGCTGAAACTCCTGCCCCACCACTGGGAACCGGCGTGGATGTCTGTGAAGGTGTTCCTGCTTTCCCCGCATTAACCCGAGCACTGAGGGCATCTTTGAAAGCGTCGGCTTGCGCGCGTGCGTCCGTCGCGGCGGTGAATAGAAAGGTGTAGGCGATGGCTTCGCTATTAGGAGGGGCATTTGGAGCGGTGGCAAAGACCTTTAGCATCACTTTTGGATTCGAAATCGGCGTCTGCTGTAGATCTGGTGTCGAGTGTTAGCAAAGGTGACGGGTCTGGGCAGCAGGGTTGAGCGGCTGCATACTGGTGATCGTGGACACAGAGATCTTATGTCCCGAAACACTCGCTTCGGCCGGGGTCCAGACCAGCGTCGCCTCATCGTCGGTCAGACTCAGACTGCCATCTTTCTTCTTGAAAGAGACAGCTGCGCTCGGAGGTGCCATCGTCACGTGTCTCGACAGCTTCCACTGTCCTGAGCAGTGACAACGAAACCACCCATCGGGATAAGTAGATCCTCAGAGTTTGAGGCTAAGCGGAGAAGGTCGAGACCTTCAAGATGTGCAGAGGCAGCGGGTGAGGTCAAAGCGAAAGCGAAGAGCCGCAGCTCTTCTGCGCGTAATCACGTGACATATCACCTGGATAACAATACCCTAACTAAAGAACCAACGCCAAATCCTATCCTCAAGTAGTGATTGGATAATGTCTCCTCATCTTTGAACGAAAAATCTACAATAAAAGAGCATAAGTGGACCACATAATCTACGAGTGAAACTTAGAATTAAAAGTAAGTTTATGAGCTGAGTGATGCGATAAGACCGATTTACACAAACGCCAAGTAAAGCAATGAGCAATGTAAACCAGAGAAAAGCTTGAAAACAGCGCTGAAGAGATCCAGAATGCTATGCAAAATCAGAAAGACGCGGACCGAGAGCACGAACCCGAAGCGAGGAGCCAGAATGCCGAAATTCGTAAACCATGTTGCGCGCCGCCATGCATAGACCGGATATCATCATTCGTAATAGTCAAAAACAACCCGCCCAGAACCAGACTGCAGCCAAAGGGAAAAAAATAGAGATAAAATGAACCAAATAGTCAAGGGTATCCACCAGCAATGACGAAAAAAAAAATAGATAAAGCATGCTTTTCCAGCAACACCGAAGCAAAGGCTGCAAGGAAAATCATTTCTTAAACATGTAATGTCCGTAGATGCCGCCCACATCACCGACTGCCATAGGAATCTTGCGCATGCCCCACCAGCGTGCGCCCATCTTCCAGGAGCGAGATCCATCGTCGATTGGGCAGTTGGGCATAGAAGCAGGGTCCCGAACGTACCACCCGCGGCGACCAAGTTCTCGCACAGTCCAACCCACAGAGACGCGCTGGGTCTTACTACGTTCACGTAGTGGGGTGATAATCTTGTCGCTAAACTCAACCACTTGCAGTGGGTAGCTCTGCTCCGACAGAAGAAGGCATGAGCTCATGTTGAAGATGGAACCAATGGTCATCTGCGTCACCTTGGCAAGATCGAGGTAGCACAGAGTGCTGGGGATCACGTTCTCCTTCGTTCGAGTGAAGAAAGTATTCACATCCTGTACGGAAAGATCTGCAGAGCTTAAGCCCAGTTCCTCGAGGTGTTTGGTCAGAGGAAGCAAAAGCGGCACATGGGCCGAAGTGATCCGTGCCCCACCCAGATTCAAAGAGCGAAGAGTGTTAGGCAGCTTGGGCAGCAGTGCCGTGACATCATCTTCCTCCAGAAGCCGGAATCGAGTAGCGTCTGTCAGCAGGTTCAGGAACACCAACGAATCGCAGACAGCCGGATGGGTGGTCAAAAACTTGATCAGTGCAGGCGGGTGAAGGCGGGTGCACCGAGACAGACTCAAGTGAGTGATACGGGCGGTCTCAGGGATGGCAAATAGAGCAGAATCGTTGATTTGAGTGTTGGTCAAATCAAGGTGCGTCAGATTAATCAGCCGCGGGAGCAGGAAATCGAACATGGGCGCCGGGATGGTGCTGCATTCGTGAAGAGAGAGTCGCTTCAGGTTGGGCAGGCTCATAGGTAAAGCAGGGCCACCCATCAGGGCCTCTTGGAAAACCGAGGAAAAGGACTGGGTGGAGCAGCCGCAAAGATCCACTGCCTGCAAGATCGGCAGGCCCATAAACAGCTTCCGAATCACCTCCACGCTCAAATCGCCCTCAAGATGTTCCTGCAAAAGACACTCCCGCAAGTTAGGCAATAACTCCAAGCACTGCAAAAGAGTCCGCGAAGTCAGGTTCTGAATCTCAGCATTCATCTGCTTAGTCCGACCCAGGCCAACCGAAGTAAAGTGGGAGAAATCCAAACGGCGTACCAGCGTACCAAGAGCCGGGTAGGACGAGATGTGAGTGAGAGCCTTGGAGAAGATGATCGAGTGAGGGAATGTCATGTTCCTGTACAGCACACTCAAAGTCGCCGCATGCAAGGTGCGCGAGCTCAAAAGACACGAAACCAGATCAACGTTGCGCGGAGTGTATCCATTTGGCGGGATATCTAGAGCCAGGTGCGAGATGATTTGATCTATATTGAATGATTAGTATTTATAAGTGACAGGCGCAAACGGAGCCACTCTTACCCAGAACTTCAGAGGGGAGCTTCTCCAGCGCCGATGTCCCCGGAGGAATTCCAGCAGGAGTCAGCGGCTGCTCCACTATCTCTGGGGCCTTGGGAGGAACCAGCTCTCGTCCGGATTCCGTCGTCTCCCATGCCCAGCCTTTAGCCTGCAAGTTGCCCAATCCTCTGAGGTCCCCATAACTGCGGCTCAGACTCTTACCGCTCAGACGAATTTGCTTCCATCCCAAGAAACCACCGCATGGGCAACAAAAGTCCGGAGTCTGTTGCATTTCCTGAAGTTCCAGTTTTGCAGGCTCTTTTTGCTCCTTGGGAGAGGGCGCGTGATGGGTGTCTACAAATGATTGCGCAATGCCTGTGTCTCACGTTAGTTATTGCCTCGTCACCTCACTTGGAAATTGTCACGTACCGTCGACGTCCTCTTTGATCGAGCCGAACGATGGGCGTCGGCGGCTGCTAGATCTAGATCCGTCGGGAGTGTCGCAAGGTGAGGGAGAGGACTCGCGCGAGTGAACGTGATCACCACAGGGGATCGTGAATCTTGGGAGGGTCGGCTTCGGGTGGGAGGGAGCAGTGAGAGAGGCCATTTTGAGAGCGAGCGGGCCCTCTATAAAGGGCCCCAGTACAGACAAGAGACTAGTTTCGGGAGGTACCTTCACTAGGGTGGTACACAAAAAAAAAACCCAAAATTATTAGACGAGCTTCCCCGGATTCTTTGAGAAAAAACGTGTCGGTCAATCAAAGAGGTAGCGCCGACGAAAAGGTTAGGGCTTTGAGAAAAAAGGAAAGAGATGGCGTAGAGGGGCGGCGGGGAAAAGAGGAAAAAAGTAAAGCTGTTAGTCACGGAAAAGAGCGAACCGGCGTTGCGCGCGAAGTAGAAAGTGGGAACAGAAGAAAAAAAAAATTAAAGTGGAACGGTTGGTACCGGTAGAACTCGGGTCCGCAAAGGAATATTGTCTAGGTGCCACTTTAGAATAATATTTCTCTTAAAAGATGAAAGGGAATGATCAGAATTATCAATACGAAGGAGGCAAATTGATGGAGTAACGGTGGCGGTTGCTCTTTTGAGTTTTGTAGTCATCGCGGCCAGACACGGATAGGGCGATAAGAAGCTACCCCTGCAGACTTTGTTTGCTTTTTGCCTAGTTTTTGCTTTTCGATCTACTGTTCTTCTGCACTTCCAATGTATGCAAGCGGAAAACATGGCGTCATTGCAACCATGCATAGTTACCGTATACGGTCGAGATAAGAGTCTCTCACTCAAACTATGGATGAAACAATACATAATCTCTTCCAAATTCAATTCATAGAATACTATACTTTCCCTCCACTGCAGTAATTGATCTAGTCTAGTTATGTAAAGTCTAAAACTATTATTCGTTCATGGGGAATCTACATGTAGGTACTTTTGTGACGCTAGAAGCATTCTATGACATACTAGCATGCACCTCCTTTTCCCATTTTCACATTATTGAGCCGCCGATAGGGCCATGCGCAGGTCAGCCGGATCATGTCTCTGTACCCCGGACCACGTTTGGGTTCTCGTTAGGTAACCGCTACTACGATCTCGATGCTTATTATTCGTCAATGCAGCCGATCATGCGGGGGCTGGCGCGCCCATTACCTAATAGAAAATCACCTGATCGTTGTTCTCCAATTTCTTGTTTATTTTCGATGGAGTCTTTCATATCCTCTATACTCCTTCGAGTTTAACCTTACAGACCTTATGGTAAAGGTGGAAATGACTGGCACACCACCTTTCGATCCGTGCGGTACATACACACAGGCTTGGCCGAAAAACCAAGTCATCAACCTGCTTGCTCGGCATCCGAGCCGGGCCTAATTCTGCATACCTGTGTTGTCCTTTCTCCTCGGACTAAGAGCCCGTTGGTACCGGAAACACTTCCCCGAATCATAATCTCAATATGTTGTGCAATAGGTCGTTCTATCTCCGACTACCCTAACAAGGTTGGCAAGGCTTGACTCTGGAACCGTGCGACTTAAGTAACACGAGTTACTGTCTGGTTCAAGGTGCCATATGACGTTCATGTGGTACATTATCCTCATGTAAGCTCAAAGCTCTCGGGCGCCTAGTCCATCCGAAGGTCGGAGTAATCTCCCAAAAGCAGGCCACCTCAACGCCGAGAGTAGGAGCTAGGGGACCCGCCAAATAACTGCCAAGGTCCTTCAATAACGGGCGATCCCTTAAATGAGGCGGTGTGCTGCTGATCGGGTTGATCGTTTATTGCCCCCTAGGACTGGTTGGATCGGTAGTAGACCACTCAAAACAATAGTTTGTGAACTGGTATTTGCCGAGCCTTGGCTTCTGCAGCCTAGAGAGCCTCGCTACGTAATGTGCTCGTTCATCAAGGGTTGCTTGGCTATGACAGGTCACAGAGTTCAAAGGGATGCCATTTCTTGAAAATGGCTTTTCCAAGAAATGGCTCCAAATCAAGTCACATGAGTAACCCACTTCTGTTTATCAATCTTATCTCAATTTTGTAAACATAATTGGCAGATCTGCTCGAATTACCTCCCACCTTCGTCGCTAAGGCCCCAGGCTGGCCCCAGGCTAGCCCAAACCAATGGCTTGCCCTAGATAAATGCTGGTCAAATTTGAAGGTCGATAACTCAAAAGACGTTCCTTGGCATTGAATGAATTTTTCTGAGAATATAGATGCATTCAATAGTCTTCTTGTTGCTGTGTATACAGCGTACAAACCTCCACAAAAACGACGCCAAAGTGCTTTCTAGGGCACTATAGACAACTTGATAAACAAAAACACCAATCCTCATCTTCTATAGCTAGTGGTGCGAATCTAAATAAGTTCAAACGTACCATTCGTCCACACCTATCATCAAATCTCATGTGCCGTGCCGTCTCGGAAACCTTGCCACAATCCTGCACTACGACTGGTCTCTTACCGTAACAAATCATCTGCCTTCGGAAATAATGCAGGGACCCGGTACCACGTCCATGGATTTGGAAATAATATTTCAAGAGTACTTCTTGGCAGAAATTCAAACGTCGCGTGACCTAGAGCATCTGATGTTTTGATACGTTCATCGAGAATCTGATTGAACATGTATGAATCTGCAATACCTTGGTCTTTCCACTAAATATGATTGGTGAAGGTTTGGTGTCTATGTCACTTGACTTCAAGACTGCGAACCGTGGAATGTTTTATCTTTAGATCCGTAGAACTGATGATAAGATGTGGGGTGGTGTGACTAACTTTGTACGTTCCACGCGATTTGAAACTTTATTTCAATATCTGACAAGGGTAAACGCAAAAGAATGCTGTACATATATTTGACTATATGAAAGAGTGGGAACTTGATTGAGATTTATGTCGCAATGCATTCAACAAAAGCGAGTCTAAAGTCAGATCAAGAAGTTAAAAAATTCAACATTGAATGTGAGATAAATGAACATAGAGAAGACCTAAGTATATGACAAGAATATAAAAGTGCTCAGGCTTTCTTCAAAAGAGACATAAGTGTATATCAGCCTTGAAACCGATGGTTCGCTCGGAAGGATAAAGAAAAGGATCAAAGTCTAACAATGACATGGTTGAGAGAAGAAGAAATAGAAACGCCAAAAGAACTCCAAAGTTGTCAAATCCACACTCAAACTCTTAGATTTGGGTATGATCAGGAAGCTGAGGCTATGGCATTAAGTCGTTAATGTTCGTTTGTGCTTGTTGCTAAGCGCAATCTACTCAATAGCAACGCTAGACTCATCACCGTGAAGAACGGGATTAACCTTGGGATCCCACTTCAGCTTGAAGTCTTGTCCAAGTTCCTTGCGAATAGCAGCCTGGACAGCCTCCAGAACATTCTCAAAGACACCAAAGCTGGCGGGGTTGTTGGGGTCGTTCTCGCCCTTCTTGCCCTGGAAGACACCCGTGCGGACCAGGCAAGTATTCCAGCCGTACATGTTGCCGCCAATGATGTCGGACTGCGGGTTGTCGCCGACCATGTAGACGTTCTTGGGGAGGCGGTGCTCGGTGTGGATCTCCTCCATCCAGTGCTTAAGAACCTCATCGGCGTAGGTGTAAGTGGCACGCTCAGGCTTGCCGTAGACCACACGCTCGAGCTCACAACCAGTGAGTGCCTTGTACTGGGCCTCAATGGCGATACGGAAGGCTCCCTGGGTCAGACGGGGAGGACCCTTGTGGTTGGTCGGGAAGACCAAGTCACCCTGAGAGAAGTAAATGGGAATACGGCTGGCAACGGGATCCTTCGCGCGAGTAAGAAGCTTGCCATCCTCGGACAGCAACAGATCCATGATGATTTGGAAGTCTGTGGCATAGTCATAGGAATCGGCAAAGACGAGAATAGCGTCAAACTTCATCTTAGAGAAATCACGAGGCTTGGCATTCACCCGATCCGCCTCCGTAAATGTGCGCCATGGCGACACAGTCGGGTCCCAAGCGAGGATGTCCTTGGGGTGGACGACGTTCTTGAAGCCATAGGTCTCGGCGACCTCACGGACCTTGTAGCCCTCACCACCACACACAAGCACAGTCTCATAGTATTCAGCCAGGGCCTGCATGGGAGTGTGAGACTGGATGAACTGTTCGGTGGAGATAGGCGCCTCGAGCATCTGCGAGAGCTGCTCACAGCGAGCCACCTCAGTTTTACCACCACCGTTGGTCAAGAGGATGTAGGGAATCTTGATGCCAAGCTCATTTTCACCATTCAAAATCTTCAATGCGGCCTTAGCCTCCTCAATGGGTTCAGGACCGTGTGCCAGCACACCGTCAATGTCAAAGGCAAAGGCCATGTTTTTCGCACATTCGACTTTGTCCTTGAACATGTCCTGGACCTGCGAGGTCAGGATGTCTCGCGAAACAGCGGGACGATCTGTCTTCCAAGAGGACAGACGAGAGTGACGCGGTGAGCGAGGAATAGGCAAAGAAGTACCAAAAGAGTTGCGTGAGCTCCGTCGCTCCTTCATGGAGGGCGACAGGCTGAGATTGTGCATGAGCGCCGCGGCATCACTGATAGCGCTACGAGATGAGGGGATCTCAATAGTATTGTTACCACCATCACTAGGGATGGGCAGGCCATTGCGAGGATTGCTGGTGACTTCGTTAGGACGAGAATCGACCACGAAGTCCGAATCATCAAAGCGAGGCATGATGTGGATGATCGGTGGAGTAAAAAAGTGGGTAAGGGGTCTAAGGAAAGAGGAGAAAAAGAGGAGTCGATCTAATCAACAAAGAGATGTGACTGGTTCAAGTAGACCAGCACGCGATAAGAGAATATCTATATGGGTATGGAGAGCACGGAGAGAAAAAAATAAATAAAGCGAGGGTAATGCGCGTATATATACAGCCTCAGGTACCGGAACAGGTATGAGCACCTAGGCACGGGTTGGCACGGTTGCCAGACGCAAAAACATGGTATCTGACGACCATTGCAACCAGTTTGAGGGATACAATGAGGGGGGTGTGGAGATCCACCCGCCCGACACCATGAGTCCCAAGGAATCAGCGTCATCATTGGGCTAGAACAGGATAGCTGTTGCAGGGCTAGAATGGAGTATAATGCGGAACAAGGGGGTACAAGGTACACTACGACATTGCCGCGGCACCAATGTTTCTCCGGGTACCGGGTACTTACTAGGAGAGCACTCCTCCGATTAAATGGGAAATGATTGGTTGCGCTGGAGAGACTCGACCGGCTTGAAGCAGCGTAGGACGCTGAGTGGATAAGGAAATGGCTCTTCTTGGGACATCGAGATCTTTGATTGGATAAGAGCACAGCTCACCCATGGAAGCGGCATGGGATGACGATCGGAGCGGGTCAAACGCTCAGCACCGTTTTGGATTTACAGTGATGTCATGGAAAGGTTTTGAAAATTACACGCATTTCACCAATTTTGCAGTTCATGTTGGACAGGGGATAGTCAATGGCCATAGTTGCAGAATGATCGTCAGGGCATGTGAGAATATTATTGCTGAATACTTTTAAAATTATCGGCATTGTCTCTTCGTACTCGGTCCCGGTAGATTAGGAGGATGTGCACTGGAGAAAGTCATTGATGGATTTGCTGAAGGCGGAAATAAGTTACAGTACCCCTCTATCCCCACCATCTGCGGTGAATATCGTCATCGCTCGCCGCTTAGCTCCCCCACCTTCATAATAATTCTCTTCCCCCTCCTCCTCTTTCTTCCTTTCTACACACATAACAAATTGATTCAACATGTCTAACGGAAAGACCTACACATTGAACAACGGAGTCACCATCCCCGCGGTTGGCTTCGGCACCTTCGCTAGTGAGGGCTCCAAGGGCGAGACTTACAACGCTGTCACCGTTGCCCTCAACACCGGATACCGTCACTTGGACTGCGCCTGGTACTACCTCAACGAGGATGAGGTTGGTGATGCCATCCATGACTTCCTGAAGGCCAATCCCTCCGTCAAGCGGTCCGACATCTTCGTCTGCACCAAGGTGTGGAACCACCTCCACCGCTACGACGATGTCCTCTGGTCTGTCAAGGACTCCTTGAAGCGCCTGAAGTTGGACTACGTTGACCTCTACCTGGTCCACTGGCCCATTGCCGCCGAGAAGGACGGCCAGGAGAAGCCCAAGATCGGTCCCGATGGCAAGGTAAATCTTACTATTCAATCCCTAACTTAAAACGATGAATGCTAAAAAAGCTCCAGTATGTGATCCTCAAGGACCTCACAGAGAACCACCAGGAGACATGGAGCGCCATGGAGAAGCTGTATGAGGAAGGCCTCGCTAAGGCCATTGGTGTCTCCAACTGGACCATCCCCCAGCTTGAGGCCATGGCCAAGTACGCCAAGGTGCAGCCTCAAATCAACCAGATCGAGATCCACCCCTTCCTGCCCAACACCGAGCTGGTCAACTACTGCTTCTCCAAGAACATCATGCCCCAGGCCTACTCTCCTCTGGGCTCGCAGAACCAGGTCCCCACCACCGGCGAGCGTGTCTCCGAGAACAAGACCCTGAATGAGATTGCCGAGAAGGGCGGCAACACCCTGGCCCAGGTCCTGATTGCCTGGGGTCTGCGTCGTGGTTACGTTGTGCTCCCCAAGAGCTCCAACCCCAAGCGCATTGAGTCTAACTTCAAGAGCATTGAGCTGTCGGATGAGGACTTTGAGGCTGTGAACAAGGTTGCCGAGGGCCGCCACTTCCGCTTTGTTAACATGAAGGATACCTTCGGTTACGATGTCTGGCCCGAGGAGAGTGCCGCCAACTTGTCTGCTTAATTTACCCAAAAATACTAGCCCAGAGATGATGTGATACCCGGTGGGGCTGAGGGGTTGGAAAAAGTGTAATGAACAGACACGATAGACGAAATGAATACTTTCTGAGACCTTCCAGCATCTTGGTAACTTGTGCAGCAATTGAGTAATATTCCGGTTTAGTTGACCGGATTATAGCCAACCCCTCCATTAATTCTCCGCCGGGATCCACGGCTAAGTTCCCAGTTATGTCTAAACTTTCCTTCACCTGCCACAATGATCATATATGTAAGACAAACAATTTTTAAAAATAATCCAAGTCCAACGTAAGCTACCGTATCGTATCGAGTAAATTTGCACAATTCAAGCTGACCTCTGTATATCCGTATTACCTAGCACATTCCTCAACACCCAAAACACCATGCAGGAGCAGAGTCCCCCACCAATAAACACCACCCCACCATGACAAGGCCCACAATAAATTACTGCACCTGCGCGACAAAGTTAGCGAACCTTTATTCCATGTGCACCATCGCCCAATTCTAGGGTACATGTAGAGTAGCATATCAGACAGGAGCAGAGTACTCCGATATGCATTAAGATGTCATCCCGCGTGTGGCTTCAGCCCCCTGCGCCACCGGCACCTTTCGCCCTGAAGCTAGGATTAGCGCGGCGGTCTAACCTGGTCTGGCGTAGTGCGTGGATTGATGGATGCACGGGTGATTTCGGATGTGATGACTGCTGGTGGACGGATTCGGGAGCTCTGTGCAACACCGGCGGCCGGATGGGGATGGGTGGGGACTGTTTACATTGGTATAGGGTTGTTTGAGGGTTTTGGGTAAAGAATTCGGTGGGATTACTTTTGGGTCGATGGACTTGAAATGAGACTTTGCTTGGTAGGGTTGTATGGGGCTAAGCACTATGTGGTCGGGCTCGCAAATGGTGATGGTCTCTTCCGGTTCTGGGAAGAGGCGTGTAGCATAGATAGGCCTTGGTGCTTGATTATTTTTCGCCTTGACTTCCAAGGTTGGATACATAGATTGGAATCTACGGTTCTGGAGATTCACATGTGCATGTACAGGTCGAGGTCTGTGTGTTAGACAGAGTTCGGCCCAGATTTGGTAGTTTTCTATTGATAGCGGTACGAGATGCATGGCTGTAGCGTTGATTGGGTGAGATACTTAAGCCAGTATCTAGCATATGCTATATGTGTACTTCGCATTTGCACAGGCGCTTCCTGTGACATGGAAGGTTTGAGCGCAACGCAGTGATCGCCGGCGCAATATTATATCGGGATGGTGGCTATAGCCCTCTGCCGCGAAAGAATCTAATTCCAAAGTTACACTATCCTTAGTCCCTAGTACGTTCCCAATCTGGAGCGTCTGTGTACTTAGACGCCCTAAGGGGAAAGTCTGGCGCGGGGATCAGATCCCCCGCAGAGGTTGAGACTAGTGTCTTGGTGTCAAAGCTGCGACGCCGGCTCACGCCATCATGCATCAGCCATTGACGGATGATCTGGGATTAGAGACCCGTATTAAGACTGGGGTGCATTGACCGACATAACGACATCTCGTTAGCGTCTATGAGTTATATGATGTGAACTGTTGATAAGGGTATAGCGATAGAGCAACTTGAACTTAATTGAAACACGAGCATAGTAGCAAGTAAGAAAAACAAAAACAAAAAACAAAGCAAAATTGGTATCTTGAAAGCAAACCAAACTCCGGAGGGACCAGGACAAGCTACATGTCTAGCAAATCATGTATACAAACTGTCAACTCCAACAACCTTGCATCGTCAATTTCTCACTCGGATGCGGCGAGGTGTGCACCCCGCATTAGACTGGAGTACACTCCGCTTGGACTCGGAGCTTCCGTCACTAGTGCTCGCGCTGCGAGTGGGGATACCACTCACAAAAGACTGCTCAGCAGCCGCCGCAATCTTAGCGGCCGGAGCAGTAAGCGTCGACGTACTTGGTGACTTGGGAGTCAATTTTCGGCGAGGCTTAGTGGGAGTCGAGGGTGCAGCGGATGCTGCAACTGCCACAGTGGGGGCCGAAGGAGCAGATCGCTTGCTGACACGACCACTGCCTGTTTTCACGGGTGTGCCCGAGACCATCGCCGACTCCCCCAGACGGCGCAGGCGTCGCGATCGCGGAGGTGCAGTAGTAGGTGCATTAGCCGGGCCTGGGGTACTCTCGGACTCTGCGTTGCTCGATGACTCTTGCAGCTGGCTACGACTGCTGCGCTGGCTAGATGCTCTTTTCTCGGGGCGTGTTGATGCAGATCGTGATCGGGTACTCTCTTCAACGTCATCGCTGCTGCTGTTGCCCTTGTCCCCGGAAACTTCTGGGCTTTGCCTCTCATCCTCGTATTCCGCAAGCTGTTCATCATTCCAGGTCACGCTCTTCCGAGTAGATGAACGGCTGACACCTTTACGATCACCTTCTGTTTGAGATGTACCTTCGCTCTGCTCTTTGGCCAAGGCCTCGAGTACATATTGGGGAGGCACAGCATCACCCCTGTTTAGCCGAGTGTTCTTCTTCGTAGCTAATGCCAGCTCCTGGGCCTCGGTCCGCTGCAGGAAAATGAATTCGTTGCCTTTGGCCCGGCGCAAGGCGATAGTGTTGCGCACATGGGGAGGATTGACAGTGGGAGCCTTCACCCGTGTGCTTCGTCTGCAGGACGGACTTCCAGGTGCTGGCTCCTCCTCCATAATGACCTTGCTCACTTCATTCTCGGATGCTTCATCCCTGACAGGAACATCCAATTTGGTTACTGAATTGTCAGGCTTGGCTGGCGAAGGCGAATTTGTATCTAAAACATCCAGAGCACGACGTGACCGTGGTGTCGTCATTTCTGCCTCTGGTGATTCCTCAGCGCTAGATACCTTTTCAGTCACGTCGCCCTCTTGGTCCATCAACGCAGCCTTTGCCGCACGCTTGGCCTGTGCCTTCGACAAGAAATCATTGAGTAGCGCTGTATCCGATCCATCAAGTGAGCTGCGTAGAGCCGATCGCACTAATGTGCCTTTTCGTTGTTGTGTCAAATCGCGCACGACCTTCGTGGGGGTTGGTGCCATGTCCCGATTTTCATCATTGACCGCAGTGTTGATCATTGCGCACTGCTCCTGAACAATAGCCCCAGACGCTGGGCTTTTCGCCCCATCTGAGTCAGAGACACCATTGAAGGTTCGATTCATGTGATCATTGAAAATGGTTGTCTTCAATGGGCTGCGAAGAGAAATAAGGGGCACGTCCGATTCCTTCATACCCTCATCGCTCTCATTGTCTCGCAAACCTTCGTGGTAAATATCAATTGGAGCATCCGGTAATTTGCCTGCGATCTGCCATTAACGAAGAACTCCAAGAAATACATATAGGCAGACCAGAACTCACGACGCTTCTGGCCTCTCTCGGGCTCCCATTTGGTCTCAAGAAACGAGCGCACTGGCCCTTGCATTTGAATGCTCGAGCGCTTTTCAGGCTTGTCAGCCCCGACACGCAGACGCTTCACGCCTCGCGCGTAACCGGCGTCCCGGGATGCATTTATGGCTGTCTGAAATGCACCCTGCTCGGTCATTGTTGACGTTTCAAGCGACTTCATACCGGAGAACGATGTTTGGAAGCGCTTCCACAGCTTTCGCGATTTTGCACCCGCCTGGAAGGGAGTAGATGGTTTGCGTTCCCAAAGATGGGGAATTGCGCGCAAGGCTTTAATGGGGGTGAAGCTAAACGAGCTATCGGCTGCAGGCTCGGAGGGGCCACTATAATAACATGCACAAGAGTGCTTCGTATTAGTTATAGGCTCAAAGACCGTGGCTAAGCTCATGCGCCCATCCAAATGTGTGTTGTTACACAGCAAAACACAACAGATTTGAGATGGAACAACCCCTCGGCCAAAAGGGGCTCTGCGAGTAGAGCAATGTAGTTCGAAGAACGAAATGCTTCACTCAAGAAATAAAAACTTGAAAAGAGAAATCGACCCACCATGCTTGGGCCTGCGGCGAGGCAGGACCGGCGCCCATTGTTGGTGTTGGCGCGCGGAATGTGTCAAAGAGCGTCACTGGAATCCGAGCCGAGGAATCTGCGACGAGTCGCACGGATCGATAGAGGTATGAAATGCGAAAGAAGATAACCCTGATGAATATAATGAAAGCCAAGTATCCGACAGGAGTGTCACTAAGGATGTTGGAGACCAACAAAAGATGATGCGAATCCCCGTTTAGGTTTTGACACAAACGAGGTGGATGGTTGCCCTGCCAACACACCGCATGGTTTGTCCCCGCGGCCAAATTGGGTAGCGATCCCACTAAGCAGGACTAGTCGCTGTCCAGGTGGCTTAGTATATAAATACCCCTTTGCTATTTGGTCATCGAGACTGAATGTATATTAGGATTGTTAATCCATGGGTGAGTTGTGACTTTGCTTGAGTCTACCAATAAAGACCACTTCAGTGTTATGACTAGGTATTCAGTATTCGGAATGAACTGCTGCTGGTTTGCAAAGTCTGTTTAGGAGCGTATCTGTTTAGCGACTCCCTTTACTTGGGCACGAGACCTCTAGAACCCTTGGCCTAGGGATGTCCACTAGGTACTACTGGCGGACTATGTAGTGTATGGACGAAGAACTCGCCCATGGATGATTCCTATGGGGACAGCGGCCGGTTTTCTATACCGCCGGTCATACCTAATGCCAAAATCATCGATTGTAAAATTGGCAGTTGATAAACATAAGGAATAAAAATCACGTCTTTCTTATTCTAGGGAACAGGCTCATATGTCTAGGTACTTAGATCGGTTGTAAAATTACGAATAACAAGTATATAGTAAATGATTTTTTTGTATTTTGAATATCATATCTCATCAATCATATCGTATACTGACACCGCAAAGCTGGCAAAATGCAATAACATAGTTACTTTTTCATCATAGACTTCAGACATTCATCAAGCGTCAAACACGCTCATTGAGCGACTTGTTCAAACCAGGCTCATCGAATGGCTTATTCAATTCGCGCTCATCAAACGGATCACCAAATTCATCTTTATAACACGAGTCAATTAGAAGGATCATAATCAGAAATTGATCAAGGACGTCACGTACTCAGATTAAAGTCCTTGTCGACTACATGGTCCATTGCCCGCTGAAAGTCTTCCTTTGCACGCTTGCCCTTCCACGCCGCAATGACGTGGTCTGTCGCCTTAGCCGGTCCAGTCCCTGTCGGAAGTTCGACACCCTTCGGTTTGTTCATTGTCGTAGTACTGGGGGCTTGTTGTGGTTGTGAACCGGGCGGGGAGAGCTCTGATGCGGCGGCCGCAGTAGCTTGAGGGTTGTGAGTTGGGGTGCGCGCGCCATTGCCCGGGACATCGGAGACAGAGTCAACAGAGGAGGCCATTTCGGAGTCACCGTCGGGGTCTTTGGAATCTTTGAACATGATTTGTCAGCGGATATGATTCTTTCGATATGGAACGTTCATGGGGAGGGGAGAGCTCGGCGTAGGGCTGAATAGAAAGGGCCTTGATGCTCGACCGACAAACGAGGGGTTTAGTAGAGTTTATGAATTGACTTACCGATTGCCATCACTATGCAGGAAGCAACAAGGCTGGTCAGATGGTTGTGAATGTTCGGGGACGAGGTGACGATCAACTAAGATCGGATGGGGGCAGAGCGGAGATACCAACAAGATGGGGCGGTGGCCGCTCTTCTTTGCAGCCCGAATTTTCTTTTTCTTCCTACCAATCCTATATACATGCACATAGTGCCGAGTGCTTATTTATTCTTGTCTGCAGCATTTACCTTTCTTGACCTCTGACATCTTTTTCTTATCCGTTTAAATTACGTTTTTGTTTGCAATGAGCGCAAAACCACAAGTTCCCGATGCATGGGATGACGACTGGGAACCCCGAGCAGATGTAAGTTGAATTCCCCAAGCCCTGGATCATATGAGATAACGAGGTGCAAATTTGATATTGCTTATCGTATTGATGCTGTCCATATGCGAATGACTTACTTATATACTGGGATCTTCTACAGGCGCTAGCCAACGAGCCTACCCCGCCGACCGAGAAGAAAGTCTCGTCCAAAGTCACCAAAGCCCAGCGAAGGGCACAGCAAGCTGAATTCAATCGACAACTATGGGCGGAAGCGTATGTACTGGATTTGCAAGATGACGAAATGAGGAATCTCAACTCTGACTAGGTTCCCAGTGAAACCCCGCAAACATTCCACTTTGTCGAAGCTCGATCCGACGTCCCCCTCAAACAGGATATAAAGCCCGCTGTTACGCTTCTCAGCCGGAGACCACAAATTGCGACCCGACAATCAGGAAGTTCTGGTGTTAATTCTGCAACCGCTGGACTTAGCCAACTGGGCCTGGACGATGATGGTGATTCAGACGAAGAGGCTAATAAAGCCCCCGAACCGACCTTTGAGGAACGACAGGCAATCGCACTGAAAAACCGAGAGGATAGGCAGCGCAAGTACGAAGAAGCCCGAGAGCGGCTTTTTGGAAGCCCGTCCGCGAACACTTCGGGAAATTCGTCGCCGGGGACTACAACCCCACCCCGTCAGCAGTTCGGTGAAGGAAGGGGTAAAGGCAAGGGCCGAGGAGGCAGAGACCAGCAGAAAAGAGATTCGTCTACGGCCTCAAGCAAGTCGAAACATCTATACGATCCAACCACATCGGTCAGGTCCAATGGGCCGCCTCTACAAAGGCGAGATCGTCCCGGCGATCGGAGCGATTCTGAAAGGCAGAGCTCCCCTGCCTCCCCTGCTTCACCCGCTCCGCAGCAGCCTACTCGTCATCCTCGAGGCCCTGATGCAAGTGGAAGAGGTGGCTTTAGATTCAACAGAGGTTCGAGAGGGAGCTAAGGTACACTGTCGAAATATCCTCATCACTTCATCCTTACCTGTCATCCTCAGCGTTGCGTCACGGCATGATCATAAAGGAGACATTCAAGGAAGGGAACGTCCCGAATTGATCGCATTGGCTAGTAGAGACGTGTTCGGGCGGTTCTCTGCCATTCAGCGAGATTCACTGTCAGCGCCTTACCAAGGTAGTGGACTGGATATAGAAACTCACCAGCATATCGCGCATAGCTCTCGAGATAGAGTTCATCTGTGCTGGTTGTTGCTCGAACCTGATCATTGGTTTCTATGGCATTTACCCAAGAAGCCCATCGGCTTCCCTCTTCGGCATTTGGCCAGCCTCGGTAGGGCTTTAGAACCCGGTTAAGTCGAACAACCCATGGCGCAGCTTGGACGTCGACAAAGGAAATTTGTCCCCCCATGAAAAATGGGCCTCGAGGATGTGCGGCCTCGATCAATGTATCGAAAGCAACCCGGAGCTCTTGGGCATTTTCGATCTGCTTCTGCTGGTCCTGCTCTTGCAATACCCGATAGAATGCTGGGACAATATTTCGGTTGACCTGGGAATCGTCAGCAATGGGTAGCGGATCTGAATGGAACAAACGTGGTTTTCTCACATGATCTGCCCATAGTCGACAGTGGGCTCGCAGTTTCGGGTCGGCTGGAAGAAGGGACGCCCCAACATTCAAATCCTCAAGCTACGGTGATTTCGTCAGCGCGAGATACGAAAGGCCATCCCGGGATCATCTTACATATTCCATGAGCACTGTGCTCTCATGGCATCCCCAGTTATCATGCTGCAATGCTGGGACAAGCCCACGTGGATTCAATTCCAGCAGGGACTGAGGTTTTTCGTAAGGATCTACTTCGATATACTGGTATGGTATGCCTTTGAGTTCCAATGCGATCCAAACTCTTTGCACGAATGGGCTTGATATTCAGTCAGCGTTGAAGGGAAAGTATTAGCTGGGAGAAGTCACTGACCAGAAGCAACTTCCATACAACTGGAGATTTGTCTCCAATGCGTGGTTCGCAGCTGTGACGGCGGCTAATCCCGTCGCTTTTGTGTGGTATGCTTTCTTTTCACCAGACATGATTCGGTGCTGCGGGTTGATGTCAGAAAGATTTCAAGCGACTAATAATCTCAAGAAAGCCGGTCGAAAGAGATATTTCAATAGCATTCAGTGAATGAAAAGATACTCGCGAGCAGGCAGTGGAACCAAGCATCAAGAGTGACGTAGACATTGCCAAGTTACCTTGCGGGGAATGCCAAGCCCTCAACCCATCTGCATAGGAAATGAAGATACGTACCCCGGATTTTCTCCTATTCTTATCTTCCTTCAAAAAGTGTCGCTGCACGCTATTCTTCTTGACGCGATCACTTTCCTCAAGTGTATGCCGGTGCCCACCACTCACACCGTCATTTTTTCCATTGGCACCGTTTCCATTCACCCGCTGGATGGTAAAATACCGTTGCCCACTCGCGCCCGGATGTCCGTCCGGGAAAGTGGTATTTGGTGTAAGAACACCAAAGGGCTGGGGATTCTGGACCGGAAACAATGTATGGACTCCAGGTAGTAACTCAGCTGGTAACGATTCAAAACCGCCAGTCGTATCATTTCCTACACTGCCGGGCAGATACTCGGTAATCTTAATCTTCACGTCGCAGAGGTCCCGTTCCCTGGCGGTACGTTTGCGCTTCTTCTTGTTCGGATCGTCAGACTTGGGTGTTCCCGGAGGCCGTCCCTTCAGACGACAGTCCCAGTAATGGGAGACCATTGATCGACGCTTATATCTTTGAGTCGATCGATGAGAGTAGACGTTATCAACATGGGGAAAGTAGGTTTGAAATCTATGGTAAGCATGTTAGTCCCCCAGGTGCATTCCAATGCACACGGAATAATAATTCGCGATCAATAATTCCGATAAAACGTTTGAAATTTGCAGACTACATACTGCTCTTCAGTCAAAGTAATGACATCGTCGGCATGAAACAGTCGATTTCTCCAATACTCAAGATCAGGGGGATCAGGAATCAACCTCATCCCCGTCAGCTGACCCGCGAAGTTCGCTGCCTCCGTGTCCTCAGCCTCCAGTCCATTATAGGCCCCCTGGAAAGAATGCTCTGCAGGCTGGAGGACCATTCCATGTGGATGGGTTGCTAGGTGTTCTTCAGTCTGCAGAGCTATGGCATTCTGGAGAGGCTGTTGCGGGGCATTATCGATAGACCGAAAGGTCGTAAATGGCTGTGAATCAGGGAACGGGCCGAGCGGTGGGGCCAGACCGGGAGAGTCGATCGGGATCGATGATCCCAGACGAGGTGATGCATTCATGGGTGGAGTGGCGTGCTGCTTTTGGCAGTGCGGAGAAGAAGGGACGTTGTGGTTGAAGCGGCGTGGTGTGCGGAGACGATAAGGCTGGCCTTATCACCCGTATCACTTGATCGCGAAAATGAACTTTTGTATTGCATCATGTATACAGTCCCGCCCAAATTCGCCTTCCACGTTGGAGATAGAGACACACTCTTTCAACTCCTAATTATATAATCCACTATTCCAGGTATGGTTACTTCTGTATTTTAAGTGTTGTTCCGATACTGTACCGTAAAATTTCAGTCGGAACAGTGCTGTAAGTCTATGTTTTATTTTTAACTGCAAAATTGTGGCTCGTCTGAGTCATGGTGCGTCGTCGTTCCTGATTGGCTAGTGGCTGATTTGTGGTGTCGCTAGGTTGTCTGTCACCCAGGCACGGTCCACAAAACCAGTCTAAAAAGACCCCAGACATAAAATAACTTAACCTATGCATGACAATTTCAAGCTGGTACAGTGGTGTTTCATGAGTCTGAGTCCACTAGTGATGACATAATATACTGCCGGTCGAACAATCTCACTATTTCCTGCATTATCCACTCAAATTTCATGTTTCGAAGGAGACAGATACAGTCATTCTCGAATTCTCCTTGACCAACATACACTGAGAAACTCTGTCCTGGCCCCACCACCAAGTCTTTAATGGACATCGGAATCACGTGAATATAATTATATGGTCGCTAGATAGAAGCCGTCTCGCGTCAGCGTCATTAGATAGGACCGTCAGGATCTAGGATGTAGCTACTAGCCAATGCGCGCTAATACTTAAGGGGCATAGCTACTTAGTCACTTCGATTACCTAGTCTAAAGACGGAAGCCGGCTTATATTAGCTTTAGACGATACGGCTATTAGGTTCTAGAATCCGGCCACTAGCTAGTGCGCGTTAACCCTTAGACGGTATAGCGATTCGGTCACCTTAATTACGTGGTCGCAAGATAAAAGCCGGCTCGCATCAGCATCCCGGGATAACACTATTAGGATCTAGGACCCGGCGACTGGCGAGTGCGCGTCGATCCTCGAAGGGCATAGTGATTCGGTCGCCTCGATTGCATGGTCGCAAGATAGGTGCCAGCTCGTATCTACGTCATCTAATAAGATAGCCAGGATCTGGAATCTAGCCACAGGCCAGTGTACGTCAGTCCTCAAGGGGCATGGTTATTCTATCAACTTAGTCGCCTGGTCGCGTGAAAGTAGACTCGCATCGGCGTCTTCTAATAAGACAGTCAGGATCTAGGATCTGGCCACAGGCTAGTGCTTATCAATCTTTACGGGACATAGTGAGCCGGTCACCTCGATTGCGTAGTCACAAGATAGAAGACGACTCGCATCGGCATCTTCTAATAAGACTATAAGGATCTGGGATCCGGCCACCGGCCAGTGCTTATCAACTCTCCTAGTTAACTCTCCCAGCTTCCTTCAATTCAATAAAGTGGAACTCAATCATTTGCACACGATTTCTAGCACATTTAATCTAGAGGTTTTAGTCTCTATGGCTTCCTCTCCACATCGTTTAGCCTCCTTGCCAGAATAGTATAGGTATAGCTTAAATAATGACCGTTCTTAGATAACCTAGAATAGAGTCAACCTCCTATATTTACCTACGGGGTATCGGCCGACCTTATCAGCAGACTTTGCTATATCTAGATCTACCGTGGCAATTAGCTATTCGTCGGGTCGTGTAATATTCCTAACGCTCTCAAAACACAGGATTGCTCTTTCTGGCTTTTAATCAGTAACCATGTTTGCTAAGACAGCGATGATTCCTCTTCACGGCACTCTACAAACCCTTGAATTAAATGCGTACTCATTAGGATCAATCAATCAATCAATCAATTGAAATTCTATTAACCCGCCATCGGCTGCCGAAAGGGCTATGTTCGCTCGCAAACAACAGGACCCTAGTCGAGAGAGTAGTTCGCCAATGATATCGTTCGTCAGGATGTTCCTTAAGCCAAAGAGACACCTCTAGAGTGATGACCGGCAGAAGGCATACATGCCTTGTAAGCTGAGTTAGTTGAAGTCATCTAGCAGATAGTCCTTGACGGAATTTTCAGGCATCCACATAGGTTTCCATGGAGTTCCATTGCTCTTGTACGTATTTTGTAATATTACGTAGCAAGATACAGTACCATACTACCATACAAGCTGCATTATACTGTGTCCCTCCATTTAGCACGGCCCGCTTAATGGTTGATCTACGCTAAGGTCTTGGCGGTGGGTCCAGAAAATAGTTATCAAGTGTATATCGGTCAAGCCGATTTCGAGAATCACTGTAGAGACTAATGTTAGAATTTGAACAAAGTTCCTCAAAAAACAACTTAAAGTCGATTGAATGATAATTTACAGACCTGTCAAGTTCGCGGTGGAAGCAGAAGACTAGGCGGTAGAGCGAGGGTGGACTCAGACTCATGGAACACCACTCACCACTGTACTGTAATAGTTAGGTGAAGTTTGTTAACCAGTCAATGACTCGGCTAACTGGGATTACTTTTCTGCTTGGTTATTCATCTCAGCTAGCCAGGAGTAATATTGGGTGTTTGGCCTGTCGGACATGCCCAATAACGCCCGGACACGTCACCCAGTTCAGCTTGTTTTGTCCCTCTCAGCTCGGACGCTGAAATAGCGTGGAGCTCGTGATTGATTAAATAGGGGGGGGGGGGGGGGGGCAGCGACATATATGCACAGTAAGTAATCTTGTCAACTAACGCACGCTTGCAAGAATGGCTTCCAGTGACACAGAACCACCTGTTGTAATAGCTGAGCTAGTCAACCTCTTAAAAGAGATCAAAGAGCTGCTGAAGGCCAGAAATAACCAGCTGGAAGGGTCTTCGACTTCTCCTTTCGACAATTCTCGAGCTATACAACTGGCAGAAAAATCGAAAAATGATTTCCCATCCGCGTTGAATATAGGTGCAGAGACATTGGTAAGGGACAGTCAGTGTGCTACGCCCGCAGCTCGTCCTTCTTACGATGACACCGCACGCTACTCGAGTGGAAACGATGGGGTTGAGGACAGTTTGCATCCTGACGGGGCCGACAGAACCAGATATTATATGATGCCTTATCATCGGACGGAGGTCTACACCTTTAAGCCTTTTACGATGCTGCCCTGTCCTGTAGAAACTAGGGAGTCGTTGTTTATAGCGGGGTCGAGCTGGAAATATTGTGAGTAACGAGTCACGGATTGACAACAGCTGCTGATGTATCAACGCCAGGGCGACCTATTGCGGAGGTTCGAAATACCGATGTGGCAGTCAATTCGCTTTCCCCAGGAAGAGGTTATCCTAATTACGTGCCCGAATGGGAAATCATTCAAGTGGATAGAGAGTGGTATCATATAGACGGAATGAAGCTCAGCTCGGAAATCGATTTTTCGCCCGATGACGAATTTGAGGAGGAAGAACGACTAGTGCCGTACTCCCTGCTGCCGTGCGACGAGCCAGAAACCCACTCTGCACTGTCCGGATTGAACGATCTCCGTGGGATTCTGAGTGAGACTTTCGGGAACCTCCATTCCGCTCCCGCCCACACGATATATTTTGCATTTGACAAAGACCGCTTGCGCGATTGGAATAGTGCGAGTTCATCCTCTTCATTTTCTCGTTATCTGGCGTCGGCACAATCTCTATTCAAGTTGTTGGAGAATCATGGCGGGGCCTTCGAGATTGCTGACCTCGATGATACGAATCAATTCACTGTTTATGGATATCAAGCAGATAGATCACAGTATGGGACGCAAACAGAGACAGACCCGCGTGTACTGTCACGAGCCGCTCTTCATGCGGAGGAGTTTACCATCAATGTGCCTCCAGTCCGCTGCATGCTGAAAAAACGAGCCGGGCAGCCCGCCATCTTTATACGCTCAGGGCCTATTCGCTGGTATCGCATCATCAGCTTCCGAGGGCTGGCGGCTGTCATAGACCCTGAGTATAACCTCTTAACTGACCACAGGAGATTCAGTGCAATACATGCCTTCAGCATAATCTTTCAACAACGATACCTGAACCTCATGTATGATGATGTATGGAAGCTACATATCGATTGCAGGAGCCGTAGCGAAGCTGCAAACCCATTTGAATCAGATTGTGCAGCTTTCCATATCACTTGGTTTAGAATCGGCCCCGACAAGAAGTGGCCAGAATTCAGCAACTGGAAGTCTGGCAGGTTGTACGGCACCACCGACGAGGATCATTTGGAAGAGGTGGCATTTACGATGTGTTTTTACCCGTCAAGAGGTAGCGACGAAGTGGACAACTTGGACACTTTGGATGTATTCGAGAAGCCTTTTCGGACCGCTCCAGAACGCATCCAGTACCTCAAAGAATCTGGCTACTGGTACTGGTGCGTGCTCGTTCTGGCTCCTGCCCATTTTGACGCGATTTCGAGTCGGTACCGGCGCCCACGAGCAATTAATGACGGTGGCCACTTAGAGCCAGTACGACTGATTCTGGAGGCTCTCAAAGATGCTGCCGATTCCTGGGAAGCGATTGCGGAACATCTCACTCGCGTTATAAACACGCGGGGCGCGATTTTTGATCCAGACCTGCACGATCGACTGTTGTTTGATGATGATGCGTTCTCGCGATCGCGGTTATACTTCTGGGCCATTGACAGCTTAGAGCTGTTCATCCCAACCATCGCTGCAAATATTCGAGAATGGGAGAATTTCTGGAAAGCTCGCAAGTTTCTCCTGGGATGTTATAACACCGGTTCTCCCGGCGAACCGCCACGCATGCTCAATGAAATTTATGAGAGCGTTCTACAACAAATTGAGGAAGAGGTCTCCGGCTTGGCGGCGTTGAAGGCTAGGCTGGAGCTCTTGCGAGAACAAATCAAAACCCTTAGGGATGGTGTAAGTCGGAAATCCCACTACACAGAAACAATGTATACTTACTAATCGTGTATTATAACTAATCAGTTATTCAACGCCAGTGCGGTCATCGAGTCTAGGGCAGCCACTGAACTGGGTCAATTTGAAGCTCTTGACGTATTTCAGTATCGTCTTCCTACCACTTAGCTTCTGTGCAGCCCTTTGGAGCATAGACTACAGCTACCACACGGCGGTTTTTATAGGAATTACTGTACTCCTTTCGACAACGACATATCTGATAGTGATGAATCTGAACAATCTCACTCAACTTGGCAAGGGGCTCTACCAGCACCCTCGCAAAAGTATCATAAAATCTATGAGGAACGACGCTGACTGGGGCTCAATGGGAGAAAGGTTCAGTCGATTCCGACCGGAGCGTCAGAATAATACCCCTACTGAGTGGTACATTCTCGTTTTTTTGATGTTACAGCTGTGGAAAAGGGGCACAGGGATCTGGTTCAAGTTGCGGACGAAGACCAACAAATCAGATTTATAGAATAAGCTCTTGGCTCAGTTGTATACAGTTAGCATCGACGTGTTCTTTCTCACGCTGGCTAGACCAAAAAGATAAGTCAGCAGAATGTCCGCAGTGAGAGTTTAGAATGGCTTTTTGCGATAAGGATGCAGTCGGAACAACAGGTGAGTGGATCATACGGGTGCACCAATTGGATTGTTCACTGGTCTTGACTGGTCTCAACTGCTAAAAGGCCCCCTAATTGGCAGTTTGGATGGGCTCAAAATACATGACTAATCTTGACGGGAGATAGTATATCCTGCCTCCGGGATCCACCTATTTGCTGCGTTCCAACAGGTATTCCAGACTTCTAATTATAGGCTCTTGTATCCGTCCTACAATCTATAAAACGAATTAGTATTATTACAGGTAGGTACAAAACGTGTTTACTTACCGTATCGTGTGATTAGGGCTTGAAAGACTATCTCTATGTTTCTAACATGGAAGGCGATATCGGGCGCCACTGTATGTAAGTATTGCATGGTTGGTAAAGATCCCAGATCTTGGTTCTATTTGGCTAAGAGGATTCACTTTAATTGACTCGAATCATTCGTCTCTGCCATCGCATCGTCCTGAAAACCCCGGTTTCATCATCATAAAGACTAATTAAATGTGCTTCTTCCCAGCACGCTTCTTATCAGCTTCCTTGTTGGAGAATGGAAACCCAGCTGTCCTCTTGTCCGCACCAGTTCGGCGACTGATCTTGCCGTCGCTGCTTGCGAACAACACACACCAGAGTCCAATAAAAGCAAGGAGCGAGTTTCCAGCCACCGCAACCGCTAATACACTCTGTCCCCCGGTGACATACCAACTGTATGTGTAAAAGGCCGAGAGAGCGTGAAACACGGAAGTCGCCATGAGAGTTGGTAGGGCATAAGGTGCCTTGGGGTCCGAGTCTTGGGTAGTAACAGGCTCAGCAATGCTGGCTGCCAGAGGGATCGAGCCCGTGAGCATCACGGTCAACACGGCTACGGTGAGAAGACTGAAGCCGAAACTTCGGGCAAAGTAAATTTCCATGGCTAGAGGATAACCCAAGTTGTTAATATAGACCTTGCTTTGTCAAAATCAGGGCTGAACGAAGTCACATACAGCTGGCTGGCCGAGTCTCATCCGAAAGCATGGCTACGATCATGCTTGGTCCGCCAATCAAAGGCACACTTTGTAACGTGAGCCACCCTGCTGTCGAGTAAGTGTAGGCTTGAAAGACCTTGAGCACATTAGTGTTAGCGCTGAAGCGAATGTCATGTCGACTATTCACGTAGGCGGATATTGGGATATCCAGGGTGCTTACATCCATAATGACGTGACTTTGTGAAAGAGTAAGTGTTGGACTAGAGAAGTGGGAATTAAAATATTGAAGAAACTTTTTGCGTGCCTGTGAAGCAAAAGGAAGGAACATTCGGAAGTTGCGAATGAAGCTCAAGCCTTGAAGTGAATACTAACCTTGTGACGTCACTATATTTGTATCGTTTGCACCAAGCTGCCCCAGTTGGTTCCGCACACATGATGGTACACAGAAGAAACTCTTGGTATATCCCTGTGTATAAGAACTCAAAATACTTGGATCAAAGCGAAATGTACATGTTTTCATACATCATAAAGGGTTCCTGGGGCCCGTCTAGTTAGGCATTTTAGTGTAATTACGTACTGTAGTAGTTTTGGAATATTTCTGCAAATCCACTACCCTAGGTTGGAGATGCAAGAAATTGATCGATTTGGAACATAAAAATTGTAGTAGGTATGCAATTGAATGAATATTTATTTATTTCTCATTTGAATCGTTCAACATAGCGCCTTGGTACCACCAACTCCAGAACCGCAATCAACTCCAGTTGGAGGCCTGATATCTTCACTGATTGATTTGGCTAGCCCGCAGATATCTTGTGAAGCTGTTATCTTGGTCTGAAGGTGTAGATTGAGACCCCGACAGAGCTTCCTGGTAACGACTAGAGAGGCCCTCATCGTTACCGGCGCTGGGTCCTACATACTCCTCCTCGCTATCATCCTCTCCATCTGCCAGCCCACGCTTAATGATATCATCCTCCTCGTCTTCTGCCTCACTGACAGTCTCTGGCTCTTGATTCGGCCGGCGACTAGACCCGCTGACGTTCATGTCTTGCATCAGCTTGCCCAGCTCCATCTCTCGCCGAGAATCTTTGCTTTCTTCACGCTCCTTCTTCTTGCGCTCAAGCTCGGGCTTGTAGTCACGCTCGAATTCTTGTCGCTTGGTCTCAACAGCTTCAAAAAACTCGTCGACTCCATCACCAGTCATGGAGCTCACGCCGACAACGCTCAGGTGTCGATAGAACTCTTCCAACATTAAGCTCATGCTGTTCAAAAGTGATCCCATGTATCCGCTTCCGGCTCCAAATCCACCAATACCGCCCTCACCTCCGAAGGCACCTGCTTCCTCTTCCTCCCGCAAAGCCTCTTGGAATTTGTCAAAGTCAGTCATCCATTCCTTCGCAAATTCGGCATCTTTCACATCGGTCTTGTTGAAGACCAAAATCATCGGAAGCTTGGTCTTGTAAAGAATACTGCAGGCATAGAGCATGTTGCTCATGAAAGTGCTGGTTGAACTGGCGCGCGGGGTATCGATGACATATGCGATAACAGTCGGAAAAGACGAAGCGAGTGTCTCCAAAAGAATGCTACCAGAGGCACTCCACACGAAAACCTCGATCTGACCAGGGGTATCGACCAGAATGTGCTCGATTTGCTTTGCAGTGGGGTTCTCCGGGTTGGGAGCAGTACGCTTCTCCAGCAGGGAAATGATCTGGTCGACTTTGGTGGCGAACAAGTTCAGGGATGTCAGGATTCCACCATTTGGTCCAAGGTTATATTGCTTCATGACCTCCTTGTAGTTGATCGAATCCCGGATATCGATGTTGCTCTCGAAGGGTACCGAGTGCACCGCGGGGTCGAGGTTAAGCACATACGGCACTTGTTGTTTTGAGTGAAGGTGTGAGTTAATTCGTTGCATGAATGTAGTCTTTCCAGAGCCTAAGAAGCAAGTCAGTATTTATGCTCCATTTGCCATATTCAGATGAGAGCTGATCGCCTTACCTGCCATGCCCACGCAGACGACGGAAACTGGAGGCGCCATGATGACAGGTAGTGTTTGGCAAGACGGCTATACAGGTATAATTGTGAAAATAAGCCGATGAAACAGTGGGAATCACTTCAAGCTTGAATTGACCAGAAGTGGTGAAAGCGCAAGAAGTGGAAGCTCGGTTTTTTTTTTGCTGAAATTCTTTTTAGTCGCGGGGAAGATCTGCCCGCGCGCCTGGACCGCCCGGCATTAACGTCATTCCGCCTCAACTTTCTCCTCTCCTTTCATATCACACAGCAACACGATGACTCTGGAGGATTTTGAAAAATCATTGGCGCAGGATCAGGAGAAGAGAAGGGAGACTAGTGACCGGGATCGAAGTCACCGAGATCGTGATCGCGACCGCAGCAAAGACCGATCATCGCGACACCATCATCATCACCGGTCCAGCCACCACCACCGACGCCATTCGTCGCGATCTCGCGAACGGGGAAGTGAAAAGGATCGCGAGTCCCGACACCGAGATAACGATGGCCACAGACATAAGCGCTCGCGCCGTTCAGATAATCAAGGGGACGATGAGGACCACGCGCAGAAGCGTCGACACCGCTCCAGCCACGATGAAGAAGAGTCCTCTGCGCCTAAAACGATCACTCTTGAGGAACCTAGCCAGCTGAAGCGAGACTCTTGGATGCAGGCTCCCTCTGCGCTCGATGTCGAATACGTTCATCGACGGGATACTACTCGAATGGAAGAGGTACCGAAACCTACAATGCTTCAAGCCGACTTTGAGCTTAAAATCCATGATAAAGAGCTCAACAGTCATCTTCGTGATCTCAAGGATGGAAAGCAGCTTGACGATATTCAAGAGGAGCCATCACAACATGAAGTGGATTACACGTTTGGAGACTCGGGGTCTCAATGGAGAATGGCCAAGCTCCAAGGTATCTACAGAGAAGCCAAGGAAACCGGCAAACATGTTGACGATGTTGCCCTCGAACGCCTTGGGGACCTTCGAGCCTTCGATGATGCGCGCGAGGAAGAAACGGAGATGGATCGACGCAAGATGTACGGCAAATCCTACGTCGGCAAAGACAAACCGAGTGGCGAGCTGTTCCAAGAGAGAAAATTCCGAAATAATATCCGCAGAGACCGACAAGACCATCTTCGCGATCCAGCGGATGACCTTCAAGCTGAAGGACAGGGACAAAAAATGGATGTTGAGCCCCCGGCGCACACTACCCAGATTTTGGATCCTACCGCATTGAATCGTCTTAGGGCACAAATGATGAAGGCAAAATTGAAGAACGCCCCGAACGCGGCTGAGCTCGAAGAGCAATATATTGCTGCAGCTGCGACCATGTCTAACCGCAAGGAATCTGATATTGTTGTACTAGGTGTTCAGCAGAATCGGATGCTTGCTGGCGCACGGAATGAAGTCGTGCCCGTTGACAACAAGCGGGGCCGCGAAAGGGGTCTAGTGCAGGCGAATGAAGACATGACTATCGAGGATATGGTTCGTGAAGAACGCAAGACTCGGGGCCAAGCCGGAGGAGAAGGCAAGCGGTTAGCAGAGCGCATTGCGGGTGATGGCAAATTCGAGGTAAGTTTGTTGGATTTTACTAAATTCAATTATCCTCGAGTTTCTAACTAGCCTATAGAACGAACTTGAGTACATGGATGACAATGCTTCCAAGCTGGCAAAGAGAGTTCATCGCTCTGAAATCGACATCAAGAACGCGACGGTCAATGAATTCCGTAAGATGAACAAGATCTTGGACAACTGCCCGCTTTGTCATCACGAAGATACCAACACACCCCCGATTGCACCAGTTGTTTCCCTCGCAACTAGGGTTTTTCTTACCCTTCCCACCGAGCCCGAAATTAATTCAGGGGGTGCCACAATTGTACCAATCCGGCATCGGAACAATTTAGTAGAATGCGATGATGATGAATGGGAGGAAATCCGAAACTTCATGAAGAGCCTCACACGCATGTATCATGATCAAGGCCGAGATGTTATCTTCTACGAGAACGCAGCTCAACCACAACGCAAGCGTCATGCTTCTATGGAGGTGGTTCCCCTTCCGTATAGTCTTGGAGAAACGTCTCCTGCCTTCTTCAAAGAGGCAATTCTCAGTGCGGAATCCGAATGGTCCCAACACCGCAAGCTTATCGATACCCTTGCAAAGTCCAAACAGGGACTGGGACGATCTGCATTCCGGAAAACCTTAGTGAAGGAAATGCCCTACTTCCACGTCTGGTTCGAACTGGATGGTGGTCTGGGACACATCGTTGAAGATGAGAATCGCTGGCCTCGTGGCGATTTATTTGCTCGTGAGGTCATTGGAGGCATGCTTGATGTAGCTCCCGACGTCATCAAACGCCAGGGTCGCTGGCAACGGGGAACCGACCGAAGGGTAGAACCGTTCAGAAAGCGCTGGAGAAAATTTGATTGGACTCGCATCTTAGTTGAAGGATATGAGTGATGGTGGAGCTATACTTCCTGTAAACTATTTTTTTTTTGCTTCAATTGATTCCACCCGCTCAAGCAGAGCGCTTCCAGACTTTGAGTCTCACCTGGCATTGTATTACTTTATGGTCATATTACAATATATTACCATGTTCATAAATGAAAATCATCATTGTTTTCATATCCAGCTCCAAGGTTGAATGTTACTGACATTTCAAACCGTGTATATTTATTTTCCGGGACCTAAATGCTCCCGACTACACCTCTTGTCCATGCACCTGCATAATAGGTATGGGTAAGAAGCTGGTAAGGTATGTAACCTTGAGTATGTACTTAAAACAAGTCTCATGGCCAGTGTAATGATTATTCGTTGAACCATCACCTAGAAACTTCTATGAGACCAACCACTGCCTGAAAGCTCGGTGTTACTAGAACCTGTCTTTTCATCGAAATCTCGGGGGACACACGTCGATTTTTTTTCCTTCATCTGTTGTGAAATACATTTGAAAACAATCTGACAGCTGACTTGACCTCGCCTGTACCATCGTGAAGCAATCGGCACGTAAACGAAGCTCACGTTGAGTGTCCTCGGAGCTGTAATGCTCTAGAAAACCGTGCGAGACAGGTTCTGTCTGAGCATGTGCTTTCAAAGTCAATGAAAACTCTCGCGAGTCAGGAATTCTAGAGCCTCCCTTTGGATTCGATACACTGCTACCCCCTATGACGGTTGTATCCACATTCATAGATCTTTCATGCGTGGAGAGACTATCTAGGAAGCGCTCTTTTCAAACCCCGTCGAGTTGGTCATCGAATGTGATATCTGTTTTCTATCTTTTGGCGCGAACCCTTGTCGAATGCGAAGAAGACATTGAGAGCTACGCCTCTCCTTCAACTCCAGAATGGCCATATTCCAAGGGCTGGGTCTGCAATCCTCGGATTTCGTGTGTCACTACTGACTGCTTCGCCACTTCTGGTGGTATGTCGGTAAACTTGGCATATGCGGATATTGAGGGGCTCTTTGAAGTTATATGATGAAATGGAATGGTGTATACTTGATGGCTGGCAACATCTGACAGGACTAGCAAGCGAAAGGAAAAATGACATTACATGCCCAGTTGGTGAAAGACCTGGACGTCGCAGCGGCGGTCACAGGAAAAAGTGTCTTGCTTGCGTCTTGTAGGTCCTTCAGGATAGTTTCACCGAATGTCGCAGCGACGATCGCGGGGCCAGCTGTCACAATGGCGGGCCTTTTCTGTTGAGCCAGATCCCGGTGGTAACAGGTGCGCCCCCTGGATCTTACTCAGCGATGAGTGTGAGTCCCCTCGGGTTTCGTGGCCATGCTGGCCTGGAAAGTCACATTCTTGAAGGATGAAAAGGGTAGATCAACAAATTTTGACGGGATGAATGTGAGGAACGAGGCTATCGTCGTCTGGTATGGTCCATATCACGATAAAGCTTCGAGCTTCTTTGTTGTTTTTGAGTGAACTTCCAATACGAACACTAGATTCGGATTGGCTGATGTTCTTGTCGCTTCCAACACATGTTCAATATCGAACCAGTGAGACTGACTGTCTTGAAACCGGTCGTGTCAATTGTTTCTTCAACGATAGGTGAAGAAGCATGAGAAAATCAATGTGTGGTGCCCCTGAGTCCTGCTCTGAAGGTCTCCAGAGTGGCTTTTCAATTTCCTTTTTCTTTTCGTTTGTGGAGGTTTTTTTTTTTTTTTTTTTCTTTTTCTTTTGTGATGACCCCTGAATCTTGAGGCGATCTAAAGTGATTAGTCTCGCAGAAATCTCTGGGTAATCGATCAATCAATTATCATTAACTCACTGACGACGGGAGTTCTTCGCTGGAACTCCGTAGACCTCAAGACTCAAATGCAACTAGTATCAATAGTCGATGTGATCGTCGAAGGCTGCAAATTGGGGAGAGGTGGAAGATGGAGAAAGAAAAAGGAAAGTGGATGGTATTTATAGTCGTGTGTGGATAGATGGAGGAGGAGGATTGTGAGAAGGAAAGAGAGCGAGGGAGAGGGAAATCGAAGGGATGTTTATATTCATGTGTCAAGTGAAGCGTCAAGTTGAGAACAAGGTGAAGGATCGATCTTAGTACTTAGTCTGTGTCTGGACTGAAATCTGTTCAGCATCTGCGTAGGTATACACGGTGCTTTCTATGGGTAGAGCCTTTCCTCTCTTTGAGGCACTTCTATAAGGATGCTAGAGGCGAACTCACTGAGTGTATTCCAACTCATTGAGCTACTCAGGATAGTACATGTCAAATGAGGTCTATTTTATTCCACCTTTAGCCATACATTTTATTCACTGGCATGGCTCTCTCCATCGCGGCTTTCTTGTCGAATGGTGTCTTTCAGAGGAAATTCCGACACGGAAGCAGGGCGATTAGACCAATTGTGGAGTGGATTGACCGGGACCTTGAATCCGGACCGGCTTCGTGAGGTATTATCACCAGAGGAACCTTTGGTAGACTGGAATACCTTGCGGAAGAAAGGGCGCAGGGTCGGGATGCAAGCGGCAACGATGACAACATTTTGCTCAATTCTAACAAGTCAGCATATACAAGGCGTTTTGGGGGGGAGGGGATTGGATTAGGACTTACAAGCCCCAGAGAACCAATGGTACCACAACCCAGACTATTAATGATTAGTCAATGTATCAATCATTGAAAAGAGAATACTGACGAGGGTCGGTGTGGTTCGTAAATAGATGTAGATATGTGGCTTTCACAATGGTGACAATTGCAGAAAGCATCGTCAATCCCATCATAATGCAGACCCCGAGCTTGGTCGAGAAGGGCATTTGTAATTTCCAGAATGCACTGATTGGAACCAGAGCCAAAATAATATCCGTCAAGGTTGTATAGGCACTGACCCAGTAGGAGAAGTCATCGAAGACATCTGAGCTCCAGCATGTGCCATTCAAAGTGGGATTCCACATCATTGCAGTAGGGTTGCATTGGAAGAACACAATGAAGACAGAGATCATAGCAAAAATGACTTGAAAGATCACCATGGCATAAAGGAGCCATTTTCGAAGCGGGTTGGGGTCCAGTAGATGCACAATGAGGATAGCAATAGAGATATTGGGAAAGCTAAATGCGCCTTCACCGTTGACTTAGCAGGTCAACATCAATTGGGAGCCTGGGGGAATTACTCACCAATATTGAAAGGAAATGCAATGATCTGCCAGAACGCGACTTTTTCATATCTTTCAAATCCATATTCCGCCACAACTGCCGCTGTATGTCGGCCCAGACCCAATGTGACCGAGTAAGAGACAAAAGCAGTCGCGATAATGCTAAGAGCCTGGAAGCATTCCAAAGTTAGATGTCAGGTCTAGTTCCAAGACAGACCACCTCACCAAAGAGAAGAAAATAAAAAAGTCGTCCCACCCAAGCCGCTTGCTTCCCACCCTGTTGATTAGCTTCAAGAATACCGCCGCCATGGCGATACCCGTGAACACCCATCCGATGACATTGATCTCTCTCGCCCGACTTTCACTGAAATCAACATCTGTATCGAAGGAGGCCATAGCCAGTCACGGTGGGATCGCGAATCAAGATTTCATGAGGACTGGGCGAAATAAGATCGAGGGCACGAGAAGTCAAGTGAAAAATGGTAGCCGAGGGTTTAATTTAGACAGCGCCAATGGCGGGCCATTGGACTAATTAAAGAGTGCCATGCAGGGTATTATAAAACAAAGGACCTGTTCATCGAGCTAGCTACGGCACATCTTCGATCGGAAATAACAGCATTGCCAATGAAAAGGGGAACCACAGCGCCCACGGTCGACCGTGCGGTACTTTTGTAGCGACTGACGCGTCAGAAAAACAAATAAGAACCTCAAATTTGAAGTCTTGGACGTGCTGAACCTGCAGAAGTGGGCCTGCAGGAGCCACGCTAGCATCGCTGCTGATGTAGTGCAGGGGCTTGAACATCCTCCATACAGCGTGATATAGTAAGGCATAGGCTACTTTGGATGGTATCACACACCATCCAGGCAATTTTGAAGGAATAAACGGATATAACCCGGGGTCCGTATGCGTATAGCCTCCATTGTCCCTTTTCGGACACTGTGGGGGCGACCGGGGCACAGGCGCTATCAGTTCCGGGGGCGTCGATGGAGAGTTCGCGCCATTCCCATAGGCGAGCCAGGGCCAAGGAAACCGCCCCATAGCGGGCCCACACGGGATGTCAACCCAGACTTTCCATGATCCCTTGGGTCGTTATATCTCTTTGTGACACGCTTCATAAGATCATACGATTATGAGATCTTGGGGATAGGCTGCTGACTACTCTATTTTTCCACTTGAATGAGGTTCAATCTCGGCACTGGAAGGAAATCGAGATCACGATTGGGAAGCCTGCTTCTCCTCGATGGCGCTAAGTATTTAGCCTGTGCCATCTCATGCTCCCAATGGTCTCACTAAGTTTCCTAGTGCCAGTAGCCGGCTCAATGCCGGAAATATGCGGCTTGTGAATTGGCTTTCACGATTTCCCCAGGTCGTAAGGCAATCTCGGAAGCCCAGATGCCCGCGCCTGTTTTTTTAGACCTGGTATTTCCTGTCCATTGCCACCTGAAATAAAACCAAGCTTCGTTATTTTTTTTTTATCACCAATCTAAACGCAGTAGCAATGGCTTGTCAAACGCCCTCGGAGATACTGGAAAGCATTGCTATTGCACGCATTGCGTTCGACAAAGGCGAGGCAGGCTCAAGAGAGGCTCTAATTGACTACAGCCGCGCGCTCACTGCATCCCTGGAAATTCCGAGCGAGTTTATGCAGCGTACGTTCTGGGCAGAGGTGAGTGTCCTTCCATTTGGCGCTCTATATGGCTTGTGATGTAAACTCAAAGTACTAAATCAACTGCATCCCAGCCTGCCCAATCCGCCATTATCCGCATTGCCGTCGATGTCAAACTCTTCCAACACCTACAAGAAGCAGGTTCTGCAGGACTTGGTCCTTCAGTCTTGTCCGAGAAGACCGGGATTGAGATCGGTCTCCTCCAACGATTTACAAGCCACTTGGTCGCCATGAACCTCATTGCTTTCCAGGATGGGGTCTTGCTCGCAACCAAGCTGAGCGATGGCCTGGCAGCAGATAATTATCAACAGAGCATCTGCTTCTGCTATGATGCGTCACGTCCCTCATTCAATGGATTTCCGGAATACTTCAAGAAGAACGGATACAAGCCCCCTACTACCAGTGGAACAGATGGCCCCTTTCAATCGGCGCACCAGACCGAGTCACCCTTTTTTGACTGGCTCGTCAAGTCCCCGCCCTACCTTGATTATTTCAGCTCTTTTATGAGTGCATACCGTGCCGGCAAACCGGACTGGTTCGACTTTTACCCTGTTGAGAGCCGCATGGTTGAGGGGTTTGATCCCTGCATCGGCGACACTCTCTTAGTTGATGTTGGGGGTGGCCGGGGCCATGATCTCGCTACTTTTGCCAAGCGGTATCCCTCTCACCCTGGCAAGATAATTCTCCAGGATCGAGAGCCTGTCATCGCCAGCGTGGTCGATAGTGGTGCGGAGAACCCATTCGAGGCCCAGGCCCGTGATTTCTTTACGCCTCAGCCCATAAAATATGCTCGTGCTTACTCTCTTCATTCTATTCTCCATGACTGGAGTGACGACGAAAGTGTAAAGATCATTGAGAACCTCCTCCCAGCACTCAAGAGGGGCTACTCACGGGTTCTGTTTAATGAGATTGTTGTCAGCGAAGAGAACCCCACTTTGGCAGCGTCGAACATGGATATGATGATGCTGGCTCATCTAAATGTCTCGGAGAGAACAGAGGATCAATGGAAAACCTTGCTTGCTAAAGGTGGATTGAAAATTGTCAAGGTCCACACATGTCCTGGAGTTGCAGAGAGCTTGATTGAAGCAGAGCTGGTTTAGTCAACGGGCGAGGTGTGCATATATTTCACGTTTGGTTTGATCTAGGCGAGATCAGGGAGCAAAAGACGATCACATAGATATGACTGGCTATAAAGTGACCTATTCCATCTTGTAAATATAAGCCAATCCATCAATCATAGAAAGTCTATTATCGATCATCGGTGAACGGGGATGAATCATGATCCCATGCGGGGAAAAGTCCGAGATAACGATCTTACATTTTCTTCTCCGCCGATCCCTCCTGTCATTTCTGACTCTACTCCTTTTCAATTGCTCTAATCTTTTTGATATTGTCAATACTTGCTGTATTGACACCCTCGAGCATTCTATTACTTCCTCTTAGCACCTGCAGCTCACAAATTCTGTGTTTGCGACATCGGCTACCGTCGGTCGACCCCTCGTTTTTCTTATCGGTAAGGAGCGACTGGACCAGAGACTAAACTTGCGGGCAGCAAAGTAACAACCATGCATACATAGTCTCATAAAAACATACTCATGGGTTCTACTGTGACTGGCACCAAGATTCTCCTTATTGGAGAAATCGATCAGTATGTTCGCCAGAATTTTCGCCAGAGCAATCTCAAACACCATAGCTCTTACTGATAGGTCTAAAATAGTGCGCAAAAGACTTGGAATGCACTGAGTGACCTCGGCGAGCTAGTCAAGACAGCAGCAAACAATCGCGCCGAGTTTCTACAGGAGTGCCGCGAGGGCAAATACGACGGCGTCGTTGCCATCTACCGTACCTTCCACTCTATCTCCATCACTGGCTTGATCGACGAAGAACTGGTGAATGCACTGCCAAGCTCATTGAAATACATGGCACACTGTGGTTTGTCATTCTCCTGACAATGACCATATTATCTGATGTAGTACGTGCTAATACTGTTGAATAGGAGCTGGATATGACATGATCGATGTCCACGCCTGCAGCACTCGCAACCCTCCCATCCGAGTGTCCAACGTCCCCACCGCAGTGGACGATGCCACAGCTGACGTGAACATCTTCCTTATCCTCGGTGCTCTGCGCAACTTCAATGGCGGCATGCACGCCCTGCGCGAGGGCAAATTCCGCGGCGCAATCGGTGTTGGCCATGATCCCGAAGGCAAAGTCTTGGGAATCTTGGGAATGGGTGGTATTGGGCGTAACCTGAAGAAAAAGGCTGAGGCTTTTGGTATGAAGGTCATCTACCACAACAGACGTCAGTTGAGTGAGGAGCTTTCGGGTGGAGCTCAATACGTGACTTTTGATGAGCTGCTTGCGGCCAGTGATGTGCTCAGCCTGAATCTGCCATTGAATGTAAGTTCACTCTTGAATCTCTGAGCTTGACGACACTGACTTGAATAGAAAAACACTCGTCACATTATCAGCAAGGCGGAATTTGCCAAGATGAAGGATGGCGTAGTCGTGGTTAATACTGCCCGCGGGGCGGTTATGGATGAGGCTGCGCTCGTCGAGGCTCTCGATAGTGGCAAAGTTTTCTCTGCTGGTCTCGATGTCTTTGAGGAGGAACCGAATATTCACCCTGGACTACTGAGCAACCATAATGTCATGTTGGTGCCTCACATGGGTACTTGGACTGTTGAGGTAAGCGGGGATGTATTCTACTTCGAACACAGTGAGCTAATCGATTTTAGACCATAACTGCGATGGAAGTATGGGCCATTGACAATATTCGCCAGGCTCTCGAGACTGGAAAGCTTAAAAGTCCTGTCCCCGAGCAAGCCGATATGTAATTTTTGGGGCCTTGGAACTAGCTCGCTTTACAGAGATGTATCGGCTTGGCGGAGAAGGATATCATGGCTGTGAAGTTAGATCATTTCAAACGAACATAGAGAAAAACGCACAGTCCCTTTTTTTATATTGAAAAGAACAATCTTCGAATAAAGTAATGGTGTTAACAAGCGGAAGAAAAAGGAGCGCTAATCGAACAACATGGCGTGTTAGTTGGATACCTCTTTAACCATATATATTGTCACGCAATAACCGTGACTCTGGCAAAACGCTACTGTACCTAATTTCGTGGGCAGGTTTCAAAGATAATTTGGCCTCGCTTGACTGAAATCAACATTAAAGAGAAGGCGCCGGAATATACGCTAGCATTTCAATCCAGGTGAAAAGGTACCAACTCTCGCATTCTAGGGTAGCCTAGGGTGAGTATATGGGTACATGGGTATGAACTCGATGATAAAAGAAAGATCAAAATTTTAATAATGCGCCGTGCCTAGGGATATAAATAAGTGTTCAATTAATGATTCCTAAGAAGTATACAGCAGAAGCCTGAAGATACGTAGTGACGGGCCTTCTGCATCGGGACTAGGCCGATCGCGGGAGCTTTCATCTTCATTCATTTTGTGACCTCATCTCCAGCAACACAACACATCGCCATGGCCGAATATTGGAAATCAGCGGTAAGTTTAAGTCACTAATTCTATATTATTCACCCGCTAATAAAATCTTCTTCGACTCAGCCACGCCACTGGTGCAAACAATGCAAGATCTTCATTCGTGACACACCCTTCGAAAAGACCCAACATGAAGCAAGCCCCAAACACCAAGGCAGTCTAAAGCGCTTCCTGCGCGATATCCACAAGAACAATGAAATGCAACAGAGAGAAACACAACGAGCCAAGAGTGAGGTAGAACGTTTGCGACAAGCCGTCTCGGGCGAACCATCCGCGTCGAAGTCTGAAGGCAAACCCTCAGCCCCAGTCCCAGCTAAACGCGCCGCTGCCCCGACCAACCGACCCGTTAGCGTGGAGGAAAGAAAGAAACAGATGGCGCAACTTGCTGAAATGGGTGTCGCTATCCCTCAGGAATACCGCGGTGACATGGCCTTGACTGGAGAATGGCAAACAGTTTCCGAGACACGACTTGACGGTTTACCGGAGTCAGCCAAGTCTATTGGTATTCGAAAGCGCAAGCTTGAGGGTGATGAAGATGAGGAGGGTGGACAAATCCCGGAGCAATATGTGAGCAAAGGGTGGGGATCGAGGATGAAGACATATCCTGGGGCGGAAGATGATGGTGACGACGGTGACCTTGATGCTCTGCTTGCATCTACTAAAGATTTGAAAAAGCCTAAGATGGAGACAGAGGCAGTTGATTCGAAAGAGCAGGAATCATCATTTACCCTGGCATCTAAGAAAGAAGAAGATGAAACTGCCGACTCAAATGCTCCAGCCGCAACGGTCCCTGACGTGGAGGGACCAAACCCGATCAAGAAAGAGGAGGCTGACGATTCTGCTGTGCCCATGTTGAGTGCAGCCCCTGAAAGCGAGGAGGTGCCTGGAGTCGTTTTCAAAAAGCGCAAAGCGAAGGTGATGAGAAAATGATATCCGACGCAACTTTGTCTCTACGAATCATGATCATGATAAGCGCTTTCTTAAGATTTTCATCGGCTGCGAGATCCCCTGTCATTACATACGATAATTGGGATGCATAAGCGACCTGCGCAGGTTCATATCCACTTTGCCCGAGTCCGTGATGATATACAGAATATTTACGGATGGTCAACCCGAGATCCTCTACAACTTTTTTTGCTAGAGATTTTCGAGCCTTGTTCCGCGTCGATAAATGCACGCCGAAGAGTTATGCTCAACCAACCATAATTGTGGACCAAAGCCTTTGGCAATGGGGTTATTGAATCAGCTGTCAAATGCTTGAACTTCATTGACTGGCATTTACAGATAGCGAAACTAAATCACCCCAATCAATATTATTAAGAAGCAATGTAAAGGGCATTGGGGGCCCTGTCAATACACCGCATTTACAGAGTTCAGTTGGAAGAAGTATATAGATATGGGCCCTGCACCACTTTTTTGTGCGGCCAACAGAGCCAAGAGAGCGCAAAATCGAAAGATGAATCTAAATGCATGATTCTTGAATCTAAAATAATAAAAATATTCGTAAATCTGTCCCTGGAGTAGTGTGGTTGTCTAGTATAGCGTTGCCACCCCAATGATTTTTTTTTTCTGGAGCGGAGACTTTGATCGCCGGAAAAGAAAGCTCCTTTGGTTCTCTCCAACTTCGCGCATCTCTTCCACGACCACCGCAACCCTCCAGACTCGCACGGTCTCCCCGCCACCTGTGCATTTCCTTTCATTCACCATTTTGAGCGTTCTTACCCGGTAAGTCTATTCTATTTGCAGCAATCCCGCTTTCTCTCCACCGTCAATCGGCCTTGGTTCTCTCGAATCGCATCGTCCTCCCACCCGCGCAAGAGCCCGCAGATTCTCCTCCCCAGAACCCTCATGACCAAGTCTGCCTATGTCAGTGGACCGCTACCCATTTTCAAAATTGCTCCGCGATCACGAAGTCGGACTGTGGCCGTGGCTGTGAGCGGGGAAGATTGGGGCTGGGGCTCCAGCGAGAAGAATGCGACAATCCAACCCCGGTCGGCGGGCAAGACATTCGGTGGAAAAAACCTTGAAATGTACATGCTCCTGTGCAATTCACTGTTCCACTGAAGATTCTCTATTCCTGGGAGTCATACTGTTGGTTCTGTCGATTGGATTTGCGTATTGCATTCTATATGTTGGACTGGACTGAGAACCGCCGATTTGTGCACGGATTGCAGCTTGTTTCCGCTGTTCCCTAATGTATTGATTTGGTTGTACTTGACTGTTCAACCTGCATTCAATTTTGAACAATACTTTGACTATTGGGGCTAAATGAAGAAAAAAGTGACTGGGGCTGACATTTGACGATTCTAGACTACAGGAAATAAATGATTTATCAGTTCCAGCCCGATCGATCTGGTGTGTTGCCTCTGCTTGACAAGCTACACGACCTTTGACCGCAGAATTCGATCATTTTCGCCTCTCGTGCAATCCTCGATTTATAGACGCAAATATTGGACATACGCCACGGTGATTGAACGTATAGCATCGCTCGGAAGACCATAGCAAATATGGCAGAACCGACAGAACCCAAACCCGGCGAAATCGCCATGGCGACTGAATCAAATGCGCCAGCTCCCCAGCCTTCACCGCAGACGGAGCAACCGTCAGAACAAACAAACCTGCCGGTGCCGGAGTCAAATCACACCCCAGTCCCGACCAGCGAGCCTCAACCTGCGCTCCAACCGGAGGCACAACCTGGATCCCAACCAGAGCTTCAACCTGAGCCTCAATCGGTGCCTCAATCGGTCCCTCAAGTGCAGCCTCTACATGTACCCCAACCGGAGCCTCAGCATGAACCCTCACCAGGGCTTCAAAACCAGCCACCACGACCGACTACCGAGACAAACGAGCAACCAAGCGCCTCGAACCCACCAGATCAAATGAATGAAACTACGCCCGTGCCAAACCCCGCTCCCCCCTCCATCGAATCTACACTCCCACCCATAGACCATTCCCTTCCTGCGATGGATACGTCCCAGTCATTAATGGACGCCGGGTTGACCTCATTCGATTCAGCATTTCAGTCAGTGGGCTCTGGCGCCGAGCACGACTTGTCGCTTCCGGCAATTGACACAACCCTGCCTACATTTGACTCCGCGTTGCCAGCGATCGGGACCGATATTCCTACCATGGACGATGACCATACATTCCCAGATGACCATTTCAACACACATGACTCCCACTCTGGGTCTGTTGAACCGGGGCACAGCGGGCCTGGGTCTATGAATGGATCGACACCATACGACGCGCCCAATGGCTACCAGTATGCGCAGAACCCAAGCACTCCCCAGCAGTCGGATGGACATCATCATCCACCACCTCAAGCACACTCCCAGCATCAATTCCAGGCGCAGCCTCAGCCACAACAGAATTATCAGCACCAAGGCTCAGATATGTACTCCGGCTTTTCGTCAGTGAATTCAAACACCGGGAGCAACGGTCAGGGACAGCCGGGGCAGATGCCACAAGCACCAATTGGGTCGCCTATGCCTCCCATGTCATCCATGGGCCAGTACATGACTGGATACCCATCCAATGTCTCACAGCAGGGTATGGATTCGAACGTGCAGATGCGCCACCCATTTCAAGGCGACCCTAATAATTTGCTTTCAGGGGGACGACACAAGAAAGAAGTCAAACGACGGACAAAAACCGGTTGTCTGACTTGTCGTAAACGAAGAATTAAGGTACGTTGTTGTTGAGTTTTGATGCTTCCGCGGGGCGGCCTCGCTTGTGCCCGCAGACCCCGCCATCGTTTATTTTGCGGTCCTCCCGCTTCACCCACGACATCGCTATTTTCGCGCCGCTCTTCCTGGATGACGATCTAATTTTTTTCTACAGTGTGACGAGGGACATCCAGTCTGCCGAAATTGCGTGAAAAGCAAGCGCGAGTGTTTAGGTTACGACCCGGTGTTTCGGCCTACAGCGTCAGCCCCCTCAGCCATCCAACCTGCTCCAAACCCTCCTCCATCCTTGGTTGTGAACCCCCAAGGACCCCCTGTCGCAGCTGCGCCTTTGTACCCTTCTGCACCTCCTGGGTACATGCCCGCTTCTTCACAACCATTTGCGCCATCCCTTCACTCCGAATCACCTAGCACCTCCACCGATCACCAAGTTGATCATAGAGCTTCTGTTGATACATCAATTGCACCACCCCACACACAACAAGCTCCTACAACAATGCAGGCTTCACACGAACCTCGGCCTCAGAGCTCAGAGCCCGTCTACAAAGGTATGCGCGTAATCCTTGTTCACCTTTTTTTGTTCTAGCTTGCGATTTTTGTATCAAAAAAGCTAACGAGCGTCACCAACAGCGAAAAACCTTCATGTCAGTGACTTGATCGCTTTGCGAGGCATCGCCCCTCCCCCACCTCATCCTATTGGAAACCTCCCTCCTGGTCGGCTCGAAGAAATCCAGGCCGTCTTCCTGGCCACATACGCACCTGCTATCGATAAGCTCCTGGAAGTTCGGTGGTATTCCGAGAAGGCACTCCAGGTTCTCATGGCAGACAATCAGCTCATGGCTGACTACTCTGCTTTGATTAATGCATTCAACGACTGGAATCTCAGCGACCCCAACACTCTTGCTCGCCTGGAGAGCTTCGAAGCTTCGATCATTTGGAGAAGTATGGTGCTCTGCCGTCAAGTACCTGCAGCAGAAAACGGCCAATACGGGCAAGATTGGAACCTGTGCGCTACTTCTGCCCGTCTGGATGCGATGGAAGCTCTCTTGAGCTGGAACTACCTGGATTCCAACCATTTGTCTCGGACACTTGGAATGGATGCCGCCAGCCCACCCAACCCGCCTGATCAGTTCATGCAACGTCAATTGGACTTCTGGAGCGAGCTCGGGGAGTTCCTAACACTTCATGATAATGAAGCTAGCTCCGCGAAGCAGATCGATGATACCCTTGGTCGTTGCCGTCATTTACTTGATACCTACGAAAACCGTGATATTATCTACTCCATTGCCATTGCGCGACACCTGGGTCAACGCTGGGCCGATTTCCCTAACAGCTTGCCTAAGGTCGGATACACCAACGAGAAGGAATCTGGCACCAAGCTCTTCGTTGCACAGAAGTTCATCGAGGAAGAAGCCGAGGGCAAGGGTACCACCCAGATCTACAAGCGCATTTGCTGCATGGCAGTTCGCTCATGGTGGGTTGCTCGGGAGTGATTGACTTTTCCTGGCGTTTCCAATGCCGAGACCTGTCGGTGAATCTCAAATGCCCCCTCCTTTCCAGGGTTATTGTACATCCGTACCCTGGGAGGACTTGTACACCTGCGCTCAGATCCACAAATTCGCGGATCATTACAACTTGCTCAAAATTCAGAAAAGCATCATGGTTCCGGCGTTACGATGATTTACCAATGGCTACTGTTTTTATTTTGTCTCTTTTATTACTTTGTTTCCACTGGGGTTCGGGGGATCGGGTAGTGAGCGAGTGAAGCAATATGGCGTTTATGACCTTTCTTTTCCCCCCGGACGAAGTTTCCATCTTGTTTCCTGTGCATATGTCGCTTCTTATTCGTGCGGGAGTTTCCATACCCTGTGACGCCCAACTGTATCCAGTTGGATGATTTACGTTTACCAGTCGATAGTCAAAAATTTTACAAATAGACCCGATATTTCTGCTCATTGCTTCGTAATTGTGCTCTCTACCCGTGTTTTGTTTGGACCAGGTATTAAATCCATCCCAATGCAAAGCACTATGTCACAAAGATCTCGGCTCAAAGTACTTCAACTCTAATCTTCATCTCACCGGTCTCACTCTGGAACAAAAACCCGATATCCCTCGTCGAATCAACGAGCTCGACTTCTCTCCGCACAAACCGACTAAAATCTTCCGATGTAGATTCAACTTGAGACGGCTGCGGCATCTCATCTTCACTATCTTCCGCCCAGTCTTCTTCATCAACTGTTGCCTTCGCAACAGGGTCCCACTCATCTGTTTCCCAGACTAGTTTGAATCCATATGGAGGGAGGTCAAAAAGCCGGGATACGAGAGCCTTCAATTGGTATGTATTAAATGAGTGCGGAATTTCCTTGACGAGAATTTGCGTTGAATGGGGAGGTAAATAGAATGCCATCTTGACGAGTCGAGCAGCGACAGAACGCGGATGAATAATTCTTTTACCCGAGCCGTCGGATTCAACTGCCCTTGTAATTCGTGGTTCGCCGTAAAGCTCACAGAGTTCAGCGTACCGTGGGTGCGTAGCAAGAACTCGCTCCTCCTCTGCTTCGGAGGTTGCGGAGAGCTCTTTGCCAATCAGTGAGAGATAGTACATTTCCGCATTTAAACGGTCTTGTGGTGAGATTATGCTGTAGTTGAGCATGTGAAGGGTGGGAGGGAAGCGGGATAGTGTTAACATGAAGGCCTCGTCGACCGTCATTGGGTTTGAGGCGCCTAAGGTGGATGTAGCTGCTGCAATGGATGGTGGGAGCGGAGGTTCTTCATAAAGAGGATTTGTTGAAACTCTTAGGGTGGTTAGACCTGGAAAGAGAATTGGAAGGTGATTGAGGAACTTCCAGGATGTGATGCTGTTGCGGGAGAGATCGAGGGAGAAAACGGATTTGGGGAAGTGGAAATCTGGAGCGGCGTCGTTGGAGTCTTCCAGTATTGTGCTAATATTGTTCCAACGCACGGAGAGATGACCGAGGTTTGGGAGGGCGGCTAGATGTCTGAGTGCGGAAATTGATGTAATGCTGTTGCCCTCGAGGTTTAGACTCGTGATTGAGTTTGCGAGTGGGCATGATATAGTTGTGAGTTGGTTGGCTGATGCCCGGAGGTCGGTGAGTGCAGGAAACCTTGACGCTACAGCAGAAATCTATGGCCTGCATTAGTGTGCATGGACAGATAGATCTAGTAAAAAGGCTACATACCTCGTCCCAGGTGAGTAGGGTCTGTTCCACACGTAATTCGGTGATTCCCTCAAATGTCAAACCTTCTTCCAGAGGGCGAAATCGATTGCCACTATGATTGACGTTAGTTTCGTCTGATCAAGTCCGACACTGCAGAGAATAGTTCAAGCATAGACTTACTTTAACCTCAACCGCTTCAGCTGTTTCAACTGATTGCAAATCTCCCAAACATCCCGCCATCGGGTAAACAGACTACGGCTGAGGTCCAATTCTATAATCTTCGGACAGGTAGCTGCGATCTTCGCAGCGGCCTCAGCAACAGAGCTTTCAGACTGCTCATAGGAAGATAGCACGCCTGAAATACGTAGCCCATCTAGCAGGACGATTTGCAGCTCCTGCAGCTCTGCCTGCTGCTTTCGAATCTTGTCGAAGCCGACTTCCTCGACAACCTTGCCACTGATCTCAATAGCCTTTGGGACCAGCCTAGCATCCAAGGAATTTTGTGCATCTTGATGCTCAAACTCAGAGGCATATTTCTCATTCAGCGCCTCCAGAAAGCTCCTTGGTGGCTCTGATGGCCTGGAGGGGCGGACAAAAGACCCCGCCGTGGGGTGTTTACTTTTGCCTGTGAAAAGTCAGTAACAGCACAACACGAATGATTCGGGATGTAACTTCATACACGTGAAATACCTCACTCCTTTATGTTTGCCGTCATGCTTGCCTCGAGTTGGATCGTCCCATTCAACACCCAGCCAGTCACCTGTGGTGCCCTGAACACCACCCACATAGCGGATGGTACATAGCTGGCCATCGAAAGACCGACGCTGGCCAATATCAACAGCACTCATCACAGCGAGCGAAGGGACTTCTGTCCTGCTTCAAGGGTTTCATGAACAATGGCCAAATTGGATGAAAGTGACTTTTGTCCCTGGACCTGCATCTGCTTACATAACCCGTCTTTGAGGCATTGAGGTATATAGATTCCTAGAGTAGTCGCATAAAATGTTGAAAATGGGATGCAAACCTGTCGATAGATCTGAATTATCAACTCCTGCAAAAAATTAATGAAAAGAGTGAACTTCTTAGCTCCGCGTTCACCAGATGCTCAGTTTACCTTCAACGTGGTCACATGACCTTATAGAAAATAAGGTTCCCATACTGCCCATCTCTGCCGTTATCTCAAGGCGCGCAGACTTGCCGTTTCCAACATCCAGACAACGCCATGGATTACCAGGTACGCTCAATTTCATGCCCCGCAAAACCGGACATATATATATTATCAATGATGCTAATGAGACTTCCAGAATCGAGCAGGATCCAAATTCGGTGGCGGTGGTGTCGCCGACCGCTCCGCGACCAACGCAGACCGTCGCGAGCGTCTTCGCAAGCTTGCTCTGGAACACATTGACCTTGACAAGGATCCCTACTTCTTTAAGAACCACGTCGGAAGTTTCGAGTGCCGTCTCTGTCTTACAGTCCACCAAAATGACGGCTCCTACCTCGCCCACACCCAGGGCAAAAAGCATCAGACCAACCTCGCCCGTCGTGCTGCGCGTGAGCAACGCGAGGGAAAGAATCAAGATCCATCATCCCTACCTGGTGCGATGGGTGTACAGGTGAAGAAACAGACCATCAAGATCGGGCGACCTGGCTATAAGATCACCAAGGTCCGGGACCCCTTGACCCGTCAAACGGGCCTGCTATTCCAACTGCAATATCAGGAAATTACACCTGGTGTCATCCCACGAGTGCGTTTTATGTCTGCGTTCGAGCAGAAGGTTGAGGATCCCGATAAGAATTTCCAGTACCTGGTCGTTGCGGCAGAGCCTTATCAGACTTGTGGATTCAAGCTCCAATCTAAGGAGGTTGATCGACGAGAGGGCCGCTATTGGACTTGGTTCGATGAGGATAGCAAGGAGTTCTGGATCCAGATCATGTTCAAGACAGAGCGTGAGGAGAGATTCACTGGCGTGCCTGGGTTGGCGCCAATGCGGACTTAATTCATCTTTTTTCAAACAGAGTATCATGCTACAAAAGAGAAGTTCGGATTTTCACAAGGACTGGAGCCGGGCGTTTGGGGGTTTAATTCTTTGTACATTTTTAGCTTAAGCGATGGCATGTTCAACTTGATATCCTGCTACCTTAAAATCGGGCAATGGAAAGATGCATCTGACCAGATTCACGAATGTTCTACAAAGTGGATTTTCTAGTCTTCAATCTTCAATGTTCCATAGTATTCCTCCTAGCCTCTAAAGTTCCAAGGTGTTTTTTATGGTTGACTAGGTAGTTAACTAACCTCATGTTTAACTAATCAGGAACATCAAGTGCAAACATCACAAACATTGGTGTCAAAACAGGGATCCTGATGGAATAACTTTTCTCCCCTTATCATGACTCACCGCCTTTGCCACTCCCATGCCCGATCTGGCGCAACACTGGTGCCCTACGCCATAACAGTACCCTAGTCACTTCACTTTTCAATGTGACGACATTTCTTCGCGATATGATTTTTCTTCTTACTCTTCTTCTGGATCCATTTCCATCGCTTTAATCTTTTCTAACACCTCTCACCTTTCAACTCACCTTCTCCCTCCGCCACACTCATAGTTTGGGCCTAGTCCTGTAATCATCAATGGTCCCTGAACTCCAAGATACAGATTCGGAATGGGACTTTGTCCAGGCACTGGACCTGCTGCAGTCACCCAGGGGTGGGCGATCTTCCTTCAAAACCCCTCGGTCCCCAGTTTCTGCGCCGTCTAATGAACAACGGACTGGAGATCGCGTCAGCAGCTCGATCATGACTGAGCCTCACCTTAGCCATGACAGCTTCGGAGCGGGATCGGTATTCGCCAAATTGCTCCATTCCGATCTTGGTAACTGGGCTTCGACTTCTGAAAAGAAGGAAGGTGTCGGCTTGTCCGCACCATCGAAGCGTCACCCAGATGTCCCCAATCTTCAACAGTCCTCCAAAGATGGCTTCTCCTCACGAGCCCCTCAGATAGGGCCACCTGAAGCTTGCTTTAAATCTACCCCCACCTCTGCTTCGCCGATAACTCAAATCACCAAAGCCACTGTCATGGGTATATCCGCACCTCCACCCTCGTCTAATATCACCATCCTCAAACGGCCATCCAAGAGTACGAATGATCACATTCCTATCAACCCACAGCTACAAACTCCTGTGTACGCAACCACATACACCAATAACTCGAAAGTCATGCCCAGGGCAAAGCCTAAGTCGAACAAAAAGCAGAACCAGTCTTCCAAGAACAACGTTTCTGACAGCAGTGCCGAGACCGAGTCAGATTTAAGTCCCGTATTATTCGACCGCCCTCTCACCAAAAAGTCCGGAGTGTTGTTTGTTCCGTCGCAGGTAGGCTCGCATGATGTACGGAATATCATTGATGATACCCCACCCTCTTCATATGACGACGCCGTTGAATATTTGGATTCGGACAAGGCCAAGAGCACCAGCTCTTTCAGTGGTCCGATGCGTCTCTATCCGAACAACATGGATGTGTTGGAGCGGCGTGTGTCTCTTATGACCAAGCTCCTCAATAAATTTGAAGATTACGCCCAACTTGTGTCCCAGTTGGGACGCCCTTGTGGCTCCAGCACCAGCTTGGAGTCACGTCCCATTCATGTCTTTGTCGACATGTCTAACATCTTGGTGGGATTTCACGATGGTGTCAAACTTGCCCGAAATATCCCTACCACCAGTCGAATTCGTCGTCTTGACATCTCTTTTACCAACTTGTCTTTGATCTTGCAACGTGGTCGCACTACCGCCAAGACAGTCTTGGTTGGTTCGGACCGTGTACCTTCCATCGACGAAGCCGAGAAGCTTGGCTATGAAGCGAACATTTTGAACCGTGTTCACAAGACGAAGCATACTCACTATCGTCCCTCAAAGTATCGCAAGCCACCCGGCAAAGGATCTCAGTTTGGTAAGCCTGAAATGGCCGGTACCTCTGCAGAACGCTGGGTCGAGCAAGGTGTAGACGAAATTCTACATATGAAGATTCTCGAAAGCCTAGTAGATACGGATGAACCCGCAACGATTGTGTTGGCGACTGGAGACGCGGCGGAAGCCGAGTATTCTGCTGGGTTTATGCGCATGGTAGAGCGGGCGCTGCAGCGCGGCTGGAATGTCGAGCTAGTCAGCTTCTCGCACATAATGAGCTATTCGTACAAGAAAAAGGAGTTCCGTGAGAAGTGGGGGTCCCGTTTCAAGATCATCGAGTTAGATGAATACGCCGAAGAACTCTTTGAATGAAGGGCTCTGAATGGTGATGAAACAGATCTTACCGATTTTTATGAGATCACGATACACTTGATTCCGTTCCAGCGGTATACATCTACGTAGAAGATATTGCTATGCCAATACATGAACACTGTCTTACCAAGCTTTAACTGAAGCCCAATCACCAATGTCTCATCTCATTCAGCGCCGGTCTTTCAAAATAAAGCCCTTTAGTACAAATCAATCGCCCGACATGAACTATTTGAGCAGATCCTTGAGTAAATAGAAGGGTGATACTATGCCTAATTATGAGTAACGATGGGAGTCCCTAGGCATCAATAATGGGAATCCGTTCGAGAACATTGTCACACAGCATATGTTTACCTCCAGGGATATAGATATAGATAGAAGAAATTAGGTATTCTACTCATCACTACAGACTTCCAATTCCCTTCGTCGTGCATGACATGGATTCATCTGGACCCTGTTGGTCTCTACGCTTACCATTTAATGGTATGCACGTACATGTCGATTTGAAGTAACTCATAATTCAGCTTCCTAATAAACGATCGAAGAGACCCGCCTAGATGGCTCTAGGGCGACCCTAATGCCTCAAGGCTTGTTTATCATAAAGGGCCAAAAAGTTTAACCCAATCACATACCTGTGTTAGTGTTGCTTTCGATAGACGTCGGTCTTTGATTGGCGCCCTCGTAAAGCGGGTCAAGCATCCACTGTGCACGGTTGAAATGGCCCCCACGTATAAGTTATGAAGTGAAAGCTCAAACCTTGTGAAATGTTCACGGGTAGTACAGTGAATACCAATAAGCCAAATTTGTTGAGCGGAGATTCCACATTTTGAATGTGGACTAGGTGGAGGCTCTGTGGTTCGCATACATAGTGCTCTGTTGAGAGGCTCAAATCTACAAGATGGTGATCAACGCATCTGGTTTTTCAGCTCCCAAGGTATCATGAACACTCCGCAGTTAATTTATGAATTGTAGGCATAAACTTGCCCCTGTAGCCACTACTGCATGGTCAGTGCTATGCATATCCTGATAGGGCTATCCATGACCGACTAGTTCCGACAGCTAGTGGGGGCATCGTTTGAGTGAAATAAAAAGAGATCCTTTCTTTCATTATTTTTCAAAATCTTTCCTATCTCTCCTGTACTCAATTTCTCGTCGCCTCAGGTTAATTCACATTCGTTTCGTCTTTTTGAGGCGCTCTGGCTAGCGAAATGTTCTTGCTTTTTTTGGGCTTAGTAGCCCTCCTCTACTTCGGGTGGAGTATGGTGATGATGGAAATCAACTATCGCCGGGCATCTGCGATGGGTATCCCAGTCGTACGCTTGTGAATTGACTCCCAAAATTTGCCTTGGATGATTCTCGAGCCCCATTTGTGGCCGCTGCTCGACAGGCTGCCATTCAGCTTTGGGAACTTCGGACGTTATTCACGTCGGGGGTGGTTCTTCCTTGATCGAGGATACTCTCATCGCCAGTATGGCCCAATCTGGGCCCTTGTAACTCCATGCGAGATTACTGTAATTGTGGCTGAGTCTAAGGCTATCCACAACATTTTCCAAAGACGGACGGACTTTGTTCGGCCAAGCATTATGTATAGTACGTTGAACTGACGCATGATCCTTTGTGCATCAAGAACTAACAGATTCTCCCCAATAGAAGTGCTTGAGGTCTATGGCCCTTGTATATCCTGCTAATGGACCGGACTGGGCACGCCATCGAAAGATTGTGGCGGCTCCATTCAATGAAGGTATCATGTCTTATACATGGGACGAAAGCGTTGAACAAGCTTCTCAGATGCTCGACGTGTGGGTCAATGAAGAGGCGAAAGAAATCAACAGCGTTTCAGGGGATACACGTACATTATCATTGAACGTTCTGGCTGCAACTGGTTTTCGCAAATCATACCCTTTCCGCAGTGCCCAGGATCAGACTGGCCCAGCCAACTACCGTGACTCCTTGCAAACGATTCTCGACAATGCGATTTTATTGATGGTTGCCCCACGAAATCTTCTCAATCTGCCTTTTGCGCCACAATCGTGGAAACGACTCGGCAAGGCAGCCAAGGATTTCAAGAATTACATGCTTACGATGCTCAATGATGAGACCAAGGCCCTAAATGAAGGAAAGCCAGGAACCGGAAGTATAATGACGATTTTAGTACGAGCCATGGATATCCAGCATGAAGGGTCCAAAATTGAGGGGTCCGATGCATCATCGAAAGGGCTCTCAGTTGATGAGATATTCGGTAATATCTTCGTGATCAACTTTGCTGGCCACGATACCACGGCCAACACCCTGAGTTTTACGATGTTGCTTCTATCTGCGTACCCGGAGGTGCAAGACTGGGTAGCAGAAGAACTGCATTCACTCCCGGAAGATATCAAGGGACATTATTCTGCCATATTTCCCAAGCTGAATCGCTGCAGAGCGATTATGGTTAGTCAACTCCGTATCGCGTTATATTGCAGTCCTCATTCTCACATAAACAGCTCGAAACCCTCCGACTCTTCCCGCCCATCCCTTCTCTACCGAAGTTGGCTTAGGGCTCTCCACAATCTCTGGAGTGGAGAATCATACCATAGTCATCCCTCAAGATTCCGGGGTTGTAATCAGCCTTATAAACACCCACACAAGCTCAGACTACTGGGCTGATCCATTCTCCTGGAAGCCAGCACGATGGGTCACGACCTCATCTCCATCCGAGTCTGACGCGGCACTCTTGCTGGAAACCGAGCGAATCCTTACTCCGAAACTGGGATCGGCTGCACCGGCCGATGAGCGGGTTGTCAACCCGGCACGATGCACATACTTTCCCTGGGCTGAAGGCGGGCATAACTGTCCTGGTAATAAGTTCTATCAAGTAGAGTTTGTGGCAGTCATGGCTAAGTTCCTACGACACCATCGTGTGCGTGCGATTCCTAAGCCAGGAGAGACATGCGGGCAGACTCAGGAGAGAATTCTGGCTACTACTCAGGACGTCGATCTCCAGTTGCTTCTGCGGATGCGAGATGCTGATCAAGTGCGGTTGTCATGTGTCTGTGTCTAAGGGAACATATATTATTTAGATTGAAATGAAAACATGCCAAAGGGGACCTCAGTGTGCTCAATTGATTTAGTGGAGTATCGGCTCATGCATTCAGTGTCATACTCAGTCCACTATCATTTCTTCCATGGAGTACTTCACTATTTCCTATAAACTGACGAACGTCATTGTCTTAGTGAAGACAATTTTTAGCGATTGCTCACGCGGTTTAAACGTGATATTATGAGCTTCGCTCATTGATACTTGCTTCACGGGCATTGGATCTCAGCTTAATGAGGAAGGCGAGATATTGCTGAGCTCGAGTGGCACCCAGGTGACAGGTTGAAAATAGCTTTCTCATAATTGTTTTATATATCTGTATATGACTTAGTCCTGGAATAATGGTCTCGATTCGAAAAGCTCAAAGATTTAGGCCATTTGAAGCCACAACAAGTCCCCAAGAACAACACGTTTCCATGAAAAATGCCAAAATTATCATGCAAAATGAAAATATTAAGCAGTAGTAAAGCACCCTTCTGCTAGTTTCGATTGATCGGCATCAGAAATTCAAGCGATCGTAACCAGGCTTGCATCGGTCCAGACCCAGGAAGATTCAATTTTGAATAAGACTAGGAAGGTCATGTGTAAATAGTCATTCATGTATCTAGTCTGATGCAGCCCACCAGAAAAAATGGATGCCTAGATAACAAGAGATACATGGTTACGAAAATGACCAAAAACATAGGATCTAGATCGTCATGTCATGATCATGGAATGTCTTCCTGGTACTCTTGTGGTGGCAAAAGTCGTTTACGTTGCCCAGAGTATGGTAGATTCTGCATTATTTCCATGAAGCTACTCGTCGAGTACTTGTGGCTTCTAGAGTCTTCTAGTTCAGCTCCCATAGCGTAGTCACAAAGGGTGGAATTCACCATCGACTGCGGGCCAGTAGTATACGGATGAGCTGGTTCCCAGCAAGGAAGCAGCTATCGTAATCCTTATTGGAGCCAAAGACGAGATAGAGCACACCAGGCGTATTTCAAATCCGGCAGCAGGTCGGGGCAGGGTTGGGCCAGGAAATTATGGTCCATTTATTTGCGTATGCTATGTTTGCTTGACATGTGTTTGTTTCTCTAAAGGCCTTTATTATACTCTGAATAGCATGAATACCCATTTTCTGGACCAGGAGGCTCTACAAAAAATTCTCTCCTTCATAGTCTGGCCAAGGAGATTTTGGAGAGTTCCTGCCTTCCGCTGTATCTGCGTCGTCTGTTTTGACTGGGATTGACCAAGCAGATGCTTCAACCCTTTCAAGTGACTATCTAGACTCGAGTGGTTCTTCAAGGCCGCTTGACAGTTCATGCAATGTTACAGTCATTCTCGAAATCGGCTTGACCACTACACTCACTGAAACTCTTTGCTGGACCCACCGTCAGGCCTTAGCGCAGTTCCGTCATTGAGCAGGCTGCATTAAATTGAGGGCACCGTAGAATGCGGCTTGTATGGTACTGTATCTTGCTATGTAAAATCACACGTGTACAGATGCGCTCGAAATCATTTCACCTCTTTACTTTCTTCAATTCTTTTCGGAACTTGATTTTGAAACACGCGAGTCCATATTTAATTCGTATGGCACGTGACTATGAAATGCTCTGTAGCGATAAATTACAATTTCGAGGGAACTGTAACTTTCCAGAAAAATGGATACGATTGATTATTACTCTACGCTGTTAACCTCAAGATTCATCACTATGATTGGTATTTCTTTCCACGGGAGCTAGGTAAATAAATTATAGAGCTTCTTTGTCCGTCCAGTCCTGGTCAAGGCAAGCGACAAGAAGTCTCGCCTATCTTGGCGAGTATCAATCACGAAATTACGACAGTCGATTCCTACGCCTGGATGAATCACCTGATAGCGGGGTATGTATTGGAGATCCGGGGCGGACTTACCGCCTTGTTCAAACCACCTCCCCATCACCATGGCGACTACCACTGCCTACGATGGCGTAAACTCTGGGATACAAGTCGCACAAAACTATGCCCCTATTACTGCGAACTTCGGTAAGTGGGGAATCACAACCCTAACGGGATGCGACTAATATGTAACTGCTCCTAGTTCAACTAGAAACGTCTTCGAATCAAGCATGTCTTCGGGATTTGCGTACGACCAATCCTTACGATGATAAAAGCCGTATTCAGAATACCAGTGGAGGGCTGCTAAAGGACTCATACCGCTGGATTCTAGACAACAAGGAGTTCAAACAATGGCAAGACAGCCAGAACAATCGTCTCCTCTGGATCAGGGGCGATCCCGGCAAAGGCAAGACAATGCTCCTGTGCGGTATCATCGAAGAGTTGACACAATTACATGGAAATACCGCGAATGTCTCATTCTTTTTCTGTCAAGCAACGGACGTGCGAATCAATAGCGCCACATCCGTCCTACGTGGTTTGATATATTTACTTGTCCAGAAGAACCCATTCCTTCTCTTGCATGTGCGGGGTCGGTACGACCAAGCAGGGAAAGCCCTGTTTGAAGACATAAATGCATGGAATGCACTGTCGACTATCTTCACGGATATTTTAAAAGACCCGTCTTTAAAGAGCGCCTATTTCATAGTTGATGCATTAGATGAGTGCACAAACGGTCTTCGTTCCCTTCTGGACATAATTGTGCAGGAGTCATCAGTTCACTCTCAGATCAAGTGGATTGTCTCTAGCCGTAACTGGCCTGAAATCATTGAGCGTCTTAATATTGCAAGCCAAATAGCTCCGATTTCATTGGAGCTTAACGATAAATCTATGTCCGAAGCTGTGGATAAATTCATTCAACACAAGGTTCACGCTTTAGCAACAGTTAAAGGATACAAAAAAAAGGTTCGCGACACAATCTATCGCCACTTGTCTTTGAATTCGCAAGGCACCTTCCTTTGGGTAGCCTTAGTCTGTCAAAATCTTGATAAAACACCGTCGAGGCATGTCGCCAAGAAGTTGGCAGAATTCCCTCCTGGACTGGATGCTCTATATAGTCGAATGATCAATCAGGTTCGTAAGTCCGAAGATGCAGAACTCTGTAAGCAAATACTGGCTATCACATCAACGGTGTATCGGCCTATAACGCTAAGCGAGCTTACTTCAATTATTGAATTGCCGGATGACGACTACGATAATCATGAAGCCCTCTCAGAGATTATCGCTGTTTGTGGTTCTTTCCTGACGTTACGAGAAGATACCGTTATATTCGTCCATCAGTCCGCAAAGGACTTTCTACTCCGGGAAGCCTCAAAGGACATACTTCCTAGAGGTATAGGAGCTGAGCACAACATGATTTTCTTACGATCTCTCGAAGTGATACTCAAAACGCTTCGACGTGATATCTACAATATTAAGTTTCCTGGACTCTCGATGAAGGATGTCAGACAGCCCAGCCCAAATCCACTAGCAGCGGCAGAATACGCGTGTGTCTACTGGGTAGACCATCTTCAAGGTAGCAAACAGAATGAGTCCTATGACCTTAGCCTTGATGAGAGAAGTCACGTGGATTCTTTTTTACAGCAGAAATATATTCACTGGCTAGAGGCTCTTAGTATTTTAGGAGGCGTTTCAAATGGTATCCAAGCGATGCAAAAGCTTGAGATATTAATCCAGGTATGTAGGCATTATTTAGGGAGAGGATACTATCCTCTAACAAATCATTCACTACAATAGGAAAAAACAGCCTCACAACCCCTATTATATCGGGTACAAGATGCTTCCAGGTTCATTCGATATTATAGAACAGCAATCGAGAGCAGCCCTCTACAAGTATATTATTCGCCCCTCATCTTTAGCCCAACAGAGAGTCTCACGAGACTATCTTTTCATAACGAAAGACCGGATTGGGTTTTGCATAGTCCGGTAGTGGAGAAAATTTGGAGTTCCTGTCTTCAAAGCTTCGAAGGGCATAGTGATGGAGTCAGCTCGATTGCCTGGTCGCACGATGAAACCCGACTCGCATCAGGGTCCCACGATGAGACTATCATGATCTGGGATCCAGCTACCGGCCAAGCCGTATCAACTCTCAAGGGGCATGTTAGTTGGGTTATGTCGATATCGTGGTCGCAAGATGGAAGCCAACTTGCATCGGCGTCCGACGATTCAACAGTCAGAATTTGGGATCCGGTCAACGGCCAGAGCGTGTTAACTCTCGAGGGGCATACCGGTCCGGTCTACTCGGTTTCCTGGTCGCAAGATGGAAGCCAACTCGCATCAGCATCTGATGATACAACAATTAGGATCTGGAATGTGGCCACTGGCCAGAGCGTATTAAGTATTGAGGGTCATAATGGTCCAGTTAGCTCGATTTCCTGGTCGCACGATGGAAGCCGACTAGCGTCCGCGTCCTGGGATAAAACAGTCAGGATCTGGAACGCATCCACCGGCCAGAGTATATCAACATTTAAGGGGCATAGTGATTGGGTTAGATCTGTTGCTTGGTCGCAAGATGGAAGCCGACTTGCGTCGGCATCTAATGATACAACAGTCAGAATCTGGGATCCAGCCACTAGTCAGAGCGTGTTAATCCTTAAGGGCCATACTGGTACAGTCACCTCGATTGCCTGGTCTCAAGATCCAACCCGACTTGGTTCAGCATCTGGGGATAATACAGTTAGAATTTGGAATTTGGCTACTGGTCAGAGCGTGTCAATTCTCAAGGGACATACAGGTCCAGTTCACTCGATTGCCTGGTCACAAGTTGGTAGCCAACTTGTATCAGCGTCCGAGGATAAAACAATCAGAATCTGGGACTTGTCCACTAGCAAGAGCGTTTCGGCTTTCGATGGATATAGTGGTGGGGTCAGGGCAATTGTCTGGTCACAAGATGGAAGCCAACTTGCATCGGCGTCCGACGATTCAACAGTCAGAATCTGGGATCCAGCCATCGGCCAGAGTGTTTTAACCCTCAAGGGGCATACTGATCCGGTCACCTCGATTGCCTGGTCGCAAGATGGAAGCCGACTAGCGTCCGCGTCCTGGGATAAAACAGTCAGGATCTGGAACGCATCCACCGGCCAGAGTATATCAACATTTAAGGGGCATAGTGATTGGGTTAGATCTATTGCTTGGTCGCAAGATGGAAGCCAACTTGCGTCGGCATCTAATGACACAACAGTCAGAATCTGGGATCCAGTCAACGGCCAGAGCGTCTCATCTCTCGAGAGGCATACTGGTCCAGTCACCTCAATTGCCTGGTCGCAAGATGGAAGCCGACTCGCATCAGGGTCTGGGGATCAAACAGTCAGAATCTGGGATCCAGCCACCGGCCAGGAAGTTTCAATTCTCGAGGGGCATATTAGTTGGGTTGCCTCGGTTGCCTGGTCACAAGATGCAAGCCGACTTGCATCAGTGTCCAGTGATACAACAGTCATGATTTGGAATGCGGCCACTGGCCAGATCGTATCAAAAGTCTATACCGGCTTCGCCAGCCTCGTTAACTTCGATAACGTTCCCTTCAATCGTCTGCAAGCGACTGTTGCTACATTTGATAAAGGTTCAGTTTCTTCTGTTAAGCCTGCGCCTGATGAGTCGATTCCATTGCCTGAGCACTATGGATATGGCTTAAGCGATGACTCTTCGTGGATAACGTATGGTGGAGTCAAGCTCCTGCGGTTACCTATGGACTACAAACCGGCCAATCCCTTTACATATGCTGCCTCGGCAACTAATTTGGCGATAGGTTGTTCATCGGGTCATGTAATATTCCTGATGTTCTCAGAACAGAGCCCTTTCACTAGTCTTTGACTACTGTTATTTGTCCTCCTAATGAACAGCCTATATGCTTCCTAAATCCTCCTTGACAGGCACATGTATCTAGAAAGTAGATGATCAAACTATTCAAACCATGAAATAAAAATGAATTCTAGTGTCGGGACATATCCCTCTGTCAGAACAAGCTGGCGGTAGCTTACCGCCAGCGACTGGTAGATCACATTTGTGTGGTACGTTATCGGCGTATGGGATTCAAGAGTAATTATGAACCTGACCTGAATACTTCTACGAAATACATGAATCAGTCAACTTTTTGCTCGGGAGCATAAACACTGTTCAACTGTGAGCACGGTACCTAGCTGGTGATACCAACAGTTAGCATTTTGGGGCTTATAAGTAGATCAGGAGACTAGATAGGGCATAGCTCATACGCCGTGATACAGTAGCTATTTCTTTGTCATCATTTATTACCGTACTGAAATACTGCTCAGTATGTGGGTCGAAGGTAGACTAACTTGAAAAGGGATGGCGTCATACAAATAGAAGTTCGAAAAAGAATTGAAGAAAGTAAAGAGGTGAAATGATTTCGAGCGCATCTGTACACGTGTAATTTTACATAGCAAGATACAGTACCATACAAGCCGCATTCTACGGTGCCCTCAGTTTAATGCCAATGACGGAACTGCGCTAAGGCCTTGACGGTGGGTCCAGCAAAGAGTTTCAGTGAGTGTAGTGGTCAAGCCGATTTCGAGAATGACTGTATTCCAGGACCTAGGCACACTCACCAAGTGCCTTTCCTTCTTGAAATTGTGTAACCACAGGCACGAGTTGAATCAGCATGCACTGTACAGATCAGGATCGTTGGCCACATAAATACATGTGATAGCAATAGAGCATGCTTCTCAAGTCCCCGCTAACCCGAGCCAGGCATGATCGTCAAACATGACAAACATGAGAATCATATTGTATGTACAGCGCCACTCTGGGGGTCTTGGCTACGTCATCCCGCAAGTAACTGAGTGCCACGGAAGTTTGATTGGTATGACAACAATAAGTTCAGGTTGTCTGCCACCTTATGTAGTTGAGTCCGGGGTCAAACTTGTTAGATAACTGCATACAGCAAACACTGGACGACGTCATACGATCTTTTGTTTGGCGTCATGGAGACACATACATAATTCAAAAAAGATATATAAACATCCTCCATTTCTTATTTCTTGCAAATTACTTCTATATCACAACTACTTCTTTATCAAAGATATTCTATCAAACACCACTCAAACTTCCAACATCATGTCTGACACCGGTCGCAAGGATTTCACCACTAGTACGTACCTCTACAGATCCACCCCTCAGAATAAGACTGTGACTAACTCATCTCTACTATTCAGAGGCCAAGGAGGAGATCACTCCTGACTCCACCAAGTCCACTCAGGACAAGGTCAAGGAGACCGTCACCGACACTGGTGACCGCGTCGCTCGTGGTCTCCAGCCTGATGACAACAAGAGCGGTGGCCAAGAGGCCTTTGACAAGACCCAGCGTGCCCACGATGATGGCAACGGCGGTGCCACTAGCTCAATGTAAGACTCACCAAGAATCACGATACAAAGAACCTTGCATACTGACTGTTATCTCTCTCAATAGTGGCGACAAGGTCAAGAACGCTCTTGGCATGGACAAATAAGCGCTCAATCCTTTGATGAATTCTCTCGATGACGAACACTTCGTGGAGTTACACAACTCATGATCTCATGAGTCGATGATACCATTTGCTTTAGTTTACAACCAATCGATGCAGTGATCTGCCAATATGTTTGAAAAATTTGTGTGCACAGGATGACATCGTAGATTCATTTGTAGTATGACTTAGCATCTTCCCAGGCTGCTATACAATGCATCGCGCTGCCGATTAAGTTGGCCTAGTTCCCGTTCCAGTTCCTTGTACCTGGCCCGTGCCCCTGGAATATCCGTGGGCAGATCTTGAAATGCTTTCACACGCCCTTCTAGCGACTTGACAGTCTCCCGGAGCCGAATAATATTCTCTTCATCCGCCATAATTTGTTCAATTGTAGGACCTAGCGGCTGTTTCCTCTCCAATGAAGCAATACGATCATGATATTCCCCAACTTTTGTAGACAGCGTTTTGGTACCACGGATCCACTCCGAGGTCTGGCCCTGGATACCCTGGGGCATGGCATATGCCTCGTCCGACTTGAGCACCTCCAGATCAGCCTGAAGACGGGAAAGCTCTTTCTGCAAATAGAGACGTAGTGTTTCAACTTTGGCTATTTGATCTTGCGCGTCAAATTCCTCTGCCGTCAGCTCAACGATTGATTGGCTCAGATCCTCTGGCTCGGGGTTCATTGTGTTGCCCATTACAACTGCTGATTCGGCTAGATCATCAAGATCGCGCCGCCCCTTATCATCCAAGCACATTTCCACTTCATCTAGAATCTCGTTCTTTTGTCGCTCGTGTGGGTCTTTGCGCTCGGCCTCCTCCTGGACCTTGAAAGCATGGATAGCTTCTTCCTGTGCACGATGGTAGATATTTGTTTCCTCGTCTGCGGCATCATTGGCTGCGGCCAATGTCAAAAGGACGCGGAGGGTGTCTTCGTTTCGTTCGAATTGGGGCACGGCTTTGGGCGCGTATTTCCGGGTGAGCCATGAATTAACGTACGCCCAGTCCTTGGCTTGCATAGCAGCCTGGCGTGCCTTTGTGGGCGAGGCAAGTGGACTGTCAAATGAATCCATTTTGTATCTGAATAATGATTGTAAATTGTGGATGGATTAGAGAATAGTTATCTGTTGTTGCTGCACGATAAGAGTTGGGGCAAAGGCGGTCTACAGATCCAGTGAGCGAATGTCCTTTTCCCCACTCAACCTTGACTCGACCAGGAGTGAACTAGAGGTGCGTCTCTGAAAATGACAAGCTATTTTCCTGGGCCTGGGCCTGGTCCCAATAATGGCACCTCCCCCGTCTCGTCGCCCCTGTCTCCTCCAAATCAGCGCTCGAGCGCCTTGTACAATCGCCTCACATCTGTCCTGTCTGCTTCCTATGCCGACTCCGACATTCGCGACGCGTTGGAAACCTTGAGCATTCGGGGTATTCATAATACTGCTGAAACACGGCGGCAGCTTCGACTCGATGTGCAGAAAGAAGTGGTGGATAGCAACGCGGAGATCGTCCGCGATTTCGGACAGGTTGCGGAGGTAAGTATATACAAAGCTGTATTGAACTAAGTACAAAAGACTAATATTCTCTCGCTGATATAGCAATTGAAACGAATCGGAAGCGTCATAACTACTCTCAATCAAACATGCGACGAAATGCGCAAACATATCGGTCTGGCTAAACAAGATACCACCCCCGTGTTGGAGGAAGCTACCGCGTTGATGGCTCAAAAGAAAGACACGGAAACGAAGCAACAACTGCTAATTGCTTTTGAGAAACATTTCTTGGTCCCGGAGGAAGATTTCATGGTCTTGAATTCGGCTGAAGAACCAGTGGATGACCGGTTCTTTGATATTCTCGCACGTGTCAAACAAGTCCATCATGACTGTGAGCACCTTCTAGGCGGGGAGAACCAGCGATTGGGCCTAGAGTTGATGGAGCTGAGCACTCGGCATCTCAACTCTGCTTACCAGAAGCTATACAAGTGGATTCAGAAAGAGTTCCAGTCTTTGAACCTTGAGGACCCCCGGATCAGTAGCTCGATTCGACGTGCTCTGCGGGTCCTGGCGGAGCGGCCAAGTCTATTCCACAGCTGTCTGGATTTCTTCGCTGAGGCGCGTGACTATGTTCTTGCCGATGCGTTCCATTATGCGCTAACAGACGCCATGTCTGGCGCTAATGGGCCCAGTGCCGGTGACCGAAGTGTCAAACCCATTGAATTTTCGGCCCATGATCCACTCCGGTATATTGGCGATATGCTTGCGTGGGTACATTCCACAACTGTCTCTGAGAGAGAAGCGTTGGAGGCTTTGTTTGTTGCCGATGGGGAGGAACTCGCACGGGGAATTCAGGCTGGTCTCAATAGTGAGCCTTGGTCTCGCATTGACGAAGAGCAGGAGGTCACCTTCGATGGCCACAAGGCACTCAGTGATCTAGTAAATCGGGATCTCATCGGAGTCTCTCGTTCCCTACGGCAAAGAGTTGAGCTGGTGATTCAAGGTCATGATGACCCCGTCACTTGCTACAAGGTCGTCAACTTGCTATCCTTCTATCGAACCACCTTCACGAAACTGGTTGGTCCCAAGGCTCAGCTAGTGGACTTGATGCAGAGTCTGGAGAAGTTTACACTTGGACATTTTGAGAATTTGATGCGAGAGGAAGTCAGCACACTGTCAAACGACCCACTGGCTTTGGCTCCCCCCGCAAGATCTATCGCCACCGGAGTTCTTACTTGATGCATTGGAAGGTTTGGTTTCTCTCATGAAAACGCACGAGGCATCGGTCCGACCGGACGAGGAATCCGATTCAGGTAGCGAGAACAAGTTCACTCCTGTTCTTCGAGCTGCCTTCGATCCATATTTGACGCTAGCTCGATCCTCATCCGAGGAGATTGACGATCCAACAGCGCAGACCATTTACCGCACCAACATCCTTTTAGCAGCCCGCGCAACTGTCTCCCCATTTGGATTCGCCAGTGTCACCCATATGACCCCACTGTCCACCGCTCTGTCTACTCTGCGTACGAACCTGCTCGATATCCAGCATCAATTCCTTCTTGATAATTCCGGTCTGCAGACTCTGCTAGATGCTCTAGAGCCCTTTTCCAAATCAGGCAGAGACTCAGAGCCAGACAGTGATAATGAAGAGAAGCCGGAGCAGAAGCTTCACCTTGCAGATCTGGCCACCCTCCCTGCTTTCCAACCCGAGGCCCTCGTTACGTCTAGCCAGCAGCTCGACGACTTCCTCCCTTCTGCTCTCATGGATGCAGCTGATCACCTCAAGCGTGTCCAGAGCGCCTCCCTCATCCAAAGCGTCACTGAAGATGCCGTCGAGGCCTTCTGCCGTGATTTCGAGTTTGTTGAGGGTATGATTATTGCCGCCGATGAGGCAAGAGGAATGACCCAGGTTAGCTTGGGTACGAGCGGCAGCGTGATTAGCGGCCGTAGCGGAAGATCCACTCGTAAGACCACGGGTGAAGATGACGAGGAAGAGAAGGAGGATCAGTGGAGTTTGCGCTCATTGTTCCCTCGCACGACTGGAGAAATCCGTGTCTTGCTGAGTTGAGTAGTGCATCGAGATAACACACAAATATTGTATATACATTCTTCCCATTGCCCATTCATGAAGCAAAGATCTGTCACTTGCACGTCGTTTATTCATCACATACCATCAAGACCTACGTAGCTAAATTTGAACTACTGATCAAGCATGTAGGTACTTGCAGGCTTCTGGTCACTTTGACATGTCACATTCCAAAATCACAATACTGAAATCTCGAACTAAGCATAAAAAAGCTCACAGAGAGTTCATTCGGGTTCGGACAGATCATCCTGATCAGGCCCCTCACTATATTGGCTCTGCAACCCCGGCTTCGCGTGGCGAGTTCTGTCGCCTCCCATTAAATTGGTTCGATCAGTTGCGTCATCTTTACCGCGAGCTGAATATTCCATTAGCATTTCCCAAAGCGCTCTACTTTGAAATTTGGAAGACAGACCATGTTGCACGTTGGAATTCGTATTATCGTGCTGGTGAACGAAAGTGTCATAGAACTCCTCACCATCCTCAACGATGAGAGGCTTATGAATGAGTTGTTTCTGATCAGACATTATGAGTGTATGGTGGGTTTTGTGTAATGGCACAATAAAATTTGTTATTCTTTTGGGACAGAATGACAGTTCTTCTTGTGCTATTTATGCTTGAGAGGATCCATCAATTGAGTACATTGCTATCGTCATAGCTACGATTTTTTCAGGAGGCAAGAGATTCTGGGAACATTTGATCCAGACCTAGCTCCCCGCTGGTTCACTTGATGACTTTTATTATTCCAAGGTTGTTGATGGTGAGGCTAACGCCACGACTCGTTATAGGGTTTAGTCACGCGTCTCGCGCTTATTTAGAGCTTCGGCCCTACCCGTCGTGGGGGCACAACGCAGCTAATGTAGATCGCAAGGCGTTGACTGTTTACTATTTACCACCCTTAGATGTACATCTGCCAGAATTGCCGCTATTGTGAGAAGCTTTCATCCAATAGGCGGTTTGGCCGAGTGGTCTAAGGCGATTGACTAGAAATCAATTCTCTTCGGAGGCGGCGGTTCAAATCCGCCAGCCGTCGGTTTGTTTTTAATTTTTTAAAAAGCTTTCCTGGATCTTTGCCAGCAGGATGCCCGGGTGGCGTAGCGTTAAAGCGTTACCTGATCTTCTTTGTCCCAAGCCTGGACGTACATCGATGCAGTAGCCTGAGCCACATTATTTGCTTATGCTGGAAACTTGCAATGCTCATAAAATGGATCTTCATGCAACAATGATTCTATGCGCTCCAACTAGGATTCCCCGGGCCTATGGGCCTGCCCAAGGGTCAGAGGGATATCATGAGGAAGCCCAGCTCCAATCCAGCAAGGCTATTCATGGATCTGATAAGGTGTTTTGGAAAATTCGGAAGGCATCTATTGGTAGAAACTATGTGATCCACCCCGATGTCTAGAGTCCTATTATGTAGGTACTTCTGAATTGACGTTGCGGACTAGGGAACCAGACATAAGAGGTAGTTCTAGCCTATCTCAATAGCTACATCAGTGTGACCTTTTTTCCTCTTACAATTGTTTATCAACTCCGTCGATTTAGCTAGAATGTCAGGCTAAAGAGATAAAGTGAAGATATAGGTAGACCTATATTGCTCTAATTCATTCTCAGACTACCTATTTGGAATGGAAAGTGTTTGATCCGTGGTTAGGCAGTCATGACTTTGAAGCTGGTATCTCTCGAAATGATACGTCCAAGACCACAGCGAAAACAGAGGAAAGTCAGTATGAAACGTAGGGAAGGAAGGAATCATCGCGTCCAAAGAAACAGCAATCTACCAGGTCTTAGATAACCTTTGATCTTCCAGCCGATATACACAACTTGATCAAACTATCACTGTGCTTCTGGCTCCAGCAAGTTCGTAAAGGTCACCGGAGTTTGTCTCGACCGGTCGACCTTCACCTGAAACACGTCAAAGCGCTGATATCCCCCAACCACATCCTGGAACTGTTTTCCTTCAATAGTCGCGTCCATATCAAGATCCGCGTACAATATCCCCTCCTCATGCTGCAAATTCTCTTTTTCTTCCTTTTCGCCCGTCTCAGCATTGATCACGAAGCCCATCAAGGGACTTCCAGAGGGGTCAAGGAATCTGGTCTCCGCCTGCATAGATCCCTCCATGGTGGTTCGTATGACCTCCTTCGTCTGATCGGGGGCTATTTCCAGCATAGTCGCTAGAGTCTTCTCGTCCGCAATGGCGGCATTAATGATACCAAAATACTTCCCTTCAAAATAGTGGCCAGCAGCCCGTATGCGGTTCGCAGCTACATTGCCGTATTTCGCCTTGGGCTTGTCTCCCTCGGCAGTGCCGGGTGCTTCTTTTCGGATAATATGCATCGGCGCCTTTGCAGGCCAGGTGGAGATATGCACCTGTTCACCCTGTGCCATCATGCTGTAACGCGCTAGAGGATTGGTGTTCTCTCCACAAAGGAGCATGCCCACTTTTGCGATCCTCGAGCCACTCTGCACGGGCAGATCAATCACCTCAAGGCCGTGTCCATCACCAGGGGCCCAGGTGAGCTTCTCGTAGAAAGTCGGAACCAGCTTGCGGTGGTGGACCAGAATTTCGCCCGAAGAACTAATCATCAGATTGCTGTTATATAGATTCGCACTGCTGTGGCGAGTTTTTTCTGAAAAGCCGACACAGACGGTGAAGTTGTTACTTTTAGCGGCTTTGCGGATTAAGTTGACCTCTTCAAATGCTCGAGATTCTAAGATACATAGGTATGAGCTGGCTATAGCAAACTTTTTCAATCAAATTAAGTTGATCGGTGATCTGCGGCTTGCGCTGGTACAATTAAGCGCCGTTGTAACGGTTTAAAAGAAATATCTGCCGCTGGTACTGTATGCAACATGGATCGATGCTCAAATTATAGATCCGTTACAAGCGCATAATAAACCAAATTCTTTTAAGATGTCGGGTTGGAGGCTCAAAACTCTTCTTGTTCTCTTTCCTATTTTTGAATTACTGATTCAAAGGTTGATACTCCTCAATTCCTACATGTCCGCGGCTACCTAAGATTCCTGGGACACATATTCTTACAATGTGAAACATAATCTGCAAGGATTAACGTGAACTTTCCAAAGGTTGTTGATTGCTGATGTTTCATTGCAGTTAAATGGTTACAAATGTCTCAAAAAGGCATAACAAAAAATCATATCAAATGGGTACCCAAGATAGTCCCCGGGTATTGCAGCATCAAACTCCATCCAGCACCTGGAATTTTCCAAATCCTTTCCAAAAAAAACCTCTAACAAGCACCTCCAGTCCGGACATGCAAATCCATGCTTCAACCCCATTCGGCCAATTCAAGAGTCATAACAGTATCGTATATGTAGGTTTCGTGAATAAGAAACATGATAACTTCATTCCATTTCACGTAATCCTACCTAAGACAACGCCAAACTTAACCGCCTCTTTCGCCAAACTCTCTGGCCCAGTCTTCGTACTTGCGTAGTCCATCTGGAGAGACACTGGGCCGAATCGAGTACAAACTTGATTCAAAGTCTTGGAATTTTATGGGACGGATCTGATCCATAGGTGTATGGAGGAGAGCTTCGCCGAGGTTGCGGAGGGGACCCATAGCGGCATCTTTAGCTAGCGCTGTGATATCTGAGCCAGAGAAGCCTATCAAGCATTGTTAGATATGATGATGCTATATATATAGTTAAGGGAAAATAATTCTTACCATCTGTCACATGGACCAGGACCTCGATATCCGCATCGTTCAGCTCGTGATGTTGGTGACTGAGAAGCGTGCGTAATTGCTGCTCACGAACATGTTGCTCTGGTAGAGGAATATACTGTCGACGAACGAAACGGCGGCGTGCTGCCTCATCAATATCCCACGGCATATTGGTTGCAGCCAACACGAGAACACGGCTGGCGTCACCCTCTTTCTTGTCCCGAGCAGACTGTTCGCGGCCAGCAGCGGCACGCTGAAGATCTGACCATTGAATCAAAAACTCAGTTTTTGATCGACGAGATGCTTCGTTCTCGGAGCCGGAGGACCGCGCAGATAGCAAAGAGTCGATCTCATCGACGAAAATGATCGAGGGGGCAAGGACCTTGGCTAATCCGAATAGAGCGCGCACAAGCTTTTCGCTCTCGCCGTGCCATTTTGAAGTTAGGCTGGATGACGACACGGAGAAGAAGGTTGACTTCGACTCGGTGGCGACTGATCGTGCAAGCATTGTTTTACCGGTACCTGGTGGTCCGAATAGTAACATGCCACGTGCTGGCTCACGTAAACCAGAGAATAGATCAGGCCGAAGGAATGGATACACCACTGCTTCTTTAAGCGCTTTTTTCGCTGGTTCCAATCCAGCAATGTCCTCCCAGTGCACTTCATCGCCACGGACAACAATGTCATTGAGGATCTGCCGTGCTGATTGCAAGTCTACACCCTTGGGTAGCTTATTCAGGATTTTAACAAGGTCATCGTCGTCATCTTCATCCTCGTCCCCCGCATCGTCTTCCGTGGAGCGATGCCCCGAAGAATCCAGGTCACTCGAAGGGGGAGTCTCCCGTCGCGTGACTGGAGGCGGTTTCCGTCGTGTTGCACTGTTGCCATTCCATGAATTCGACATCGATCTGGCCTCACGCTGAACATTCTCGCTACTTGACGACGGTTGTATAGAGGCAGATTGGTCCGTTTTCGTGATTCGTGGCGCAGACTTTGTGCGTGGTGTGCTTCTCGAGGTACTTATATCTTGATCCTGCCGGGGTGTTGCTGGCCGAGAACTACCCTCCGATCTAGAAGTAGCCATAGTCGCGCGAGGTGGCGGCTGAAGCGAAGATCTCAACCCCGCTGGTTTAGGTTTGACAGATGGTTTTGGGACGGGTGAAGGTGGCGACGTAAAATCTTTTGGCTCTGGCATGGTCGCTGTTACCGACGGAAGTGGCCTACGAGTTTCTGAAGCCACAGGCTGACGGACAGGCAGGTGTGCAACTGGCCGTGGCGATGACCGACTCGGCGATGGCTGCTGAGGCTCGCGCCAGTGTGCAGCAGGAATTCGATCTGTAGCAGAATCGCTCCGCAAGACTTTATGTCTAGCCACCAATGGCTCATCTCCAGAACTAGTGCGTGACTCGGCATTGGCGGCGCTCCGTGAAGATGCTATGGCGGCCGCATCACTGACAGACTTTTCGCCTGACCCGGACCGTAAGGTACTGCCCCATGCCAGGCCCGCTGCTGTGGAGGCGGCCGGCCGCGACTCCTTCTTCTTAGGATTCACTTTGGTTTTCTTGCCAGATTTCTTCCCGTCGGTATTGCGCAGAGTTGTCAGCATCGGCTTCCGTCGCTCGGGACTTGAGGCACGCGACCTCTCCTTCTCCGACGCATTCGAGTTCATTCGCACAGCAGGCGAGCCGGCCGGCGACAGGCCCATTGGCGCAGAGTCTTCGAAGTAGGAAACCGACTCGAAGTGGTGTTTCGGCGGTGGAGGTCGGCCAGGTATGGCGGCCGGTTTGGAGAGGTCGGTGTAGCCCACAGCCGGGATCGTACCGCCTCCGATGTACCCGGGGATGCTGTTGCTGGGGGATGGTTGGGGAATACTCGGGGCGTGCCTGCCCTTCGTCAAAGTCGAAGCCTTGTCACCGCTGTTTGCCTCGGCCGACTCTTTCCGGCTTTCGCGCAGTGCGGACAGTAGGTCGACTCGCTCGCGGCATTGAGCCTCCAAGGCTCGGATAGAATCTTGCAATGCCTTTTCGGTTTCGGATTTGGGAGTGTAGGTCGATGATACCCGGCGGGCATTGTGATGATAGATGGTCTCGAGGGCGGATCTCCAGGATCTCAATGCTTCCTCTTCGTTGTTCTGATGTCATGAGCACATGGAATCCCGACCGGGGTCTAGAAAGCATACCTGGCCCTCAAAATAGACGGCAGTGGAGCATAGCAGATAGCACTCATCGTATGTCTTCTGCATGGAAGACGCGGGCCGTGGGCGCATCATTTGTAAAACACAGGCCCGCACCCATTTCACGCTGGTTGTGGTGGGGAGAAGTAAAAGCGATGATCTCCCGTTTGTGAGGGGAGGATTTTTCGCGTGACGTCGTCGGTCCGGCAGTTACGCATGCGGACCTTTATACGGGGTACAGGAGGACAATTATTGAGAACATGTAAATCAGACATCAAATCTAGATTCCCGGTGGCACGTCTATCGGTACATGCAGAATAAAATAGAATAAAACAGTTATAGATGCAAGAGATTCCCCAAATCAAAATCACCAACGCCAGATTTGAGGTCAAGAAGAGAAAAAGATCCAATCTCCAGACCGGATTGCTGAGTTCAAAACCCCCCCTCTTACCTGATCTGTACATTGCCTTCGCTTTTGGTATGTGAATGGAAGCTTGCATGTCCCAGGCTCATTTTTGTTTTTTTGTGTGCCTAAGATACACCATTATGAGGTCGGGCTCTGCCCGTAACCATCAAAGACCCAGATTGGAGAAATAAATCGTAGAAGCATTGTGTCGGGGTCACACAATACAGGATATGGAACAAAGGGAAGGAGGGCTATCGGATCATTTGAGACAAGTCATGGACTTGTTTACTCAAGGTTCTTGAAATAAGCCTTGGCCATCTCATAAGAGGTCCAGCAAATAGCCGTGCTGGGCATGGTGGAGATGATCCGGGGTCGCATACCACGCAGGAAACCAGACCAGCCGAACTGACGCTTGATGATGGAGGCGGCATTAAAAAGACCCTTGGCGGAGCGGATTTCCTCGTTCTCAGCGAGACCACGAGTCTGGAGGAGCGTTTTCACAACATCGAGGGGAGTAGTGATACCCGCAGCAAAGGCACCAGCAAGACCACCGGCCATGCAGTGGGTGAGCGGGTCATATTCCTGCTTCGGGTTCATGAACTTGGAGAGGGACTCGTAGGCGACAAATTGTGTGGCAGTGAAGGGTACAGTCATGCAGAGGGTGGTGGGATAGGAGAGGTAGAAGGCCTGGAGACCCTCGGTGCGGTAGAGAGTTTTAGCGCATTGCAGCAGACTCTTGTGAACGGATCCGTGAACTTGCATTCGTTGCTTAATCACTGTTTTGGTCTTAGCGCTTATGTCCGAAATAGAGCGAAAATAACGTTGTTTTCAAGCACTTACCATCGAATGGGTTCATCAGCGCATCGCTGGCAATAGTGGCGGACGCACCACTCAGAGCTAAATTCAACCCCGTTAGTTATGCTAAACCCCCATTTTTCTTTCAACCCCAGAAGTGAACAAACGACATACCAGCAGCGAGAGGATGGTGTCCATCGTCCACATTACCACCAGCCATCTCCTTCACCATCTCATATGTTCCAAAGTACACCGCGTGTGCCGGACCTGAATATCTTGATATCAGCCACCAATTTCCCATTACGCGTCCATTTAATCAGAAACCTACCCGCGCCCACAATCACACTGGAAACACCCTTCCATAGTGTCCGCCAGCCCTCAATCCGATAAATGGTTGAAACCGCGTTGGTCAAACCCGTGTACAGACCACCGGTCGAAGGGTGCAGGATTTGCATGCGGGTCTAGCGATGAAGAAACCCCGTCAGCAACCCCAACACCAACAAAAATCAACTTTTCAGAACAGTACGCACCTTGAGCAAGTCTACTGGATACATCACAGAGTGTTCCTGATTAATCCGATCAGCCAAAACCCTTCTCCCATCTCACGTCATGGACCGCGTCCATCCCGCCTGGTTGCACCTACCGCAATTCCTGCAAAAGCACCCGCGAGCATGTTGCGGCCGAGGCCATAGTTTGAAGGGAGCGCTTCATAACTAAAGTTGCAAATCCTGTCAGCTTCCATCGTCACCAGGCATGGAGCTGGGGTAGAACTGGGATGTGATGATTCCCTGTCTCCGGGACATATAATGACGCCGGCTCAGCCGGGCGGAGACCGGCAGGGAATGGCATAGAGAGCAAAACTTGCTGATGCATCAATGATCTCTAGGCAGAAACACCAATGCTATCTCCGTGTAGCGCATGCCATCCCGTGCCAGCGCGCCCGGATGGAGAATCAAATCCGAGCCCCGAGCCCGAGCCCGCGGAGGAATCACGGAGTTACCTACTCGAATTCTAGCTCCTCAACATTGTCTGGAGCCGCCATGGAGCTCCGCTAGCCCAAGGCGCAGCTGGCGCAAGTAAAAAAGAGTGGAGAGAAAGGGACCGCGGTGGTGGTTGGAGGTGACGGTCGTGACAGAGGTGTTGGAGAAAAAAGGTTGTGAGGATCGAGATAAAATGGGGTTCTCCGGGGAGCCAAAACAGGGACCAGGGGGCGTCGCTCTTTTGGTTTGTCCGATTGAACAAGTCTATGTTGTCGCCCTGATGTATATGGGGAAACCAGATGTAGAGAGTAGAAGAAAAGTTTGGCCAAATAATTTCTTTAGATAATGAACGGCGCTAAGGAAATTATTGTTCATGATCGGGACCGACCTTCGCCGGATTCCACACCGACCCATTCCTTGTGAAGAGTCCCATATCCCCGTATACACCCTTGGCATAATTTATTCTTTTGCGCTTGCTTTTTAATCTACAAGGTCTGGCTACCTAGCTGTTGGAACTGGTCTTTTTCCGTGTTATTTGACCAGTTTCTTTGACTGTCTCTACGGATTACTCAGAAACCATGCCTAGAACAAGATCCATCCGATGACGGAGCTTTGTCCACGAACGGGTATTGTATGTACCAAACATCTCAAATACATGAGGTACTTCAACCGCGCAGCCAAAATAGCCGGGACGCCCAAGTACCCCCCTGTCTCACCTCGCGTAATATTTATCAATCTGATAAGCCCTTTAATCAATTTTGCCCCTTCGATCGGGAACTAGTGTCCTGGGCGAAGCAGCAGACAAGTGGACCGGAGAACACGGGAACCGCTGGTCGCCATTGACATTCGAGAAGGGAAGCCGTCTTCTATGGGGTATCGATGATCACCGTTAATCTGTCCCGGGTAAAGGGGGTCTGGACATGACCACAGTATCATCAATTTAGCGCAATACTTTGGATGGCCGATGCTACCTGTCAGTTGAATCTTACTACTGAGATATGAATGTACCAACTTTCCCTTGAAAATGTCTTCTTCATGCCTTGAGGTTTGGAATACGAGGTTCTAGAAAGTGAACCACGCGACTCGTCCGGCCGCCCTGCCGAGGTCCGGGTGGGCTTCAGGCCGTCCAAACTAAACTCTTCATGTCCCGTACGCAAGTGCCAATGATTCGTTGCTAAGGCCCACCATATCCCCTGCAGCGTGCAGTCTAAAAAGGAGTAGTCGGGCGTAGGGAGGAATGTTACAGATGAACACCGTACACAGTTTAATCAGGTCGTCCGGGTCGGGTGAAACTACTAGAAAGGGGAAACTTACAGGGCCCAAGAGGAAAAAAAACTCGGCTTTATATGGCTGCCGGATGCCGGCTATTTTATCTGATTCTAAAGCGCACGGCTCTCCATCGGAGTGCTATTGTTGGGACGGATTTTGTTCCTTACGTATACCTCACCGAGCCTTATCCGGGGCCTCCGGTTAAAGAGCCGCGGATCGTGATGCAGATCTGCGTTTTCCAAGGCAACAATTAGCTTGAAAGTTTGGGGATTTACGAGAGACATTTCATTATTTTATGTTCTTAACATATAGCCATAGTCTCAAAATCATTGTCAATGTGTCTCTACTTGGGATTTTGTGAACTTCAGAATCCACAGGGATTCTCCAGGAAGCTTTATAACGAACTGTTCGTCATGTGGTCACGTGTGGGTTAATATAACTAACTGGGGGTTTGGCAGATCTAGAGGCACAGCACATACTCTCTGTATCCAGATGGTCACCTAGTGATCAACTGAGAATGCAATACCCAAAACCTTGAGAATGGAGATCAAAATGCCTCATTTTTGAAGCATAACAGGACTACGCGTGAGAGAATCGGTATTCATAAATTCTGTGACCACGAAGGTCGTGTTCGACGATGGTAGGCGAATGACCATGATCACGTTTCCTACGTCGATACCTAGTATCAAGTGTCAAGATGCTGGCTATAGCCGTTCCAAGTACTGAAAATAAAGACTCAATGCAATAAATAGATTCGCTATCTGGCTATGAAAGTAAAAGGCTGATATTTGGCCAAGGTAAACCCAACACAGTAAGATCTCAACAACACCACATGCGCCGCAGCCTCGAGGAAATGGGGAGAATGTAAAGGAGTAGATAATCTGGCCAGGGAGTGTGAGAAATTTCATATCTGGCAGACAGATAAAAGGCAGGAAGAAGGTTCATTCACGTCGTCAAAAACTCGGAGAGGTTGATGGGGTTGTGTTACCACTCAATATTGAACGACCATTCGCCTATGTCATATTAGCATAGATAATTTCAAGGTTTCGACGGGAAGAAAACAAGGTATCGATTGAGACTCACCATTCTTCAAGTTCTCAGCAGTGTCACTTAATAAGATTACCCGGCGTTTGTTACAGTAGGCGGTTTTGTCCAGAATATCAACTTTCAGCTCGGCCAGCTCTGAGACAGGCTTCTCGAACATTTCACTCAGACTCTCGACTGCCATTTCCAAGTCCTTCTGGTTATCCTCGAAGATCTCGGTAAGATTGTTTCGGGCAAGGTAGAAGGCGAATGCGTACGTCCATTTCAAGGTCTGGCGACACTGTTGTAATGCTTGTGAGGCTGTGTCGAGGAACTGGACTTCAATCCAGGAGAGACCTGACGTCGATTGAAGGCTGGTCATCTTCTTTTCGGTCTTAAGATACAAGTCCTTGTCCAACTTGGCAGACTGCTCGTGGTTGGCATATCGGTTATAATAATGCAAGTATCGCTCCAGTGATTGCCGTGATTTGGCCTGGGCACCTCGGGCATCTGACCCAGACTTTTCTTCGTACCTGCTACAATTGTACCAGCTGGTGCCATGTTCGGACCAGAGACCCATACACATCCAGCAGAACTCGTGTTTGCATTTGCGGCAGGTCATGTGGTTACAGCCACCGTTCTTCTCGATCGTCGACGCGCACTTTGGACACTCCTTGGTGTTGGCAGAGATCCAGTTGGCCGTTTCGGAATCATCCTCGCACTTCTGCAACCACATCTTGACTAGTGCGCAGGGTGTGGGTTGATGGTCGGTGATAGCGCAACCGAAACAGAACTCGTGTTTGCATAAACAGCGAACTGTCGGCACGATGCGGCGGAGCTCTCGGGTTTTGACAGGGCAGTCGATCGCATACTCGCAGTTCGGAGCTGGGCACCATCGCAGGTTATCCTTGTTATCCACATACGTACGTGTAAGGAGTGTTCGATATCTGGCAGGGTTTGTGTCAGCGAGGCTCTTACCCATCACTTATAAGAAAACATGACTCACCGGCCCTTGAGATCGTCCGTCACAAGCAAGTCCAGCGATTTTGAGTCCACGATGCGATGACAGTTATCACCAGGACACTCGATACGAGCCGCCTCGCCTTCATCCTTGATCTTGCCAGCCAGGTAATGACGGTAGCAGTCGACGCAAAACCTATGACCACATCGCATCGCATATGTCTCAAGATCCGCCCCATCCTCACAGCAGATGTCACACATAAAATCAGGCACCACCTCCGTCTTCGCAGTGCCCTCAAAATTAGTCCCCAGTCCAGCTTCCTCTAGCGTCTCTTCCGGATGTTCCATATACCCCTCGATTAATTTCTCTTGCTTCCATCGTCCAAACCGTAACAGAATAGCAGCTGACTCTGGTGGCAAGCCGAGGATAGCGGAGACCTCGTTAATCTGCACTGACTGTTCACGCTCGATATCCGATGTGTCCAAAACTTTAAACTCGACTTCATATGGTTTTCGTTTCTGCTTGATGAGGTCTTTATCGTCAGAGAAGCCGGTATCGAGATCGCCAAAGTCGACTACATGCGAGAACAAAGAGTCAGTCATCGAACAAGGGAGGGAGGAGGCATCCAAGCGTAAAACTCGTAAATCATTCATTCACATACCTTCTCCTAGACTTTCATCGTCACTGCCTTGTGTGTCGAGAAAATCATCACCAGATGAGACATCGCTCATGAAATCATCGTCAGAATCCATGCTGCCTGTTGTGGTCGCGGGCGTCGCGATTTCCCTCTTGTTAAGACAAACTAGGCTCTTCCCCGAGTTACCAGACTCGGGAGACTCTGTCGAGATAGGTAGGGTAGAGCGGTTCTTGTCGGTGTTGGATGTAGCCCTGGTGCTGGGCCGATCGGAAGCAGTGGCGTTCCCGGTGTGGGCAGCCTTGGTGGCGGATTTGGGGAGAGGCTGGTTGTCGTCCGCAATCGCCGCCTCGGCCGCCTTTCTCTTCCGCGTGGAGGGAGGCGTGATGAAAAGGGGGGCGGCAGATTGCCGGCGGGGATTTAGAGGGGGTAGGGCGGGTTTTAACAAAGGGCTCTTGTTGGAGCCACAACGTCACCAGGAAAAATCACTCGGAGGGGGACGGAGTGGGGAAAGGGTGCGATCGAGCGGAACCGTCGATTACTACATGTTTTGGTCCGGGACGGCATTCAGCGTTTAGGTTCGGGGGATTTGCTATGTTTGTTCTACTTCTGACTGATCATCACCAAACTAGGCATCTACAGCATCATGGAAATAGGAAAGATTGCTTGGGCTGGAATTATTGCCTAGTGACCCGCCTAACTTGTGATGGTCAACAATGACATGCAGATCCTACCTCAGGTATGATTGGTCCAATCGGCCACTATTGCCTAGGCTGACGGAACTAGATACGATAGATTGTTTCAGAACCTTGGGAATCGAGTCGTCGGGTTTCGAGTCAGTTTTCAAATGTAGAATGACTAGACATAGCACTAGGCATCTACAATGCTAACAAGGTCAACTACACATGTTATATATGCGAGCCCTAAGGGTTAAAGTCTATACTCAAATACGCAAATACGTAGCAATCCTGAATTTTAAATTCTCATGAATCCATAATTTAGCATGACATAGGATGGGTGGTATATAACCTCTACTCATCATCACTTTCCTCCTCCTCAGAGTCCTCCTCTTCACTGCTTTCCTCCTCCGCTTCCGCCAACCAGTTCACGAACTGCTGTGCCTGGCTGCGGACATTTCGCATCTCCTCAGTCGCACTAGACCGCTCATCATTCCACCACTGATCATATGCCTCCTCATCCACAAGCTCAAGATCATAAAGGACCTTGGCAGCGAAAAGCAGGATATTAGCACCCTTGCTCCGGTGCACCAGATCTTGCTGTAATTGAAGCAGCAAATCAACCTGGTCTTTCTTCTCAGATTTGTTCCGGTCAAAGAGTGTCCGGTCCACAACTTCCCGGTATGTGGAGAAAAGATCGTGGACCACCTCGCTGGCATTCTTGCCATTCTCCATGACCTGTTGGACGTGCTTCATGAATGAGGAGACGATGGCGCGTCGGACTTGGTTGTCTGAGGCGTTTGCTGTCATACGGAGACTGACAAGTTCGAGTTGGACGACGTCGGCGGTAACTCCTTCGCGGATACTTTCAAAGATACTGGCGGAGGCGTCATGGTGGAAGTTGTCTTGTTCTTCCCCATCGGAGAAACTGCTTCGCCCGGAACGAGGCCAGGAGCCGTCGGAAATTTCAGAGGACAGGGTCGAAATGGAGGCAGAGGAGAGTGATAGACCGGGCATGCGGTATACGAGGCCAGATGAGGCAACACTGACGATCTCTTCATCATCTTCTTCGTCTTCACCTTGGATGAACTCACGGCCTTCGCCGTCAGCTCCAACCACCTTGGCGTCGGTGATCGCTTCGCTGCCGTCTCGTGGAACAGTAGTGATTCGTTTCCCGCTCTCGACTGTTACGCCGTCGGCAATCTTGACACCGAAGGACAAAAGAGCACCGGCCTTAACCTTGCAGTTCTTGCCAACGACGACGCCATCGGCGATGATAGCTCCCTGAACATCTGTGTTATCGCCAATAGAAACGTTATCCCAGATGTAGGCGCCTTCCAACTTGACGTTGCGGCCGATCTTGCAGTTCCGGCCGAGCACGGTGTTCCGAACTGTTGTCTTGTCGCCAATACTAGTGCTCTTGCCGATGACTGTGCGGCGGCCGATCACGCATGACCGTGCCAATGTGACACCTTTCTCTTGATACAAGCTGCCCTTTCGAAGGTCATAGCTATGGCCGGGGAGTAGGTTGGTGTCAGGACACAATGGGTATGTCCACCGGGAAATAATGTCTTTGCTGACGGCATCGTATGCCTTCAAATTCCTTACCCGTGCGGCGTAGTGATCCTTGATGATGTATGTGTGGAGAGTCTTGCCGTTCAGCTCGTAGTCCTTAAGAACACCGAACAGATAGTGCTTGCGAGGAGATTGGTAGTCGAAGCTATCAGACCACAAGCTCAGCACGTCGGGAGTGCAAATATCAATGCTACAGTCGATCAGGTCTTGACGGATATCCAGCTCTGGGTGGGTCATGAGGAGTTCAGTGTCGATAGTGAGGCGAGCAGGGTTCTCGTCCGAGTTGTGATCGATCTCCTCGTAGTGGAGACAGCGGTCTTTGGTGGGATCGATGACGAAGACTGGCGAGACGGATGACGCTTTGGTGCGATGATCCCGTCCGGCTTCCCGGAGGACCATGGTCATGATAGCGTTCTTGTCGGTGGCACGACGAGCTCGGTGCTTGTTTAGTGCACCTTCGATGGGCATGTTGCTAATCACGTCGCCGCTGACGACAATGAAATCACCAGTGATAAGGTGCTTTCCATCGAGATCACGCATGACATCACCAACGGACGCGGAGGTCGATTTGAGGAATGTAAATTGCTTGAATGGAGAGGAAGGTCCTCTCCATTTTGAGGCACTGATCATAGCTCCGTTAGCCACCTAGACTGGAGATCGTACTTGTGGGGCGTGCGTACTCGATGTATTTCTCTAGGATGTCCGAGTGTTTCCCTCCATAAAGAAAAACCTCCTCCACGCCTGCATTTGCCAAAAATTCTAGGGTATATTCAATGATGGGAGTGTTGGCCAACGGCAGAAGGCACTAAACGATCCGGTCAGCTCTGTATCTCGATTTCTTTTAAAGAGTATCCTCTTCAACCGGTGGATCGGGTAGATATCGTACGCGAGGCTTCTCAAGAGTGAATGGCTCAAATCGTGGCTCAAAGGTATCCGCAAGAACCTACTCGTAGATAAAAAGTTAGCCGCAAAGAAACAAGCATAAAGCGGAGCATGTTTAGACCATGTTCTCACGTACCACAGCCTGCAGTGTCTCCTCTACTTCATCCGCAGTATTTCCCTTAGGCTTTGAGCCTCCACCCTTTTGCTTAGCACCCATTGCAAGCAGATCCTGAGAAGCGTTAATCCAGTTGTATCGAGGAAGTCGGTTCCGCGGAGATCGTGTATGGTGGACCTGGAGGGGTCAGGAAATATCATACCTGGTACCGGAATTAACCACAGGGACTAGGAGATACCGAGAAAAATCCGCAATGTCTGTTCTATGCTGCCGTGGGTCCTATGCAGGGTCGTCGCGATGCCTTTGATCAAAGGCACAAAAAACCCCGCCAAGCCTCGGTGACTCCCACTTTGTGTTTGGGCTGTTTGCATTGGTTCGTGGGCTAGATAACGTGACTTGACTGTGGCTAATGTGTGGCACAGTTAGGATCTCACCAGCCACATTGATTCCCGCCACATAACTCCATCTTCAAGAAAGGCCCGTGAATTTTCGTGAATGTGTGATATGGTATTGAGCTTGTCATTCTGAATGCTGGAAATTACTCAGCTAGCCCAATTACCGAACAATTACCATGACCCCTTGTCACAGTTAATACAGGTGTACAATACTCCAAAGCACTATAAAAAGAACAATGAAGCAAACTCAGCATCAGCCAAGACAAGGTTAAATCTTAATCCCACCTCCTGGACACCCCTGCATCAATGTCAGCCAAAGCCGTGGAAAAAGCAAACAAGGAAACGTCACTGGGCAGCCCTGTATAGGACGAATGCTCTTCCGAGGGTGGACCCACTTACGAGCCAAGGCGTACAATCCTGGAAAATCCCCGCGGGCCCAGGCCCTCCTAGACCTGCAATAAACGTGTCGACTATTATAGATGCCGGTCTAGACTCTCAGCCCTTACGATCGCGTGTTCGTCCGTCGAGCGGGAGGCGCGTTTGTGGGTACCTTAACCTCATTACCAAGCTTATGATGAAAGAGAGAGGTTGTTCTACGGACTGCACATTTCCTTGGGGATGGATTGGACGTGCCACCTCCCTAATCGGGCAACGAAGGCTTCAAGCCATGGATCAATTGTTAAACCTCGGACAGTTGATGATGTGTACACATGAAAAGTTCCCCTACATGCTCATTCTATCCAGGGAACAATGGTGGATCCCCCATTCTCTTCCCCTGTACCAATTTAGGAGTCCGTAACATAGGTAATTTCGGAGCCAAATGAAGAAAGGAAAGAAGGCCGTCCAAAAAAGAAAATATATCGTGTAAATATGTACCTGTCGAAACAAGGGTGGGTAAAGAAAAATTTGTCATTTCCCTTGCCAATAGCAGTCACCAGATTGGTAATGTATATCAAAAATAGAAAGATCCAAAGTAGAAAACGTGAATAAGCACAAAATTCGCCTCCCAGATAAATTGAGCCTGAAAGAAAACGCCATGACCTGTAGAAATAGGCAGAAGACCGCGATCGACGCAAACCTCCGGGGAAGCGCAAGCAATGTACGATTTGAAGACCTCATTATAAACAGTGGGAATCGTAAAGTAAATAGACAGGCGGAGAGGATGTTGAGGTGGATGGTAGAGCAAAGGAGTAAAGGATGTAAGAATGTTTTAGACAGGCCGCCCGGCTTGTACTGCCATCATCGGCTGGGGCTGGGCGTACATGCGCTGTCGTTTGGCCATGTTTTGCTGATTCTCTGCCGCATTAGACATGTCAGACATCTGTCGACGGTGCGGTGGGCGAACCGGGGCACCGGTGGAAGGTACGGCAACCGGCGGAGCAGGGAACTGGACGCCATTTGGGTCAACAGCGTATGCCGCTGGAGGCGCTGGCGCTGAGGCAACATATTGTCCTTGAATGGCAGGCATGTTTGGTGGAACTGCCTGCATGCCTTGGAACTGGCTAGGTGATTGCCAGTTGTTCATGGATCCTGCGGGTGATTGGCCGGGTGAGCTATCTTCTTTGATAGATTGTGTAGCTGATGTCTGAGAAGGCATTGTGACGGCAACCGGGGCCGGTGGACCCTCAATGCCTTGGGGCATTGTCTTGAGATGGGTCAAATGAGTCTCGAGCATGTCGAGAAGACTCTTGCGAGTAAATGGCTTGGGTAAGACATCATTCATTCCTATCGCGCATTAGTCAAGTTCCGAAAGAACGAGTCAATCTAATCTTACCATGTTGGTAGTATAATTGAATGTCGTCACTGCGAATGTTCGAGGTCATAGCAATGATAGGAGTCTGATCAAACTGGCGGATCAAATGACAGGCTGAAACACCATCCAGATTGGGCATAATAATATCCATCAGAATCAAATCGTACTTTGAACCACCCTGCATTTTGTTCACTGCTTCCAAGCCATCGAACTGTGGGAAGTGTTAGCCGCTATGCAGAGTTGGCAAAATTGGAACACAACATACTGCAGTGTCAATGACACAAGAGAAAGAATATAAGAATTTGCCGCCAATTTGCCGGCAGGTCGCATCATCTTCAACCAACAAGATTCGAGGGCTGCGCATCCAGCCAGGATCCACGTTGGTACTTTTCTTCCGATTTTCTGGCTGTTGTCGGCGAGCCTCGGCAGTGTCAACCTCAGTCTTGGTGGGCATCGGGTACGGAACATTGTTGATGTGCTCGCTATACATAGGATCGATGCCGTTCGTGGCACCGACGGGGTATACCACTTGTTCCAAATCATTGCCCATTTTCGGGTAGACCATCGCTGAGTTGGGTGGTACAGTAGTTGCCGGTCGAATCATCCCATTCCGGGGCGCATCCATTGTGGGCGTGGCGATCGGTGCCGCACCAGCTGCCTTCTGAGGATCGTTTGCTGCATCCATGTTCGGCAAGTTGAACTGGATCTCTGCGTTCATGTCATTCAACAATTTCGAGGCTTGTTGTAGTGGTGAGGATGGTTCGTCATCCACCGCTCCCACCTGTCCCATTGGGCTCATAGTCGAGCCCTGTCCTTGGAACCCAACGGCCTTGCTGTCTCGACGCTGGCGCGCATCCACCGAAAGCAAGTAGGTCATGACCTGGTGAATGACATTCTCATGATTTAACACGGTCTTTTGTACTCGCATCACTTCCTGCAACATGAGCTGATGGTCCACGGTGAGCTGGGCATATCGGTCCGAAAGATGCTGGATCTGCTGTTGCTGCGCGAGGATCTGCTGGTTAAGCAGATCAATCTGTTGAGTGGGAGCGGAGTCGTCATTGCTCTGGGCCTGCTTGCGGGGAGCGGGAGCTTTGCGGCGAATATTGTCGAGGGAATCCTTGCTGTTGGCACGGAACTCGGGGTGTTTGAATTCCCACGCCTAGCGGGTACATCAGTATCGAGGGAGTTAGGATTGGGACTAGACCGGTGAAGACCTACATTCTGGCCATACGGTGACTGTCCATTCTCCTCGTTATTCTGTCGGACTTTGTGAAAATCGTATTTGTTAAGCTGGCGCACAAAACTGGCGAAGTTGCTGTGCTTGAAGTGTTTCGGGAGAATAGTCTTGGTAAATTTCTCGCACTGGGGGGTACCGGTTAGCTACACAGTGCGACCACACTGAACCACGGGCGCATTTACCTCTAGGACCACGAAGCTATCCCCTTCATCGCCCCAGCGCACAATGGACGCGTAGGAGGGGTCCTCCAGCATTCTAGTCGCATAGTGGGTTAGATTTGTCGATCGCGAGATTGTGTTCTTCGTGGCGTTGGGATATAAGGCGAGAAAGGGTGGATGGAAGGAGAGTAGAGGGGTTCCAAGGAGGACTCACTTATACAGCTTGCGCACCTAATCATTTTTATTAGCATTAGAATCTCTCAAGATGACCTGTGTATCGCGAGACTCACAAAATCGCTGGAGTTGCCCGCGGGGGCGGCATTCGAGGTCTGGCCTGGGCCATCCATGGCTAACCGGGTCGCGACCGGTCGAACGAACGGGCTTGACCTGACAGATAGTATCTAACCGATATACTAAGGAAACGAGAGTTCAGGGTGGATGTAAGTGAAATGCACCCTACTCGAAGGAAGAAAAAGAAAAACCACTCTGGCCAAACAAGATCAGAGAAAAAAAAAAAAGAACTGGGGATTTGAAGAACGCAGAATGGGTACCGCCCAGTTACCAGTTTTGGCGGTAGAGCCATGTACCAAAGTTACTGCGCAGGTACGGACATGGTACATGTCCCGTATTTGCGTATTTAAAGTGGTTTCCCAACTATACTTGGATCGTTCTGTACTTAATTCCTTAATTCTCTTGAATGGTCATGTAAGGAGTTCTATAACCCTAAAACACCCTCGTTCTGCCCTGAACGAGGGGGCGAAAGCAACATTCCGCGGTGTTTGCGTTCCCCCTCCCCCCAAGAAGTCCACAGCGAATCAAGGTTAAAAACCCTGCTCCTCTATCTACAATACAGTATGGCAGCATGAACGTCAGTGCACAGAGGGGCATGCATCAACCGGGGTATAATCGTTTTAGGTACTTCAAGTACTTATTTCGGTCCATGAAGACAATAGTAATAAACACAAAAAAAAAAAAGAAAAAGGTAAAAATGAGGAAAAGATGCCAAGAAACCTCCCCAATGAGACACTCAAGAGGGGAAGAGCAACTCTGCTCCACCAACAGACTTTGGGACCCTAGGGAACTGTGGCCCACCCCATGTTCCCACACGCGTACAACACACCATTGTTCCCACTATGCGTTGGCTTTGCAAAAATCAGACAAAGAGGGGATGGGAAACGGAAACCCAAAAAAGGCACGTCCGAGATCGAGGTTCGATTCGTAGGAAATCGACGCCAACTCAACCATTAGATGACAATAGGGTGAACTTGCGGCTTTTCTCGCCGAACCGGTTCGTTCCTAGTCTCGGGAGGGATTCGGAGTTATTGATAGATGAAGCTCGGACATATGTCGAGCATATTATATTGAAGGGAATTAATTAATTAGAGTTATCCCAATACGATGCACAGAAATACCCTTATGCGAAATAGTGGAAATAGTGGACTGGGGTTCCAACGCTCATGCAGCTCGGCGCCGACGTCGTAGACCCTCGCTTTGTAATCGCCAGTACCACGCGAGGATTGGTCATTTCCCTATGGGGTTAATCTTTGCTGAACGAAGACCTATCAAAGGCCAGGAGTTATCTGAACGGTCTGAATGAGTACCCCGGAGTATAAGTACGATCCCCGGATTCATCGAGGTGAGCATTCCACAGTGTTAGTATTTCGAGATTTCAACCAGAGGAACAAAATTCAAGATGTCCACGGAGTATATAGAGAGGTCACAATCGCAATGTCAGCTCCCAACAGTAGAAATGCCATCTGATACCTAAGAGACTACGGCATGGGTGTCTGTACGATCTCGATTTTCTACGAAGCTAAGACCCTTGGACCCGTGTGGCATCAAGTGGCTGAATCTAGCCCAGGATAAGGCCAATACCTGCCCCTACTACGCTGTAGGTAGCATGGATATCAACCTTGGGCACTTCATATGGTGGTAGCCGTCAGGAGAGAAAGTTGCCTATCGTCCATTAATTCCCTGAAATTCAAATCGTGATATCATGTGGAACTTATATTCTTGTGATAAATACCAACCTTGGAACTTGCCTTTGAGCTGTGGCGTCCATTTTCTAGCTATTGTTGAGTCCAATTCGCATAGGGCTTTTCGCAGTCCACGCTAAACAATATTTCTTGTTCTATTCCAAATGTGAGATCAAACTCGACTCCTGCGAAGTTTTATCGAAATTCAATCAAGGCACTGACGTCGAGGCGTGTTCGAATAGACATGTATCAATTGACTGCATTTGGCCACCACTCCAAGACATCTGCAGATACAGGGAGCTTGAGGCTTAGCCCAGTAACACGAACCGCAAAAGACATGCGTCATAGCAGATGTAATAAAGATAATAAACAAGGTTAACATATCTATAAATCTCGACCCCCTGAGAGATTTTCCCCTATACATTGACATCAATTCGTGTGTCATAGCGCGAATATAGCGCGAATGAAGATCGGCACAACGTTTGCCGCAGTCGGCCATGACGAAATCCCCGAAGCTCCCAGCACATCGCCCTTCTTTTTCTACCCACCTAACCAACCTGACAACTCTACACCCTGTCTTTACCCGAACCTCAACCCCTCCACGATGTTCGCCGCTCGCCGCTTCGCTACCAATGTTCCCCGCATCCGGGCCCAGGCTGCCTTCTTCCACAAGACTGCGCCCGCCTTCGTCCAGAAGGGCGATGCTATCCCCGACCTGAATGTTCTCGTTGAGAACTCCCCCGGCAACCAGGTCAACCTCGCCAAGGAGCTTAAGGGCAAGGGTGTTATTGTCGGCGTTCCAGCTGCTTTTAGTACGTGGTCGGACACACAAAAACAGACCAAACAGAGCTTCGACTGACTGTTTTTCTAGGCCCCGCCTGCTCCAGCACCCACGTCCCCGGCTTCATCAACCACCCTAAGCTCAAGGAGGCCGGTCAGGTCTTTGTCGTCGCCGTCAACGACCCATTCGTGTAAGAAGCAACAATGGCATGCTACCCGAGAGCAAGCTAACGCGTCAAATACCACAGCACCAAGGCTTGGGCCGAGTCCCTTGACCCCAACGGCAAGAGCGGCGTACGTGATAATTGATCTATCTGTGGTGGAATCATTGACTAACATACCTATCAGATCCGCTTCCTGGGTGACCCGACCGCCAAATTCAGCGAGGCTCTTGACCTGACCTTCGACAGCACCGCCATCTTCGGCAACATCCGTAGTAAGCGCTATGCTCTGCTCGTCGAGGACGGCAAGGTGAAGGAGGCCTTTGTGGAGCCCGACAACGCCGGTCTCAATGGTAAGTTGATACCTTCAATCGCCGTGGGTCATTCACTAACTGGGTTATCAATTAGTCTCCGCTGCCGAGAAGGTTCTCGCTTAAAGGATTAGATTCGACAACAATATATAACATATCATGGGTCTGTTTCTCGTCCCCTTGCATATATAGCAGGATACCAAAGGACTTCATATTACATAACATGAGCGAATTCGTCAACGCTAGCGCAAGTAGTCCGCGGCTAGCAGTAGGTGCAGAGCCCAGACCTTCAATCTGGCCCTCGCTTACATTATTTTCTGATTGTCATGTTAAATCGTATGATATGATTGGGCCAAAGGTTCCATCCAATTTTGAAGAGGACATTTCGTTGCCGTGTAGCGTGGAAACCGTATGATTTCGCTTCAACAGGGCCATCTATCAAACAATAAACAGATCCATCTTCAAGCCGGGGAAGCATAACATATGCAGCCTAATGTGGTAACAAAGTGCTTGTCATCAGTGCCACGTGAGGTGAACGGCTGCCTAAGAAGGACACTGCACTGACGCGGCCCCTTGCCACAGATGTGGCGGTGATCTGACAGAGCAATGAATCGACAAGGTGAAACAAGTGCAAGAAAGTGAACCCTGCAGATCTGGGATTGGACCAATGTACCGGTGAGAGAATGATTGGTTTTCCTTTTCTTTTTCCTTTTTGTTTTTATTTTATTTCATTTTTCTAACGGTGGATTTGTGGCTGTAAGTGGATCTGTTGTTGTGGACTGTAGACTAACCGTCCCCAAGGTTGAACTTGGATGGGAACATAAAAAAACAATTCAAGATTGAGAAACAAATGTAAATAGAAGAAGTAGAATTGAGAATGATATGCAAGTCAATGTGTCAAGAGGGTCCAGGTTGATCCACCAAGACTAACAATAACTAACGCTTCGTCATTGCCAAGACTGTCTCTTCCCCCCGATCCAGCCACGGTCCCCTCTCCCGCGACCATCTCTCCTTCTTCATTCCTATCTGCTAAAATCTTTGCTTTCCTTCAATTCTTTGAACTTTTCCCGTGGCTGGTCCGCTCTCATCCCATCCCACTAAACGCACCAGCGAATCCTCGACCCCTTGAGCATCGCCTGACTCCCGCCTTGGGCCGCTATCCGGAGCCCTGAGACCGAGTGGGCTGTGAGAGCTTGGCAAGACACTTTGCTCCAGAATCCCACCCATCTGATCGGGTTTCATACCGCGACTTCCTATTCCCCTAAATTTCGCTTATCTGCGACTCTCGCGGCTATACCGGCACCATGTCCAAGGTCGTGCGCAGCGTCAAGAACGTCACAAAGGGATACTCTTCTGTGCAGGTCAAGGTTCGGAATGGTACGTCTGGCTTCTTCGGGGCTATCTGAAGGTCTCAAGAGGTCTCCTATAGTCCTATAGGAATCGCGATCATCGTGCAGCTATGCAGCATTGATTTGTCACGATCTCCTTTTTTTCGACGTCTGCGCCGATGACGGGCCGGATTCCACCATATCGCGCGCTTTCGACTTGATGAACTGTATGCTAACTGTGGTTTTCTTTCTTTCTAGCCACAAGTAATGATCCATGGGGCCCAACGGGTACCGACATGTCCGAAATTGCGGCCATGACTTTCGGGAGGTAGGTTGGCCGACGGTCTGATAGACATACGGAGGCTAACATCAGCGCATAGCCCGAACGAGTTCTACGAGATCATGGATATGCTCGACAAGCGTCTTAACGACAAAGGAAAGAACTGGCGCCACGTGCTCAAGTCGTTGAAAGTCCTGGACTATTGTCTCCACGAGGGCTCGGAGTTAGTGGTTACGTGGGCTCGGAAGAACGTCTATATTATTAAGACGCTTCGCGAGTTCCAGTACGTTGATGAAGAAAGCCGGGATGTGGGTCAGAATGGTGGGTTTTCTTCTACTTGTTTTTCAATGGTGGTATTGACAATGGCGCAGTTCGTGTGGCCGCAAAGGAGCTTACTGCGCTCGTTCTGGACGAGGATCGCCTGCGCAGTGAACGATCCGATCGCAAGCTTTGGAAGACTCGTGTCAGCGGACTTGATGAGGGACAGGGCTTTGGCAATGAGCCTCCGCGCCGGGAGCGACGAAGACGCCAGGGTTCCGATGAAGATGATACCGAATACCGCCTAGCCATCGAAGCTAGCAAGGCCGAAGCCGAGGAAGAGCGCCGACGACGCGCCAAGGAATCGTCGAACCAGGGAGAGGACGAGGACCTTGCAAAAGCCATCAAGCTCAGCCAGGAAGAGGAGGAGCTGCGGAGGCGGGAGTTGGAGCAAAGCAATGCGCACGCACTCTTCGACGACACTACCCCGGCCCAGGTTCAGCCCACTGGCTACAACCAAGGTTATCAGCAACAGAGCGCGGTGGACTGGTTCGGTAACCCGATCAATGCCCAGCAGCAACAGCCCATGACGACCGGTTACCTGAACAACCAATATGCGCAACCCACTGGATTCCAGAACCAGCCTACTGGCTTGAACCCATATAACACCAATGGCTACCAGCAACCCTCTGCTTTTGATCAGAACCCCTACGGACAGCCCCAAGCCCTTCAATCTCAGCACACTGCCTTCCACACCAACAACCCATACGGAACCAACCAGGACCCGATGGCGCAGATGCAACACATGAACTACCAGCAGCAACAACAGCCACAGCAGCAGTCACAGGAGAATTATCTCTCCGCTGGAAGCAACAATCCATGGTCTGGGAACCAACCTGCTGATGCACTGAAGCCTACCCCAACGGGCTCGAACAACCCATTCGCTGCGCGCACTCAACCTCAGTATAACAGCCAGCCGCATTCTACAGGACCGCCATCTCTCAACACTCTTGCAGAGGATCGTGCAACGAACCAGTTCAACAACCCAATTACCCAATTCTCTCGAACCAACCAGCCTGCCCAGCCTAACCCGATCGCCAACTTTCAAATTCCCCAGCCGCCTAAGAGCACTCCTCCGTCCTCAGACCCTCACCACGCCCGCCTAAACGCACTCCTTGCAAGCGGCGAGGGCCAGGATACCTTTGGCAACGTTGGAGATCTCCGTATTCCAGCGCAGCACACTGCACCTGGCACATTCGTCAACTCTGCCGGCCAGGGCTTAGACCGTCTGCATGCTACGCAGACGGGCAACAATCCTTTCTTCGGCCAGCAGTACACCGGTGTGCCCCAACAGACCGGCTTCGTGCAGCAACAGCAGCCTAATAGCAACCCCTGGGGAGCCCAACAACAGCCCCAGCACGGCGGCGGCAGCCTGATCGACCTGTGATCGTATTTTCCTATCCTCGGTGGACTCTAGTCTCGTCTACTTCGCTAACCCTTATGAACTGGGATTGCCGATACCTCTTTTGTTTTTTTTGTTGCCCTTGAAGTTCGTCGTCCCTTGCTCTTTTCTTTTGACGTATCACATGTCCTTTCACGGACAGCAATTGCATTGTGAAGCCAAATACTCAGGACCTGGGACTTCTCATCCCTACACTCTCCCCCTCTTTCCCTCGGTCTCTTTTTTTCTGTCTCTCATACACTCCGTTTCTCATTTGTCGCCGCTTTGTCGTTTAGGATATCCTTCTCACTTCCACATATTTGAATTTTCTTTTTTTCTTTGATACACTTGTAAATCTCAAAATTGCAATCAGCCGATTTGTTGGAATTCATTCGGCCGTACTCATTTTGTCATAGCTGAGCCGGAATTGGTAATGGATGTAGATCCGGGGTTTGGGGTATATCTTCGGTTGATGCCCGGCGGTATCTCTGCCAGACCTCGGGTATGTATCTACAGTTCATGATCCATGTCTCCGAGGTTGGGAACTCGCAGTTCTCATTCTTCTTTACCTGTAGAGTAACGGTTTTATCAATGGATTCCCTGCACCTCATGCACATACTATGCAGTACCCTACCTAGCCCGGCTGAACTATCCATCCCAAATCTCCGTCAACATCCAAACTTGAACGAAACAACACCACTTAAGCAACGTAGTACCCCGCGTAGCCTGCAAGAATGATGTATTTACCCCATCGGGATTCACAAAATCGGGATTTGACCATCAGTGGGTACATATGCGGGGTTCGGACTTTGGCCAGAGGATTCAGGTCATGAAACCTCGATTCCTGTATTTATCCCTGCAGAAACACCGGGGCATATTCAAGCTTGATCATTGTTCAACATCTTCCCAAGGCTCGTTGGTTCATCGAAATGGTCTCTGCTAATCCCGCTGCCCTGCTCGCTTCGGCAGCCATTCCGGCTTTCCGATGTCCCCCAGGCACGAAGATGTATATCTTAAATCTGGGGATGCTGGAAGCGGATGAATCCTGGTTGGTTCCGGTCTGCCTCTGTTACTCTCTGTGATATGTCTGACTTTTACCGTAGGATCCTTCGGGGCGCCAATGCAAGCTTGTTGAGTAATCCGAATCCGGTGAATAAACGACGTCAACTTGTGCTTCTATCGGCCTTGATAGAGTATCCTGGCGTGGGACTTATTCTTTATGAAACCGGCTGTGCGGAGGATATCGAGGTGGTATGTTCACGTTCAAGTTCATGCCAAGGTTGTTAATTCAAGTTTTCCAATATGTTGGCTGATTCTCTATAGAAATGGCCCGCTCCAGTCACGGACGTCTTCCCTCGAGTCGAATATGCCGATGTCCATAAATTGCCGGCGGCTATCAAGGCCACCGGACATGATATCAAAGATGTCAAAGCTGTTATTATTGGTCATCTCCATTTGGATCATGCAGGTGGACTTGAACATTTTATTGGCACTGATGTCCCGATCTGGGTGCATGAAGAGGAATTTAAACATGCCTGTTGGGCTATTGGTACTGGAGCAGACCTGGGTGTTTATCTTGGACATTATATGTCGTTGGAAAAGCTTAACTGGCAGACGTTCACGGAGTCTTCGCTGGATCTGTTTCAGGGGATTACTTTGCATCATTCGCCGGGACATACGCCGGGTTTGTGTATTATGCAGGTTAATCTGGAGAAAGATGGGACTTTTATTTGGACGACGGATCAGTTTCATGTTGTGGAGAATTATGAACTTGGGCATCCGCATGGTGGGTTGGCTAGGGATCATACTGCGTGGCATCGTAGCCTCAACATGATTCGGAGGCTTCAGCGGTTGTTTAATGCGAGGTTGATCTTTGGTCATGATAAAGATGTTGCTCAGAAGTTGATGAGCGAGAAAAGCTTCTTTGAGTGAGGCTTCTGGTCATTTCTAAATGAAGGATTCGAATCTCAAGAGCTTTGTTTGAGAAGGCTACTTTTTGAAGGTTTGTGTGGAGAGGAGTAGGTAGCATGTCGGCTAGATCCAATTCAGTTCCCATGAACCGCTTTTTCTATTTTATGTCACATATAGTCATTACTGAGCGACTAAGCAAGCCAGACCATGATTCCATAAGGATCACGATCGGCCTCGCTAACAGAAACCTCGACACTGGCATCTTGGTATACCTCCTGAGAGCCAGTAGCAGCCCCACCTTGCTTGGAGATTTCTTGGACGGCCTGGAGAGCTGCCTTTCTGTCACTTTGCCAAGTCTGTGACACTTCACGAAGGAGCTGGTTCCGCATGACGGCACAGAGATATCCGCGCTCAGAGTTGGAGTGAGCCAACGAGATAACGACTGAACCCTTCTCTGTAGCCGCAAGAGCCTCGTGATGGCTCATTTCCCCAGTGAAAAGGAGATCAGGGATTTCGTTCCCACGAAGAAGAACCCCAGAGCCGGACCCAGGGCACATACCCACAGTACGAATACGAATGTCGTTGATCGACTGGCCCTGGGGAGTCGCAATGGGAATTCCACCCGGGAGACCCACACCACGGCCAATGTGGTCAATTAGTGTCGTGAGAGGCTGGGCTTCATTGAAGGTCACCAAGCGACCTGCACCGGCATCTTCGAAGCCTTCGGGGATAGAAGCCGGAGGCGAGGGGTGAATTGTAGATCGGGTGTGGGGTATTTGCTGAGAAAGGCTTGCTGATGCTGCATTGGGGACGAGCTCAGGTTGGGGGTAAGTAGGTGCTGAGTACAAAGTGGATGCACATTCTGTGACTGAGGACTGCGGCTTAAAGTCGGACTTGAATGTGCCAGTCACTACGTCACAGAGCCAGTCAGCCATACCACCGGGAACGGTGTCGACGGCAGTATGAGGGGAGTAGACACTGATGCCATGCTGGGCAAGTCGCAATAGAGATCTTTGTTGGGTATCTTCGAGAGTAAGGGACTTCAGACCACGGAAAATGATTGGGTCTGAGACAATCTTAGCAAAGTCTGTTGTTTGAAATTGACAGGTCACACCCCTCGAGAGATCGGTCCAGCTAAGGGATGTCAAGGGGGAAATGAATAGGAGACATACGGTAGGCCACAATGGCTGAATCCTGGCGCCGAATTGCTTCATCTGCAACCGCTGTTGTCAGATCAATGGCCAGCAGCACGGAGTTCTTCTGGCGCCGTGATGGCTCAAATGGAGCTTCCAGAAGTACTAGAGAAAACGGGTTAGTTTGTTCCAATTGATGCACAATAAATGCTGGGTCGTTCAACCTACATCCAGTGTTGTCGAAGCTCTTATCGGCCAATGCCTCGGGGTACCTATGCATAGCGGGTCAAAAGAGCTCAAATTGCGGGGAGCTATGATTGCACGAACAGCTTCCTCATAGAGCTGACCACGGCCCGAGTAAAGGGCGAGCAAGAAGGAGTGGTAGACATAGTGGAATAGCTTCGTAGACCAAAACGTAAAGAATTCATGGAACCAAAAACAATTCTGCAAAGGAAGGACAGGTACAGATCTAAAAAGAAAGTGGAAACAGTGACGCTATCGAAACCTATCAGCACGTGAACTGCAAGTATGTCGGATAATCTATCCACCCGTCTATAGTCCGACACCAGCCACAGCGGCTGAATTTGTAATACAGATGAACCTCATCAATTCACTTTCCATCCGGTGGCTCGACTAACTCTTCAATCTTCGCTCTGATCGCGCTTGATGTTCTCCCGCACTTCCTATTCCACTGTCTTGAGAGGCTGTAGCTATCTCCTCCGTCCGGTCCCACAGCGCGCCGCCTTTTCCCTCTCCGCGCGTTCCTTCTCCGCCGTCAACGCTGCCATGGCCGACACCTCGGGTATCACTGCGGACTCGCTGAAGCTCAAGCTGCTTGATCAGCTGCAGGCGCAACACGTTGAGATTGAAGATCTATCGGGTAGGAATTGGACATCGAATCCTTTGTCTGTTGAGCCTGAATGCTGATCATATTTGCTTTTTGTATAGGCGGCTGTGGTCAGGCTTTCCAGGCAGTGATTGTCTCCCCGCAGTTCGAGAGTAAGAACATGCTTGCGCGCCACCGTCTCGTTAACTCCGTTCTGAAGGCTGAGATCGCGGCTATTCACGCTTGGACTCCCAAGTGCTACACTCCCGAGCAGTGGCAGGCACTCCAGCAGTAAAAAAAAAAAAAAAAACATTAGACAACAGTCATAATTGATATGGGGAGGGAGATGGTATGGCCTGGGAATCTGATCTGTGATGAGATTCGCATATTAGCCCGTTCAACTTTGAAAGCCCCGTTTTTGCGAAACTTGTTTTGATGATACCTTGGGATAGTAGGCACAGCCATGGTGCCGACTGTCGGGATTTGTGTATGATAGAGCTTAATGTCCATTAATGTCTTTACAAAAGTACAAAGAACATTTCTTGGATAAAAGTATCATGTAGAGTATATAAAAACTTGTAGCAGAGAATAAAACCAAAGTAGGTCCCATACTTCCGACGTCAATTGTTATGAGGAAAAGCTTACAGGATCCTGATTTTATTCACATTGTTATAGTCACTTTCATGGTTGCTCGCCTCAGGAGACATTTGTGATATCCTTACAGCTTTCCCGTAAGTTTTCTTCGAATCTATGCTGCTCTTCCAATGTCGAGCCAATTATTCCCTCGATTTCCCCTGCAATGGTGCCAGCAAGAACACCCACGCCTATAATACCACCATCGCTAGCCTCTCGAAGGAAAATGCTCTTGCCTTCACTTTGTGGCCCTGCACTGATGATAAGTCGATCAATATAACGTTGAATGGTGTGTTTGTAGTATGGGTAGTGCTGTATAACACCACCAGACACCGCCACAACTAGCTCTTCGGGCCCGTTTTGCCAACCTGATGTTGAAGACCCAAATTCCGGATCCTGATTTTCCTGGTTCGCAACCTGTAATTTATCCATGCTAGCTGTCGGAGAATCTGTAGACTCCGTGTCTTGCAGCCGGATCTCGCGGGTGCAAGCAAGAAGTCCAACTGTTGCGGCCGCAATCAAGGCTGCCGACCGATCCTGTACTGCAGCTGCAATGGAGCGAATATGTCCTGCATACTCAGTTGTCCATTCCCAGTCGCTGGATTCTGGCGCTGGAAGTTGCTGCGATAGTTCCTTTGCGAGTTGTTCGTCGGAATAGCTCGATGCTACCACCAGGGACAGGAAATCTGTCGTCAAAGTGTACTCCTCCACTAGCTTCGCGGGCAATGAAGACCGAGGAACTGCCTTTGTTTCATGGAACCAATCATAGCATATAATGCGCACTAGTTCGCCGATATACCGACCGCCCACCATATACTCCAGCGGCTGGAATCCCGGGCGGTTGGAGTGGGCCTCGAGCTCGGCATCCCACTTGTTCACGATTTTCAACTCTTCCAGTGGTTTGCTTGCACCTCGGAGCGTCCACTCAGTAGAAACAATCGTCTCATCTGCATCGGGGTCTTTTTCGCGAATATATTGGATTTTAGCTTCTTGGAGATCGGCAAATTTCATAGGCACGGCTGAATTACAGCCTGCACCTACGATGAGGCCCATGACGACCCGAGTATTAGGAAGAGTGCGGACCGAATATGCCAGCGAAGCAAATGTAGCAATCGTATCATTAGTCATGACGGTAATCTTGAGTTTTGGGAGACAGTATTTCTTCTGTCGTTTTGCGGGCATCTCAGCAGGATCCTCATCAGAGCGCCTGGTATGACACTCGTAACCATCAAGAAGTGCTTGTCGCAGATTTAGAGAGGATTTCAGCGTAAATCCTTTCCCTGTAGGCATAAGGATAGCCTCATTGAGAAACTTTTGCCTACAACGGGTGTTAATTCCCCTCATATGGAAAGCGGGACGTAGCGAGGGACATTACTTGATTGGGAAACAGAATGAAATGCCCATCGTGATTTCAGAGGGCGTATCGTCTTTGGAATTGGCCAAGTCATCATGGATAACCTCCGCAATACAATCCCCAATCCAAGAAAACAAAGAGTCAGCCTGGTCTTGGCGCATGCGATTCTCGATGGGCCATGCTTTCTCTAGCGTACGCCGAACATGGGAGTGTTTCTCTACTTGCTCTTCGCCCAGTAGGTCGATGAATGCCACCCGAAGATAGAATAAACCGAGATACACGGCCAGATAGCGTCCCTTTTCGCGCCCAGTGGGCAAACGTGTGGTGGCAGTGGGGAAGAATTGCTCCGAGGAGTCGGCCGCCAATGCACGATATGTGACAGACAGACGGTATGACAAGCGGTAGAGCCTATCGAACTCGATCTTTAGTGGCTGGAGGAAATTTTGCAATGCAGGGTCTGATCTGGCCATGGTGATGTGCAATTGGTGGCAACCCTGGTGCCTGAAGGCATAATGATGTTGCATGTCGGTCTCACTCCAGTTTATCCGTGGGATTTCCCCGGATGACGGGAGCGGGAGTTCAACCAATCATGTCGAAAATCTAATCTATAAGAGCAGCCATCATTATTACGGTATTTAGAGCAATTATTTCGCGATCTATTCTTTCCTCAATGTTTGACGAAATACCAAGTGTTCATCGGCTCCTTATGTATGAACCTTGAAGCCAGCCTCAGTCATCCCTGAATGATAGCTCCACGGCACAAGAGATCGATATGCTGTCTTTCAAGAAACACCTCCGTCAGTATGGGGGAAGGACAGATGATGTTCAATCCCAGGTCGAGGCTACAAGTGCCTCGGTGGATCTAGAGAGACAGCACTTCCAAGACTTCTTGAACAGACTAGTGCAAATGAAAATGGGACTGGAAGACGTCCACCTTTAAGAATTTGTTCTAGGTTGGCGTCTGCCCGTCCATCAAGCTAACCATCTTTAAAGTAATCTCTGTCTATCTTCCTCCTTGACACACTTATCATCAACTTGATCATACTGATCAACAAGGTCTCTTCGCTTGCCTCGACGACTTTAAGGTATGTTTACGATGCGCATGCTCCGTGCCTCACTAACCGTTCAGACCATCAAAGTTCTCCTCCTGAATGACCCCCTTCCACAATCTGCTGAGAGGCCACTCTCCCTCCTGGGGCTGCTCGTCCTCCTAGCTTGAGAGCGCAGTCCTTGAGCTTATCGCCGGCATCAAAGCAAATACAATTACCTTTTCCTCCGTCCTTTCATTGTGATGTGGAGGCACAAACCACAGCTTCACGACGAGAGACGTGTGATAAAGAAGCACCGGCCAACAAACACCTTGTTGCTCAAGTCCTCTTTGAGCAGCTATCACGTATCTAACCAGTCTACGTGTCAGGGCAAATTCAGACAAGGCTTGAGCCAAGATAGCCATGTTCCACTAAGTCATGAGCAACAGAAACACAAAAATAAAGAATATCAACCAACAAGTGGCGTTGAAAGGAAATCCGGGACTAGTAGATACAGATGTTCACTTTGATACTACTTGATGTTTTCATCTTGGCTCTACTTTCATGTTCATATTGATAGTGTGGGCCAATACTGTCTTCCAAAATACTCCGCAAAATTAATGATAGCTTACTCTATCTCTACAGAGCCAGTGCTGTCTATTTTTTATCTATCTTGATTGAGGTGTGAAGTAGATCTAGTAGATGTGGTATGGTGCAATGTGCGTGTAGTTTTCTCTTTCAATGCCTGGAAGGCCTAGTAACTCTTAGCTTCTACAGTGGCCCCAACTTTATGGAAATTCTCTTGCTAGTGGTGCTATACATGAAATTGCCAATACCACTGGGAGGAGTGCTGGTTTACAGCTTGGTGCTGCTCAGGGTGGTGTCGGTTCCTATCACTTCGGCCATTGACGTCATTAGCAAAAGCTGCAAACACCAATTATAGCTTTCATTGGCTAAGATAGAGTGTTTGCCCATAATGCAAACTAGCTAAACGCACAACCAGCCAATCACACACTACGACACGGAATTAGTGCCGCTGTTTGCACTACTCTACTAGGGCTTATATACATCGACTCATCGAGCCATTATCAAGATATGCCCGTGGATTTGATTTCACATTTTGCATACTAAAAACCTTCATTCACGATGGAAGCTAAAGTGCCATTGTCTTCAAGATTGGAAGAAGCCCTTCGCTACCTCCTAAGCTCTCAGCCAACAAGACAATCCATATGTAAATGCGGCGCCCACCACGAAGGCCCAGGATGGATATTCGAAACGGACACATGGTCGCAACTCCAAGCTCTTCGACAAACCCTTTGCCAACGACCTGCAATTTCAAATATCCCAACAGATATCCTCACCCATATTGAGGCAGTGATTCAATACAACAACCAACACAAGTTGCTCACCTCAACAACCTCCATCAGTCCCGACGTGATAATCAAATCCCAAGCTCCAAATAGCAAACCTCTTCGAATATCCTGCTGGAAAGGAGATATTACCTCTTTAACAGATGTCACGGCGATCGTCAACGCCGCAAACGCCCAGCTGGAGGGCTGTTTCAGACCCGAACATCTATGCATCGATAATGTCATCCATTCGGCTGCTGGGCCACGTCTACGGGATGCTTGCCATACCCTAATCAAAGCGCAGGGACACCTAGAGCCAGCCGGCTCGGCAAAAGTCACACCTGGATTCCTTCTTCCGGCAGAATGGGTTCTACATACAGTTGGACCACAACTAAATCATGGAGAGAACCCGGCAGCAAAGCACAAAACTCAGCTCGCTTCTTGCTATCGGGCCTGCCTAGATGCCGCTGATTCATTACCCTCTTTCGCAGACGGCCGGAAAGTCGTCGCATTTTGCTGTATCTCCACGGGCCTTTTTGCATTTCCTTCCGCTCTTGCAGCAAACATCGCTGTGGAGACTGTGCTATCCTGGTACCAGGAACACAGCACGACCTCCATAACAGATATTATTTTTGACACATTTCTCCAAAAGGACGAGGTTCTTTACCGGGATTTACTCACAGGATTGAAGCATAGCTGCCCCAATCTCATATACTCGCCATCCAGTCTACTCTCTCAACCCCAGCCCCAAACTCCTTTAAACCCATCGATCCTAAAAGCTCGCGCCTGGCTCGAAGACGCATCATCACTCATCATAACCGCCGGTGCAGGTCTCTCAGCCGCAACAGGCCTCGACTATACCTCAACAACCCTCTTCGACGCCAATTTCCCCGCCTTCAAGGCAAAAGGTCTTCGCAGGCTGTATGATGTGTTCGGGTATCATGGCTGGGACAGTCCATCCCAGAAATGGGGATACTTCTTCTTGCATATGGATATTGTGCGTCGGTGGCCTGTTTCACCTGTTTACGGACTCCTACGAGATATAGTGGGTCGGTTTGAGGAAAGCAGATATCATATCCGTACGACGAATGCAGATGGTTTCTTTGTTAAGAATGGGTTTCCGGTTGAACGGATATCGACGCCGCAGGGTCAATACAAATATTTGCAGTGCTATGGGAAGTGTAGGGCTGATGCGGTTTTTCTTTCTGAACCTTTCATTGATGCGGCCTTACCGTTTCTTGATCCTGTTTCACAGGTTCTTACTGATGAGACATTGGTGCCGAGATGTAGGTTTTGTGGCGGGGAGTTGACGCTGTGTGTGCGTGGAGGTGATTACTTCAATGCGGGGCCTTTTAGAGGGCAGGAGAGGCTTTGGCGGAAATTTTTAGAGGAGTTGGATATTAATGGTGGACAGGCTGGGGAAACTGTTATCTTGGAGTTGGGAGTTGGGTTGAATACTCCTGGTGTGTTACGATGGCCGAATGAGGATTTGGTAGCTGAATCCTCGAATCGATCGTTTCGGTTGATTCGAGTTGGGATGGAGGCTTCAGGTTGTGTGCCCTGGGACTTGGAAGAAGAAGATTTGGCGGTTGGAATATCAGGCGATATTGGCGTTGCGTTGGAGTTATTGTCCACTTGAGGAATTAAGGAGCCTTAACTGTAAAAGTGATTCATTAAAAAAAAAAAAAAAAAAAAAAAAAAAAAATACCATCATCAAGGGCTGAGCGCCCAATCTTGCATCTTCAGAAATCTAAAGGAAATACATGAGCAAGTTTCAAAGATCCCTACTTCGCAGCCGCATTATGTACTTCAACTACTCCACCAAGAACTTTACACGCACAGATGACCTCCAAAACAATTGGCAAAAATTTGTAAAAAAAATTTAGTATCAAAGAATAAGTAAAAAGAAAGATCTTTTCGATCTGTATCCTGGCTGTAGCCGAATTCCGCTCACTCTCCTAAGCATGAGCCGCTGAAACTAGGACCGGAACCACCTTAGCCAACGCGCATGTCCCAAATCAATTTGATCAAGTATCTGGGGGATTAACCACTAGGGCAGTGGGGCTTATGTTTGAGAATCTTTCCGAGACCTGAATGTTAAGGGAACATTCCTTGACATTCTGGACCACCCCCTCTCTGCATCTCATACTCTGCGTCCTCTTCTCTATAGCCTATGCTCCACATGCTCTCTACCTTTCATGCTTCTTATTCATTTTCATGACACCCCGTCATAAATAACATTGGAAAGAGTATAATTTAATTTTAGTAAAGATGAATCCGAGATGTACAATGGTCTAAACGAAAAATCCGAAAAAGAAAGTGGATGCGTAAATCATTGAAATGTGTCTTTACCCGAGATCGCTTGATGCAGAACCTGAGATGCTCTAGTTCTTCTCCATGCTGAGATACTTCGCCTCCGCGCCACGAATACAAGCAATGTTCGCACCGAGCTTGTTGATGGTCTCGATATACTCGTCGTACGGGTCAGAGTCGAAGACGATACCACCACCAGCCTGCAGGTAGGCAACACCATCCTTGACCATCATAGTGCGAAGCGCAATACAGGTGTCCATAGCACCGGGGTCCTCTTTGGATCCGTCGCTGTTGGCAATGTTGTAACCGAAGTATCCAACGGCACCGGCGTAGACGCCACGCTTCTCGCGCTCGAGCTCAGCGATCAGCTGCATGGCGCGCACCTTGGGCGCACCGGAGACGGTACCAGCGGGGAAGATTGAGCGGAAAGCGTCGAAACGGGTCTTGCCGGGACGTAGGACGCCGGAGACCTGCGAGACGAGGTGCTGGACGTGGGAGAATTTCTCGACGACCATCATGCGGTCTACTTGGGTGGTCATCGGGTCGCATACACGGTTCACGTCGTTACGGGCTAGATCCACCAGCATGACGTGCTCAGCTCGGTCTTTCAAACTGCTGCGCAGCTCGTCGGCTAGCGCGGTGTCTTCTTCGAGAGTCTTGCCGCGCTTCACGGTACCCGCGATTGGGTGGGTGATGATCCGGCCGCGCTCTTCCTTGACGAGGAGCTCGGGGCTGGCTCCTACGAGCTGGAAGTCTTGACAGTCGATGTAGAACAGGTAGGGAGAGGGGTTGACAGTGCGGAGGTGGCGGAAAAGGTTGTAGGGGTGGAGAGATGTTGGCCGAGACAGCCGTTGTGAGGGCACGGTCTGGAAGATATCGCCCTTGCCAATGTGCTCCTTCAGGACCTTCACGTGGTTCTCGTAGCCCTCCTGACCGATGTTGGAGGTGTACTCTTGGTTCTGAATGATAGGGCCTTGCGGCGGCATTGGTGTGCGGTCTTGCAGCAAAGTGTCAATGGTTTTCTGGATGATCTGCTCTCCCTTGCGGTATTCGGCCTCGATGTCGGCATCCGATTCGGGGATCGGGACATAGGTGATGACCTTGACGACCTGGAAGAAATGATCAAAAGCAACAATAGTGTCGTAGAGCATGAAGAATGATTCCGGAACGCCCAGCACATCCTTCATGGGCCGGGCAGTCTTCGGCTCGAAGTATCGGACACAGTCATAGCCCACATATCCAATTGCTCCGGCAGTCAGAGGGGGAGAACCAAGCCTGGAACAGTGGCAACGCGGAACTGGGACAGCTCCTCTTCCAGGTAGGGCAGAGGATCAGCCTCCGGACCATGGCCTGGACCGGTCTTGATAACTTTTCGGGGGTCTAGCAATGCCGAGTCAGGAAAACATGAATACATAGCAGCTCGCCTACACGTCACCCACCTGCGCCAACAAAACTGTATCGTCCGATAGTCTCCGTGGTCGCGGCGCTCTCGTACAAAAATGACAAACGAGAACTATGTAGATTGAGAATTAGCCTGGCTGTTCTAGAATTCCCCGCCCTGCGGGGCACGGCCGCGACACTACAAGGCTCGCACTTACTTCTCAGCAAGCTTAAGGTAGGCCAATGTAGGGGTCAAGAGATCGGCAGGGATCGAAGCAGTGACTGGCAGCAAGTTTGGGGCGAATTTGGAATTTCTCGACTGCGAGATGACCTCTCGCGCCGTCTCGAACGACGGGACTGGAGTAATCTGAGTCAGAGCGCAAGCATCGTTAGCAATCTGTCACTGACTAAGAGGGTACTTAAAAAGTCGCGCAGAGACGCTGCACTTACCAAAGGCGCCATTGTCTGGTGGAATTGCTGTTCTATGACTGGACAAAGACCGGGCTTCCGATGACACAGAGAGATTTGGCGGTGGGAAAATGAGTCGATGTGGGGCTTCGACTATCTCTTGAGGTACGGAGTATGTAGTCTGTACTACCCACTTCAGTCTTCAACCACGATGTTCGGTACAATATGGATTGAACGCTAAAATGACAATCATGAACGGAATAGCAATTATTGATAAGCTACACTTTCCAGCTCCGACCACAACAGCGCCCTGTGTAACATTCCCCGAAAAGGTTAAGCGTGGGGTGTTATCAATAAGCGACGAGGATTCCGATGTGATGAGTAGAAGCTGCAGATCCCCAGCCACTGGTGCAATTGACAATGGGTTCTGCCATCACTCACCATGAAGAACCATTTAAACACAAGTACCCACATGGAATCACCGGAAGTTAATGGTCTCTCAGTGACCAAAGCCGAACTTGAACCAATTGAATCCATCAATCACACCCCAGATACCCGCCCAGCCACACGAACACCATGGCAAGATCGTCTTGCGGAATTGGCGCATCTTGCATCGGCATCCCTCGGCGCAGATAGCAGGGATAGTAATGCAGGCCCATTGATTCATCGGCACCTCGACGCGATTGAAGCTATCCTACGCGATCCGCAGCCGGAGTTCGCGCAAGAGGTAGCGCATGGCGGCCGGCGGCGAAGCTTTCGCACAAAGTCTTTGCTAGGAGATGCTGATGCTGCGGAGCTAAAGGAGCCAGATTGGCTGGCGAAGAGCCGTAATGAGGAGCGCAAACGGCAAGGAATGGCCTCCCAGCTCACGACGCTTTTGGGGGAGGTAACTTCTTTAAATCAGGAGCTACAGCAACGGCATACGGAGTCTGTTGAGATTCGAGAAGTCTATGAGGATCGATGCCGGGGGTTGACGAGGACGGTAGCTGAACTTGAGGATGAAGTATCTGAACTGTAGGTGCACACGTGCTTCATTGCTTGTCTGGGCTTTGCTTATCTCGTTTGATTTTAGTCGCTCGGATTTGGTGGAAGATGCTGTTGAGTTGGAAGGCATTCAAGGAACGATCCATGGGTTGCAACATTGGATTGAAGGGATGCGCGACGAACAGAAAAGAGCCCGGCTTGCGAGAGATTCTGTGCGCCGAAAAGCTAAACGAGGATGGGGTGGTCGCAAACATATTGATGAGATTGGCGAAACAGAAGGAGAAGTTGTCCTTGAGGGACTGAGCGCCTGGATGCGTGGATGGAAAGATGTTGAAGATGGATTCAAGATCCGAGCACGTGGGCGAAGAACAAGGAGAGAACAGAGACAGCGCCAGCTATTGAAAACTTGAAGGTACAAAAGCATATCCAGCGGTATAAACACGATGTATAGATAGTTCTACTATTACGATTACTATGAAGATTACGAGAAAATGCAAATTATGGCAAGCATGACAGTGTGACTTTTAAAGATTACTACATTTCAAGATCAATGCATTTTGCTTCGAAATACAAATCAGCGAGATTTAAACCACCAACCTCCCAGTAATAAGAACAGAAAAATCAAAACCAACTCTCGCCATCCGTTTCGTTCGCCGTGCCCAAGTCCTATTCCAAGCAATGCATGCCGTAATGCATCTTCTAAATCAACAATGTATGTCCGGGAAAAATGATAATATGTAGAACAAATCGGGTGACGACTGGAAGACTTGCGCCATCTTCCACGACGGGAGAGGGTTGGTCAACAGGAATTGACATTGGATCGTACTTGGAAGGATATGGCGTTTGATGGTCTCCGCAGGTCGAGCACCTTTTTCGGCCTTGGGCCTCAGAAGTGAAAGGTGAGACAGAGGCAGAGTTGTGAAGCCTTGCCTCTGTTCAAAGTATCAATTAGACCAGTTTCATGGTCCTGTACTTCGATGTAACAAGTGATTCAACACCGCACCGCGAACCATGAGGGAAAGATAAAACAACGAGCTATTTTCGACACATCAAGCCGAATGCCTTAACATTGGTTTTTTATTAAATTTGAGTAGAGCGGTCACCGCTGGAGATTAACGATAGCCATCTGAAAGAATTCTTAGTCAAATATCTTGGCTGTGGCACTGGTGAGGAAGACTTACCTTATTTCCAAACCCATATGCAAGCTTTTTTCCATCGGTATCCCATGATAGTGTGCATTCGGTTCGCGTTGTATGACCATTCTGCCCGTTTGTTGGGGCATCGGCTTCTTCCTTTACCTCTTTTGAACCTGGAGCAGTCCAGACAGCCATGTGATCCCCGCCGCGCTCGGCATTCCAGATAAAGAGACGGTCTTTGCTAACTCCCGCAAGAGCGTATCCATCAGGTGAGAAGCCACCAGCAAAAATGGGGATGTCGGAAGCCAGGTGGAATCGATTGTTAACGCGTTGAAACTCCTTTTTTTCCAGATCTACGTCCCACACGTTGGTGGTGCCATTTGCTGAGTATGTAACAATAGCGATTGGGGATTTCCCTGTGATCGAAGAGTTTCGTCGTTGTGCGGGTGACTGAGGCCGGATGTCAATAGCCGTGATCGGCTCCTTTTGTGCATTTTCAATGATAATGTCGTGGGTTGGGATCCAGATCACGGCTGTCTCAGAGTCTGCCGCACTTTCATAGCCTGCCACCACTACGACAGGACCATGGCTGGTTTCGGTAGAGCGAATAAAGGTCCAAGGGGTTTCCCTGTCGGACGTGTACTCCTTGATCAAGTGAATGTTCCGGTCCACACTACATTGATAGACCATCCCATCGCCACACGCAAAGATTTCATTCCGTCCAGTCCATACCAGGTCGTAGATTCGGTTTCTAATGACCATGGTTTGGTACTCGTCAGGTCGTTGGGTACCGTCCCAGAGTGCCAGCTCGCAGTCCTTTTCGTTCGACGCAACGATCACCAGCTGAGGGGTGTTTCCTGCCCAGTACAGACCATTGATAATTCGAGGGAGATCCGGAAGCATATCCACCACGTTCCCCTCAGCGTTGTACATGGTAATCGCTCCTTTCATGTCCCGCATCGAGGCCACGGCTAATTTGTCACCGATGCCATCCCAGGCGACAGCAGATACATATGACTCGCTAGTCTTAAGATCAACAAACTTATTCTGCACAGGCGCAGATGACGAGGACAGTTTCCACAGGCTGCAAAAGGACTCTCCTCTCGTCACAAGCATTGTCGGGTCTCCAGGTCGCCAAGCGGTATTGATCACGTGATCATCCAGATCTAGGCAGGCGGTATCGGATGTCAAATCGGCAGACTTGGCGGGGGAGATCTGGACGCTGGCGCTGGCGCCCGTGCTGATTGTGGGTTCCTGAGGCACCTCATCGGCCCCCATGCTCACGTCCCCGTCCACATCCACATCCGGGTTAGGCGAACCCGACTTGCTTTCGGTCTCGGCGTCCACATCCATCGAGTCGCCATTGGTTTCGCCTTTGCGCTTCATTCCGGGAGCCTCCGGTGGATGACCGTTAGTTACGCGGTCACGCGCAGGCTCTGGCGCGGGGTGGTCTGTGCCAGCTTCATCCCGGCTTTTCAAAGCGGCCAGCTCAAAGGGCTCCGGGCCGAAAAAAAAGTCGGAAGGTGTAAATTTAATGGGATTACCCTCCTATAGACGAAGGTTAGGATATGCCTAGGCCAGTATCGCTAAGGTTCCCGAGGTATTGCGCGGGCCTACCTTGTCAATTGATGACTCTAATTCATGATATTGCAGGCCCTTTTGGACCAACGACACCAGCGCGTGAGTCTGGATGTGGCGCGCAAATGGTAGATTCTGTGGCTCCGGATACCACGCACGCTGTAGTGATACAGCAGCTTCGCCATGACCTGTAGCACGAGGTTAGAATGGTTCCAGCAGCTAGAATGTGCCCACGCATCGGCGCATGGGTCTCGGGTGATATCGAATGAATAGAGGAAAAATGCGCAAGATACGAACCTGACTCCTGGAGGTACCTGTGTAAGATGAATCATGGGTTAGTGGTTTGCGAATGCAAGCAGGTCGCGGGGAGTGCCCAGGGGGGGGCCATCGTACCTCCATATTAGGTAGTTGACGTGATGCGATGTAAGGTCAGGTTGTGCCATGATTACATGTGCGACCACCTAGGGGCGGAACATGCCAGATGGGGGAGTGGATGGCGCTTCCGCAAGGGAAGTTGGAAAATCAAAAGTGGAGGTTTCTCGATGTGGAGACAGGAAGGGCCGGAAAAAAGACCAAGGAAAAAGGGGGGCGATCTGGAATGAATCAAGTGGGTAGGCGCGTATTCTGTCGGGGCTGAATATCCCGGGGGTGATGGGTCAAGGGTGTACGTTGATTTGAAGATGCGGACTGCGAGGTTGGGGAAGGGAAAAGAGAGTTTGGGGAAGAAGGAAAGTGAGAAAAGGGACGAGACGGGGATAAGACGCCGATCTGGTAGGGACCAGAAGACACTCTCGGGGGGAACAGTAGCCGCTCTTATGGCAAGCAAATGACCTGTGAAAGGGAGAAGAGAAACAATTGAAGATTGGAGACCTTCATGACGGTTGAGCTTAAGCGCACTAGCCACTGGGAAGTGGGTGCTCCATCTTGAATGCAAGAGCCAATCCTGTGTGGCGTTCCTCCACTCGCGGCCCTGTTCTCGTGCGACTCGCTTACTCTAAGGGACTTCTCCACTTTAATTCTCCATTTCTTACTCTAGTCCTTTACTATGGATGTTAAATCCAGAATGAGTTCCATTTGTCCTTTTTCCCCCATTATGCCCGGATCTGACGGGATCTTTGTTATTCCCTAGCGTGCAACATCTGCACGCACCCGAACCCGGCAACACTGCAGGGCGGCAAAAGGTGGATCGTAGCGTGGATCCAGATCCCAACTCCAGGGCTTGTGCACAGATATCAGATGAGCTAGGATCCCTAATTTAGATTCCACTATATATAGCTCGTACAATAGATGATCTAGTAGTCTCTATGGAACATAAAGACCAGAAGCCCTACCGGTTTCTATTGGTAGATATATACGGTCAGACATGTTTCCGACCATCACATTCTGACACCGATCAGTGATCCACCTACTCTATATGTCGCTACAGTACTGTAGCTAAGGTATGCCTCACATCTTGTCTCGTGAAATTTCAGAGTATGATGACCTAACCTCCAAGGTTACATAAGAAACATCATGACAATGAAACCTAATGTATCAGGTCAGCAAGTCTAACTATTCCACCAGGTTAGGTCACAGGCACATACCTAGTTGAAGTCGCGCCCAGGATATATCTTTAGTTTCTAGTCAGCAGAGACGACACTTGGAAGATGGAGAAAATTTCGGCCACCTGTCTCTAAGTCGTGGTGGTCTCTAAATATACCTCGCAACACTATATATTGAGTCTATCTTGATGGTCCCCTCTTTGAAGAGATATATACAAGTTAGACTGCCATGTGTTGACATGATTGCCTACCCAATAGCCCTGGCGTATGGAGTACACCATTACCAATTGCCTTGGGAGAAGACTTTTAATTTAACCTAAATATTTAACCTCATCAAATACAAGCTTCAGTAATACTAGGTATTTTTTAAACAAGACTTTTGTATGTGACAGATCCTCTCCGTGGTTCGGACTACAGTAGGTGCTTAGTGGACCCGCGCATGTCAACTTCCGTTGATCTGTGTGGCCTCCTCCGTCTACAAACTTCGGGTTCAGCTCAACAACACGCCTGCGGTCTCGCACGCCGCGAGTGCCCTACAAAAATGCCGGTCCGAGTCAACATTCCCCCTGCTACTCGTTTCTTTCTCGTCAGCCTCCTCGCCCTTTCCTTACTCTACAACATTGCTAGATGGCGTGAACTGGACTACACCCCCAACGGCACCCAAATTACCCCGATCATTCCCTACCTGACTCTCGTTCCTTCTCAATTCTTCTTCTATCCTTGGACACTCGTCACCGCCACCTTAGTCGAGCAGAATATCTTTACTGTGCTTCTGAACGCTGCTACCATATTCTATGGAGGCAAGTACCTCGAGCGCGCGTGGGGATCCCGCGAGTTCAGCAAGTTTATCGTGGCCGTCACCGTGATCCCCAATGTCGCGATCCTTCCAATCTACCTCCTCTGGGGCGCAGTACAGGCCGAGAATTATCGCAGGTGGGTAATTCCCTGCTAGATCCCTTATTTGTGTCTGATCTGACCCTTCTCCATGTACAGCGAGACCCAGATCTGCGGTGGTGTCGCCATCCAGGCCTCCTTCCTCGTCGCATTCAAACAACTCGTCCCCGAGCATACCGTTGCGATTTTCAAAGGACTGATCAAAATGCGCGTCAAGCATTTTCCGGCGCTATTTTTGCTTCTTAATACCCTCAGTGGCATCTTGATCGGCACGGACACTGCTGCAATCTTGTCGTGGCTGGGTCTCCTGACTAGCTGGACATACCTAAGATTCTACAAGCAACAGCCCGACCTGACTGGAACATCAACCGAAGGTTTTGGTATCAAGGGTGATGCCAGTGAGACCTTTGCCTTTGCTTGCCTGTTCCCCGATGTGATGCAGCCCCCGATCGCCTTTGTCGCGGACCAGATCTATACATTGCTGGTAACAGTCAAGATCTTGAAACCATTTTCGGAGGATGATATTGCATCTGGTAACCAGCAAGTACTGGCCAGAGGCGAGGCGGGCTTGCCAACTCTCCTCAGCAGCCGTGGAGGGGGAGGAGGGTCCCGGGGTAAGCGCGAGGAGGCTGAGCGCCGCCGTGCTCTGGCACTCAAAGCGCTAGATCAACGACTACAGACTGCTGCAGCGGGCCGCGTACATGCTGGCCCATCTACACTGGTGGAACCAAGTGCAAGTGCGACATCGCCGACCCCGTCCGCCCCCACTGGGCAGGCCATGCTCGGTGGAACCACCTACAATCCAGATCACGCATAAAATTGGGGAATGGAGTTTGTTGATATTTCGGGATTTCTTGGATTGACTGGTTGGACATACACCATTCAGCGCATGACACTCGGTTCTAACGAGTACTGTACCTGCGACTGTCGCGCCTTCATCTTCCTTCTCACGATGTACATTGTCTTTTCATACCTTGGCTTGGATCTCGGTCCTCCATTGGCTTCATTTCCCCAATGTTTTACGTGATGACCCTTTTTTTATCTGTTCCTTTGCTTCCCTCTGTTCATGGCTAGACAAGCGTGTATTCTTTGAAATAAATTAGCTCTATACTAGTTGCAAGTAACCGGACCTTGCAATGAAAATTATAAATGATTCAATGCACCTTTCCGATGCTTTGGAATAAATATTTCTCAAAAATACATAGTTATAAGGAAAGAGACGAACAAAAAGATGCTATGCTACAAGTGGGTGCCCCTTCCAATTTCGAGAGAAGAGAATCCAGACTAGAGAAAATCAACCCGGGATATCTTAGCTCTGCTTCAGCTTCTCAACCTCACCCCGCGCCTCAGCAAGCATACGCTCCTGATCCTTCTTCGCCTGCCGCATCGCTGATATACGCTTCCTATCCCCAACAGCCTTTTCGGTAATAGCCGCCAACCTCTTTGCCTCAGCCAAATCCTCCTCAGAAGGAGGAACATCCGCCGCACCCGTCGAAGCCTGCACCCGAGTCCAGATCTCCTTAGGGTCCAGATTCTTCAGATCCACAATAACAGACTTCTCAGTAGCCTCCGGCTTCGGCGCATGCTTATCGACCAGTCCCTTGCTCGCAAGTCCAGCTGCGGTGCTGCTCAATTGCTCGTTGAAGTAGATTGTCAATGCGGCCGGTCCTTCTTGGTCTTCGGTTTGTTGGACTGTCATTCCGACGCCAGGATTGTGGTATTTCAGTCGCGGAAGACATTGGCGCCAAAAGAGTCTTGCGCCGTGGTGGCCGCCGTAAATCTTCTTGGCGTATGTGAGGTGGAGGCGGGTGACAGCTGGGAATTCTTTTGTGGCAGTTGCTTGGCTGGGGAAGAGGGCGGCCCCGAGTCCGACTCGGACTTCGAGCATCTGCAGAACATTGTGTTAGCATTGATGTCTCTATAGGGTATATGGGACTCCGTTGTGCTGTGTCCGAGAGTGTTTCCAGTCTCAATTGGGATCTTTGGGATGTCGAGGGTTGGAACTGATAGCGCGGAGAATGAATGGGGGTGTAGGGGAATTTACTCTCTGTGGAAAAGGAAAAGAAGTTAGTTAGCCGATTTCCGTTTCAGGTTGTTTGATAGTCCGTATAATTGAACTAGCCTTGAGCTCTAGAGTGACTTACTGTCTTCAGCTTCCGCATCCGCTTGAGGAAGTTGACCATGATGGCAGATTGAGCCGCGCAGCGGCTGGCCTCGAGGTAATAGATGTGTTTTTTTGAACCGCCTGCAGGGATAAAGCAGCCTAATTAGCCAAACTCCTACCCAGTGGTCTCACAAAAAGTTCGGGGTGTGTTGTCGTTGATCCGGGGAATTTTGCGGAAACTGTTGCGCCTCAAAAGTTGCTCCGACATTAAGGTCACGTGATAACGATTTATCACAATACGCAACCTATTTGACATTGAAGGATTGGTACAAAACAGACTACTTAAATAAATAAAAAATACTTAGTTAAGTACAATAAAGCACCTTATCTATTCATGACTCATTGTTTCGCGTGTAAATGCTTACTGCTGTTCTATGCAAAGGCACGAAACGTAAATTACCACAATACACACTGCAGATAAATGCATTGATACGGCTGTATTACCAACTGAGTCACCCACTCATTATCGATTATCGATTGTCGATTTTATATTCCCCCGCGATCTTCATTCTCTGCCCCTCGGAATCTTGCACAGGACATTATCCTGCTGAGAGAAACCATGGCACCTCCCGCCGTCTCTGCCGAGCTCGACCCGAGCAATGGCTCTAAGAACACCCTCAAGCTTGAAAATGTTAACTTGCCCCTCCCCCTCTATTGACTCCGATTTTTAGCCGTTACTGACCGAACTCAAACCTCCACAGACCGAGAAGCGTGACACCCTGATCGCAATTGAGAAGAAATACCAAGCGCAATGGAAAGAGAACAAGGTTTTCGAGGTCGATGCCCCATCCTTCGAGGAGATCCCCGAGGGCTCCATGACCGCCGACCAGATGCGTGAGAAGCACCCCAAGTTCTACGGTACCATGGCCTTCCCTTACATGAACGGTACCCTGCACGCCGGACACAGTTTCACTGCCTCCAAGGTCGAGTTCATGGCTGGTTATGCCCGCATGGAGGGCAAGCGTGCTTTGTTCCCGCTTGGTTTCCACTGCACTGGTATGCCCATTAAGGCCTGTGCCGATAAGCTTCGCGATGAGGTGAAGATGTTCGGCCAGAACTTCGAGGGCTACCAGGAGGAGGAGGAGGCTGCTGCCCCTGCTGCCCCTACTCAGGAGTCCAAGCCCGAGGTTAAGGAGCAGGCCGAGAAGTTCTCTGGAAAGAAGAGCAAGGCCGCGGCCAAGACCGTTAAGATGAAGTACCAGTTCCAAATCATGCTGGCCATTGGTGTCCCTATTGAGGATATTCACAAGTTCGCTGATGCCAACTACTGGCTGGACCACTTCCCCCCGCTCGCTGTCCGCGACCTCAACAGCATGGGTGCCCGCATTGACTGGCGCCGTGAGTTCGTCACCACTGACGCCAACCCTTACTTCGACGCTTTCGTCCGCTGGCAGATGAACCGCCTCCACGAGCTGGGTAAGATTCAGTACGGTAGCCGTTACACTGTTTACTCGCCTAAGGATGGCCAGCCCTGCATGGACCACGACCGCACTGAGGGTGAGGGAGTTGGTCCCCAGGAGTACACTGCTATCAAGCTCCAGGTTAAGGAGTGGTCTCCCAAGCTCGCTGAGCTTGTCAAGGGCAAGGTCGAGGAGGATGCCAAGGTTTACTTTGTTCCCGCAACCCTGCGTCCCGAGACTATGTATGGCCAGACCAACTGCTTCGTTGGTCCCAAGATCAACTACGGTCTGTTCAAGCTGAAGGAAAAGGAGTACATCGTTGTCACCAAGCGTGCTGCTTGGAACATGGCTTTCCAGGGTCACTTCTTCGATAACGACAACTTCCCTAAGACTCAGGATCAGCTCCCGCTTGTCGTTGAGGCTCCTGGTTCTGACTTCGTCGGTACTCTGGTCAACGCCCCTCTGTCTTTCCACTCTGAGGGTGTCTACATTCTGCCCATGGATGGAGTCTCAGCCGCCAAGGGTACCGGTGTTGTCACTTCCGTTCCCTCGGACAGCCCTGATGATTACGCCACCCTGATGGATCTGATCAAGAAGGCCGAGTTCTACGGTATTAAGAAGGAGTGGGCCGAGAAGGAGATCTACCCTGTCATTGAGACCCCTACCTATGGCAACCTGACTGCTCCCACCCTGGTTAAACAGTTGAAGATCAACTCCCCCAAGGATGTCACACAACTCGCGCAGGCCAAGGAGCTGGCTTATATGGAGGGATTCTACAAGGGCACCATGCTCGTCGGCGAGTACAAGGGCGAAGCCGTCAGCTCTGTCAAGGACAAGATTCGCAAGGCGCTCATTGACAGCGGCGATGCCTTCCCCTTCGCCGACCCAATGGGCAAGGTTGTCAGCCGTAGTGGCGATGACTGTGTCGTTGCTTACCTGGGTCAGTGGTTCCTGAACTACGGTGAGAATGATGGCCCGTGGCAGAAGACCACCCTTGACCACGTTGTCAACACCCTCAACACCTACGCTCCCGAGACCAAAAACGGCTTCGAGAAGAACCTGTCCTGGCTCAACCGCTGGGCATGCGCCAGAACCTACGGTCTTGGATCCAAGCTTCCCTGGGACAAGCAGTTCCTGGTTGAGTCTCTGAGTGACAGCACTATCTACATGGCTTACTACACCATTTCTCATCTTCTGCACGGTGATCGTTACGGTAAGACCGTTGGTCTGCTGAACCTGCAACCTGAGCAGATGATTGACGAGGTCTGGGACTACATCTTTACCCGCCGGGAAATTGGCGATGACCTGATTTCCAACAGCGGAATCAGCAAGGAGGCTCTTCAGAAGATGCGCCGCGAGTTTGAGTACTGGTACCCTCTCGATGTCCGTGTCTCTGGTAAGGATCTTATCCAGAACCACCTGACCTTCTTCCTGTACATTCACGTTGCTCTCTTCCCGGAGAACCTCTGGCCCCGCGGTGTTCGTGCCAACGGTCACCTGATGCTGAACGGTGAAAAGATGAGTAAGAGTACCGGTAACTTCCTCACCCTGAAGGATGCGGTTGACAAGTTCGGTGCCGATGCTACTCGTATTGCTTTCGCCGACGCCGGTGATAGCATCGAGGATGCCAACTTCGAGGAGGCTGTTGCCAACAGTAACATTCTGCGTCTTCACACTTTGAAGGACTGGATTGAGGAGGTCGTCAAGGATGAGACCCTGCGCACCGGTCCTGCCGATTCATTCGCGGACCAGCTGTTTGACAACGAGATCAATACTCTTGTTCGTGAGGCCCAGAAGCACTACCAGGAGTAAGTTTGAACCCAATTTCATTCTATGTAACACCCCGCTAATTACCAACTAGCACCAACTTCAAGCTTGCTTTGAAGGCCGGTCTCTTCGACTTCACCAGCGCTCGCGATGCCTACCGTGAGGCCGCTGCTGCCTCCGGCGTTGGCATGCACCGCGATGTCCTGATGCGATACATTGAACTCCAGGCTCTCATGCTTGCTCCCATTGCTCCTCACTGGGCTGAGCACGTCTGGCTTGAGGTCCTGAAGAAGGTCAGTTTTCATTAAACCACTGTTCTCGTCTGCTCCCCATCTAACATGAAACAGTCCGAATCCATCCACTTCGCTAAATTCCCCACCGTCCCCGAGCCCTCCCCCGCTCTCTCCGCCGCCCAGGCTTACGTCCGCGGCACTTCCTCGGCCATTCTCTCCGCTGAGGCCAACTTCGCCAAACGTCTGTCCAAGGGCAAGAACATCGCCTTCGACCCCCGCAAGCCCAAGAAGGTTACCATCTACGCCGCTAAGAAGTACCCCGTCTGGCAAGAGAAGTACATCGACCTTGTTCGCGATGCTTTCGATTCTCTCAACCTCTCCATCAACGACAAGGAGCTTAACGGCAAGATCGGCAAGCTTGGTGAGATGAAGAAGGCCATGCCCTTCGTCCAGGGCCTTAAGCGTCGTCTGATCCAGGGCCGCGAATCGCCTGACACTGTCTTCGACCGCAAGCTTCCCTTCGACGAGTTCTCTGTTCTGTCTCAACTTGTTGGTGGCCTGAAGCGCTCCGCTGGCTACAAGGAGATTGAGATCATTGCCGTTGATGAGGGCGGCAAGACTGGTGAGGTTGTTGGTACTGGTGAGAAGAAGGAGGGTCTTACTGCGGAGAACTCCATTCCTGGACAGCCTACCTTCTCTTTCTCCAACATTGAGTAGAGGAACAGTTCATGGATATATAAAGTTGTTATTTCCGGTGTCAATTAAAGAGTCATGCTTGATGAGCTTATGCTTAGAAAAAGAAGTGCATTTCATTTTGTTTTTGATTATATCTTTTGTTTGATTCTGGATCATAGATGGAGCTGCAGAGACTAGGTTTTCGAGCAAGCTTGTGGCTGGAGCTCCAATACACCCAAGCTACCTTGACGTGCCCTCAATTTCCCTTGAATATTCATATTGCACAAGTTGAATTTTTCTTTTGACAGAAAAATATTAGTTAAGAACAATAAGCTGCCGGTAGATCTCTCGTGGGACTGTCGTGGCGGGCCGACCCGAATGGGGCCAGACCCTTGAAAACACGAGTAAAAGGGGTTGCACGCGATGAATGGGGGCGGGAGTTCGCCTCAATTGTTTCGTAAAATTTCCTCTTTTGGGATCTTGGGGAATATGAGAATGTGAAACATATCAATAAGAAGTACTTGGAAACGTGTTAGGAGATATTCGTATGGATTCATTGCTGCACATAGCCAAGATAGCAATGAGAAGCTCAGCTTGGGGGCAAAGAAACTCCCTATATAAACCAGGGACCTTGTTATGGTCTTGGCATACCTTGGCATAGCCTAGTGTGGGAGTATAGCCCCATCGCTTACTGAGACATATCCTTCATCTGGAAAGCACAAGAAACCCATGACATGGATAAGATCCTTTAATGGAAACGATGACTGTATATTCACTGGTCTATCCATGGCCAAGATATGCATGACCTAAAGAGGCATATGTTTGGTCCTGAGTTATTCTAGGGCATAGAGTATACGCATTCGAGATAGAAATACTGAAAATGGACATTTACAATGGCTTGGCTCATGGTTAAATAGAGAGAGGTTTCCTCGACAGATCCAACATCATCAAATCAATCAATCAATCAGCCTAACAATCCAATCTACTCTACTCAATCAACCGATCTCCCGATCAACCAATCCACCACAAAGATGCAGTTCATCACCGTTATCATTGCTACCCTGGCCGCCGTTGCCACCGCTACTCCTTCCCCCGATGCCTTTGAGAAGCGCACCTGTGTCGGCCGTGAGTTGTCCTTATAGAACAAAACCTGGAAAAAGAAGCATCTGACTCTCTTGCAGACTACAAGGTTGCCTGCGAGAACGGTGGCACCCCTTGCTGCGATGGCTGGCAGTGCGTTGGTGCCACTGAGTGGAACGCTGGTGTTTGCATCCCCCACTACTAAGAGTGTTAGAGGGCTTGAATGGACTTGATATTTGTGCGGGCATAAATAGAATTTGATGAGATCTTCTTTTTTTCTTCTTGAATCTCTTTCTGTTCTTCCAATTGGATCGCGTAGGATAATATGCCGCCTTAGTAGATTCTGTATACCACTATTCAAACCTATGCGTTGGATTCCCTAGGCTAAAATGAAGAATTATTTTGATGGCTACGAAATTTCATATATTGACTGAAATGACACGGAAAATTTCAGAGCGAACGTGGAATCTTGAGCTTCATAGCTTCTACATAGCACTTATCTCTAAAAAAACTGAGCTCTACCCATCTTTTATTGAAACCCCTATCATGGAGTTATCATGAAATAGCTATTTTCTTTTCCTTGAATCAAACTCGTTAAGTGACACACTTTGAAGTCTTCCGTTTATGATGCGAAGTTCCCCTGTACACTGTCTATTACCATTCAAATGGGTATTTCGGCGAAATATCCAGGGGACTGGTATTCACCCCAACTGGTACCGATCAATCCAACCAAGAGAATAGTACTTTGTAAAATTCTTGGGGAGCCTGGAGGAAGGGTGCATGGCCAAGACCAGGGAACATATGGAATGTGCAATTGGGAATCAGGGCTGCGGCAGCAGGTCCAAGGACGGAATAATGACCCAGAGTTGCAGCCACGGCTGAGGATGACCATGCCTTTCCTAGCGCTGTCACGTCATTCTCGCCTACCATGAGATAGGTGCTTGTTTTCAGGAGAGGGAGCTGGTAAATGATAGGCTGGCTTAATAAGGCATCGGTGACGAGAGCCATCACATAGGCATAGTCAGGGCCATAGTCGCCCGCATAGATGTTGGCTAGCATATCAACCCAAGTGTTGTACGCGGGCTCCCAAGTAGCATTATAAAAGTAACTCGCCTGCTCATATGCCTTGAGCGTAGTAAAGTTCTGCACAACTTGGGATTCGTAAGTCTCGTCGATAGCCAAATAAGGTACACCCTTGGCTACCCAGTCCTCCAAACCCAACGGATCAACAAGTATAAGCTGCTGGATGGTATCTGCGTACATAAGGCCGTAGCGGGCGGCAATCATGCCCCCCATGGAGTGGCCAATGACAGTGACTTCATCAATGCCGAGCGCGGTGAGTAGGCTGTTGATATTCTCCGCCTGCTGTTGGACGTTGTAAGAATAGCCTTGGGGCTTGCTCGACTTGCAGAAGCCAATATCGTCGGGCAAGATCACTCGATAGCCCTTTGCAGACAACTGGCGTGCTGTGTCAGACCAAGTGACGCTGCAGAAGTTACCGCCATGGAGCAAGACTGTTGTTTTGTTATTGTCATGGTGGCGATCTGCAGGAACGTCCATAAATGCCATCTCCAGGTGCTGGTGTTGGTTATAGAATTTGAAAAGCTTCACCGGCCAAGGGTACGTATAGTTGGACCCGTGCAAATTGGTTGGCACATGACCATTGTAGATGGTGCCAATCGGATCGGGATTAGATGCGGAGACAATCGCCCTGCATGACAGCATCACCGAGAGTGCGCTGAAAAGACAAAAGACCCTCATTATGTGTTGAATGTCTGGAAAAAGACCAGAATAAGTCTTTGAGTGCCCAGGTGGCTGGTACGAGTGGAGTTTCACAAGGTGAACAGCTGATTATCCAAGTTCATGCGTCCCCCGCGATATGTATTTATGTACGTACCTGGCAAGCTAGACCCACATTAAAACCGTTTAGCAGTCGCAAGGCTGTGCCAAAAATGCACGGATACCTCTTTTCCGCCTCCTTGACCATAGCTCACTAGTTCGTTACCTTGGCACATTCCAATAATGCAGTAGGTACTGTCCTTCGGTAGTGCACGTGTAGGAGATTATTGGTCAATTAAATTAATTAACCAGAGGCATTATTACGAAATATTTCACTTTAAAGCTCACGGACAAGCAGTTCAGATATCCTGTATATTTGGATAGTTCTTCTAAAACGTTCTACATGTCCGCTTAATAGTTAGGTATCGTACTTGGTTTACAAATACATTTTGCCTTTCCTTTGATCATGCAGCGCAAAACTACATACTTACCAGTCTCTCGTGTAACGGTTGCAATTTATCGCTTAAACTTTGACTAATAATTAGTAAGTTCGGTTGAGTCCTAGGACGGTTAGTAGTGTTTTGAATATAGACTATCTTTGCGTATTTCACGTACTAATGAGAATTTTAGCGTATAATAAAGCGGCCTGATCACAGGTAGGGGATTTCTGGCATAAAATTAATAATGCCCTTTCCCATATGTACGGCCGACCGTTTTACTTCACAATAGAGCGGAACTCGCCTTGCTTGGTTTTGGCCCCCAACCATTTAGTAGTGTTTAATCAAAGATCTCTGCTAGCGCTAGAGCACGCTAGGCAACGTTCCTTTCACAAAGCAACTTCTCACTAGCCAGGTACCACACGGATGCTTAAGTTCCTCTATTCTGAGATTTATCGAGAGCTAGCTGATTGATTGAAATTAGACCTTTGTTGAGAGGGTCTATATAAAAGTCTTGATATAATACTGTACTGGGTACCTTGAAGTGATCTGGTTGACTATACGAAACATAGATTGTGTTTAGAAGGCTATTGATTCAACCTGGCTTAGTAGTATCTTACCACTTCCAGGTCGAAATCATGTTCTCCTCCCAAGTTTCCTTCCAATGCCTCGTCTTCCCAGTCACATACTTGTAGACGTTCGCAATCCTCCCCGACACTATTTCAAATACCCAAGGATCATCACTTTCCACCTTAGAGACAGACCTTCCGGGTACCGCACACATGGCAATGAGGGTAGGACAAACAAGTAGCGTAGAGGAAGCAACGAGGATGACTGCAGTAGTTCTGCATACAGCTGGGATAACAAGAAAGATCTTGGTTTATCTTCGTAAAACTTCGCGTCGCTCAAGAGCCAGACCCAGAGTTAGTTTCAGCCGCGTCACGCGCATCAGCCGCAGCCTCAGCGCTAGCCCAGGCACCATCCAGCTCATTACACAGGTCATCACTAGCGATAGCAACGACCACGTCTTCCATGTCTTTCAGGTAGTAGCCGCCATTCTCGGCATGGAGCAGACCGTTCGGATTGATCTTCACGTAATCGTTCAGGGATTGTCTATCGTGGAGAATCACGATATCAGTCGGGGGTGAGGTTTGATACCGGGTTAGACCTACAACCATGACGTTCATGAAGCACAGGACGTGAACGAGGGAGGTGAAAATGTATTGCATGTCGAAGTCGTGAGGGGTAATTAAGGTGTCTATAGATGTCTTAGTCATCTATCTTTCGGCCCCTAGGGCCGTGCATACTTTTGAGTTTATAGCATAGATCTTCTGTAAACATACCTTCAAGACGCAAAAAAGAACGATGAAAGCAGAAGGTGCTATCGATTCAAGGTCTTTAGCTATAGCAGTCAGTCGATGAATATAGCGAAGTAGAGAAACCTAGAGAAGATGACTAACCTCTGAAATTTCTACTAGGATTTTGAGGGAAATTACTGTGAGAAACAGAGACAAAGATGGGGATGTTCCAAACCTGGGAGCAGGAAATGATGGGCAAATCAACTTCTACCATTTTTCCCAGACTATGGTCCTTCGGAATGCGACTGGCCGGTCAAGGATAAGAGTTGTGACAAGAGGGCTATGTAGGGTGGCTACCAATGCACGGATCTTTCTACCGCGAAACCAATAGTTCCATTCATGCATAGTATTGCATCGAATTTGACAAAGATCTATTGAAAATTTTCCGGATTATCATTAATCGATTGGCGTCTGTAGAACACTCAACATCCTATCCCCGCAAACTTTAGATTAGTTTTGTTTCCCGGAGATGTCAAAACAATACATGTCGAGGTGCTCGTGCTTACCTTCTAAGACCTTCTCTTAAAGTGTTTTCGTCTTGCGAGAATACCAAACGAAACCATCCAAGATCCTTCCCGTGTTCCTCTCCGGGATGAAGGAAAACACCCGCATCGACGAGCTTCTGCGCCAAAGCAAATTCTTGTTCCTGAGCTGGGGAACCGTCATTTGAGAGGAAAGGCGAAAGATTGACGTAGACGAAGAAGCCCGCGTTCCTAGAGATAGCTTGTAAGAATGCAAAATCACAAAGAATCATGGAAAAACTAAGAAATAGGACTCACCCTCCCTTAGCGTAATCGATGCCTCCTTGTTCCAGGATGGAGGTAACCAGCCGATAACCCGCTGCTAGACTTTCCCGTGATTTAGCTGTAAAGCTTGACACGAAGTCTTGGTCATCAAGGATGGTAGTCCCAATGGTAATGGCAGCTTGGGAGGCACTATGTAGTCGCAGAATCATTTTGCATGCTTGAACAAGTTGCTGGCTCTGAGTTATCAAGAAGCCAAGATGCAGACCACCAGATGCAAAATCCTAGACTGAATTAGGTCTGCTGTACACTCATCAGAAGGATAAGATTACCTTGCTGAATCCATACAAAACATGGACAAGATTGGGGTCGATTATTTCCTTGAGGTCTAACGCTAGAATCGAAGTGAACGGTACGGCGTCAAAATCACCGGAATCAAAGACACACGAGGCGTAGACTTCGTCGCTGATGAGATGGATGTTGTTTTTATCACAGAAGCGGGCGATTGCTTTTAACGTATCCGCTGGATAGCATCGTCCTATTCATGCATATGAGCAAGCTCGTCTTCCACTTCAATCAACCAAAAGCCTTACCAACAGGGTTGTTTGGATTAACGATAAGCACAGCGCGAATCCTCACCCCTCGCTCATTAGCCTCCTGAAAGGCTTGCTCATATTTCTCCACCGATGTTGGAGCGAAGGCCTCATCAATTGTTGTATCAGCATATACAATCTCAACACCTGCTTCAACGCCATAGTCCAGCTCGAATCGACCATATACTGGTCGACTGACAAGAATAGCTTCCCCACGCTCAGCCAGATTGTAACCAAGCATGTTACCTAAGGAAGTAGGGGACTCAGCAACAAAGACATGCTCGGGCACGATAGGTGTATAAGCTCCCAAGACTTTATTCAGATGGGCAGCAGCGATGGCAGGTAATCGCGCATTTATAGTTGCGGTGGAGCGGTAACTGATCGAATCTGTGGTGAAGACAACCTTTTCATTGATGTACTTGGCGATTTCTTCTCTCATCGGTCTCTGTTCTAGTGTAAGATATATGTATATCTTCGAAAGAGCTTGTACTCACGTTCTCCGCCAATCCAAAGGAGATTAGTCCCGTAGGATTGGTATCGGCATCATAGGTCGGTGTAGGGGTGAATCGCCATGGACGTCCCAGCTCAGTGACATTTTTGAGGGCTCGAGAAGATATCATATTGAGATAAAGAGAGTTTTTCAAAAGTGCAGAAAATGTTATAGAAGATCTCCCTGCGTATGTGACGGCGACGATGCAAAGAAGCGGTGTCAATATTTGGGACGTTTAAATTGCTCAAATCTTCTCAGTCGCGCAAATTATCTGGCTGGTAAGCGGAAGCTAATGTACCTCAAAATGCGCTAATGAACTGGATTCACGCCTAATGGCCTTCCTGACTTCTTGGAACTCCGACCTTTTGGTGGTGTTAACGGAAGGAGTGCCTGGACGTTGAGGCGAGTTCCCCACTTAGATGGGGACCGCGGGGGTGATTCAGTAAGAGCTTACGAAGGATCTGATGCTGACGCCGGGAAAAGGAGAAAGAAATTTGGAGATAAGTATGTATTTGGACAAGGAGGTTCTTTTGAAATAGAAACGCCAACCGCTATGCTCGATTCCTTATAGTAATGTACACCTACCTAGAAAGGTAGAATTTAGGTGGACCCCACTCCAGCTCAACTATACTGATGCCTTGTGCGAGGCCTCTTGCGCTTGTCAGCCTTCAGCTTCTCTGCAATGAAGTTCCAACATTCAATCGGTCTTCGGCCTCCGATATATTCACCTTTGGGTGAAAATACCTCAACTTGAGGATATGTTGAGGGCTCATCCTCGGAACCGCGCTTGTTGCGGACTTGGATGCTCACTTCGATCCATCCACAGCCCTCGATGAGGATATCAGCGGCCATCACACGATAGGGCAGATAAGGTACCGGGATTCCCTTATCTTTGACAGCCTTGGCAATAGAGGTAGGAAGGTTGGAAGCGGTGATGTCCCACTGCAAATCGAACTTGCCGGCAGAAGCGATAGTGCTGCCCGTTCCTTCCACCATTAGAACCTTACCCCGATAGGGCTGTTGCTCGGCCTGTATCTCGATTGCCTTTGCTGTGTTCGTAACATGAGATTCAATGGGCACGAACGTGGCAGCCATCACGGTGTCCTCGGGATTCACAGCAGAGATGCGTACCAAACCACCGCCGAGAAGGAGAGATTGGCCGGGCTTGAGAGTGCATCGCTCTGGCTTTACACGCTTTGTCATGATCAGATCGCGTTTGTGCTCATCGCGAACGTGGTCTTCCAGCTCGCTGCGTTCCATACCAGGCAAATCGATCATTTCACCCCGTCCGCGTCCAAATGGAATACGAATAGGCGACACTGTCGTGCCAGGCAAAGAAGACACAACTGGAAGAACCGGGTATAAACCTTCACGAGGGGCAGGCGGAAGGAGACCATCGGAGTTCACAGGGGTTGCCTGTTGCTGGTTTGAAATTTCCCTTTCTCGTTTTTCCATCCACTCGGCCATATTCTCTAGCCTGCGAGAGTCCTTGGGGAAACAGGCCTCGATGAAGCTGCTCTTGCCCACATTCGCTTTACCAACGACCCAGATACCCCCACCGTGCTCCCGAATCTCATCCTTAACTTGCTTGGTCCACCAACCTCGGTGTGCGCTAATCATGTGAACGTTTCCTAGCCGGACATCTTTCCCTGCCCTTCCCAAGGCATTGCGAAGGATTGAACGGATATATTCCATTTTAGAATCCACCTGTTCTTTCGTAGCTGCCAACAGATCCGATCGTGTAATGATGAAACTGATCGTAGGCATTTTCTGACCATGATGATACTTCTCAGTAGAAGACCGTCGGTTCCGCGAGCGCTGTTCCTGAGCGAAAAGTGCCCAATGAATGCGGGGAACCAGAGACATGGGAAAATCAGCTGCATCCAGGATGTGGTATACTCGGTTATGCTTATGAGGTGACTCATTGATATATTCTCGGATGGAAAGGATGGTTGGCTTGGGCGACGAAACAGCCTTATTGTGATGTATAAGATCATGGCAGCGATCGCAAATCTGGGTGTTCCGATCTGGTGACTCGAGAGCCCGAGCTGAAGGGGAGACGGAAGCATTTTCGGAGACAGAGATATCGTCAGAGACAGGTATATCGTCAGAGATAGAGGTGTTTTCAGTGACAGGGATGTTGGTTTCTAGCAAAGCACCTTTTTGGTTTTCAATTAGTCAAATAGCAGACATGCGAGTTTAGATGGCATACCTTCTGTTGGCACGGGCGCCGTTGATTCTTCCGCAGCAGTCTGTTCCGGCAAAGAGTCACTGACAGGCTTCTCTTGTTCGATGATACCATCTGCCAATTCAATCGGCTCTGTATTGGTTATCACCGCATTTTCTTTATCGGCTGCCCCTTTGTGAGAGGCGATTAGCTTTCGGGTCTGCTTGCGATTCCCGCCATAGTACCCTGGCTCATCCGGCTCGATTGTCTGCGTAAAAGCACCACATCCAGGGCAGCATACTGGAAGGACTTCGGCCAGCTCCTCAGCAGTCACTTCTTTGCGTTGGATAGGCGTGGTTGAAAATAATCGGCGGGAATTTGGCATTTGCGTCGTGATACTGCCGCAGCTGATTTGCCACGGTGCGGTCCGTAGGAGGGGAGGGACTGTCATTTTTAGAAGGGGAGTGCCTGGCTTTGGATGCCATCGCAGCGATCCAAGCCGCAAGGCTCGCGATATCGCCCCTCTAGAGCAAGGTGACATGGTGGATGTGCAAGTTTGCGGAGTTCGCGCGGAGCTTTTTTTTATCGGGCCAGTTATCAGTAGCGTGCTGTTCTCCGCCTGCCGTATAACGAATTAGATACAAGCTTAGCCAATTAGGAACATTCTACTGTATTTCCTAGTAATTTGTATTTTTTATTATTATTATTAATTGTCAAACAAATTGGACTAGTGATCAATTGAAGCCTCGAAATGGCATTTGGAACAATAAAGTATTGACATTGAAAAAACTGCGCTGAAAACCGCATATGCTGGAACCGGGGAAACGCCATCATAATCCATAAGAAGCCAATTTTTGATATTTAAGCCCGTGCTTTGCCTTTGCCCTTGCCCTGAACCTCTGGCTCCTCCTCTTCCTCGGAATCGCTCATGAAGTCGTCATCGTCATCAAATCCAATGAAACGACGAGGAGCAGACTTCTGGGCGGGTGCAGAGGGTCCAGCAGCGCTTGAGGAAACGGCATTTTCGTCGTCTTCCTCATCCTCATCGGAGCTAGATGAGTCCATGTGATCACTGCCCTCACTGGCACTGGTACTCGAGCCACCTAGAATTGCATCGCGAAGATTGTCGGTCCAGGAACCATCCTTCATAGCCAATAAAACAGCCTCGCGCGCCTTTTCATTCATTTCTTCCTTATCGTCCATCCACTGACCATCGATCTTCTCCTTTCCGCCACCACTCTTAAGCTCATCCTGGCGCTTCTCTGCTAACTCCACCACGGCCTGCCATCGTTGACGACGCTCTTCCTTCTCTTTCTTGTCCATCTCGGGCTTGACCGCGAGGTATTCGGCGAGTGACTTGGCCTCAGCCACGGTACGGAGACGGCGTCCATCGAGGTTACGACTGGAGCTGTTGTTATCGCCTTGGTTGCGCTTGCGTTTGCTGGACATACGACCACCGGCGGCACGAAGCTGAGATCCAAAACCACCCTTACCACCGCACATGGGGACGGAGAGGCGAATAGGGAGGAGGTTTGAGGCCACGGACGCGCCATCGCGAATGATCAAGGACTGCAAGGAGTCGGTACATGGAGTAATTTGCTTGTTGTTGGTTGTTGTAAGGATGAGAGAATGCAAAGACAGCGACGACGGAAGGTATGAGGCGACTTTCTCCGTTAGGTCCGAGATGCTGGAGGTTGATGGCAGCGAGAACGAAAGGGTGGACGGCAGCGACAGGCCGGGAAAAGACGAAAGCAAGATGTTCACATTTGACGACGCCATTTTAAATGAAGTGTTGAGAATGGAACTTCACTGAGTGAGATATATGACAGTTGACGGCAAGGATCGTAGAGGCGCAGCGATAAGATCGACGAGGCTGGACTTAAGCATAAGGGTCATGTGACTATGCACAGGTGACTCATCATTTACTGTCACGCATAAATCAAGGTGTGTCATGTGACTAGGGCGGTAGCCCTAGCGAGGTCCCCGAAAGAGCAATATCGCACTTTTCTTCGTAGCGGAGCTCCACTCTCTAACCTTTTAAATCACCCATCTGTTCTTTGTCAAAGCGATTCCACGAATTGCGCCAGGAACTCGCGACAATGTAAGATTGCGCCCCAATGCTTTTGAATATGGATAATGACTGACAATTCCCCAGGCTTATCCCTAAGGACGACCGCAAGAAGATCCACGAGTACCTCTTCCGCGGTATGTGACAACACCCTCGCCGGCGCTCTGACCTCGAATCGACGGTTTTGCGAAAGAGCGAAAATGATTCTGTGACAAGTTACTGACTTCATCTCTATAGAGGGTGTGCTCGTGGCCAAGAAGGACTACAACCTTCCCAAGCACGGTGACATTGACACCAAGAACCTTTACGTACGAATCCCCATGCATGCAGGCGACCCTTGAATATATTTACTAATGCCCCTCGTTTACAGGTCATCAAGGCTCTTCAGTCTCTGGACTCCCGCGGTTTCGTCAAGACCCGCTTCTCGTGGCAGTACTACTACTACACCCTCACCCCCGAGGGTCTCGACTACCTGCGCGAGTGGCTCCACCTCCCCGCTGAGGTTGTCCCTGCTACCCACATCAAGCAGCAGCGTTCCCACGCTCCTCCCCGCGGTATGATGGGCGGTGAGGACCGTGAGCGCCGTCCCCGTGCTCCCCGTGAGGGTGGCCGCGAGGGTGGTTACCGCCGCCGCGAGGAGGGTGGTAAGGAGGGTGGTGCCCCCGGCGAGTTCGCTCCTTCCTTCCGTGGCGGTTTCGGCCGTGGCCGTGGTGCTCCCCAGTAAGGGATAGGCCCTGGTGTCCTGTCATCCTCTGCTCGGTCATCCTAGGGACAGATGCGGCCAGTCCTCGGTTTGGAGTAGGACCTCCAGAAATGGAGTGTTCCTGAAACGAACTGATGCTAGACGCATCTTTTTACGACCTCTCGTTTCTGAGACTTATGGATACAGGAAATTAAAAAAAAGCGGAAACGATGTCACTGGCTTAATGATTTAGCTAGATTATTCAATGGCAAAATCATGATTCGGTGCCAATCTTGTTCATAGTAGAATCGTAGTTTCTCTTTTGTAGTCACTTGGTAGGTAATATTCTGTTTTGTGTACTTCTAGTTCTGGGTGAATCGCTTTCGATCGTATCGTACCACAGCTTGCAGGATAACAGACGCCCCAGTTGCACAATCATCCGCAGAGCAAAACTCCTCCGGATGATGGCTCAGACCATCTTTACACGGAACAAAGATCATACTAGTCGGCACTCGCTTGGAAGTGAAGACACTATCATGACCTGCACCACTCATGATAGTCCTCACTAAGGACTTGGTGTCTGCCACAGGCGCATCCGCTACGACAGCATGGGCAGACTCCTGGACACAATCAATGCAGTCCTCATGAAACTTGACAGCAGGCGAGTCAAAGTCAAGCGTCCATTCGACACGGCAAGGCTTTCCAATACCAGCGCCTTCTGCGGCAGCAATAGCATCAAAATCGCTACGAAGCTGGTTCTCGACCTCGAGCACCAAAGCACTTTCAGGTCCACGAATATCCAAGCTGAAGCTGACAGTTCCAGGGACGGTGTTTACACTTCCAGGCTTAGCCTCAATGATACCAACGCTAGCGAGACAGCCTTTAGATGCAGCGACTTCTCTTGCACGAACCATCATCTGAGCAAATGCATACAATGCGTCTGCACGGTGTTCAAATGCAGTCGTTCCTGTGTGTGTGTCTCGTCCGATCACATTCAACCGGAACCAGCGATAGGCCTGCACTGCAGTGACCACTCCAACTCTTTGGCCAGCTGAAACCAGATGAGGCCCTTGTTCAATGTGCACTTCGAAGTGAGCTGCCATTGGCGTGGTTTTATATGAACAGGGCACGCTGCCGAGGTAGCCGATCTTCTTGAGGGCACTCTTCATAGTTTCGGGAGCTGAGCTGGCTGTTGGCAGCGAAGCTACTGTGGGTACTTCCTTGAGCTCGTGAGCCTGGGATAGCGAAATGAACTCTGCCCAGACGCCAGACGAAATCATGCTGATGGGGAACCGGGCTCCTTCTTCGCTATTGAAGTGTTAGCAAATATCTAACATATAATATTTGAGTCCACTATCGTACTTAGTCCAATTAACGACACCTACACCTCCCTCGGTTTCCAGGCCCAACTCGTCCATCCTCTTGATCGCTTCCACGCCTGACAAAACTCCCAGAATGCCATCATAACGGCCTCCTGTAGGCTGTGTATCCAAGTGACTGCCGATGAAAGTAGCTGGCACATCTGTCCTCCGACCCGGACGCACTGCGAAGATGTTGCCCATCTCGTCGATGGTAATCTGACACTTGAGGTCTTTCATAGTTCGAATGAACCAGTCCCGGACGCTCTTGTCCTCTTCAGACAGGGCAAGGCGCTGCATTCCAGTATCTGTTGATCCTCTGTAGAGACACAAAATCCACAATTAGCAAAGTATGTACTAATCCGCGTTGTTGAAGATTGAGTCGTGGAAAGCTCGTGCTCGTAGAGCTACAAAAATACTCACTCTCCCCAGCGAATTCCAGATCCCCATTGACATGACTCATGTAGGTCATTTGCAAGTCTCTCCTTGTTTGCTCTCAAAGCTGATACCTCAGCCTCGGACAATGCTGTCGTCAACATGGCGCGGTATACTGTTGTCGAGAAGGGGTTGTAGAGATGCGGAGAAAACAGTTTTTTGGTTGGTGACACGAGCCGACTCGTTCTCAGGGTCGTACGTAAAGCTTGCGCTGCAGCCATAGCGAAACGTAGATGATATTTATAATTCCAAAATCCAATGTTGTTGTCATTGATAAGAAGCGGGGAATAGCGGACAAAGTCCGCCCTTGATAGCATCTGCCGACATGCCGATATACATGCCCCACAATGGGGTACTTGAGGAGGCATCTCCATTGTTGTAATTCTGAGGGTTAGATCCATCAACCCATAGACCTATTGTCACATACTGGGATCAGGAAGGTATCATGGCACTCTACGAAGATGTTATGTGGAGTATTACAAGATGCTGGAGAAAAGCATCTTGATGTATTCGACGACTTTCCACAATTTGACTCCCGATTGGGATGCCATTGAATCCTCAAAAATACCTTGAAGTCATGTTCTACTCGCGTTTCTGTTGATAAATTCAACATCTTGGTGGGGCTTGTACGACAAGCACATCTTGTCGTGGGATTACTCAATCTTAAAAATGACCTCCCTTTCAAACTCACCCACCTGAAAGGACTCCTGCAATCCCGAAATGGTGGGAGACAGGGGCTTGTTCCCTGGTCCCGCTTATTGTCTCTCTCCATATGCTCAATGCTCATATGATTGATGTTTTGCCTCTCTTAACTTCCTCTCATGGTACCCACGTAGCTCCTATCACTTTGCCTCTGGCCTGTATCAGCACGCACGTGCTGATAACTGATATTCCTAATGTTATGAGCATTCTGCTCTATTAGCCTTTTGGCAACCGAAATTGTGGGTCATATCGAAGCTATAGACTATAGTATTCGAAGCTAATATGCTCCGGTATAGATGAGCTGCACACACCAAGCGCATGTGTCTCCAACGCGAACTGAATAACATACACTGAACCGTTGGTTCTCAAATACTAGCATGGTGCAAGATGCCTTTCCCACACAAACGGGCGATTTCCAATTTGCTCTCATCTCGTCCAATCATGTTGTTTGGTGTCCATAACACGTGACGGAGACGGACGAACGATTGCGGACGAACAAGTCAGAGCAGTCTGAGCAGTCTGGGAATCTGAACTTCAAAAAAATCAAAGGCAAAATGGTGTCCCTTGGAACCGTGCAAAAGAACAATTCCAGCTTGATGGACTTCGGTCCAAATCTCGTGGCTGTGTTTGGTAAACCAAGCTCCACTCCTATCCGGTCATGATCTCTACGCATTGTCAGAGAGCAAATTGATAAAAAAAAGCTGACATGAATGCTTGCAGTGGGCGGAACCAGCGGGATAGGAGAAGCAACAGCTCGTGCATTTGTACGAGACACTGAATCATCCCGGGTCTACCTTGTCGGGCGCAACGAGACCCAAGCTTCTAAAATCATTGAGGAGCTCCGCCAAATCAACCCAGATGGTCAGATTAGCTTCGTGAAATGCGAAGCTGCGCATCTGCACAGTGTCGATGAAGCATGCAAGTTAATTCAGGAAAAGGAAGAAAAGGTGAACTTGCTTTTTATGACAGCCGGCATGATGACGACGAAGGGCCGAGATGGTATTCACTGCATATCCTATACACAGTACGGGGGTTGACTAATTTCCTATCTAGAGACCGAGGAAGGACTGGATAAAAAGTTCAGTCTCCACTATTACTCCCGAGCGCGTTTCGCTCTGAATTTACTGCCGCAGTTGAGCAGGGCTGCGACTGCCAATAACTCAGGTAAACAAGGCCTAGGCAACAACTTGTCGCGTGTTGTGTCCGTCCTATCACCCGGTGATGAAATTTCTCTTCATCTAGACGACCTGGATCTGAAGACCCACTACTCACTCCGCAACTGCGCTGGACATGCTACCACCATGAACAGCCTGCTCATGCAGGAGCTCGCTGCGGCCCACCCTGCAACTAGTTTCATCCATGCCTATCCTGGTGGCGTGAAGACAGGCCTCATGCGAGATTTCCACCCGATCACTCAGATGGCGATCAATGCGTTGGCCGTCTTTGCCAAACCGTGGATGGTGCCTTTGAAGGAGAGCGGCGAGCGACATCTGTATGCATCGACTAGTCCACAATACCCGCCCCAAGGCTCCGGCTCCGGCGACGTGGCAATCGGGGCTGATGGCAAGCCCGGGAGCGGGGCGTATCTCTTGAGCTGGGATGGCTCAATCACAGGCAATAAGAAAGTTCTTGAGGCGGCACGCCAGAATGGAACGGGCAAGTTAGTGTGGAAGCACACTCTGGAGATGTTCTCGTCGATCTGTGGCAAGTGATCGACGTCACCTTTGCTCACCAACTCCACTCAAACGCTTAATATTTCGGTCTAGGGTTGTTTCATCATTGAAATGAAGTATGAATCCATCCTTGAGTAATCTAAATAGTATATAATTCAGATAGTCCCCGTTGCGATGCTTCAAATACCAAATCACGTGCATTCGCCTCTGGAACGGTAATCTTGGGAAGGCACGGATGGATCCATGGATGAAGAGTGCGTATTTCTGAAATCCCTATTTCCATTACAGTCTTCGGATAATCTGTGCATCCGGGGTTCAGCAACACAGCGTTTAATGGATCGAAGTAGATTTTTCAGAGGCAAAATCGGACTTTTCTCTTCCGAACAGATAAAATATCGCCTTATGCGCCCTGCTGTGATCTGTCCAGCCAGACTGAAGAGTCTTGCTGCGGATTCGAGCGCAGGACAACATCGATTGAAACTCATCCACAACCCAACCCCTTGACTCACACACTCGCCACCATGTTTGAGGACTTCTCCTTTTCTTCGCCCTCCTCACGGCCTACCCGGTTAGCGCTTAATACAGAAGACCGCCTCATGATAGACGGCGACAGCAATCTGATCTCACCACTTTCATCTCGCTGCCCGTCGCCGACATCGCACCGCTTCCGCACACTCTCTCGATCCCGGTCTTCATACTTTCGATCCCAACAACAACCACCGACATCTGTGCCCTTCCCTTACGAATCAAAGCGTCTATCCATCGCAACATTGACACAAAAACTTCACGAACATACCCTCCAAACACCAAATGGCGAGTCCTTCCCGGACCGGACTCGGTTCAATGATGGACCCCGACGATCCGGCCAGTACGCTGGTTACGTCCTGACACCACCAGACACAGACCACGACGACGATGGTCTCCTCTCCTCGCCATCATTATGCTCAAACCCAAGTCCTACCTCTATCCCCCCAGATTTTCCTCCGCTAGACGGTCCAGACTACCCACATCCACAGCCAGACCTCCTCAGCATCCGCAGCCAACGGCAGCAGATCTCCCAGTTGCAATGTAACCAGGGAGATATCGATTCTGTCCGCCGCGCAACCGATGATGCATTCGGCTCTATTCCTTGTGAAGACGAATGCCACCCCAGCTCTTTACCGCCACGTCCCTCGCCACGACGGCGAGCTCTCACGCAGCACCGTAGTAGATTTGGGCCTGCGGAGTCGCTGGAGGCACGGGGGAGACGGAAGAGTAGCTCGGGTGCTATACATTCACATCGGATTGAAAAGAGTCATTATCCTTCTTCTGCGGGGGAGGGATGCGTCTAAGCGCAATGAACAGGGCCTTAGGCGGAAGAGTATGGTTACTGCGGCGCTGGCGTCTGTAGCCGAAAAGCCTTGAGCACGTCATGGCTAGGCTCATTTGACTTCGTTGTATATACTTCAAATTGATACCCGTTTATAGACTTGATTGGCTTTCTTTCGACTGCCTGCTCAGCTCAACTGTCTTCTATCAGTTTTGTTGCGGAATATAAATCTGCAACTGTTGATAAAAATGAACAGACGGTTCAAGAACTCCATGTAGATCGTAGGATGATTGGGGTGGCTGGGAGGCCTTGGCATTAATTGGTGATACTTCAGAAGGCCCCTTGCCTACTCACCAACTTTCCCAAGCACGAGCACATCCTTGGTCCAAGGTTCTTCAGACAGAATCAACAAATATGAGAAAGGGATGAGAGAACCACTATCCGAAACACCCAGCCACAACCCAAATCTAAAACTTTCTTCAGAACTACAAACGACACGCTGCAAGATCCCGGAACTAGCAGCTGAATTAAAGTTAAAGCACCTAACATCTCGAACGATTTTAAATCGTTCTATGTGACGCATATCAACGTGGGGAGATATTCTGTCTTTGACTAGGTCATGTACCATCCCGGCTATGCCGGTGGGTCAGATCGATTTAACATTAGTGATCTGGGGTTCGTGAGGAATCCGGGATTTTGATATTGACTGAGACCCAGCTTTCTGGTGCCTGGGTAGGTATCTAGCGGCTGGCTACATTCATAGCCTAGGTCTAAGGTTCGTTAGGGTGGTTACGATCAAGAGCGAGAAGAAAGTTATGGACCAATGAAGATGATTTGATTATCCTGTATCAGGACCAGTGATATGGAAAAGTCTCAGACTCAATCAAAGCGAAATAAAAGAAATAATCGAAAGGTGGGATAAAAATACAGGTCAGAAGAAAAATGAAAAAAGAAGTGAAGAAGGACTCCGCCATTCATCGTGGTATCATGTTGTAAGCATTCAGTTCCCAGACCGCCAGCTGAAGAACTTTCGTAGCTTTTTCCGCTGGGATAGCTTATCGCCTTTGCTCTTCCCGTCTCCGAGGGAAACAGAGCTCTGGAACCTCCGCTGCAAGTCGTCCAGCGCACGAGCAGGATGCCCGCGGAGGCCCATTGTCTCAGCATTGGCTGCGGCCAGCACGGATTGAACATGGGGGTCATGGTAGATTGGGTCATAGTCGTGATCGTGATGTGAGTAGGCAGGGGACATAGTGTTGGCGAGGTATGTATCGTAAGGGGAAGGAGGGTTGTCATGTTCATTTTCAGTTTCGTGACCATTTTCATTTTCGTAAGATGGTGGGAGCTCGAGGAAGATGCCTCGGTCTCGGCCGTCGACCTGCGACCATTCGCCGTTGGCGTAGACTGGGGAGCCCGGCTCGCCGATCTCGCTTTCGCCCGAGTAGTGGGTTGCTGGGGAAGATGAGAGTGGACGTGGGGAGTCGGGATCGGAGGGTAGATCCTCTCTTTCTTCTAGACGCTCTGAGATGGATGCCATGCGTGGCCGTGGGGATTCTCCGACCATGTCGTGTAGTTGTTTTGACTCGTATGAGCCCCAGGAGTCATGTAGATTGGAAGAGCAATCTGAGAATGAGCTGGATGGGATATCGGCTGTTTGCCTCTTGGGTGTGGAATAGCTCGATGAAAAGGGGGTGGTGGTATACAAGGATTGAGAAGAATAATGGGATGGTAATGAGGCATCCGTGAACTGGGAGAGAGAGTATCGATCCAGTCCCTGATCTATGGAGAATGTGGAGACCTTTGAATCTCGACCTTGGTCCGAGAAGATGGAACAGCTATCGACATCTTCGATGAAGGAGACAATCCGAGCGAAGTCCAAGGACTTTCGCGGGTTCAGAATCTCAAAGGAGGCCCCGCCATGCGAGATGGTGGCGGCTGTGGTGGCCAACATCGGATCTGATTTCTGGGGGCGAGACAAAGGCGAATTCTGAGCCTGTCCCCGCGCCTCGAGCTTCTGGCGAAATGTATTCTAGAAAAATTGGTTAGAAGGGGCGAGTAACGAGTATTTATCCAGGTTTCAGTCTACTCACCAATCGTTTCCTGTTGGGTCTAGGACGGGTCAGATGTTCCGAGACAAGGCTAACTCGTGGTCCCTGGGTAGGCGCACCTGCAGTTTAATTAGAATTTGTGTTTAATTTGATGCATTATCTCTGCAGGACTTACCGGACTGCAGCTGACTAGATTCTGAGACCTCGTCTTGCTCACTTCGCACAGAGAGAACGCTGTGCGAACACGACGGTGATAGTGGTGGTGGAGTTGAAGCTACCGATGACGCCGTTGAGACTGCGTATGGAACGGTAGTATTTTCTGGTGGACGGTTTAAATTGCTTGTTCCTGTTTTGCGTCGGAGTGTCTTTTCGGAACGATCTACGGGATCGTCGATGCACTCTGCAGCCTGTGCAAGTTGCTTGCGATAATCGTGGAGAGATAATGTACCAGTGAGGCCAATTGAGCGAGTGGACAGAGGCGCATCTGTAGAAAGGGGTTCGTGGTAGGTTGCGTCGGCGTCCATGATAGATAATGAGCCAACCGGCAGCTCATTTTGGTACCAGACCCCGAAGGAGTCGGTGGACAGCGCCTCGTGCTCTCTATCCATGATAATTTACAATTGGCTTAAAAAGTGGTTGCGATGAGGGGTTCGTCTCCAATTGCCTTAGCGCTGTGACATGTCTTCTGTATGTGATGATCCAAACGCCCGCACTCTATACATCCAATTAGTTCGGTGCGGGGAGAAGCAAAAGCAAGGGATGTATCGCACCAGTTCACCGTCAATGCAAGGTACAACCGAAATTAGAAAATGAAATCATGTACCAAGAGCAAATTATAAGAACATTTTCTCTTCGGTCATCCGGGCCGGAATAGTACCTGGGTCTTGTCTTCTTCAGTTTTTTTTTTGCGCTGAAGCTCCACTTTTCCCGAACCCACTCATCTCCACATAAGTCTCGATCCCGTCTGGACTCAGGAACGCTGGGTCGAACCAGTGGTTCGGCACTCATAATGGCCTTATATATGGCAAAGGGATTGCAAATGGAAGACGTCACCTCCCCGTGGGATCCGGACAAGGGAGAAAAGTCGGTGTCGCGTGCATAAAGTCTGTGCCCTTGATGCCTAATGGGTGCCCCAATTCTCACAATCATAAACTCAAGAGGCACTTGTGGAGCCAGAGCAGAGAAATGACATGCATGAAAAGGAGATTGTCACTGTAATCTGGACGTAGTTCGCTCATCGTCTGATCTTAGCGGCATCTTAGTTTCACCTTAGCCCGTCCCACCCCCAGCCAATCACCCGCGTAAACGGTCATTCTAACCACATCCTGGCCCACATCGCGAGATCAAGCCCACCACTCGGCGGCCAGGACGGAACATGTTGTCATCAGGGCTGAGGACGATGACTTGGGCAGAAAAAACCTTGGGGTACTTGGTTGGCCCATGGTGGTCCAGGTGGACATGTGGCGTACCAGAGAAAACCCTGCGCGTCGTCAAATGCTGATGCAGAGTGGATCCACCACACCCTCAGGGACTTGTCGGGCTGGCCCTGCGTATTACTTGTTGGGGGCAGAATTTTGTTTGAAATCCATGGATCCATACAGCAGCGAAAACTCACGAGCTCGTACCTGAAAAGTGCATGATTCATGATGCATCGAAGAGGTAAAACTGGGCGAGACGATCGGCACCGGGCGTACAGGTCTCACTGCGCCCTGCAGTGGCGTACATTGTGATCAACGTCGCAGTGATATAAATATGTATAGTGATATCAATTCATGCGTACTACAGTAGTATTTGCATATTGATTGAAGCGACCGCAAAATACTGATCTATTCGATGCGCGAAGAGGGTAACCTCTACCTCGGGTATTCAGGAACAGGAAAAACGTGGGATTCGCCACTGTAGAAAGTCGGGACAAGCGACCCGATGAACCGATTAAACGGTTTTCCCTCCACTTCCAAGATTTGCCTTGGATTTATACATTCCCTTTCCAGGGTTACCTGGGGTATCTTCGCACATAAGCTTCCAGGGGCCTGGGGAAACATGATCTTTTGATGTCTAGACTGGAGTATTGCGCTCTGCCAGTGGATATATATTCGGTCAAGCCCCGACTTCAGGTATATCATTACCACAACTGCGTGGAGAACCAAACAACATCTAAGCATCCGCGTGTATCAATTGACTGGATCGATGAAAATCCTTACTGAAATAGAATATGAAGTGCGAGATCTCGATCCAATCTACATCATCAACCTTACCCCGGGTGTTCTTTCGATAACTTAGTCAGCAATATACATGTGACTTTGGCCGGAAGATTAATAAGTTGGTATTCACTATTTATAGCGAGATCCAAATTCAACTGGAAAGCTCGAATCCGGTACCGGCGGTCGTTTCTCATTCTCGATTCATGGACTGTCCCATGGGTCCATATTGAATGACCCCTTTTCTGAGGCAGGAGGGGTGACCTCAATATTCTGGCCAATTTTATCTAACTATCTTATCGGAGTAAACTAAGGTTTGAGCCCAATGGGCTATAGTTCTAGGAGCGTTAAGGGGTGATTCTGATCTGTCCTCGATAGCTTGGTGATTTATACAATGAATTAGATCCCGTTGTGTTCTTACTAGTTCTGAATGCATACTAGCTTGTACACTTTAGGCCAATTCTGACTGTGGGTGTTTAAACATTCTTATCCAAGGCTGGAATAGCAAGGTATTCACCACAAAGAAAATACTGACAGCTAAAGGAATCTCCTGACCATGATATTGAATCGAGTATCCGTGCCCCTAACAATTTCTGGCGTCAGCAGTTTCAGATACTTTCGAGCTACCTGATTCCACGCGTGATAGGCCAGCTGATCACGGTGTAATCCGCCGCCATATACACTCAGCGAATCCTCCACTTCTTTTGCCTGGTCGGCGGTGATGGGCTCATGCATGAATTCGAGATGATTTATTGTCCATGTTGGCCAGAAGAAGACCGTTGGAGCTAGCGAGCAGACCAGATCGGGAAAGTCTAGCGCCATTTGCTTCGGAAGAATGACCGAGTGGTAGTTCCATTCATCGGCAGAGAAACTACGATAGCTCTCTTTCCATTGGTGAAGAAATGACGCATCTTGACGTGCGACGATGACGGCATTGCAGAGGCCGTGACGATCCCCTCCCTCGTGGCCTAGGATAACATCTCTCTTATTATACCGTAGAGAATCAAAAGACTGGAGAGCAATGACATCTGTATCAAGATAGATCCCGCCTTCTTGTCGGAGAATATCTAGACGCAGCACATCAGCAAGATGGCTGACCTGCCATTTCTCTTGCGTCTGTTTCGGGTATTCGAGAGCCAAATCGTGATGGACGAGCGTGACATTATCCCGCAGCTTCTGGAACCAGACATTGCCCAGGTTGAGCTCTTCATAGTGAATATTCAGCGTATCAGGCTGGAGGGAGATCAGCGCCGACCGGATCGCGAGGTAGTTGATAAAGTTTATCTCGGGATTCTGGATTCCCCAAATAAAGTGAACGACATTCGGGATTGGATTTGACAAATCGCTGCCGTCGAAACATGCCGCCTCTTCCGTGGTTTCCTGAAAATCATATCTCTCGACCCTCGTCTCTGATGAAAATAAGCCTCGAACGGCTTTTATTGGGTGGAAACCAAGCAAGGTAATAAGGACCCATGTTACCGCAATCGCCAGTATGGCGGCCGACTTCAGAGAATGATAAGGCATATTCCGGGAGCCTGAGTCCCAGCCCTAAGCAGAGCAAAGGCAGCCCCATATTAGTATCTCCCCTCTCTGCTCAGCTGAAAAGACGGAATGATCCTAAGTTTACACAGGGTCCAGGCGGCAACATGCGGGCTGCCCCACAACATAGCTATTGACCAATCATGTACTCAGGGATTCCACAAAGATGAAGCTAAGACCAAGTGAACTGACCCAGTGAAGCTAGCGCATAGCCAAGACGATGATCTCCCAAACATCACACATGGTGCGTGGCCAATGACATTGTTCAACTGCCCACGTTCTGCAACATTCAGCAGACAGAAGTTTAGAATCCTGCGTCGGCCCCATTGAACCCCCGGGCTGGAACAGCCCCAATTTTTACCTAAACCCGCTATGTATGAAAACCGTTTACTGTACGGTGGCTTAACCTTAACCTGAACTGAGTAAAACAGTGGTAATTCTGTCTTATTCCCATGCCTTCAGTTATATTTCCCCTGGATACAGATACATAGCTGATACCAAGAATTCTTTCTTTTCTCTCATCCTTGTGAGACCCTTGTTCTACGCTTCTAGACGTTTAGTATGTCTAGACATTGGATATGTCATATCATCAGTCTCTCACAAAAGTGACTAGAGAATTTATACAGAGGACTTGGCGCTAAGTCGAAAGATATACGACATACGATAATTTTACACAACATACTCCCCCTTCTCAGCCGCTTTTACATGTAGGAAGTCTATTTTGGACTGACGATCATTACTAGCCCGTGTAAACCGTCGACACACGACCGTCGAGGCATGATGAACACAAGTCATCTTCATCTACTAGTCCCGCATCCCAAAAATATACTCTTAATACATTGAATGCTGCGACAACTGAGGTCAATCGGAGAGGCGTATCATAGCTTAAGGGCAAAATTCAAGTATCACAATTCCCAATTGTTCACTAACTACAAATTCTTCCAAATATCAGGCCAAAGAAATATCAGGCTTTGGCTCCCCCAAGGATCCCGCCGATCAGTCTAGTTACAGCCACAACCCTGGTAGTCGCCGGACATGCAAACGCCCTGATATCCCGCGCATCCGTTCGCATCACAGGCCCCAACATATCCATTTCCACCACCGCACTTTTCGCACGGGCAGCCTTTCCAGGTACCAGCGGTGCATTGACCAGTGGTATCATTGGGGTTCTCGAAGACACCTGCACAGCCGTTGGAGTAGCAGTCACCCAGGTTGTCCTGGCAGTTGTCCGTAGCAGCCCGGTTCTAAAACGAGACGCATTAGCACTAGATTCACTATGTCAAAGGAGTAGAAAGAGTTGGCCTGCGTACTTCAATCGGCAAGGTGGCTGCGGTAGCAAGGGCGACCATTGCTGGGACTGCGAGGAGAGCTTTGTAAAAGTGCATTGTCGTTCGTGGAGGGAAAATATAGAATGGCAATGTAGTGTTTTGATTTGGATTTGATGTCTCGGTCTGCTGAGTTTGTTTCGTTGATGTCTTCTGGACGAGTACCATCAGGGCGCTTTTATACCTGATTTCGCGGACCGGCCAAACAACTCATCCGTGACAAGAGGTTGAGCAAAGAGATATGCTACCTCGCACACTCTATGACTCCATGGGGCCAGGCTGAAGATTTTGGGGCCGGAGGAAGATGAAGGATGAAATGACATCGGCCATGAAATGTGATAAGTGGATCTGTTTATGATAACCAGCCAGTAGCCTTATTGAGGCTCATCATACATTGACACTGGGGCAATTCTCTGAACTTGATCGTCAAGGTAGTTTTCCCATATAGAACTGAGCTCATGACTTGGATCGTCGTTGGCCATCATAGCCCCTGTGTTTTGGAGGCCTGATGTTCAACCAGCCCCCTTGTAGTTGTTTAAAATTATGACATACAAGGCCACACGTGCATTACCTCTTGGTCAATATGTCGCATTGGTTCGCGAAGCCAAAGATCCTTCGATGAATCTTTGATGATCATGACCATGGCCCCTCTGCTTGGAGGTGTGATATTCGGCTGCGCCATTGTCGGAATTGCCGTTTCCAGTTGGCCCCCTTATAGGTATTTGAAATTGTAACAAACAAGAATACACGTGGATAATCTCTTGGTTGATATGCCAGATTAGTTCGCGAAGCAAGAAATCCTTCTCATCGAAGAAAGAGAGCATCGCAGTCGTGGTGAGAAGCTGAAGAGTATAAAGACTGCTCTTGTCACTAGTATCAATCCGCAACCAGCATTGATTCCAAGTTCATTGTCTTCCTCATACATCTAAAAGTATGAAGCTCATATTCTCTGCTGTTGCTCTGGTTTTCGGGGCTGCTCTTCCCAGACATGTTGCCGGACACTTTACCTTACAGTGCTCCGTCCTCGTTCTTACCGGAGCCAATTTGCAGGCAGAGTGTGACAACGATGCTGGAGAACTCGAGTTTACCTCGATAAATCTGAATAACTGCGTTGCCTTTCTAGATGATCAACTCGAGGTACGTGCTGCTAATCTGTTGCCAAGGCGAACGAGAAGATTTGGGATGCTAATCTTCTGATTATAGTGTGGAAACGGGTAAGAAAATCAACGGTGAGATAGGGACATTGTAAAGTGTCTGAGACTGACTTGAGCTGCTCAGAGGCGGATACACCTCATCCTGCACTGATTGCTCTATATCGCAACAGGGCATGCTGAGCTGTTCGTGCACCGACGAGGATGGCGATATTAGTGGACAAAGCCTTGGCCTTAGTGAGTCATTGATGAGTATTACTCAGAGATAGTTGCTTACACGAGTACAGACAATTGCATTTTCGTCAACGATGGTAATTTGGCTTGCTAATCGGCACCATGTCATCTGCAGCTTTGGTAAAGTACTCAGTGCAGCGGAGAGCGGGGGTTAGAAAGGATGACTAACATATCCTGTACAACGAGTTACAAACACACGGCTAGTGGTAGACCTTCTCTTTATGTTCCATGGATTTTCTGCGGCAAAGACGAGAGCGCATCAAAGAATGTACAAGCCAGCGTTCCCTTGAGTTATGACAATCAAGTTTGTACTGAAGGCGGGTAAACCGTAAAGTAATATAACCGTCACGAACGGTAATAGTCTGACCTAATGGGCTAGCACTTATTGAGTAGCGAGTAGTTGTTAGGACATATAAATAGCCGCTCCCTGCTCCTTGGTTTATCCTTCAATCCCATATCAATAATGCCTTTGTCTCTCCTGCAAATCCCCCGCGAGCTCCGCGATGAAATCATCGAGCTTGTGCTTTACTTCCCTTCCCAACGTACAGACGGATTATTATATCCATCAAATCGCGTCCGGCTACACGACACCAATTTCAGCGTGTTATTTCCCGAGCGCGTCTGGTATGCGAAGGAGCCCGAATGGAAAATCCCGGCCGCCCACGCTCTGCTGCTGGTTAACCGCCAAATTGCTGCTGAAACAAAGGCAATCCTCTCTCGGTGTCGAGTGTCGTATGTTCTTGATGTCGGGATTGTCCAGGGTCACTACCTTTGGCCAACCTGGCTTGCTGTCCCGAATCTTTCCAAACGCATCGATGAGTTGACAATCAACCTCCGGGCCTTTGACTCTGCAAGCTCTGCAGCTCGACACCACAACGCGTTTAGAGACACCGAGTCCCAAACGAACGGCAATCCGCCGCCTTTTGCCAGCATGCTCTATAGTATGCTAGAGCGGATTCTAAAGCGTGGCCCGTCCTTTCCGTCACATGAGGATTTGACACGTCTGACTGGGAATCCTGAGTTTGTGCAGCATGTTCAAACAGAGGGACTGGGAGCAGAGGAATTGCTATCCCGAATCCAATCTATCGTGGTTGTCGGAGAAAATGAAAGGGTTGCTGATAAAGAAACGCAGCTTGAGAACCAAAGAGCAAGAGTGGCTCTTGGGAGGGTGTTCAAGGACAGGGGAATTGTGATCGAAGCTCTTCGGTTGAATTGTCAAACCCCGCCCGGATGGCAAGGTCAAAGGACAGCTGACCCGGAATTTGGATTTGAGGAATGGCGTTCGAAGGCATATTATACGTCGCAGGCTGGTGATGTTCCTGTGATAAGACCAGAGTGGCTTGCTTCGTACGTGTCTTCTGAGCTTTCCTCTTTGCTCCGGCTGGGATATAATGATGCCTGGGCTGCCGGGATATTTTATGAGCGGATCGGCTTCATACAAGTGATGATTGACGAGATCCCGATAGCGGAGTTCGGCCTTGGTCATATGCTGGCTGGACTTCAGGTGACAGACCCAGGAAATTTCTTCGACGAAAATGGGTCGATGGAGGAGCGGACGCTCAAGTTCCAACAGTGGAAAGAAGAGAGACTGCGACTGAGGTGGCAGAACGACATACATGATGCAAATACAAGAGCAAGTCAATAACCATACAGACGCGGAGCTTGAGTTGCTCAGTCATCTTGACCTGCCCACTGCTGAAGATTGATCATGTTACTTTCAACAGGCTTCAATTCCTCCCATAGATATTATACTATCCATCTAGTCAGGAGTATCTCCACAGATCAGGTTTCGGGCCTACCCCATCAATCATATATACGGTATTTACTAAACAGTTCACGACACCACCATATCTTTCTGAAATTATATATAATTACTCCTAGTTATCGATACCCATTTAACGCACAAAACTATTTCTTAATATTTTATGAAAATCTACCCTAAGCTTTTTAACCACTAGTAATTATCTCGTCACACTTTATACTAACACATTAATATTTACGTATAGTATTACTCACGATGATTCTGGTACATACCCCTGAAGGTACTATTAATTAGTATTATACCTTCCTCTATAGGTAGATAAACTTTAGATATAATTTAAGAAGTCCTAATTTCAATAATGTTTAAATAATGTTGAAGGAGTTTAAAAGCTCAGTGAATGCCTCGGCGGGTCCTCCATATTTTTCCACATCAACTTTCAAACCGCTCTATCGTCACCAAAGCTATATGGATCTTCAAATTATCTTCTCAAAATGATTTTCTATAGTCATGGGCTGAAGTAAGACTTTTTTGAAGCCCTCTTCATACTGAGTGGTACATGCCTTCCCAAAAGTTGGTTGTTGGGTTGACCCTACCGGACCCGCACTTGGGGAAATACTTACGGTCCCCATTGTATATTAGACAATATTATAAACTCTCAATGTAGGCACCATTGCAGAAACGCGATGTCAGATTTGCTGGCTAAAACTTGTAACCCCAGGCCCTTTTAGCCTTAGCTTTGCACATGTAAAGGTACCAGGGCCACTGATGGTACAACCGAGCGCTGCGCACATAGGTGCTCCCTAGCCTCCTCGCCTACTCTATTCTCCCATTTCCAATGTACGGTATCAAATCATTATTCTCTTTTGCGATTTCCAAAGGAGTATTGCCCTCCTCATCTTCTGCCAAAGGGTCGAGTCCCTTGGCTTGTAGAATTTTGAACCACGGATATGCTCGCTCGGAAGCCAGAGTGGCTACCATATGTAAAAGCGTCTGCCCGGCTGCATTTCTCTGTTCAAGGCTGTAGCCTGCTTGTATAAAGAGATCCAGGACCTCTTCGCCAACCGCATGGAAATCTTCGTAATCATCCAGCTCTTCGGTAGGCATTTCGTCGTCATTGCCGGTGGTGAGAAAGATCTCCAGTGCTGTGTGGCCATTCGAATTTCGCGCTTTTGGGTCGGCCCCCTTGTCGAGGAAATCCCGAAGCAAGCGCCTTTGTTCATGACCCACGCGATGGTTCTTCTCTCCTAACTTGCTTGCTGCAAGATAGTGAAGCACGGTATTACCTCGAGAGTCACGGGCCAGTGGGTTGGCGGCAGCGGAAAGAAGCTCATTGATAGCGATCTCAACATGATAGATAGCTTCTGGGGCGTCTGGAGGTTCTCTCCCTGAATCGCCGGCAATACCCATGAATCGTATCGCCATATGCAGCGGATAAATACCGACGTTGTTAGGCTGATTGATAAGACTGGGGCAATTTTGGATCAGGTACTTGATCGCAATGTGATTTAAAGCAGGTCGATCATCTGCGCGATTGTCCTCGTCAAAAATCAGATGAAGAGCATTGTTGCCGTATTTGTCGACTGCAAGGAGGTTTGCGCCACGCGAAACAAAAAATTGAAGCAGAGATGGGCCAGTGCACCTTGTAGTGTAATTCGGGCGCTCACACTGTATCCATGGATTGTTCGGTTGCGGGAATGGGTTGTCGTAGATTCCCTCGCGTCTGCTTACCCCAGCGAGGCTGGAACAGTCACCATCGACCGCACCATCCAAACCAAGTGAGCTCAGACAAGCAGCAAGGAATAATGTGCGCCCTTGCGGATCGCGTCGTTCCACGTCTAATCTGTCTCCAAGGAAGTCGAACACGGGTTGCACGAACATCCCAGCTTCAAGCATAGAATGGATGACGCCGCACACACCATACGGATGCGGCAGACGATCTTCATGGTCGATAAAGTGCTCATGATCAAGGCCGGGGATACGGTCTAATTCACAAAAGCTATGGGCCTCTGGGTTTGATGCTTGCTCGAGACGAAACCTTTCGATTTCCATCCGTTGGGATTTCTCGATGATACCCCACCGAGAATATAGCCCGTGGTTCAAATCTAGTTCCTCGTCATCGAATTGCTCTTGATCCACAGATTGCCCTGGAAATGTAGGCAGGCTTTTATGAAGACGGATGCGTTGGCGGTATAGAGCGTAAGGGTCTGCCCCATGTTCAAGCAGAACGCTCATAAGTCGCGTGGTCTTAGACTTATCAGGGCGCGACCAACTAGCCCCTCTCTCTTGTAGAGAAACCCGGCGGAGAGGAGGCTCTTCAGTGAAGTCATGATGAAATCTGGGGGGCAGTGTGTTTTTCTCGCCGCTAGCCCAGTCATCTTCCACGCCCTCAAGCACGGATTGTAAGTCATCGAATCGTGCATTTGGGTCGACGCCTAAAGCAAGCAGATTCTCGACACGCTTGAGGCGGCCTTCACCGGCAGCTTCACACAGCTCAAGGACACCGAAATCTCGAACTCGTAGTCGCATATTGTCTGCATTCAGCAATTCAGAATGTGGTGTAGGGAGATGGGAAGGGGAAAGCTCGGGTAGTGAGAAACTCTAGTGTTTATCCACGAGTGGCCCACACGGGTGAGCGGTCTAGCTAACGCGTTCATTTATCAAGACAGGATCGGCAAGGCTCAGACTCAAAATCTTTCTATCCAAACCATATGGCGTAGTGGGTGGATCTACAGGATTTGGGGGCCAGGGTCCTGCCATGGTAGCTAGGTCCCCACGCCCCACTATTCACGGCTCATAATTCTCACTATGCGAATTGGCTACAAGGCAGAACAAGACACGGCTTCTTGTTTTTGTTTTATGACAAATCACGAAAAATCGGAGAGATAAAGAAAAAGAAGAATGCTGATCCCACATATATGACGGTTATTGAAAACTTCGGGCAATAGATGGAATTCCTATACAACTGGACCTCTATTAGGGATAATGAGATAGACGCATACATGAATCGCCCTCTCATAAAAACACTGATCTCAGAGATATACAATCATTTGAGTTTAATGCCGGTTGGAACTTCACACTGGCCCTCTGTAATGGCACCCATAGCGGCCTGCACAGCAGTCCAGTGGTTCACATCCTCGGTTCGATATTTGGCGCATGTTTCCTCCAATTCACCCGCAAATCCAGATATAGCAGAATTCGCAGAAACAGTTGCATCACAGTCTAGGGTTCGAAATGAAAATCCCACTCCCGAGTCGACTGATCTAGTCACCATGTTTGGTTTTGTCCCGACCTTTTCCTGAAGCATCTTCTGAAGGAGATTGTTTCCAATGCGATATGACTCAAAATCTGCGAGGCGCACCAGGAAAGCAGACCGAATAGCAGCCCTGCATTGTGCGACATACTTCTGCATCCTGATGTAGGGCTTACCTGGATTCTCAATGTCCGGGTAATGGGCAGCGATTTCAGGGAGACACCGAGTAACTTCCCTGCGCGCGGTCCAGTAGTCGTCACCGGTACCTTTAACAAGTCGTTCTGCGTCCGTACCGTCGGTATACACACTTTGTAAAATAAGGTCGTAGGATTTTGCCAGCGGGGCTGATTGCCACGCAGTCTTACTGACGTCCTTCATCGCTTGATACGGCCGTTGTTTTTTGGCTTCTTCGAGCGACATTGGCGTGCCGTCTTGGTTTAAAAGTTTTGTCTTCGGGCCTTTCGTATAGACTGTTTTCTTGACCGTCTGACCATTGACCTCTTCTTCCTCCTCTGTCATTCTTGGAGCCCAGAGATACTCCAAAAACTGCTGGAGATTGCACGCCTTGTCTTTGCCGTCCGCTCCCAGCATTGTCTCGGCGCATAACGGCGCAACGGTTCGGGTGTCACTTTTGCGTCCATATTCGCCTTCCAGGAGATACAGATACCAGTAAGACATTCTGGTAAATGGTTTTGATTTAGTCCGGTTGTTCAGTGTGGAAGGGATTGCGGATTTATAAACTTACTGTTCGGCGGCAGCGCGGGGTCCATATGCAGCTACTGGGCCTAGAAAGGCACCAAATAGAAGCACCAGATGAAGCCCAAGGTGCTTCATTTTGTTCAAATTTTGAAATAAAAGGAGTGGAATGATTGAATATACAATTGACGATATATTGAACGAGTGACAATGGTAGGAAACGAGGAAAGCCTTTTCGTGTGAGAAAAAAGCTCTGCGCATGAGATAAATCTTTCAAATAGGTAGTGGTATGACATTCTTATGCAAGTTAGCATGTTCAAAGGCAATGCGGCAAGAACCAGCGTTATTCCTATTAATTTGCAAAAAGTTTCTTAGACTGGCCCCCAAAACTTGAAATGATACTAAGTGGGGAGTTAAAATTTCGGAGGATTCCATAGCCCACCTGGGCAGAGGTATTTCTAATGTTCAGGATCAGGATCGAACAAGGTCTCTTTAGTGCCCTTGCTAAGGGTCCAGGACGGCATGATTTCCCCGCTAGGACGACTTGGATCAAGGCCCGGTCTATAGTCATATTCGGGTACCTACAGAGTATAATATATAGGCGCCTAGTCATATTAAACGAGTTAGGACTGTGGCTTTGCTGTTCTCTTGTAAGTGCATAAAACGTATTAATTCATGCAAGCCATTACACAAGCCTTGACAAGCCTTATTGAGGATGCCGATCTAGACTGGCCCGATCTTGGCATCGTCTTGGCAGGGACTCGTGCAGCCCCAGGGACACAACCCCTGTGTGGATCATGAAGGGTCGCTTGGGGCCAAACTTCGCCGATCAGGGTTCATTTTGGGCGTTTAATGCGAAGATCGGCACTGCCATTAGAAAAGGCTTCGCAGCGAGTGGAAACGGAGAGAAAAAATCACTCATACCTGCACTATGGATCTCAATATACTCGGTGAGTTACGCTGAAGAGACGGGATTTGGATCAGGCTCCGAGCCGAGATTGTGTCCACAAATATAGGACATCCTTGGGCAATTTCGGGGTACTCATACTGTATAGGGTATTTTTTGGCCCCAATGGAGCCCCCGAAACTTCAAGATGGATTCCAAGTATCAAAAAGTAATTAGCGTAGGACAATGTTCTTTCGTATGAATGAAGACTGATCCAGTTTGAAGCTAGGGCGGCAGCTTGCAATTCTCTTATATGTAGACAAGCCTCTACGTTCCTCGAGATTTCGTTCTACACTGCATTCTCTCCAATTTCAGGCATCCTCACTCTCACTCTTTTGAATGTCTACCTCTCTCTTTTCTTAATTTCTTTAATCCGAATATTCCCTCTCTCGTTCAAATTCTTCTTCCTTTTGATTTGATTGCCTTGCAACTGCATTTTGCGACCATGCTGCTGCCCAAAGGCACGCCGGCCATAGGCTTGGCAATAGTGTGTCTTGCTCCCTTGGCAAATGCCTTTCAATCTGCATTGCACGCGTGTCCGGCTCCCTGCAATGGGGATTCCGGGGACTGGACTGTCTACTCATCAGTAGACCGTCTTCGATCTTGCCCGGAGCCTATGCTGTTAGACATGTCTCTTTACATGGACCTTGAGTCGATGAATGGATATAGCAAACTGTTTGTGTGCACTCCGAACAGTACAGACAGCGGTGCCAGCACTACGATTTCCTCTCCATCCCGTCAGCCTTCCATGGAAAGCCACCACGGCATCTCCCATAAACGCTTCCACCACAGAGACACTGCTTCTTCCTGTATATCGGGTGAGCAGAAGATCATCTCAATGAAGTTGAACACGGATGCGGCTGCTAGTTCCACCTCCGCTAGTGACCTCACAGCCATCCTCAAACACACTCAGGATCACTTCGTCGACATCGCTCACTGCGATGCTACCAGTGTATTTGGATACTATAATGGGGCAGCAGTGGGTTTGTATTTTGGATCGGCTATTGACAATGTCAAGAGTATATCATCGGTGCTTGACCATTTGAGACAGAGGATTTCAGATGGCCAGGGTGTCAAGAACATGGTCGTGCAGCGCTGCAGTGATGTTCCCAACGCAGACTACATTATTGGTGTCGCAGTCGACACCACTGGAGACTTGGCTTCTGTGCAAAAGTCCGTTGCTTCATGGAATACTGGCCAATGCGCTCACACTACTGGGACCAGCACTACCATTGAGGGCGTTCCCATTCTTGAAAAATCTATGGGATCTGCTATTAGCAGCAATACTACGATTGGCGATCAACATTTGTCTAAACGCGGTGATTGCAAGACGGTTAGCGTGGTTGGAGGAGACGGTTGTGGATCACTGGCAAAGAAGTGTGGTATTTCTGCAACTGACTTCAATAAATACAACACAGACAAGGATTTGTGCTCTACTCTCTTCGCGGGTCAACGCGTATGCTGTTCTGCCGGGACTCTCCCGGATATCACCCCGAAGGAAAACAAGGACGGATCCTGTGTCTCCTACAAGATCAAGCGAGATGATCACTGTAAGACCATCGCAGCTTCGTATGGACTGCAGCCTTCAGACATCAGCGACTTCAACGATGGGACCACCTGGGGCTGGTTTGGATGTAACGATCTTCAGATCGGAAGCTATATCTGCTTAAGCAAGGGTGACCCCCCAATGCCTGCGCCGGTCTCCAATGCGCAGTGTGGTCCTCTTGTATCCGGAACAAAGAGGCCAACCAATGGAACAGCACTTGCCGATCTCAATCCGTGTCCACTGAACTCCTGCTGCGACATCTGGGGCCAGTGCGGTATTACTCCCGAATACTGCACGAACGTGACAGGCGCGACAGGAAACCCAGGCACAGCGCCGAAAAAGCAAAATGGTTGTATCTCTAATTGTGGTACAAAGATCGAGAAAAGCAACTATCCCCCAGCCGACCAGTACAGGGTTGGGTACTATGAGTCCTGGAACTTTGACCGACCCTGTCTAAACCTTCGTGCAGGCCACATGGATCTCACGGATTACACCCATGTCCATTGGGGCTTTGCATCCATTACTGATGACTTCAACGTCACCATCAATGATACTTATAAACAGTGGGACAGCTTCACAAATCTGGTGCAGGTCAAGAAGATTGTATCTTTCGGTGGTTGGGGTTATTCTACCAGCCCTTCAACTTATGACAAGCTTCGCGAGGCAATGGATCCGAAAAACATGGATATATTTATCGACAACATTTTTAACTTTATTGAAACAAATGGTTTGGATGGTGTCGACTTTGATTGGGAGTACCCCGGGGTGAGTGCATCCATATTGTCTTGGTTATCCGATTCATATGCTAAAGGCCTTTTTGGCAGGCTCAAGATATTCCCGGTATTCCTAAAGGGCTCTCGACTGATGGTACCAATTACCTGAACTTCCTCAAAAAGATGAAGCTCAACTTCCCTTTTGAAAAAACTGTCTCAATCGCGGCACCAGCTTCGTATTGGTATTTGAAGAATTTCCCCATCGGCGAGATGGCTAAAACCTTGGACTACATTGTTTATATGACGTACGATCTACACGGCAAGTACTCCCATTAATTATGCGCATCTCAATTTTGATTACTGACATCTGTTTTGAATTTTCAGGTCAATGGGATTATGGTAAAGCATGGACCCAGGATGGATGTCCGGATGGAAATTGTCTCCGCAGTCAAGGTAAGAGCTTTTCTACCTTGACCCCTCAAACATCATGGATACCGAACACCTGATACTAACGCGAATACAAAGTCAACCTGACTGAGACGGAATACGCTTTGGCAATGAGTATGTGACTCCCATTACTTATACATATCCCCTCGGGCCTCATTCTTACACTTTTGTTTAGTTACCAAAGCTGGCGTCGACTCAACCAAGATCATGGTTGGAATTCCAAGCTATGGCCGCTCTTTTGGCATGGCAAGTGCAGACTGCACTGGACCCGACTGCCACTACACCGGAACCAAGGATCATTCTACTGCCCAGGAAGGCGAATGCACAAGGACTGCAGGGATCATCGCTCAGGCAGAAATCAATCGAATCCTCAATCTTGATGAGCAGGATAAAACTTGGTATGACCAGGGATCCGGCTCGAATATCATTGTGTGGAACAACACATGGGCCGCGTTCATGGATGGCGACACCTTGTCTAGTCGCAAGAGCTACTATGAAAGTTTCAACTTTGGTGGGACTATCGACTGGGCGATTGACTTGAAGATGTTCACTGGCGACGACGGAGATCCCAGTGGTCAATGGGAGGATCCTCCTGTTCCCAAGCTGTCCGCGTGCACAGAAACATTCGATTCTTTGGAGGCCCTTGAAGATGCTGCCGATTCAATTCCGGAGCACTGTACTACGCAATACGTCGTGCAAACACTGTCAGACTTGTTGGGCGATGCAATGAGCAACTACACTGATCTAATGAATGACGGCTACGACGCCAAATTCAAGATTTACGCCGACAGTGTCGCAAGTAACGCAGGCGCATCGGTCCACGACTATGTCTACGAGAATGGCAACAAGTACTTCACCTGCAAGGTGGATGAATATCTGATGTGCTGTGACGAGTGCAGCTCTGAAGCCTACAATTGTGATATGTGTTCCAAGACCATGAAATGCTACAGGACCTGTGATAGTCTCGGTTGCGAATCTAGCCACAGTTTTGGGGACCGAATCCCGAATCGCGAGTGGGAGACACTTTCTGAGCCATGTCCACCAGACTACTCGGAACGGTTCACAAAGGATGATGATCACAACGAGAGTGTGCACTGGACATTGGAGGACGACAAAGCCGACCAATTCTGGGCTGACCTTTACACAAATACTGGCGTCAATAAGTCCTACGTTGAATTCGGGACCTACACCCGTGAGCAGGATTGCAATGGCGATGTCAAGAGTGATGACGACTGTTGGAAAACCGGTTACGATTTCAATATCCCTAAGGCCACCGGATATGATGCGGATGATGTTGACAACCCCAAAGATACAGCCAAGAAAGGTCTTGCTCGATCCGGAAACATGCAACCGCAGATCAAGAGTTTGCTGCTTGAAATGAATACCGATAGTTTCCTTGGGAGTGGTGCGGATGTCATTGATTCCATCTCAGTTCCTATCTTGATGATCGTCTCCGCAGTTCAAGAGATGTCCAAGGTGGAGACTATTGCTGATAAGATTAGCGCTGAGGAGAAGAAGATGAAAGAAGAGGAGATTATTGGTGGCTTCATTGCCGCGATTCTGTTCTTGGTCCCTGTTGCCGGTGAAGTCCTAGGCACGATCGAGGGATTAGCTGATATTGCTACTGTGCTCAGCATCGCTGGAACTGCTGCTGATGTTGGTCTGAGCGTTGCTGATATCGTCAAGCACCCCCATAATGCTGCTCTGGATATCATGAATATTGTCTTCGACGCTGGCGCGTTGACTTCGTTGTCTAAGGTCTCCAAGGCAGCTAAGCTCCGCCGTGATATGAAGGAGGCTGATGTTGCCAAGCTTGGAACAAAGGTGTCGGATGGTCTAAAAACTATCGAAAAGGTGACTGGAAAGTGTGTTTCGTGAGTGAGTGTTCGGATCAGCGACTGCAGACTCAGAAAAGAGGTGTCATTGTCTTGATATAAGCGACATCTTGAATGGTCCCCAAATTATGATGTATGGCAGTAGATGAGTTTTTTACTGTCAGGCTGTAAACCTAATAGAAGTTTCGACTTGTGCAATCTGATATAATTATCCCTATTGAAGCTCCAGTGGCTTGGTTGTCAAGTTGGCAACTTTTTGGTTATAATGTGCAAGCTCGATTTAAGTTGGATCGACTTGTTAATTCTGTCTCCCAAGAAAATTTCAATAATTCTACGGTTCACCGTGATCTCGCAGGTCGATTTATATAGAAAAACCATAGCAAATGCAATATGTTCAAAAGTCCAAACTCCTACATCATGCATTCATAGCAGCAATTTTACATGCATTGTCATATCAGTCCAACCGTGGTATCATCGCAGCAAAGAATGGAGTATATGTACGGGTCACAAATAATAACAAATAAGCAAACAAAGCACTGAAAAAGCAGGTCTTGTCAAAGGGGTGGTGGCACTCAGATCATAGATCCTAGTGACGTTTATATTTCTAAAACGAAAATTAGCCTCCAACTCCAGTCCACAAATGATTTAATGGCATAACTTACATCTTCCATTCTGCGTCTGTTGCTTGGATCCAACGAATTGCCCGCGCCAAGAAGTGTCTGTCCCACTGCTTTGGAGACACCGATCGCAGGTCGAAGAATGACGGTCGGTGCACGCTTCCAGACGGCTTTGGCTGCTGCCTTGGCGCTACCACTCTCAACTACCTCCCCAGGCACGGCGACGATAGCGTCACGGGCCAGGAGAAGATCGCGTTCAAGGCCACGGAAAGCGCCTCGTAGACCCTGGACTACGCCGATTGGTTGGTCGGCGTAGAGAGAGATCTTCTTTGCCTCCTCTTCGTCTTCGGGTCCTTCCTCGGCAGAAGGGGCAGTGGGGGACGTCAGCAGATCTTCTGCGCCCTGGAGGACTGTCTGGGTACCGATGGCAAGTTTGGCACCCAGTTTCACAAGCTCGTTAGATGTGGTTTTGGCGAATGCTAATGCTCCTTTCTGAATACTGCGTACGATGCGCCCGTCTTTTCGGTATTCGCGCATCGGAACAACGACGAGGTCTTTGACGCCACCGCCTACATTGACTAAAGAGCGGATAGGGGCGAGGCCTGCGAGGACACCGGGTAGCTGGTTGCGCTTGACATCCGGCATCCAAATGTCATTCAAGGTGTTGCCTAGGCGGTCAAAACCGGACACGCCGTAGATTATGACATGTCGTAGAACCATATCGGCTCCATCGAGTACGAAAAAGTTCATGAATTCGGTCGTGCGCCCGGATCGGAGTCCGGCGTAGTCAACTCTTTTCGGCTTGAAATCAAGCTTGACTTGAACAGCATTAACCTCCACTCGTTGCAAAAATGGTATGTCTCCTGGGGTATTTGAGGGTTCGACGGATTCATCTCTAAACTCGAAAAATCGACTCATAAACTCCAAAGCATCCTGGTCGACAATTAAACGAATTGGTAGAACTGTGGCCTGCAAAGGTGTTAGAAATGGGTTAAATCCAGCTGTAACAAAGCTTACCTTTAGAACGATTTCAGATGCTGCAAGTTCTGGAACGGGCTTCACGGTGAGTATTTCCAAATGGATCATACTAGTTCCGCTTTCCCTTTCTCCGGCCTCATGCATGTAAGTCGCGAATTTCTTCCACGTAGAGGTAGGTACATGATCAAAAACCTCCAAATCTCGGACCCGCACGTCTAAAGAGCTTTGTGTCTCATCGGAGCCTGGTGGGAATACTACCAAGTCAGCACAGACACCCTTCAGCTCGAACGTCATCTTGTGTTGTTTGCTTCGGTTTAACCGCAGCTTCTTCTCCCTCTCTAAGGTGGGTCGAGTAGCCCCAGTAACCGTAGTGGTAGTAGCATAGCTTCCGGTTTCACTTGCGAGATCGTTGATATCACGATTGATCTCACGGTGGAGTTCTCGTGGGTCCTTATTTGCAGGAATGCCAATATAGATGGAGTTGAACAGGAAGTCACCAATGACAGATTCTTCTTCATCCTCGGCATCTGGTGACATCCGAGAAGCTCGTGCTCGTCGTTCAGTTGCTTTTGTTTCCACTTCCTTGACTGCTTTAGAGATAGTGTCTCGGGTTCGTTGCCAGTCATAGCCATCAAACAGATTCCAGATGACATGCATGTCTCGTACTCTCACACGAAGAGGACTGCGCTGAAGCTTTTGGTCATTGGACAGACCATAGGTATTGTGGGTTGAGTCCCAACGATGTGCTGTGCCGCCAACAGCAGACTGCTTGGCAAAATGGTCTTCCTGGAAATCCAACTCCGTTATGCTGGACGAAATTTGATACTGAGAGTGGAAGCTGTCAAGGAGGTCATTGGCATCGAACGCCCCAGGACTCCCAGCTCCCTTCTGTCTGCCAGGGTAGAAATCACTGACGTATTCAAGTTCATCGCTCAATTGACCCTCTAAATCAGTATCATCGAGGCCAACTTCCGTCTCGCTATGCAACTCAGTTGGCAAGCTATCGTCCGCTGAAAATGCGTCTCCTGTAAATGAAGCGAGCATATCTTGGAGTGGCATGACCTCCGTTCTATATTTGGCAGTGACGCTCGGTGGAGTAGGAGGCTGAAGCCCGTTGAGAATGGCAATGAGAGTTTGCGTCGAATCAGCACATGTATCAAGTATCAAAAGATCGTCCCTCAGCTCAACGTCTAGAGACTTCGTTCCGTCTGTTGCAAGTTGCATCACTTTCACAACCGCTGTCGCAGAGGAGATAGTTGTTACTGGAACATAACCCTCATCGATGTATGTCTGGACCTGATTGCTCTGGATGACAGCCGATCGGCGTTGGTGGAGATTATCCGTCTGGCCCGCATTCGAAACATCGTCAATAATCATAACGGACGCTTTCCTGATCTCAAGCAAAGCTTCCGTCGATTCTTGACTATGCATTGTGCCACTGAATTTCGAGTTGGAAAGGACGACAAGCCCTTTGGCTGCAGAATTGCGTGGGTTCAGCCCAAGGACGCAGTCTCTAAATTCCACTGCAAGTTTTGTTGCCTTGGTCGACGCTTTAGATGTGCTTGATTGTGGCGGAGAAAGACTTTGAAGTTTTGTTGATCGAGTGGACTGCTCGGCAAGATTTGCGATCGAGTTTGCCATCTCGCTGGCCAAGTCTCCACCTGTGCTGTCGCGACCAAGTCCGAGGAATGCCATGACCGATGGGATTGTATACTCGACACGCAGATGATGTAACTTGATTTTAAAGGTAGGATCCATTTCATCGGGGATGAACCGAGCCATGAGAACGGGAAGTTGTGGCTGAATCGAAGTCTGATTCTTGCTGGGCAGTAATGCGTCGCCCGCAAGCTCTTCATCATCGTTTCTAATGAGTCTCATGGCGCCAATCTGAATAGCAGTGAGAGACGGCATGCTGATCCAGGCAGCCTCAAGGTTGGCAAGATGAGCGTTGATATACCCGACATCTCCCCCCACATGAACTTGGAAGTCAAATTCGCGAATCAGAGACAGGGTTAGAATCCCCGGCCGATCATCTTCTGGTAGGTATTTCGTTACTGTGGATAGTCGACCAACCTCTGACATAAGAGATGACAGAGGGGCCAGATCATCGATGCTAGAGACAGTCGTCTTCATTCCGCCTATTGTTGTGCGGAGTACGGAGCCTTGTCGCCTTTGCCGAAGGAGCGTATCCAACATGATATCATCCTCATCATCATACTTGTCTTGAGATGGAGTGATAAGAGTTAAGAGGCGATCAAGGTCAACTTCTTTGGGTGCAAAAAGGAACTCGACCCGAATATTGCTCAGGATCACTTTAGCCGGGGCATCAGAGAGGTCATCGAGAGGATGCGGCCCGGTCAATTGTGCTTTGTCAATTTGGGCGCCTATTCCCTCAAATCTGCTAACAATCTTGACTGCAGTTGTGCTAAGGTTTAGGTAATGCGTCTCCCCAGTCAGATCTAAAACAATGCCACCGAGTCGTGCATTGATCTTCATCGGGGTAGATGACTGCTGTTCTTTGTCGGGCACATGGCTTGGCATCTCGAAATGAACACCGCGTGGACGTTTCTTCGGAGGCTTGTGACCCCCTTTCATTGTAGATGTCGACGATATGGAGCTTCCCAATTCAAGAATGGTGCTCAATCCACCCATCCAGCCTAAAACTTCTTCTAGGCGCTGAACATTGAGGTTGAGATAAACAGGAAGGGTAGATACGTCAATTTTAACGGTGTCAGCCAATTTCAACATTGAGAAGGAGATATCGCCTTGAGAAGTAGTCGCGAGATCTCTGGTGGATTCGCGCATTCTCAAAGACTCATTGAACGTGACCAGATCCTCAGAGGCGAATCCGAAGCTGAACTTGAAAATAACAAGGTGGAAGTTGTTTTGCTTGTCATCAGCTGACAGACTTGCTCTTAGCCCAGATGCGGTAATTTGAAGAACAATCTCCTCCATATTGGTAAATGGCTGCGGCAGAGAAGAGAGATCATTGTCGGTTGAATAAGGGTGCCCTGGCACATGCTCAATAAATTTGACGGAAATTTTGTGAATAATCAAATTCAAGGGCACTTGCGGAGAGGATCGATCAGCTGCATCCGGCTCTAGGGGCTGGTCTTTGTCTACTGCATCGACTGCATGAGATATTCTCTGAAATGCCTTGATCAAAAGCCAACCAGTGGCTATATCAAAGTGAGTGGTGACTGAAAAGACTTCAACTTCCAGCTTATGAAGTTGATCATCAGTACTCGTGTGTGCCTGATCAAAGCGATCTGTCTCTGCAGAGGGGCGAGATTCGAGTGGCGTCTTTTGAAATCTAGTCGAAGCATAGGTCTTGGAAGCAAACATGCTCTCTTCCACACCATATGCAAGGTCCTTTGAGTCACTGTTCGTGCTTTCGAAAGATGCCCGAGTTGGTGTATGGTCACCTGCCTCTTTTTCGCCTTCAGCAGCTGGCAACCAAATAAAAGCTTTGTCAATGCCGAAAATAAGCTTTTTCATCTCACTGACCCTATGCAAGACAGGTGAAGATGCGGTAGAATCTCTGTCAGGCAGTCTGGATTGTGATCGTGTCTGATCTTCAACGGATCGCTGTTCACCAAAGTGAGAATCTGATGGAACGGTCAATCTGGGTGTGGATGCCATTGTCTCATCATTTAAATCTTGGCTAGCATCAACACTGTCGTTTCGCTTGTTGTCTGAACTTCGCATGGAGCTGTGCTTAGAATGTTCTCCGGTATCAAACGAGTCCCAGGCGCCCGGCATATTTGGCATAAAACTCTGCGCTGGGCCTTGGCTCATGGCACTCATATATAAACTCTGTGCTTCATCATGAGAGAAGTATTTGGATTCGAGAAGTTCTGCATCGGGAGTTGCTGCTTCTGAGACTGCATCTCCAGATTCAGAGGATGATGCAGATATTTGAGAGATATGTTGTGACGTATCCGCTTGCTCTTCGGTTCTTTCGTCCAAATGAGAAGGCCACTTTGTCGACCGAGTCATGTCACTTGCCATAAATTCATGTTGACTGGCCTGTGGTGAACTGGATACTTCATATCTCTGTGGACTCTCTGGATGCATGGAGGGCTGCTCAGGTTCGAAATCCTCATGCTCAGTTGCCTCTTCATTCGCATTGAAGGAATGATTATGAAGAAGTGAGCTTCTGGGGGACTCATTTATTTGGCGATCGGAATGTCTCAATTCGGGTGACTCCGCATCAAAGTCGTCAAACTGAGCGTCGATAACTGAATCCAAATATCCGGGATTATCTTGAAATGGATCATTATTTCCAAAAACCTGAGAGTCGTCGGAGTAGTGGTCAAACCGATGATCTGCCTCGGAATCTGCGTCTGAGAAACGTCCGTCGTGAGAAAACGCAGCCGAGCTTTCCAATTCATTATCGGCAATGCTAGCACGACTTAATGCGGGCGGTGGTTCAAATATTGTGGATCGCGTCATAGCAAGCGCTGATTCTGAGCCAGGGGAATCTAATAGAGGCGAGGGTGCTCTGCTTGATGTCTGGCTCTCCTTTGACCGCATTGTGGTTGCCGGAGAGGCAGGTGCGGTGAAACGCGAATAGTTTGCAAACACCACTGGATCCGATACGAGACTAACGCTGATATTGGTAAGCGATATCAGCCGCTTCCCCTCTCGAAGGGGTAGGGGATCATCTGAGTTTGCGGTGAATCCGGAAACCCCATGGACATCAATCTCCCCCACACTCAGAAGACCCGCGACAAGATCCGGCTTGTCCTCTGGCTGTCTTTTAGAGGGTGCATCCTGCTTCAGCTCCATATCCAGACGCACAGAAACATCTTTGATTTTCAGCTGCAACCGATCTGCCACGCCTTTCAAGAAGCCCGCGACAAAGCTCGGTAATGAAAGTGTATCGCTCCCAAGTCCGAGCTCCTCCTCTTCCTCTTCCTCGGAGGAGCCTCGTTGGAAAACATGGGATTGTGATGAAAGAGCAGCTTGAAGCTCCTCCTTTTCTTCCTTGGGCTCGGCTTCCAGGAATGACTCGGCAAGATGCGATGGTGTCGGTAAAATCTGGTCCTCTCCAGATCCATGTGCCCCCAGGGCAGACGAGAACTGAGTTCTTGATTTTTCATGCCTCCCTGTTGGTAGTTCATCCGGCAAGCAGCGTAGGTGCACATTAATGCCGTTAACCTCGCATATTATCCCACTACTGTAGATATCTGCCGGGACGGTTATCCTGAGAAACTGTATCCGGGCACTGAGGAGTTCGCATGTAGGAGGAAGGTTGAGCAGCGTGGCTAATTTCTATTGACAGGTCCGGTATGTGAGCAATCAATGTTCTGATAGTATGCCAGGGGTGATCGACCGCCCCGCATCCCCAAGGTAGTGTTTCCTACTCACCTCCAACTTCAAACCTATATCTCGCAACTCCACGGTACTCCGCTGTCCCCAGCGAATCCCCAGATTATCAAGGTCCAAGGCCTCGGTATCAACGAGGCCCAGGCGGGACAAGGCATACTTAAGCAGTCGCTTTTGAAAGAACGAGGGTAAGAAGTACGCCATTTTTGAGAGCGCAGGGTCGCTCAGTTATGCAAGGATAGATATCATCGAGAAGAGAGCATTATAAGCGATAGAAGAAAGGATGGGGTCTCCCCGAGGGAGTTGCAGAGTAGAGAGTTAAATGACGTGCGGAGTGGGAGTGGGCAGCTGATAAAGGCGATAAGTGATCGGCCCAGTCAGGCGGCTCCACAACTCAATAGTACGTGTAAACAAGATAATGGTTCCAACTGTCTGAATTGCTGCATTTGCCCCGCTCGCTTGAGCCCGTATCATTTATTTACAGTAGCATATTCTATCGGTAAACTTCGGGATCGACACTCTTTCAATGAGAGGCGTGCTTAGGCGCCTTGGTGCCTGGCCAGTGACATGATGACTAATCTAGTGCCTAAAGCACCAAAGTACCCCAGATTCTTGTTTACTGCGGTCATTCAACAACCATCTTCAGGTGAGCAGACATACCTGGACATGACTGTGCTTGCGCCCCCTATGTCTGTTATTCCTTTTGGTGAATGATGGTTATCCATACCATTCACTTCAAGGATCCGTTTGGGCACAGATTTAGTCGCGTATAGTCCACGGGCCACTGTTCTGTCGATAAATTTGTGGATAGCGCCTGCATTTATCGATCCTTGCTCATGTATTTTATCCGTCCATTAGACGTCTTGTCATCTTCCCGTCGATAGCAAATACGAACTTTGAACCGTTCATGCAGCCAAAATTATGCGCGGGGCTTTGAGCGGGCGAGGTCCTCAGCTTATTAGCTGTGACCTCGGGAGCGGTCACATATATCAGCAACAATGCTTACTGATAATAGAGCTTGAGCCGACTTTATTCCAAGGTCCATTCTTTCTTCTCCAATACTGTGACGAGCAAAGACCCAGAGCGCTGCGCTTTGCATATCACGAACTCAGAAAATTCGCTTGACGGATTGAAAAAGGACTTACGGTAGGACAAGGCAACCATGGAACAGCTTCAAAGGCAGGTAAAACATCCCGTTACTTACGAAGAAGCATGCGTTTATTTTTTGACCCCACATACACGAAGAGACTAATAGCTGTTTTCTGGCCAGAAGCTCGATCGGGAGACTGGAGCAGTTGCGTGCGAGAAGATTTCAATACTTTACAAAAAAAAGCCAAGGATGTATTTGATACAATTATGTATAAGGGTTCCAGGGTAGCAGTGACGCAGAAAAGTCGTAATCTTGAATGATGTGTTGTTATTCGCTGGTGCAAGCTTGACATTCATCCTTTCGTAGAAACTTTTCTACAACTGTTGTAAATAGTCTAATTTCAATCATCCTCGTCAAACTCCGCAAACTCCATTACGACCCACTCGCAGAACTTCTCAAAGTCCGAGTGCCATTCTCGCAAACGGGCAGCCTTGATTCCCTCGCCCAAAATTCCCTCTCCAACCTCGGCCTTCCACTCCGCTGTCGTTTGATCCTCGTAGCAGCTCCAACGGATGGAATTTTGTACCATCATTGCGAGTCCCGCAAGATCGACATTCTCGAGACCTTGCATGACCTGCCAAAAGTCATGCGTTAGGCCATTCTTTCCGTGGCCAAGGATAGCCGGATCATCGTTGCATAGGGAGACAGGGACGCCCCGGGATAGCATGGCCGGTAAGGGATGAGACTTTATGGAGCTCGTAAGTCGGAGAATTTCATTAGAAATTGGGCAACACTCCACTAAGATCTTTTTTTCTTTGATCAGGTCAATGAGCAGCGGGTGTTTATATAAGGAGAATCCATGGCCAATTCTCCTTGTTCCCAACAGGACCGCATCAAAAAGGTTTTTATCCGTTGCATCGCCGTCTCCCAGGGTTTCACCAGCATGGAAAAAGAATGGAATGTCTTCTCCTTCCTCGGCACATCGTTTTTTGAACCAGAATAGCAGCGGTACCAAGTCCACAAGGGGCCTGCCGGAGTCTTCTTGGCCGACTAAATCATATCCACAGATCACATCCGGGAAAGACTGCTTCATGGCGATACATGTCTTCATGTCCTCAACGATATCGGCGTTGGAAAAAATTCGCAAACTGCACCAGATGATTCGGGCTTCGTAGAAATTCTTTCCCGCTTCAGATTCCTTAAATCGATTCATCTCATCCTCAAACACTCTGAAGAACTCTTCGTGGTTCGTTTCGGGGTCCTCACTCCCTTCCTTCCTGAACGGGATACGCAATACGATACGGAACTCGACGTATCGAATTCCATCTGCCGCAAGTTGTCCCAACATGCGACGCAGACATGCTCGGAAAATTGGCTCATACATCAGGATTGTGTTGATAACCCCAAATGATCGCTTGAAGATGGCCCAAATGGCATCAACGCCATGATAGTGCTTATATGAGTGCTCCGGCATTATCATGCATCGACTTTTGACCCATTCCCGGAATCCCGCCTCCCCGCCATTGGGGAATGAAGACGCGGCGGCCTGGATGGGAATAAGAGTTGAAGCTTCATACTGCTCCGACCAAATGGCAGGCTTATCAGTGGTCGTCTCCGATTTGGATACGAACTGGAATCCGAAAGGGGCGGTGTCGTAGTCTTGCGGAGTAATCAGGGGAGCTGGTGCGGAGATGTGCATGCCCGGTGTTGAGAACGCCTGATCAACTAAGAAGTCGATGTCGAACATCGCATCCATATGAGCGTGCAGGAGTGACCCCTTGGGCATCTTCTCTACAATTTTCCACAAGTTGGTCTTTTCCATGCGGCCTTTGGCGTGGTGGAACATCACTCCTGGGTAAAGTATCTCGTCGGATTCGTGGGCCGTCGCATCGTCTAGTCCCTGTGTCCATACCTCGTTCTGCTCACGTGCCCGGATCTGAGAGACAATTTTGCACGCCTTTGCAGCAATGGGAGACAAAGTCCTCCGAAAGGTTGCGTCTGGAAGCTAGTTAGAATGGCTTCTCTTGACTGTACAGTTTCATCATACCGTGGCGTCTTTTCTGCTCCTCTGCAATAAGCGCATTGCGTCCCTTCAAGTATTGTTGAATGAATGGGTCCTCGACCTGAGGGACCCCTTCTTCCAGCTCCCAGTCTTTATTATCACTTGCCATGGCTTTGGAGTATGGGCAAGTATTAGATGGCAAATATTTGTTGTTGGTATTGAGCACCGAAGCAAGAGAAGTGGTTGAAGAGGGGTGGCCGACCCCACATACCGCTTCCGGCCGATGATAAGCTCCCGCGACAGGACTGCAACACTATTCATGATCCAATCTGTGATGTTTGTGTATACTGCAATTAGGGTAGCTTTAATTCAAGATCCATACCTATTGATGTTCATACCCATAAGCTCTGCAGATTGCTTCATGAAGATCTAGATTGGTTTCACATTGCTTGTACCCCCACGAACACCTTTTAACTTGGAGTACTGGAAGGAACATATTATACAGAGCATATAAGTAACGTATTGGATGATTTTATTGCATGATCATAAAGGTTCGGAATGTGTCCGATCGGTTTGCCTAGTGGGCCAGATCTGTACCAAAAAGGGACTTCCTCCGTGTTCAACCATCGGTAACCTCCGCCAAGCCTATCCTCTCTTTTTTTTTTTTTTTTTTTTTTTACCTTCTCGAATTGCAGACAATAATAGCACAATGATGCTCTATTAATATCTGTAGAAAGATTAAGCGGATATTGAATGAATCATTGTTGGCATGTAGGATAGCTGTAGGGTTTTTCCTGGAGGCAAAACATGCTTCTAGAGAGCCAAGCCTTGACCGTTTCGCGTTTCACAGATGGAATCGATCCACACATACCACACTGGTCATCACAATTGGAAGATCCTTGTGCTTACCAGGCCAGTAATCCATGGACATACTTTGGTACCTGCCTAGGCTTCTAGAAAAAATAGAGAAGCAAAAACTTCAGAGCACACGACCTACAGGCAAACTTTGATGTTCTCCACTTGCCGTTCCTCGGTGCGGAGATTCCAAGCCCTTATTAGGGTATAAGGGTCGCCAATCATTCAACTGTTCAGGACCAAAGTGGCAAGAAAATGGGTCTTTGGACCGAGAAAGCGCGCTCAAGCGCTTTCATTTGTCAATAGCTCCAATATGGTTACATGGGACCCTCTCAAGTGTGGCCCAGTCTGCAAGGTATTGGTAGGAATAAAGATTCGCCCTGATGCTAGCAAACCACCAAGTGAAAGGATTTAAAATTTCTTTATCAAATAACTTCTGTCGGTTCTTTTTTATCAATTCCCCGCACAAAAATTCTGACAAAATTTAAAAACCCGACTACCCCAATTGGGAATTCTTGAAGACTGTCATTGAGCTTTGCTTCCTCAAGACCCAGCTTTATATCCCCTTCCCCCCACAGATCCATTCAAGAAAATTCTCGGTGCTGGTCTGCAACGCAGATCTTTTCTATCAAGGATCTCAAGGTCAATTGTGCTCGCCATTGTTGTTTGTTCGATCGGCAAACAGGAAGTGGAATGAGCTTCTGATATATCGGGCCAAGCTCCAGCCAACGAAGAAAAGGAATTTTTCTCAGCATTCACTTCCCGTCGATACTATGGCCAACGGGTCTGAGGTCAACGGTTCAGAGATGGTCAACCAGGGCTCTCACAGTGTTGATCCTGTGCTACAGCCAGAGCACCAACACCAGCACGCACACCATCACCACACGGTCTTCGCTGAGCAAGGACACCAGGAGGACGTGATTTACTCCCACGACGCGTCAATGGAGAAAGGCATCGTACCCGAGCCAAGTGCCTTGGACTACACCATCAAAAGCTTAAGTCAAAGCGAGGACGAGGAAGCTGGAGACTCGCAGCCTACGGCACGAGCATGGCACCGACGCATCACCAAACACTGGCGCCCAATTGCGCATGCCATCGTCTGGCTGCTGTTCACCGGGTGAGTGGATGCTTAAATCATTAACTAGTACCATTACTCCTCAGATACTTATGCTCGTGATAGCTGGTGGATCGCCAGCCTGGTTCTACATCGCCATGATAAGAACTGGATTATTCCCTTTTTGCTCTACCTCGCCATCACGTTGCGCATAATCTTCTTCTACGTGCCCATCTCAATCATCACGAAGCCCATGTACTTCATCTGGGCTCGTACAGCACGACCCATTGTCGCCATCATCCCCGAGAAACTAAGATTGCCAGCCGGTGCCCTTGTGACCATCGGGACAATCTTAATTGGTTCATTCGCGTCTCCCACCAGCGCTTCGAATAACCGTGCAGACCGTGCAGTCAGTCTATTCGGTCTAGCCGTCTTCCTGGCTCTCCTATATGCTACCTCGCGAAACCGCAAGAAGATCGTATGGCACACTGTTATCGTGGGCATGCTCGTTCAATTCCTCATCGCACTCTTCGTGCTGCGCAGCGGAGCGGGTTACGACATCTTCAATTTCGTCGCTACGCTCGCCCGTGATCTGTTAGGCTTCGCCTCGGATGGAGTCATCTTTCTCACAGCCAAAGACTTCTATAACATGACTTCCCCTATCGATCCGAGTGCCTGGTTCCTTGTCAGTACCATCCCGGCAATCATCTTCTTCGTCTCCGTCGTCCAACTATTCTACTATATCGGTGTTCTTCAATGGTTTGTCGTCAAATTTGCCAAGTTCTTCTTCTGGACTATGCGTGTCTCTGGTGCCGAGGCTGTCGTCGCTGCTGCATCCCCATTCATCGGCCAGGGTGAATCAGCTATGCTGATCCGTCCTTTCGTCCCACATCTCACAATGGCTGAGTTGCACCAGGTTATGACATCCGGCTTCGCGACTATCGCGGGTAGTGTGCTCATCGCATACATTGCTATGGGCGTTAGCTCCCAGGCCCTCGTCTCATCTTGTGTCATGAGTATTCCCGCTTCACTTGCTTGTTCGAAGCTGCGCTGGCCCGAAGAGGAAGAGAGCTTGACAACGGGCCAAGTTGTCGTGCCCGATACCGAGGAACACAAGGCTTCGAATGCACTGCACGCTTTCTCTACTGGTGCCTGGCTTGGTCTTAAGATCGCTGCTATGATGGGTGCTACTCTTCTTTGTATTATCTCCCTCATCGGTCTGGCTAACGGCCTTTTGACATGGTGGGGTCGGTACTTGAACATCGATAACCCGCCTTTGACCCTCGAGTTAATTCTCGGTTATCTCTGCTACCCGGTTGCGTTCTTGCTCGGCGTCTCGCGTGATAATGATGACTTACTGAAGGTCGGCCAGCTGATTGGCCTTAAGATCATCTCTGTATGTTTTCTCCCGTCTTCTTCATGGAAAATATTCTAACTGGTTTGGTAGAACGAGTTCGTCGCTTATCAAGACCTCCAAAACGATGCTACTTATAGCACCCTTTCTGAGCGCTCCCGTCTTATCGTTACCTATGCCCTCTGCGGATTTGCCAATATCGGCTCGCTGGGTAACCAGATCGGTGTGCTTTCGCAGATTTCCCCCGGACGCAGTGGAGATATCTCGCGTGTTGCCTTTAGTGCGATGGTCACTGGTGCTCTGAGTACTTTCACCAGTGCAGCTATCGCGGGTATGCTTATTACCAATGAGAAGATGTATACTAACTAGCCTTTGTTGTGATGCCCGTTGTTATGTGTATGTTCTGAGGCTGTCGCCCCTTTACTGCGTGTCTTATAGTATATTATTACAGTGCAAATGATATTAACTTATATCAATGATGGTTACTTCGAGTTGTCCGTTGTAGATTGGTTCCATCAAGTGCTTCGATGGTTATCCACGGGGCCATGATTTATAGACACGACTGAGTACTATTGCCTTTCTTATTCATAATGAGCACTTTCACGCTGAAAATGGCTTTTCTCGTGTCCATTACGTGATAATTGACAACTCGCGGTTAGACTAGAGCGTCATTATGCCACTTTTTGAAGTAAAAATTATGGAAGGAAGCAAGGCACCCATCATGTGACGATTAGGAAAAAGAAGCTTGCGACAAGCCAGGGTCACACGCCGGGCTTGAATGCGTGGAATAATGATAAAAACTCAGAAAAATCAAAGCCACAATATGACCAAAAACTCCGTTCCCAATGAACCAAGCCAGTATGCATCCGGACCACATCTCCGGGACCCATCATAAGCGGGAAAGGGATGCCCAATGGGCCGACCGATGCCAACACGCAAATCAAGAGTACGTTGGGCGAGAATCTATTCGTCGTCGAGATCTCGGTGTCGGGCCAGGACGTGACGCTTGAACTCCTCTTGGTCGGAGTCCCAGAGCTCGGCAGCCTGGGCGTTCAACGGGCTCGCACTGTTGAAATCATTAGTACCGCGACTTGAAGTGGTTTGTTTAGCCTTGCTCACTTGTTCGGCTCGCCCAAAAGACTCTGCAGACTCAACAACACGCTCTGCACATTGTAGACAGCACTCCACTTGTCCTTCAGGATATCCAAACAGATGCGGCCGGAGAAGTCGAAATTAGGGTGGTAGATGGGAGTCTTGAAGAGGACGGTTGGAGGCGAGTAAGGGTAGTTATTGGGGAAAGCAAATGAAAGCTTCAGAGTCAAGCCTTCGTAGGGAGTCTCGGTCGGGCCAGTGATGGTCGCAGTCCACGAGAGGAGGTTGCCATCGGCATCGGGGAAGGCGGAGATACCGGGCGACGGCGACATCATAAGCTGCATCAATTCAGCCTGCAGACTATAGTCAAGACGGAAGTCAGCCACGACACATGATTGGCTAGGAGTGGTTGCTCAGGTGTTTAGAGCTTGGGGAACAAACCGCTTGGTCACGCTCTGCGTGTCACTTCGCTGGGCAGAGGAATTCAGCTTGGAAGCTTCCAGCGCGTCAGGCGCCGAGTTCTGAGTATCTTCCATGTTGTAGTCCATTATGGAGTGAAATCGAGGGGATCTTTAAAACAGGTAAAGAAAAAGTCCGCAGATTCCGGGCCGTCTGGAATGTGAGTAACAGTAGCACGAGGGTTCCAAGGTTGCTATCTGGAATGACGCCGGAAACAGAGGGACCCACACAACAAGGTAGCAGAGGGACGAAATAGGAGAGCTGGCTGAGTGAAGTGGTAAACAAGAGGAAAGGATGAAGACAAAGAGAAGTTTGGAAAGTTCGGACTAGTACCCCGTGGACATTTGTTTACGGTCTCTTTGGCCCTGGCAACCGTGCGTCCCCGCTTAGTGGCTTAATGGCACCACTCCAGAGCAGAAGATGACTTGCTACGTCTATAACTTGGATCATATAGTGATCTAGTCAGTATCAAGATATACATTCTAATTAGCCTTTCTATGCACGAATTATATTTTTGAGAAAAAAAATAGACATAGCAACCGATCGGGGACAAGCTAGTGCGATCGAGAGGGGAACAACTGCGGGTCACGCAGATGCAATAGATCAATCAGATATAGTAGGCGCTGTTACAGAGTAGACAGTCTCAAACTTATGATATATTTTACTCCTCTTTACACTTGAATATGATCATTTGCAAATAGTTATTCTTATATGTGCCCTACACGTCTCATCACTTCATGATCATACCAAGGTACAGCTCTAGGCAAAATCAACAAACTTCCCGAACAGGTCTAAGTGGCGCCCCGCGCTCGCGTCCCACTTTGCGCGTTTCACGGCCCTTGCTTGCCACTCCCAACTTCGTCTGAGCGCCATGCAATAGTCCCTTTGGTCTGAATTACCACCATTTGGCTCTATATTCAAGGTCCAGGATGCAGCATTCACAATTGGCCCCGTTGCCAAACGATGTGCCTTTCCGCATTGTCTCCAAGACAATCGGACAGGGCGCCTATGCCTGGTGAGTCGAGCTTATCATCCAAGTCTTTGTGATACCAAATCTGAACTGATACCTGTGTGTAGCATCAAAAAAGCCTGCCCCTTGGATTCGGACAACCCGGTCTTCGCGGTCAAATACATTCACAAAGAATACGCTGCGAAGCACGGCAAGATCAGCGCGCGACAACTGGCGCTGGAGGTGTCTGTGCACAAGCATGTGACGGGGCATCCCAGTATCATCAGCTTTTATCAGACCGGAGAGGATGCTATTTGGCGATGGATTGCCATGGAATTAGCCGAAGGGGGTGACCTCTTCGACAAGATCGAGGCTGATGAGGGTGTGGGAGAGGATGTTGCACATGTCTACTTCTCGCAGCTTGTGAGTGCGGTAGGCTTCATGCACTCAAAGGGTGTTGGCCATCGTGATATCAAACCCGAGAATATGCTACTCACCGCGGATGGCAATCTCAAAATCGCTGATTTTGGTCTGGCGGCACTGTTCGAATACAAGGGATCTCGGAAATTGTCTGCCACGTTTTGTGGTAGCCCACCGTACATCGCACCGGAGGTGATTAGTTGCAGTACACGAGGCCAGGTCAAGGGGTCGGGATACCACCCCGATATCGTGGATATTTGGTCTTGTGGTATTGTTCTGTTTGTCCTTCTGGCGGGAAACACTCCATGGGATAGTCCAACGGACGATAGTTACGAATTTCACGAATACCTGGCTACAAATGCACGCACAACTGATGAGCTATGGCAAAAGCTACCCCCTGCAACACTTTCTTTGCTAAGGGGCATGCTGACTGTGGATCCTAAAAATCGTTTTTCGTTGGAGGATGTGCGAAGGCATCCGTGGTTTACACGGCCCAACAAGTTCCTGTCAGCCGATGGGAAGCTGAGGGACCCGATCAACTTGGCAACCTCAATGTTTGAGTCTCTGCACATCGATTTCAGCCAGGATCCTCTTTCTCAAAAGCGTAAAGGTGCCAGTCGAAGCTTGGAGGCCATGGACATGGACATGGATGTGAATATGGGTGGAGGCGGTGATGCTGCATTCTCTTCTACGCAGCCTGAAATGCCAGGTGGTGGCATAGTGATGGACTGGGATGCTCCTCATTTGGCTTCCGAGGTTTTCTCATCTACCCAGCCCGCTGGAAAGCTATTTAACACCCAGGAGGCAGCCTTGGCCAATCATCTCGAGGACGAGCCGTCGATGTCTCAGTTCTCCCAGCAACCCTCTGTGCCACTAAGCCGCACTCAAAATGCTCAGAAATTCCAAGACATCATCCCGTCCCGTTCAATGAATCGTTTCTATTCTGCCTGGGAGCTCAAACTTCTGGTCCCCTTGATCTGTGAGGCTCTTCATCGACTTGGAGTACCGGTTCCAACTGTCCCTGCCGTGAGTACTGGCGACACTTCCTCGATGATCCGCGTCATCACAAAAGATGGTCGACTGTGTCAACTTCAAGGCAAGGTGCTTATAGAATGTGTGTCCGAGGGCATCTTTGAAGTCGAATTTGTCAAGGTCAAGGGTGATCCGCTAGAATGGCGCCGATTCTTCAAGAAAGTGACCATCCTTTGCAAGGATGCGGTGTTCAAGCCGGATGAATAATCCCATCCCTGTGGACCTGAATTATGATACCTGTTGTTTCTATCGCTTACGATCACTCACGACTTTAGTGGGGAGGGGCATCTAGGGCTTTGGTAGGCGTTTTCTGTGGCATATCTGCCCCCTCCTTTACCCCCCTGGTTTTTATGTTAAGGTACCTAAGGATGCCTCATGTTTTATGTATTGTCTAATGTTTATATTTACGATTCGCTGCATTGCTTTCATAGAGAGAAATTGCCCAATTTATCTTTACCAGGGAATATTTCTGGGGGACCGTCCTTGGACCCTAATATCCCCTCAAAGCTCACGTCGATATCAAGCCACTTTGTGGCTTTGTCCTACATCCCTAGCAAATCTGATATCATAAATTCGACCTACACTATCTCACTCTACCGCCGCACACTGCCTTTTGTGTCCTCCTTGTCTTGTCTTATCCATTAGCACCACGTGACGGCTCTGCAGATCGCGGGGAAGAACGATTGGAACTTTTCAGAAACATAAGAGGCCAGCGCCACTCATTATTCCTCCTTTCATTTCATTTGCCCCCGATGCTGCAATCTCCCAGGTCTCCCTCATGGACAAGCTGCCGGTAGAGATCCTAACCAAAGTCATCGACCGTAAGCGCCGCCGAACTCCCCCCCGAAATCTTCCCCGCACCCACTATGCAGAAAAAAAGAAAAAGACGTTCGCCCGCTGATGAATTCCAACATGATCAGTTCTCACCCCGCATGAGAAGGTGCAGCTGCAATCTGTTTCCAAGAAGTTTTTCGACCTTGCCCGCGATAATAACTTGTGGAAATTGCACTGTTATGAGCAGTCATGGGCTGCTTTGCAATCTTCCCGTCCGGCGGGCGGAATGTCGGAGAGCCTCCTCACACATTCAACGGCCCCTTTGAGCACGTTGGGACAGAGCTCGCTGCGCGAACTCATTCAACCACCTCCCCCGCAGTTGGAGGAGACCGTTCCGAACGATACCCGAGGGCTGTCTATGAGTGAAAGAGCAAGGGCGGCATCGGACTGGGAGTCGTCCATTGAAGGAGAGCATGTGGACTGGTACTCAGAGTATATTGCCCGTCATGGACCGATGTCGTTATCCTGGATTCAGCAGCCAATGTTTCAGAATGGCGAGGGCCGAAAGCGTACACCACATGAGGTCAAGGGTATGGGTTTGCTGAAAGACTGGAGCTCTGCAAGGCAGAATAAGATTGTTGCACCCCTGGAGGACGGAAGTGTATGCATTTGGGATCTGAATCATTCCCATTGCGGTGATTCGAGCTCGAGCAAAGGCAAGATCCTCGGCCTGAGTGAGCCAGGCCTCCTCATGAAGAACCTGTCTCGGCGGAGAGATCATTCCCCTTCCAAAACTTCCCTTGAGTTCATCAACATGGGCGAAGGAGTAAGCGTAGACTCCTTCCGGCACCGAGCCTACTTGGCTGCTGGGAATGTTCTCAATGAGGTCGACCTGGAGACCTTGAAATTGATCTCGCAGCAGCGCTATCCATGGTCGATCTTTGCACTCTCCCAAGAGACCGATTATTCTGTTCCACTAACACTAGCGACCACGCTCAGTCTTCAAATACATGATGCCAGGTTACCTGCCACTGAAGAAGAGGAAGCGATCAGTTTGCGGTGCGAAGAGAATTCCGCTCCTTTGGTGCCTGAACTGGACATATTCTCTCATTCCGATTCGCCACGGCTGCAACTTCAGCCTAATGGACTTCCTCCCCATCGGATTCGGAGCCCGGCTCCTTCAGATGATACTAATTACGCACCGCTCTTCCAACCTGGTCCTTTGTCCATTCTTCATCCGCCTGCTCCGCATGTAAATAGTATTCTCCTTGCAGGCCGATTCCCTAGCATCCTCTGCTACGATCGTCGCTTCTTCCCTCGTCTGCAGAGCACTGTCCACTCTGGAGGTCGTATCTGCGGTCTTACGTCCGCACCTGAACCCAGATTCCCCGTTTTCAAAGACTCGGACTACCCCACATCTCATAGCGTTGTGGCATGTGGCGATTACAACGGGAGAGGCTCACTAGAACTATATAACCTCAGCTCCTCCTCTCAGGATCCTCTTAGCCGCCCATCAGACAGATCATCCACCCTGACACCGCAATACAACAATCGACAAAGCGCGGCTAGCTCCAGACTTCTGTCGGTGGCATCTCACGGAAACCGTATCGTCTATTCTGATGCCGAGGGAAACATCAAATGGGTTGAACGAAATGGCCGCGCTGAAGTCCGTCGCTGGAATATAAATACATCTCAGCCCCAGATTCCGTTTTTCCGAAACGAAGCATCTACTGGGGAACCCGGAACTGAAGACCCACAGCCCCGGGGTCTGTGGCCGACTTCCCAGCCTGACAATCACAGCAGTGAGGTTGCGCGGAAAATTCTTCCCACGGGAGGAAACCTCACTGGCGATGAGCTGCTGGTTTGGACTGGGGAACGCATTGGGCGTATCAAGTTTTCCATCCCAGCGGGTCCGGGCGTAGAAGATGATGAAGATGAATGGTTCATGCATGATGAAGTTGATGACGAGACTCGGGAAGTCATGCGACATAAGCTACGGGATGAATGGGAGAAAGAGCGGAAATATGAAGATACTATGCGGCGGGCTTTGGAGAGACAGGCGGACGAGGTACGGTGGATGGGGACGGACGGCATGAGTTGATTGAGCATCTATTTTTACTTTTTTGTAGCGTTTTCTCCTTCGTTTTAGAATTTCTCGGTATATTGCAGCATTTTCTACGTTTGTCAGCATATGAATCCGAGACTGGTGGTTTCAGCGAGCTACAGTACATATAATTGTGAACGGATTCGTCGGTGCCGCGAGAGGGATGATCTTCAGAAGTGGAATGACCGCCATTCTCAAGGAGCATCCCCCCTGCTTCTTCCGTCCGCTTCCACGAGTCCGTTCGCTCGAACATTCATGGGAACGTAACTTTTCAGGAGGGCACCAGCAGTATCGATGACTGGTACAGTCTGTTCTTAGTTCCCGGTACCTTTGAGGTTGGCTTGGCCGATACAGATCGAGTAACTATGTAGATTCTTAGTTCAGATTCCCTTTTAGACTCATGATCCTCTTTAGACTTGTGTCTGGTAAGCATGAAGTGAATAGTGGTCTGGTGTGGGAATCTAAAGGAGAATTGAGAGGATCGAAAGTCAATTTAGATTAAGGGTCTAGAGAAAATTTAGCCTCAGAGTCTAAAGAGGATCCAGTCGCGATTTGCTTCTGTTGCGAGTGGAGTGACCCTCCAGGTAGATCAGCGCTTCTCTCTCTCTCTCTCTTCTTCTTCCCTTCTTCTTCCTTCCCCTACCCCGACAACCTACTCACAATACAACGTCTTGATTCGTCTGTCTTGTCCCCTTCTGCGTATTTGTACTTCGTACTCGTACGCTTCCTTCTTCCTATCTCCTCTAGCCGCTTCAACCAGCACGCGACGTGCTGATGGCTTCCTTCTTACTAGACTGTGATTCACTTCCCTCTTACTAAATCCTGATTCAGACTATCACATCAGACACCATTTCATCAACTCCCTCTAGCATCGGCTCCCTCCAGCATCAGCTCCCTTGAAAATCAATTCTAAACTCACGACAATGGCATCAGCCCCTATCAACCCAGGTACCTGGGTAGGGGATATGCACGAAAAACCATGGACAACACTGCTGATTTTTGGTGGTGGTGTCATCATCCTGGCAATTGCCCATATACTATTGAAAGTGATGGATAAGTCACTTGATCATTGGTCCAACCCAGAGTAAGTGTTCATGAATCGTCTTTAAGTATGAAGATGCTAATAGACATAATAGCCGCCGGGTTACTGAGGCTAAGGTCCGCGCTACTCAAGCTAGCCAACGGGCCAAAAAGGCTATCCAACTCGCTGATAAGCGAATCAGCCAAGCTATCGAACGGGCAACCATAGCCGAAACCCAGGCTGCCAAGGCTAGCCAATGGGCCGCTGAAGTCAACGAGGTAGCCAGCCAGCGAATCAACCAAGCCATCAAACGGTCTACCGAAGCCGAGACCCGGGCTGCTAAGACTCTAGCTACCGAGAGGGAGAGGATACATGAGCCCCCTATGGGACTTCCGCAAGTACCTCGCCCTGGGACAAGTAGCCCCTCAGGACGATATTTCACCACCAATACAACTTGGGGCTATCAACAACACTGGATCAGGCGCTATTGGCGGTGGTGGATCTTTCATCAAAAGGTTCCTTAAGAAGCCTAGTAATCTGTTTCCAATTCGATGCTCAAGAGAGAGAAGCACTATAGAAAGCGGGCCAAACGACTCTTAATAGGACTATATGTCAATTAGTTGAATATCTTTATACAGGCAGAGAATTAATAGCTTCATCACAGCCAAGATGCCAATAGCACCGACAATTTGACGTTTACGCCCAGGGCTTCTCCTCTTTCCCCTTTCGTTCTAAAGAAATTAGCCCCAACACCCACGGTTCCGACGCTGTCGCCCGTCCTATTGAGCAAGAAATATTTGACTCGCATCGAAGACGACACCGGCAGCCCCTCAGGCCAGCGAGGCCTTGCTGACAACAATCTTGCTTCTACAAAACTTCATGTCCCCGTTAAACAGCCGTCCACCCTCCAGAGATTCGGACTAAATCTCGGAAAGTGGTATGAGATTCAAAATGAAGTCTGGGGAAGAAATGGATAATAATAAAAGCCAGCTAAGTATGGCTAAAAAACGATATAAACGGAGCAGCACGAACGAAAGTCAGCTGTAGCTGTAAGGGTAGCTTGGATTATCATTGCTAATGTTTGAAAACTATGCGGTTATATGCTATATGTCTTTACAAAGGCGGAAGATATTCAGGTTACCGTTTATCAACCATTTTCACATGCTGCCATGTAATTGTTATTTACAATGGTGGTCCACTGGTGGTAATGGAAATTTGACCTGCCGCTGAGGAATCGCACAAAACCCAGCTAGGCTCGTTTTGGCGGCGACCTCGAATTTTAGGGATCATATTCACGTAAATCAACTACGCCCCCCTTTTTCCCTGGTGCTCAACATTTAAAGGTATTCTTATTCAACCATTCTTTTCAAAGCCCATTTCAAGATGCCTGATTTTACGGTAAGCTATTGACTTTCTCACGCCCAGAAGACGACATTCGTGCAATATTCTAATATGGCTTAGATCGAGAGGTGGACCCGCGGAGTTTTGTTCAAGAGCTTCAAAACATTCGAGCCATGCGAGAATTATTGTATTAAAAGCAGAGGAAATCGGATTTTCTACAGCAAGGGCATTATATTTTCTGCGGACTACTTTGCCTTAACTATTTTTGCCGACTATATACTTCGAGAACACGTACAGCATGATGAGTGGCTCCAAAAAGAACATCAGGCTAGACAAAAAGATATCCAAAGCGATGATGATCTGACGGTTCTTAGTGAATTAGAGGAAGCAGTCGGGATATCTCGAAGATTGATCGATATTGCAGAGCGTACGATGTATCGGATTGAGTCACGTCTCCCCCAACACCCTTCCAGAAAGATATACGATAGGATACGGATGAATCCTACTTGGTATCTTCATAAATATCTCGTCCAGGATTGTATACGGAAGGGTGGCTGCTGTAGCCGAGGTTGCAGGTGCTGTGAGGACCGCCATTCAAGCACCACAAGAAAAAAAGAAATTGGGCATTGCACATCGGTGTGCCATTGCTGTGAAGATCACCGAGGATTCATATACACAGATGAGGAAGTCATGATAATCCGTGATTGGTTGAAAGAAGACCTTTTGTCCCCAAGCCCCGGATTTCTTTTCACGATGACAGAGGCTTACTTCTCTAAGCCGGGCATGTTTCAACTTGAAAGCTGTTCTATTTCAAAAGTGACCATAAGGCAGTTCAAGAGGCTGATAAAGAGGTTTGGATTTGCTTAAAGCTTGTACGAGGCGTACATGCCCACTAGTAAATCATGGTGATTAAGAACTATAGGTACGGTGGCTTTTAAATTCAGTCATGCCTTTACACTAGTTTACGCAATCTAATTAGGGACAAAAGCTCGTTCGAGGATCTTGGGCAAAGTCCATAATTTTGAGCCGGACAATATCGAGATTACCCATGCAGAGAAAAAGATCCGTCGATTTCACCGCTTATAAGAGAGCAATCCCCCAATTGACTTAAACAGCTACCAGAGTAAGATAACAGTTTGAATAGATGCTTTCAAGATTCAAACAATGCCAATTGATGGCAGTTTAAGATGCACGTCTGGCTCCCTCCAGGTATTCCTTAACAGTCTAGCCTCAAGGCTCAGACTCAATGGCTCTCATGAACTGGGCATGTTTTAATAGGTTAAAATTCGAAGTCGGTTTCAATCAATGGCCAGCCGCGGTTGCACCGGCCTAGCACTCTCACCGCCGGTGCCGGCTCCCCGCACCCGGACCCGAAATCGATCACGAGCATTTCTAATACAGTTGTAAGCTATTACAGAAGTCTTCCAAGGTTTCTCGAACAATCCTTCTTTTCTATTACGAGATTTTGCGCGCACTTCGTCTTGACTTCTTTGACTTCCCTTGAGCCCTTTCAATACTATTCTTTATCTTTTAAACACCGAATTGCGAAGTGAGGGGCAAATATTTGCGCCGATAAGCCATACCCACCATCCAAGATGCCCTCCATGACAGACATTGCACACCAATTCGATTCCATTGAGGATACAATCGCAGCCTTCAGTGAGTGCCTTCCTCGGAATCGTAATATTTGCTTTATTCATCTGTCAACCCAACAAATTATCCAATTGAGTCTAGCCGACTAACATGACTCAGAAAATGGCGAATTCATCATTGTTCTCGATGACCTCGATCGCGAGAACGAAGGAGACCTCATTATCGCAGCTGAATCCATCACAGCCGCTCAGATGGCCTTCCTGGTGCGCCATACAAGGTAAGCACATGCCCAACCACGCCACCCGCACGCTCGGCTCGGTGAAATCCGGCTCTCTCCAAATTTCCCGAGTATTTTATTCCGAGCACCTGGATCTCCAATCGAACTGGTTTAAGCTAATAGCCAATTCATCTAGTGGTTTAATATGCGCTCCCATCACCCCCGAACTAGCCACGCGCCTTGCCCTCCCGCAAATGGTTACCGAGAACGCCGACCCCAAGGGAACGGCCTACACCATCACAATCGATTCGAGCGATGACTCCGTGACAACTGGTATCTCTGCGCAGGATCGTGCACTTACCTGCCGTACTCTCGCATCTCCGGATGCCACTATTGACTCTTTCCGTCGGCCCGGCCACATCATTCCCCTCCAGGCGCGTGCTGGTGGTGTGCGCGAGCGCAAGGGACACACTGAGGCTGCGGTGGAGTTCTGTCGTCTTGCTGGGAAGGCCCCGGCTGGTGTTATTGCGGAGCTTGTGGAGAATGGGGAGGTTGTTGAGGGTGTGCCTGAGATTGTGGGCGATAATGGTATGATGCGCAGAGATGCTTGTCTCGCATTTGGTAAGAAGTGGGGGATCAAGGTCTGTACGATTGAGGGGATGGTGGCTTATTTGGAGAAGACTGAGGGTGTGAAGAATGGGAATCATTGATTTTTCATTTGAGCTTTCTTTAATATGTTCCAATTTTGTGTATACTTGGTTTTGTTTGGTTGTACCTACATTTCGGCGGTTCTTCTGGATACCACTTTAGATGAATTATAAAAAGCCTTTAGAGATGATTCTGTTCTAATTTCAGTAGAGTAGCGGCGGATATAGATGAAAGGAATATGGGAAACAATAGATAGCGATAGGAAGTTAAGAGAATTGAGACTGTTTGATATTTTATCTGGGTATCTTTTGGGGTTGGTCACATAATACAGATTCATGCGCAGAAGACGCAAGTTCATAACGCCGATGCAATGCAAATAAAGAGTTGTTAACCTCGAATCGAGGGCGTGGGAGAACGAAGAATACCTCGGTCCATCACCGCTTCAGATGGGAATAGTCCCTCAGGATATTCTGCATGTGGGTGTTGGTAGTCTTTCCACTGCGACGAGGCTTCTTAACCTTCCGCGATTCCATCTTGGGACGAGGTTTGGTCACCTTGTTCTTGTTGGTAGGCGTGATGCCAGCCTTATCCAGCTCCTCCTTGACGGCCTGCGCATCCGGAATCTTGATCTTCTCCCAGATCACCTTGAACTCGTCATCGAAGTGCTCGATCAGCGACGGATCATTCGCCCAGATCATCTTCGCATGGTCGTCCTTCTTGTTTCGAGTCACAAGTAGTTTCCCTTCCTTCTCGAGCTGGTTGATAGCTTCCTCGACATTTGGCCAACCCTCTCGGAGCTCTCGCACATTCATGCCAGCAGCAGTGGTTTGCGCCTGGAGTTGTTGAAGAAGTTGCTCCGGATTTCGGATGTTGTGGGGAGGGCGGAAACTGTATGTGCCTTCGCCGTTGGCGCCGCTGGGGTCATATTCCACCTTCTCGTGTGACTTCAGAATTCTTGCAAGAGCGAGCACGTAGGCTTGTTCATTTGGGCGATTTTGAAGCGAGAGATAGGATATGATATCGGAGAGGCGGAGCGGCACATTTTTGGTCTTCATGTGCTCGATCGCAAAAAGGACCTGAGTCATGATATCCTTTCCGGTACCTGTATTGGCTGGTTGGGAGTAGACGATGTCGACATCGTGTCTCTTTTTCTTCATCTCACCAGACGAAGATGGAGTCGGTACGGAGGATGGCGCCTGGGAACTGGTGACGGAGGCAGGCTGAGTAGGCTGATTACTCACCACGCGCCGTTGCTGAGGCATGCGGTTTGCCGACTCCATCACCTGCGTGTTGAAGTTTTTGAGCTGGTTCTGAAGGTACGACATGGCTGCGTTAAGGATGGGCTCGAGCTGCGTAGGGGGACGAGAAGAATCAATATGGTTGAGGCTGTAAGCTGGAATATTTCGAGCTGGATCAAAGCTCCGATTTAAACGACCAAGATCATAAGAAGATGGTGATGTCGCGAATCACGATGCAGTCGAGTTCAGGGGAACAAAATCAGTGAAAGCGGCGGGGCTTAATTTGTTGCCTGGGTCGGGTCGGTGGAGACCGAAGAAAGGGCTGAAAGAAAGTAATAGAATGAAAGAAAGAGGTTGAGTACTGTAGCTGGAGGCTCTAGTGAAATCGGAGACCAGTCACGTGAATGGGGCCGCCTTTGACGAAAGCAATGGTGTCGCGGTTGGAACTCGCCCTTCGCTTCACCTTTACCTCCATCAGCACCGTCTCCTTTCTCCCCACACATTTACTGGTGCTTGCTGCCCAATTGCGATACTTCACTCTTTTTCGTGCTCGCCATGACATAGGCCTCCCTGGCAGCGCTGTGTGTTCCTCTCCCAGAGCTGTGCGCAGCAGCGCGTTTCGGAACCCTCGAAGCCGCTATTGCTCCGCGAGACGACCTTACGTTACCCTCGGTTTTGCAGCACTAGCTGCTCACACCTCCGCTCACCATGGCGGATACCGCTATTGACATTCCTTATCTATCTTCTCATTTCTCTTTGTCCGAATCGACCCTTTTGTCACTTACTGAGGCTCCGACGGTTGACCTCGTCAACCAGCTTCTTCAATCCATCACGACCAAGGCACATGGATACGATGAACTCAAATCGGACAAACTCAGATTGGAAGTCGAGCTCGAAAATGCAGTGCGCAGCAACGAATCCAAGATCAAGGTCCTGAAAGGCACGGTGGAAAAGGGCCATTCTGAAGTCGAAGAGCTGCGAAAGAAGCTTCACGAATCTGGTAATTATTTGACAGCAATATTCTTGACCATGGACTTTACTCTGATACCCGGCAGAATCTACACGTGGAAAATTGGAGGCCGAGATCTCGACTCTCAAATCTTCCTCCACGTCCAATGAAAGCGAAGTCAGCTCCCTGAAGTCGCGCATTACATCTCTCGAAGAATCAAACCGAGACACTCTTCGCTTGCTAGAGTCTAAATCCGCTGCTCACGATAAACTCGCAGAGGAGTTGTCCGCTCAACACAAGAAAACCATTGAACTACGCCGCGAACTCTCAACCATCGAGCAAAACCTCCAGAACGCCAATTCCGCATCTGCCAGCGCACGATTCCGCGAGCAAAGCATCCAGCAGGAATTGGACCTTACCAAGAAAAACAACGAATGGTTCGAGACCGAATTGAAAACCAAGAATGCTGAACACATCAAGTTCCGCAAGGAAAAGAATGCTCGCATCGCTGAACTCCAACGCGAAAATGAGGAGGCGAATTCTTCCATTGACGCTTTGAGGCGTAGCGAAAACTCCCTGAAGAGCCGGTTGGACGAGACCGAGCAACGGTACGAAGAGTCTTTGTCTAACATCCAGCAGCTGAAGGAGGAAGCTATACAGGCTGCGGAATCTTTCCGTAACGAACTCGACAGTGCCAATCGACTCGCCGAGCTCCAAGGGTCTGCTGCACAGAATGCCAAGCAACGGGCTCAAGAGTGTCAACTGTCCCTGGAGAAGGCCACTGCGGATGCGGCAGAGGAAATTTCTCGCTTGCGAGTAGAGGCCGAGGCCGAACACAATGATAAAGAGGCTGCTGAGCGCCGCGTCGCCGAACTTGAAGTTTCCATCTCTAATCTTGAGTCCGAGGGAGCACGAAACCGCTCCATGAGCCCTGCCCGATCCATCAACGGCATGGCCCCTACGACACCCGTCCGACCAGGTACACCCGGAAGCACATTTTCCCCGAGGACTGGCCGAACCAAGAATGGTCTTTCGGTTACTCAGATGTACACGGAGTATGACAAGATGAGAACACTTCTCGCGACAGAGCAACGAACCAGCCAGGAGTTGCGCTCAACCCTGGACGAGATGGTTCAAGAACTTGAGTCGAGCAAACCTGAGATTGACGAATTGCGCGCAGACCATAGTCGCCTCGAAAATGCCGTGATTGAGATGTCCAACCTGTTGGAATCGTCAGGCAAAGAACGTGACGAAGCAACTAAGGAAGCAAGGAAATGGCAAGGCCAGGTCGAAGGTCTGGTCCGCGAAGGCGACATTCTGCGTCAACAGCTTCGGGATCTGAGTGCGCAAGTCAAGGTTCTTGCCCTCGAGGTGGCGATGGTCAAGCAGGGTGAAGACTACGACCGCGAGGAGCTCGAAAGGATTGCTCGCCAGGAGATTGAAGATTCTTCGGCTGAGCTTAACTCAACTGGTCGCTTTATTAGCCAAAACCTCACCACTTTCAAGGATCTGCACGATCTCCAAGAGCAGAATGTAACTCTCCGCCGTATGCTTCGAGAGCTTGGCGACAAAATGGAGGGAGAGGAAGCTCAGGCCAAGAATGCAACGAGACAACAGGAAGCCGAGGAGCTGAAGGAGCTGCGAGTCCGCGTTCAAACGTACCGTGATGAGGTCGCCAACCTTCTCGCCCAGTCCAAGAGCTACGTTAAGGAGCGTGACACATTCCGCAGCATGCTGATGCACCGGAAACAGACGATTGGCGATACATCTGTATTCTCACAGTCTATGCCGCTCGGTGCCGTTCCTCCGGGTGTCACTGACGGCCAGTCGAAAGATTCGACAGACTACGCCGAACTGCTTCGCAAGGTGCAGGCCCACTTCGACACTTTCCGTGACGAAACCGCAACCGATCACAAAGCTCTACGTCAACAGGTCAATGAACTTTCGCGAAAAAACAGTGAGCTCTTAAGTGAAATCAGCCGATCTAGCAGTCAACTTGCCGCAGCCTCTCAACGGGCTGAGCTCCTTCAAAGCAACTTCACTATGCTCAAGAGTGAAAATAGTGACCTCCACAAGCGATACTCAACTCTATTTGAAAATGCCAACCGTCAGGATCTTCGTACTCAACAAGCAGCTGAGGACTTGGTCGAGGCGAAGGGCCTTGTAGAGAGCCTTCAGAGAGAGAACGCTAATCTCAAGGCGGAGAAGGATCTTTGGAAGAACATTGAGAAGCGATTGGTTGAGGATGCGGAGAACATGCGAAATGAACGTAGTCGACTTGACTCCATGAATGCTAGTTTGCAAACAATGATGAACGAGCGGGAGCATGCTGACAGCGAGACTCGCCGCAGGCTCCAATCTAGTGTGGAGGCTCTCGAATCGGAACTGCAAACAACCAAGCGCAAGTTGAATGAGGAAATGGAAGAGTCGAAGAAGGCTGCCATGCGCCGTGAATATGAACATGAGCAGTGCCAGAAGCGAATTGATGACCTGGTGACTAGTCTTGGTTCTGTCAGGGAAGAGCAAGTTGCCATCAAGACAACCCGTGATCACCTACAGTCCCGTGTCGATGAGCTCACCGTTGAGCTCAAGAGCGCCGAGGAACGCATTCAGGTTATCCAGTCACGCCCGAGCGTTTCTGCCGCTCCTGCTGATGCTCCCACCACCCAAGAAGCAGGAGAGGATGCTAGTGGCCTGACTCGGGAACAAGAACTCGCCATCGAGGTGTCTGAACTCAAGCGTGACCTTGACCTTGCCAAGGCAGAGCTGGCCCATGCCAAGGAACAAGTTGAAGAATATAAGAATATCAGTCAATCAACCGAAGAGCGCATGGAAGCCGAGGCTGAGACCAATGCGATGTACCGTGAGGAGACTGATCGTCTTATTGAAGAGAAGGATAAAAAGATTCAAGATCTGGAGACCCGCATTGAAGAGATTTCTTCGGAGCTCTCTACCACCAATACTGAAATTTCCAAGCTGCGTGACGAGCAAGGTGATGCTACACGTCATCTTGAGGAACAGAAAGCTACGCTGGAATTAGAAATCACTCGCTTGAAGGACGACAACGAACGACAGGTCGCTGCTGCCCAGTTCCATCAGGAGGATCTGAAAGCCCAGGCCGAAATCGCTCAGCACGCCCAACAAAACTACGAGACTGAATTGGTCAAGCACGCTGAAGCCGCGAAGAACGTTCAAAATATCCGTGCCGAGGCGAATCAACTAAAACTCGAACTAGTTGAATTGCGAACCCAGTCTGAAACCTACAAGAAGGACTTGAGTCAGAAGGAGGAGAGTTGGTCTGAGCAAAGAGCTCGTTACGAGAACGAGCTCAGTGAGTTGCACAAACGCCGCGAGGAAGTTCTTCACCAGAACTCTGTTTTGCATACCCAGTTGGAGAACATCAGTGCCCAGATCGGCGCTCTCCAACGTGACCGTGCAAACGTCCCCGAGGATGATGAGAATGAAGAGGGTCAGTCAGCTCCCAACCTGGAGGGTCTTCAAGAAGTCATCAAGTTCCTGCGCCGAGAGAAGGAGATCGTGGAAGTGCAGTACCACCTTTCGACACAAGAAGGCAAGAGACTGCGCCAACAGCTCGACTACACCCAATCTCAGCTTGATGAAACGCGACTCAAGTTAGAACAGCAGCGACGCGCTGCAGCTGATTCTGAACACAACACTCTCAACCACAACAAGCTTATGGAGACCCTCAATGAGCTTAATCTTTTCCGCGAAAGCAGCGTGACTCTTCGCAACCAAGTGAAGCAGACTGAAACTGCTCTCTCGGAGAAGACTGCTCAGCTTGATGAGCTTCGCCAGAAGATCCAACCCTTGGAGACTAAGATTCACGAACTGGAAGGAAACTTGGAAGCGAAGGAGGGCGAGATGCAGCTACTCCAGAAAGACCGCGATCATTATCAGCAACGCATCCAGAATATTCTCCAAAAGTACGACCGAGTGGATCCCGCTGAAATGGAGGCTCTCAAAGAGAAACTTAACACCCTGGAGAAAGAAAGAGATGAGGCAGTTTCGGCACGAGACGACTTGCAAACACAAAAGGCAGCCCTCGACGAGCAGCTTCAAAATGCCGAGGCCGACGTGGCGAGCCGTTTACAGGACCAGCGTAACAAGCTTGGAGAGCAGTTCAAGGCTCGGTCGAGGGAGCTCTCTGGGCGTCTCAATGCCAAGCAAGCGGAAGTGAATACAGCTGTGCAAGAGAAGGAGGTTCTTCAGGATGAACTGAGTAAGACCAAGGCAGAACTCGAGAGTGTGAAGGCCAGCCTAAGCAATGCTCCTGCTGCGGCCGCTCCTGTGCCAGCTACCACAACCGAAGCTGTGCAGGAACCTACAACAGTTAACCCAACCCCTGCCTCACAATTCCCCACAACAACAACGGCCGTTGCCGTGCCTGGGGATGAACAAAAGGTCAAGGAGCTGGAAGCGAAGATTCAACGTTTGGAGGCTGCTCTGGTTGAAAAGGATGCCCTCCTTGCAACCAAGGATGTCGACAGTACTAAGCTCAAGGAACGCGTCGAGAAAATGAAAGAGAGCTACACTGCTAAGGTCGCCGAACTTCGTGCTGCTCATGCCCAAGAGCTCCAAAAGCTGTCCTCGAATGGAGAGCAACCGACTCCTGCTACACCTGGGGTTACCACAGAGATGCCCTCGACGCCTTCTAAGGCTGCTTTTGATATCTCAGAGCTCACAGATGGCCAAGTTCGGGAGCTGGTCGCGAAGCATCCAACAATCCGTACCATTGTTAAGAACAACATTATGACCCAGGTCGCCAAGGAAAGAGAAAATTTGAAAGCCCAAGCCCAAGCCCAAGGTCAGGCAACGCCTGCAGTGGATACGGAAGCCTTGGCTGCGGTGGAAACCAAGTTTAATGAGGAAAGAGAAACGTTGAAGAAGAATCATGAGGCGGAACTTGGGGAGAGAGTGAAATCTGCTGTGGAACTGAATGACAAGAAGTATGCCGCCCGCTTGAGTATGAACGAAACTCGATTCAAGTCGGCCCAGGCCAAGATCGAGGTTGTTCAAAAAGCGGCCCAAGAGACCCCTCAAAGACCTGTTGTCGAGGTTTGGGAGTTGGCTAAAACCGCGAAGCCTGCTCCGGCCGCAAAGCCCGCCGGAATCTCATCTCCCGCTCCGCCTGCTTCTCCTGCACCGGCTGCGACTCAAGTGGCGCAGCCTACTCCATCGCCAGCCCCAACTCCAGTGCCGAGTTCAGAGCAACCTGTGGCCAATAATCAACCGGTCGCTGCTGAACAACCAGCTGCTCCACAGCCACAAGAGGTCAAGCCGGAGGGTGAACAAAACACTACACCCGTCAATCCTTTCGGTCAAATGCAACAGAATGATCAGTCCAAGCAACCCGCTTCTCTACCTACTAAGCCACCGGCTAACACCCCACCTGGAATGCTTCGGGCCCTCCAGTCAGGCTTGCCAGTTGTACGAGGTGGTCGCGGGGGCGGTCGTGGTGGCCAGCAAAATACTTTTGGCCATGGCCAGCAGCAAGGTGACCAGCAACAACAGGGTCAGGGCCAGAACCAGGCTCAGCGCGGTACTGGCCTCCCGCGAGGTCGCGGAGGTCGCGGTGGACAAGGTCGTGGTGGACATACCGCTGCTGCGCAAGCGCCAAATCAAGGACAGTCAGGTGCAGCGACTCGCGGAGGCTTGAATATTCAGGCCCGCCAATTCATTCCCCAGGGAAATAAGCGGAACCGAGACGACGCTGCGGATTCTCCCACTGATGCTAGTGGTGGTAAGCGCATGCGAGGTGGTGGCCAGTCTCGTGGAGGCTCATCTTAGTTTTTATATCTTCTTTCTTTGTATCTAGTAGTTCATGTATGATGGCGTTTTTGAGATTTTAATGTTATGCAATCATCTTTATGATGAATTATCTTTGCTCATCCTTTTGATCTACATTATACCATCTCGACGCTGAACAGAATCGCGATGGACTGGACAGAACTATCTTCATAGTCAGGATGCCTAATACTGTCAAAAAATGCTTGAGCCTTGACCTTAAGCCAAGACCGGGTATAAACTAACATACACTATTAACAATAATCGAGGCCATATCAAGGGTATCTCGCCTCCACGCTCTCTCAACCTCTAATCAGGTCAAAACATCCCAATACACCATCCAATTAACCTCCAAATCCCTCAATCAACTCATCTCTTCTTCGCCCCAGCAGGAATAATCATCCTCCCAAGAACCTCCCGTTCCTTCTGAAGCACCATCAACCTCGCATCCTCAATAACCCTCCCCTCAGGCGCAGCACCAGGAACGGGCGACCCCGTAACCTTCGCCGCAATAACAACAGCTGGACCAGGCATCTTCGCCTCCCTAGCCCTCCTCCTCCTCTGTCCAATCCCATTTCCCCAAACAACCGTCCACTCAGGCACGGAACTACCCTCAGGAACCTGCACCCCAGAACAAATCTTCGTATGCGAACCTATCTCGGCATGCCGGTTTATTATGGCCAGTGCTTCAATGCAGGCGGAGGAGTGGATGTGGGCTCCAGGTCGGATCGTAGATTGCGGCCCTATTGTTACGAAGTAGGAAACGCGTATTGTGGAATCTTGGTCATGTTGGTGTTCGTCTGTTGAAGTGGGTGTTGTGGGGGTAGATGGTCGTGAGCGTGATGTAGAAGCAGGTTGCGTGCCGATTACGGCTTTTTCGCTGATTATGCATCCATCGCCGATTATAATGGGCCCATCGTAGCTGTAGAAGCGGGCGCGTGGGTGGATTACGGTGTTTGCGCCGATGGTTATGAGGTGTTTGCCCTGGAAGACGGCTGTGTCGGCGATTGTGGTCGTGGGGTCGGCTTTGACGGGGGCTTTGGGGGGTCCTGTTGGTGCGGAGCGGTGTTGTGCTGGAGGTGGTTTGAGGGTGGCCATGTTGTTGATGTTGTGTAGGTGAAGTGTTGTGGAGAAGTCAAGATGTTTCGGGGATTGCGGAGTTTGGACTGCCATGCAACACCAGACCTACTGCATACTTGATCACATTTCAGTAAGAAATCAATTCTAGAGCTTATTTGATCATGATGAGTGCTAACTTCCTCGGGTATCTATTCTATTCTATTCTATCTCTAAAAAGCAAAACGCCCAACTCTCATCCTACTCCTCATCCACCTTCTTGATCCCATTCCTCTTCCTCCATAACCAAACCCCCCGATCAACCTCCTCCCTCGTCATCCCATCCCTAACCAAACAGAACGTAACCCCCAACTCTGTCTCCACATTCCGATTTCTAGCCTCATCATCAAAGAATAACATCTCCTCATACTCAAGCCCACTCGCCTGCTGAATACGCGAAAAATGCTGCGTTTTGTTCGCCGGGAAGATCTGAATGTAATCAAAGTATTCCAGTGCGCGTGTCGTTTTCGTGTTTGCCCCGGGGTTGTCTGAAAATGTCGGGATAACGTGTAGTGCTTTGAGGAGGTCACGGGCTAGATCGGGGGTATGGGTTCGTGAGGCCAAGGCCATGGGGATAGAGCGGCTTTTGCAGGCGTAAATAATGGAGGATACGGCTGGGTAGAAGGCGAAAGATTCTCCCCATCTGGTGAAAGGGTGTTAGATTAGTACGGAATGATGGGGGAATTGGGGTAAGGGTAAGAGGGTTGCTCGTACCGGTCAACGATACGTGAGTTATTGTCTCGCGCCTTTACGGGTGCACTGACGTGCGTATCGACCCAGAATGGCCACAGTGTGTAGTCCAGGTCGAATGCGATCAGTTTAGGGAGGGGGAGGCCGTCTGTGAATGTTGCGGGGGCCACGGAGGTTTCCTCGCGCGGTTGGGTGTTTTGGCGTTTTCCTGCTCGGACCATGATGGATATGTAAAGAATGCGAATGTGAACACCTCGAAAGGAGAGAATGTGACAATGAGTGTGTCTGTCGAATTCAATGCGAACCTTGAAATCTGAAAATCGCGGGGAGCGGACCTTGCACGTGCCGTCTTGATAATCAACGTTCAACGTCATAGGGTCTTCAAACATGCAAACTATATGTAGAACTCAATACGCTACCCGCAGTGACATTCACAGGCTGTTGATTGTTGATGCGCAAGGCTGCCAACGAGGAGGATTCATTGTACATTATCATTGACATCTCTATATTGTTGTACCAGAGGACAGCTTGGGAATTCAAAAGTTGATAGTATACGCTCAAGTAATCAATATCAGTATGGTTCATAGGGGGTAATAGTCAAAAGGTTTCAAACATAGTAGGTATCCATCTAAGACAAGAATATAAGCAATACTGGTATAATCGTTAGTTCAACAGCATTCAAGTCAGCAAATCACTCCGCCATAATTAATATATGTATCAACCCTTCATCCACGCTAGGAAGCTAATATATCATGATTAATAAAAGTTGATAACATCCTTGAACTCTTCAAGCAACAATCGGACCACATCTTCCCATCCAGGAGAGCCCTCGGACTCACTTCGTTGTTCTTCATCACGCTCGTTTGTAGGGGACGCATTGATTGGGCACCACCCAGTTCTCTTCCTGCTCCGCTCATCTATTTCTTCGAGGCTATTTGCCTTTCGTTTGGGTGGAATGTTGGCGGAAAGCTCGGTCAACGGCACAGTTGTGGCAGAACTTTTTATGTTTTCCGGACTGGTGAAGGCTTCGTTATCCGGAGACGAAGCAGGGTCTTCCCATACCACCATCCTGCGATCGTTTTCTAGGGACAGAGGTTGGATATCCCCGATTAAAGTTCCAGTAGTTTCTGCAGTTTCTGGAGAGGGGTCGGCATTTGGTGTTCTGAGGTCGATGCAGGACTTTACCCTTTCTCCAATCTCTGGACCTTCGATTGAGGGAGGCTGTTTGAATCCGGATGTTGTATCTTTGAGGAATTCTGACGGGGATGGGAAATCGCTGAAATCATCATCGCTGGAAGGTATCATTGAGAGGTCTTGGAAGGACTTGTGCTTGCTTGATGTAGGGGTCGCATTTTTGCCCCCTCCAGTCCCGGTGCTGGGCTTCTGCTTGACTTTGTCCTGCCTTCTCAACGGGCTCGAATGATGCCTTTCGGGCAACTTAGCCTTTGCTATGTGGTTGCGATTTTCTTTCTGCGTGTTTTTCCCCGCGCCATTTTTGGCGATGGACGTCGTCAAGGTTAACTGACTCAATCCATCGGCTTTTTGGGTTGCAGGAGCTCGTTTCTTGCCAGCTTTTGGGGGCTTCTCAAGGCCTGTCCTGCAGCATAGATGTTTACAACTAGAGTTGTCAATGCAAGATTATTCCTTCATGAAGAACCACGTACCTTGTTTTGTCTTTGCATTTGTGATTACAGGCCCAATTACCGTTGGCAAGTCGGGCAGGTTCGTCTTCCACCTGCTCCTGTAGCTCCATGTCGGCAACCCACTCGCTGCCTTTCGTTTTCGGAAACACTGGTTTTCGCTTGGGGCTTGGGGTACTGTCATCAATGGATATCCAGCCAATTTCCTCATCTTGGATATTTTCGATAGACGCGAGTTTCTTTGGCCTTTCCTGGCGCAGATCTTCGAACAGAAAGTCATCCAGACCTAGATCGTCACCGTCAAAAGCATCTGTCTTGGACTTTCCTTTCGATGCTCCCTGGAGTTGCTGACATGAATCCTTGTCAAGCCTTGCAAGCTGAACGTTGCTTTCGTTGATTGTCTTAGACTGCCTTGGGAGGTGTGATGAGAGATTGGCCTTCAGCTCGGCTTTTCTTGCTGTTCCAGCTGCACACGGTTAGAAGGCCAGATCTCAAAATTTCCAGGAAATTTTTACCAATATCATCACACATGGCATGACACACGATGTATTGGCTTGAGCTTGTCAGATTGGAAGCGAGGGTGATTTCCAAGCTGTTCTGCAATCTGTTTGCACTGGATGAGTTGTAAGCAACGAACGGAGACGTTCCGAGTCATTCTTTAATCACCTTATCCTACGAAAATCAACCAGTTGACCATCAGATGTTTCTGTTAAGCAGCAAATATAGACTGGTCGACGCTGAAAGTAAGTTGGAGTCTTCTCATTCATGAACGCCACTTCCAACTTGAAACGGATATTGACAGAGCCATTCTTCACGTCCTTAACAGTTGTCAGCAAAACTTCGGACTTGTAGTAGTCCGGAACAAACCTTGCCAATCATTTTCACATCAATGCGCAACTTAGGAAACTCCTTCAATCGAGAAAGCAACTTTGAGCCGAATGGAGGGTTCCTGCTGAGTGTCATCTCAATCTCATGAGCTTCCACGTACTCAAGCTCTTCGATGCCTGTAATCCCAGCAGCAGCCAATTTTCGGACGGCTACTACTCCAATCTGCTCAATCTGCTTCATTTGAAGTGGCGACTGGTCCCAGATCTTTGCACCAAAGCTTCTGGCTAAGTCCAGTGCATTCAGAATGGACACAGAGTCCTGGCGTGTGATCATACAGTCGATTACACACCGGATTAGTCTGTTCACATGTGCGAAAACAAGATTTTTGTCTTGCTGGAGAGAAAACTTGAGTTTCTGGAATTGATCTCCACAGGGGAACTCGATTGCACCTAGTTCAGACTGGAGAAGAAGGGAGATTTTGTGAGCAGGGAGAGCTAGATCGACCTTGATTGGGTATCGAATTTCGTGGTCGCGATTGATCTCCTTGTATAGCGACTTTTCGCCTGCCTTGAAACGGATGTCTCGAAACTCTTCAGCTTGAACAATCACATCGAGCTATATACGTTAGAGTTGAGTGGTCATTAAGCATGATATAACTTACGATTTGCGACAATGTTGCCTTCTCCGTCAAGCTCAGCAAGATCTTCATCGTTTCAAACCGAATATAATAACGAGCCATGGCATCACCATATTGGGTCGAACGCAATTTTTCGGTTTCGACAAGACCACATTCCTGAAGAAGACTGATGTCTTTCTCACAGATCTGCCGAAGCAACTCGTCTTCGTCTTCCTGACTGGCTCCTTCCTTGAGCTTATAGTGAGTCGGGTTGCGGCGAAGTCTCACGAAGAGAAAAGTTCCAGCAAGCCACTTTGTAGCTGTTTCGACGTCAGTGACATTCCCTAGTCCAATCTCGGCATTGAGATGATCTATCAGGTTAAGATGCAAGCAACTTTCAATACTTTCGGTTCCTGAAACCAGTTTTTCGTAGTGTGGTACGCGCTCTTTTCGGGTGAGTATAACAGCCACGGCGCTGTCGTCGAATTGCGGTCGACCTGCTCGTCCGAGCATTTGCATCATCTCGAGGTCTGAATACTCTTTACAGCCACCTTCTTGCCAACCGACAGTATTTTTGATGATCACAAGGTGGCAAGGAAGATTCACACCGACGGCAAGGGTTGAAGTGCAACATATGACGTTGATGTGTCCATCAAGGAAACCCTGTTCGACAGCATGTCTGTCGCCCGGACTAAGGCCCGCGTGATGGAATGCGACTCCCGCGGCGACGGTTGCTATATTCTGTTAGGACTGCACTGGAAACTTCAGTACTAAAAGCCATACTATTTAAATCTTCATTGTTGACCTGGATCTGCCTGCCAGGGCCTTTCCAGAGCCTAGAGGGTGGATTCGTCATGTTCCATAGACGAGCAAGTTCCTTCGCCGTTGCAGCGCACGAATTGCGAGTGCAACTGAATATCATGATCGGCTTCTGACAAGAATGCATTCCGATGATATCAGGCAATCTGCAAAAGTCAGCATCTGGGATTGATTGAACCAGTAAAGGCATACTTGGAAGCGCAAATCTTGTCAAAAGCAAAGTCGTTCACCGTGGACTGGTACCCATAAACAACCTTCTGCAACTTAACCGGCCGAAATTCTTCACCAAAATTCTCTCGATGAGCCGGCAGATGCTGGTTAGTAGCATCCTTCCCCAACCAAGTGGCAATATCCTCCGAATTCGGAATTGTCGCGCTAAGAGCAACAAAGCGAACATTCGAACCGATGTTCTTCATCCGTGAGACAACCGCTTCAAGTGTCGCGCCTCGGGACTCCTTTAGAAAGTGCACCTCATCCAGCAGGAAAAGCTTCACCAGCTGCAGCAGCTTCATATGGTCCTGCCACTTCCGGGTCATAGAGTCCCACTTCTCCGGGGTGGTGATAATGATTTCGCTATTCTGCACACTCCGCAACTGCGTATAATCCGTGTCCCCGGTCAACTCCGCACATTTGAGATTCAAAGCTGCAAACTTGGCTTCCCAGTCACGGAGTCGCTCTGTACATAGCGATTTGGTCGGGGCTTGATAGACGACTTTGAACCGCTCATCCTTAAGCACGTTAAGAAGTCTGCAAATAGCCAGTTCCATAATCACTGTCTTTCCACTTCCTGTGGGTGAAGAAAGGACCAGATTAGAATCAGAATTGTACGCTGGGTCGAAGCATCTGCTCTGCACAGCATTGAATAACGGGAATGGAAATAAGTCTCGATATCTGTCGGGTAGTGTATCTTTGGAGACCAGCACGATGCCTCGTACGGATATAGGGATATTTTCAAAGTGTGAGATTGCAGTGTTTTGTGGAATATCTCTTCGGGTTATCGGGGATGATACTTCAACGGCACTAGATTGAGCAAGCAACTCGAGGTCTTCATCCTCAGTAGAGTAATATTTCAATCGGGTTTGGGTTACTGACCAAATGCATCTAATTGATCCTCGTCATCACGGACGGATGACACAGGTTCCGAAGTCATCGGGAAATGGGCAGAGAATGAACTTGTTTCTCGTGGTCGCTGAGAGCCATCAATGAGTTTCTGATCTATGGTACCAGTCGTCTTGTGGGAGCCAGTGAATCTGTTATCAATGCGTCGCCGCTTTGGAGAAGTTTGAGAAGGACCCGGAGAGAATGGAAATCGCCGCATGGTGAATATATCTAGACTGAGAATCGGACAAAAAATGATGGATGATGAAAGAAGGACAAGTTTGATGAGAATTATTGCACGTGGGAGTCCCGTGCCTTGGCCATCGATACCAGCTCATATCTAGAGGTACAGTCAGCACGTATCCCATAGTTCATGGATACACTGAGCAGACTCTATACGTTCAGACTAATATAGCTACCTAAAGTCGGCCAGTGACAAGACACGTGTAGGTATCCTTGGAGGTGACTTGGGCATATCAAATTTCTCATTTCTTCGTATATATGCAAATTTGACCAGAACATTCTCGAATAGCGAATAGCGCTCACGCTCGCAAGTAAACCGCCTCACGCGAGGACGGGATGTTACAAAAGGCCGGCAATTCAGGTCACAGACCGAACTGCATCTATCAGGTATCCAAAACCATCATATCCGTAAAAGGCAGAACCAGAGCAAAGGCAGAGATTTAACATAGTGCCTGGCAACTACTCCTTCGTGAATTGAGAGCTTGTGCTCACATTTCGACTGGAGCCCACCCGAGCGTGACCCGGGTTTGGGGAGGTGGGTCGTGACGAGGACATGCCATCGGACAAGAAGGGGGTGGAAGGTAATTTGATAGAGAAGTCGTTGGGAGAGTTGGAGATGGGAGAGTCATCGTTGAGGCTGCCACCTTTTTCGTAGTTGTCTACGCGGATTGGAGGTGGGCGAGCAACGCCAATCTTAGCCGCAGCAGGGTTGAAGCTGGGGTTGCCGTAGTAGTGAGTGGCCACCAAGACTAAAGCGGAGCCAAGGAGGAACTAGAAAATGTTAGCTTCTGCGGATCTTTCAGATGTAATGGACATCACTGTGAAAGAAAACATACCGTGGGCGTAAGTTCGAATTCGAAAAGCCAGACGCTTCCAATGATGCTCAAGATGGTAGTTGTGGTAGTCGCTACGCAGCTTGGGTCTCTCTGGGCATGACGGAGCATGAAGGTAGACAGAATACCGCCCAAGGCTTGAAGAGCGATAGTTGACCACACTGCCCAGTTATAACCCTGGAAGAAACCGCCATTGGAAACGCTTTCGCCGTCTCGGAAACCGACACCAATGAAGATGGCGGGAAAGACAGAGTAAATTGCCAATTGCACATTGCGCACCCACATCGAAGTATGGTTCGAGCTATCACGAAGCACCTTCTCGAAGAAGACACCGCCGCAGCCCGAAGCCAAAGCAGCACCAATAATCGCGAAAAGACCAATTGTCGCATTGAAATGGGGATCGGCAGTCTGGATATCCTCTTCAATACCTTCGTAGGTAGCGGAGCGTTTGTGCATCTTTCCTGCGGGGCCTTTCACGGATTTCCACTCCTCCAGGGATCGGGGAAAGTGAAGCGACGCACTCTCGTCGTGGATGGACATCTGCTCAGAATTGGCATCTGGCATCTGAACCAAAGCCACGCCCACCACCAACAAGAGTAGCAGACCCAGCTTGCGAGCGGGAATACTCCGACGAAGAACGACTAGTCCAAAGATCGCAGTTGTCAGGAAATGCACCTGAAACGTGACCTGGAACGTCGCTGCCCGCATGTTGGAAAGCGCAATGTATTGGAGGGTGTTGGAGAGAACACCGAGGGCGGCGGGGATAGCCAATTTCCAACTGTCCCCGGAGAAAACAGTGCTGGTGAGGGAGAAGAAGAGGGAGGTGGCAGGCATAGAGGGTGGTGCGGTCTTGGACACGTCATAGAGGGCCATTGTGAGGGAAATCGCCAATTTGACCACTTCATTCAAGAAGACAGCAGTGGAGGTGAGGTAGCGCTTGCCACCAGCTGGGGTCATGACTCGAGAATAATGGGATAGCTATTCGTGAAAAAAGGGCTATCTGTAAGTTCGTGTACATTTCGGTGGATTATACGAGCGCGTCGAGACTCACCAACACGAATGCTGTGGACTGTGCCGCTAGCTAATGAAAACAAACATAGAGCAAGTCAGTAATCGATCTAGACAGAGATGTCCATACTATGCATGACGGAATTTTCATACCAAAAGCCACGGCACATTGTGCGAGGTTTGCCGCAGCCACGACGGCTGGCGTTGTGTGCGGTCACTCATGTTCAAAATGTGTGGGAATCACTCGCCCCTGATTTCTCCGCAGGTAAACACGGAAACAAAACAACCGTGTCAGGAGCGAGAGAGAGCGCGAGGCAACAATGGGAGGGTAGATGATACAGGGAGCGACAAGAAGATCGGAGTTCGAAGTCTCGAAATTTCCCAGAATTGCTCTGGGGCTAAGGCAGGGGAGGCCCGGCGATCTTCGTCACTGGGGGCCAGCGGCAGGGCTTCGGCTGACGATCACGGCGGAGCTCCGTGCGACGTGGCTGGGGCTAAGATTGTGCTTGATACTCTGTACTCCGTACTCTAAGACCAAAGTACAGGAGTACCGGAACAGACGAAAAGGAGCTTAGGTCTTGCGTTCACACAGAATCCGGGGAAGTTTCGTGTTTAAAGTGATCCGGTAAATCGGCGGTGTCAGGTGGATCACGGAGGACGAGTCATGGGTCCAGACTCTTTGGGCATCGAGAGAACCCCCAGTTCCAAGGTTGTAAAGCTTTTCTACGTTTTCCACAAATCAGATATTCGCAGATGTTCGATCCTTGGGCTAAAGGAATTAGGCTCGGGAATCGCATGTTAAATCTATCGCCTGACGTCAAGGTCTACCTTCAAACACCCGGGAGCCCACTATTTGGTCATGGCACTCGCCTCATCTCCAACTTCCCCACGGATGTTGTAAGATGAGGCGATATCATTTCCACTCTGGGCTGGTTTACGATCGATTGCGTGTCCGATCCGTCGGTTCTAGCCACCCAGCCACGCTGAATTTGGGCTTGGCTTCTGACGCACGTCAGCCACGCCGATTAAGCTACGTAAATAGTGTGAACTGATCTGCATGGATAATTAAGATAACTTGTTTATGGGAATTAAGTAACTGAGCAAGATGCCAAATCTGGTTTAATTGTTTTGAAGACGCGATGGTCTTTATAATGCAAATTGATAAACAAAAACATAGGGAGGGGTATATGGGGCCCACGGACGGGTAGTAAATAGTCAAGGAGATAGGATCAAATGAAGGTTTCGTAACACAAAATGCCTCACAGGCGGCCAAAGCAAAGTCAACTCCAAAATGCAGATGATGGGTAAAGAATGATGTGATCCAAGTCGGACCAATAAGAGAATTAACGTTGGTAGTACACGGAGGGAGGGAGGGCGTAGAAGATATGATGGATCGAATCGAAAGGGCCGCGCGACTTTCAATGCACCGCAGCGACGCTATTACGGTCGTGATTCCAATCAAAATCGAAGGACCAAAGCGGAAGATCGTGCTTCGGCTGTGGCTCGCCGCCGTTCAGCATGATAGCTTCGCTGCTATCGGTACGGCGCCGGGTATGCTGCTTCTGATCCTCAGGGATGGCTGGTGGAGGCCCACGGGGGTGAGGCTTGGGAGAAGGAAGTGGCGAGAAGCGGTGAATAGGGAGTGTCGGGGTGAGCGGTGAAGCACCAGCGGTGGAGGGGGATGGAAGGGACTCCGAGTAGCTAGTGCTGGCGATCGAATTACCAGTCTTCTGTTCATTATCAGAACTCGAACTCTGCGAGGGAGAACCGTCCTTGTCCATGTGAGAGGCACCTTGATCAGACCGTGTGGGAAACGGCGGGAAGGCAGCGCTGAGGCGCAGGAAAGAGGTGTCAGATCCACAGAATGAATCCCGTGAAGGGACCGACAACACTGAATTACGATCGGGTTCGTTGGAGTAGTTGAAGATGCTGGGTGTGACCTTTCCCTTGCGCAGGCGCATCGCTTCCAACAAGTCCTGCTCTTGTCGTGTCACGGCAATTACTCGGCTTCGGCGGTTCATCTCCTTCAATTCCCGAGGTGTGCGCATAGGCGGTTGCGGCAGCTGGTCCAGGAGATCTGGCTCGGCGATTACGGGGATACCGCTCGACCGTCGGGACTGGTTGGTTCGTCGGGTAGTTGTGGATAACTTGCCAGTAGATGCCTTCCCAGAGGAAGACATGGAGGTTTGGTGGACATGCTTGCGCGTTGACTGGTTCCGTTGGTTTTGGTGAGAGCCGCGGCTGCTGGTGGATGGTGCGCGATCAACCTTTCTCAGCATTTGACCAGTAGCCGCTTGAGCGGCCTGGGCTGTGTAGATTTCCGGCTCATACTCCCCATAAGTGCCCACACTATCACGTAATAGTTTATGGGTGCGACCATCCGTCGGAGTCTCAGTTTCCTCCTCGGTCTCGTCATCCGATGAAGAGAGGCAAAGAATGCTGGTATTCTGCAAGTCTTTATTCTTCAAAGTGCTCTTGCTGCTCTTCTTGGTGATAGCGCTCTTCGCACCCTGCGAATTACTCCGGTCCTTCTGATGCCGAATCTGAGCTGGAGGATTGACGATCTGAGAATGAGCCGGCTCGGATTTGGGAGACAGATACCCCGACCTGTCCCTTACTTGGGTCCTAGGTGGACTCTGGGCGCGGCGTGTGTTGGTACTGGCTTCCGAAGGTCGGCGCTGATCCGGCTGCAACTGCTCCCGGCTAGCAGTATAAACACTAGAGCGACTAAACAGTGATCGCCTGCCTGCATATCGGTCCAGAGCCAGATCAATCTCGCTCGTCCCCACGGTGCGCTCCAATGGCTGGTCATACCACTCGCTTTTCGATGATTCCGGGATTGACAGCAAATCGGAACGGTCCACGTGCTGCTTTGGTACCTCGTGGTGAGCCACAGAGCCACGAGGGGGTAGTGGATCTCCAAATCGTCGAGAGGCGGAGTTGCTGCTCTTGCTGGTCTCTCGATCAAGTCCTCGGTCAAGTCCTCGATCAAGTCGGTTGGAGGGGTAATCGGAGACCACCGTCGAGACCGGAGACGGGGAGTTGGTCATACGTTGAGGAGACAAAAGGGGCGGGGCTGGATTCCTGGGTTTCGGAAATAAGATGGACAAATCAATGCGAGGTGGGCGTAGCTTTCGCTTGGATTCCTTTGGAGAACTCCGATTTTGCTTATATGTCACATGGGGATCCAAACCCAGCTCATTTTGGATGCGGGGCTGTAAGCCTTTCGGGCTCTCTGGTCTCGATTTTGACTCTTGGGATCTGAAGTAGGAGAACAGAGTAGACGAGGAGCCCGATTGGTGAACTCTCTTTGACGGCTTCGGGAGGGGCGGAACCGGATCCTGAGAAAGATATTCATGGCCAAGCAAAGGGGATGAAGCTCGCACCCGAAGATTCTGAGGTGGAACCATCATGTCGCCTGATTTGGAGGTCGGGAAGGGCACAAATCCAGTGTTTTGTTGCTGTTGTCTTGAGGAGCTGTCGGGCGTTCGGAGGCTTGCTCGGCGGGACTTTTGCTGCTTCTGTGGTTTGTCCCACTGGTTCTGGTTGTTGTGGATTGGCAGGTCGGTTCCCAGAATTCGTTGCGCTTTGGAGGTTCTGCGGTCCGAATAGCCGACATTTTCCTGGCTTTCCATCGCTTCGGATCGTAGGAGATTATTCCGGCTGGAGGTTCGAAGCGGTACATGTACCGGGGAGTGTTCGCGGGGGGCCATGATGTAGGAATTTGATTCCTCATAAAAGTGGTGCAGTGGGCCAATGCGACTAGAAATTGTGGAATCTACAGGGGCTGTAGAGTTCAAGTATCTTTTTTTTGTTGGAAGCTACTCCACCTTGTCAGCATATGTTCGGGTATTGACCAGGTACCAGTACCTCCACGAGGCTCCACCACGTACCGTTTGTATTCGCAAACGAATTTGTTGAAAGTCAGGTATATTTCAAAAGAGTGACTGGGGGGTAAAATTTTCAGATAAGGGAAAAAGAAACGAAAGACTGTGGGGGAAGTCTAGTATAAGAAAGGAGAAAGTAAACCTAGAAATCGAATTATTGTAAGAACGGAGTACAAGCAGGTTCTCCAGATCGATTGGTTCAACTATCGACACCTAAAAGGGGCGGATCCACCTGTTTTTTTCTGGAGTCTTTTGGTGGCCCGCATCGACCCAAGTTCTAACGGAGTTAAAGGGGTGGACTTGGTGGAAATAGTCTCCTCACCCACTGTCGTCACTCCTGGTTCACGGTAAAGTGGAGTCGGGCAATCGAGGCAGTGCCAATTGGAACCCCAACACGGTTCTGGTGATTTATGATAATTGATTTGATTTAATTTGATTCTGATCTAGGGAGATGCTTGTGATTTTGATTTGATTTAGGGGGTTGCTCCCTACAGAGAATAGGCTTGAGATGGCTGATTGAGCCCGATGGAGTAAGTATCGACAGGCACTAGCGAGACATTCATCCTCGGTTCCTTTCACACCACAACTGCGGTTCCTCGAGTCCCGTGGAAGTACGGAGTACGATGTACCTAGGAGTGCCCAGCTAGGTTAGTCCATTGCATTGTCCTCCGGAAATTACAGTCATTGATCCTGCGTCATGCACACGGTCCATGGTCATTCCCAGTCAATTTCCTGTAATGAATTCTGATTGAGTCACAGGTCACGTCGAATTAAACAGCCTCACGATCTAGATATGCACCTAAATCACTCGTGTTCGGCCCCTTACATGGGCTGAAGCGCCTCGAACAACCTTAAAACGCTAGACACGTGTACTATAGATAGACTAGGTACCTGCATTCTACACGTCTACGATGTAAGTTGGTGGTACCCACACTATTGGTGGTAATCCCCCGTGGCCAAAGGCCGTGGCAGATGTGGCATGCACTATGCAGCGCCTCGTACGATCCATTGTGTCGTTGACGGGACCTCAGTACTCCACTTGGGCGCCCCGTGCTCTGCAGTTGTAGCGTCGTGCTATTTTGAAACCGGTCTTGTCTTCACAGAGTGGGTTCTCTCAACTCTGGAACCGATGGAGAACATCGGCCGCTATGGCCTTGAGCGACAAACGATTCGCGTCACTCGATCGGTGATGGGCCCAGTTGCCAGCCCGTTCGGGGCCGGGCTTCGATCGCGTAAAGCATCGTAGCCGCCCGAGACTAAGTGGTACCGTGACAAATAATCGTCGTTGGTCAGTTAGGAACTGGCAATGATCGACCCCTTGTTCACTATCACGCCGCGTTTCCATGGATTCCGTCAATGATAGAACTCAAATCCAGCGGCACAGAGTTCACTTCCACGAGGTTAGCACACTTTATGCGGGATGAAATGTGGGAATACATATTGCGTAGGTTGAAAGGTTGTCACACCCCTTAGTCTCCAATTTTGGTTTCATTCTACTTCGTAGACCCTGATGAATTGACAGTCCCGCAGACCCTGATCCGTGATGGTACCGAGGAGTTGGTTGCAGTGTTTTGGGGGATTTCAGGAACAATCTGCCTGTGATCCAGTCGACAGAGACCCTTTTCCTTTCGTGCTCTAGCTCGTGCCACTGTGGCTCGATCTAAGCAAATCACATTTCCCGATCGCGATGAAGATCATCAATCTTGTCCGGACAGCTCCGTTTGCGCTTCAAGAGCGCGTGCCGTGTCTGAAGACCCACCGACCCAAGCTCCGGTGACAGGCCGGGATGAGTTGTTTTGTTTGTTTTTTTCCCTCTTTTTTGTTATTCTAAATACACGCATCCTAGTTGCTCGTCTTGTCATTGGTCCATCATAGACACCTGGGCTAGTTGCATATGCGTACTCCGTAATGGTAGCCATTCCAAATTTATCGCATCTGATTCTGTTCGGGCAAAACCTGCAAAATAGGGGTAAAATTGAATAGGAATTGAACACCCAATACTTCCGTGACATAACATTCGAAGTTCAAATGTATTTTGGCTTTACCCCACGGCAATGTGTCGCGTAGCATTTCCGAGCACTATTGAACCCAAATGAATGGTTTGACAGGCGTGGCGCGCCTTCTTCGCCCACCACGTCCCAATGATCGGACTAGCGCCAAATGGTCTCTCAATAGTGAACCCAGCAGTTTGTGAACAATGAGGCAATAGTCTGTTCCACCTTCCATGGTTCTGACTTCATTCTCCAGTCTGCTAACGATTTCTGGTGGGTTTCGTAGATCATGCGTAAATCATCCGCTAATTGAGGGGCGCAAGCTTTCATGCGGAATTTTTGCCAATATTGTTGCATTCGTTCCAAGGTCGTCTGTTCGGATGGAGCACGGGTTTCCGACGCCATTGAGTTCCGCCGTTAGCGAAACCCGTCGGTGAAAAGGTGGAAAATTCCAGTAGACACTGAAACGATAACGAACGGTTCATTGAGGCTATGTTTTGGCTTATTATTGAGAAAACGATGTGTTTCAAACGCCATGGAACATTTGATGTGTGGGTTTGCATCCACAGTCGCAGATCATCCGCGTTCATACGAGCTCAAAAATGAGGCATTTCGGAGGATCCCGAGCTTGACCACATCCCTGGGTTAGAGAAGAAGAAAAAACGAAGAACAGGGGTCTGGAGTTAGCATACTTCCTTATAATAAACTTGAGCCATGAGCCCTGTAAGGCAGGCCCATAAATTTATACTATTATGCTAGCCCCAGATGTCAGCATCCTAGTCGGTCCGGGGGGTTGCCGCCAGTCTCAAATTAGGCAATGCAAGGACAGAACGAGCCTGAACGTGTACGATAATATGATACAGCAATTGGACTCCCGTGGTCCAAAAATGAATGCATTCCGTATATAAGGCACCCAGAAATGTCCAATTGAAAAAAAAAAAAAAAAAAAAAAAAAAAAAAAAAAAAAAAAAAGAAACATCTCATCCGATCTGCAGCGCAGGTAGTTGGTGTGAGACGTCGAATGGTTCAACAAGTATTTCAGTCGACAATCACTTGATACTAACAATTGGGAGTTTGAGCCCGATTCGAGGGGACATGTGCAAGAATTGATGGTTTCTTTGTTGGCTGCCTCGGGGAACTGGGGTTTTCCTTCCGACGACTTCGAAATGTGGCAAACTACCCTGCAACGAGTTCCGGGTGCAGCTGTATACACAAATATATTGAATGCTGGCATGGGGATTTCACAATGATGGCTCACATAGTTATTTGAAAATGCCTCGAACCGGTAAGAAATCTCATACAAGCCTCCAGGGCTGTCGCCTTCTTAGAATATTGCGCTATTATTTCATGCCGTAGTTATGGCGACCTGGGCTTTCCTCCATAATTATATTATTTTACTTTACATGCGCCCAGGTGTTCAAACTTTGAAAGGTGCTAGTGTTGAGTATACTTTGAATGTTCAATGTTCAACGTTCAATGTCAGGATGAACAGTTGAATTTGGAAGATCAAAGCATGAACACCAACCTACTGTCCCACTTGAGGATCATCGAAGCCACAATACTACATCATGTCAATGACAAACTCGGAACCTTGGAACTTGTAAAAGGGCTTTCCAAAATTTGCAAAATTTGGAAGAATTGGGGGGAAGTAAATTTGAACACGAGGCACCTGGGCAACTTTCGGGAACTACTTGACTAGGGCCATTGATCATGCAGGGCATACGCGTTTCCCGCGTTATTATTCTCCCGGCTGAGAGTGCCCAGGTGGTCAATGGGATCTGTCGTGAAGATCTCCACTTCCAGAGTTATTTAAGAAGAAGATGGGGGAAAAAAAAAAAAAAAAAATTCTAGATCTCACGACGCGGTCAGCTACTAGACGACTTCAGACATATGGAATTGTAGAGATTAAAGTTGTTGAATAAAGAGTTGGTTGGTGGGACTTTGGCCTGTTCCGCCGAAGTATATATATTCTCTAAAGTGTCGGGGCTGGGACCCGGGGGTACCTGCAGGCGACGCATTGGGTACAGACACATGTACTCAAATGCTGCACGATGCTAGTAAGGGATACGGTGGGTACCCCTTTGCCCTTCATGTTTGTTTTGTTTTTCTCTCCGTGCAGATACATATCGATCAGGCCCATCCCTGTTTCTGGGTGGATACTTTAAACAATCATGGAAGAGATCTTGATATGAGATTCCGGGGCCCCACCCAGGGGTCTAGGGATGGCCTTATATTTGCACAGCAGTAAGGTCCATTTGCAGGATAGTCACCTTGGAACCTGGTAAATGCGAGGTCCACGAGCCTGTGACGATGCAGAGTGCTCATGAACGCGACCACACGTGATGCGTGGCGATAAGTTTGGCTGGAACCAAATCTTGATTAGATATGCACTTAGATAATCGTGAAGCCCCCGGCCTCTCCACATCCCTAAACAGGTTTCTATAGTAGTTCAGTCTGCTCCTAGAACCTTTAGATATAGGTTCGATTAAAGAGATAAAATTCCAGTAATAATCCATTCATACAACATATCTTCACCGGAGTTGATAGTGGGAGCTCAGAAATCTAAGAGCTTGGAAGCCGACCGGCGCCACTTAGATAAAGGGTTCCCGAGCCACAGAAAGTGGGAAGTGGCAGGTTTCAAGGTTTTCACACTGCAGTGAAAAACCGGGGGCAACCACGAGGACTCGGTATATTACAGAACGATGCAAAGAAAAAAATCGAATATGAACAGGATAAATTCCCATCATCGTAGATGTATTTTGCCATAATTTTATCTATATTTCTCTTTTACAAACCAAGGTTGAATCAAGCACAGCAAATAGCACGTTGTGGTCC